TCTCTCTCTCTCTCTCTCTCTCTCTCTCTCTCTCTCGACTCTTCTCTGTGTACTCGGCACTACTACATACATCATCATTGTTGCTGCTGCTGTAGTCACAAACCAACGAACAGACAAACAGACGAATCTCCTTTTTGTTTTTTCAAATTCTGATCTGTGCCACTGCCAACATTTTAACATTTTAACATTAACATTAACATTAAAAACATCATCAACATTAACTTCATCCCGCCCTGCCCTGCCCTGCCCTGCCCTGCCCTGTCCTGTCCTGTCCTGTGTTGCGCTTCCAATTCGAACTGCTCCCAGCGAAACCGACAGACAAGTCCATTCCATTCCATTCGATCAATCCATCGATCCATCCAATCGATTCGACTTCAATTGCCACAGAATTCAAATCGGTTCAGCACCTGTCTTTTCCTGCGCTGTAAGTGCATTTTGGTCTTTGTGTATGTTGTTATGTCCCTCTCTCTTTAACCTCTGTCTGCTTTCATCCATCCAATTTCATTTAACCCATCACCACCATCACCGTCATCGCCACCACCACCACCACCGCTTGAGAGTACTTTTAAAGTACCAAGTACTTACCTAGGTACTTACTTTTACTTCCTTCTTCCCTCTTCTTCCCTTTCTTCTTCCTCTTCTTCTTCTTCTTCTTCTCCCTCAGTCCCACCTCGTCCCACAACATCAATTCCGAAATCCCACTTTCGATTTCGAATTCAACATCTGACCGCTTTCCCCAACCAGCCAATCAGCCACCCCGGGACTTGGAACGAACAGGCAATCCAGGCGACACAATTCAATTATTTGCTGCCGATCAGACCCGTCCAAGCAATAAACTACATTTCTCTTTTTTTTTTTTCTCTTTTGGAATCATTCCATCATCTTTGGCTTTGGGCTTTTATTTTATTTTATTTTATTTTATTCATTTTTTTTTTTGTTTTCTGGTCCCTTCGACTCCCTGGATCTCTCGGTCTTTCTGGTTCCCGAATAGAAGAGAAAAGGGACCCAAATTTCAGAGAGAAGGAGACAAATACAGAAGAGAAAAGAGAAGAGACTCTCTCTCAACCATGCCAATTCGTCGCGGTCTGGCTCTCCCCGGAGCTCCCAAAACTTCGGTCGCGTCTGAAGGTCCAGTTCCCGTCATCGCTGCCAGACGAGTTCTTCCAAATCTACCTCCACCGCCACCTCCAGGGTCTGGTTCATCGCAACATCCTCAATATCCTCCCGAAGATTCAACTCTACAACAGACAACAACCACAACTCCCAATGGAGGAACTGTAACATTGGTCAATACTCAGCCTGGAAATGGCAGTGATATCTTGATCGTACGTACCCTCTTCGAAATTTTTTTTTTTTTTTTTTTTTTGGTTTAAATATTTTATTTTTTTTGGGGTCGGCCCTTGTCTTTGGTCTCTGGTCCGTGAGCCCTTTTGGATCAGCCTGCATCATGCCGCTGTTGTTTCCTGACCCAATTGACTGCACGACACGACAACCTGCATCTCTTGCTTGCATGCCTAACTTCCTTTTGCCTTGTCTCTTTTGCACCCCTCTCCTCCCACTTTCGCTCTCATCCCTGCCCTTTACGAGATCAGTATCGTTTATTCAAGAACTAGATTCGCTAACCAGTCGGGTCATCTGTTACACAATTGTGCATCCGGGTTTTACAGAGTGCTAGCGAATCTGCAAACATCGTCTCCATCCATCTTATTAACGGCAAAACCTTGAGAATAGTATGGGAAAATGCTGGCCCCGCATTGCCTCCCCCACCTCCACCTCCATTGCCTCAGTAGAGGATCAATGACTACTACGACTACTTCTCCAATCACAATATCTCTGCGACATTGAATATTCTCGACTCCTCAAAACACAAAACCTCTTTTTCTCCTCTTCTGGTTTCTCGGTACTTCAATTCCGACTCTCTCACAAAATAGTGGTGGTAGTTTTAGGACTTGGATCAATCAACACCGATATTCTACACACTGGCGGCCGACTTGATACTTTCTTCTTCTTGCTCCCAAATTCTCGATGATTCCCAACCATTAGTTCTCTGTTACTTTCTTCCTCTTCCATATTCTCTTCTTCTTTCTGTTTCTCTATTATTATTCTCATCATGCGATCAAAATATGAAAGGAGGGGAGTTTTACTCTGGTCGGCGCAACAATGATTTCCCTTTTTTTTTGTTTTTTTATAGCTCTCTCTGTTTATGAATGGCCTTATCTTGTTTTTCCTGCGAAAATTATTCCCCTGCTTTTGCTTGGTTCCCCCCTTCCGTGTGTTGAAATGATATATCCCATCAGTTTTTTGCTCTACTTCTGCTTCTCTCTCGCGGTTCCTTCGGATCACTAATACCTATACCACCTCCCTCTATGCTTTGACTTCGTTGTTTTCTTCTTCTTCTTCTCCTATAGCTCCGGCAATTCAGCGTCACTTTTCGATCTCCTTTTTTCTCAGTCCCAAAAGAAACCTATACCACTGCACCGTGCAACCTCTCCGCTTTTCTCTTCTCTGCCAATCGCTTTCTTTTCTTTCTTGCCCTTCCTTCCCTTCCTTCCCTTCTCTTTTACTTTTATCGAAGGAAAAAAAAGCTATGATATTACTTATAGCTTGGTAGTTGTGGTGTCAAGTTCTTTTTTTTTTTTTTTTTTTTTTTTTTTGCCTGTTTTTCGAAAATTCAAAGTTTATACGATAGTTACTTACCTACTAACATACTCTTCTTTTTTGCCCTCCGAGTCGACATTGGTTTAAAACAGCTGCAGCTAGCTTTTCTTTCTCTCTCCCTCCCTCGAGCCTTCCTCTCTTACTCTCCTTTTTTTTTACCTATATATCAGCTTTTTATAAAAAAATGTGAATTAGTTAGATTATAACAAAAAAGACAAAGGAACACACATTTATGCCTTATACTTGAGTACCTTTATATAGGTATATACTATATATTGAATTTGCGGTGTAAAAAGCTTTGAAGATACTTGGTTAAAAGTGGATAATATTAATATTATAATGACAGCTAGTTAGGTACTTAGGTATCTAGTGTGAATACTACAGCTCTTCTGGATATGATATATACTTAAGTACCGAATAGGTAATTAATCATGAAATCGAAATCAATTGGTATATGTATATATATATATATATATATATCATATTATAAAACCCTTTTCCACGATCATTATAAGATTCTACAAAAAAAGTAGTAAGTAATTATAAACACCACAGACGCTACCTAAGTAAGTATACATATTATATAAATGAGTATTTCCCACCCCCTCACCAAGGTACGAAGTAAAAAAAATTGATCCCATCATAAAAGCTGGAATCCTTTCCGTACCGATACATACCATCAACCTCCTCTCAAAAAAGAGGGGATGTCGAAAAAACCTCCACCAAAAAAGATTCCAACAATAAACCACCAATGATCACAAAACGTGATCACTATAGCGGTGGGATTTAAAGTCAGGGGTATGATGGAGGGGTACAATTCAGGTGAAATATATAATTCCCAAAAAAAACTTTTTTGGGGATTTAATATATTGTTTGGGGGTGGGTTATATATCCTTCTTCCCCAATTCTCCCCGATCACTTTTAGAAAAAAAGGAAGGAAGAGAGAGAGGGAAGGGAAGGGATATAATTGTTGGATATTTGCAGCACAGACTAATTGACACGCCATAGAGGAAAGGAAACCCACGAGGGGGTTTACTGGCTTTGTGGCAACTTAATGGTGCGCAGGGTGTGTGTGTGTGTGGTGGGGGAGTAATTTGAAGGTGATAGATGGAAGATACCTTTTTTTAAAAACTTATTTCTTGTTATATTTCTTGAATTTTTTTTGATCTAAAGCTAGTAGTCTAATAGATAAGACGACAAAAAAAAGTTATGCTTTGATCAAAATCTGCCCCTCGTATTAGTGGTAACATTTATAAGTTGGTAAGATAATCTTCGATCTCCTGTGGTGTTAGCTTTCTAAATCTGGGGCCTTGGGCGCCTTCGACGCCGTCATAGCCTAATAGGTGGTCCGCTGGAGGGCCAACAATGCCTGTAGCTGGTTGTTAGTATGCTTTCATCTTTTTTGATAGGACGAGAGGGAGTGGAAGAAAGTGGGACATACCAATCTCCACGGTATCACCGTTCATCTCTCCTTCAATCGTCTCCTTCAATGTCAATAACGCTACATGAATAGCATCCTCCAACTCCAAACCTTCCGCATACCTCTTCTCCAAGAAAGTCTTCGCACTGGTAGCACTCTTGCCTATCGCCGTTGCCTTCCAAGGGAAATAACTCCCCGAAGGATCAACCTGATACAAACTCGGTTGATCGGTATGTTCATCCCATCCAGCAACCAACATACTCACCCCGTAAGGTCTAACACCACCGCTCTGCGTAGCCTCCTGAACGACCCTGGCGACCTCTTGGACGAGAATACGGGTTGGAGGGTATTCGTTGTAGATACGTTTGTAAGAGGTGTGTGAAACTTTTCTGGCTTTGTCGACTAGGACGCGGAAATCCGGGCCCATGCCGGCGTAGACCATGCCGATGTTTGGGGTTATGAGGGAGATTTTTTCGAGAGAGTTTGGGGTTATTAGGGATGAAGAGGATTTTTTTTCAGTAGCGAGGACGACGCCGTTTGTTGCTGGTTTGGTGTTGGCCCGATTGGGGATAGTGTTAGTGACATGGTTGGGTTTAATAGGAAAGTGGGATATAACACAGAGAGAGGAAGAAGAAGAAGAAGAAGAAGAAGAAGAGGTATTACCTTTGATACCGAGGGCTGTTATTCCTTGGTTGACTGCATTTAAAGCGTATTCTGTATAGGTCGAAGAAGGAGATGATGTTAGATATATTGGAAGTTGAGAGGTAGTAGAGTTTGTAGGATAGCTTGATGAGGGCTTGTTTGCGAACCTATCTGAACGAGCTTTCCACTGTACAATCATCATCGTCATCGTATTAGTGACATGCTGGAGCTTCAGATAGCTACTAGGTATGCTTCCGGGATGACGTACCTTGGGGAGAAGGTGGTTAACGAGAAGGAATATCGGTCTGCCATGGTGGGTATCTATTCTATCCGAGCTCTATGAGAGCTACAAGGGACAGCTGACAAGAGGAAAGATGAAGACGGCGGAAAGGTATCAATCCGAGCTGTCGGAATTGGAGACGAAGCTCTGATCTTGTAGATGAGCAGGCGGCAGAAGTGGAGATGGTTGGAAGAGGTAGTGGGAGAGATAGTGGTGGTGGAGGTGGTGGAGAGGATAATGGAGGTTACGCGGCAGCAGAGGAGCGTGTTTGAAGTGAGGTCGCTGTAGTGTAGTAGTGCTAATGCTCTGTGACAAGCCCAACGCAGAGCCGCTTAGTCAGCCGCCACTGTCTCTTCTTAGCGAACACACTTGAACTGGACGTTTCGAATGTGAATTCGAACCACGTTTAACTATTAAATAGCTCGGGGGCATCTCGAAAGCATACTTTAGACCCGCGCTGTTAATCAAAACCCAAGCCTTTCCCTTGGTATTTGTCTTGGTTCTGACCGGACCCGGTCGCAAATTGGACAGCCTGGACAGTTCGTATACGGGATAATACTACACTACGGGGAGCCTCGTCGCCGGCTTTTAATCCCTCCGCTGTTTATTATGTGCATGGCCTGGCCTGGACTTGACTATCATACTTACATATAATGCCCGAAGCATCCCACCTTTTGCTTAGGATTTACCCCTCCTGACTGCCACTACTCCGACTCTAGTATCGCCAGTACTTCTACCACTAGTAACATCTTTTTCTACATCGACCATCTGTTCAAGATGTCTAGCTCGGAAGCCGATCCCGAGTACATCTGGGTCAGTTCAAACACCCCAGGTGGTTGGGACGCAGAGCCACAGCTCCCGGACTTCACCAATCCAGATCCGACAGCATCCGCTTCCTCCTCCTCTTCTACCAGAGCAGGTCCTTCTTCTTCTTCAACATCACAACCTACACAAGAACAACCTCGTCGACGTCGTCGTCCGGTTCTGAAACAATGCCGAATCTGTCTCGACCAAACTACGGAAGATGTCGACCCGGAACTCGGTCGTCTTATCTCTCCGTGCAAATGTAAAGGCTCGGCACGTTATGTACATGAAGAATGTCTTCGGGCCTGGAGATTACATTCTGCCAATTCACAGAGTTTTTATAAATGTCCGACATGTCATTTTGAGTATCGGTTTTTGCGACTTAGGGTCGCACAGATGATGGCTAGTACGGTTCTGGTCGGTTCGATTACGGCTTTGATTCTGTTAATTACCGTTTATATTTTGTATGCGCTTCCTCCTTCCATCTTCTGTTCTCTTTTATTTTTCTCCGGATCAATTACTTAGTTAGATGGTATTGAATGCTAATCAACTATTCAACTAGGGGCTTCGTCGCCGATCCGATTATAAACCTATACATAAACCCCTGGTACGCCGTCGACGGGGGTAACTTCTCCTTCACAATCAACGGTTTCACAGTCTACGGTCCCGCTCTCCACAATACTCCTCGCAGTCCTCCAATCCCTCGTTCTGCAGTCGGAGTGGGGATTGTAGAACACATGGTACGTGGGCTAAGTGCCCTCGGACTTATCGGATTTGGGAAGGTTCTGATCTTCTCGCACCATTGGATCCGGTATATATTTGGAGGGCCGGGAGTTAGAAGGGGAGATGGAAGGGATCGGCTGGGACAGTTGAGTTGGATTATAATTATATGGGGGGTTGTTAATTTTTTGATATTTGTGTGGGGGTATGTTAAGGGTTGGGTAAGTGGATTAGAAACTTGTGATATGTATGGGGAAGATTTGGGTGCTAACTGTGGTTTCCTTTTAGACGAAGAACATCCTGGATAAGATTGCGGCTGGGGTTGCAGACATTGGCTCTGAAGATGACGATGAAGAAGAAGAAGAGGGTCCTGCTACGGAGAATGTTCCGAAGAACGATATGAAGGAGGAGGTTAAACAAGAGGGGTCCAAAGAAAAGGATGTAAAGACAGATGTTTTCGATGAGAAGGAAGTGAAAGAGGAGGTCTCCGAAGATGGACCCATCAGAAGGAAAGGTTACACAGAGGTTCCGGAGACCTAGTTTGAATTCTCTCAGTTAGAGAATTATATCGATTCCCCCATCACTATTATTATTATTGTTACACTGGCGTTTGAGGACCGGGCGTTTGTTCTTCGGCAATTACTACTTTACTTTCTGTTTTATATATCATTCGAATAGCGTTTTATAATATAATACTTCCGAATGCCCGGACCTCGGTTCTTTCTCCTCTCTCTCTTTTTCATCTTTCAGCCTAATACAAATATATCAATATAACTTCTCTTTTATTCAGAATGGATGATACGATATTTGGATACTCAGAACAATCACTTAAACAATAACCAACCCCTCCCCCCCATTTTCGATTTAATTTGTCGTATGATCTCCCTCCTCGCATCCTCTGAGAAAGTTCAAGTACTGCGTTGCATGTTGGAGATTTCGCCTATATAAATTCTCGCCAAAACCTCAGACCACTCACCAACTTTCAATATAATCAATCATATCCAACCCTTCACCCCTCAACCGACAATGTCAACAACCGCCGCAATCTCGCGGTCAATCCTACCGCGATGGCCCAACGGCCTGCTCAGGCTTCAAACCCGAGGTACAATAATCCAACCATCTCCAATGATACCAAACTCCACCAAAAAACGCTTCCTCCGCATCCCTCCCAAGTTCCAAAAACCCTCCCAACCAGTCCTCGAACAACCCACCAAATACACCCCACCATCCCACCCCACAGGTCCACGAACCACAGCAGCCCGTGAATCAGCCCACAAACCACTCCCTCAAAAACCCCACGTCGATGAACGAAAACACTATCCAGGCATGATGCCCCCACCGGGGACAATAACCCATTGGATCCTCCACTCTCCAAAACTCCACGGATTAGTCGCCGTTTCCGTTTTGGTATCCCTAGCGCTCTACGTTATGTACCGAAACTTCATGGAGAACGATGAAGCTGCCCAACTTGCGTATTTTGACTGGAAGCATCCGATTATGTCCGCTCAAAGCTTTGTCCAGGCGTACCGTGAGAGTGATCGGATTAATACCGCGAGGATTATGGAGAAGAGACGGCAGATTTCGGAGGATATGGAGAGGAAGGCGCATTATAGATATGTGGTTGAAGGGAAGGTTGGTGGACCTGGTGAGGGGTTGGGTAGTTGGGGTGTTAGGAGGACTCAGAAGGATCAGGATTTTGGGTGGGGGATTATTATTGATGGGAAGACGATTGATAAGTATATTGTGGATAAGGAGAAGGAGAAAGCTGAGAAGAGGAGGTTGAAGGAAGGAGGGGAGGATGGTGGGGAGGATGGGAAGGCGCCGGTTATTCAGCTTGATGAGAAGCCGGTTCCGAGTCCATCAGGGGATCAGAAGAAGACTTGGTGGTAATTGTAATCGGTGAGGTTGAGATGACGAGGAACTCTACTATACTACTATATCAGAGTCGTGTAATTATTCTATTGTACATATACTTTTGATAATACCCCCTTGTACAAAATAAACGCCATGCTAGATGCCCACAATCAAGTAAAAAAAAAAAAGAAAGTGCCAGATTAAAATCAGAGAAATCGATATCAAGCTCGGAACATTTGCTGATGCGTCGTTTCGCCGACACCTTTGATGACCTCGCCAGCTTCCTTAACACAAGCGTTGACCATCTGTCGCAGTAGTTTTCGATTGATACCCTTTCGATCGCCTTCCTTACCACCCCCTCGACCGACCTCCATGCTTCTTACTCCGACAATATCGCAATTTCCTTGTGCATCCGATAATGAGAGGGTAACAACCAACCCTGCTTCCGCAGCTGCGACCTCAGCAACACTTGGATCTAAAAAGACGTTATCGCCAACTGCGACAACAGGTAGAGACATTGGCGGTCGAGGGAATGTCTTAGGTTCGTATAAAGGCACAGAAATCGCCCAGTCATCTGAAAACGTAGGAATATCATCAACATCGTGGGGTGATGTGAGTTTTGGTAGGTATGTCGAATCAAGTGCCATATTCACAGCCGTCGATAGCAATAGCGGTGAAGGATGTGAAGTCGGTGTTAAAAGCAATACCTATCATCCCATATCATCCCATATCAGCATTGTATCCTCATAACCCCAATCAAGAGGGTTAGGCCCCAAACTCACATCAATATAAAGCTTCCAATGCCATCCACTACTAATCACCAACCGGTCTAAAATACTCCATCCACCAGCTCCACCAGCCAACAAACCCTCCTTCAACCAAACCGCCGCCCCACCGTCTCCTTCATCTCTACCAGTAGCTCCACCAGCGCCCGATATCCCACCAATACCCATTCCACTCCCCGGTCCCGATGCCCCACCACCAGCAACTTCAACAGAAACTTCAATCCATTTCTCACGCTCGATTACAGTGACGTATTTTGTCGTTGCGTCTTTTTCTATCTCTGCTTTGATGCCGACGATACATTCGCCGGCTTCGGACATGCAGACGCGCGCTGAGCCGTTACAGTGTGGGAGGAAGGAGCATTCGGCGACTAGTGGCCGGAATTGGGTTGGCGTTCGTAGGTCGAGACGGATTGGAGGGGAGAGGGAGAGGGAGGCGTAGAGGTAGGAGAGTTCGGGCGGTGAGAGGGGGGTTGGTGGTGGCATTGTTGGGGTGGGTCTCGAGGATGATGGTTGGTTCTTTTTTTGATGGGTTGGTGGTTGTAGGATTGATAGAGGGAGAAAGGTGTTGAAGGTGTGGTGTTTGGGCTATTTTTCGCCAGCGATAGTTTGATGGATGTGGAAATTATTGGATTTATGTATTTCCTATTATGGAATGGCTTTATGCTGAGATATCCGTTTTGGGAAATACGCATTTTACAACATTTAAACACTGTTTGAAGGCTCATACTCGCAGATGATATGATTGTCCTTTATCCTTTTGAAGGAAATTTTTTCTATTTCGTACATTGCCCGGTGAAAATTTTTTGAAAGCTCTAATTATTGGGAAACTTATACGGTCATTTGGCTTGGAATTTTATCATAACAAGTATTCTCACATATACGGATCACTGTGCTTGTATTATATTAATCCATTTTCCCATAGGTGATTCTTTGGAAATACGAGGCGCTTTTCAGGCCCCTATCCTTGAGCTAGAATGACCCTCCAGCTGGCGCATGGACCGGGATTCAAATACTTCGAGTTCCATGGTAATTGGTAAACAACTCTTGGGTGAATGGATAGTAAACCGCATTAATTTACTTGCTATTAGTCTTAAGATCTTATGCTCTTATCATTATCGCTTTATTTGATTCATAGATGTATTTATATACAGGACTCCTATATACTAGTAGTACGTAGTACTACAATACAATCTCCTCAGAAGAACCCGTCTTCCAAACGTATATTATCCAAGAGAACGTCTATAGCGCTACAAAAGTATTCCTTTAATCTGTTGGCATTGGTTGCGGATAGTAGCTTCCGCAGTTCTGGCAAGAAGTGCAATCACCGGTATTGCAGCAGGTAGTACAGTACGAAAGCATGCGGGAATAGGCTTCGGAGCAGTTTGGTGGTGGTGAGCTTCTGCAAGATCCGTATTGAACGCGGCAGTTGTATCCGCAGGCGGAGACACACCAGGAGTGTAGGTTGGTACCGGCGGTGCAGCGTTTTTCTAAACAAGAAGAGGGAAAAGGAATGTTAGTATGTATGATATATGTATGTGTATGTGGTAGGCTCATGGAGTGGAAGAGGTTGTGAGGAAATGGAGACGTACGAAGGAGTGGGCTTGGGTCTGCGTTAGAGACTGGGTTTGGTGCGGCGCTGGCGGCACCAAGGAGGGCGAGGAGGCAGAGGGTGATCTTCATTTTATATTATTTAACTATTTTATTTGAAGGGATGTAATGTTTGGTAGCGAGTATATGGTTATTATATTAATTGAAGCTCAAGGATGGCGATATACTGATGAAGTATCATGAAATCCTGGGAGACAGATCCTTCTATTTATACTTTTTTTCTTGCTTTCTTTCATGGAGATAACTGTCTATAGTACTAGTACGCCGCTTGCCGGTGACAAAGAGCTTGAGCCTTCGAACGATATTCAAAATCTTGGATTTTCGAAGCTAGCTGCTAACAGCGGTACTGCAACTTTGATCTCAGGCTGGCTTCAAGTTCAGCATGCAGATCAATAGAGAGCTTTCATTCAGCCGGAAGCTCTTTTTACCCACGTCGCGTCGAGTACATATTTTCAGCTAGCTACTTCATATCATGCATACAAATGCAACTGCGAATAAGTGTTCTTCACACAAACCGCCCGTCATATCGGCCCACCATTCCGTTACACGATGTTAAGACTGTACCCTAGAGCCTCTCACTCGAGGCGGATTTACAGTACTGTTACCCAATCAAAGGCATCACTCGGCGCCACAGTCGGGGTAAAAAAAAGAAAGAAAGAAAGAAATCGCTGCTAAAACTGGCTAACTGCGGGGATTAAAAGCTTGCAAGCTATAGACCGGCAATTTGAAGATATGCATCCCCGTCCAGGTCTGGTTCACGAGACAAATTTTAATCCTGGCTATAAAGGGCGCATTCGCATATCGCCTAACCAAGTCTTGAAATCAGTCTTTAAAAACCACAATGACTATGAGCCCCTAATTGTTATTACCTAAAAATTATGAAATTGGAGAAATAAAAGTACGGGTTTGGGAATGTATTTATGTGAATTGATTAGATTATGTTTTTGTAAATTTAAAGTCAACCTTATTGATTTGTCATATCTAGTCTGCGAGGAGACACTAGTTAGCTAAACTATTATCCAATATCTATAGATACAAGCGGATAACATCTCAATTATGAATCCTTCTAGTATAGCTATATATATAGATCCACAAGTTCGAAACTACATCGGATAATATCATAAAATTTGTATCCTAATTAAAAAAACAATTTGAAAGAGAGAATGCAAGGGGAACCAAACCAAAGAACAACTGCAGCAACAGAAAGAGAGTGAAAAAAATTCGGAGGGGGTTGATCCATCGAAAGAGCCGGCGGGTCATACCGGATATATAGATGCATCTTCTGCATATACCCCATTTCTCCCACAAAAACTTATTATAGTATATTATACTAACTATAACAAAAAAGTTCTCTAACAACTAATTTCCATCCCAAGCGAATTGAGCGCAGGGCCAGGGCATGGTGACCAACCGATTTCCCACAACCTTGATACTTTGGTGCCGTCGGTAAACGGGAAAATGATCCATGACGCCTCCTAGTTCGAGTAACCGATCGATCGTTAGTGTATACGGAACACCGTACCAGTGATTGCATACCATCTCGCCTATTGTGAGACTTGTGCTAAATACTTCAGGAGTTAGCTTGTCGGAACTTTGATGCCAAGTCCTAGCTAGGACTCGGTAGGCGGAAAGCTTGAATGATATGATCATGATCATGACACTGCGAATTTCTTGCTTTACCGCCATATCCTAAACTGAGATGTTTTCCCTTTGGATAAAGTGAGAGAGAGGTTTAATCACGGTAGCAGCATAATCGTCGTAAGTGCTCGAAATATCATTGAATATAGCTGGTAGTACGTATACTCTATAGCAGTCTAGTGGTATCGAATGGATATATATTCGGATGGCTCATGTTCAGAAGTTAAGCTGTAACAAAGATTTGTAGTATATCTTTTAGTGATTAAGTGTGGATGATATCTACGTTCATTGCTGGAAGATCACAGGGTATCCCGTCCGCTCTGCCTTACTTAAGCTTCTAAGCGGGCGCTCAGTAGTATAGTGGGTGACCATATGCGAATCGCGCCTAACGTAGATTGTATTCTTTTTGCATCGTTTGCATACTTTTTTGCAATTTTTGGATGAGCCATTGTTGGGGAACCCGGGGTGTGAAGTTGGAGATTTGGTGATGTTTTGAAGTGTAGATGGGTTGTTATCGCTGGTGTTTGCGATGCCTTGGCATGCTTTTACACCAAAACAACAACCTTTTTGCAACAGCAACGCAGTTTGGTTTTTGTGACGCGCAAAGACTGCCACTCGCCGGCGGCGTGTTCCGGATCCTAAAACTCCCGAGCGGATGATTGTGTACCTAGATTATTTTTCCGGTCTGCAGCTTGAGCACCTTGTCTAGCCTATGTTACCTCAATAAGAGGCCGCTTCATCCCTATCAACATAATCGATTTGAAGGCTGTAGCAACCAGCTTGCATCTTGATCCAACGACCCGCAATGAAATACAACTACCTCTACATCGCTGTCTACGCTCCTCAAGAAGGGAATTTCTACCACTGGGCCTTAAGTTTTGAAACAGAAACTGGCATCTACAACTTCGAAGTCATCGGTCAATCCCCCAATTATGACTATTACAAACATATAAGCCGAACCCCACCGGAGGGAAATCATGCTGGGTTTATCAAAAAGTATCTTGTAGCAGAGATTGATAGAAGGGATGTTAAAGATGTCATAAGGTTTTTCGAGGACGAGGCTGAATTGAGGAAGGATATTTTGGAATGGAATTGCCAGGACTTTTGTCTGGAGTCGCTGGAGGAGTTGAAAGATCGAGAGTTGATTTCTGGGGAAGACGAGTATTATGAAGAGGGGGTTGAGGAAGCGAAGGAATACTATGGACCTGCATGATAGCCTTTAAAATTTGGAAATCTTCGTCCATTGGCTTTTTTAGGTCTGGGGACAAGACAATCCATTGGCTATTATATGGCCGCCAAACGTGAACATGAATAGGAAAGAGGTTTATAAATTATACAATAATCTGTAATTATAGTCTCGCATTTCCATTATCTATATTACCAACCGAAACTAAAAGAACCCAACCAATAGACCCCACTAATAACCTTCGGCGCCGTTAGTTGTCGATGTTTCGAAACCTGCACTATCTGCAGGTTTTGAGTCCAATATACGATCTTGCCAAGGAATAACCTCCCATCTCCAACTGGTCAGTTTTCTCATATCAGATCTAGATACATTCTCCAGCCGCCTAATATTTTGGTGGATTTTATTGAGGGTAGTTTTTATGGAACGGATTCCGACCAGCAATCTAGTATCTTGTATGATCAAGTTGATGATGAATGCAGCGAACAAGGCCAACCCGTTAACAAGCCAGAAGATGGGTGCCTGAGAAAAGAATTTGAGAAGATATCTCTTGATCACAGCGCGTATCGATTTTGTGCGGAACTTTCGTATCACGGACCTTGTCGTCGTCGTTACGACCGAAGAATAACGGGTTTTGAAGAAAGCAGCACCGGCGCTTTGTAAGGGAAAGATGATAGGTTAGTGAAATGCGAGTTCGCTGGAGTGTGTCTACTTGAAGCCATGCATGGGGTTGGTGTATCTTACAAAAAGAATCCAAATATTCCTATGAGCCTCGCGCGTACAGAGTGCTCATGAAACTTAACTTCCTCAATTTCCGACAGTATTCTTTGTATCTCGGCATAGATATTCTTCTGTATCACGCGGGTCCGACTTTCTCTCTCATCTGGCCGGCCTTAAACAACTCCGAATTAGAAACTCGATTACGTCTGGGGAAAGATACGGGGGAAGGTATTGGGTCATGCCTATTTCAGCCTGTACTTCGCCAGGTGTCAACCCTTTTAGTCCATCCCCATGTACAACGGTTCCATAGCGCTTGAGGTAACGAACGAGTGCATTGCGGCTGGAATGAATGTTGACTAAGTTTAAGAGCGGTATTGGCGTTTCTTCATCCATCATATCGCATTATTGCATTTGAAAAGAAAGACTTGTAGCTAAGATCCTAGTATTTGTTCTCTGCTCGGAGATGATTGTATTTTGCTAGTAGTCTGAGCAATATTGGTTTTATTCTAGAAGCTAGCGCTAAAAGCATATTTTCTTGGGGGATCATTTCGAAATAAGGCTTCATATATGGACAGAGCTGCAGCTATATGCACGGTACACTTGGTTGGCTTCGTGTAACTGCGCTAGCTCCAGGACATGATTAGGCTGGCCAATTAAAAAATTACACCGAAGCAACACGTTATTATGGATGTGCGCCATTTCAAGGCTGCATATGATGTGCTTGCATGAATAGATGCATACTGATGTGCTGGAAGGTGAGAGGGACAACGAAGAGAAAATAGGGTCAATTGAAAAACATCGATATGTAAAATGAGGGGTTGGTATTGTAAATTGTTATCATTTTACGGGGCTGAATGCAGCTATAGCTACCTACCGGACCAACCTGGTCATCTTTAAGAACTCTTTTAGCTAAGCTAAGAAATCTGTCTCTTTTTCAAAATGGAATTTAGGGCCATTTCAAGTATCGCACTGATAAATCCATAGAAGATTATTTCGGTTATATGATAGAACGCTATTTGACGAGTATAGCGGTGAAGCAGCCTTTAACATGAAGGGCCACTTTTGAAAAGTTATTATAAAGAATATTTTCAGGATTGAAGCGTAGGACGAAGTAGAGTCTGATTGACAAAAGTAGGTTTAAGCTCGCAATCACGTATGCGAGAATCTGTATTTTTTTTGAAAAAGTTTACTTACGGAGACCCCGATTGGTACGGTTCTCATCACAGTTAGGCCGAAGCTACAGAAACTCTCCATAAAAACACTAAATCTCAATTCTGAGATATGTGTATTAAAACTAAACGTATTAAAACCCAACACTGTAAATTTAAAGAGATTTCCCTGTAGATCTGATCCCTTAAAATTCGAAAGGCGGAATCGTTTTTGACGTTCGAAGCTTAGTTCTAACATCAGGCGCGCCTCTGCAGATAGCATGCGAAGTAATTTCGAATTTATGGCTTGTTAAACACCAAAGTCTACTCGAATTATAGTATTTGTAAAATTCAAACTAAAAGTGCTGATGCTGGATGATATCTGTATTCATTCTGGATTTAATCCCTAACTAAAGACCGCGGTTTGGACTTTTGAATTTTTTCCTCTCATGAATACAACATACGGCCATATATTATTCATTTTATTTGTTTCCCGGGTTCTTCAATTACGCAGTATTCTCCCCAGGAGCACTCTCATTTGCATATTTTGTTAAGAAAGAATTTGCTGCCGTTGCTTCCCTCCTTGCTGCTGTCGGCGACCCAAACAACTGGCTGCCCCCGATTTCTCTTCTGATCGCTTCTTTCTTAACTTCTTCCAAAATTTCACTTCCACGACGGTGGACCTTTGCTCCGGTCTCGGTCGAATCTATGGTTTGTTTCATGTCATCGATAGCAGAGTCGACCTTCATCTGCGCCTGTTGTGTGATTGGTTTATCAGTGGAGTGTTGGGCGGCTGAGCCGGTGTGAAATCCCATAGTCTCCCGCATTCGGTCGGTCTATGTATCCATTTGGTCAACATCTTCATTCCTCGAGAATTTATATAGTAGTAAGAGGTTTCATACCCAGCTCTTCCTACGTTCTGGGATTGGCATCGGGTTGTCTTCGTGGTCAACACCTCGCATGCCCTATTGATTAAAGTCATGTTAATTTCGATAAATTTGATATATTGATATTGAACTTAGATATCCATATCACTCTTGAAGAGGTGGCACATACTTCTTTCATGCCCCTCATGCTTGTGGACTTATCATTGGAATTGGAGTTCATTTCGGCGGTGTTGGAAATGTGATTGTTTTGTGTTGTGTTTAACTAAATTGGGGCTGTTGTTACACACAATTAAATTAGCCAAGTTCAATTTCTTGGCGGGAATGTCTCGTAGAGCAGAGGCGGAAGAGATCGATATTGATATTGATACTTTGATGCTCAGAAAACTTACAAAATGAGAAGGAAGCAAAAGTAATGGTAAGACTTCGATTGATATTTGTGTAATTGTTCAAACTTCCGAAGTTTAATGATTTACCCCGCAATATCGAGATGCAATTGAAGTATTTATACATATCGGCCCGAGACAAAACACTAACGTCATGGCACCTGAAAGGGAACTCTGAATCCAGCAAAACTTATTTTAATTCCAGGAAGTAATGATACCGAAAGCCCTGACTATGTTTGTACATCATTATTGCGAACGTAGCAAATGACAAGGTAAATTTCAGGAAGCTACCTATTCCTCTGCTTGCCGTCCATTACATCATGTCACGAGACTAATTGCGGTGTTGGGGTGTAGATGTAATACCGGATCGAGATTCGCGCCGCACTAAAACCCTTCGAATCCCGTAAACGGTTGCCACCCGCTAGCATACAAAATTCAAACTTGCTTTTATCCCTTCCACAAAAGCACTTGAAGTAAAGTACTTTATACCTATACAAAAACGCCTGGTTCTAGAACGTAACCGCTAGAAATATGCAATGGTTTGCCGTAGCTATTCCGAGCCAGCCATCCAATTTTATTTTCTTGAACAGAAAGGCTTCTACTATCCATGGAACTCTTCTGACTCATATGGGAAGCATCTCTTGTAGAGGTACACGCAAATCGTATCCTGCGGGTTGATTTTGGCATCGAATGTGGCTTTGAAGTATCCGTGTGTTCCAAGACTTTCCTTGATGAACCCGCTACGCCCACGTTTTGTGTGCAATGGCAGGGCTTTGAACCAACTGACATCTTCTGCATTGAAGAACATATACCGGACTGTTACAACCTTCTTGTGAATCTTGTAGGGGTGACCAGTAATGATACGGCGTTTGGCGATGACCCTCTCATGGTCGGTGTTAAGGAATGAGCCGGTACCGACTAGCTCAAGGTTACCTAGAACCGATATTAGTATTTCTCTTCCTCTCTACCAGATCTAGGAGTGTATTCTTACCGTTTGGATGTTGCTTCCACCATAATACTGGAACATTTCCGAACGCCACCTCCCCTATTAAAGTGGCGACGGAGGCCCTTCCAGGTTGTAAGAATTTCTCGTACTTGTGTACATTGTTCTTGGTTGCACCACCTTGGCTGAACAATGGTTGAACCTTCCACCTCCTCGATCCGCATTGCAAGACTAATGTATCCTTTGACTTAATTGGCGGTCCCTCATAGTCGCTGCTTAATGTGATGCTATAATTCACAACCGCCTTCTTATGCTCGTGCCGTAATAATCCAAAGAGACCTGTGATCCGGGTGTTATACTCGTCGTATTGGCCCGCTGCCAACTGTTTCGGTACATCCCGAAGGTAAACCTTGACTTTGGACCCTGTTGGCACGCCGCCGACTAAAGCTTCTCGCTGCACCTTTAGTTTTGTAGCTTTATAATTATCGATTCTGGCCAATGAATCCCATTTCTTGGGCTGGAAAGGAACGTCCTCGCTAGTTTCCCAGGGAGACGTCCTGAAGTCCTTGAGGCCTCGGTAACGATGCAATCGTTCCCTAGCGGTTTCCTCGGGTCGTAGCTCGAATTCATCGGGGAATTCAAGGTCATCTTCTGCATCTTTTTTCCTTTGTCGGAATTCAGTGATCCTAGATTAAATGTGTTAGCTAGGATAGAGAACAAGTTTAGTAACTAATACTTACGCCTTTGCTTCTTCCTCTGGTGACAAATCCAAGAACATCTCGCTCTTGGTAGTCCCAAAGGTTGTTGTAGCGTCATCCATATCCTCCTCAGCATCCATCCTATCGTCTTCCTCGGCCTCTAGCTCGGCCTCCATCAACTCCTCTGCTTCGTCTGTCTCTTCGGTGTCGGAATCATCTGTATCGCTGTCTACAATCCATTTGGCTTGCGTTGCAGAGGTACCTGGCGGCAACTTTCGTCTTCTCACTGGCTCAGGCTCGATCCCATCAATCTCATCATCATCAAAATAATGATGGTCATCTAACAAAACCCCTCTTCGAGTATCGGGTAGAGACATAACTTCCTCTTCCATCGAGACTTCATCCGTAACCTGTTCTAAGACGTCTTGATCCTGGGTTGGCGCATCGATAACCGCCGATGTATCCATCGAATCGCCCCTATTCAATTCATTTGGTAGGGAGACCACTTTGTCAACTTGGTAAATGCCGCCATCTTGTAACTGTACTAATCTATCCGCCTTGAGAGCTTTCCCACGAACTGTGCCAGTGACATATGCCTTGCCCTCAGATTCGTCCCAAGAAATCTCCGATGCCAACATGTAGGATCTCGCATCTCTCCATAAGATACCCTTTGGATGCTGAGAGCAAACGGATCTAATCGCATTTAGCGCTTCGGTTGGAGAATCAACTGCGTAAATTTTATCCTGCTCTGCGAAGAAGTGGTTTATATAACTCAATAGAGACTTTTTGACGTCGGGTCGTCTTTTTGCAGGTTCGACGGAGTTCAGGTTCTGTACCAGGCTAAACACAGTGGATACTCCTTGCCATTCGATAGCCCGTAGCAGCGATTCACCTATATCATCAACCTCCTGTGTTGCAGAGAGGATAAAAAAGATGAAGTCGGCATATTTGCAGGCATCCAAGACGGGGAGGAGTCTTCGCTCGGGAATAACGTATTGAATTTTCTGCTTGAATCTGTCGACACTATTATGTAACTGAAGTCAGTCTGAATCCCACTTCATGACTAGAATTGGCCCACATACGTAACGGTATGCACCCCACTCGGATATTTCTGTGTCTCCAAGTCCAAAGCAGCATTCAAATGATTTAGAACTGTCTCTGAGTATGTGTCTGCACATAGCGGCACTACAGCAACAATCCTTGGAGCTCCGTTCCTGCCGTCAAATATCCTATCTTCCTTTGCTCTCTCGATTGCCTTTTGAATTTGCTTTTGTCGAGCTTGGTTCCGGCGGTCGAGTTTCGATTTAAGTGCTTGAGCTGGTGATTGGCGCCCTCCTTTCGTTTTTTCGATTTTGCCCTTGCTCTGTTTAGCTAGTTGACCTTTGGTGGCATGGCGGGACTTGAAGGCCTTGTGGCCGGATCTTGTGGCGGAGCGGTGGTGATGGCCGCCGGATACCATAATGAATGGCCTTCGATAGGTACGTTTGGGGTACTTTCAGCTGTATTTAAGCACCAATATGTGATTTTTGGAGGGGTTGAGGTTGAATTTTAAGCTACCGCAGAGTTGCAGGCTGTTGTGTATGGAAGCTAAGATAAAAAAAAAAAGATGCGGAAAATTTGTTGCTTGTGTGTTTTTTGTGTGCGACTTATCAGCACGTGAGCTGCAGCTAAAAAACTAAAAATCGTCGCGACAGAAAAAAAAAAGTTCTGACCACTTCCAATCCTTGAATTCACCTTACCGAACATCTTCACCATCATGGCTTCCGACGACGAAGGACCAACAGTGGTCGCCTCGACAAGGCCGACAAAAGTTTCTGCTAAAACCTCATTACAAAAGAGTCGACACGATACCGAAGCCGAAGCCGAACAAAAGGCGATCCAAACATTCAGAAAAAATGCCATTGAGCAGTATGGCAGGGGTGCGCAGGTACCTGTTAAGAACATCAAAGCGAAGAGACTGCGGGAAAACATGAAGCGTATGGAGCATAAGTTCAAGGAGGGAGCTGTACAAGCTAAAGCTGCCGAATTGCTATTGGAGGAAGACCCTGGTTATTTAGAAGCTGAGGGCCTTGAGAAGACATACCATTTTTCGCAGAAGGATCTTCAGAAGGAATTGGACATCGGAACTGCGAAAAAGGGATTTGAGTTGAAACTGCCGACGTTTGGGCCATATTGTATTGACTACAATCGAAATGGCACAGATTTACTGCTCGGAGGAAGGAAAGGCCATGTCGCAGCTTTCGACTGGCGATCATCTTCCCTGCACACCGAGTTACAGTTGAATGAGACAATCCGTGATGTCAAGTAAGGCAAAATTTTTCACCATAAAATAGGTGAGATGCTAACTCCAGTGTTAGGTGGCTTCATAACTCCCAGTTCTTCGCCGTCTCACAAAAGAAATACGTTTATATCTATGACCTAAAGGGAATTGAAATCCATTGCCTGAAGAGCCACATCGAAGTTACAAACATGGAATTTCTACCGTACCACTTCCTTCTCGCTACAATCGGAAATGCAGGCTGGCTGAAGTATCAGGATACCTCGACTGGTCAACAACTCTGTGAAATTAATACGAAACTTGGATCCCCGATGTCGATGACACAAAACCAGCGGAATGCAATTCTACACGTGGGGCATGCAAAGGGACTAGTTACACTATGGTCACCGAATGTGACGACACCATTGGTTAAGATGCTGTGTCATAAAGGCCCAGTTAGGTCTGTCGCAGTGGACAGAGAAGGGTATTACATGGCCACGGCTGGGCAGGAATCCCTTGTCAGCATCTGGGATATTCGGATGTATAAGAAAGTGCATAGTTATTCGACACCCATACCAGCGAAATCACTTCACATATCCGATCGAGGCATGTTAGCAATTGGTTGGGGATCCCATACACAAGTATGGAAAAATGCTTTACGGACAAAGGCGAATTCACCATATCTTCAGCATCACACACCCGCAAATGTTGTCGAGGATGTTAGATTCTGCCCATTCGAGGATATACTTGGTGTTGGGCATGCAGAAGGATTTGAGTCCATTATCGTCCCCGGAGCTGGAGAAGCCAACTACGATGCCTTAGAATTGAATCCGTTCGAGAGCAAGAAACAACGGCAAGAGGCTGAGGTTAGATTGTTATTGAATAAATTGAAACCTGAGATGATATCGTTAGACCCAGACTTCATTGGTACGTTGGATCGGAGAAGCGCCTCAGAGAAGAATGGGGAGACGTGGCAAGATGCCGAGAAGAAAAAGGTATGCGCTCTGGGCAACATCACATCAGCTCTTATTGCAAGTAGCTAACAAAACACTTCACAGGCCGAGGAAAAATTACAACTAAGAAATCGTCAGAGGGGCAAGAACTCTGCACTCAGGCGGCATCTTCGTAAGTCAGGCAAGAAAAATATCATCGACCTAAAGCGCCTCAAACTCGAGGAAATGAAGGAAAAGCGGAAGAGAGCAGCCCAAGGAATTGCGGAATCAAAGCGGGAAGAATTGGGCCCTGCAGTCGCAAGATTCTACAGACCTCCTGCAAGGTGATAGGAACTCATCACGTACTTGCTAATTTTTCGGGGAGTAGTTTTGTGCGGCTCCACGCGAGACATTTGTACCATATCTGTGGGATTTTCGGCGTTCAAGGATACCCTCAAAAGAACATATTACTGTACAACTTGAAATGCGCTTTATACATAGACGAATGCAGCGAACCTGTACAATATATTACTATGTCATCATTGCACCGGATCTTTTTTTTCCCTTTCAAGATCTGTTTCGCCGTCCCGAAGCGAAAATGAATAAAAATAAAATAAAAATAAAAACAAAAAGATAAAAATAAAAAAATAAAAAAATAAAAAAATAAAAAAATAAAAAAATAAAAAAATAAAAAAATAAAAAAATAAAAAAATAAAAAAATAAAAATAAAAAATAAAAATAAATTGTTTGACTGTTTGCTCGCTATCGGTCAGGAACGAGCGCGAAAAGGCAGCATTAGCGCGGGGAACAGGCCAGAATTAGATTAAATATCGAGACTAGCTCGCAGCGGGGCAAGGTCTCATCCCCTCTTAAATATCAGCTCTCGGTCCCTTGGCCTACTGTTATCCGTTTCTCGAATTTTTGCTCCACTTGACTATCTTCACCTACGCACGAATCTCGTTCACAGCCTTTTGCTCTCGCCCTTATTAGTTATATATATTAAGATGGTAAGATAGAAAATTATTTCTTAAACCTTTCGTATCTCGGAGCTGCAATAATATATGTAGTTGCTCAGCTCCTCAAAATGGGGCGTTTGCAGTTCAAGGTTTTCAGGCAACTTTTGCGACAAAAAAATTTCATTGAAAAGTACTAACACAAGCTCACCGAAATGAATAGGCGGAAGATATGCAAACTATTCCCTCACTCGAGGATGACTTTTCGAACACTGGGCGACCAGCTGAAGACCTTTTCGACGATGAGATAGTTCCCAACCCCTCTCCTCCAAAGGACAAGGTCGTGATACCAACGGGTCCCAAGGCACACGGCAATAATGGGCGCGGCCGCGGCAATGGACGTGGGAGAGGGAGGGGTAGAGGTGCACCCAGAGGTCGAGGTGGTAGAGGTGGTCATAACGGTCATAACGGTCCACCACCGACAAATGACTGGAAAGGAGGGGATGGTGCGGGAAGTAGCATCGTGAGCAGGTTCGCACCCGCTCCCACTACACCCGCTCCCACTGCACCCGCTCCCACTGCACCCACCACCACTGCACCCACCACCACTGCCCCTGCCCCTGTTCCAACCCCCCCAACGGAAAGCAGTACCCCAGCAGAAGAAGGAGCGAAGGAGACAACACCAGAAACAGATCAAACCCCAGAAGTAACGGAAACAACAGAGTCGGCGCCAAATCCGGACGGCGAGGCAGAGGACCCCGCAGCTGCCCCACCAACTGGTCCCGCCGCGGGAATGTTACGCAAGGAGTTCCCATCCCGAAACCGTATTGTGACCGGCGGGCCGAATCGCCAAAAACTTACCGAAGAAGAATTAGCGAGTCGCATGGAAGCCGTACGACTAAAGAATCAAGCTCGAATTGAAAAACTGCAGCGCGCCGCCGAAGATGAACAGAAGTTTAATGAGGCGGAGCAGGTTAGGAAAGCAGAGGAAGTTAAGCGAAGGGCTGTTGAGAAGAAGAAGCAAGTTGAAGATGGAAAAAAGAAGAAGGAACTTGAGTGAGTAGCTGCCAAACTGTTCCTTGGGTTTGATGTACTGCAATTAATCACGATATATTTAGTGCCGAGCGGGAGCAAAATCGCCAACGGAAGCTAAAAGCATTATCAAACCGGGAATGGGATGTTAGCAAAAACGAGGAGGATTATAACCCATCAGGTTACACCAATAGGTCTCGCCGAGGAGCACATGGTGGTGTTTCCGGGTTTATTTCCAACCCGGATGCTGGCTACTCGAGGGACACGGAAGGCGACGGAGTAGGAGGCGATGTAGATCGATCATTCCACTCACCTCGTGGCCGTGGAAGAGGCGGAAGGGGCCGAGGGGGTCGAGGTGATAGAGGGGGCAATTTTGGACGTGGGGGACATCAACCTGCAAATAATAATAACAACCGGGGACGACAGACCGCACCGGCAGATGTTGGCAACGAAGCCGAGTTTCCGGCTCTCCCTGGGTCGAAACCAAAAGTAGAGAAAGCACCGGAGACTCCAGTTGAACCGGAGACTCCTCGCGGTACATGGGCTGAGCAGGCGCAGGACGCTGCCGAGAAGGCCGAGAAGGCCGAGAAAACTGAAGGCGAAAAGACAGAGGCCGCTGCATAATCCTGTGGACATCGTAGTTCTCTTTCGATTTGTGAGCTTTCGATACTAGGCCCCCTGGCATGGCGCTCTAGTGAGGCCGAACCAACTTTTCTCCCGCGAAGGTTCGTTATAGCTTCGCCATTTTATAAATAAGTGTACCCACTGACTTCGTTCTACAGTGTATTATGGGCAATTCTTAATGATTGACATGTAAAATATTCCGTTAGCCATCACTGGCGCACTGAGTTTTTATTTATTTTTGGTGATGTCTGTCCTGAACCTTCTCTCGTAAATCGAATTTAGGCCAGAAACTAGCAATCTATCCGCAATGTTCGTACGGAGTCTAGTCTTAGCTGACTATCAGTTTTGTTGTTCTGTAAGCATTCAAACTCTTCCTGGTTTGAGACAACCTTCTCCCTATAATATAAGCTTGATGGTTGGACGAGTGCAGTGGTTTAATATAAATATAGTAAGTTTTAGTACCAGTCGGTCTTCTATTCTCCAACCCCATGGACAGATCTTTGCATTGCATTGATCATGAGCTTACATTGATGTCCATCCACCTCGACCAAAACGGCACCCTCAAACTGAATTCATTTTGTACAGTCCTCTGCATAATAATGAAAACCTACTTAGTCGTAGTACGCTCTAGGGGGTAATTCTATTGAAAATCTTTATGTCTAGGATAGTAACCTAGGTCAGCAAATAGAGCATAGATCTGGTCTCATTGTTTAGGTAGATTAGGTACCCAGACTCTATTACTCTATCCGATATTACTATGTATATGTTGAACCCCAGAAACGTTTAAACAACACAGCGACTCTAAAAATCCAACGTGTCTATGTTACACAAGTCCGGCCTGGTTAGCAACCTCACCTCATTATCATTATATCACACTAGGCTTGGGTCTAGGTGCTCTCGAGGTGTATATCACGTCGCGATCTAATCCATCATCACTACTTTAACCTAGCTACCCTGCTCACATTAAACTTTATAGCTGAGTTTACAGATGCATATCACAAATTGCCTAACAAAAACAAAGAATCTACTTGAAATTAATAAAAACATAATTGTTTTGTATTTTCATTCATAGGGCTATTTGCTCTAATAGGTGGCCTTCATATGCCCCTCTTTTTTGCTCCCTTTCATCCTAGTGTTCTTCGTCGGCTCAATAAATATGCCGGGTTTGGAGTTGAATACATGGGACGTTGTTTTGTGTTTTTTGTCAAAGGGTGAAAAAAAAGAAAGAAAAAGGCAACAGCGACAGTGAAGGAATGAAAGGATAATTTTTTCATGCTTTCATAGTGAAAACGGCAAATACACAATCGTTATTTGCTCGTGGCGTGTCACATGATTTCATAAACATCCTTCGCAGAGTTCATGAGAGATATTAGGAAGGGAAAGGCTGGCGGGCATTTCGAGTCCGGAGCAGTCATAGGGATAATAGTCGTAATAGAGGAGGATTGTTGAGCCGACTGAAGGATGATTCGTAGCGGGGAAAAAAAAAAAAAAAAGGTGAAAAAACAGAGAAGGCCCAGATCATGCAGGGAGAAATCAACAGAAGAAATACGAAAGAGGTATCTGGAACAGAAAAACAGAAAAACCTGGATAAACGGCATAGCAGAAGCAGCGAGTATTAAAAGGCCATAGGGAATAGAACGGGGACGGTTTATTCCTCCTCACTCTCAGACCCGGAGGATGGATCATCATCGCTCGAACTCTCAACTTCTAGAAATTCAAAGAAAGAGAAAATTAGCAACCAGAAAAGGCAATTGCGGGTTATATAAGCGGCAGACATACGTTTAGCTCCCATCGAGGCCAAAGACCTTGGTCCGTCATCTGTTGGAGAACCTCCTTCAAAGCCTTCAATCTGACTTTGAATTTCGCGAATCTTGCGCTCCTGTTCCGTGGCGGACATCGGTTTATTCTTTTTCCGTTGCTTCGTCGGAACTGCCTTCGGCATCTTAGGCGCGGGGGCGACCGGAGCGGCAGACTCAGCGGGAGGTAGTGTATTCTCTGTGACGAAAATATATAGCTTGTGGACAGTAGCCGGAGCTAGTTCGTCAATATCCAGTTCAATTTCATCACCCTCCTGTCAAATTATTAGTACTCGTAACTTTTAGTGGGGATATGTGAAAACTTACAGCGAGATCGGGATGGTACGTCTTGATAAGAGACAGTACTTGTTGCATCTTATGAGGCGAGAGTTGATTAATACGCTCGCTTAACTCGGTCTTTTGTGCGAAGGTCATGTACGGAACTGGGGGTTCCTTCTTCTTGGAACTTGATCCTTTTTTCTTATTCAAAGGAGTCGTCTTTGGAGTAGGCTTCACAACGGCAGCTCCGGTACTACTTGACTTCTTATGTTTCTTGGAGGTGGCTGGAGGAGACTTCTTTGATTTCTTCTTCTTCTCGATAGTTTCGATCTGGGAATGGATGGCGCCAAGCTGAGCCTTGAGCATTTCAAGTGCCGGGGCAGCATCTTCGTCACTATCTTCATCGTCTGAGTCCTCGCCTTCCTCCTCTTCAGCGACAACAGGTGGGGTTGGAGTCTCTTCCTTGAAGCTTGGCTTCTGGGACCACTTCTCGTCAAAGACGGCTTCCAATTGCTTACCACAGTCATAAACTGGAGAACTTGGAGGGTTAAACTTGTAGCAGTTGTTGAACATCAAACGAATGTCGGCCTCGAATTCGTTCGAGTTGTTATATTCGTTGTGGTTCAGCTTTCGTTGGATCTCGGACATATCCATCGGCTTCTTGATGATTTTGAAATAGTCAGGAATTTCAAGGGCTACAGGGTCGACTGGATTGTAGAATGGATAGGCAATTGAGTTGTGTTGCTTCTTCCACAGTTCCTTCATGATTGTCTCGCAAAACTTGAATTCGGCAACCGACTTCTTGCGACGGGGTTTGAGATCGGAATAAGGCAAGTCCTTGGGAGGTGGGGCGTGGATGGGGCGCTTTGGACGGCCATCGGCAGTTACTATGCTGTCTCGACGGATTTGTGGAACCCCTCCGGGTGTGAGTGAGAAGGTAGGTGACGCTGCGGTTGGCGACATGGCTGAGGTAGGGACCGAGGCTCGGGCCGATTCACGACGAACCCTAGAATCTGGTGTATTGACGACTGGGGAAGGAACGCTAGGAGGTGCAGCTGCCGGAGCTGCAACCGTAGCCGCAGCAGTGGAGACGACAGGTCGCTTTGGCTGTGGCTTCGACTTCGAGATGATCTCCGCCGGCGGCATTTTTTCGAGGGCATGAAGGTATTTATCACGAATATGAATTCCAGACTGTGTAACGGCGTGCTCAACTCCGTTGAACAAAATCGAATTCTGGACCATCAGGTGAACATCACCCTTCAATTCTGCTGGGTTATGATATTCATTCGCAGTCAGCTTCTTCTCGATATCAAACAGCGACATTGGATTTTTGATTATTTCAAAGTAGGTGGGTAGTTGCAGTTTAACAGGGTCGACGGGATTCAAGAAGGCCTGGGCGTCTTTGAGTCGCTTGATGTTTTTGAGGTTGGAGAGAGCAAATTTTGTTTGATGAATCGGCATTGGGTCACCGGTGAAAACCGAAGCCTTGGAAGGACCAGGTTGATCAGCCGTCGTATCCATCGCGGTGGGACTCGCGACCTCTGCTTTTGATGGTGGGGAGCCATTAGCTTTAGCAGCATGCTCGGGAGCGGCAGCGTCTGGCAGCGATTCGGGCTCGGCGGTCTTCTGGCGCTTGTTAGGACGCTCAGGTTCAGCAGACTCTGATCGTGCGCGGACCAAAGAAGAACTCATCAATGATGAGGTTGGGGGGGATGATGTGTGTGCCGGCGCATCAGGCATCTCGGCGTCTTGGCCGGCTGTTGTTGCCGCCACCGTTGCCGTTGCCTTTGGCTTTGACTCCCCATCCAATTTGGGAGGAGCTTCCGTAGTTGGAGTAGGAGTGACGTCCTTCATGTCTACTTCGGGGGACTCAGAGGACTTAGGTGCTTCTCTGATACCGGAGGTGGGCTGTTGGACAACGGCCGGGGTAGCTGTGATTGGTTGGTTAGAAACGCTAGAGTCACCGGCGACGGCAGGGATGGTGCCGGGAACTTCGATGGGTTTCGATGTTGCTTCCGGGGACTCCAGAGTGAGGTTGCTCATGGCCCGTTGGCCTGTAGCTGAGGTATCGAAGGACTCGTTGAAGGGAGGGGTTGGGATTGGCGGGGATAGTGGCACGGTGATAGGCTTTAGTGGGGTGTTGCTGACGGAAGAGGCTGAGTGTCCACTATTGCTGTTACCATTGGAGTCTGCTGTAGCAACCGCAGTATCAGGTTCAATGTTGCTCTCAGCCTTCTTGATATCTGATGTTGAAACGTCTTCAGAGTTAGGTGTGGCTGTGGTTATGGCCGGGGGAGCTGGTTTAGACGGATTGGAGGTGTTGGCATCCGTAGAAGGAACAGGTGAAGATGAAGAGGGAAGATTGGCCATGTTGGAATCGGAGGAAGAGGGAGGAGGACGGAGTCAGGGCGTTATGAGCTGCTATGGAGCGACTGTTAGGGAAAGAGTTGTGCCACTAATAGCTATTGATAATGTTGGTGATGTCGACGCGACGTTGTCGTTGTTGATGATGATGATAATGATGTCAACGTTGATGTCGATGTTGACTTTGATGTTATTGGCGATAGAGGGAGAATGGATTTGAGGGGGAGACGGAATGAGAGGTGCGTTGGGAGATTAAGTAATACACCTGCAGGACAACAAGCAACATTTTGCCTTCGGTTAGCAGTTGTTACCTTTAATAACTTCATCTTCATCTTCAACCTCAGCTCAACTTCAACATTCTTTTATCCCAAACAACTTAACCACACCACACCACAAACAAACTAAACATATCAGGACAAAACAGAGCAAATAATATTCCGACACTCATCCAGCCGTGGGAAACTGCACTTGTTCAAACAATGGTAGACAAACCAGAGCAGGCCAGAAGCTTCACAATCCAACAGTGTCGACGGCGATGCGATGCGACAACAGCGATGGAATCGTGAAAGTGTTGCTGTGGAGCTCGAGACGAAGTGGGCCGGCGGAAAAAAGCAAAAAGGGAATAATTTGAGGATTGAAATCAAACCCGGCCAAACGCCGGCGGTGGAAAATTTATATGCTGACTAAGAAGACCACATTGACAGACCCGGAATTCAATCCAAATCAGAATCAACCTCCATGTCCAGTCAACCGGCTGAAAATCACTGCAACGTGCGAAAGAGGGTATATGCATCAGATCGCACAGCGCTCCAAGAATACCTCGGACCCGTGCACCAGATGCATGTCTACCACCACTGCCACCCGCTGACCGTTGATATCTTTCTTGATACCAACGCGGTGCTATCGTCACCGTGAACTATCTCTTTTATGCTGCTGCTGTTGCTTTGATATTTGTCCCAAAACGTCCAGACTAGTGGGAAGAATGACCGGGATATATTCATGGGCAAACACCACACCAAAAAAGTGGCATTCCAACGCCAACAATGAAAACCCACCAAATGTTGCAGTGCCGCGATAATAAATGCAGGCACAAAAGAACGAAAAGCATAAACCAAAAACCCAAAGATAAAAAATAAAAAACAAGCAAAAACAAGGGAAGAAAGAAAGAGAGAAAGAAAAACTAATAACATACTTTTTGAATATAGACAAGAGAATAATATTAGAAAAGCAAAAGGGTATAAAATAACTTTTGCTTTGAGTCGTCAGTTCGTCACAGAATGGATATATGGAGGGAAAAGGTGTGTGTTGCGTGGTGAATGCGGTCTCGTGAGTTGGAGTCCAAAGGCAGAGAGAAATCGCCCAATAAACACGGATCTAACCAGTGGCGACTGATCGTATTTAAGAGAAGGAAGGGGTGGTTCGTCCGGTTGGTTCTGTTCCGCCAGTCCAAGAAATGCGGTTAGCCAGTCTCAAATGGTTTTTTCGTTGTTGCGAAATCCCGAAATCGAAAAGAAAAATAAAATAAAATAAAAAATAAAAAAAAGATTAAATGGGTGCCACTGGGGTATGTATATCAAGAGAAATTTACGGGACTTGAAAATTGGGGGGGAAGCAGACTGCTGCGGGTGGTTTTAAATGGACGATGAATCAATGCTTCCTTACCAAAACAAGCCTAGTTTCTGCGTAGGCCATGCAAGAGACCGTGTGCGAAGGAAAAACCCTTGCCCCTCTCTTTCCTCTTTGTTTTGATTTTTGGGCTGTCATGGTTGGTGGTGGTGAGACTGAGCGGCCAATTTGGACCTATTGGCTGGCAGGACCACAGGATAAGGGCAACCGAGAGAGTGGCCCACCAAAGCAACCTTCTCAACCTTCTCTTCCCTCTGTTCGTTTCTTTTTCCGCACCTGGGTTGGCGTGCTTTCATTCCAACAAGGGGTGTTTGCAGGCCATCCATCCAGGCCTCCCGTGAAAATAATCGCGCTGCTGGCTGTCGACGAGGAACGGACCCTTTATCCCGAATCTTAGTTAGTCTGGTGTCCCTTTCGCTTCCATCTGACAGCTGTCGTTCCCCTCACCTTGATAACACCACCATTATCGTGCTTGGTTTCGCATAACAATATCCTAAACCATGAGCTTCACATTCTTTTGAAATTTGAATCGACCAAAGGTCTTTATGATGTGACTTTTTCCATGCTGACGGGAACGATGTAGATTTTCAAACTCCATCCAATCAAGGAGGAGTTTTCTTTTAAAAAAAATTCTCTCTTGAAAATGCCACTGTGCGTGTACATCTCTGTACATCCCGTGACTTTCCGACCGTTATTCTCCCTTATTCTCCATTTCGAGTCAGCAACGTGAGACAAACGCGTAAGATCCGCTCAAAAGAGCCCCTAGAATTCCGATGCCCAGAATATTCGACGAAACGCCTCTTATTATAGAAGCGGGAAGGACAGATAGCCGATAGCTAACTTTGCAGAATGATTTCCGTTCCTCATCGTGGTATTCTTTTGTTGTCGTAAGAAAAGAAGTGAGAGAGCGTTTTCATTTCCGTATTCCGTATTCTATGGTTACCTCGCAAAAAAGCGGGGAAAAGAAAAAAAAAACGCTCTTTCCCACCCCCAATTTTGCTATTTCGTAAGAGCAAAAGTGAGTAGAATCCGCCACGAAATGTTGCGTGGACCATGTTTATACTTGGCGGGGGAGACGAAAATATCACAAAAACGACGTTGAGGCCGCAAACTTCGATGTAGCTAGTCGAGACGGCTGCCGCCAGTTCTTTTCTTTTCTTTTCTTCTGTTAGCCAAAATTTAGTTTATTTTTTTCTGGGGTGTGCATTCTCGTTAAAAGAGGGGCAAGATGCAGGAAACGACGGAGTAGGTATACGCACGCCGAGTTTGCTGGCAGCAGGAGGGGGTATTTCACCTAAGGTGAAAACTAGAGAAGGATCATGGAGCGATCGTTACACATTGGTATGCGTCGACGGTTCGCTGCATATCGAAATCGTGGCTAGATCTTGTAGGAATGTGATGAGGACGTGCGTCTTCAGCATCAGTACGACTCATGGTTTGAGAGCTCCGAATGGTTCGACTCGAGGTAGCCTCCAGATCCTGAGAAATGGGGTACCAGGATGCATCGGCCTTGATCCCCGAATAATATTTTTTTGGATAGATTCCATAACTTAGATAGTATTAAACCAGAAGGATGAATGTATTTAGCTCAAGTATATCTAGGTTAGTACCAGCTCTTGATATTTAATACATTTAGAAGAGATATATCGGTATATTTGGTTTGTAAAGGAACTTCGGGGGGTTAAGAAGGTTGTAGGTATATAGTATGGAAGTCATACGGTGGGTAAAAAGCAGGACTTAGAAATAGAGAGTGACTCGGCACCAAATTTAGCGACCAGCAAACATCCAATAGTTTTCTTCTACTCTAGAACACACCTATCACACACATAGCGCAATATCTCAATTGAAAGGACATTTTTTTATGAAAAAAATCTACGGCAAATCTAAATTTTTGGATACAAAGGTAGAGTAATAATGATAAAAGGCTTGATGCGCCAGATTATCACAAGACTTTACGAGCGGGAACGTCAGACAACGCACCTTGACATGTTGCATGTTGACAGCTCGTTAGGCTGGTTTTATTGGCACAATACTTCCTTTAAATAGTGGAAGTCTCCGCAATGATTCGTGTGCACGTTTCCCTCGCTTTCACACCCCAGTCATATATAAAAGGTAGAAAGATCTATGCTCTCTAGTCTTGACCTCTTAAATTTATCACATCTTATATTCAATCAAAATGGCTGTAAGAAGGGCTCCTCGACTCCAGGCCCAATATCAAAACTCGACGAGGCCTCCAATTATAGACTATCTCCCCCATCCGCTAGACCTCCAGAAAGATGACATGCCTAAGGCGCTCACATATGTCGAACAATACCAACGTCGATTCTCGGCTTCCTTCCGCGATCACTGAAATTGGACGGAGAAACTGAAAGATCGCACTTATTTTGCCAAATTACTACGAGATGCGCAGAGGGAAGACCGGTGTTTAGGCAGCGAAAAAGTACTGACATGGCGAAAAGAAGACATAAAAATGGTGTACGACGATTTGGTGAAAGGATATGAGCCTTATGTGGCATCGTTGAGAGAGAAGGGGAGCTCTATAGAGCCTGATATAGACTGTGTCTGGAGAGAAGACGATTTCTTGGATAACGATGGGCTGAGGCTCAAGCTTAGAACTGGTCAGTATGACTATTACCAAAATAAGTGGCCCTTGGACATAAAAAAAATTTAACCCAGAAAATATGCAGCGATGGATGCTCTTAGAAGCATTTTCTTTATGAGCGGCGAATGGCGCTTGACTAGCGAGGACCAAGTGACAGATTTCATAAACCCTTATTGTTGGCCCATAGTTTACGGCCACTCCTGCATTTCGGGTACCTATGACGACATTGTGGTCGAACCACCAAACTTCAAGCGTGGTTATTATGAAAAAGAGCTATATTCCAGGAAGTTCTGCTGGCTCCCTTCCGAATTTGAAGTTTCCCCAGATGGGGAGAGTACCAGAATTGCATCTTATATCAACAATCTAGCATTAATGCCTCAGGAGCGATTGCTTTATCCGATACTTGAAAAAATATTCACATATTTTGTCCCGATGTTCGACCGAACTCTTGCGGATATAGAGGGACGGAAGTATATGTGCAGGAGAGTCAGAAGTCCACCCTCCGACCCAGAGATCTGGAAGCTCCCGGAAGAAAAGTACAAGAGGAGATGGGAAAGGCTCTTGGCCCAATTTCAGCGTGGTGAAAAGCTCCAGGAGAACTTCGATAGCGACAGCTCAGAAGAAGAGCTAGAAGATAAAGACGAAGACGAAGACGAAGATCCGGTTCGAGAGCGTCGGCGTTCTAAACCGGCACCGCGCCAACGATATATCAGAGTCAGGGAGCTGGCGACCTATAAAAGGAAAATAGGTCGCCGGTGGGAGCCACCCGAGTTGAGCAAGAGTACAAGTTTGAAGGGTCAGACCGCGAAAGTTGTCGTCAGGTTAATGAACATAAACCTCCCCCCACGGAGCCCGAAATTTGTTACGAGGGGCGGCTGGATGGTCGAAGGGGTCCTGGTAAGATTTTCTACCCGAATTGAAGTTATTCCGCCGCGTCATGCATGCGCATGCATTGCTGCATTTATGAACTCACATAGAGCCCTAGCTCTAGCGTTCTAGCAGTATATATATATATGCATGACTCAAGTATAGGATGTTTCACTGCTTACTAGTACCTAATTACAAACGCTGCTCCGCAGAATGAACGGATTGTTGCGACAGGTATCTATTGCTATTCGCAAAGAAATATCGAAAACGCTAGGATTCATTTCAGCGTACCGATAAAAGAAAACCTCAAGGATAAGGACTGGGGCCTAGTGCACAATTTAGATATGAGGGCAGATTTTCAAGAGGTTGGGGCTACATCACTAAAGGTGCGTACATTAGAGTATTGTAGTTTTGTAAGCCTGCAGGTGTACGCCAGACAATTAACATCGGGTCAAATATACAAACCTCTTCTGAAACCCTCTAACCCTCCGAATCTTTCTTTCTTTATGGTAATTGGGAACACTCACAAAGTAATCGCATTGTTTCGTCTAGGAAAACCGAGCAATTACGTTCCCAAACCTCTTTTCCTACCGCCTGGATCTATCCCTTGAGGACTATGACCTACCAGGGTATTGTAAATTCGTGATATTCTATATTTGCGACCCCGGCCACCAGGCAAGTAATATTCAATCAATCAAAGTACCAAAGGCTTTTTATTGCCAGCTAGTATACCCTGTTTGGTTAGATGGGCTAATATTATTACACAAATAGATTCCAACTACTCGGGATATAGGTCCACAGCAGCCTGATGTCAGACAAGAAATTGACGATCTGTTAGCGAAGCGTCTCCCTCGCGAACTTACTGCTATGATTCTAGGATATTTGCCGCCAGTCATACCGGATTCAGATGCGGCCGCCTTCAAAGAGGCGTTTTTGAAAGAGCGTTCAGGTTCGTAGAACTCTTATCTCGGTCTTTGTCTTAAATTAATTTCGGAAAAGAGTAATTTACACGTAGAACTTACGATTAACGCTGGCAAACGTTATTTCTAGTTCCGGGTTTTGTGTTCCGTACTAACGACGTCGACGCCGGTGCCGACTCAGGATCGGATGCCAGCTTTCTCGAGTGGTGACCTTTCTCGAGTGGTGACTCTAGGATTACGTTGTTTTCGCTTCATACGAGGAGAAGAATCATTTTCAAGACAAGGTTATAATTAACTCGCGATATATTATATATTATAGTTGTATTTAAACCTATTCATCTACTACATACATCCGAAGGCTGAAGTAACTCTCGAATCAAAGCTGACCGGACTGACCACAACGGTACTAGAAACAATATCAAGTAGTGAACACTCCAACAAATTGGGCACGCATTCCTATAAAATAAGTTGCCTGCATTGCATTTCCCAGCTTAATTTTCCCAATATTTGTCTGTTGTCGGCATGCAAATTGCTGGAAAACCGAATTCACAATAAACTCAAAAAACCCTTTAACTGTCATTCTGCCAAACCAAGGTTCATCTGTAAAGGGCAATTTCTTCCTGGCCAGCCGCCGCTGCCATATTTCGACGTCAAGGTTAAGACATCTGACATCTGGAGTCGAGTTTATCTTCTCGAAGATGAGATCATTTAAGAAGTAACATTTTTCGAAATCCATAATCCATTGAACCTCTCCGGCCACCATGATTGAAAAGGCAATTATTTTGTCATCATCAACTTTTAGAGTGATGTTTTCTCCGAAAACACTGTGGATGCCGAAGCGTGGACAGGTGGGACTAACAGTATCGACATATGAGGTTACCCCCTCAAGCTTCATAAAATTAGTGTCATCGAAGATGACATCCTGACCATGTGTGAGAAGGATGTCTCTCCAAACTCTTGATGCTCGGGAGCAGAGATACCGTGAGTCCCAGGGCAGATAGGAGAAGATTTTGAGTTGGATTTCAACAGGGAGAGAGATTACCCCCGTAAGCATGATAGCTAGTTAGAGCTCCGACAGAGATGCGGCGAATTTACAGAGCTATTTCTAAGCTTAGCCGCCGTCAAGCACCTAGACTTTCTGGATATGAATTGAGGATGGCGCGAGGTCAAGTGATTTCGTTGGAATGTATGAGTCGTAGCTCGGGGTGGGGTTTTCAAATTGCGCCGACGCGACGCGAGAATAAGCTTAGTTGGAAGCATTCAACATCAACCAATCGGATGCATTCTTTACCCCTGTATTTGCCCAATCGAGAACCTATTTTATTACAAGGCTGGGAAAGTTAGAAACCAACGAAGAAATGCAAATGAGTTGTTCATCGTTTCTTGGAGGACTGCTGGATGCAATGCCAGGCATTGAAAACGGCTACAATATGTTGTCAAGGATTTAGTCATAATAATGCATAAGTGATTATCTCTGCAGCTACCTGGCTTGGTCTTGAAGCGATTGGTATATGAGTCAGATTACAATGTGTAAAGGCCTTATAGCTGTAGGGCAAATTCAAGCTCCTTTTCGCGAGCTTCAGACTCAAACTTAAGGGTTCGAAATTTGTATAAGTATTCCCTAGCTGTCCGATATTCTAGTTTATTGCTATCACTATTCGCATTTAACTAGCGTATTCCAATAGTACAATGGGATAGGCCCTATCCTATATAATACACTTCATAGCATTGCCTCAGCATCCCTCATACTCTATCTATCTACGGCCTTTTGTTCCCTAAATAAACTGTCTCTCGAGACTCCAATCGATCCAGTTTAATTTCATTTAAATTTACTCCAGTCAACGAAATTATAGGCTTCGAGAATGGTTGCTAGCTATAAGCTTCCAGAGAGCTTCCTCAGCAAAAATGTCAAACTTCTAGCGGACCTCGACAAAAATACACCCGCATTCAAGGTTACCGACGTAACTAGCCAGGACCCCGTCGAAGATGGGACCACAAATAAGAAAACAGACGAAGCCTCATCATCTCCGCCACCGACCCCGCCTGATAGCAATATTTGGTCAATTACCTCCTCTGGCTATAATGAAATCAGAGAAAAGGCAATTAGCGGGCTCTTAGTTGACTCCAACGGCAAATTCGACCACAAGAATCTAGGCCTTCTTTTTGATGTCAAAACGGATACGGCGAATATATATGGACAAAATTTAGTGCAGTACTTGTGCAAAGATCTCGGGGCAAATTATATGGAATTTAATATCGACGATCTTGATAAACTCGGGCTTGAGTTTTATAATCAACATAAAACAGAAAGAGAAAAGAGGGAGGAAAAGAAAAAGCGGATCGAGGAAGGGAATAGGGAAAGGGCAGAAAAAGAAGCCGCACAGAAGGCCGAGGAGGAAGCCAAGGAAGCAGTGAGAGTAGCGGAGGCTAAGACCGAAGGCGACGAGAGGGCTGAGGCTACTGAGGGTAACAAAATTGACGGACAGAGCGGCAATGCAGATAGTAAGGGCGAAGAAAACGAGACCTCAAATCCAGACAAAGACGAAAATAACGAAGAAGAAAATACCGAGGATGAAGACGACGGTGACGGCGAGCCAGACGCCGAAAGAGGTCACTTCGCAGAGTTTTACTTCGGAACACCAAGCCGTAACGGTGAATATGGTAATGAACAAATGAGCCAGCGAAATAAGAGAGCATTAGATGCTCTTCTTGATACTCCAGCTATTCTGAATACAATTGGGACGGATCCAATTAGTACAAAAAAACAATGTAACGGCAAAATCCCGCTCATTCTATTTGTCTATGGAATCGAAAGGATGTTGGATATGACTAGAGGTTGGCGTTTTCTATCTCGTTTACGCGATGCGATCCGAGAACGCCGGAAGGCTGGTGTTCCAATTTTTAGCATTTTCTTTTGGACCAGGGCAAATTCACGCTCCTGCTATATCAGGGCCCATAAGAGGACCAGCATTTATAAGATGAGCTATCTGCCCGATAGTATTACCAATCAAAAGGTGTGGAAATTGGTGGAAGGTTCGTTGAACCGCGAGACCAATATTAGGGCTCTGAAGAAGGCTTTACAGAGTCGTTGCTCTTATTTAGTTGATGAAGGCGTTATTGGTGGGGAGGTCGAATGGGATTTGAAGGGAATGGAGAATGATGATTCGATTATGAGCCGTAATCACATGAGTTCGGAGGAACTCGACCGCATCGTTAAATTGATTACGGCCCGAACTTGGGGGAAACAAAAGGTTGACTTTGAAGATATCTCAGAAGTTTTGAATAAGATAGAAGCGGCGCGACGTTCAAGAGAATCAGACACTAAGGACGAGGTGATGCCTGAACTCACTAGTGAGGAGCAAGATCTCAGAAGATATGTGATAAAACCAGGTTCGTCGTATATACATACTTATTTTTCTGGCACTAAAAACCGAAAACTAACGGTCGATAAAAGTCAATGTCCTATCACATATGACGATGTGATCATAGACCCTGTTACCAAAGCTACTGTTAAGCAGTTTGTTGCTCTTTCAAAATTGAAAGTCAGTAAGAAGAGCTCATTTTTGTTCTCATACTTCAAGTCGCCTGGTATCTTATTGTTCGGTCCGCCTGGTACTGGAAAGACCCACCTCTGTCGTGCTATCGCAAACGACTCCGGCCACACATTCATAGCCCTTTCTGCTGCGGAACTCAACGGACGCTACGTTGGCGAAACGGAAAAGGCGATTAGTGCAATGTTTAGCCTCGCACGGAAGCTTCATCCTTGCATTTTATTTCTTGATGAGGTAGACTCGTTGTTCTATAGACGAGCTAGCAATGACAAATCGTGGGAGAGGGGGGCATTGGCTCAATACCTTCAGGAGATGGATGGGATAGCTGCGGAGAACGACAGCAGCAAAGCGCCACTTGTCATTGTAGCTACGAACCGACCAGGCGACCTCGACCAAGCTTTCTTACGTCGATTACCGTATCGCGTATTTTTGACTATGCCGAGTTATGAAGAACGTCGACAAATTCTCGAGAGGATGGTTCCAGCTGAGAATCTAGCCGAAGATGTTAACCTTGCAGATATCGCGAAGCATACGGAAGGATATTCAGGATCAGACCTGAGAACATTGTGTGGTCAGGCAGCACTTGCTTGGGCAACCGAGCTTGATATATCTACTGGGGAAGCTTTTAATGAACAGGAATTCGAAATAAAGTTGAGTATGAAAAATTTTGAGTTGGCATTCAGTCGCACGGGTCCTAGCGCTTCGCCCAAACTAATGGAGAGTCTCGAGAAGTTCCATAAAAAATTTCAACAGTAATTTTCTTTTTTTTTTGGGGTTTCATATTCCCATAGCTTAGCTAAGGTCTGAACAGGCCCGATTGGGATTACCGAAAATTATATACATAGAGGTTTGGTTATAATTCATTGAGTATCTTCCGCCTTTCGCGTAGAAAATATTAATTAAAATCCGGAAAGTTAGACTCTATAGCTCTGGCTAGAGCTAGATATGAGTATTGCATATATTGTGACACAAGATTAAGAGTCGCCCACGAGGCTATAGCTAGTGTAGCATCTAATCGCTGATATCGAAGATGAGATAGAAAGGTGATGATGTAGATGATGATCAGAAGATTCCGTTTTGGGAGTTACAACGTATTACTGCTGCAACGCATATCGGCAGCTTGGGCTTCGTGTAGTGGGCACAGAATTCTAGAATCGAATGCCGATTTTGAAAAGCATACATGACATCAGAGGAGGCTTAGTGAGGTTCTGGTAATACAATAGTCCATAGATTTATGTATAAGGCTACTAATCCAAGCTCATGTATAAAACGAGATAGAGACCCTCAAAGGAAAATTACTGCAATTGAACTATGAATTCCTGAAGCAACGTAATATATGTAGATATGCGGGAAACAAAAGAAGCATCCTATAAATCCGAGGAGCTGCATTTCTTTGCTTGAACAGTGTGTTTATTTCCGAAAAGCAGGGCTTTAGATTGTGATCCAACCTTGTTTTTCACCGTAGCTTTGACGTAGAGTATCTGGACCGCTAAAGACCCCCGGTGTGCTATGCATAATTTTATGACGACTTCGCCAGGCGCAATGGCTAAGAATTTGAACTCACCGGCATCAGAGATTGGACCTAGGCACTGAACTATCCCTGTTGAAGATAGTTCTGCATATGACAAGTTGTCTCTGAGACTGCCTAAGTTGAGTGAGAATGTATCGTGGATGGATACTGTAACGGTCTTGGGCCCCGTGAGTGTTACCCCTGGAAGGTGCTGCTTTTGGGGAGGTACAGCATTGGAAGTAATATAATCGTCGATTCTCTTAGCAAGCTGTAGAAGCAGTTCGGCATATTGCGGGTCATCCTGTAAATATTTGGCTGGAACAATGATCCTGATACGGGTGCTATTGCGCAACCAAGAGACTGAGGATGGAAGTCGCACTGAATTTTCACCTAGTTCGCTCGAATCTAGGATAAAGTCCTTAGGTATGCCATTGAGAATCTGTTCGCGTAAATGCTGGAACCCGTGGATTGCAATTCGCTCTGATCTTGCGTTCGTAATCTCTAGGGTAAGACGGTCGTCGTCGGAAGCGATCCCGCAAAATACTAGTAGTGCCTGGCAGCCTTTCGAACCGACAACATAATCGTCCAAATCAATAGATGCATTCGGGAGCAGACCATTAACGAGTTGAAGCAGACTTTCAGGATCGCAAGGTGCGTTGTTGACTAGGTCGGACTCTACATCGATTTCACCAGGCTCGAGCTCAGTCAGAGCGAATGGGGTAGTGCCAAACCCGTTCAACCCGATCATACTAGTGCGCGAAGCCGGGTTCGAAGCTAGGGAGAGGTTAACTCTGAAAATATATTGTAAAGAGAGGCTAGTCTTACTGTATAACCAGTCATATGGACCTCTTGTATGATCCGTTTGGCTAGCCAGATAAGTGGGACGATCCTGTGTTCCGCTAGCTGGTGCGTTCGGCGCAGCTTGTAGACAATGGGTAGCATCTAGGACAACCGGTTGCTGGCCTGCTTGAGTGACAACCTCTATCCAAGCATGATTGCCGAATGAATTTCGTTGGGGGTCATTAGGAGGGTAATATGGCAGTTTTCCTTGACCAAAGAAAGGAGAATTGCAAGCAGGGTACTGTGGCCAGCCGAACAGTGGTCCGCTATTGATAAAACCATATGGAGTACAATATATCCAACGGGGATCCAATAGTTCATTTCCTTGATTGTCTTGGATTATGCATGCAGCAATCTGCGTCAATCCAGCCAGATCGTAGCAGTTGAGACTGTCGAAAAGGCCCCTGGTAAAACGGCGGAGCTGGAAAAGGCCGCCTAGGTATCCATCGATATATGACGGAGCGCCGTTGATCGTTTCGTAAGAAAACAAACGGGTTGCATTCAACTCAGGATTGAGTACCAATCCGAGATTCCAGATGACAGACATCGACCTTACTAAGTAATTAGGGAGCGCGTTTTGCAAAATCCCCGTAAGCTCCTCCGGAGTAGGAAGAAATAAACGAAATGCATCAATAGGATATTCTCCACCAAAGTTTGGTCGAGCAATTGTATTAGGGGTTCCGGGATTGAGGGGACCCTGTGGTGGTGCGGAGGCTACCAGACATATCTCGAGACGAGTTGTCGTTGGAAAGTTGATTGGAGGAACTGTTTTACTCATTCGTTAGTAGACCACTCGAGAAGCTAGCCAAGGCTTAAAGGGGGTTTGGAGTATTGGGATACCGCCTGTGATGTTGATGGACCAACTCCAATCACCTGCTATCCTACAGGGGAACCTTTGTGCCTCAGCAAAGACCTGGAAATTTACCACCGGCATAGCAGTCCCACTTCGTGGCATTGTAATTGTTGCGCTTTGCAAAAAATTATGGCCTCGTAGGGTACCAATAATGGTGAACTGTGTTCCCGTTTGAACACCGTTAATCTGTACCTCCATTCCAATGCGAATCATTGGGGCTTGCGCCGTCGGCATGGAAAAAGTGCAACAATTGATGGACCCAGTCGGGGTTTCATTGACATTTGGTGCTTGGACAGACCAGAGAGAGGTTTCTTGGTTGGCCGGTATCAAAGTTTGGCCACGATTTCTGGTCGCATAAGTAGGCCAGCCGCTTATGTAGTTAATAGCGAAAGATGCCATGATAATCTATAGCTTTCTTGGTAATGAGTAGAGTAGAATAGATTCGTATATTCAAATACAGTGGATAATTGGATTGGGGAAGAGAATACTGTTTATGAAGCCACTGAACAGAGGCATATTTATACAAAAACAACTGTCAAGGTTTCTCGAAATGACTTGCAGTAATTGATTATATATAGGCAAGCTGAAAATGGCCATATGGGAGGGTTGCTATTTCAGCTTTGTGAATTGGTTCGAAATCAATTGCGAGTACTGAAAACAGGCCTGGTTGCAATTTGTAAAGTTACATGCGGGGGAGAATTCACATCAATCTCTTCTCTGGTCAACTAGAAGCCCCACGCCAGCGAGATCACCTTCGAGTATTGACTCTAGAATCGACCTTGAACGGCTGAAACTTTGCGGCACCGGTGATTGCTTGACGAACCAAGTTTTTGTGATATCACGCAGCCATTCCTGTGCGCGCGTTTGGACTATCCATTGATAAATCGCTGGGCTTGTCCCGGTTCCCCGTCTAGATGTTAATGTTCCTGTGCATGTGTGCGAGCATGCGTCTCTTAGTGCGTTCCGCTTCCTAGGGATCCCATCCACTATAACCTGCCGATAACTCTTTACATCAAACTCAGGTCAACTAGCTACCTATTTGCTTTTCTTACCATAATGTATATAACATTATTTTGGGAGGGGTCGCCTATCATCTGGTGGACCGGGGTTAGAGCATCACATTTCTCATGCAGATATCAGCCCTATAGTACACAGTATACATATCTATCCTCACCACACCGTTTACGTAATTTCCGCTGCAGGTCTAAGTGGGACCCCTCGTGAATTGAAAAGCTTATATTCTTAGCTCACATGTGCATAGAGTCTTAGCATTCGAAGAACTTTTCAATACTACAAGAGAATGCTTGTTGTTTAAATTTGAGTCTAAGTATATTTGTTATAAAGCACAGCCGGAGATGTTTGTCTCGTCGCCAGACGTCACTCCTCAATTGTGGAGATGTGGGCCAATGCTATCCTGCATCCGACGTATATATCTGGGGAACTCTTCACTCAGCCGTAGTGTCAAATCCAACTCAGCTGTTGCGTTGATGCATAATGCCGCCTAGCCTAGTGGTATAAATCGGCGATATGGAGTACATTTTGCCTCGAATGAAAGAGGTACGATGCCGGCTTTAAGATGAATAGTGTAGCTAGTAGCAAATATAGGAATATGCAGCTCACTAGTATTATTAGATTTCTCTAGTTATTGATTTCATGTATTAAAATTTAGATATACAACCACTATGCGGACTATTGAGGTTAGTTACCAATTTTATTTTAACATTCGAGGTAATAGTTTGGACTTTTGATGAATCTGAGATTCGGCCATGTGGGTTTTTTCCTGGTTCCCCAATTGTAGATTTCCAAATCGATCATAGAGATGTGTTTAGAACTCCTTTACCCTTGATTTTTACCGGTACTGCTAATCAATTGTCTCTCATACATGATATACTTGCTTTTGTCGGACAGGTTTTCTTCAGCTTGCACATACATGACGCAAGTCCCATATAAGCATTAAATATCGATATTAATTAGTCTACGGTTGGGCTCGAGTTTATATAACCCCACGGATATCCAAAAATTCCGGAGTACGAATTGGACGTCAGATCTGCAAGGTGTCGCAGTCGGGGAAGCTGAACAGGTTTCTGAGTTGATTGAGGGTATTAATGTATTCTGCATGCTTAAACAGACGCACAATAGGGCTGAAAAAATCACATTCGTGCCGGCTTGCATAATCAGAGCAGTTATCTGGGCTGATTCGAACTTGTCATCCAAAATATTAAAATGCCGCCTGAAGAGTAGTTTTCTGCAATATCTATGTTCAGCCGTAGTCAAGATTTCGGTAGCGTTCAGCCCAGTATTATATTACAGATAGACTACTCAGTGCTTACAAAGAATTTATAGCTTTACGGTGTTCCATTTTAATGATTATTCACTTGGGCGGATAGATCTTGTGCATGATTCGGAGTTGGTACCAGAAAACAGGCCAGTAGTCTGATTGCCGAAGTCTTGATCCATTGGTATACTTACCTTCTCTCTCTCTGGCTCACAATGTTCCCGTATCTGAATTTGAGAAAGCTCAAATCTGGAGTATGGAGTCTGGAGGTATCAATTAATTGCAGGGTGGACCTTTTGGGGTTTGTTAATTCTAGAATGGGTCCAGATCAAGCTCAAAAAAATGTATGACATTCTTGTTTACGTTAAGTTCATTGCTCTAAGCTAAACGTTTTAAAGTCAGCCTCTCTTAGCAAAATGGCTGTATATACTTCCAACCTACCCGTACGAAAGCTATCGGGTGTCTATATTCGAAATTTATACTGATCGTTGGACAGAAGATAAATTTACCCGACAATTATAACTCCAGGGCAGGGTTGAGTTAAGTCCGTACCAGGTTACATCTATAACAAGCCAACCATGTAGAGTGTATCTTAGTATAAGTCGCATTTATAGATATAATTTTCAGCGTTTCAGCCAGATAAATACATCTAGCCTCGAGGCCAGGTGCGGATACCTGTGCACGTGCCAAAAACGCGTTGTTCATGTTGGAAGACGTTGCCTTCCAAAAGCGTAGACATGTCGCCGGCTGCAGGCGCTGCAGACAAACATGCCTAATTTAGATACAGTATCAGGAGTTTATCATTTTTTCAACACCCTGGAAAACTAAAAAAAGTTTATGGCAAAAAAAGTTTCTTCAACTTCCATCTGTCGCATCGACATTTTACCATCATCCACCATTGCCTGCTCGACAGTCTTCCAAACACTCTGGAACGACGGGTCTCGGTTTCACGCAGTCGCATCTCCTTCCTCTCTTTTAATATCCCTTGTAGATAATCTCAATATCGACCTCTTACCAATAAATACGCTTTAAAAAGATCCTGCCACTTTCGCGACATCTTTCAACTATTCACGATGGCCGGAAAATCCAAAAAACAGAAGCTCGCTGCTCCCTCAACTAAGCGTACCCTTGCGCAATCCACTTCCATGTCCACAGCTTCTCCCATTCTTAAATCTGCCTTCTCTCCATCTTGGTCTAAGCTCTCGCTCTTTTCATCCGTCCTACGCGGGTTGGATGCCCATAGGTTACGATGCCACGATATAACCTCAGGTCGTCTTCAATGCGAACATATCTTCGAGAAATCTGTCGAGATTAACTCCCTCTCTTGGGGTTCACTTGTGGAAGCTGAGGGCGATAGGAAAAAGAAAAAGAGGAAGAGGGCTTCCAATGCAGATGCTATAGTCGACGATGATGAGGATGTGCAACAAAATACTGGTGAGGTGGTCATTGCGGCAACAGGAAGTAATGGGAAGATTTATCTGTACTCTCCAGTACAAGCCGAGGTCGTCAAAACACTAGACGGAGGTCATGTTGGACCCGTAACAGATTTCCAATTTGTTGAGAGTGCAAAAGGTGTTAGGGCTTGGAGCTGTGGTGGGAATAAGCTTGTTGAATGGGATGTCAAGAAGGGTTCATCAATCAGGTATGTTGAATATATAGACTATTTTTAACTCGATGTCTTGTGGGCGGGGTGCTGATTGTTTTCGCTAGAAACATCTCATTCGGCGAAACAGTAAACTTCTTCAGGACTCTCCCTTTCCCTGATAGCATTATTTGCGCTTCTTACTCTACTTATATTGTCGACATTAACTCTCCACCATCTGATTTAATTTCAACCTTCACCTCGCATACTTCCCAAGTTCACAGCCTTCGCAAAACCTCCAAGCAAAATAAGTTCTTATCTGCAGCAGACGGTGACCGCTTCATCTACGTCTCTGATATCAAGAAGGAGAAGTCACTCGGCTCCCTGGTTGCCAAGAGCGACGTCACAAAAGTCGACACTGCCGCCCAGGATACGGCCCTTATTGCAGTTACCGCAGATGGTGTCGTCGAAGTCTTCCAACAACCGTGGTCATTCTCGTCCGCCTCTGAGACAGAGGAGGAATCGTCTCTTAGGCGAAGAAAAGCCATGACAAAGACCTCAGAAGCAAGGATAAAGATTGTCAGGCCCGATAATAATCAAACCGTGAAGGTTATCGATGCTTGCTTTGCGGGCGACCATGTGGTCGTTGCCTGGGTGGAGAATGCCACCAGTGTGCTCTTCGAAAAGGTCAAATGTCTAGGTGCTGACGGCACATTGAGTATTAACGGTGACGTTGTGATTACCAAGGCGAAAACTGTTGGTATTGGCGGCGCTGTGTCCGGAAGATCCGATGCAAACGATATCAAAGATGTCAGCAACGTCAATCTGAAACAGAGCCATACCGTCGTTATTGAGGGTGCCGATACGCAAGATATTGGCATGGTTGACGCTCCTGAGGACCCAGAGGCAGACGAGGAACCCGCCAAAGATAGCGAGGACGACCAGGAAGATAATGCGGATGATCCGGAAGAACAGACTTTCGAAGACCGGATAAAGGCTCTCAACCTTTCTGCCGGGGGATCGGCCGGTAGTACCGAGAAATCACAAAGATCTGACGTATCTCCTATGACTAACATTACCGTTCCATCCATCGACGGGGCTGCAATCATTGCCAATAACTACCAGGCAGTCAAGTTCCCCAACGCCACATCCTTGACCACTGTACTCACACAAGCGCTCAAGACCGACGATCGCGCATTACTAGAGACTTGCTTGCAAGTTACTAAAGTCGACATGATCGAATCAACCATCCAGAGATTAGACTCCTTGCTTGCCGCTGATCTCGTGATGAAGCTATCAGAAATTATTGCGAGGAAACCGGGGCGAGCTGGAAGCTTGATGATATGGATCCAGAAAACGTTGGTTAACCATGGAGGCCACCTGCTCACTTTACCGGATTTGGTTAGGACGATGGCGTCGCTCCAGAGAGTACTCGGCAAGAGGGCGGAAGCCCTGCCAAAGATGTTGGCGTTGCGAGGTAGACTTAGCATGTTGGTGGCACAGATGAAGCTACGGAGTATGGCAAGGGATAGACTGGGGGCGAGTGGCGATTCGGCGGTGATTTACGTCGAAGGCGTAAACAAAGACGATGAGAGTAGCTCCGAGGAAGACGAGGATGAAGTTATAGGGGATGTTGAGGAGAGCGAGGACGAGGACGACAGCGATGGCGGAGTCAATGGAGTTCTTGATTCCGCTAGCGAAGGTGAAGAGGAAGACGAGAGTGACGATGATATGGATGGCCCCGGTATCTACCTAGATAGAGAAGCCGAGGAAACGGATAATGATGACGATTCGGACGAGGAGGGAAATCTTGAAGGATTTGTAGTTGACGATGACGAAATAGACTATGACAGTCAAGATGACGGAATACTCGATGAAAGCGAGGAGGAGGCTCCGAAGGTTGCCAAAAAGGGCAAAGGGAAGGTAACAAAAGGACCGAAGCTTTCGAGAAGATAGTCAAAGGGGCTTAAAGGTTGGCATGTGCTTTTCAGAGTGCTTTTACTATTGTTCTAGCTCTCTTTGGTTCACCACGAGTTAGATGACACGTATTCCGCTATATATTTCGAGGGGGGGGGTTCACTTTTATATTTCTTCTTGTTTCCTCTTCCGGTGTACGATATATTCTTGCTGTATCTTCCTCTTTCTTATATCTCGTTTGTCGGATTTACATGCATATGCGCATTTGCTGAGGCATTACTAGATCCAAGGAAGCCATGATGCGATTTTCTAATTTAACAAAAGAATTTTTGGTTTCGAAGTTCAATTCCATTATAAACTCGTAAGAACCCGTCGAAATAGGATGGTGTCAATTCTCGATATATCCCTAGGATAATTACTACACTTTTCAAGACCGGACCTAATTAATTCTTGAGTAATCATCAACCATGGGACGTATATACTCTATGGATCCTGATGGTGGCCTCTCCATTACTAACTCTCCATTAATTTTCGACCTAACCCAGGATAATTGGACAAGACTAACTAACTACTAATTAAGCAACGATAGATTCGACAACGAGAGTTGTGTTGCACGCGCCAGAAAATTTTTTGTGCGACAGCGATCTAAAAACAACAACCTTTCAATCCAAATGCAACAAACATCTCTGCTGTATATTTCGAGATATTCTAACTAGGGCTAGGGTAATTCACCACTCAATTGCAATACAAATCGACAAACCAGGGGGGAACAAAAAAGGGAAGGGAAGATTTTAAGGGCCCTGTGAACCCATTCAACGACATTTGAATTCGAATGTTGGGACGGAGGGTTGTTGCATATGCACGATGGCAGGTCCGCGTGGGGGACAATCATCTCAGATCGAGATGGTTGCATTCGTCGGTGGCATGTAGAGGTTTATTAGAAAAGAGGGTTGAGGGTTCTTTGGTGAAGCCATTGGGCGCGCATAAATGCAAAGTATGGAGACGGGATATTGTTCTAGGGAGGATTGGGTACTCTTCGGTTGCGGGGCATGAAGGAGAATCTCAGGCCGAGAATGTAGCTACTGGGAGGGCAACGGATGAAATTTCTTCGACGATAACATCTGAAAATGAATTGGAGACTGTATCAGAGGAAATAACGACATCAGAGACGGAAGGGGAATCAGAAATAATAACAACTGCTGCAATGACGGGGGGAGTCACAGAGCCGGTATCAACAGCGGTCGAGGAAACGACTGAGAACGAAGTACCAGGCCGATCTCACTCCGATACAGAAAGTGCATATCTTGGATCAGATCCTCTGGGACTTCCAACCGAAGTTCCAGAAGTTCTATCTTACCGCGACCCAAGTTCTCCAATCCCAACGACTCCAATACTTGACAACCTACCTCTCCCAGGTGCAGAAACCAAAAAATCATTCCCATACTCAATGCCCGAAACCTGCCCCGGCTGTGGCGCAAAATCTCACTCAGGCGATTTTCACGAACCAGGCTTCTACGGTCCGGAAGCCAATATGCCGACTCCTAAGTTCCCTTGGGATCCAAAATCACCGTTCCACGCTTCACCAAAACAGAATCTAGAAACCATTTACAAAGCTGCTTTAAGCCAGATATCTGAAGAAGTCAAAGAAATTCTACGAGAATCTAATATGAAACCACCAGTCGATGAAGAGGATGAGCCGAAAATTCACAAAAAGATCGACCGCCGGCATCCAAATAACCTCGTTAAGGACGAGGAAGTGCTCGATGACTTTATCCCTTACGAAAATCTTCCAAGTCCTCAATCGGCGGAGTCAGAATCCTGGTTCGAGGCTTTAGTACCTGAGGACCCCGAACGCAAGGAATTGGAAATCCGAAGGAGAGCGCGGCATACAATTCTTTGCAATAGATGTCGGAGTCTACTTCATTACCAAAACACAACCGTCCAAGGACCGGATGCAACTTTCACTCAAGCAGCGGAGGTAATCGCCAAGTCGCCGTTTAAAAGGATACATGTTTACCACGTCATCGATGCCGCAGACTTCCCGATGAGCGTTCTCCCGAATGCTAGAAAAGCGATATTGGCTGGACTAAACAACCTGAAAGATGGAAAAAAGAAAGACGTTTCACTATCCTTTGTTATTACCAGGGCAGATCTTTTGATGCCAACAGAGCAGAAAGTCACAAGCCTGATGACCTACATCCGAAGAGTACTAAACAACTACCTAGACGACGCGGATAAAGAAAAAACCTTAAAAGATCTAAGAATCGTCAGCGCAAAAAATGGCTGGACCACAGAGAGGCTGAAAGACGAAATTCGGGGGAGAAAGGGCGGTGTAGTCTTTCTAGGGAAGACAAACGTAGGAAAGAGCAGATTGTACGAAGCAGTTTTCCCAAAGAGAGGGAAGAAAGATTTGGCGGTGAAAAAGGGTTTTGGAAGAGGGGATCTCGAAGAACAGGCAGATTTCCTTGAAGATGATTTTGACTTTTATATTCAAAATGGAAGGAGGGTTAAACACCCAGAGATGCCTCTAGCGAGCAAGGTTCCGGGGACGACAGTCGGCCCCATCGCTATTGATTTCGCAGCAGGGAGAGGACAACTAATCGACCTACCCGGGTTTTCGAGGGGAGGCTTGATGAAATATCTGAAACAAGACTACGTCAAACAAACTGTGATGGTCGACAGAGTTAACCCTGAGAGGTACATTGTACCCCCAGAAAAGACGTTCTTACTAGGCGGCCTAGTAACTGTACGACCATTACAACCTGAGAAAGGTCGACCTGTTACACTAGAAGTAGCAGTATTTTCGAACGTCCCCGGCCATGTCGCGAAAGAAGAGAAGGTCGAGGGCTTCCTAAACCCCGAATCTGATTCTACAAGTCCGAAAAGAGACTTTTTATGGGCAAGAAAGGCAGCAGTAGAAAGCTTTAAGTCCGCTGGTACCTTCAAACTCACAGACGATGTTACAAAAAGAAGAAGTGGACCTCTAGTCGAAGGAATGGGAGAGGATCATTTTAAGAAGGTGTCCTTCAGAGTCTATGCCACAGATATTGTAGTGGAAGGCTTTGGATGGCTGGAGATATCGGCGCAGGTTGGAAAGGATGACCCTCAGCCGGAGATTGAGGTTTTGTCACCAAACGGAGAGAGTATACTCCAAAGAGAGACTATGAAGGCATACCAAGAAAATTTGAAATCTGGACCAAAGGCCGCGCCAGGAAGCCGACCGAAGAAGTCAATGAGAGGTGCAAAGAAGGCACAGAAGAAAGAGTTCAGGAAACTAAAGAGTCAGGTTGGTTCAAGTAACAGCGCCTCTAGCCAGTAGATACGCTCTTGGACTCGATCACACCGCTTGATCGTTTTAAGTTTACAACGATTCTACATAATATGTACTATAGGAATAATGTATAGAAGATTAACCCTCTAATTGCTCGAATAGCTAAACTAAGGACCGTATGTGTACAACTCGTATTTTGTAGCTACTGATATATATACTCTCCATAATCGAACTAAAACTAAATTGTAATTATAGGTCAATCGAACGATATTGTGCACATCAGTACACCAAGCATCTAAGACGAGGTTGGCACCAGTGCAGTATTATGAGAGTCGTCGCGCTAAGACTGCTCCAATATATTCCAACAGGCAATTCCGGTCGCCCGTGTTGACCGGTCGTTAAACCCGCCAGTCACGTGACACCAATTATCGCCGCCTCGGAAAGAGCAAAGCACAACGTCAACCCGAAAAAGAACGAAAAACCCAGTGTCGAAACTACCCGTATATCCCACCCCTCTATATACGTCCCCCCCACCACGACCTTCCGATAAACCCCCCTTCTCAAAACTCTCACCACACTCCTCTCACGATGCTCTCTCGCACCGCTGCCTCGATAGCCCGCGCGGCAAACCCAATTGCCCCTCGCGCGGCCGTCATCTCCTCTCTTCGGACGTACGCCACAGCTGCTGCAGCCGACGCCAAACCCCCGGTAGCCCTCTACGGCATCGATGGCACCTATGCCTCTTCCCTTGTATGTATTCACTCTTCCTTTGATATCAATTACTATACACCCTTCTACCATCCAATTGAACTTATCATCCACTAACGCATAAAAAAACGTATCTCTAGTACATCGCCTCCGCCAAAACCTCCACCCTCGACACCGTCGACAAATCCCTCAAATCCCTAAAAACCCTTTTGGATAAGGACCCAAAACTCACCAGCGTCATCTCTTCGCCTACTCTTTCCGCATCCGACAAGTCCTCCCTTGTTACTGAGATCTCAAAGGCCATCCCGGGTGCCAGCGGTGACAAGAACTTCAAGAACTTGCTCGAGGTTTTGGCCGAAAACAACAGATTGGGACTGTTGGGTGGTATCGCTGAGAAGTTCGGTGTCTTGATGGGTGCGCATAGAGGTGAGGTCGAGGCGACTATTACCTCGGCTCAGGCTTTGGACCAGAAGACCATTGGACGTCTGGAGGCCGCTATCGGAAAGAGCAAGTATATCCAGCAAGGCCAGAAGTTGAAGGTTGTCAACAAGGTATGTACATATACCATATACGATAGTACTCCCATGTGCAATTTTCTTCAATGTAGTCAGGCTTACTAACAAATGTTTTCTTACCCTTAGGTCAACCCGGAAGTCCTCGGAGGTCTCGTTGTTGAAATTGGCGATAGGACAATTGACCTCAGCGTCTCTTCCAAGATTGCCAAGCTCAACAAGCTATTGACTGATGCTCTATAAATAATTCTCCCTCACGGGTGGTTCAGAACGTCTGTGGTCTAAAAAAAATGGGGTTTGTAGAATAGAAGAGAGTCGGAGAGAATTGTCATTTTCCATTGGTCTGGCAAAATCTTCCATGTAATTATCAACATATGCCTTTTTTTTTCTTTGTCAATCAAAAATTCAATCGGCGTGGAAGCGGAAATGGGCCGATTTTTTTCTTCTGATATACCTAAACGCTTACTTACCAGGGCTTACCAACTTGACGATAATTAAGTGACTAGGATTAGAGATAAAACCGAACCAAATCAGAAACTATGAGGTGTGAAGCAGAACGAATGGATTGTATTTCCTGTCTACGAAGCCAGTCTAATGCAGTACAAAGCAAATTACCAAGCCATAGCGATTGAACAGAGAGCCACCAATTGCAAACCCAATTAATCCGCCGATTAGAAGAAGAAAAAAAGCCACGATTCCAAACGCTGCTTCGCTGTGTATGCTTTAACCTTTTGAAGTGCCCTTTGCATTTCGAGTTGGATGCCCATTAACTTACGAAAACGAGTCCAGCATAGCCAAATGAGACGGAAACCAATTAGAACGCATTTTCTTGGGTAACAGACAGCTTTTAACAGAGCCTAGTCAAGTTGAGTCTCAAACTCATCCTCATCGTCAAAGACAGACCCGTGAGTCTGCACTCGCTTGAGCTGGCTAGTAACATAGTCAAGCACGTGCTGGTCGTCTTGTTCACGGGCTCGTTCCTGCGCTTCATCCTCACCAAGGCCAGTCCAATCGTCACTAGCGTCGTCGCTCACAACATCGCTGCGGGCAATGTCGCTGCGGGCTCCGATACTACGGGTCGAAGCACGACGCACATTTGACATTTTTGGACGTATGACCCTCGAGAAGGACTCGTCAAAATAATGTGAAGCGGCTGTTGAAGGCGTGCGAGGAGTTCGCGGGAGACGACAATTGATGCCCGTGTCGTGAATGAGTTTAGCAATAAGCCCAGTCCATCCGGTTTGGTGCAAAGCCCCGAGGCCAGCGCCGGTATCAGCATGGAAGAATTCGTGGAAGAACATATAGTCTCGCCAGTGCGGATCTTGGTTCATCAACTTATTTCCCGCATTGCAGGCACGGTTGCCTCGCTCATCCCTAGTAAAGATGTGCTGCATACGGTGTTGAATCTCCTCCGCAACATGACCGAGATGAACATATTCTCCGGATCCAGTAGGGCATTCTACTTTAAGGCTGTCTCCGTAGTACATGTAGAATCGAAGCAACGATTCAACGAGCAGGAAATTGACACAAAGCCAAATGGGCTACCATTGATAACAAAAGTCAGCAACATCACTTGTGTGATTTGATCAAGGGTACTTACACCACGCCAGTTACTGTTGCCTCCGAACATTCCACTGTTGGAGTCTCCTGGAACGTAGTCGACTTTGAATTCTTGTCCATTGACGTCCATGTAGTACGGATTTTCTTTGTGATGCTTCGAAAGTCTATCGGACGAAGTAAGTATGCAGGGTGAGATAATCTGATGCTTAATGGGTTTTAACTTACGATCGAATACCATACTCCGAGAAAAACTCATTCTCATCCAGCATCTTTTGTAGAATACGGATCAAGCGGTCTCTGTTGACCAAGGCTAGCAAAATTCTTTGGCCTTTACCGCGATGTTTGATGCTATGGATGTTACGTTCTGCAACATCCGACCGATTCTCTACAAACCACTGGAATCGTTTCTTGAACGATGGCAGACGCTTCATAACTTCTGGCTCAAGCGTCAAGCAAGCATACAATGGGATCAAACCGACAAGCGACCTGACGGGCAATTGCTGAGCCCACGGACCTCCCCAAGAAATAGCATCGTAGTAGAAACCGTCCTCCTCGTTCCACAAGGATGTTTCTCGGTCCCCGCGTTTATAGGTCAAAGCATCGGAGATCAAAATGAAGTGTTCGAAGAATTTTGAAGCGATATCTTCGTATGTCCGACGATGCTTTGCTAGCTCAAGAGAAATATTCAGCATGTTCAAGCAGTAGAAAGCCATCCAACCTGTGCTGTCTGCTTGTTCAAGAACACCTCCTGTGGGGAGAGGCTCTGAACGATTAAAAAGCCCAATGTTGTCAAGACCCAAGAAGCCTCCTTCAAAGACGTTCTTTCCTTCTGGGTCTTTTCGGTTAGCCCACCACGTGAAATTGAGCAAGAGTTTCTGGAAGACTCGCTCCAAAAAGTCTAGGTCCTCCCTTCCGTATATCTTTCGTTCGATTTTGAACGTACGGAAGGTAGCCCATGCGTGGACCGGTGGATTGACATCACTGAAATTCCATTCATACGCTGGGAGCTGACCATTCGGATGCATATACCATTCTCTTGTCAGAATATCAAGCTGCTTCTTCGCAAATTCAGGATCAATCATAGCCAAAGGAATACAGTGAAAAGCAGTATCCCAAGCGGCAAAAAACGGATATTCCCAAGACTCCGGCATGGAGAGAATATCGTCGATATAGAGATGCTTCCAAGCATGATTCCGAATGTGTTTCCTGCCCTCTGGCGGAGGCGGCTGGGACGGGTCGCCATTAGCCCAATGATCCCAAACGAAATGGTAAAACTGTTTCGTCCACAGCATGCCACTCCACGCCAGGCGCTGAATGTTTCGAAGATCGTCAGCCATAGGAAGTGGGCTCAGTCTCCAGTAAAATTCATCAGCTTCGCAACGCCGAGCCTCGACAATCTCGTCGAAAAGTTCTTCGTCGATAGCCCCAGGCTCAGTAGTTCTGCTAAACTTGAACCGAACGACAGCGCATCCGCCAGGTGGAACACCATCAGCCTCGTCAAAAGCGTACCAAGCAGCTGCTTTTGTGCCAACATTTCCTGGATTGACGGCTCCGAGCTCTTGGTTTACAATATAGCGATGGAAGCCATCCTTGACATAAGGTGTGGGATTGTTTCCACCGTAGAGCTTAGCGAAATTCGTGTCGTTTTCAGTAAATATCAGCTCAGGGCTGACATCGGCAGCGTCGGCAGAAACACCCGGTGATGGAGATAGCTGGACATATCGAGTCCCAAGTCTCCAGTGCTCGGCTTGTGCAATAGTTGCGGCCTGCTTCGTGATATATGGCTTCTTTTCTGGTGGCTCACGGCCCCAGGCCCAGGTATTCCGGAACCATATCTGGGGAATAATGTGTAGAGGAGCGGGTTCGGGCCCACGGTTGTAAGCAGTAACTCTGAAAAGCAGCTCCTCTTCATCTTCTCCATCCTTGGCAGTCTCGATGAAGATATCCCAGTAGCGGTTGTCACTAATTTATGAATATTGTCAGTGCATCTCTTTTATTAGGATCTAGGAGAAGGGATTCGCGACGTACTCGAAGGCACCGGCGTCGAAAATTGTGTACTCGGGCATGTTTCGGTCTCGCTTTTTGTTCTCCTCTACCAATTTCTCATAAGGGAACTGCCCTTGGGGATATTTGTAAAGGAATTTCATGTACGAATGCTATAGCTCGGTTAGTAGATATTAAAAAATTTTGTTTTCAGAAAACATCCATACCGTTGGCGTATTGTCAAGATGAAAGTGGACTTCCTTGATACTTTCGCCATGATTTCCTTGAGGGTTTGATAATCCAAAGAGACGTTCTTTGAGGTATGGGCTAGAAAATAGTCAGTAATATGCACCAATATAAATTATCCCAACATTTAGACTCACTCCTTTTCGTTCCAGAAAGAAAACCCAATGTTGAGGAAACCATGGTTGTCCGAAACGCCTGCGATCCCGTCTTCACCCCATCGGAAGGTACGTAAACGTGCATGTTCATGTGGGAAATCTATCCAAGTCCGATGAGTTAGCTCTGTAGAACGAACCTAAGATTGATGAGTGCCATAAACGGCTACTTACTGCTCCATGCATCGCCATCCGGCCTGAATTCCTCAGGGTAGAATATCAGTCATAATATACTAACAATATATATTGATAGGCAGCAATTGCACTCACGAATAATCTTCTCGTACTAAAAAAAAAGGTAGCCGTATTAGCATCGTTTTGGTAAATATATCTATACTTCATAGAGATATAAAGCTTACCGGTAGCCCACTGACGCTCGCTAACATAAGGTCCCCATTTCTTCCAATACTTGGTTCTCTCTTTATCCTCCTTGAGACGTTTCTCCTCTTCAGTTAGATACTCGTAATTGCCGTGAACAACCATTGTGATAGTTGGAAGTTCGGCTTGATACCAAACTGAAAAAACAGTTTTAGAAGACGCGGGACGTCGACTGAAGGCAAAATGGTTGATAGGCTCGCGAGACTTGGCAAGCTACCGTTAGATCTGCTAGCTTGAATGGGTAACAAGCACGCGAATCCTTAGTTTAAAAGCTAAGGATTTCTAGTGGGGGAAACGATTAACCTTCTTGCTCGAATGGCAAGACTTTCACCGGTGCCGGCTTGTGGCTAGGCTTTTATAGACGTTGAGGGAATGTATGCTGGTCGGTCGATTCTGTTCAATGCAGGCGAGTTGCTGAGCTGTTAAACGTGGGCTGGTAGGTATTTTAACGATAGAAGGAATGCTTGTAGACGAGTCCAGGGCAATTGAGCATGAGGTTTTTTTCTCTCTTACCTTGCAGGAGAAGGAATGCGAATGAGAAGAAAGGGAAGTACCCGTCGATTCCGTTAAGAAGATTACTTTACAAGCCAGACCTGGCCAGGGACTGCTGGCTAGAGCGGGGCGCCAGTTCACCTAATCAACTAGCCAAATTTTATATAATATTTTTTTTATTATGAGCACATACTCTGCTACAAACAGACAGACAGGCAGGCAGACGGTCGGTGGCATTCTCGTAGATCGAGATAAGCTAAACTGAGCTAGAAAACACCACTATCGATAGTCGATAGTCGTGCAGTTCTGTACCTTGTAACGGCGCAGAAATTAAATGTCGTGATAGGTACCAAACGACGTCACTTTTGACGCCTGTCCGAGTTGGGCAGCCAAACTTGGGTGGGAAGACCCTGAGCCGGCCAATCATATGGGAGGGGCCTCTGACTAATCGTTTGTTGGGAGCGGCAAACCATGCTAACTACAACTAACATAGCTAACGGCCGACCAGCAATAAGTACCTACTTGCGGGTGGTGGGTGGGTATTCATGTAATGCAATGCTAATGTTACTGACTGCAGTGCAGCAGCATCCATCTAGGTTCTTCGAGGCAATTTCTGCGATAACAGCGTATACATATGCATGATTGAATGGCATATTTCGTTCGTCGGATGAATTTAGACTCGTGAGCCACAACGTGCCACAAAGATGGACTTCACACGAGGCTGGTGATATTGTGATACACCTGGATGGGCCGATCCATATCATGGATGCATCAACTACCCCTCTCATTGCATTTGCATTTGCATCGGAAAGTTTGACTCGACTCGACTCGACTCGACTCCGAGAGAATCACAAATATTCCGTCTTCCGTCCATCCGCCCATGGCCAATGAGGGGTGCTTTCTGTGACATGTTGATGTTACCCATGGTCATTTGCATTTTCTATAGAGATTAATGGACGTTTCTCTGATTACCAAGGAAAACCGAGCACTGCATTGCACCTTCAAGTCGACTTTTGTCTTGACTGTCACTTGTCACCTATCACCTATATAATGTGCAAGATTTTGACATGAGCGACCGGGTACACCGGGTACCTATCATAACCGAAACATTTTCACGCTTCTGTTCCACAAAGAAAACAAAAAAAGCTGAAGGTTGAACACAAAATGCAGTTGTCAAAAAGGTTCTTGAATGTGTGGTGGCTTGTCATATGAAACCCTGTGAAGGCTTGGGCCACATCTGATAGGTCGATTGGTCGCAATCCTCCGCTAGCACGGGGAATGTTTCTATCCCTCACACTTCATAATGAATTCTTTTGGCCGGCGATTTTGGCCGACTAAACAGGAGTTCTCAAAAGACACATTTTTATTCTTTCAGCGGGTGCTAACTTGGGCAAAATGCAGAAAGAATAAGGCAGCAAAGGAACCCGAGGCAAAGATCTGGTCGTGCATGGGAAGGGCTCGCATAGATGCATCTGCCTCTGCCTACACCTACACTTGAAACCAGCCATCGATACAAAAATATACCTACTGTCAATGTTTCACCTTGTGATATGACACGGGTGGCCTCCTATACTTCGTCGCAACTATATATGTCCTTAAGTACTTGCACCGTATACGCCGACGATCACCCTGATATTGCTCTGATTCTTGTCGATACCAGGAACACGAGGTTGCTAGCTTGGTAGCCGCACGAATTTTTTCTCATTTCCTCGTCCTAAATAGGTATGATGCCAGGACCAGCTCCAGCACTTGCAGCGCCAAGACACAGGCGACGATGCCCGCCAGAGTTTTGCTCCGTCACAGCGCGGTGCATTACTCCCAATCGCCCAACATAGAGTTCGTCCAGCCGAGATTGTGTTTCCAACGTCCCCACCTCGTTCAACCTCCCACAATCAAATGGCCGTTAGGAAGGAAATTATTTGGAGCCTGGATTGGTCTCATCAATCTCAGGTGTCTTTTCCTCATGACTATTTGGGTCTTCACGATCATCACAATGGAAATTCGATCCAGTTCTAATATTACTTCAAACATTGTTCGTGAGAGAAAGGGACGGAAGGAAATGTCAAGGCGGCGATGGTCGCCGGGCCAGTACAAATGGTGTCCATCCATACTAAAGCTAGTACTATGAATCCACAGTGGAGGCGTTAGCCTCAGCCAAACGCACGTGTGTGTGGAGAAGCTACCCTGGACGGGCTGACCTTGATGTGCCCAAGATCCAACCTAAACTTAGACAGTCCAAAGCGTTCGGAGCGAACGCGCATCGGGCCTCCTTCAAGTTTTGCTCCGCAAGAAGGTGGATGGAGAGCAATCTAGCCACCGGTGTGCATGTTAGCATATTTTTTGTCAAATCTGCATAATTCTGCGGCTGGCCCACCAGGAAGATTGGATTTCCAGCATGATACCGCATATGGGTGTATAAAAGGTCTTTACGTCCCCTTTTGTTGCAACTTTTTCGGAATTCAACCCAGAGGTTCAACTTGAAAGAGAGTGGATCAAGTCTTCACAGCCAAGGTTCGAAGCTACCTTGCACTGCCAAATCGGGAGGATATTCATACACGCAAGTGTATTGTTTAATATCTAATCTTTAATCTCTGCCCTCGATAATCCCCCACACCACACGATGAAGGTAACTTTCGCTCTCGTTCTGCTCTCGCAGGCGTTATCTCTCGTTAGCGGAACTCGCTGCAATGCCGACAACTGCGCCAGACAAGTTACAGGTGATAGGTATGCCGGTTACCTACAGAATCAACGGAGAACCGACTGCACCAAGTACCTAGTGAAGACCACTTACAGAGGTATCTCAACCAAGTGGGTGACAAGGACAATCAAAAAAGTCGCCACAAAGACCGTCAAGAAAACCGTTACAAAGACTGTTGGGAAAGTCGCCACAAAGACCGTTGGGAAAGTTGTTACCAAGATTGTTCCAAAGGTTGTGACATCGTACACAACCAGGACAGTTAGAATCACAAGCGGTACTACTACTATCACTGTCACGCCCCCAGTAGCTTCGGTTACCAAGCGAGATCTGGGTCTCGAGAAAGAGCATGAGAATATGGATATGCTTGAGACTCGCAGTGAGCATGAAAATATGGATATCCTTGAGGCTCGCGGGTATAATTACCCTCCTAAGGTTCAATCAGGAGTCGTAAAGAACTGTGTCGGCTGGAGATACGTCCAAGGCAACGACAATTGCGACAACATCGTCAAGAGGTTTTCTAAGGCACCTATTGCCCTTACCAAAGCCAACCTGCTTAAGTGGAATCCAGCTTTGAAGAATGGATCTGGTCTTAGGAAGGGGTACTGGGTCTGTGTCCGCATTGACAACATGCCATCATACATCAGCGCTTGTGATGCTCAGCGGTACACATCTGCATGCTCATGCTGGGGTATCAAACCCGGCACTAAGACCATCTGCAGCAAGACCACCACCAAAACCGCCACTAGGACTTCAACTTCAACAGCTACTCGGACATCCACCTTGACCAAAACCAAAACCACGACAGGTACCGTAACTAAGACTTCAACTTCCACCAGAGTAGTCACCTCGACGTCAACCAAGGTTATCGTCGTAGACAAGACCTCCGTTATTCCTGCCTCTACTGCAACTGTTACCTCTCTGCCAGATGGACACATTGTCTGTGGGGGCCAGGCTGTCAACCCTTTTAATAATGATAACCACTGCGGGAAATGTAATGTTGCATGCAGCACTTACTGTCAAGCCGGTGCCTGTGCGGGCTGCACTGCAACTACTTCAATTTGCGAGGATGGCGGTGGTCATCTCTGCGGTGACGACTCTACCTGTATCTGTACCTTGAACATCGAAGGTCAACGCACCTGTGCTGTCTCTTCCAACTGCGAAGGCGACGTCTGCTCAAAGTCTTCCGATTGTCAGAGCGGCTGGACATGCGTTCCTGGAACTTGCTGCGGTGATGAGCCAGTTTGTATGAGAGCACCAAGCGGTTGTCCTAACGGTCAAAACATCAAGAGAATTTTCAAGCGCGAGCCATTGCCAAGTGGAACAATCAGCAAGCGAAGAATTCTAGTTCCAGAATTCGATCTATCGTGGAAGTTGGCCAGGATGAAGAACAAGGTTTAAATTCCTAATCTCTGATATGATGTAATTTAATGACTGGAGTTTTTGCTTTACATTTTAATAGCCTTTTATCTATCTTTAATGTTGTTTCCCTGGGGCATCAAGCTTGCGTGCATATCTCGCTAGATGTGTATTTTATATTGTATAATCTTGGAAGCTCATATCTTCGCTTTCCTTTGGCTTGCATACGGTGCCAGCGGGTGTATTTTTTTTTTTTTTTGACGGAAAATTCATTTCATCTTCAAATTACAAAGCACAAATGATACCAACGCATTTCTCTTTGTGTCATTTTTACAATCTACGGACATACTAATATCGACCGATATAATATGATATCTCGATATTTTTCGGATTCACAAAATTCCCTTCGAGATCATATGAAACTTTCCACTTATGTTATGGTAAAAGCCTATGTGGCCCCTTAAACCCTCCATTGGAAAAAAAAAGGGACTTGTGTTCAGAGATTTTCATCTCATGCAATGCTCCGGCAATTTCGGACCCCAACCACATTCAATAAAAAGACCCGCTGTGCTCCCATCCAGAGAGCACCTGCATATGAATAACACGTACAATCATGTATAATAGAACTGTTCTATGAAAAACTAGGAACAGCCCTATAGCTTATAGAAATATCACCTACTAACCATCCTGTCACGCATCGAACCCACCAAAAACATTCTCATGCTACACCTACACTCAGTAGCCAGGCCTCGTGTTCTCCGTCGTTCCTCGATCGATAGCGTCGAATATTTGCTTTTCAGGCATAGGTGGCGATAAATCTACATCGACGCGCCCTAAAAAGAAAAGAAAAAAACAGATCCCATAACGGTGGGTGGTCTGGAACTTTCCCGGGAGGAGATCGTCACGAAAGTCTACTAGGACTTTTAAACTGCGGAAGAGGTTGGGGTGATGTACTGTACCTCTTCAAGGGCGATAAAGTTAGTGGTTGGATTGGTATCTATACCCTATTCGCGGGTATTCTCATGCAACCCGCATGCAAGTGTCGTCTAGTTTACATTTGGTCCCCGCCAGTGCAATGTCCAATGCGCCGATGGCGTGTCCACTACGTGTATGAGCTTTTTTAGATCAACGGGGAATAAATGCAAGCTAAAGTCGATGAGAACCTCTTGGGGAGGCGTACAGCCGAGGCTAGAGTAAGCCACATTCTCTACGCCTGCTTTGAGGATATCTGAGCTCTTTCGATCTTGGGAGGTATGTAACTATGTCTTTAAGTACATTTACCTTTGAGGACCCATCGTCCAATGCTTTCGCTAAGAGCCAGGCCTAATACTACTATACTAGCGAGTTAATTATTATTTTCTTGCCTACTTGAGCCTTAGTATGTGTAAACCACCCCGGCGATTATGGCTTATGTACTACAGGACAGTCACTATGCCAACGTTCTATGAATAAACATTCGAATCATGTACTTGCGTACTTAACAAGCCAGATTTCCATGTATTCTTCATGCACTCCGGATCCAATGCATTGTATGCCGATTGTTTCATGAAAGACAAGGCTTGCAGGTATTTACCTTAGAGAGCTATGCAAATGCTGCATGTTACGGTTACGAACCGGTCTGATAACGGCAGGCCTGACCCGGGCTGTTACATGTATACGGTACTAATATACTACTATCAGCTATCATATATAATTTAAGAGCTAAGCTACAGCTATTTACCCTGTTCTGGGCCAACTACGGTCTTAAATGTATAGCTTGCCTATATATGCTATATATGGAATAGGTATCTGAATCTTGTAGCTACCCGAATACTTCCTAATGTACCCAGGCCAAGTGGCTAAGAAATAGCGGGGCCGCCACTCTTTCCTTTGTGGCGTACAATAATTGCTTATAAGATACCACCACCTTTGTACACAGTTGAGGAGTCTGGCGACGAGCTCGAGACAAACCTTTGTACTAGTCATTCTAGCCAGTTATACTCTCACATAATAGTACGTAGGCTACAGTTGACTACTATGATTAGGTGATTTGCCACAGAGGCTTTTGTACCTACCTCTTTTGGGCGGGCTTTTCATACATGTAACCTCAAGGGCTTAAATATCTCTGACACAACAGTACTGTCTGTGTAAATTTATAAATCCTGGTATCGTTGATTCATATGAAGCAGTGTCTCTAATAGATATTGGCGCGGTGTGCATCGTCCTGCAGGACTAGTATTTGGTTCTATAGATCTAACTCTAGATCTAGATGAATACGCATGGAATATTATCAACTGCAATCGACGTAATATATACTTATATATCTACGATCGTTCTCTTCTACCTGAGCCATGTAGACTTAGTTGACTCTAAATTTACATATTTACGTATATACAAATGATCTCAATATGATTAATTTAAAGGTCTATACAGTAGGATATCTTCATGAATGCATGTACTCTTGGAAGTTAGCTATAGTATTACCGGTGCAGTGCCCTGCATGTAATTCTAGGTTTACAGATCCCGTATTTACTTAGACAGATCTAGATATCTAGATGCAATGATAAAACTAGATACAATGTAAATGATCAAACTTAAGGAATTACGGGGTTATGACCGGTCGACCGTTGGACATGTACTTGCTACTTAGCTATATATTTATATCACTTATAAATATGATATTTATACCCTGGGTATCGATATCTGCGATTTTTACTCATTAGCTAGCGCATACTACATACTACTTGATATCAGCCGGCAGAAAACTTATTAAGTTCCGACGTCCGGTGGCAGTCTTCTGGGTCTATGTACGAGACGTCGACAAGTTGGTAGTTAATTAAGTATACTAGTAAACTCAATTTCATTGAACACAAATTGCATTGATATCAAAGCGCTGCAGTTCTATGAAACGTTATGGCTACCATAGACCCATAGTTATTTGCGCATAGTTTATCTCTGCTAGCGCCATATATGTATGAAATATCTTCCAGGTCTGGGTACGAGACAAATGAAATATGTAATATCTTGATAAATTAGCTATCTGTAAAGGGACTGAATTAGGTATGCATTTCGAAGAATTCAGGATTTATATACGATTAGGTAAAAATCTGTAGCAACGTTTTAATAACCAGCCGGAATTGCAGCCGCCTTAGAGCCGGGTTTGCTCGTCTATACCTAAATATAGAATAAATTTGGGATGTGGAAAGTGCAGTCAGGCCTCGGCGTCTCTAATCGTCTGGTATTGGGTCCATCGATGGTGTTGGTCGAAGGCGGAGTTGTAAATTAACAATGCAGACCGGGTCTAGTTAACGAGGCTAGTTCACGACTCTGGGATGTCCAGACAAGTTGGGGTGTACCAAAAACTTAGTAGACCGATAAGTATCGCACCCTTAGAAACTCCTGCTAAAATTCCGAGAAAGCAACATGCGTGGATTATTCTCAAATCAGGTACGCTAAGACACACATCATATACGTCGAGAGTTGCGTGGCCTAAGAATAAAATGATTCGACAAGGTCATTTGTAATGGATAGATTCTGCGAGATATCATCAATTGGGGAATTCTCGACATCGCGAAACAGTGTCGTCATATATTTCCAGAAATGGTAGCCACAAAGAATGACAAGAATGGCAATGGCAATAATACTGACGTACGTCTTATCAATTTCTTTCGCCCCCCATGCTTCGCACTAGTAGATAAGCAATTGAACGAGTATTTTTTAACAGAATAAGGCTTAATAATTTGTACAGTTTCCAGGTCCTCCACTCACAATCTACCATGAACACCACATCTGCAGGCTTCCGAAAATACAAAAATAAGAACACATATCGGGTTTAGTGCTTGGAAGACTGGCGGGAAAGGCGTAGAGTCTTATCGGTCATGAGCTTGTTGACCATAGAGTAGCCAGCGGCTAGAAATAAAAAGGTTAGAAATGTCGAAATCCACAGGGGGGGGGGTAAAGGGTGTCTACAAGTGTTTACATACCCACAATGGCGGCACTACAAACCAACCAACATATCAGTGATCCGAATTCTAGGCCTTCAGCAGTTTATCTCGGATCTGGAACTTACCCGATGACGACGGCAAGAGGGATCAATTCAACTGGTACATCTTTGATGCGGCGAAGACGTTGAGTGATAGTGTGCCCTGTGTACCAAAGGATCGCCATCGTGTTAGTAGTTCAACTTCAATTAGTATCCGGTAGGGATAAATATATCGGTGGAGGGTTATAAAGGCATCCAATTCGGCATGGATGTCTCAGGGTAGCAATTCGGGATAAAAAGGATTCGGGATAAGGAACTCGGCTTTGCGAATTGGGTATCAGGGAGGAAAGAGGAGGATGTACCGCTTTGTTCCTCTTTCTACATGGATCCAAAATGTCGTTAGCACGGTCGATAGAAGGCTGGGAGAAGACTTTGAAGTGTCGGGAGGGGTCTTACTGGGACAGCCATCCTGAGGATTGGGCTCTGCCTCATGGCGACAGTCCTAGTCTGCTGCATCCTCAACATAGCAGTTGGGCGCATTCTCAAAGCCTGGGTTGCTCTCATTTTGACAGTGTATCGTTGGACGACGGTCGAAGAGTGGAGAGGGGTCTGGTTCTATGTACAGGAGTGGCTGGAATCCGATGAGTATTGTCGGTGACGGTGACGGTGACGTTGAAGTTCAATCGGAGGTTTTTCTTTTGTCAGGCCATCTCGACCAACGACACGCCGGGCGAATGGGCGCAACACACTTGCACGTTCGCCAATTGGCTCCCTCCACACTCAATGTCCGCGCCGAGGTCCACTAGAAGCTGCTACATGTACATTCCTCTCTGTTCTGTTTTTGGCAGGATGTATTTAAGGGCCTGTGCCCAGCCCGAGAGGGGGACAATTAGGTTTACGAGAGCAATTGAGACTTCTTTTTTTAAGATTGCAATCTGTCGATACCGATATCAATACTAATATCAACATCTGTCGCAATGTCGGGCGCGGTTTCTCGTCTTTCCCAGCTCGCATCCCAGCTCCTGGCCGCCGGGAATTCGTTCAATCCATTCCAGGTCCAGAAACCTTATTCCCATACACTCTCGCCAACATACTTCCTACCACGGGCTGCTGCAATCGAACCAGATGCTACTGCCGTTGTTCATATAACTGCCAATAACAAAACTCTTCGTCGAACATACCAAGAACTTGCAGACCGTGCTCGGGGTCTCGCCTACTACCTTAAAGCACACAATTTCAAACGTGTCGGGATTCTTGCTCCAAATACCCCTGCTTTCCTTGAAGCATACTTTGGAATTGCAGCCGCAGGTGGCGTATCTGTCGCCATAAATTATCGATTAAAGAAAGATGATATATCTTACATCTTCGATCACGCCGATGTCGAAGCTATAATTGTGGACACCGAATATCTAGGACTGCTAGACACATATCGGGAATCACACCCTAACACTGTGATAATCGAGGACACGGACACCGATGCTGTAGAAGGGGAACTTTGTGGTCCGTTTGATGGGGCCGTTCTTGAGGGTCTTAAAATCGACATTCATTCGGGCTCGAAGGGGTGGGACGGCCTCGAGGCCCAAGCGCAAGACGAGGATGCCCTGTTCTCGCTCGCCTACACATCAGGTACCACCGCTCGCCCGAAGGGCGTTGGGTACACCCATAGGGGTGTATATCTCGCTGCTCTCGGAAACGTTATAGAGAGCGGTTTAAATTACCACCGCGGAAGATGTAAATACCTCTGGACCCTACCACTGTTCCATGCAACCGGGTGGACTTTCCCCTGGTCTGTAACGATGGTACGAGGGACTCACTATTGTTTGAGGAAGATTGATTATGGTCTGATCTGGAAGTTCATGAAAGAGGAGGGAATCACACATTTCGCGGCCGCACCTACGGTAAATACACTGCTATGCAATGACAAGGCAGCGGTTAAGCTCGAAAATCCCGTCAGAGTTACCGTGGCTGCAAGTCCACCAACTGCACACCTATTCCAGCAGATGACAAGCTTGAACCTCCACCCCGTCCACGTCTACGGCATGACGGAGACCTACGGCCCAATCAGCAAGGGGTATTACATGCCATCTTGGGACGACCTACCGGACTCTGAGCGGTTCGCAAAAATGGCTAGACAAGGGCATGGCTTTATCACGAGTTTACCACTCAGGGTTATTAGAACCGGAGAGAACGTGTTAGAGGGGACGGTTATCGATGTCAAGAAGGACGGGAAGGAGATTGGAGAGGTTGTATTCGTTGGAAATATTTGTGCTAAGGGGTATTATAAGAATCCCGAGGAGACAAAGAAGTTATTCGCTGGTGGGGTTCTACATAGCGGAGATTTGGCGGTTTGGCATGAGGATGGTGCTATCCAGATTATGGATAGAGCAAAAGACATCATTATCAGTGGTGGGTAGACTAGTGGTCTCGTGGATCGGAAAGGGATTTATTTGCTAACTAAATTTTAGGTGGTGAGAATATATCATCAGTAGCCTTAGAGTCGATGTTGGCGAATCACCCGGATATTCTCGAGGCATCTGTTGTAGCTGTTTCAGACTCTCATTGGGGCGAACGGCCAAAGGCGTTTGTCACCATCCAGCCGGGCAAATCTATTACCGGGGAGGAAATCATCGAGTGGGCAAAACATGTGAGCGATATTAGCAAATTCATGGTGCCGAGGGAGGTGGAGATTGTAAACGAGTTGCCAAAGACGAGCACCGGCAAAGTCAAGAAGACTGTCCTCCGGGAGTGGGCAAAGGGAGCTGATCGTAATTTGGTCAAATAAGCCCCCAAAACAGGGCGGCCATTGGTATTTAATTACGGATAAGGTTTGGATTGGGAGTTTTGAGAATACGAACTAGTATAATGAACATTTCGGCGCTCTATACGGTACTGATAATGAGCAGGTAAAAGTAGTATATCCGGAAAGGCTTACATCATAAGGCAATAGCGATTGATTTTTGCGCCACAATTTGATATAATACTAGTCAGTCTAAATACATTCATCCAGAAACGCCCGCTTCCCAAAATAAACCTATTCATGCGAACCAACACCTCGAAAATCCAACAAATATAGAAAGTGAACAAGTTGCAGGGCGTAGAGGGAAATTGTAATAATAGCGTTCATGCTCTAGCCTTTCCTTTGCCAGAGACCTCCTCTTCCTCCTCTTCGTCACTTGACGACAGAAAGTCATCATCTTCGTCGAACCCGAAAATTTTCTTTGGTTGTACCTTGACCTTCTTGGTAGGTGGTAGAACCTTCTCGTCTTCACTTGACTTCGAGGATTCCTCGGAACTGTTGTTTTTCTCGTCGTCGCTGCCTTCCAAATCCTCGCTTGTGGAGCTCTGACCGGATGGGCTTGGTACTCTAGCGGCACTAGAATTTGCTTTCATGGCTCTTAGAACCGCCTCTCTAGCCTTATCTCTCCCCTCGTCCTTCTCCTCCAACCACTTCGCGTCGTCGAATCTCTGGTTGACATTTCCACCACCTCTTATCTTCTCATCGGCGGCCTCGATGACCTTCCCCCACCTTTCTTTCCTTTTATCGCGTTCCTTCTTGTCCATATCCGGCTTTGTCTCAAGATATTGTGCAAGCGCCTTTGCCTCTTTGACGGTTCTTAACCTTCTTCCATCTAAGTTTCTACAACTGTCGCTGTTCTCTTGTCCCTTGCGTTTTCGCGAGGACATACGTCCACCAGCAGCACGAAGCTGGGAACCGAAACCACCCTTACCGCCGGGAAGTGGCGCCGTAAGGCGGAGAGTGAGGAAGTCATCTGTGAGATCGTTGAGAAGAGATGAAAGTGGAGTTCTAGATGTAGGAGAGAGAATTGCTCCCTTCGTAGTGGTAAGGCGAAGGGGTGTCGTAACAGGTGGGAGATATGCGTCGAGGGAGGAGAAGACGTTGGATATCGAGGAGGCTGACGGGAGAGGCAGGGATAGGGTGGAGGGGAGGCCGAGACCGGAGAAGGTCTCGATGAGGATATTTGTGGTCGCCATGGCTTCTAAGCAGCGTACGTGGTGATAGTTCGTTGTTAATACGCGTAGATGATGTTGGTGAAATGGAATGGTTTGAAGGTTGATGATCTTAGACGGAGGAGGACCGGGGCCTGGGCGAGGTGGCGATGACTTGATGTTGAATCTTGCCAAAAGGAGGCTGAGATTATTGCTAGTCTTAAAGAGGAAATATTAGTTTGATTTAATTATACTTCCTAATTAGGCTAGGTTGTGTTGAGGGCACAAACCCCTTCCGCCAAATCGAAAATTGGAAGTGTCTTGGCGGCAGAGTTGTGTGTGCAAACGAGGATAGTCGAAAGCAAGCAGCAGCAACTTCAACATCGACATCATCAAATCCTGCCAATCGTCGAAACGACACCCGAACTCTCCGACCTTCCCGAACTCATAGTCGACACGGTTCCATACCCAGCCATTCAAGATGTACGTTTTTTCCGACTTCGAAGCATCGTCGACGGTTGCGAATTTTTGGAGATAGTTAGTTAAAGGTGGAAGTGCTGATGATGATGGTCAATGCAGGCTTATTCCAAAGGCGGATCGCAAGAAGATTCACGAGTACCTCTTCCGAGGTGAGAAATACCCCTTCCGTCGATATTCTGCTGGAACTACTTGGGAGGAGGAATTGGATATGAAGATTAGAATTGTAGGATTGGTGGCAGCCTGTCAACGACACTGTTTGAACGACAATTAAAATAAGAATTCACGACATATTGAAGGCTATCTTATGGAAGAATTGGGCTAGGATTCTGTTGGAATTGGGAAATAATTTTAAGGAAAATACTGACTGGAATTTCCAATATACAGAGGGTGTGATGGTCGCTAAGAAGGACTACAACCTTCCTAAGCACACTGAGCTCGACGTCAAGAACCTCTTTGTTAGTAACCTGCTCGCAAATCTAGCTCCAATCTACCGAGGGAACATAAAGTCTAACCTGATTCGATAAACAGGTCATCAAGGCTTGCCAGTCGCTCACCTCCCGTGGCTACCTCAAGACCCAGTTCTCCTGGCAATACTACTACTACACCCTCACCCCAGCTGGTCTCGACTACCTCCGTGAATGGCTACACCTCCCAAGCGAGATTGTTCCAGCTACCCACGTTAAGCAGCAGCGAAGCACCGCTCCACCACGCGGAATGATGGGTGGTGATGACCGACGAGAGAGGAGAGGTGGTGACCGTGGTGACCGTGACGGTTACCGAAGACGGGACAAGGAGGGTGGTGCTCCAGGTGAATTCAAGCCAGAATTGTAGGTTTCCAAAGTCCATATATCCATTCCGAAGATATAGAAGCTAACACGCATTATAGCCGTGGCGGATTCGGCCGTGGACGTGGTGGTGCTCCCCCAGCAGCTACCCAGTAAATTATTTAATGCCACCTCATTTTTCTCCCTCGACTGTTTATCTCATACTCCTTACCGCCTTATATTATGACTCTGTAATATCACATTGCTGGTCTCTCTCACCCACGTCCACATGCTCCTACGTCTATACATACGCAGCATTCCATAAGAACACCTACGATTTTTCATCCTCCTTTCTCTGTGTGTTCCCTTTTTTTATTACTATATCTCATGTCGCTTCCTTTTTATGTGTCTATACGGATTCCAAACGGCGTATAATTTGTTGAGATCATTTCTGTTTCTTAATGAAAAGAATCTCAATCTGTGGTTCCCTAAGCAGGCGGATGCCGGGGAACAGCTGAACCAAATAACTCTCCAATCGTAAAAGAAAAGAAAAGAAATCCGATAGTGCAAGAGATACGGGATGAGATGAGAATATCTAACAGACTAGAATCGCATCAATAAGCCAATTTGTGATGACTAATATTCGCCACTACATGCAACACATTTCCTAATAAAAATACAACTTTCTCCTGAACGCGTCTTTAATTTCCATCCATTTACCACGTTCAAAGCTGCAAGAAAAAAAGCTCGATCTCGGATTTCTAAATTTAAAAAGGCTTCCGAGTTAGGATCTTAACGGACTTCTCAAAAGCCATTAAATATTCCTGGCAAACATCAGATCCAACTATGTCCCAACGCATAAGCTGTCCCGTCTGCAACCGTGATATCGCTCTTTCATCCATAAACCGACATTTGGATGAGGGATGTCCTGAGGAACAAAATGTGTCTGAAACTTCTGCTTCCGGATTCTTTACTTTGACTAAGAATAAGGCGTCTGCACCGTCTGCACCGTCTTTATCTGCAAATTCTGGACGTTCTACAATAACCCCAAGTCCAGCGGGAGGCAAAGATTGGCTAGTTTCGTCGCCAGCTTCCAAACAGTCACAACAATCTCAACAAAAAAGGACATTCTCTCTACCATTTCAAGGGACGAGCCACGATGCCAAAAAATCAGATTCGAGTGGTGGAGGCACTGTTTTCACTAAATCATTCGGAGACGATGTGACGGCGGATCCGGATACGCCAGCAGCCAAACGTCAAAAAACCAACCCTGCTCGCTCAGCGATGCCGCTAGCTGAGCGTGTTCGGCCGAATACTCTTAACAACATATTTGGTCAAGACCTCGTTGGTCCTGGTGGTATCCTCCGCCGAATGATAGAGTCTGATTCTATTAAGAGTATGATTCTTTGGGGTGGTCCTGGTTGCGGTAAGACCACTATCGCTAGAACGATAGCTGCAAGTACCAAAGCTCGGTTTGTGGAGCTATCTGGGACGACCAATAATATTGCAGATTGCAAGAAGATTTTCGAACAAGCGAAAAGCGAGCTAGGCTTACTAGGAAGGAAGACAATATTGTTTATCGATGAGATCCACAGGTTTACAAAGGTAATGTTGCATTTGTCACATAAGATTTGGCTATTGGTCCCATGCATGGTCAAAGCGAATATTGGAGGCTAATGAAGATTTTTAAGTTAGACACAACAAGATGTCTTTTGTAAGTTTAATAGTTCAGCCATGCTTTTGTCGAGCTGAAGGGCTAACATGGGTTCGCAATTCTAGTGGCGCCAGTTGAAAGTGGTCAAGTCATTTTGTGAGTACTCAGATTGATATACGCGGACTGATCAAATTTTTGATGTGGATATTGACATCTTGGTGGCCTGACTTCAGGATCGGGGCTACAACTGGTAAGGCTATAATTTGACTAGTACACTACCATAAACGGCCATTGTTGACACACAATTGTTTGAAGAAAACCCGTCGTTCAAAGTTCAATCCGCACTATTGTCCCGCTGCCGGGTTTTCACATTGAAACCTCTAACCACAGAATCCACCCTCAAGATCTTAAACCGGGCTCTGTCAACAGAGTTTCTGGAACAAAGTGACATCCCGCCGCTATTGGACGATAAATTGTTAACGTACCTTGCCGAATTCGCTTCTGGTGATGCTAGAACGGCGTTAAACCTTTTGGAAATATCAATCCAGCTTGCATCCCAACACCAAACCGGATCAAATCAAGGGTTTACGCAAGAAGATCTCAAGAAAGCGTTAACAAAGACACTAGTTTATGACAGGCAAGGGGACGGTCATTATGATACGATTTCCGCATTTCACAAAAGCGTGCGGGGTAACGAGTAAGAATAATATTCTTAATTTAGAACGACAATTGCGAACTATAGAAATACAATACTAACTAAAACCCCCCCTCACAGCCCAGATGCAGCGTTATATTACCTCGGCCGAATGATCGAGAGGTAAGCTCCCTTTGTTGTCGTGAGAATTTGCATCTGATCCTGGATGAGACCTTGACTTAACGTTCTGAATCAAGTGGCGAAGACCCGTTATTCATATCCCGCCGGATGATGGTTATGGCTAGTGAAGACATCGGATTGGCAGATAGTAAGTTTCATTCGCAAATTCGCAATCATATTCGGTTTCGAGTATCATGCATGGATTCCACGATTTCGATCGATTTCAATTGACAGGTTTCAATCAATTTTTTTGATTCCAAGACACCTTACTGCCGCTAGCCACGGCAACGCATTTTGCCGTTCAAAACGTTGGAATGCCTGAAGCGAGGTAATTTACCGCCTTGACGTTGCAAGCTTGTGCAACCACGCGATGTGTCTAAAAAAAACCAATTGGGCTGACCTTCTCATAACAGAATCAACCTCGCCCATTGTAATACCATGATCCCTCCCTCCCACAAAGAACAAGAACAATACATGGCGTTTTGGTTGAGGCGGTCCTAACAGAGCCCTCTATTACACCCCTTTGCTTAGGTACCGTGGCGCTATGTCTCGCAAAGAAATCGACCCGAGCATACCGGGGTCTTAACAATGTGTTGGCGCTCCTGCAATCCGATCCAGAGGCTGCGAGTGCCCCAATCCCTCTGTACGTACTAACATTACCTTTCCCTACCTTGTTGAAATCGCATTTCCGAACAACATTATACCCTTTTCTGTCGCTCTTGGTTTTTTTTTCTCCTTCTTGCATTGTTCGAAACCCCTCTTCGTCGGCCCTGCTGCCTAAATATGTTTTGTTTCTCATCTCATAGTATGCGGGTCTATTCTCTTTCTCTCTCTCTCTCTTTTTTTTTGGACCCCAAAATTTGCGACGATACGGCACAGCACAGGGAATCATAGCTAGTGCTTTGTATTGGTCCACTTAGCGTCTACGGATTAGCTTAGGCAGTTGCGCAACCTGCCCACAAGATGCTTAAACCCCAACCCCTTCCCTTGCAAGCCCATGAAAGACAAGACGAAAAATAAAAAAGAAAGAAAGAAAGAAAGAAACGAAATGGAAAAAAGTGAAAAAGAAAAGAAGAAAAGAATAAGTAAAAACATATCATAGGATAGCTTCGGGCGCCTTAACCCGGTCATCTTATCATCTCGAATCGATTTACCCCATTTTTCCAATTCGTGTGGCATCCTTTTCCCTCTCCCGTTCTCAACCCACACCTTCAAACCCCTCCCTCCTTGTTCCCCTTATTGATCAGCCTTTTTTTTATTTTTTTTATTTTTTTATTTTTTCTTAGACAATTACTAACATAAAGAAATGACACAATGTTTTTTCTGACTTTTGCTTTGCCGCAATTGTCACCTTTTGGGAAAGAAAAAAACAACCTTTTTGTGAACATTTTTATTTTGAAAATACTCAGCCACCTACGCAACGCTCCAACTATGTTAATGAAAACTTTGGGTTATGGGAAAGAATACAAGTATCCACCAAATTATGTGGACGGGATTGTGAAACAGGAGTACTTGCCTGAGAGGCTTATAGGGAAGAAGTTCTTGGAGGATATAGATCTGGGGACTAGGGTTGATGAGGAGGCTTATGAAGAAGATGGCGCGGGGGAGGTTTGAGCAGGATATTTGATATATTGGATAGAAAAAAGGGGATACGAAAAATGATAGGAGGTGCGGGGAGAATTAAATGATTATTTCTCATGATATTGGTTTTTACAATAATTGAGCGCGTAGCGTTCGTTGATGCTGTATAGAAACTGAACTAAATATATACATGACAACCTGACCCCATCTATAAGCCGTAAAGAATGAATAAATTATAGACCATATTGAATAACACAAAATTGATAGAATCCAAAGAAACAGTTTTTTTTTTAAAGAAAGAATGAAAGAATGAAAGTCGCCATCAAAGGATAAAAAGAAAAAAAACCGAATATAATCAAAATCAAATGCTACCGTACCGGCTTGTAATGAATTCAGTAATCTCAAACGCTAACCTTCTAATTATCTGAGACTTCCATGGTTTCCCGCCTAAGCTTGGGTTCCCAGTTGGAGGTGGAATACTGATCAACCCAAGGGCTGGATCTTCAACTTGGACTGGACCCATAGGATCATCAGACCTTACGGTTATGGTAACATTAGGCCGAGGACTCCCTCGCCAAACATCAATACACCATTCCGAAGTATAGACAGGGCTCACATTTCCATTTGGAGAGAGCCGTCTTCTAGCAGTCGCTGAATGTGTAAGTATATACTGTTGCAAAATCGATATAATAGGCTGCGGTGATCGAAACTGCGCTCCTGGGGGGCCTAGCGGTTGTCTGTGGTCCCGTTGATCCCACGGCGAAGCAACTGAAGGCGCAGAAGAGCCGGAAGATGGCCCCCCGCTACTACCTTGTTCATAAGCAACCGCAGCATTCACAACTATAGCCTCAAACTGTCGTCTGGCCGCAGCAACGGCACGAAGGTAATCTGACGCCAAATCCTCGGGACCCGAAGCGCTAGGATGTTGTAAGAACTGTCGCCATTCGGTAATATCCATAAGTTGGTGGACTACAACAGTTCTAAATCGTTCCAAAAGTTCGGAATGGAGAATGAACGAGAGCTCGGCGGCTAGTCTACTATCTCCTACTTCGACTGATATCAAGAATGTCCTTCCCATTGCTGAAGATAGCATTGGTGATTGGCCGGGGCCACCGGCAGCGGCGAGGGATCGATTCGATAACGGTCTTGTGATTCGTTGTATTTGTTGGATTTTTTCGACACCCGGCAATGTTGGTGTTGAGGTTGTTGGCTGCTGACGGTCTGTCGCTGTTGGATTTCTTTGCTGCATATGCATCTGTGGGCTGGAGTAGTGGTGAGGCTCCAGATAATCCGTGGAGAACGATGACGTTTCATGTCGTTGTTGGAATTGGCGATAGTTTGCTGGGTCGGAGGCACGTCGGTCCCCTGCAAGCGGGAGGTCACTTTGGTAGCTCATAGCTGGGGAAGTAGCTGTCCGAGATGTAATTGTGTTAACTTTAAGGTTGCTAGAACTTGTAGGAGGTATTTCGTTTTGTGCATCTTTTTCATCTTTGATAGTAATTGTTTTACCTATCCGTCTCCTCTTCAAGGACCGCGGTGGGCTTGTATCCATTACTTTGTCTCTTTCTGGTGGATCTGGAGGTTTTGTGGTACTGGTGATAGTAGTGGAGGTGGAGGTGGGAGGAGCCATACTTCTTGATGGATAGTCTCGTTCATGCGAGCCAAGTTGTAATAGAGCTTCTGCTCCATGGTGGTAACCCACTTCATCGCTTCGTTTCCGTTTGTGTTCTCCTGGACTAGGTTGTCGACCAAACGGTGACGATGATGGGCCGAGTAAGCCGTGTATAGACCCACTTCTCGATGGTCCCCCAGGCATGGAAGGTGCCGTAACTGTTGGAATGGGCAGAATAGGATACGAATCCGTTATCGAATAGGCACCAGTTCTGCCACCACATCTCGAACACCGAGAAGGTTCGCCGGTCGAGTCATTGGGGCTTCGAGAAGAGGCATTGTTTCCCTTTTTGTTCGACCTCCGAGGCTGGTACCGATAGTCCGGGTATCTAGCCATATGTTGCCGTTTTTCTTCCTAGTACGGTAGAATCAATCGAGTCAGCTCATGAATGCTTTAAATCAAGTCTATGCAAGAAGATACGAAGAATGTTATAGAGCGACGAGCTCCATTGAGCACGGATGCACTTACGTCAGCATGGTTCTGCCATTCTTTCCGTGTGTCCTCGGTTGCATTTTTCCACATGTCGCCGATAATCTTCGAGATTGCAGGATTCGATTTGCCAGGGTTCTGAGCCATGACAGCGGAATGATGATGTTGGCGGAACAAGATAAATGCTGTTGGAAACAAAAATCCAACATTGAAACCCGGGTTAGCGCTCCTTCATTAGATCGACTGGGTCTCCCCAGGGTAGTAGAAAAAAGTATCACAACAGGCAATATGCAGGGGTTGTTTGTTCGAACTGAAGTTCGGGATAGAGGAGCTCGCAGTTTACCATTTCTAGGCCGTGGAATCTTCGGCGTTGGCTGACATAGACAAATGTGCGCCGGAGGTGTACTTGAGTGAGATGAAGACATTTGAGATTCTGATACCCCTTTCGGTTGTATGCTTCTAGGTGGCATTCCATTCGCGAATGGCGGCGGTCGATAGGGTTTTGGGAACTTATAGTATTCCTGGAGTCGGATGTCGTGCGATTGATTGTGACTGATATATTCTGAAGGGGGTATAGTAAAATTCTTGTGAGAATTATCGAACAACCGAGTGAATATATAGCCCATCTGAGAGTAATAATAGTAATAAAACTTGCATTCAAGGGGAAAGAAGTAAAGCAGAGAGAAGAAGAAACTGAGGCAGTGTATCTAACACGAAGGAAAGTAATCTGATATCGAGTAGGTTTGTAATATGGCAAAGGGCAGTATATCTGGGAATATCGAGGCAAAGGAAAGAAAAAAAACCTGGCTCTAGTAGAGATCTAGGAAGTGGGTAAATTGGGCCTTTTTCTTTGCTTTCAGGTCACAAACGGGACAAAAGGAGCAGGCAAGCCGCAGCCTTCGTATATAGAACAATACGATTGTATTCTCGACGACTTGTGCCATGTACCTTTGTTTTTGCGAGACACCACAAAGTAAGTGCGAGCTCGAGTCTGGATGTTAAGCCTTTACAGGTCAGTAAGAATCCAAGAACTGTCATCCCAAGACAGTAAAGTAATGTAAGTTAACTGTTTTCTTCTATTTTCTACAGTGGTACACAGCTGTATAGCACTAGGATAGGGCAGGTGCTGTGCCGCGTCAAGGCACAGTGACGCCACGTCTTCTATCCACTTGACTGAAGGGGCCGGGGAGATATCCAAAACGTAGAAGTAGGCGAGGGAACTCACTAGGTATTCAAGACAATCCCTAGGTTAGACTGGCTATAACCGCCTCAAAATGGTCGAACTTGGAAGCTATAGCTGCAGCTACCAATATCCTGGCCTGGTCGATCGAGGTGCACCTTAAGACCTTGGTAGGGTTGTGTTAGACAGAATAGCCTGTAGTCGTAGCTTGTATTCCGGAGAAACCAAGCTGGGTTGGATTCGAAACAGACGGGTCATCGAACGGCAAATCGTATAAGTAGCTATAACGGTTTGGGTCTTGTGCATACATATAAATATGTATCTCCACACCAAGTGCAAGGCGGCATGGCCCTGACGTTCTGACCACTATGTTTAACGCTATAAACGTCTTGGTGCCGTTCTGCGCGGCTGATAAGATCTTTTGGCTTCGCTCACACCTGCATTCGAATTTAGGACGTTTGGGCCGAAACAACAGCGTTCAAGTTGGATAAATTTGTGAGGGTGTGTGGGTGTATAGCGGTCACGAGAACGTTTGAACCTCCATCCGAAAAATAATTTCTAGCCTTTGGCAGAAGCGGATTGTCAAGATTTCTTGCTTTTTTTCTTCCAAGATTTCAGATGATATACCGCAGTCGAATAGACGAACTAATACGCGGTAAGTGCTTAATGAAAGGGCGATTAAAAGTTTAGTAAGTTTTGGGGGAGGCGATGCCTGATCTGAGGTGGATGTCTCGTAGGCGGAGCACTAAGTTTTGCTCCCAGGCTAAAACCCGTATATTTCTCAAGACAACTAGGCAATTGGGAAGATATTCCAACTGGCAGTAAAATTGATTCCGGCCAACCTGAAAACGGTTACCTGTTATACATAGTCCTCGCGGTCTCGCGCTAGGCCAGTCGGTACCAAACTGTCGGTAAATTAACCAAAAAGTGGATCGAGACGCACCCTCAACAGGGAGATATAGACCGAGAAATTCTTCCAAGCATCCACTCCCCCCCATTAAGCCTGCATCATTGGAATTTCAAAAACAAAGAAAAAAAAAAAAACTTGGGATGGCAAACGAGTAATGTGATACTCGGAGCGTATACAGTCGTCCAATAGCTGTTCATGCAAGTGTGCATTGCAGCACGATATATCATATTAATTTCTAGAAACCTAAACTGGCTGTTAGAACGTTAGCACTAGTTGCTGTGCCGCACGGTTGCATCTTGGTAGGGCTAACCGTGCCCTTCACACTGGATTGCAGGAAGTTGGATACGAAGAAGGGCTCTCAAACTGCGCATCGAGCTCACCTGTTCATGTTTGAGCTTGCCTTTTGTAGACATGGGTCGAATATGATCAGGATTTTTCGGAATCAAGTTGTGTAGATAGGAACATATGATACCCCCTGCGAGAGTGGGAATATGGTACGCTCCAGGTCATCTTGCAGGACTGGCTGCAAGCTCTTCTCGACTGGTTTGGATCTATTAGCTCTCAAATGCAAGCCCGAGGTCAGGGGGTCCCCTGGAATGCAAGCAAGTCCGTTTTGCTTCTAAGATCCAGGGTTTTTCTTTTTGAATTTTGAAAATGTTGTGTCAAGAAGATGCAGCAAAATACACATGTTTCAAGAATCGCCGTTCGTATTGCAACATATAGCGAACCACGTGGGAACGTTCCGATATCAATTGCGAATTCATATCCAACATTTTGTTATCGAACCAGCTGCAGCTAGCTAATTAGTTAGTTAGTAAGACGAATAGGCAGGGACGGCAGGGACGGCAGACGAAAGACAAAAGACGACAGAATTAAGACGACGACGACGACAACTTGCAATAAAACAGAGCCGCTGGTGTTAACTCCGCCACAGGGCTATCGAAACCCACATCTTTCATCCGGTTGTGACGGTGTGATATCGATATGCAGAAGCCGCGGCCAATGGCTGTTATAGAACATACATACAGACATACATACATACCACTTATTTACCCCTCTAGCTCCTAATCCTGAGGAGGCCAACTGACCTAACCGCAACCATCAACCAATGCAATGTTGGTAATGGCAATATTAATGGCGGTGATTATTGGGGTTTGCGTTGCCGGTCAAGAATCCAGATCGATCCTGGCATATCATCGGTCCCTCCAGTTCCGAGTTCCTGGGACTTGTCATATCCGGTTTCTCCAACGTTGCTACAATTTCGGGCTTGACTGAGTGATTTTTCCCTCGGTCTGTCCGTTAACAGACTGCTCGGCTTGCTTAGCTCGCCAGTTGTATTTCATTTTTTTTTCATTTTTTCTCGTTTTTTTCTTTCTTTCATTTTTCATTGTTTTTTATCCTTTAAGCTTTTTGTGATATGTTAAACCCCCCCGATTCCTCAGCTTTTGCACATGTTAAGTTAGTTAGGGTCAGCGGTGCTGAGGCGGTGAATCCCGCGCGCTGTATCGATGCGGCACAGACGACTCTGACTTTTGGTGTTGATGTTGGGTTAGCTTCAACAGCTTCTTTGCCGCCGACAAAGTTACTAACTTTAGATCATGCCATGGGAGGTACCTACCTACCTAGGCACTGTACCAATCCCAAAATGATCATGTTCCTGTTAATTGGCCAAGGAAGCCCCCAGTTGATTGCTACCATATGCAGCTTTTCCAACGCCGACACAACAAGTATGTAATCAATCTCTTGGGTCCCTTGAACGGGTGGATGGTGGATGGTGGATGGTGGGTAGTGATGGTGTGTCTGTCCCGAGATTGGGGACATGTCTGACACCTTGCAGCCTACAGACAAATAAGAACATTCGGATTCAACCTCGTATATCTGGTGTGCCCCCCCAGATTCTCGCTTCAGCAGGCCGTGATATCACACTGGTCCCTGGACCATGGCGTTGGTGTCTTCCCACGAGAAACCACTTCGCCTCTTTCTCACTTACCGCTTTCTTTCTCGTGGATCCCCACCCTCCATCATTCATAGGAAATGGCTCCGGCCTCACGGTCAGGAGGCTAAGCTTTTGCTTCCCGTCAAATTCGCTTCTAGATGTTAATGCAAACGGCATCCCCACCGCCACAGCCCCGCCATTCTCTATGAAATACTGAAACAACGAAGGAACACTGGACGATTTCTTTCTATTAGGATGCCTCGGTCTAAATGGCGAAACGGAAAGGAAATTCCGACTATGTATGTACAGCCGCAACAGTGCTTTTCCCTGCAAGCAGCCGGTAAGGAAAGCCCGCAGCGCTTACAGAGCCTCCTCCACATCGATTCGCATAAACATGTTCCTCTGCAGTACACAAAAAAAAACTCCAACCCGTGCAGAATTTTGTGCGAGATATAGGAAAGAAGGAAAAAATAATAAATAATAATAATGAACAGAGCATTAATTCGTCAGCATTACCCCGCATCACGATAAAAATAAGATGCATTCGATATGCAAAAATTCCTTTCGTCTTTGCCGTCCGTCCCACTTCTTCAAGAGATAAAGCTGTTCGGTTGCGCGCCGGCAACGATTTTAGCGCTGCGTTTCACGTCGATGAAGAGATCTTCGCATTCCTGCACTTCAAGTTCCGTGACTTCTTGCTTACTGGCGACCTTGGCCAGAATCCATGCTGGTGTGAGCAGCTGTAGAGCATACCTCAAGCTGGAGTTAACGCCATGTTGTGAAATGATCTCGAGAGCCGCGTCAGATATGTTGATTCCTTCGGTCTTAGCTCTCAATTTGATAATTGTCTTGATTTCCTCGGCGTTGTAGGGCAAAGTTTGGATGATGAGCAAACGATCTAACAGATCTGGTGGGATCCCGTGGGCGGATACGATGTCTTCCGTGCCGCGAATGTTAGACATGCCTCTATTGGAAGCGAGGATGACGATAGGCGAAATCGACGATTCAAGGGCACGGTTGAGGTACGTAAAGCACTCAATATCAAGCATGTGGACCTAGAAATAGTAGCACACCGCATATTAGAACCCGGCGCTTCGGTCGTGCAGAAAATGCTTTATTTGGAAGCACTTACCTCATCAATAAAGAGAACGCCAGGAACGAGTTCCGCAATGCCCTGGTCGATGTATTTGTTAACTACCTTGTTAATTTCCTGCCGTAACTTGTCTGTGATTTCTGTCTTCTTCGGCTTCATCAATTGGCCCATCATGCTCATAATGTCCTGTCCGCCTTGTGGCCTCGCATTGGCAACATCGAGATCATGCAAAGTAACATCTTGTACGATTTCCTTTTTCTTGTGAACCTCTCCTTTAGGAATCGGAACGTATTCTTCGGCCTCTAGATCGTATTCAGTGGCATATGCGTCGGATCTCCCGACCCTCTTCACCGCCCCAGTGTTTGCTTCAATGTAAACAACATCTCCTACGGCGACTCTTTCCTTCTGAACGCTTTCGAAGACGGAGGGGTCCAGCCTCAACCTCTTTGTTCCTCGCGCGGATTTCAGTCCCACAATCACGCTCGAAATGGTCTTGCCGTATCCTCCCAACGGATTGTCAGCCTCCTCTGGTGTCAACTCTGTGACTTCTCCCTCGTAAACCTCCTTCGTTTCCCTAACTCGTAATCCAATCGCTCGTCTAAAGTTCTCCATCAAAGCTTCTGTCTTCTTGACCTCTGTCGAAAAGATTTCGCTGCCAACTATCGGTCTGAAAGGGACTTTGGTTCCAAGTTCTTGTGAGACTGCTAACGCGAGTGCAGTTTTTCCGGTTCCAGGTCCACCGGCGAGGAGAACGGCGTTTCCGGCCATGCTTTTCGATTTAATGAGATCGACAACGATGCCTAGTGCCTATAACCAATCGCAAAACGGGTCAGAGCAGTTCGGTAAGGAAAAGATAGAGCTTGTAACCATACCTCTCGGGCCTTTTCTTGCCCTACGAACCCTCCTGCGACCTTTTCAGATGTTCCATCGGAACGGAGACCAAGGCCCTTGATATGAGTATGCGCCGCGGTTCTGGTCTCACGGGAGTTACCCCGGACCTCACTGATGTTGACCATTTTGTAGTAGTTTGTGGGTAGTGACGGTAGTTGAATGCGATGGGAATGTGTAAGAAAGTTTTTTTTTTGTTCGGTGAGTGAATGGAAGACGAAGTTGCGAAGAACGCGTCGAGCGTTTGCATCAACCTTTTTTCTTTTCTTGTGTGACGTTGGAGATGGAGCTGCAACACAAAATACTTCTTACATAACTACCCACTAGCTCCCCCCGTCTCCAACAGCAGCTCTGAGTGCTGGTACTTGGTTATAAGCACTCAGGACTAACAGGACTAGTTACTAATCCAATACAATAGTTCATGTCAGAGAGGGTTTCAAAATTAGAAACCGTAATCTTAATATCAGATATCGTATGTGAGGCATAGATACTAGAAAGGGTACTATTCTTTGTCCTCAATAGTTGCAAATATCCCATGAATCGCTCAGATTGCTCTACTGCTGGACAGCAAAGTACTTCACACATTTATACACCCTCAAATTATTTCTTCGGAATTGATATATAAAAGCTGTGGAATGAGGAGAAGCCGTTGGTCTCACTAACTAGTCCCAGCGACTTGAAGTCGCATTATTATAGTCGTACAAGCGAAAAGCCAATACGTATGCTTATATTTCAAACATGATTATTTTATCGCCAGAATCCGACTCATACCGCTCCAAGACCACCTATCTAAAACCCGTAAATTACAATGCCAATATATACTTTATACTCTATTTCATTCCCTAAGCCCCCTTACGCAGACTTCGCCAAAATACCCTCCAAAATATCTAGTCCCTGATGAATCTGCTCATCCGTGATAATATACGGCGGCACAATCCTCAACGTATTCTTCCCCGCCGTCAAGATCAATAATCCCTTATCCCTACACTCCGTGACAATCTCCGCCGGATCCTTCGTCAACTGTACTCCAATAATCAACCCCCTCCCTCTGATCTCTGATATCAAACCAGGGTATTTCTCCTTAAGCTTCTCCAATTGTGTCTTGAAAACCTCTCCTTTCCTTTGAATCTCCTTCAACATCTCCTTCGACGACAACCTTCCTAATACATGATGCGCAACCCTCGCCGCCAACGGATTCCCACCAAATGTTGTCCCATGATCTCCAATAACAATCTTCTCAGCAACTTGTTCCGTCACAATCGTAGCTCCGATGGGGACTCCATTCCCCAGTGCCTTCGCCGTAGTCATAATATCAGGATGTGCTTCCTTTGGCAAAGCGCCATGAGCCCACAGCTCCCCGGTTCTTCCTAACCCGCATTGAATCTCATCATATATCAACACCGCCCCAACTTCCTGACACCTCTTCTTCAACGCCACCAAGAACTCTTCAGTGGCAATATGAATACCCCCTTCACCCTGGATCGGCTCCACGATCACACCACAGGTCTCCTCGGTAACCAACTCCGGAATCGCAGCTACATCATTAAGATTTCCGTACGAAAACCCAGGAACCATAGGTCCGAATGGTTTCTGATACTTAACATTAGGCGTAGCACTCAAAGACCCCATCGTACGTCCATGGAAAGAATTATGAAACGATACGAATCCGATTTTCTTTTCGTTACCGCTAGACTTCCCAACTTTTCGAGCGAACTTGATAGCGGCTTCGTTAGCTTCGCTACCAGAGTTACAGATGAATACCCGGGATGCATCGGTCATGGCGCCGGAAGCTCGGGTGGTATCAATGATTAGACGGGAAAGTTCGCCGGTCCAGGGATTGTGGTAGAGGTTGCAAACGTGGATGAGTTTTTGGGATTGTTCGGCGAGAACGCTGGTGACGCCTTTGTCTGCGTGGCCGAGGGAGTTGACGGCGATACCGGCGGTGAAGTCGAGGTATTTCTTATTGTTTGTGTCCCATCTATTATGATAATTTGTATATTAGCATACCACGCTTCCGTAAACATCCGATACTGATATTGAAGACTATTCATACAAATAAGAACCTTCTCCCCTTTCGAACATGATATTCGGCCGGGAGTATGTTGCAACCATGTAGTTTGCTTCTTTGGCGATAACATCTTTGGCATCCAATTGAGCTGAGGTCTGTTATAGAAATCTCGAGATTAGCGTTTGTTGAGTTTATGTATGTGTATGCATAAAATGTCACAAGATATAACTTACAGCTCCAGATCCAGCCGATTGAGCTGCTTGTGAAGCTGTACTCGCAGGTCTGACGATGGTCCTGGTCAATTGAACTCGAGGAGCAGCCGTAGCCAACCTTCCGACGGCGCGCTTCGTAGATATGGAGAATCGGAGGGCCGCCATTGTTGAGTATTTTGTTGAGAGCCTCAAACTAGATCAATTGATCAAATAAAATGGAAGAAAAAAAGAGAAGGTATATCAACTCGAACGAAAAGATATTCAAGTAACCTCCGCGACCCTAAAGAACAGCAATCGACGAAACAGAATTGATGACGCAGAATCAACTGTGACTAATACTCTCATGTTAAGAAGCCGGTCGTTGGTTGCTTATCGAGCTAAGGGCAAAGGCAGCGAATGTTTGTTGTTGCGCCCTGAAAAACCCGCAATGGAAACCAAGCTACTCCGGCCGCGGCGCCGATACGCTAGGCCGGGTAAAACTATGAGATGCCCTGCAGATTTTTCCTATGGTCCATGGGTGGCCCTGGAGGATCCCCGAGACTCCCTGTATGCATTGGCGAGGGAAATCATAATTACAACACCAAAATAGGTATCAAGATATCGATATCGGAACTCCACAGATGTTCGGATATGCGGCTTTGAATGACTCATAATTTCTACGTACGGATTGCTTGTGCATTGGATGGGTTCCTGGTTTCGGGCTACCCCCAAGATATTTCAATATAATTCTTTGAGTTTTCCTTAGAAAAATGTCTATAGTTGGTATAGCTACATGGTGGCACACTTTATCGTCAAATGCTGGAGTATCACATGCATGATTTTATATATACACCTAAGATGGATAAGTGAAGCCGCAATTGGCGATTTTCACCAATTAGAACCTGAGGTCCCATCCAATCTTAGGACCAAGATTTGGCAATTCTTCGGCGACGCTTTGGACATCCTGAAAAAAAATTAAAAATTAGTAATGGGTCTTGGATATGGGATCTGTAGAAGTTACGACTTACTTTATCACCTCTTCCTGACAAACAGATGACAATATTCTTTCCCTTGCCTAGCTTCTTTGCCAGTTCCATAGCTCCCCAAACAGCGTGGGAAGATTCAAGAGCTGGAATGATGCCTTCAGTCTGTGACAATCTTCTAAAGCCCTCGAATGCATCCTCGTCATTTGCGGCAATGAACTCTGCTCTTCCATCATCCTTCCATTGCGAGAGTTGTGGACCCACTCCGGGATAATCCAATCCAGCGGAAACCTATCTCGAGTCAGTATTTGTATTTTATGAAAAGGAACAACAAAATGGAATAATTCGCTTACGGAGTGAGTGTCGAGAACCTGCCCGTGTTCGTCTTGCAAAATATAAGTTCGAACACCATGCAAGACACCCTTCTGTCCAGCTACCAAAGTGGCGCTGTGCATCATGGTATCTACACCATGACCACCCGCTTCAACTCCCAAAAGTTGGACCTCCTTATCATCCTGGAATGGGTAGAACATGCCGACACAGTTACTGCCGCCACCGACGCAAGCGACGACAGCGTCTGGGAGTCTGCCAGTAAGTTTAATCATACCCTCCCTAGTCTCACGACCAATAACGCTTTGGAACTATTCCCTCTGTTAGCCTCGATTCTCCTTGTTGGTTAGGTAAAGGGCATAACTTACGGTTCTGACAATCGTGGGGAAAGGATGTGGCCCGATAGCAGACCCGATAATATAATGTGTACTATCAAGATCCACAACCCAGGCTCTTAGGGCCTCGTTGACAGCGTCTCGCAAGGTTCTTGTACCAGCCTCAACGGCAATGACCTCAGCACCGAGCAACTTCATTCTAAAGACATTCAAAGCTTGTCTTCTGCAGTCCTCAGCGCCCATGTAGACAGTGCACTTCATTCCAAACTTGGCAGCTACAGTGGCAGTAGCAACACCATGCTGGCCAGCTCCTGTTTCGGCAATAACTCTCGTTTTGCCCAAACGTTTAGCAAGGAGCATTTGACCAAGGGCATTATTTATCTTATGGGATCCAGTATGGTTCAGATCCTCACGCTTGAGATAGATATCGGCACCACCAGCGTGCTCAGTGAGCCTTGGTGCAAGATGTAAATGCCCTGGTCTACCCATGTAAGGGTAGTAGGATTCGAATTCTTTCCAGAATTCAGGGTCCTTGACGGCTTCGTCAAATCCCCTTTCAAGCTCAATAAGACAATCCATCAAGCTTTCAGGAACGTATTGGCCACCGAATTCGCCGATTTTCGAGGGAAGAATCTAGAATTCATTATATAAGTCACTAGCCAAAAAAAAAGAGAGTTCGTAACAGAATATCTTGCCTCGGGGTGGGGTGGGTGTTCCATGTTGAGCGCTTCGATCTGGTCGGCAAGACCGGGCTCGGTACCATACGGGCCCTCTCTGATGACACCGTCGACCGTAACCTTCGACCCATCAACAGCTCTATTCTCTCCGTTCGCAAAGGTAACATTCTCGCCATTTGGTTTCGAAAGGTCACCCAAATCCGATCTTCCGAGGACTTCGTACAGGTATTTCCTAAGAGCCAAAGTCTCATTTCCTGGATTTTCGCGAATGACATTCACGATCTGACTGCCGATAACTACACCTTCGGCGGCGGCGCCAACAAGCTGGAAGTGTGCTCGGGTGCTCACACCGAACCCGACAGCGATTGGCTTATTTCCAGAAGCTTGTTTGACCCTCTTGATTAAATCTGGTAGGTCATCATTAAGCTTACCGGTGGCGCCAGTAACACCCATACGAGAAACCAAGTAAATGAAACTGTCTGCGATGCTGCAGAGCTTCCTCAACCTGGCCTCTGAGGTCGAGGGTGCTACAAGTGGGACGTAACTCAAACTGTATGTTCATAGCAAATCAGTAAAAAATTTCCCAATGAAATGGTAACCAGCATAACATACCCTCCCTTAACGCAGTGATCTCTGAACTGCAGAGCCTCCGTCTCTGGCGGCAGATCAACCACGATGAAGCCATTGATACCTGCTTCAGCACAATCCTTTATTAACCTCTCCTCGCCGTAGATGAGCATGGGGTTATAGTATCCCATCATGACGATTGGTACCGTGACTCCAGCGGCTCGGGCTTGTTTCGTAATGCTAAGGACGGTAGGAACGTTGACATTGTTTTGTAAGGCGATCTAACATTACGGCAAGATAGTCAGCACGGAATTCCTTAAATAAGGCAGATGTAAAGGAACATACGGTATTGGAGCCTTGGATTGTCGGGCCATCGCCAATTGGGTCGGTGAATGGCAAACCAAGTTCAATAACGTCTATGCGATAACACTATGAGCCAAGGTGTATACACAACAGCAATTGAGTCCCGGGATATCATACCGGCACCTCCGGCCTGTAAAGCCTGGAGGATAGGGACCGAAAGTTCGACGGTAGGGTATCCAGCGGTAACGTAGGCGACCAAGGCATTCTAGCAGTTGGCGTTAGTCATGGATATTGATTGCGACCTTCCTAGGAAGAACGAACTCTGCCTTCGGCCTTGCACTTTGCGAATGCAGCTTTAAGACCTTCCATCTTGTTATGTGTATGTGTGTATGTGTGTATTTTCCGGGGTAAGAACCAATTGAGTGAAGCAGAGGGTAAGCCGTCGATAGAGGAGAACAATGCAAAGAGAACGTTTGAATTGAAGTGTGTTGGATGGAGATTTAAATTCGTCTACGATGTCTCGACCACCTGAAAAACAATGAGAAGGCTTTTATTCCCGACAACCGCGTAGAGTTAACAGAAACCTCAATGACTCATAGAAATTCTCCAGAAAAGCGATGGCGCTCCTTTTTTTTTTGGTAGAACAAAGAACAATTACTAAGGTCACGCTGGCTCGTCTGTTGGATAAATCTTCAATACATACCAGGGCCGAATGAATATCTGCAGGCAAATTGCCCCGCACAGGCCTGTCGCCCCACTATCGGCCTCCCCGGTAAAATCTTTTTGACGGAACAAACCTGGTGGAATGCCGCCCCGAGCCTTGGGTGCAGGGACAGGGTTCCTGCCGCGACAGCGCCAGTATTGCCTGGAGCCGACGTCGGAATGATTGCGGATATCGTCAGGCTGGGGGAGCACCATGCGGAAATTGATGAAGGAAGGATACGCCACTTTGTGATCGAGATCAGCCTGCCGCCACAGAGCCTGCCGCCACGGGACCAACCACAGGACCAGCCTCATCGGAACAAAGCGGGGTGGGGCTAATTGAAGCGATCCTGAATTGAACAATTGCAACAAATTTGAACCTAATATATTCCTTGAAGCCTGAGCTGAGTGATCTCCCCAACTCTGTACTACGTAGGTTTCAGGGCTCTCTTTATTCTTGAACATTTTGCCTTAGCTTTTTAACCTTCTTGGCTTGTGATCCCACAATTAGAATTCGGCCTGATTGTTATAATATAATTTAATTGACCGACGGCGGTGGTACGAACCAGATTATCAATAGTCATGAGTCAACTCTCTCCTTACGACATCTGGGTACGAATTTATGATAGTCTACCTTTAGACCGGAAATCTATGCAAAGGTATGGATCCTGCGGAATGAACTTTTCACTGTAGATATACTAATTAATGTAATTCCGCAACCACCCGCACGGTCGTTCCTACACCATAGGGCTATTTTAGACCAGATCTACAAACTTTGCTTTGAGAACTGGACTCTCAAGGGACTTATTCACTTTCTTACTGGCGGAGCAATTATGATCCTTATATTTCTCCAGATAGCAGGGTTTGGCTTGCGTGGTCCTGTCGCCGGGTCTTTGCGACAGTGTGGCAGGCATCAATCGGCAACGTCGCCACCCGTAGTTTGTTCGCATTTCTTCAAAGACTTGGAATGCGCTATAAAACACATATTATAGTCGGTGCCCTTATTGGAATTTGGGCAAGTTTTTTTTTGGCCAAATAGGTAGCTAGTGGAGGCGATGAGGTTCGTGACGATGGAACCGCTCCGGGAACGTTTAAGAGAGATGGATTGGGCCGAAGGGCATTGAGACCTTTGCGTCCGTTGCAGGATGCCTATCGAGTTAATAGATATGGCTTCCAGAGTAAAACCAGATTTAGAGGCTGATGCCATGATAATTGTCCTGGATGTAGTACTAGAACACTGAGGATAGAACTATATCTCAACTATCTTACAATGCAATGTTTGGGAACTCAAACTCAGGAGAATTGATGTGCGAAATCAAGAGCGTTTGGTATGGTATATACATATATATGAGATACCTGCAGGACTACATACAAAAGAAAAGAAATACAAGAAAGAAAGATCATCGATCATCCAGCTCAGTGCCTCCCAAACTTATTTCGTAAACCAAATGCTGCTGCGGATGTCCCAAAATGGTTCGGCTTCGGGTCAAATGGTCGCGATCGGGAGCCCATTTAAATCCGGGAAGCGTGATGGAGGCCTAGGGAGTAGGAACGGTGATGGTTCAGATCGTAGGAGGCGCGATGATGGTTCGTGATATCATGTAGTTTTAGGACACATAAGAGCGGTAGCTTTCTCAATTGGAATAAGGGTAAGAAGTGCTTCGGCAACTTGGGAAGAGATATGTTTACTAAAGTCTTTACCCACCGCTTTGGGCCATTGGCTGCGAGGTATACTTTGGGCGAACAGAACGTGCAGTTTATTGACCAAGTATGGCATTTCTCTAACCTTAGACAGGCCGATAGCATTCAGAGCAATGCTGAAAACTGCGAACCCGAAAGCAATATATTTGTCAAACAGATCCCTCAGAGCATTGGCGACCTTTTTGACGTTACAAGTCTCCAAAACATCGAACACTTTCTTAAAAGCCGCCACCACGTCTACGACAAGGTCTATGTTTTCGACGATTTCAATGGCTATAACGATTGCAGTGCCGATACCCGGGAGCGCGATCTGTATACCTATCTTTGCCGCAATTTCGAGACCGCTCAGAAGGAAGCCCATGGCCTTTTCAATGTCGGGGACTTCATCTGCCTTCATATACGACAGCGCTAAACCAAGCCCTTTTTTTCCTTTGACGTTTGGAATTAAAGAAATAAAAAGCTTTGGGTTTGGTGTAGCGTCTGCAATCTTTATCGTCTGTTGTTTCAAGTTGCTACCGTTCATGTTGCTTTCGGCAAAGTAGACCTCCTCCGGATCCCCGAAGAGGCGGAATTTCGACACGCTTATTATCAGCTTACCCGCCTTCAGCAACGTCCCGGCCCCGGTTTTAGTGGGATCCTTTTGCCGCCTGATGGTATATTCGAGGGTTAAGGTTATAGGCCTCGGCGTAGAATTGAAATCTATGATACTATTTGTTTTTATACGTAATGTACCAAGGGAAATTACCTTTTTCTCATTCTCAATACTTCTGTTTATTGAGATATTAACAACTTTTCGGCATTATTTGAAGCCCTGTTGATTGATGTTAACTGGGTCAAATAGGGTTTTGGACTATTGTCTGGTTAGAATTTGTCGTCCCCACGGTTCATATAATTATGCTACTGGCACCTACATTCTTAGTGTTAATGAATTCAGTAGAATACTTAGGCGTAGAACATTAACCATCATCGTTCCTAACGATTGTATTATCTGGCCCTATCCAGTCACCAATGTAGCCTCCAATCTTGGTTTTAATCGTTACTACCTTGATATGGAACGTTATATCGTATGGTATACCGAGTAGGCCGATTGGCATCTGAACGTCACTATCTAGTATCTCATCACGTGCCCAACCGACGGGTATTTGTTGACGTCGAACATGCATCGCCATGGTTTGAAGATACTTTATACCTAGGTATCTATCGGGCGTAAAGTAACTTCTGTTCCGGAAAGACAAAAGGTGGGGGATCTGACGAATAAAACAATTCAGACTGGTGCCCCGGAAATTATATTGCGATTGATATAGATCGAAATCGATAGCTATAGAAGAACAATCAATGCTTCTATAGCTGTGTATTTATAGTAAACTTCAGATCTATATAGTACACTCGAGCTTCAATAGTAGATTCGTCCGTATACTACCGGCCGCGAAGACAATATTGATCGTTTCGAAACACCATTGATCAACCGCTCATAATTACCAAGCTTGGATTTCTCACGATGCAATGCAACGGTACGGGCCCACAAGCTCGCATAGTCTAGCCTCGATGTAAACACAAAGGGAAACCTGCTGCGTGATATCCTATGGTGGTCAAAACGTGTCAGAACAAATGTAAATGAGAAAACGACAAAATAAACTTGACAATTGAGATTCCAAGCCTATTCTGGGTCACCTTAGGCCGAATTCGGTACCACACCAGCCCGCAGCACTGTTGGTGGCTGTTGGGGTATTTCTGGCAAGGGTTTCTCTTGAATTGAAGGTCCTCCTTCGGATTTCTCTCGAGGAGAGGTTTCAAGGTAATACTTTGATTGAGCGTCTGGGAATTCGACTTGATACCAGCGTAGCTCACGGACCGCCTGTGTCTCGCGCAGAATCGCCTGCTCATGCAACATCTGCCTTCGTTGATCTGAGAGGTAAATGGAAACAGCCCTATATAAACAAAATCAATATCAATATTAGGTTATAGATGTATTGGGATGAGGGAGAGAAAAAAATTCAATATTAGGGGAGAATGGTATTAGTATTTGTGCCTCAAAAACCATTTATAATTAGGTAGTAACAAGTTTGTAAATACTTTTAGAATCTAGATTCTCACCTCTAGCAATAATACCGGCTTAGCTGTTTACAATCGAATTCTTAACATGGATTTAAATAAAACTACTTACCTAGGTAATTAATATGCCTAAACAACGATCAAGAAAGGGTTCTTTATAAGCTAACCCACCACCAGTTTACTAACTTTACCTATAGATTCTCAATGGCTTTTAAACCCCTTTCAGAAGATAGCGCATGTATTTTCCGATATGTGAAACTTGATTTTCCCAAAGATTGCCGCATTGTTATATGATCTATACCATGAGGTGTTTGCGAGTTGAGGATAGTATTCTGATATGCTGTGCGCATTTTTGCACGTCCCTGAATGAGAGCTATAGTGGTAGGATGGTTAGCGAGATAATAGGCGGTTTGAGTCGCCGGAGGGGATAAAGGAAGGATGCTGTAGGTTGCTTTGGAGAAAGTCGATCTGATGAAAGCAGCACTTACGGGATGTCCGACAACATTATATAGACGGGTATCGCCGTGGGTAGTCGTAGGTCCTATTATGGGCGGGTCGGTGATGTCTGGATAGTGGTGGGAAGGAGTACAAAACCCACGCGGACAACGCGAAAAGACAAACCTCGAACGCAGCAGTACCAGAAAGTTACGACAGTGTACCAGGAACTCTACACACACCGTCATACAAAAACTTGTTTCTCTTTTTCTTCCCTTTTTGTTTCTGTAATTACCAAAGTAGGAAGTACCTACTTAGTTATGATATTGTTACCCCGCAGAAGGATCCATCAAAGACTTCGCATTGATACAGGAAACATTTAAACAGCCATTTAATAAACTATAAAGATCAATTAAAATCAAACTTCGACATAATCGGACGATTACTTGAAAAACAAATTAAAGGAACCGCGTATATATACCAACTAGTAGGTACAATTCCTCAGAGCGTGAACTCCAAAGCGGAGCTAAGGTCACGCTGAACCGAGACTAGTACAATGTACATTAACGTGGGATAGTAGAACTAAGAATTTATAGTTCCTGACACTTCTCTAGGGTTTCCTAGGCTAGTCAGGATGGCTCTGGACGAAAGAACAAAGACAACATTGGAGAATTGTCTTCGTATCATTTACCAAAATCTCAACAACAATCCCACTTACCTAGAAATTATGGACCTCTGCGCGCCATTCTTCGGCACCTCCGATGTTGAGAGAGGAAACCTGACCGATTTCGTCGAAGGAATTTCGGCGAATTCAGAAAGAATAAGACGACAGATGTATTTTTTCGAGGGACAGAGCTTTGATTGGCAGAGCAGCGTCTCGTTCTTGGAATACGCAGAAGTTCGGTTGGAGATCGGGATTTTGGGCATACTTACGATATAATTGGCATCTGGTGTTCCGGGAAGCGCTTGCTATGGAGTTTAAATGCGTTTACGGTTCATTAGCTACTGGATCATTAGGGCTGATGGTAATGGGGTCTGGCTTTGGTACCGTTCCAGGGCTCTTGGGGTTCGCGGTATTCGCGTATCTGGGCTATACGGAGATCGACAAGGTTTTGTGAAGTATTTGAATATTTGGAAATTGGGAATGGTATTTTGGTAATATGATTGCAACATTCGGTGTTTGTAGCTATTCTCGAAATCTCGGGTATACCACAGCCAACTGGTACTTGGAAGTCTTATATTATTCTGCATGATGGGTTGATGCACAATTGAGGAGTCCGGGGACGAGACAAGGTTGATGATGATGTTTTTGGTTGATACATAAGTAATTTAATGTTGATCAGTTATAGGTTTTTGAGGGTGTTATATTAGTGCAATTTCTAATTTGGAGCTTCAAGAGCCCTTAAGTGAAGCGAGGTACAGTACATCCGTAAACAATCCCTTCTGCTCTGGAATGACTTTCAAAACTTGATTTTATAAGTATTTAAGTAATTAGGTATTCATGCCAGGCAAAATCTCCGAAGCCCCTATTGTGCATAACGTCGATGGTTTCCCCTTCCGCATGTTTGTAAAAGATCTAGTTTCTATATTATCAAAAACAGAAATAACCTGCAACCATGGAAGAACCGGCAGAATTTTCTGTCAGCAGTCAGAAAGGCATATCGGTTGACATGTCCTTCGCAGGCCAATCCAATGTCCATACGTGTGTTGATTTTCGATACCAATTGATCCCTAGTCTATATAAAAGTCGATATACAATTAGTATACCAATACAGTTGGTATAAATATGGAAGAGTAATACGTACGATTTTGAAAATTGGCCAAAGCGATTGCGAACCATTACATTGTGAGGTTTCGAGCGTCGTAAGCATATACCTATATGCGCATAACCTTATGAGCCATCTGCAAGATTTCAAAGCTTAGGGTTGAACTCTCAGAGTTTGCAAATGGGCTGTCGAGAACTTTTGAAAATATCCTTGTAGGATATCCCTCCTAATCCCAAACTTACGGCTGGTCAGATACTTTAGTATAGTATATTGATAGATGGCTAAAATATTTCTTACATACCTAGGTAATTTTCACTAACCCCCTGTATCATGGCTTTTCGTCTAGAATCGGCGACACAATAGGTGTCAAGAAGAATATTTCCTAGTCTTCCTCTGGTGATTATCTCCCATAGCATGGGGCATCATGCATTAGGTCCGGCCGACTAACAGGTCGACTCCGGAGATTTTCGAAAACTTTCGAAGTACGTTCTTAGACGGCATTTGCGGCGTATGTCCTAAATATAAACCCTTTGTCGAGTATATATATTCCAACCTCTATCACTTGTATATGCAATAGTTAACATCGAAGATACATTTGATTTTCTCAATTAACATATTGGAAGGATCAAAACTCACGAACCAGGAAAGCTGTAGTAAAATGAGAATATGTATCGATAAAAAATTAATAACGATGTATGAAAGGATCATATGTGATTCTGGTATTATGTATTATGAATATATAAGTACTTATATATATTCAAATTTGTTTGCAAAAGGTTGATCAATTAAGACCAGGTTCATCTTCGTAGATTGTAAAGGTCCTGATCAGTGTAGCCGTGTTACCCGCCAGAAGATCTTAACAGAACATTTTAGTGATATCGTGAAAGTTCTACAATAAATTTTGTCAAGGGGTTTGATCAATTGAGCTATCATTCTTCTCCTTTTATAACATATTGATGATGGTTAGATATCATGAGGTGATTATTTTATACATGGCCATGCGGAAGTAGGATTAAAATTTATTGCCTGCTATTAAATACTTCATGATGGCAGTCTTTATATTCTATCTCTCTCCATTCATTTCTATTTTTTATTAGAGCATTGCATCAACTTTGATATTCAGTCGGCATAGTTTACCTGCTTAAGTAATTACAGGAATGAAAAGCCTGGTAGGTGAGGGATTGGATGGTATTATAGTAGCCATATATATACCTATGTATACTTAAGTATATACTTATATATACCTCACTACAGGGAGAAAATAGCTAAACGTTCACCAAATATCTGTACCCTGTTGGTTTCCAAGTGAACTAGTGCGTATTGAACCGGGGGGTTTTAGTCATATTCATGTTTCGAAGTGTCACAAGACAGATATATTTACTAAGCCACGCGGTTATCTCATGTGTACCAAAAATCTAACATCTTGCAATTGCATTATCGCTTCAATCCAATAAACAGGTAAAAGAAAAAATGCTGTAGACATGTTTCTTTCGAATACCACCTCCCCGCGAAACAAAATCTCAAAAAAAGGAAGAAGAAAAAAAAGCAAGCCGAGATACCCAAGTATCCATAAAGAAACTGACTGGGGTGTTTAAAGATCAACCAAGTTCTCTTCTTGGGTTTTGTTATCATCTTTTGGTGCCGTATCCCTAGTATCCTTTGTCGCGGGCTTCTTTCCTTTCCTGTCGCCGGCGGATCGTTGATAGAACTCGTTGATAACCTTCTCCGGAATACCTATATCGAATTAAACTGGTTAACACTCTATTCAATGATGCACTGTTCTAGTTCATTTTGTTTAGGTAACTTACGATTCAACAATTCCTTCGGGTAGATTCGGAGCAACGACCAGGCGATATCAAGAGATTCGAAAATGGTTCTCGACTCGTATGCTCCCTGAGAAATGAAGTTTCTTTCAAACTTCTCAAGGAATTCCAAGGAAAGCTTGTCTTCGGCAGACAAAGCCTCCTCACCGACGACTGCTTTCATGGAGGCAGCATCTCTACCGATGGCATACTTGGCGTAAAGCTGGTTCGAGACATCACCGTGATCCTTCCTTGTCATGCCCTATTAAAAGTTTTAGCAAAATAAATCGGGAAAATACAATGGTCTATCGACGCGGGTCCCTACTTCACCAATAGCCGACTTCATGAGACGGGACAACGATGGCAAGACATTAATTGGAGGATAGACGTTTCGGTTATGTAGACCACGATCGACGAAGATCTGACCCTCAGTAATATATCCAGTAAGATCCGGAATTGGATGTGTAATGTCATCGTTAGGCATGGTCAAGATTGGAATCTGGGTAATAGAACCATTTCGACCCTCAACACGACCAGCTCGCTCGTAGATGGTGGACAAATCAGTGTACATGTAACCTGGATAACCACGACGACCGGGCACTTCTTCTCTGGCAGCGGAAACCTAGATTCTAGCGTTAGACTTGAATTTATAAGTCCGCTACGGGAAATATTCAATCTCACCTCACGCAAAGCATCGCAGTAAGCTGTAAGATCTGTCATGATAACCAAGACGTGCTTCTCAAGCTGGTAGGCATAATATTCGGCGGTTGTCAACGCCAAACGAGGAGTAATGATACGTTCGATTGTAGGATCATTTGCCAAGTTCAAGAACAAGGTGACACGCTCCAAAGATCCGTTCTCCTCGAAATCTCTGGTGAAGAAACGACTGGTTTCCATATTGACACCCATGGCTGCGAAAACAATGGAGAAGTTGTCCTCATGACCATCGAGGACGCCCTTCGTCGGTCCCTTGACCAAACCAGCCTGGCGACAAATCTGTGCAGCGATTTCGTTATGCGGAAGACCAGCAGCAGAGAAAATTGGAATCTTTTGACCACGAGCGATAGAATTCATTCCATCGATAGCTGAGATACCAGTCGAAATCATTTCTTCTGGGTACACTCGGGTGTAAGGGTTAATCGGAGATCCGTTGATATCCAAGTAATCCTCTGCGAACACCTTAGGACCCTTATCAATCGGCTTTCCTGATCCATCAAAGATACGTCCCAACATGTCCTCCGAAACTGGAATCTTTAAACTCGATCCCGTGAACTCCACTCTTGTCTTCTTAACATCGATACCAGTAGTTCCCTCAAAAACCTGGACGATAGCCCTATTTCCTCGAACCTCAAGGACCTGACCAGCACGTTTCGTCTGATCGGGTAGAGTGAGTTCGACGATTTCATTGTAGCGGGGGAACTTGATGTTATCGAGGATGACGAGGGGACCGTTCACACCAGCGACAGTGTTGTAACGTATACGAGGGTTGACATTGTAGTTACGAGTTACGGCGGCAGCGTTGATAGCGAACGCCTCTTGGGCGGATAATCTGGCTTCGGCCATGATGTGCCCGCCGGAGTAAATGGTCGTCGCGTAAGAAGAAGATGGGTTCGGGGGTGGTTTGGGGGGTTAGCTGCGGGCTGGTGTCGTGGAGGTACGCTGTGGTTTTCAAGCTTGCTGGGATGCGGGACGGACTGCACTACGTCAACTTTGGCTGGTGCTGTATCGATAACCTGACAACACAAAACCCGATGCCCTGCACATCCGTTATGCAAATATCGATATGGACCGCTGCATAGTATACTCATTGCATTACTTTTCTATAAAAGATTTAAAGAATGCAATTGCATTGCAAGTTGTCGTTATCTTAGAAATCATGTAATTTTTACCTTATAAGTGTTTCGTCGCGATCACGACGATATCGTAACAAGGTACTTAAGTTCTGCTGTTAGTGTTTAGAGACCGATGTGAAGTACGTAATGCAATGGTATATAGTCCGCGAATTCGATGAACAGTCCAGCCGTCCAATATAAAACCAAAGATCAAGAACCATGCTAATGTAACTAATTTAATCCCAAGTACCAGTCGAAAGCATATTCATCAAAGGCACAAAAATCAACCAGAGGGCCCTAGGAAGGTAAGGGTATAACCTTAATCTTCAATGGCTTAGACCAACTGTGCGAAAGCCTGCACCATAAACCAAGCCATAACCAGGCGAATCCAAGTCTCATTCCTCCCAGCGCCAGACCCAGGTCCTCGGACTTGTTCTTCGACATTATCTTGAAACTGTCCGATGACATTCCCATGTGGAGCGTATTCTAATAATTCCAATTAGTCGGTTCTGTATATTGTATTATTCAACTAACTCGCAACCACCCGATACAACCACCCGATAAAAAGACTTACCACATGCAAGAAACCACCCGGGTGCCTTTCCCTCACCCCCACACTCCTTTCTGGCACATCCGATTTGAGTAGTATTAGTCCATACTAGCTGTGTGAAGTGTCCAGTCTGATAAAGATTGATATCATTAGTACTGGTATACATCCTGGATTATCCCCAAATGGTCTCAAAAACCGTAGAGAACATACCTCCATGCTAAAATCTGGATCTCCATAATCGTACTCATCAACTTCATCCTTCCACGCCGTAATCGCCGCAGAAACATTAGGATATCCTGCAGCTAAGTTTTCACCATAAGGCTGGCCCTGTATCCCAATACCCATCAGTTAGATCTATATCCAAAAAATCAACTTTAGAATTATAGAATACGCACAGAGTGTTCAAATATACAATCCTCGACAGCATTTTCTGCTGCTTCTGCAAGGGTATCATTCCAGCTTAATGCCGTAGCATTATACCAATCTCTGTATGCTGTTTAAATTGAATTGCGCGAGTGTTAGTATGTGGTATTGACTTGAGATGTTGGAACATATGTGTTGGAGCTTACTGTTCGTGACATTCAAGACCGCTTCTTTGAAGGCTTTGTCAGAGGTATAAGATTTATCGGCGTCTTGCGCATGGATAAAAGAGATGAAGGATAAGATAATTATGAGTAGGCTGAGGGTATGCATTTTTTATTACTATAATATCTTTACTCAGAGAATTTGCAATATTTCAGGTTTGACGAAATATATAGCCAACGTGTATTTTGATTCCAGTGCGCAGCGCTGAAATCGAAAGTAGAGAATACGAAAAGAAGCTCAGAATGCTGAATCAAAAAAATAATAGGGTGAAGTCCGTGAGAAATATTGGTTTAAGCAGTTAGATTGATATCTGATGCTATACCAATATCCTTAAAAAAAATACTGAGCAGGTCCGCTATCGCCGGGTGTGTACACCCGATTATATACTACTCATTAACTCCATCATAAAACATATGTAATTTTAATGTAAGTCTTAGTAAATGACATCGTCACACCTCCACAGCCCACATTTCGAACCCATTTCCAAGGTTTCCTCGTTGAAGATCTTTGATATCAGAATCACCAGGGGTACGTCGACCTTGCATTGTGGAGCCGAACTTCTGGAAAATTACGTCGTTGGGAACATCTCCCAGCGAACCAACTTTAAAAACCACACCTGCAACATAAAAAAAGTTGGACGGGAAGCCGAACATATGCATTAGCTTTGGATCAACCTTCCACGTGGATTATTCAGGAACTAGCTGAATAGCAAATATCTTTAAGAATTTTAGCTATTGCAAATTAAACCGAAAGATTGACATATAACGGCGCTGTTTAAAGGTTCATGAGCTCGAGATTACGTAAGGTTGGGGTTTGGCCATGTGTGAAATGCAACAGGATAAACACAAAATCCGAACAGAGGATTGGAATCTACCGTTGATTCAAAATCTTATAAAGAGCGCCTAGTCCCCTTCGAGCAACAGTGGATTCCTCAAAGGCATCTTTCTCCATCAAGTCAAAAAGTAGATTTGAAGGCAACCGTGTGAACATCATCTCAGTCTTGTAAACTTCCATTTTACGCAAATTTTCCGCTATTACTTCGTCTTTGCCACGAAGATGCAGTTTTACTAAGTAACTGCTATCTTGTTGATAATCTATTGATAGCTGTACGTTAGTTCATTTGACCTAAGACGGCGTAGAGGAATAACTCAACGGGGATAAATAGAAACTGGGTATTTGATTATACAAACCTCGTGGAGGGTACGCATCAATTGTTTGGGGTTTATCCTCAAACTCAGATTCTCCGGGTCGAGGAAGATTATTGGTTTGGAATATAACCTCGCCTCTACGTATGAACTGGTCTCCGCTAAGAGACAATGCCGATAGATGAGTTTCATCCTGTTGGATAAAGAGCACAAAATGGAAGTGTACGTTTCCCATTCCGAAGACTATCAGATTTCCTCCAGAAGTTAGCAATGAGGGTTCATATTCCAGATTGGGCGTACAAAGTGAAAAGTCTAGAGGAAATTAACGTACGCGGTCCAGCACTACCCTGAGAAATCCATATCCCTTGATATGACCTATCTTCCGTCGGCACAAGTAACCCTTTGTCCAACGCAGCATACGTGTACAATTTTTCTTCGTCAAAAACTTGGAATAAATCTTTGCTATAGTCTCCACCGTCATCAGGCCCGGTCGTATGTCTCCAATCGACTATCGTCCTATCTTTCGAAGGTATTTCTATCGGTGGCCAGAGCGGGTCGGGTTTGATGCGACGAAATATCATTTCCTTCGCTTTGTATCGAAAAACTCCATGATCTTTATCACTAGCCGTCATGAACGATTCCGTTTCCAGTTGCCAGCTAGGAGGGGAGATTTGATCTGGTAATGTAAAAGGACTAGCACTAAACGGTGAATTTGAGGAATAACTGAAATTCTGGACCTTTTTGACCGATTTGACGATTTGTAGGACCGTTTTCCCAGCTACTCGATCATACCGAGGGACCAAGAGAGTTCCGGCATCTGTTTGGTTACCAATCCAAACTTTTCGATGCAACCATGCAAAATTGTCGTTAGAACCTTGTAGATTGTGGTTTCCAATCCTTCCTGGTTCGTCGGGGTGATAGTACGAGCCGCCGTGGAAAATTCTATACATTCCTGCAACATAGCTAGAGCGATTTGGATTGGCTGACTTTCCGTTTGGTAACCGACCAAGCTCGTATACATGAACCGTACCTATGTAACCACACTCGGATCTTATAATATCTAGCAGCGCATGCTCTTTTGTAGTTTCCCCAGGGCTCTGCTTATGCCATAATACACTACCAGCCACAGATCTGTGGAATATCGGCTGACCTTCTTCCGCGGTGTTAATGCCGTGTATACCCATCTTGGGCAACTCGACTAGTAAACAGGGCCCTTTATCGGAGGAGTGTTTTCTTAATAAACCACAATTATGCCAGTCCTTAAGAGCGTTTTGGACCTTGAATATTACTTGTGGGTGAGAAGATGCAGGGATTATCCCATTGAAAGTATCCTCCCGGTCGACACGACGACAATACCATCGACCATCTACGGATCCATCGTCTCCGATTTTGAACTCCTCTCCATAATCGTTGAGTTCTCCGACCGGCATGTCGTACAACGACTGGGGACACCAAGACCACCCCCCAGACTCTGCTATAGTCGGTTGGTCGTGCATAAGCGCCAAAGCATCGATTCGTCCAAATTTTGAAAGTACTCGTTTTGTAAGACCCTGCGAGGTGTCGCCAGCTTGAATTTCGATTTCCGCGAGTAAAGCCGCAATAAGCATCTTATCACGGGCCCAAGAAGTACTCCTTGGTTTTAATACCAATAATAAATCGTGTATCGAATGTATTGGACTACGCAGCCGTTTCAGGATCGAAGACGCGATCAAATGCCCCGTGGATGTTCGACAGGCTTCCTGAGCAAGTACATCTTTGTCGAGATCCTTGATAATATGGCCACCCGTTATAGGATCCTTAAAGATTACCTTTATATTCTTGGACATGATGAACTCAAGGGCCGTCCAACCGCGAGTAAACCATGAAGAAAGAACAATTGCAAGGCAAGGGCTTCCATCGTCCTTCCACTCGAATTCAGTCAGATATGTGTCGTGAAGAATCGTACATTCCGCATTCGCATAATAGTTGTGCATCTCATTGATGGCCTTTCTCCTTGCTATTGGCTCTGTGGGTATAGATATGGTATCCCACCAGATCCCTTCAATCTCTGGACTAACGTCCCGAATACAGCCCGCAAAATAGTCGAATAGGCAGGCGTTGACTTCTCCAACTGTCCCTAGTCCGATACCTGTGCCATCGGACCATACGTGTGATATTGCTGCATATTTCCTTCCCATTTCGAGAAGTTGGGGAGGTTGGTTTATTGACCAAACGGTCCAAAATATCGGGTTTTCAGCAGCTTTGTTGAGAATTGCAGGGTCGAATAGCATCTTGGATTTGCAGGTCGAGTCGTGTGCGCCAGTCCTCAGCTGGGGTTGTAGAATCGTGTTTAAGGACCCGGAAGTATTCATTACTTCACATTTATGCAACCGGTGAACCCTTGTAGAATCGAGTGTAGTTAGGGTGCAAGAATTTGTTAAACAATCCTCGTGTCCTTGGTGTGATAGGAGCGGATTGGCTTTAACAAGTTCCATTAGAGCCGGGAAATCCACTTCTCCTCTTTCAGTCGCATTTCGTAAATTCCACAGACGATTCGGACATATGCTCAGGCTATTTGCGTCGAAAGTGGCCATTTTGACAGTTCTACCATAAACATTCAGAGGTATGAAGTGTGGTGACCATATTCCTTCCGAGTAATCCGAAGTTCCGAAATCTCTTTGCACCCTGATCGCCCAATATATGATTTCACAGACCGCAAAAGGATCAGTCTCTCGAAGCCCACCTTTGTCATCTCTCAAGGAGACACCATCATAGAAGTTACCCTCCCGTTTATATTCTTCAAGAAGTCCATTAAGAACCGTGATCGAGGCCGCAAGATGAAAGAACTTTGAGTCGGACGGCAAACCGTCTCTTTCTTGATGAGAAACAGACATTTGGCAAGATATAACTGTCATAACCCAATCCCGGAAGTTCGTCCACTGTGAGATTGGAACCACTTTCTGTAAACTTTGGCGGCTCCGCCGACAATTTGGGTTCTCACATCTGAGAATTCGAGCTTCGGTACATATGCGAGCCACACGGTTCAAGAAAGGAATCTTATTATCACCAAATTCCTTCAAATCCGTTTTCACCCAGTGGCCCCAGGTTCTACCCCAGGTTCTTGATAAATTTGCACAATTTTCAACAGTGTTAACGGCTTCATCGTGATCATAACTTTGAAGTTCGTGGTTGTCTCCTTCAGTTGTTTGTTGCAGGCTATAGCTAGGATCCACAACAGGCGGCGAGGCACCGGGATCCTGGTAGAGCACCGTATCATGATCAAAGTAAAACAGACCGGCCGGCCCATAACCGAAGAGTGGGAGGGTCTGTGGTGGCTTTTTTATCTGAAGGCCCTTTAGCGGCGTATAAGATGTGGGTGCGTATGCCGGAGTGCTAGCCATGTTTCTCGAGACGACCTGAGATATCTGAGACCTATATATTAGCTAGTGAGATAACTAAGTAGCTTTTGAGGAATCGTAGCTAAACGCTCGAGAACTAAGCCAACATCCATACGCTGGAACCAAGCCGGCTATAGGCCGTTAGGCTTTAGCTAGGCCTCGACTTCCCTAATCATGATTCGTCAGGCGAGCTGGCAACTTCGAACGTACTTCGTCTAGGACTATAGAATCCTAGACTTAAGAGCTAGGTCTTATTCACTTTCCAAAAGAATTTAATCTACATCTAAAAAGTACCATGTATTCCTTATGCATGTATAGCTTGACTAGACTAGACCCCACTAGTCAACGGCTCGACACTGCAATTACAAGGATCGATTCGAGTCGAAATCCGCATTACATTATATCACGCTCGAATTAAGAGGACCAACACATTATCAAGATTTAATTGTGCAGGATGTCGAGGTACTTTGTTTTCCATGCTATCCACCGTATATTTTATGTACCTGTACAAGCGGGGCTGAAAACCAACCCCCCTCCGGCTCCACAATCAAACAAGGCTTCATGAATTTGATATTTGATATAATCCAACTATTTATAGAATTAATTCCCACTAATACCATCTAAACAGTAGCCTTAATCTTTTCCCGAGCTTCTTCTATTTCGATATATCGACATTACATTGTATTCAGACTATTGCATCTTGCATTGTAATTGTGATCGATTCGAAGTTGCTTCAAGTATCGGATCCATTTTCGTATCTATCATTAAATTGGGCGCCAGCGCACCGAGGCAAGACCGTCTAGAGGAAGCCAAATGCATACGTGTATACACATGCATGTTAATAGAATCTACAAATAAGTAGAAATGGCTGTAAGATATCCTTCTCCCTACCTCTCTCAGTATCTAAGTACCTACAGCAGGCTAAGTTTCATAATTAACTCCTCAACAGGCCTTCACACTCGGAACATTCATCAGGCTCGCCCAACCTCATGATTCAGCCTCAAGCAGCATCGAGGCCGCTTTATCAGTACCGGAAGGAGTTTGGGCATTCCAATATGATATAACCAATAGTTTCGTCTCCGCCTCTTGGACTCCGTCGAATAAATTGAAAAAACCAAAACCAAAGAATTCAAGATATCGTCTGCGACTATGGAGTGGTAGCGAACCTCAGAATATGGAATTAAATGGGATGGAACAGACGGTTGAGTTTGAGTTGAATAACCCACCGCGGGAGCAACCGATTGAGAGGATTACATTGGATATATGTTTTTGGTTTGGGATTGAAAGGGTTGGTGATGGCGTAAGTTAAAATGCATGATAAAGGAATATTCTGACGGTTTGAATACTAACTTAAATTTTTTTTTTTTTTTTTTTTTTTAATAGTCTGGGAGTAGTAACTCAAACTCGCAAATATGGTCGGACCTCATCCAAGAATTGGAAAATACGACCCGTATTTACACCTACTTAAACACTTTGAGCGTGAGGTGGAAACCGGTAGTTGACAGATTCCAGAAAGCGAACCAGTCAATCAAAGACGTAGATCAGAAAACGATAGCACAAGGCCGGAGAGCGGAATGGATCTGGAGGGAGATGAGAGGTCTCCAAACAGGCATCGAAGAGCTACGACGAATAATTTCTACTGGAGAACCATTCGCCCAGAATGACTATATCGAAAGCACAAATGCTAATGGAGATGCTTCAGAGGACTTGAAACTTGAAAAGGAGATGCTTGAGGAGGAGAAAACGAACCTTCAGAGGGACATCAAAAAGTTAAAGAAAAAGATCGCTACAAATGATGTAGATATCACGGAGCTATCGGAAACGGTATATCGCCTACAATGTGAAAACGACATTCTCAAGGGCGAAGGGACGGCCGAAGGAACAGGCGAAGGAACAGGCGAAGACGCTATTGCCATCGCACTTGACGAGATTAAATCGCAAGAAAATGAATATCAGGGTATTAGTTTTCTAGGTCTGGGTACGAGACAAGGTATTAGTCAAAGGATCGTTCAGAAGGAACGACCCCGAGAGAATCGGATGAAACACCGTGCGAAGAGTCGTGATAGAGCCCCCGCGTTCGGAAGGAAGAACCGCGATAAAGGTATCGAGCAGCCTCTCTCCTCCAATCTCATGACACCCCGTGTCTTTATGTGCCCTAGAAAGCTAAACTGAACTTCGCAGCCGTGGACTCCTCTCCTTCGACGCGGAAGCCGATATCGACTACGGCGTTTAGATCAAGACCCGCGAGGATCCAAGAATACCAGCCAGCCCGCCGGTTTTCAGACGATAGGATCCCAACGGCCTCGCAAGAATCACCAAGACTAAGTAGAAACACCGGCGCTACTTTTCTGGATGCGGGCTTAAGAGCAGCGCCCACCTCTCTGAATGCCCGAGGGGCCACTCAGTATGAGGCCCCGACAGCGCCTAAGAACAAAAGATTACCCAAACACCCTGAAGGAATTCCAATAGCACCGCCTGATCTAGTGGCTTTTGCTGAGTTCCTGGTCAAGAACCCAGGACCGAAACAACCAGACCCCTATGTATACAGAAGGGATCGCAGGGGTGGGCGGGGTCCATCGGGTTGGGACACATATGTTTAAAGCTCCCTAATAAGAGTCGAGTCGCAGCTATGTGGGGCCTAACAAAGCAGATATAGCTCGGCGACGACGGATGTTAGGTATTTAAACAATCTGTAATTCGAAATATTGTGTAAACATAAACCCGATGCAATTTTAATTTTTTTTTATATTTCTTACATACTATGGGGTCCTCTTTTGCATGATCATATGAGCTAGCGCGAACAAATTTAAAGAAGCTTCGAATGTACTAAATTCATTCATCCAGAAACTTGGGAATATTATTATCTATCTGCCAGTACACACGCACAGCTTACCGAATCGAATCCCTTTCGCATTCGTACATACCTACTTACATTTAAAGACTAAAGTATACGTTAGTTAGATCGCACAACATGCAACAGAAGAGTTGTGATACAAGCTTAAGCTTAATCCCCAGCTAGTAATCCCGGACCCTTGACGACCCCCAATTTAAAGACCGAACAACCCCGAAAACCCGAACGCCCAATTAAAAGGCCAAGAACTTAAGAGGGCTGTCGAACCAATTCTTCCCGAACACGTCGACACGGTTACTTAAGTCCCTAAGTAAGTAAGTACTTGTAATGGCAACGTTAAATTGATTAAAATACTTCCTAAAATGAAGTAGAAGTGTACATTCCTAGTGCGTAAAAGTACTTTGTAGACTGCCTTCTCCATAGAGGCCGGCTCTTGGATTCTTTTGCGTTGTGGGCTGTTTGGGGGTTTTCTTTGTGATGAGGGGACAAGGTTGGCCCGAAGGAAAGGACGAGCTCCACATCTGTCCTAACGCCGATGATGTCACAGCGCAGGTCAGAACTCGGGACGGCACAGCTCTGGCAGGGCCCAGAACATCATGGAGCATGCCCTCCCACTGCCCGATTGGAGAAAGTGCGAAAAAAAAAAAAAAGTGTTTGGATGAGCAAAGCGTGAGCTTACAGATATACGAGGTATGCATTCCCAAAGCGCTCGATTCGATGCAGAAATATTTCAACCCCAAGTGGAGCCCCAAGCGTAGATCGCAGGTAGAATGCTTGCTGCAGTTGAGTGCGGTATCCAGACGGATGTTTTTCTTCTCGCTATAAGCGCCCACGGGGGAAAAAAGTGACAACAGATACATGATGCATCGACGGTGAATGTTGAGAGAACGGATATCCGTTAGTTCTCCTTGGCCTGTCGCTCGACCGGTCGTTCCCGATACAGTTATAGCAAATGTGATATATGATTTGATGGGACATAAATCCGCTACCCGTTCGTTTCCTTTCAATTCGGTTTTAGTCTCGTCTATAGCTTCCTTCCTTCTTTCCTTCCTTCCTCCATATCCATGCGTGACTTGTGCGATTTCAACAAAGAGGGAGATATATTACCCAGGGTTGTCCCTCATAAATCGATACTGCAGGCCAGGGATACGCCTGCTACCTGCGGGGGCAAGATTCTAGATTCGCATTTTGAATCAGAAACTCGAAATATCTCAACATCCATGTGCCTATTTCGTGTCACACTCCCATTCCAATTCAATTTCTCAACCTTTTGAGCAGGAATCCGTCACCGTTAGTGGCGCCGCTCATCGGCTATGATAGCCTTTAGGAAAAGCGAAAAGAGTAACGAATGCCAGTTCAGGGTCTGGTGGTACCGTTTGAGGCACATAAAGCCGGGTTGAGCGGAGGAGAGTTTGTTCTAGAATTACTTTTAGAAGTCATCGAAAGTTTAGAAAGGGTAAGGTTTATAAGTGTGTATGTGTGTTAGATGACGACGTCGACTGCGGGATGCTGGTGAAAGAATTGGAATTCGGAATGATGGCGTAACAATCGTATGTCCCGACACCTGATCTATATATACTATCAGTGATTATTACTAGTAGTATTGTTACAATACTATACCATCGGAAAATATAATTCCAAGCAGGCTTTCGATCGTGAAATATCAAATTGAGGTCTGTGCTTTCTCAGATTCGTATCCCTTTCTTCTTCTCCATCGTCTGATTCAGTAATACTCACATACATACATACATGCTTGGGGAGAGTATGCGTGATTTAGCCGCCCCGCACTTGTACCTGGTCCCTCGATCCAACGATAGAAAGAATAAGATACGATACCGTACTGGTGCCTGGTACATACTCAAGTGCATCCTCAAGTTCTCAATTCCCGAGACCAGCTTTTTCTCAAGGTTAGTTAGGTTATTTTCAAAGCCCACACGAACACTCTACATACCTATTCGGCCCCACTTCCCTCCCACTTTGTGTATGTAAGTGCCAGCGCTTTCTATCAAAACAAATTAGTATAACCCCGATCGAAAGCCCAGCTGCAGGGCAAAAGGGTGGAGATAAAAGCAAAAAGGGGAACGACCTGCTTGGTTCGAAGAGCGCAAGCCAAAAAAAAAAAAAAAAAAAAGGCCAGAGAGGTTAACCATTAGTTAGGTCCGTGCTGTGCCGTTTCCTGCTTACCTTTGTCTTCCCTTGCATGGGCTACCGGGGCTATTGCCAACTTTTTGTGAGGATTCTTCCGCATTTGCTCAAACGGTTTGCCGGTTCCTTAGTTTCGATTGGGCCCAGCTGAGTAGTGCGTAGGTAGGAAGTAGCCTCAGTGCAGTGCGCAGGCCCCTCATTTTCTTTTCTCTGACCCGATCAGCTGCCATATTATATCCCGATCTGCCCTTCTTTTGAAGCTTCTGGACGAGTTCCTGGCTTCTATTGTTGGTTTTTTTTGCCGGTCCCTTATTTCCAATTTTATTTTTAATTTTATTTATTCCGCGCGTGTCTTTTATTGTGATCGATTGTTCCTTGGATGCACGAACGTTGTCAGTATAGTAGGTAGTACTCCGTTCAATTCACGTGCACGCACCCGCACCGGTTGATCTGATCCGATCTTGAAAATTGAATTCACGAGGTTTGTGGGTTTAAAACCTTACCTGAGAATATTCCGAATATGCCTCTGGTTGTCTCTGTATAAACGTCATCAGATGGTTTGCAATCGGAGCCGGAGCTAACTGGTTTGTTTCATGCGCACTTCAGACCGAGAGGGGCACACCACCTGGCAATTCTTACTTGAACTCGACCTCCATCCATCCATCCATTCGTTTCCTCCCCCAAACACAGGCTGGTCAACCGGAAAAGTCATACCACTACCGTTACCTGCTCTCCCCACCAGCAAACTCGGGCTCTCCCGTCGGCCACAAGGTCTTTTTCTCAGCTACCCGAGTTTGGAGCTTCCTCGTAAGTCATCGGCCATCGCTCACGCTCTCCGTTACCTTTTTCGCCTCGTCGCTGGCCCATCGAGTTAAGTTTGTGGTTTAGCCGGTGTGGTGGTTTGGTGTGATTCTCGGGCTATGTTATGTCATAGTTAACGGGTGTGCACTGTATTCCAGATGCACCGTACATACTTTCATACATAGTACTTACATCCCCTCTCAACCCCACACACGGGCAATCAAACCAAACCATGGGAACCACTTTAAATATGCATCAGTAGCCAAGCTAACAATATCGCTTCCACCCTGCGAAGACTTTTTTTTATTTTACTTTATTTTTTACTTCGGACCCTTAGCTTACATAGCCATCGACCGAGATTCCGATATATTATCCCACTGCACTCTCTCCATTTCCCTGCGTTTCGGCTCCATTATTAACACCAGGATTTGCGAGATCAGACGATTTTCCAGATTTTATCGACTCGACAACATCCCAAAAACAACCATCCAACCCGAAAAACCCCACAATCTAATCCACCATAAACCGGAACCTCCCACCATCTTCATCCTCCCAACTCAAACCGCTACCCCTCATACACATCTAAAACACATACTCAAAAATGTCGGACGGGGTATGTTTCTCCTTCCCGTATATTATTTGACTACTCCAAAATACAAACATTGTTTAACTCGTAATTTACAGGAAGCTTTCGATCTTCCAGAGAATGCTTCAGAATACGTCGACGTAGAGACCTTCGAACAGATACTGGAGATGGACGACGGCGATCCGGAGCGAGAGTTCAGTCGGGGACTTGTAATCGGATTTTTTGAACAGGCAGAATCTACTTTTGACGAAATGGACGGTTCTATGTGTGTAAAACGCCTACCCTTCCCCGCTGTCCGAAGCTACCAGGCTCCAGACAAAGATTGCCGGCTCTTATCTTTTCCTCGGTACCCGGTCTGCTAACGCTCCGACTGCGATATCTAGACACAAGAAGGATCTCGCACAGCTCTCTTCGTTAGGCCACTTTCTTAAAGGGTCTTCGGCAACCCTGGGGCTCTTCAGAGTCAGGGATACCTGCGAGAAAATCCAGCATTTAGGTGCCCTCAAGGATGAGAGCGGAAACCTAGACATCAAGGAGGAGGAAGCGTTGAGAAAGATAACAAAACTTCTGCCGAAAATGAAGCAAGATTATAAGGCCGCGGAAGACTGGCTAAAGGTTTTTTTCGAGGTTGAAGATGAAGAAAACGACGAACCGGATGACCCAAAGCCTCTAAGAGCCGAACCGAAGGCAACCTAATAAATGCAAGACCACACTGGGCTTCCTTTTCAAAAAGCAGGCAAGGCTTATTTTCGGTAGGGATTACAATTTTGTCAGGGGGATAGCCAATGTTATGCGCATGCTATGCTCTAGCAATTTGGATCAATTGGATAGAGGGCAGGCAGGGGATTCGGTCTTTCTTTCCTTTTTAAAACTTCTTATTCGGTATCAGCGACTTTTTCTTCTACTTCTCTTTCCTCTCCCCGTTCCTCCTCCTCATCCTCCTCCTTCATGACTTGTTCTGCCTTCTTTTTCTCTTACCCGGCCTTTCTTACTACTGTTACTCCCTACCATAAGACCCTACATACTTGTTTACTATTACTCTTACTGCCCCCCGTCTCCTTTAATATCTCGGTTTCGCCGATCTACCCCCGGGCTCCTTATGCTCTCATACCAAGCTTGTGGAGGCCCCCCCGGACTATGGATGTAGCAGTGCTTTTTGTGCCAAAACTAGCGAAGGTTCATGATACCGAAGTGGTTGCCTTTCCACTAAGTCACTAGATTGCTTTCTGAGACAATAATAATCACGCCAACTACGGTTTTACACATTTGCCTCCGAATTCCAGGGGGGGGGGGGGGGATATACTTTGGTAGCGGAGTCGGTCTTGTGGGATAGGTAGTATCGAGGGTATATACTTTAGCTACTAAAGTAGATAAGAGAATAAAAGTCATTATATATAACGAGAATGCGTAAAGGCTCTTTTCTCGTGTTACCATACTCTTTCTACCTAGTACACTATTCAAACCCCTATTGGGCTTTATGGTGACCTATGCTAGTACACCCTGGCTTCTCTATATATGCTTCATAAATTTGCCTTTCTAGTGAAGACCCCCTCTTGGGCTACTACTACTAACTGTACCACCACCACTCAGCTAGAACTTAATTGTCACCCCGCTCGACAATGACCTTCCACAATCCTTCCGCTATTTCGTTGACAACATCCTTTAGCATCAGTCTCTCCCTCCATGTTTCTGGAATAGCTTCGAGTCCGTAGTATGCACCGGCCAAACCACCGTATATGGCACCGACAGTATCCGCATCATCACCTGTAAATAATTTATCAGAATCATATTCGTCAAAAAGAAAAATCCAAACATCCATAAATTCCCAAAAAGATAAAGGGAAAAAAAGGAAGGAAGGAAGGAAGGAAGGACTAATTGTAATATTAAAATTCTTACCCAAATTCACAACCTTAAGCGCGCCTTCCTCCCAACTCTCCGTCGAAAAGAAAGCCCACAAAGCAGCTTCGAGCGAGTGTACCACAAACCCAGAACTCGAAATCAATTTCTCCTCACGACTTTCAAAGTCCTCAAGTGTTTCATAAACCGCAAATCTATCCTTCAAAACTTTATTTTGGAATTCAAATGTCCTGAATTTCTCAAATACTGCCTTTTTGCTCGGTGTTGCGGTGCTCGTCTCGCCCGTGGACAGGATGTATGCCACGAGGATGCAATATACCGCACATGCCTCACCGTTGGTATGGTACGGATGAGTAAGTTGACTCGCCAAGTGGGAGTATTTGACAATATCCTCTTCAGAGGATGAATAATAAAACAATCCGATTGGAACAGTGCGCATCAAGCTACCGTTACCGCAATAAACCTCTCTAGCATGGGATTTATTAAGGCCCTTCTGTAGTTCTTCGATTGTCTCTTCCGACGGGAGGTTATTAGCTGCCTTGGATGAAACGGGTTTGCTAGGAATGTGGCTGCTCCAGAATGATAGTGTGATACGAGTGAGGTTTCCGATGTCGAAGCAGTGACCTGTGGATGAGAGGTAGCCGGAGTGGAACCAGGCGATGTAGTTTTGGAGTTGGGAGGCTGAGGAGAAGGATTTTGTGTCTATGAGGGATTTGGCGAGGCAGAGGGTCATGGAGGTGTCATCGGTCCATGCTCTAGATATATATAAACATATATATATTTATTTCATCAGAGTGTTAACTAATATACTTTGTGAAGTTGGATATATCGATATCACCACTTTTTTGTCTGAAGGTTTTCTATATGGTTGGAAATGCGTTGCGTGTGGTTACAACTGCAGCCACAGCGCGCGCCGCGGGACGGGTACGTATGCCATGTATGTAGCAAGCAAGCAGGGCATGCACTTACCCGGCAGGTAATCCAAAGGTAAGGTTTTCCTGTAAATCAGTTACTTTGGGGAAAGTTCCTCGTCTTTTGAATTCGACTCTGTATGTTTATGAAATCTCATCTCAGTTTAGTATCTCTAAGTTTCGTTCGTAGCAAAAGTGCAAATGCATATGGGTGAGGGGTGGGAAATTAACATACGGTCCTCCAAGTGCATCCGCCACTGCGACACCGATGAGAGCACCTTTGATTCGAGATTCGAGATTAATAGAAGATGTCATTTTTGGGTGATGTTAGTTGGTGAAAGGTATTTAGATGTTCTTTTGTAAGTTTTATTTCGACTTGAATTGAATATGCAATTGTGCTTGAATGATGAATCGACAAAGCATTTGGCAAGGATTGATAGCTCGTCCTGGTAGTTACTTAAGTAGTTAATTAGAAGCTACCCCGCCAAGGCAAGGAACTACCAGCCTGCTTCGAGCGGTCAACCATATTATAGTCCTATGGAGGAACCTTTATAAAATCTGTGCATATCTTATAAACTTTTTTTACTTGTCTCGTACCACGTTAAGATGTTTTAACCTCAGGTTCTGCAACATATGCATAATCGCAAAATCAAAGTTAACAACTTGGGCTTATCCATGCGCGTGTTCTGATTTCGAGCTGAGAACTAACAAAGATGGCTAACTCTTTTCGAATATTATATCGTAAAGATTTCTCTGGAGAACTAGAGTGTTTCTTATATCATTTTTTCAAGTACATTAAGCTATACCTTACCATGAATGCTCTTTTATCAAGCTTTCCTCTTGGATGTAGTTGTCTTTGCTAGCGTCGTCTCCTCCCCAGGCTAAATAAACCAATATTAGCTCCATATGCCTAGGTATTCTTGATAGAGTTGTCGAGGAAATGGTATAACTAACCTGATTGTAAAATGGTATCAACTTGTCGCTTCCAAACTCCGAGAACTTGGGAGGATTGCAATCGATAACGTTCAATCGAATTCGCACCGACATTCTCAATTACACACTGTGTGTAATGATGGGCTAACGCTACTCTGTCTGCCATCATCCCATCCCTCCATTGAACCACTTGTCCATGATATTCGAGGACAACAGGCATGGCCCCAAATAACCGTATTCGATAGGTTACCTAGATATTATTAGCCATTGGGCCTTTCAAGATATTCAAAAAATTTTTTTGGGTTTTTTGAAAAAAGAACCATGCGAGCTTACTGGATGGATTGCAATTATCCGTCGATTGAACATTTCATGAACGTCGGATCGTAGAAGTAACCCATTGCATACACTCCAAGTCGATATCATTCTACTTCTCAAACCAGGTTCGTCGGTATTAGGTGAAGGGGTGGCATTGAAAGGATAAATATCCCTCTCTTCGGGACAATTTAGAACGAGTTCATCATCATAACTCAGAAAATCTTCAACAGGGCGTTCATCCGGGTAGGCAAACCACAAAGTCGGCGGGACCATATGGGTGGCCGCATACCCCGGACCGCACAGGAGTGGGCCACATCTACTATTCGTTCGGGTGATCAGGCATTCCGTATAGGCGTATTTGACCGACCCTTCGAATGATTTTGGATCGATGTCGAAGTTGTTCCTGGCAAACTCGCGGGATTCTTGCTCTTCCCTTTGTCGTAACTCATCTGAGCCTGGAGTTGCAGGACGGGAGGCAGAGTCTTCTGACGGCGTATGACTTCTCCGTGTCGGAGAGATGTGATAAGTTGGCTCATTGGGCAAATATCCATTCTTTTCGGGGTCAAATTTGAGGACTGGTACTTTGGCGCATCCGGCTATTAAGCAAATAGATCTCTTGTCAGCATGGTCTTCCATAGAATAGTCTACTGTGTCGGTGAAGATACCATGAAAGTGCTCAGTAATCCCCGCCCCTCTAGATATCAAATCCTGACATAAAACGTGGTTCGTATCATGGAATATAAGCCCCAAGCACAGTCTTAAATTATTTGCCAACGTTTTAAATTCGAACTCTCTATCTTCATCCGCAGAATTTATAAACTCGACGGACCCGTCGTCGCGTACTTCCCACAGCGTTAGATTGGGATAATCGTGCAAACTCGGATAAATAATCTTTAGATCTTCGAAAATGGTTCTGGTAGAGATGCTGAGGCCGTTAGAACATGTGAAGCCAGCTATAGCATCGGCTCTCGTCGGTTTGATGACGGTTTGCTTGAAGGTGTGGATATAGATATTCCACATCACGCTACGAATCGTCAATCTGAGGGAGCTCATTTTGCAATTGTTAAATATATAAATATCATGTAGACCATACCCTGGCTGGGCCTAGACGTTACGATGATGTGGGAACCCGGATGTTGACTAAAAAAGTGGAGTTAGTTGATTAAAATTCAGTGCATTCGGGCGATCTCTGAATTTAAATACCTCCAGAGAATACCCACTCTATATACTCCTGTAAATAGGTATATATATTCTATAGATACATCGACATCTTCGCGCTCAATACTTTATATAAACGCCCAATAGTCCTACCTGGGGAGTCACTTATATTTTATCTCTATTATATATTTTTATATTTTCAAAATTTTAAATATTAACGACGGATTCTTATCAAGAGCATGAGCAACTTTCGATCTATAATCCACGAAGATATAGATAAAGAAGAGAAACTTGACTTCATCTATACATCCTATCTACAGTCTCTTGAGGTCAAACAGGCAAGAGCCCTTGTGTAATCGAATAGTCTCGTTACCGGCTTCTTATGTCATTATGGCATGTCCAGACGGCACAACGAGTGATTGGCTGGTTACTCGTTGAACTTGTTGGAATTTCCCATGGCCACCCCATACTATGGACCCATGATCGAATGGCTACGCCGAATTTCTGGTCTGAAACGGCATGCAGCACATACTTCTGCGCAGTAATTGCTTGCTTGCTCCCTGGCAAAAAAAAAAGACGGGGAAATTCGCTAGTCTGGCGACTAAAAATTCGCCGGCTTCTGACCTGCCATCCTGAACTAGTTCCAAGTTTGCCAAAGGTTCAAACACACCCAGAATCTGAAGTGGCGGGAGCAGCCGATAAACCAATCACCGAGCGGCCAATTTCGAGCTGGAGCTAGCCATGTCAGACCTTGGGGGTCAGCTTGCTATCATCGGACGTCGCCATTGATTTGCCTTCCTTCCCGATTTATATTAAATTCAATGGGCACTAGCTGGGTACAAGCTCCCACAGAGTGCAATTGCATCTGCATCTGCATTTGCATGGCAAGTAAAAGGCCTGGGTGTTTGGAATTCTCCGCAAATTTAAACTCGGGGCGCTTTTTGAAATTTTGAAGCTACTGGTCTGGCCCTTTGTTAACTTATCCTTCTTTCTCTCCATATCTTCAGATCTTAAGTTTGAGTCTTCGTCTTTATTCCCCATCGTCTCTTGTTATACTATAGTTTCATTCCTTTGTCGTACGCTACGTTACGCAGCTTATCAATACACTGCCAACATCTTAACTGTTGTTTTTCGACGACCGACAACACATCTTCGGAGCTTATCAGTCGAGATCTAAGATCGATCGATCTTGAACTCGCGTGCATATAAACGTAGATACCCGGTCTTGAGTCCCAAAAACCCCCGGTCCAGAACCCCGAATCTCTCGGATCGTATACCTTTCAATCTTGCAAGGGTTAAAAAAAGGGCAAAAATATCAGCTCAATATGGCACCAGGAATCACTGTCGAACCCGGTACGACAGTTGTGGAGGAACGCAAAGTCTCGATGTCTCTCGCAGAGGTTACGAGTTCATATGATGATACTATAGTCTTTTTCCTTAACGGGTCCAAAGTCACTTTGGAGTCTATAGATCCAGAGATAACATTATTGGAATATCTACGAGGGATCGGACTCACAGGGACAAAGCTGGGATGCGCCGAGGGAGGATGCGGTGCCTGCACAGTTGTACGTTTTACCCCCTTGATTCCCTACGTCATACCGTTTTTTTTTCCTTTGGCGAACTTGAGGCTCATTAAAAGTGCTATACGATAGGTCGTATCTCAATATAACCCAACAACGAAGAAAATATATCATGCTTCTGTAAATGCATGCTTAGCGCCTGTCGTAAGTGTCGACGGTAAGCATGTTATAACCGTTGAGGGAATCGGGAACTCGAAAGATCCGCATCCGGTACAAGAACGTATCGCCAAATGGCACGGTTCGCAATGTGGGTTCTGTACACCCGGTATTGTTATGGTATGCAGACCCATGACCCTAGTGTCTAAATATATTAGCCGTATTGAACGTCTACTAACGAGGAATTGTGTGAATATAGAGTCTATACGCACTCCTACGAAACAACCCCGAACCATCCCACCATGACGTTGAAGAAGCTTTCGACGGTAATCTTTGCAGGTGTACTGGATATAGACCCATTCTTGATGCAGCGCAAACTTTCAGTGTAGATGGTTGTGCAAAGTCTACATCTAACGGTAGCGGTGGGGGCTGTTGTATGCAAAACGGATCCGGAGAACGTCCTGCTGGATGTTGTATGAACAAAGAGACAAATGGCGTTGAAGATGGAGAACCAGTGAAGAAATTCACACCGCCAGGTTTCAAGGAGTTCAGACCGGATCAAGAATTGATTTTCCCGCCCTCGCTCACAAAACATAAGTTCCAACCACTGGCGTTTGGAAACAAGCGGAAGAAGTGGTACAGACCCACTACAATCCAACAACTTCTTGAGATCAAGAATGCTTTGCCCTCCGCGAAGATCATCGGAGGAAGCACGGAAACCCAGATCGAAATCAAGTTTAAAGCGATGCAATATAGCGCTTCGGTATTCGTCGGAGATATTCAAGAGCTACGTCAGTACAAATTCGAAGATGATCACGTATATATCGGCGCGAACATCACTCTTACAGATCTCGAAATGGTCTGCAGACTTGCCGGCGAACACTATGGCGCCACAAAAGCACAGCCCTTCGCCGCCATGCTCAAGCAGTTACACTATTTTGCAGGAAGACAGATTAGGAATGTCGGTACCCCCGCAGGCAACTTGGCCACTGCCAGTCCTATTTCTGATCTAAACCCATGCTTTGTTGCAAGTAATACCACATTGATTGCCATGTCTTTGGAAGAAGGAGAAATCGAGATTCCGATGACCCAGTTCTTCAAGGGATACCGAACAACGGCTTTACCCCAGAATGCAATCATCGCCGGATTGAAAGTGCCTGTTGCGCAAGAAACGGGAGAAATATTCCAAGCATTCAAGCAAGCTAAGAGAAAGGATGATGACATCGCCATCGTTAATGCTGCGATGAGGGTCAAAGTTGGTGAAGACAACATTGTCGAGAACGTTAGTTTGGTATACGGCGGTATGGCGGCTATTACTATTGCCGCGAAAAAGACAATGGAGTATTTGAACGGCAAGACATGGGGCGACCCAGAAGTTTTGGAAGGTGCCATGGGATCTTTAGAGGAGGATTTCGACCTGAAATTTGGGGTTCCTGGTGGTATGGCCACCTACCGACGAGCATTAGCTTTCGGATTCTTCTATAAGTTCTGGCACGAGTCGTTGCATAAGCTGGAAATCGGAACGGCGGAGGTTGATACCGAAGCAACCGAGGAAATTGTGAGGAACATATCGACAGGAACTCGAGATCAAGACGCAGCGGTTGCGTATGAACAAAGAGTCCTTGGCAAGGGTGTCCCGCATGTTGCAGCTATGAGACAAACCGTTGGAGAAGCACAGTACACCGATGATCTTCCGCATCGAAAGAACGAATTATTCGGATGCTTCGTGCTATCTACGAAGGCACATGCGAAGATACTCAGTGTTGACGAATCGCCAGCTCTAGACCTCCCTGGTGTAGTAATGTATATCGACCATCGCGACCTTCCCAACCCAGAGGCAAACTGGTGGGGTGCTCCAATCTGCGATGAAGTATTTTTCGCCGTTGATGAAGTATTCACTACTGGCCAGCCAATCGGTATGATTCTCGCGGAGAGTGCGATCAAAGCTGCAGCAGGTGCCAGAGCCGTCAAAGTCGAATATGAAGAACTCCCAGCAGTTTTCTCTATTGAAGAAGCCATCGAAAAGGAGAGCTTCTACGAACATTACCGCTATATCCAACGCGGAATGCCAATCGAGGAAGCTCTTGCATCTGCCGACCGCGTGATTGAAGGTATTGCGCGAATGGGTGGTCAAGAGCACTTTTACCTCGAAACGCAAGCCTGTGTTGCAATTCCCAAACTGGAAGATGGCGAAATGGAGGTATGGTCGTCGACACAGAACCCTACCGAGACACAAGCGTATGCTGCTCAGATTACTGGAGTATCTGCGAATAGGATTGTCGCGAAGGTCAAGAGGTTAGGTGGTGGCTTTGGTGGAAAGGAAACAAGGTCGATTCAATTGTCTTCAATCTGTGCCCTTGCAGCTCAAAAGTCAAGACGAACAGTTCGTTACATGTTGAACCGAGATGAGGATATGATGACTTCTGGGCAAAGACATCCTTTCCTTGGAAAATGGAAAGTTGGTGTTAACAATGACGGTAAAATCGTAGCTCTTGAAGCCGACGTTTTTAACAATGGTGGATGGACGCAAGATCTCAGCGGTGCAGTCCTGGAAAGATCGTTATCCCATATTGACGGATGTTATAACATCCCCAACGTCCACGTAAGAGGCAGGATTTGCAAAACGAACACTGTTTCAAACTCAGCTTTCAGAGGGTTTGGAGGACCTCAGGGAATGTTTATTGCCGAAACATACATGTCCGAGGTAGCCGATGCCCTAGGCATGGACGTCGACAAACTCCGAGAAATCAACTTTTACCAGGAAGGTGATGAGACACACTTCAACCAACCCTTGGAAGACTATCATATCCCAATGATGGTAGATCAAGTCAAACAGGAGTCGAATTATGAGGCTCGAAGGGAGGCAATCGAAAAATTCAATGCTGAACATAAGTGGAGAAAGAAGGGACTTGCGCTAGTTCCAACAAAGTTTGGTATCAGCTTTACAGCATTGTTCTTGAATCAAGCGGGTGCTCTGGTACATATCTACCATGATGGCTCGATCCTCGTTGCTCATGGCGGAACGGAGATGGGTCAAGGTCTGCACACAAAGATGACAATGGTTGCCGCTCAAGCATTAGGGGTACCCTTAGAAAGCGTCTTGATCAGTGAAACAGCGACAAATACAGTCGCAAACACCTCGAGTACTGCCGCTTCCGCGTCTAGCGATCTAAACGGTTACGCCGTCTGGAATGCTTGTCAACAACTCAACGAACGGTTGCAGCCATACAGAGAAAAGTTGGGAGAGAACGCCACAATGAAGGAGTTAGCACACGCTGCATACTTTGACCGTGTCAACCTTTCCGCCAATGGGTTCTATAAGACACCTAGAATTGGTTATAAATGGGGTGATAACTCTGGAATGATGTTCTTTTATTTCACACAGGGAGTTGCGGCGGCCGAGGTTGAGATTGATACTTTGACTGGAGACTGGACGGTTCATCAGGTTGATCTGAAGATGGATGTGGGAAGATCGATTAACCCTGCTATTGATTAGTGAGTTATCCTTATTCTTTTAGTATAATTTCGGTTCGTGTTATGATGCTAATTATATATTCACCATATAGCGGTCAAGTCGAGGGGGCCTTCGTTCAAGGCCAAGGGTTGTTCACAACCGAAGAGTCGTTATGGCTACGAAACGGCCAAATGTTCACTAGAGGCCCCGGAGCTTATAAAATCCCAGGTTTCCGTGATATCCCACAAGTCTTCAACGTTAGCATGCTCAAAGATGTCGAATGGAAGAACCTCCAAACTATTCAGAGGAGTAGAGGAGTTGGAGAGTAAGTCCCTCTATTATAACTCTACTACCATCGGTTTTCTACATACAGTACTAACTTACGTTTTTTTTTTTTCGTAATAGACCACCATTATTCTTGGGAAGTTCAGTTTTCTTTGCCATTAGGGATGCATTGAAGGCCGCAAGGAAGGACCATGGGGTTGAGGATGTATTAAGTTTAGTATCCCCGGCTACACCGGAGAGGATTAGGATCTCGGCAGCGGATCCGATTATTAAGAGAGCTTTTGTTGCACCAAGGGAAGGTGAAGAGTCGTTTTTCAGGTACATATAAGGCTTTTATACTATGGTGATAGTTTCTTTGTCACGAGTTATCTGCTTTTTGTGGGTGTATTGTTCTATACTTTGTTTGAATAACAGGATATTATTGTTAGTCTATTTCCTGGGCTCTACAAAGGGAATAATGAATTATTATACATTAGATGTAGGATATACAAATGGACTTTAGTGCGAGCTATCCTCATGCTGTAGTTTGAACATCGTAATACCATATTACAACGAAAAAACTGTATTCACACGGTATCAATAAACCCCCTCCTTCTGGCACAGTAGGTACTTATGTACAATACGGGAATCCCATGGCCAGTGTTTGGTGACGCACGAGAAACCGGCCTCAGTTGAATTTTGAACCTTGGAACCACGAAATATCGCTAAAGAGCACCTTATATTTCCGTCCAGCCCTTGCCTCAAACCAGACTTCGGCCTATATATATATACATACGGGACCTAACCCCAGCCGGTTGCCTAGTATTGAGCCCGAACCGACTTGCCCCCGACCGACTAGGGCTTCCCAATCTAACGAATGTCTCTAATCGTATAACCGTACCCGTCTAACGCTTTCTTGACTTCAGGGTATGCATCAGCGACGACCACCAACCCGAAATCTCTGCTGGCGCTTGTGACATGGTAGGCGTCACACCCGTAAATATCTCGGGCATACGGATTAGCGCCTTGTTCTATTAGGAACTTCACAAACCGGGGCCCAACAGTATCGGCTCTTCCAACGGCCCAGTGAAGAGGTGTACGCCCTTTCTTATCTCTCAAATGAAATGCTCCCGGCGCAGCATCACAAATCATCTTAACACATACCTGGAGATCATCTAGGGAGACCAAGTGTGCAAAAAGAGACCAGTCTACATCGAAGACAGTGTGAAGAGGATACTTACCTTCATCATCCCTCGGTGCTACAACTGAAGCACCAAGTTCGAGTAGTCTTCTCACTGCTTCTCGGCGCCCGGCCATAGCCGCTGCTACTATCGGGGCATCCTCTCGCCAAACGTAATGCGGATTGATAGACGTAGCATCGATATCGAAACCCCATCTCATAACGAGAAGATCAATAATTTCTATGTTGCCAAGGAGTGCCGCGACTACCAAAGGGTCGACTTTGTTTTTTGCGTGGTCCAGAGAGGCCCCTTTTGAGATAAGGAGTTCTACACATTCGCTCAAGCCATTGAAAGTGGCAGCAGTCAATAGTGGGAATACCACTCCCGAGCCTACCAGCATGAACAACTCGGCTAACTCGGCTTCATATAAATCAAAGACTCCTGGCTGAAATGAATGAACTCCCACGTTCGGCATACTTGAGGAGGCCACCCAATCCTCCTGTGCAATGGACTCAAATGCATTTGCGTTAACATCTGCACCGAAATCGATTGCTAAAGCCATCATTTCGCAGTTGCCCACTGCTAGAGTTCGACGAAGGGCATTGTCCAGCTTCTTTTGGCGCTCTGAGAGGTCTCCTGTATCTGTCGTAGGTTCCGAATTAGTGGCTTCGGGCCGTAAATCCATGATATTGATGTATGTACTATCTGAATCGGGGTTTGAGTTCAAATCTTGGAGAACCTTATCCAAGTCGCTCAGGAGACTGCAGTTTTGAATTTCTATAAATGCATCGGCCATTCCATTGGATAGATCTCGGTTGTTTGGCCGATTTTCGGGGTTGAAATCCACACACTTTGAAATGATCCCTCTGAAAAGTTTCGGGTAGGTATCGGGTATTTCTAGGATTCGAGTAGACCATTCTGTAGCTATAGGTGGTGGTCTGCTGGTACATAAGTTGTAGACTAAGCATCCAAAGCTGTAGACATCCGACTTGCCATAGAACTTTGGGTCATTTTTGACGACGTCGTTTGCTCCTCCGGGTGTTGCCCCGTACCTAGCGCTAACCTCGCCCAAAACCTCGGGTGCCATATAACCCATAGTTCCAACGCTGCCCCGGGAGCCCTTAGTATAGTATTCAGAAAAGAGCGCTGCCGGTGTGAATTTCCCAAATCCAAAATCCGATATATGGCACCAGGGCAAACGAAATGGGAATTTAAACCAGTCTAGGAATGCTTTCCCATGTGTTTTGACATCGTCTATTTCGTATCACACGGTTTTGTTAGCTACGTGATAGAATGCATGACCTTCACAAATTCTCAAATAACAGGCAGGCTATAGTATTGGGAATCGACGTACCCCTTAGTACCTTCCCTTTAGTGACTCCCCACAGCATTCTGTTATAGATGTACGGCATATCCAAAAGCACTGAATACAGTTTTAGATTAGCAGCGATATCTCTCTTTCCACTGTCCCCAATTTGTTGTACAACAGAATCTATATCCATAATTTAACTTACCATTCGCGGGCTTTAGATCTCTATGAATAATCCCATGATCATGACAGGCCTTTAGGCCCCTCGCAATCTCCATAGCCCAGTAAGTCGCCATAAATGGGTGAATGGGCAATTCCTGATGTCTACACTCGGTAATAACCTTCTGTAGGTCACCGCCTTCGTAAAACTTCATGTATAGCCTCAATGTTTGTGTCCTCTCGGCCCACGCCACATCGTGGGCAAAGTTGGCAATATACTTTTCCGAAGTAGAGAATGAAGCCCAAGTATGTATTTCGCGGCTCCCAAGCTCTAAAAAGGAGGGATTCGTTGAGCAGTCTATCGCTTTGCAGGCCATTATCTAGAAAAAGGTCAGTTTCTTCTTCTTCTTCCTCTTCCTCTTCCTCTTCCTCTTCCTCTTTTTCTTCTTCGACCTAGGAGTATAATGCCATAGCTACTAAGTATTTGTGAAGATACAAATGGCGTCTTACCTTCCCATCACTCACCCGGCGGACTTTTGCAACGGATCCGGACACACCATATCCCAACATTTCCAGAAACACATAATCCGGATCATTCCCATCCAACCGTCTCGTGACTGGCCACGCCATATGCGCAGATATTTCTTAACACGCTAACAGTAAAGTATACCGATTTAAAGGATATAGAGCGCTCTCGAATTTTGATCCGAGAATATAGGTGATACACGAACTGAAGAAATGTTGACAGGAGTTAAATCGAAAATGAGCCCGCTACCAGCAATTTAGGTAATTGACAGTGGTTCAAACACCCTCAATTGCAAGGCTGACTAGAAGCAATATCCTTTTATGCAGCCGTATGCAGGTTTGAACAACCACAGCGCCAATGGGCAAATTTCAGCGCCTTGCGACTAAGTGTTGGATATTTCACGTCAAAATGTGTTGTCTCTACGACCCACCCGCATGTGCTGTCGCTGTTTCCACGGTGCAGTGACACCGCGGCGACATTACAACGATATTCCACGGCCTTGTGGCCTAATGGCAAGGCGTCAGTTTTCGGTATCCAATTACGGTTGGATGTCATCCACTGAAGATTGCGAGTTCGATCCTCGTCGAGGTCAATTATTTTTTTATTTTGTAATCGGTACCCCATGCAATTGATTCTGGCCCCGAGGCGAGCAATTAATATGCGATATTGGGATTATAATACATAGTACTCTTTTGTTTTGTACGATCTCGATGCATAGTGCGTACTTGTATTAAGTCCGATATCTTTGTTTCTTCGAAATACTTTTTACAATTCCGAGACTTAGAATTTACTACGTATTTTCTCTTGACCTCCTACCCGAACACCGAAAGCAGTATACCAGTCGACGTCACTCTATAGCACTGCACATTCTCTTACAAATTCACAGAATCGAATAGATAGAGGTAAAATCCTTTTCTTCGTTTTTTCTCCCCCATAAATATAACTACACGAAATGTAAGATCTGGTGTGTAAATGAGGAATATCTGGAAAATGAAAGGAAAAGGAGGAAAAGGAAGAAGGAGAAGAAGCCTAATAGCTACAAAGACTTTTCGATAAACCTATGACTATTCGAAAATAATCTATATCAATTTTACAACGAAGGGGAGTTCGTATGAGAAAGAAAGAAAGAATTTTTGGGTCCTTATTTGTAATTTTATACAGAATATTAAGATTGAGTATGGTAAAGTGGCTGCTAAGTCTGTATATTTAAGGAGAAATGGATAGGAAAGGCGTGGGTATCTAGGAAGAGGTGACCTTGTGGATGGCCTCGGCGACGTATTCGACGTTTCCAGAGTTGAAGCCAGAGACGGACATACGTCCGTCCTTGGTTCCGTAGATGGAGAATTCCTGAGCGAGACGGCCGACTTGTTCTGGGGTGAGACCAGTGTAGGTGAACATGCCGATCTGTTCAATTGAGTTAGCCAGGCTCTAGAAGATACGTATACTAAGTAAACAGGATGTTAGCCTTACCTGGGAAGTGATATGAGACCAATCCCTCTGAGAACCAAGCTTCTCAAGGTTGCCCTTGAGAGAGTCTCGCATGACGATGATACGGTCAGCCATTCCCTTAACCTCACCGAGCCACTGGTTTGTCAACTCGGAGCTGTTGAGGATTTCACTGGCAATGAGAGCACCGTTGATAGGTGGGTTGCTATTCAAAAGTTATATATGTTAACAAGCGTCCGAAGGATAAGATAAAATATACGGTGTATCCATATCCATACCTGTACATTGGCCTGATGAGAATCTTCAACTGAGAATCGAGAGCCTTCTTCTCCGCTGGCGAATCGGTGATCAAAGAGAAGGCACCAACTCTCTCACCGTAGAGACCCATATTCTTAGCGAAGGACTGAGCAACAGCAACGTTGTGTCCTTCAGCGACGAATTTTCTCATGGCAGCGGCATCCTTGTTGATATCACCAGAAGCGAAACCCTGGTAAGCCATATCGAAGAAGGCGAAGTGGCCCTTCTCCTTGACTAACTTGGAGATGTCGTCCCATTGCTGGGCAGTGGGGTCGATACCAGTGGGGTTGTGGGCGCAAGCATGGAGGAGGATGATGGAACCCTGTGGGGCGTTCTTGATATCCTCGAGCATACCAGCAGCATCGAGCTTGATACCGGTCTTGTCGTAGTACCTGTATTCCTTAACATTCAAGCCGGCGTTGGTGAACAAAACCTTGTGGTTAGGCCACGATGGGGCGGGAATGTAGATAGTCTTCTCGCCTGGGTAGAACTTGGAGAAGAATTCACCACCAATCCTGAGGGCACCAGTGCCGGAGATGGATTGGGTAATGCAGACACGACCGTCCTTCAAGGGAGCAGACTCCGGGCCGTAGGCAAGGGTGGCAGCAGCCTTGGTGAAGGCTGGAACACCGGTAATGCCAGCGTATTCCTTATCGGCTCCGCGCGCGAAGATATTCTTCTCGGCTGCTCGGACGGATGGGAGGACATAGGGCTTGCCGCTGTCATCACGGTATGCGCCGACACCTTGATAGCCGGTTAGTTTTTGTTTACGAGATGCCAATTAATGGTATATAACTCACCGACGTTGACCTTCTTTGGGTTCTTGTCGGCCTTGAAAGCTTCGGTGATACCTATAAGCGGGTGTTAGCCATCATGCATCTTTATCTTCCCCACCCCCACCATCAGATAAAACTTCACGGCAACTTACCTAGAATAGCCTACATTCCGAACCGCGACGAAAATAAGGTTAGATATGAACTTCCCGGAACTGAATCCTTATCAATTGAACCGATAATGCAACGGGTTATGCTTACATCCTAGAAATATGCCATATGATAGGTTAGCTACGTCGTTATCAGAGAGCATGTGGAGAAATAATTTCCCGCAAAACCGGACCGAGCACCAAACAGCCCCTCCACGGCCACGGACCCAACCGAGGGAAAGGAGAAGAAAAACAAAAAAGCCAACAGGAAATTTTGCAATGTGATTGATACTTACTGGGGGGCCTTCGACGACATTGGACCAAGTGGACACGGACCGAACAGCCTGAGCTCCGGCTCGGGATGAAAGGAGATTCTGACGGGCCGAAGCGCGGACTACGGAACGAACAGCGGTCTGCATTGTGACTATGCTATAAATACTGCAGGGCAAACAATTTAATCAGGGCAATTTTGATGAGAAGGAGCGATGAGACACAAAAGGAGGAAATCTCGAGGGGTCTTATATCAGAGAAAGGTTGAAGGCGAGCTGCTGAGCGAGAACCGGAGCTCGTTTGTTTTTTTTCGTCCTCGACCCCCAGCAGCTCAATTTTTCAGAGATGCCGTTAGCGTTCGGACCACGGTGACCTGCTTTCGCGCGAAGAAGCAAAGAAGTCCAATCGGCAGGGACGGGCGCTTGAGTTTCCTGGCATGGTGTCTGTATTTGGGGATACATTAGGCATTGCGCTATGTATAACAGCAATATGCAGAGCAGCAGCCTCACGTGGGGGAGGTCGCCGACAGCCAAGAACAACCCGGTTTATTCCCTTCACCCGGGTTTAGACGATAATTCTGGCTGATTCTCGCGTGGATTTAGTCATTGCATTGCATTGAGGAAGTACATCGCCCATGAGTCAAGTCGAGAGATGAGGGAATGCAATGGATGAATAATTTTTTGCCCGTACTAGCTGGTTAGCTAGCTACGGGGACGCTTTCATTGCCCTGTGCTGGCTCTCCAGTATCGATAGCCATATAAGGCATTATATGGGGTATATCAGATGCCCCACTAACAATTAAACCATCCCACGAGACTAACCTAAACCCTCCTCCACCAATGCCCTTCTCATCATCCACCACGACGGCCCGGATGGACCTCCCTCCCTCCCTCCTCATTATACTTCTCGCCACCGCCCTCGCCAGCGGCCTAGGCGGATATTACATCGGCGCTTCCTCCAACAGGATACGGGATCTCCCAGCTGAGTCGTCCGGTCCAGAGCAGTCGAAAAAATCGGACTCCTCGAAATCGAAGTCGCCAATCACCTCTTCTCCATCAAAAGACTCCTTCGAGAACATCAGTGCCACTGAGGCCGATGGAGACGATGACGACGACGATGATGAAGATAGTGATAGCGATGCTATGATCAAGTCCGACTACAGCCATTTCAGCGCAAGTGCCTTGACCGAAGAATGCAAGATGGTATATAAACTTTCCCCCATTCTCAAAGAGGACGTTTCCACTATCACCAAAAGAAGAATCCTATACCCCTTGCAGTTGCGCGGTTCATGCCGTTTATAATCCACCTAGTTCCGACGCACCCCCATGCGAGAATTATTGGGCAGGAACAACCCCATACCTTAGTCTTATCAAGGGAATTTAAACACTGTTCCCACAGTTCTTCTGATGCATCCTCCTGCATTATGCAAGCCAAAATAACCATATCTAACCTTATATCGACTACTTCCTTCTAGGTTCTATGCGTACGTACCGACCTTGGAATGACTAAAGGGAAAATCGCCGCTCAGTGCGGCCACGCTACTCTCGCCTGCTACAAGGCCGTTAGCCGACATGCTCCTCTTCTCCTCAAGCGTTGGGAATACCTTGGTCAGGCCAAGATTGCTTTGAAAGTGGATTCAGAAGATGACCTGTTGACCCTGCAGGCACAGGCCATGAGTCTAGGTTTGGTTGCAAAAGTGGTTAGGGATGCAGGCAGGACACAGATTGCATCTGGTTCAGCTACTGTTCTGGGAATTGGACCAGCTCCAAAGAGTGTGGTTAACCAAATCACAGGGCATCTTAAGTTACTGTGAAGAAAGCATCATAATAGCATTCTAAGGCGTGATTTGATAACACAGAAGAGCTGTGTAGCATAGATTGTACTATAAGTAGATATCAAAAGTATGCATAGCGCGCATGGATTTTCAAATATATATAGAGCTACCTGTGAACTCCGATTTCCCATCATGGCCCATTAATTATAAAAATAGAGTAATTTACATGAGTCTAACACCTGCCGTCCTCGATTTCTTCGCCGTATCAGCAATCGTGCCGACCAACCCCTCCGGGTTCAAACTGCTGGCCGCCATTCTCTTCTTGTCGTCCTCAATCTTCTTCAGCTTCTTCTCTGTCTTCTGCTTACCAGAACCTTTTCCGTGGAATTGATGAGACAGATACTTGAACGCCTCTTTCTGGTTCATAGTTCGACCGTATTCATCCTTGTGTTCAATCTTAACATCCGGCTTATAGTCCTTGAACCGGGCCGCTGCTTCTCTAGCTTCATGTGTATCTCTGAGCTTGTTCTCATAACGAGCATACTCCTCCTTTTCACGGGCTGACATCTTATCGAACTTTCCGCTCTTACGATCCCGTTCTCTCGCGGCCTTGGCTTTTAATTCAGCCTCAGATTTCGCGACACGCTGTTTAGCCAAAAAAGCTTCTTTCTCTTGCATTTTCCGGTGGGTCTCCGGATCCATAGCAGCATCAACTAACTGCCTCTGCCGCAACATAGCCAGCATAGCGCCAACGCCCACTCCGATTGTTGTCTCTTCTTCCAATCCAGTGGATGTAATTTCGGTAGGCGCTTCCTTCTTAGCTTCCACTTGAGGCGATACACTTCTGCCGAAATCTGTACTACCCATAGCAACGTCTCCATCATCATCGGCGCCAGGCGTACTAGGCTCTGACTTAGATTCAGCCTTGACCGATGTGGCGCGCGGTCGACGATCCGTATGAACAGGCAACTGGAGGCTTCCAACAAATTCTGTAGTTTCGTCAATAACCAGCCCAGGTGCCTCTTCCTCATCGACCCTCATTTCCTCTGCAGCTTCTTCCCTTAGCTTCTTTGCCAATTCCTCGGGCTTCAAAGCCTTTTGCTTCTTTAGTGCTGCACGTCGCTGAATGGCCAATGCGGCCGATAGATCCTCGTCATCGACAAAGGATTGTTCGAAAACTTTCTTGGGCTTAGTTTCCGTGGTAGAATCTATGTCCATTGCACCAGCAGCATTGGAACTTCCATTGATAGCGACATCTTCAGGTAGGAATATATCATCATCCTCTTCAGCAACACGTCTTTGAGTACGGGCTTTCTTCTTCTTTGGCTTCTTTACCTTGATTGTGGACGGATCAATATAGTCCGACTGATCTTCTCCCGCGGGTTTTAGGATGTCTAGACTGATTGGGATTTTCTTCAACTTTTCGGATATAGCTTGCTGACGCTGGAGAGATTTGGGGGGTGCAGCCGCTGTGGAGCCTTTATCATCGAGAACGAAGAACTTCCGCTTCTTCTTGGGGTCGATTTCGTCGTCGTATTTGGAAAGGATTTCTCCGTCGGCATCTTCATCGTCACCGTAAGGGTTGTAGTCCGGTTTACGCTTTTTCAGATCTAGACGTTCTTTTAACTTCGCACTTTCGACCAGTCCAGCGTTCTCGAGTTCGTCGCCTGATGATTTGTTAGTAAATTTAGGATAGGATAGGTGCAGCAAAGGTGATCCAATTTTACCTTCTTCATCTCCACCCAAAATCTCTGAATCCTTTAGTGTGAGGATAGTTCCGTCTACGTCCTCTCCCAGCTCACCAAGATCGTGTCCGACTTTCAACCCCGCCAGATCCTTTGATGTATAATCTTTCCTCAATCTTGCTTCTTCCTCTTCTCTTTCTCTCAAATCCTTTTCAATCTGTGCCAGAGCCTTCTTTTGTCTCTTCTTCGCACCCTTAATCCAGGCTTTTGCATCATCGTCGCCGCTATCATCTGCTAAACCCTTTCCCTCCAATGTCCTCTCCCTCTCAGCTTTCTCCTGTCCTTTTCTCAGCTGCTCTTTAATCTCTAACCGTCTCTTTTTCCTTTCCTCTTCAGCTTGATGTTTCTTCCAATTCTCGGCAGCACGTCGCTCCTGTGCGTCAAAGCTATTATCGTCTTCATCCACCTTTGAAGTTGTACTATCAACCTTCAAAGGCTTCAACCCCATAGCAATCCGCAACTGATTTGTTTCCTCGATGGAAATGCTTTCTCCATCGCCTGAATCCTTTTTAGCAGTGGATTTTGGTGTCGGTTCTGGTGGTGGCGGTGGAGCAGCCGTTCGGAGTGGTTTAAGGCCGAGTTTGAGTCGAAGAGCATTCGTCTCCTCGATGGAGATCTCCTCGACATTATCGTTCGCCATGGTGAAATGATGTATGATGAGGGTGCAATCAGAAGGTGGTAGTGATATTTACACAGCGGTTTGTGAAGTCGAAAAGAGAGAGCGCGCGATGAGTAACGAGAATGTTGAATGGGTTGAAGAGCGACCTTAAAACAACCGGGCTTGGCAAGGCGCGCAACACACCAATGTCGCCAAACCACACCACTGCTTAAAGCGACCTCCACCCGCCGCTTCAGAATCCCATTGCATTGCATTTGATACCTTCCTCCTCGATCAAATGGCCCAGTCATGATACCCATATGCCCAGACGAAGTCCTAGAAAGGAACCCCCAGTTCAAAACCGTCTTCCAGAATCTTACAGTTAATAAACTCAACTCGGACGCGTCGACGAAACTCTCGAATGAGGGTGCAAAGGAAAGCGAGGATGTCGATAAAGTATGAAATGGATCTATCTCAACATCCCTGACACGATTTCACATAGATGAAATATACAAAAACATCCTCTAACAATCTTTAACGCTTCATGAATAGAGGCTTACTACTATCCGAGAAGATCTCGTAAAGACTAAAATTATTCGACAGAGATTAGTTCACATATTAAATGAACTGCCTCCAGATGTAAGTTCCACACCCCGTTCGTGCAAGCTCATAGCTAAGTAACTATATTAAATGTTTATAAACTAACTCCATACAAATTCCAGTTAAGAGAAGTCATAGACCTCTACCTCTCCTCTCAGAACTCCGGCGCCGTCCTTAGAAAGGATGACGAAGCGTTCTTTTTGGTACCACGATCACCATGATTCCATCGTCAACTCCATACCATAATACTAACACGATGATATAAATTATATAGGAAGGCCTTCCTCTTATCTGTAAAGCCTTGAACAAAGTCATCCTCGAAGATGCCACAGATCTAGCCAACATGTGCGGTGGGAACGGTAACTACCCTCTTTTTCCCCATAATATACATCTTCAAAGGCGATAAAATTGCTCACAGAATAATCTCCAGATGTAACCCCCTACACCCTCCCAGCCCACATAACCCACCGCCTCCAATCCCTCCAATCCCGTCGTACCCACCTCTACAACCTCAGAACCCAATCCCTCAAAAAGACCCTCCACCTAACGACCCTCCTCCGCACTCAAATTTCCACAACAATAAAACTAATCGAACAAACAAAGCACGGCCTCTCCTCCCGTGCCCAAAAATCCCAAGCAAAGCATCTAGCATTAGTCTCAGAATCCCTGGAAGGAAAAGTCAAGATTATGTATTTCGAACAACTAGACAGGATTTATGATGACGATACTACAGGTGCCTTGGCATTCTATAAAGAGCATTTGGAGGATGTGAAGGTTAGGTTGAAGAAACAAGGGAGGAAGGCGGAGGGTGAATTAGAGGAGTACGAAGGTTTTGGGGAAGGGGTCAAGAGGGACGTTGTGCGGTACGCAAAGGTTCTCGATGAATTGGAAAGGGTGACGGTGGAGGTTCAACGGTTGGAAGGCGATTTTTGAACCGATCGATATTTAATATCTTCCAGGCCTGAGTACGAAACAACATCTATATGCCTTCTGTTGGTTATCTTTTGTAAGTTGTACAAGATGTCGATATGCGCTAGAGCTTTGCCTTAGATGAGTAGATATTTACGAACTGCTACGAATCACGAAGTGACGAAGAAACATCAAGTTTTGTTCAAAGGAAATTCATATTCCTAATAGCTAAGTACTCAAGTGCTATGCACAGGCTAGCTAATAAAACACCACTTTTGGTAGTCAATCATACCTTCACATACGCATGGAAAAAAATGCGTGTAATCCCGCCAGACAAAAGAACAAACAAAAACGATGATAACCCCAAAACATAGAAGAAGAGACAAAGAAAGAAAGAAAGTCCGTAAAACTAACAGATGTCCCGTGAAATCCCCAGATAACAGTAAGAAAGGAAAATCTCCCAGCATCAGCCATGAAAACACAAAAAAAAACAATGCACAATAGGTATCGTCAGCTAGTATACATTTAGATGGTAGTTAGATAGCAATATATGATATCAAAGTCGTAAAGGACAAGGTTCCGCCCAGAGATATGTTAATGAGATTAGGAAAGTCGAGGTGTAAGAATAGTGTGAGAGCTTTGCGAATTGAAATATATCCAAATCGACTTTGTGAGTAAAATTGTTCGCCGTTGTCGGAGGATAAAATAAAAAGGTGATATGAGATAAAAGAAAAAGAAGCTCTGCCTGATTGGAGAAAATAATTTGCGTATGATAAGTCGAAGGTAGGGATGGATGATAGGTTGCATATTTAGTTAAGTGGCTCGGAGGAGGTGCTCAGACGGTTAAGGTGGAGATAGACATCAGTACCGTATCTAAAACAGACAAGTTAGTAAATAAGCAATACACAGGGTTGTTACGGTAGATACTCACCCTTCCATACTGATCAGTTTGAGGTCACCGCCAAAGTACCTCGCGTAGAGTCTCGAAATTGGCAACCCATAGCCGAAACCCGCAAGTGGGGCTTGGAAATCGGTCTTGTCAAAGTCCGGATCAATATCCGGGGTCTTGTCCACAGTGGTGTACATATAAGTCCACACCAAGGGGATGGCGCTTCTTGGGATACCGCCACCCTCATCGGAGATCTTGATGGTAATATCTTCCTTGCCTTCAGCAACAATAAGCTTAACAGCGGGGAAGTCATCATTGTCTTGGCCGTGCGTCTCCACAACGGCACGAAGACTATTTTTCAAGGTCTCGAACAACATGTGAGACAAATGACCCGGGACATACATGAAGTTCAGGTCATCCTTGCATACGAGCTGAACTTGTGGAGCCGAATAAAGGCCGTAAAAGCTCTCGCAAGTGAACCTGGCATTGCTAATTGCTTCTTCCGCCAACTCCTTAACGTTGGTTTTCGTGCAAATAATGCCGACATGGTCTAGCTCACGAGGCTGTTCGTTAAGGGCGACATGTTGACCGATCAGCATACGGATGCCGATACGGGACATGTAGAACCTATCCAAAAAAGCCTGGATGGATTCATCAATGCCAGTTCTCTGGCGCCGCCTCTTGTACTCATTAATACCCAGTGCTTGAGAGTAATCAATTGTTAGCACGTGTCTTGTTACTAATCTTGGAATTGCGGGGTAATGCAGAGCGTGGAAAGTAACATACCAACGGTTGTCAGAACCGGGTCGTGTCTCTTCTTAATCGTTTTAAGAGTTTGGGTGAATTTCTTGTTGTAGTCAAGGATCTCGGGCGGCCATCTCACGCCTTCGTCGATGGTGGCATAATAGCGGCTGTTCTCATCGTCAACATCCTGTGGACGCTGGCTACCACTGCTTCCTGCTTGCAACCCCTGCAGTTTACTTGTGGTATCGGGTACATACCGGCCAGCAGCGGCGACCTTCCTAGCGCCGTTGTTCACGCTCCCGTACACGGGAGAACTCGTATACATTCCCTTCGTGATCGAAGGGTTCTCGGTAGCCATAGACAATTGAAGTGGGGCCCCTCGGGTCCCTCTTGTCAGGGCATTCTTAATGTCTGCCGACAGTGAAGGTCTCGGAAGGTTTGTGATTTCCTATTAAAAATGCGGAGAGCAGCCGTTAGGCCGAGGCAATTTCGCCCGACCCATGCCACGCCGATAAAGTTAGCTCGGTCGAGTTTATTTTCATGGATCGGGATCATGGTTTTTGGCAGGGACTAAGCGAGAAAAGGTTCCGATGGTGCGGATGTGTTGCGGTGACGTCTCCAGCAAACTGCCCGACGCCGGCAACGCAACACAGGCAAATGCCGGCCAGCCGAACTTGACTCACAAGCAGACCACTTTCACATGGCTGGTGCATGGAGGAGGAGGTGATGGCACAGGACGGTAATGACGGTGATAGGCGACCATAGGGAATTCATGGAAGGGATAATTTCTTGCTTACCTCGAATGACTGAGCATACCAGTTCGCAACTTTCTGGATAGAAGGCATTTCACTTAATCCATCTGGTAGATTATTCAGTTCTCTCACGCGGTGTGCCAGTCTTATTGGCAGCTCCTCGCTCAAGAACTGAGATGCTCTAAACAAGGTCCCTAACATCCCGCGGTTGATAAGCATATGTCGAACCCTATAACTTCCACCCATTGAATATCAAAAACTACCTGGTGATGGATTTTGCCCAAATTGCACCATTTGTCGCAGGCTCACCGGCGTGGCTGGGAAAGTGCTGTAGTGTGTGATTTGGTCGAGAAGCGACCGCGACATCTTCCACGAAGACATCGTGGGCGGTGTGATGATGATTCGAACAAGATAGGCGACGATGATACGGTGGTGACAAAGTCGGAAGCTATTTCAACTGGCGCCAACTCGGAAAGGTACTTTCGTATTTCAAATCCAAAATTTCAAAAAGATAGAGTATATCTGTCGTATTTCTGTGAGATGGAGATTGAAGGTTTGGTTGGAACGGGGTGGGATGGAGGCTAGATATATCTTTTTGGGATAATAGAAGAGGCTAGGCACTATGGAGTTTATCGAGGTTAAGCTCCTTCAATTCCTCCCTCTTCCCTGGGTGTCTGGAAATGATTCGTTCCGAGGGGTAAAGGCCAGTAGCATTTCACGTGCCCCTCATTTCAAGGTGTGGTGGAAGGTTTGAGTCTGGGGATTTCTGGCAGGGGAGTTTAAGCTTGTTCGGCGTAACTTTACCAGGGTCTGGCTAGCTTAACCTTTGTGAATCGACGATTGGGAATGAAGAGGCGTGCGTTTCTACCGCATAGGTGAATGTATGAGCTGCAGAACCGCACATAAGGTCCCCTTCACTGGATGATATCTGTGGGGGGTTCGGAGGACGGCAACAGTGACAAGAAGGCTAAGGCGTTTTGGATTGGAAGGACTAGCCTTTCAATTCTTTAGCCTCTTGACAGGAAATGGCGGAGTTCGAGAGCTCAGTAGCGCCGCACCCACCACTTATTTCCAATTTACAGAACCAACTTTAGGCTGGTGGTGCTCCAAGCTTGTGAAGATCGTTTGCGCTCTGAAACTCGGGGAACAGTGGCATACGTATGCAAGGAAAGCCAAGGGTGTTAGCACACACTCCGACGGACGACAGATCTGAAATCTATTCCTTGGTCGGGGATCGAAGTTTAAGTTCGAAGGAACAACTGGTGGCTCGAGAAAAAAGTCGCCAATGGGTGGTGTTGAAGTCAGCCCACTGCATGCAGTTGTCTGCAGAGAGGTCATACGGATAAAGGCCAATCTCTGTGTATCCAAAAAAACGTCTAAGCATGAAATGGTAAGAGCTGTCAAGCTGAAATGCTTGTCCTGTGGTCGATCTTCCTGGCCCATTTTGTACTCGCCTGAAGCGTCTACAGGCAAATATGTCACCCGAGGTTGCGAGACCAAAGGGTCCCTTCATCCGGCTCCACATTTGTCCTCTATGTGTTTCCAGAAAGCCGCCCGTCTAGATTAACCCATGGAATGCGACATGGGGTGGTTTTTCCCGAGAGTCGAGAGCGTTCGTTTCCCCATGTCTCTCAGATATCTGTAGACGGGAAAGGATATCGGGATAACATCATCGATCTGTAAATACCATTTTTGACTCGCTTTGAATCTCTTGGTACCCGAGTAAAACACCGGCGGTGGTATGCACCGCCTGGTCGCGATACTCTTTTTGCAAAATGTGATACATCGGTTAGCGCCGCCAATGCCAACTTGCGTCTTCGAGCTTTGTACCTGTGCACACACACACCATCCCTTACAAGCTTTGCCCCGCATGCTCTTTGCTGCAATATGCACGGTTTGACAAGATGAACATGTCCTCGCCTCGAGAGACCCAGTTAGCTAAGGGCTGTAAGCAGGAAAAGAAGCTTAAACTGCACCCTAGGTAACCTTCCCTTACCCCCGCTGACAAAAAGCTTGGCCTATTTTCGCATGCGGAGAGGACAAAGAGACCAATCCAAATTCCGAACGGGTTGAACGGCACAGGGTGAACCCAATGATGTCAACCAAGGCACGTTCTGATACTGATAATGTCGTGGGAAAGGTGTGAAATACATTGCATGGTGGTGATTCCTAAGGCTGAGCTTGGAGCTCCAGGTTACCGCTTTTAGCTTCCTTTTCTCCACAATTTCTCGCAATCTCTGGTGGAATCTACTTTTCATATTCATGATTCAGTGCTCAAGTACTGAGGTAACATGTACAGACACATTTGCAGAATTCGTAACATACCACGTAAAGTCGAAATGGTTCTTGGAAATGAGGATTCTTCTCATCGGATAGTTCCGCGGGAGTCGGGTATGTATTCCCGGTGCCCAATTTCATTTCTCAAAGAATGCAAATAAATGAGATCCCGAGAAAGTTTTCGAGCCCGACTAGCGGGCTTTCCTTCTTTGTAGAAGGTATTCGGCGATGTTCAAGTCTTGGTGTTTAGGTACCCAGTCCTCGTAATTTGTTGTCATGGCCTTGACTAAGACCACCAACACACAACACAAAACCTAACTAGCCCCAGTCTCACATTTTGAAGTTTGAACCAAAAAACAACCATATCACAAGAATCCTACACCCCTATAACGTCTTGCTAGTTTGGTATGCTATTGCCACGTCTATGCAACCCTTTCAAGTATATGGAGGGGTGGAAGGGAGATTAAGCTCGTCGAGACGAGATTTTAACAGATGTACCTGATCTTTGCAGACAGAGGTATCTGACGCTCCCTGTTGGACCACCCGAGCCTGCATACAAAGAGCTTATCTCGCCTCATAAATGCACACTTGCATGCATATGTTCGACCAGCCGCCTCACAAATACCTTCTCAGAACGCGGTAGTAGTGGCTATTAAGGAAATTGTTATCTCATAAAGTGACGTGCATCGTTTTCCCCCACCTCATCCGGCATTTACGGTCGCAGGAATATGCACTGTACGGCGAGTAATGGCACCACTTGGAATTCCTATTGGTAAATTTGATATTTATTATGTAGCTGATATGCACGAACCGTAGCTTAACTTAACTTAGCCTGGGAAAAGTAAGGACTTATTAATAGGGTTTGGTTTGGATAGTCAGCTGACCGAGCTCTTCAGAGCACCTCTCCAAGCTATGGAAGGGATTTAGGCGGAAATACAGTCTTGATGCTTGACAACCGGATATAATATCAGCGTGGGGTATAAGAACAACATGTTAACATATATTAAATTTTGTAATTTTAGAGAACTATAGAAACTAACTGCGGATAATGCAAGCCTCTAGGCGGAAGGCTTGGTACTACTTATTCTACTTGTATGCTTCAGTCATAGTAGTAAGATCGAGATAACGTTCCCGTTTACGGTACCGTTAAACTCCAACATTATCCGGCGGGACTAGTCTACAATGTAGACACTATAGATCTCGTCGATTAACGTATAATTTCGATCTTGGCCGCCTCAAGCTACCCTTTTCTCTCGGATTGGTTAACCCGTCTACACTATCCCCGTCCAAATGAAGCGAATGTATGTACTATCGGGTACCAAGCTTTTTTTCTCTTGGAACACAAGCATCCATCCAAATGCGTTGGATACTCAAAAATGCAACATCGACCGCACGAAGGCGCCACTGTCCTCCACGAATCATACGTCCCGATCGAAACCAATCCCGACATATCCCACCCGACCTCCTGAATCGCGATATCGGCCCGACGAGAAGTTAAGTAGATGGCGAAGACGGCTGATCCAAAATCTAGGCAACGAGTAATACTTCATTTTGTAAGATTAAGATCGGCTTGGTGCATGCAAATCTGTTTTATTTATGATCTATAGGCCGGCGCCCTACGTCCGGGTCTGACTCGCGCGCGGATGCTAATCATGATAACATACCTGCATGTATAGGACTATGGTAAGGGTTTTACGAAATAAATACCCCGGTACACTTTATAAATACTAATCGGTTTATCCATTCTCTTTGGTTTTCTAAGATTGTTTCTATGCGTCATGCCATGAAAGGCTTAATCCAGCCTTGAAAAACCTGCCATGTTCGTTTGTCAGCTCCTGCTTTTCATGTGGATGACGTCTGCTTAGAAGATCTTTCGACAGTGGCCATACAGCAAAAACAAATTATCGTAACATGTAATTATGTGGCTCGGAAGAGGGGCCTGCACAAGCTGCAACTTCTTAGTGAAGCTAAACGAGCATGCCCAGATCTCGTCGTTGTAAATGGAGAGAATCTGTAAGGAATTTGCCCCTTCAGGCTCACATAACTTCGCGAACCGGGATATGATTATAATCTAATTATTTTTTGTCCTGCTAGGGATCTTTTTCGAGACTGTTCTAAAGAGAACTTTCTCTTTCTCAAAGAGTACATCTGGAGCGGGAAAATCGAAAGACTAGGCTTCGATGAAGTCTTCATGGATGTCACGGACCAGGTATCAATCCCCCTGGCCTTGCGTAGTCAAGTAACTTCGTGCTCTAACCGATTCTCTGGTCAAGCACAGATCGACTACAATCTCGATCTCGCAAAAAAGGAATCTTTCAAAACGGGCTTCTACCAATTAAAACCCGACCAACCAAACTTCGGCTTCAAATTCGATTGGGAAACCATCCCGGGTCACCTATACCCTCCACTCACAAATCCAAATAGCAAGCTACCCCAAGAGATACTAGACCAAATCCCCAAACGACTATTATTAGCTGCACATTTAGCACAGTACCTTCGACTCTTATTGCTCGATCAGCAAGGATTTACCTGCTCTGCTGGCGTTTGTAACTCAAAACTTACGGCAAAGCTAGCAGGTACAATCAACAAACCCTCTGCGCAGACTTTACTACTGCCTGATTATATACAAGAGTTTCTAGACGATCTCGCGGTGTTAAATATTCCAGGTATTGGGAGTAAGACCGGGCGGATTATTCGCGATCTTGTAAGGTCACGAAAGGAAATCGAAGAAGCAAAGGGCCAAGTAACAACAGAAGAAGTCGAGGCAGGCAACGATGTGCAAAACTACAATACGGAGACGTTCGACCTTGAGCCTGATGTCGAGAACGAAGGGCTAGCGGAGGATGAGATCGAGCGCCTTCAGCAGGCTGGAAAAGATGGTTTTATGGAGGCATATTACAACGACTCCGACGTTAAAACCAAAGTCATAGAAGCTCGGACTATGCTGTCAAGACAGAAACTCGATGAGCATCTTGGAAACATGCCCCCGGGTGCTGGGAGGGTGTGGGAGTTGCTACACGGTATTGATAACACTGAAGTTGCCAAAGCCACCCTGGTGCCTACGCAGGTATCAATAGAGGATACATTTCGGTACGCTCTGTCCACTAACAGCCTTCAAGATCGGTGAGAAACTAATGTACATAATACAGCTCCGGAATAGTAACCCAAGACACTCCCGTCGATCAATTGGAGTCTATACTAGCCCGTCTCTCGATAACCCTCGTTCGCAGACTCAAAGCTGACCTCCTAACTACCACTACCATCTCAATCCCAGATGACTATTCCCAAGTTGACATTAGCCAACTAGGGCAACCTCCTGCTAAGAAATGGCAAGCCTTCCCGAAGACACTGAGACTGTCAACAAGAGATAGGCATACAACAAAGTATCCAAGCAGGAACTCAAAGTCAGCACCAATGCCCAATTTCGTATTTTCGCTAACCACAAGAATTGAGGAGACGGCACGAAGGCTGGCGAAGGAGGCCCTAGTGCCACTTTTTAAGAGATTGCATAGCTCGGACACATGTAATGGACCAAGATACGACCTTGCATTAATCAATGTGGCGGCCATAAATATGGGTAGTGGAGAAACGGGCGTGGAAGGTGGCGATGTGGCAGCGATGTTCAAGCGCTATAGTGAAGTTTTCCCAGAAGGTGACCAAGAAAGAAAGAGGCCATTTGAAGAGACACAGAGAATTGAGTTACAAAAACAGTCGATGGAAGAATATTCTGGGGCCGGTGTGAAAGAAGAGGAAGAAGAAGAAGAAGAGGACATAGAAGAAGGATTTCTGTCTGACGATGGGTTCTCTGATGGGGCGGCGTCCGACGAAGGAAGCCAAGAGGTCGTTTGCAAGAAGTGCCATGCAAGGCTGCCGATATTTGCGATCGGTGCCCATGAAAGATTTCACAAGCAGATGGATGATAGATAACCAGTAATTAAGATGTTGGATTAGGTGCCATTAGGCTATCTATTAATAAACCAAAGCTCTATAAGAGCCATCCTTCCAAAAATGAGCTAAAGAAGGAAATAATGTAATATGTTCTTCCGGTCACTCCCTTTGTTCCTGCGATATATGTCTTTTGGCAACATATGTGCCCAAGCCCCCTTGAATATAGGAAGCTGAAGAATGATCTTTCGCTGGAGAGAAGCAAGGAAGGAGGGAGATTTGGTTTAGTATCAAGTTGAAGTACTAGAAGAACTTCATCTTCGAGACCCTCTTGAGCTTCGGAAGCCATTTTCCCCATATCCATCATCGTCAGTGCCTTCGAAGCCGCCTGCGGCGCTCGTACTTCCTTGCTCCCTCGGGCTCGTTGGACTCTCATCTGACGGTATACCAACAAGTCGTTTCAGTAGTTGATGACGTGTCCTAGCGAGCGACTGGTCCTTGGTGAATGAGAGGATGGCTTGCATCTCGAATGATTCCAAGGCTGTGATAGCGAACTCGCGAAGCTCCAGGGTTTTTGGGTCGTCAGTTGGAGATTCCAAAGTTGAAGACGCACTGCTACTGGTATGCTTAGAGGCACTAGATGCGGAAGTCAGAGAAGGTCGCGGAGGCATGTCGGCGCTGTGGTTCGAAGTATGGTTTGATACGTTGATGAGGTTGTCGATGAGTGGTCAATTTGCGTTGTCATGGTGTTGTCACGATGTTGGCACGTTGTTGACGTGAGGTTTTTACTCCTTGTACGACGGACGAACTCTTGGGCACGACTACCCGTTGCATGATATGCACTGCGTTAGAAATGACGTCCCTCGCATTTCGTAGAACCATCTCACCCTCAATTCACATCTCCTCCTCTTCCTCCTCATCTTTATCCTCTTATTCTTTCAGATACCCTTTTCGACGTTCAATTACACAAGCCCACCGAGAAGCCAAGCAACAGGCCTCGCCATCTCACCTTATCAGCGCCCAGACCCACCCGAATCACTTGTATTGCCTCCCAGGGCGGAAGATTCCTGTCAGGCACGATACAAACCTCGCATTCCGGCCAACTTTAATTGCACGTCATTTCTCCAAATCACAGTCAATTAAAATGTCCGACCAAGATTACGAGGCCTTTTTGAATAAGGCCAATAAGGACTATTCTGCTCCATCCACAAACACGGCTCCTCAAAAAGAGGAGGAATTTATTTCGGCTACTGCACATCAAGCCCTTCGAGCTATAGGGGAGAGGTGGTACACCTCAGACTCAGATGAGCCGTTCACTGATGTTACATTCGGCTGGGAAGGAGACGCCCTGCCCGATGAAGGTAGGCAGGATATATTTGGACCACCTTTTTCCCTTGCGCACCCCGTACAGTAATAAATTACTAACAAAGTTCCTACCATAACCGTGTCGAATTGCAGCGGAATTCGGAGAACTTGTGGGACTGGAGGTATCCGAGAAGATGCCATACGAAGAATGGGATGTAACAGGCTCTTATGACGATGTTACTTCCGCCATACAAGAAGCCGCGGGTGGGTCTGCACCTGAGGTTTACAGAGTCGAAGAAAACTATACCAAAAAATGGTACTATGTTCTCGCTTTAGATAAAGCGAATAAGAAGCTCGTTGGAGTGAAGGCATTGGCTATTGAAAGCTGAAGTTAACTGCTCAGGCTGAATAACTAACACTTTCTTCGTATAAGTAATTATGCGCCAGTGTGGCACAACCAACCGGCGTGCAAAATCTGTACTTTATTGAACAATCCATCTAAAAATGGGGGGTCAACTAGCGGCTGTTTTTTGTTAGTTGGACCCGTCCAGTTCAAGACATCGGTCCAGTGTGTGTGCAAAACCCTTCATGGAATCATACAACCAGGCATCCGGAATAGAGTTTTTTTTTTTTTTTTTTTTTTTTACCGCGAAGTCCTTTAAAACTTGCGCCAGGCCAAAACTCACACACCACACGTCAGGGGAAATTGTTTGCTACGTGGTGATAGCAAAATTTTGAAACTCGCCGCTTTACCTAATTGCAGAGTTGCACCCGAAGCCCAGAAGGAAGGCCGCCGTCGCAGGGTGTGGTGGCTGTACAAGCAACCTCGACAGAGCACTAAGAACTCGAGCAGCGCATCAGGACTCCCACAATCTGAGACCAATTTTCTTCCTCAATGGCAAAAATTGCAAACACGATCCCTCCCGCCAATCCGCTGCAGGCCATGGACATCCTGCCTTATGGGAATCGTACTAGGGGGCACCCGCATAGCACATCATGCCCATGGCTGCGGACAGGCACAGGATCCCTGAGCCAGGATGAAATCGAAGAAGAAAAACGGAACGTCAAATTTCAAGCTGGCTACTGGTTGATAGGCCACCCCTTCCCAGCCTAAAACGTCTAGAACCCATGTACCAGGATGCCTCTTGCCTGTTCCTACCTGTTCTTGCTCTAATAAATGTCGGTGCAACCCAGAAACGCTCTCTTGGCAATATCTTCTTTCCCTCGCTTCGCTCGCAATCGTATCGTCAAAGCCTTGTTCCCTCGTCGGAGTTTTATTTTTGACACAACGGTTTCTTTACCCTCTTTCCTATGCTAAATACATCTGAAGGCTAAATTCCTTACTATTGTATCTTTCTTATTCTTATTCTTGTTTTCATTCTTATCCTTATTCTCACTCTCTCGTTTAAAACAACTGACCCGGTAAACCTTTCGATTCACCACCCTCGTTTAACTTCCAACATTTTTCTCGAAGCATACTTGTCCAAGTACCTGAAATACTTAATTAAAAATAACTTCAAGAACAGACCTATTACTCAGACAGTATCTCGTTGACTATCATTCATATCCACGAGTATAGATTCTAAACTGCATGAGATCGATATAACAATATAATACCACAATGTCGCAGAAAAGAGTGCCGCCACCTCTCCCTCCAGCGAGACGGTCACTGTCGGCCGCAAATACTCTTAACATTCCACCACCATTTCCTACTTCCCAGCATAATCGTATACCAGCATTAGCATCTCCTCGTATTACATTGAACTCTAGTTCTGAGGATTTACTCCAATCCGAACAAGCACAATACACAGGACCAATTCGAAATTTAACACCAACATCGACAGCCCCAAGTTCTCCCATACTACCTGCAAATAGTCGACCATTCTATGCTCCTGGGAGCCCTTCATACTCCTCAGAGAATCTTTTACCTCCCAGTAAAGGGTTTTCTAGTCATAGGTTTCAAAACCATGCGGTAGACCCTTCAGCTTTCGTCCCGGACTATTTTATCCACCAGGACAGTCGGGATTCTTTCGATTCTTTCGACAACCGCTCTGCACCTCGAGATCCCTTCTCTACACCTCTACATAGTCCCATGCCATGGGATATGAATGATAGCTTACGGCCTAGGACAAGGGATTCTGACGATGATGCTAGCATCTATCCTATGGGAGAAAAGTTTGATATTTTTACAAATGTGGACGACTTGATAGTATATCCAAGGGATATTGAGGCGGACGATGAATTACATGCTCCAGATGGAAAGAAGATCGATAGAGATTTCAACTTTTGGAATAAGAGAGGAATTGTGAACCTCGGTGGGTTGGTTTTATTGGTTGGTGGTATTTTGTTCTTGTTTATTGGATATCCTGTGATGTATGTCAAAAAGTTTTCCTAGACCGCCATCTTCAAAAAAGAAAAAAGAAGCAAGACAAGAGTTAACTCTGGTATCCCAGATTCTTCGTCCAAAACTACGTCCTCGAATCGGACCGACCAGCGCCAACGGCTTCATGTCGTGGTTCGGAATGTCTTCCACCAAATATTCAGGATCAACCACCGTTGAAAAACGCAAGAACAGGGTTGATCGACCCAGATACACCAAAAAGCGCCATGACCCGAACTGCATCTGACGGGAAGCAGTGGAACCTTGTTTTCTCCGACGAATTCAATGTTGACGGTAGAACATTTTACCCTGGCGAAGATCCGTTCTGGGAAGCTGTTGATATCTGGTACGGAGCAACACAGGATTCTGAGGTAAGCTAAAGATATCATGGCAATTCCGAAACCAGGAACTCCGATACCTATCGGAGAATTTCTTTTTACGCCACCCCGAACACAAGCTTTTTTTTTAAAAAAAAAAGATTTTCTTTGCACAAGGGGCTTGTTCCAGACTGACCAAGGAATGAAACCAAACATAGTGGTACGACCCAAATCAGATAACTACTAAGGATGGTGTTCTTGAAATCACATTTGACTCCTTCCCGACCCATGGACTTCAATACCGTTCTGGAATGCTGCAGAGTTGGAACAAGCTATGTTTCACAGGCGGGATAATCGAAGCTAGCGTATCTTTGCCTGGGCGAGGAGATGTTTCGGGCCTTTGGCCAGGTTTTTGGACTATGGGAAACCTAGGAAGGCCTGGATATTTGGCATCAACGGAGGGCATGTGGCCATATTCGTACGATGATGTCTGCGATGCGGGGATCACGGCGAACCAGTCGTCGACGGACGGTATCAGCGGATTGCCGGGAATGAGATTACCAGCATGCACCTGCAAAGTAAGATATCCTAAAGTAGAGAACATCGGGAAATATAATTTCTCCATCGTGGTTCAAAATCGCTAATATATATGTATTTAGGGCGCGGACCATCCAACTCCAGGAAAATCACGCTCAGCTCCTGAAATCGACGTCTTCGAAGCCAGTGTCAGTGTTATCAACCAACAGGGTTCTAAAGTCGGATCGGTCTCCCAATCCGCCCAGTTCGCACCATTCGATGTATGGTACCAGCCGGACTACGAATACATGGCTGTATACAATGCATCGATTACCACCATGAACGAATACCGTGGTGGTATCTTCCAGCAAGCTATCTCGGGTCTTACTAGTTTGAACAATGACTGGTACGACGGGAAGAAATACCAGACCTACGGATATGAGTACGAACCAGGTGCAGATGGGTACATCGAGTGGGACGTTGGTCGTCAGCCTACATGGAGAATGGAAGGGCCATCTGTCAGGCCTAACGGAAATATTGGACAAAGGATAATCCCCAAGGAGCCAATGACCGTCATTCTCAACGTCGGTATGGGCACAAGTTTTGCGTTCGTGGAGTGGTCAGAAATAGAAAGTAAGTAACCTCTATAATCCTAACTTGCAACCACCAAACGAATGACTAATTGGATAAAACTAGAACTCCTACCGGCGAAAATGCGTGTCGACTGGGTTCGCATCTACCAGCCTCCGGGCAAAGAATCGGTAACCTGTGACCCTCCAGGTTACGAAACCACCCAATATATCAAAGACCACCCGATAGCCTTCATGAACCCAAATGTTACAACTTGGGAGGCCGCAAATTATACACGGCCCAAGAATAGCTTCGAAAACACCTGCTAAAATACTCTTCCGACACTTCAAACAAACCTTCTGACGAACTTTTTTTTTTTACTGAATTTTCTAAAAATCTAACGTATTCCCTTTGTCCCGGACATCACTTATACCCCGAGCATCTTACGAACTCCTTTCACATATCTCACCAATTCATTTCCCTCTTTTTTTTTCTTTTTCCTTTTATTCAACATCGCCTGCGATTTCTTTTCGATTCCCACATAGACCAACCTTTTTTTTCTTTTACCAGCACCGGCAGCGCTTTGGCATAGCCTCTCAAGGCATCAGCATATACTTCCATCCATTTATTCAATTCGGCATTTACATATCGGATAGACCAGCATTTTCTCGCTTCCAAAGGACATTGCATGTCCCACTTTTATATTCATCAGGTCGAAGCAAGGCTCAGTCCTTTATCTACAACCTCTCCTTCTTTCCCTTCACTTTAATTCTATATTCATTAATGCTTGTATACCCCAATTTCTCTCTCCACGGGTGCTATACTGCACATACGCATACATTTAACGCAAAAAAAAGGTCGTTAATTTTTACCCCCTTTCTCTCCCCCCAAATACTCAGGTAGTAACACTGGGGGGGGGTTTTTTGTACATTTATTTATTTACTTTTTTGTCTTACGGGGGTGTATACAATATTTCGGAGTTTATTCTTTTTTTAAGAGCGATATATATCCAATTTCCTTTTTTCTGAAGAATAAAAAAGTCATACCTTTTTTGTCTCTTTGTTAGTATAAAACAGGCTGTTCTGTATATCTACCTACGTATATAAAAATATCATAGGGATCGGCTATAAGCATATTCTCTATTCCCTGTTTATATATATATATATATATATATATATACATCATATCGGGCAATTTACCTCGACACTAATTATTACATGACCATACGTAAAGTTATATTAACAAGTATACAAAAACCCGCGCAAGTTGATCTAGATATCCTTACGGTACGCACCACCATAGATTCTTCAGTGTGCCGCATATTATTATATAAAGGAAGGCTTATACCCCCCCTTCCGGCGTACATACGCCCCACCCCGCCCCACCCCCTCAATATCAGAAACAACAAGGGAGGGGAGGGGAGGGGGGTTCTAGAATACGAATTTTTCAAAACATATATCATAATAACCAAATCAAGTAGTTGGAATCTACAACCTATAACATAACCCCGCCACAGAGCTCACAAAAGAAAGAAAGAAAGAAAGGAAGGAAGAAAAAAACACCCCCCGGAGGAGGGCAGTGCTTTTTTTTTTTTTGCCAACGGTACCACTATGGAATATATGACTTATTAAATCGATCTTAAATTCTGGAGCAACTATCCTAGAGTAAACCGGCGCAGTTAAAAAAAAACGAAGAAGAAAAAAAAAAGGGGGGGGGGGGGTTTCAAAAATTCATGATCGAAAAAGTCTAAGGATTCCACGAAAGTTTCCCAGAAGTCTACTTAACGACTTTATACAGAAATCACAGCCTTGAATTGATATTAATATATTAATTAGTCTTAGGTAATTATAACAGCCAGATCCTGCTCCCACTATGCATAGTGGTATTCTAAAATGTTAAAAGGTCGGCTTCCATGGCCGCAACTTTATACCTCCCATGTATTCCTATTACCAGTAAAGCCCTAAAGTACCCACTTATGAAGGCATCCTCCCTCCAAAACATCCAACCTACAAACACTACCATCTATAGATATCAATCCATCATACCACACATATATATAGAGTAAATAGCTAAGTATCGAAATAACACACCACCCAGCCCCCAAACCCAACCCCCCACCAGCGTCCCAATAACCCAGTCACATCACCAATCCAATCCAACCTACCTACGTACCTACAAACTAAATAACTACTTACCCACAGGAACATTAACAACTTTAAACAAAACAGTTAACAGTTCTAACGCCACCACAAGTTAAGTTACCCGTCATACCCACTACACGCACTTAATACGCAATAACCTCATACCCACATCGAACCGGACTTAACTATCGACATCATCCACAGATAATTATAATACAGATTTATATAGCTATAAAAAAGAACATACATAGGTACTTATATATAGTAACATTGACAGATACTACATATACGCGCGCTTCCAGACCGTTCCAGACCACCCCTAAAACAACTGATATATAAAAAAAAGTACCCAACAGAGTTATAAATTCTTTGTCAATATATACCTAGATAGATCATTTGCAATAATATAAGCGGTTACTTATATTCCAACATAGAGAGTATAAAATACAATTAAATCAAAAATAAATTAAGAAATCTACGTACACCATCACGAAGCAATAAAATATGTTTATAGGAAGTTATTTATGATTCAATTCGGTCAGTCTACTACAGAACGCCTTTAGGGGCGAAACGAAAAAAATATGTCGGTCATGGGCTGTAGTAACTCTCGATTTTCTAGGGCCTAGCCGCTTTCTTGATCCCTCGAACAAGAAGTAAAGTACACAAACGGACTCTGATCAAGAAAAAAAAAAAAAAATGGAGCAAAAAAAAAACAATAAGAGGAAAAAAAAAGTTGAAACGCGAGTATCGAAAGCAACCCAAATGGGAAAACATAAGGAGGAAAGGATAATACGCATTCGATACTATAGGACATCAAAACTCAAATTTAAAAAATGCATAACGATAATACAATCATAGATTTAAAAGTAGTAGGTCAAAGAGAAATGAAGCTTAAAGTAGTATAAATTTTGGTATCAAGAACGAACGTTCGGGCTTTTGTTATCGCAAATATCATGCGTGACAAAAAGAACACAAATAAGGGTACCATAGAGGGGAAGGAAAAGGCGGGATCGCCGGGTATAAAAGGAAAAGGAATATATAAAAAACGGTAAAGACCGGAACACGCGACCAGGATAAAAGGATGATGACCCAGAAGAAGAAAAATCGTCAGCATCAGACATTATTGAAGATAAAAAGAGAAGAAAGAATAGCCGCCTATTTATTTCCCTTGCAGAGAGTAAATAGATATTCATTTATCACTGCCATTGACGGTTACTTTGGGGGCTTCGGGCTTGCCGCCAGCGGAAACTGGAGGTGGACGCCTGTCGTCCCCCTCGGGCTCGTTGTCGTAATCCTCATCGAGATCCATCTTTCGAGCTGGTGGCTCAATGATTTCCCTTCTCTCTTCTACCTTGGGTTGCTGTGGTGGTTGCGGCGGCGGCGGCGGCGGCTGCGATGGCTGTTGCATGCCTGGGGATTCACTCATAGGAGGAAACTGGTGCATCGGTCTCGGGCCAGGGGTGCTATGGTGAGATGGAGGAGGTGGTGGACCTCTAAAGTCCTCCCTTGGACGCTCCGAGGAGCTCCGTCTTCCCTGGGCGTCTGGGGAGATTGTTGTGTTTCTTCTGGGTGGAGAAGATCGGGGTTGCATGTGACTCTCTAGTCTCTCGCGTGTAATATCTGATGCCTGTTTCTTCGGATGTGGGTCGTCGATGTCCTCCCACTCTCTTGGTCGTTTGATCGGGTCCCGCTGTTCTCTCTCGCGCATAGCATTTTCAGCGGCATGATGCGCTGCAGTCGGGACCGGTTGGCCATTAACGATTCCTGGCTGTGGATGTTGAAGATGAGCTTGACGATGCACACTATGTGAATGAAATCCGGAGGAGCTTGGAGATGGCATACGGTCGCCCACTGGTTTTATTATTTCAGGAATGGGACTTCCGCGATTCCCATGAAACGTCACCCCAATTGTACCATTTCCATTAGATGGTGGGTTCAGGTTGTGTGATGGTGGCGGCGGCGGCGGTATCGGTCCGTTGTGATGCTGAGGATTGAGAATACGGTTTGGTGGCGGTTGAGGGCCGTTCATCGACTGTGGCATATGTGGGTGGTGCATCGGTGGTGGCGCTTGGCTAGGCCCGGATGGCGGCCCGTACATCGATGAATGGTTGATCTTAGGCGAAGGAGAGTATCTATGCAATGGCGGAGGTGGAGGAGGGCGAGACTGATCTGTAGCACCAATGTCAGGACTACGCAAACTTGGTGGACGAGGCACCATTGAATCAGGACCTCGATAAGGCGAAGGTGCTGGTCCGGGGCCTCCAGGCGGCAGCTGAGCTAAGACTGGGCCGGGTGGGCCGGGTGGGCCGGGTGGCGGTGGCCCAGGATGTTGTGATGATGGTTGGCTACGTTGAGGACCCTGAGGGGGCCATGTATGGCTGGGCGGGGCGGCAGGCTGATACTGCTGGACATCTTGCGGAAGTGGGGCTGGGGGTGGTTGGCTAGTATGTGGTACACCGGACGCTTGGCCACTTCTAAGCAGGTTGAGCCTAGCCTTGATATGAACATTGGTTGGGTCAAGGTCAGCCGCCCTTTGGTAGGCGTCCAGGGCATCATTGATTTGATTGTTACACGATTCATACTGGTATCATTAGTCATCAACCTTTCCTAAGAGAAAAAATAAAAACAAAAAGAAAAAATCGACTTACGAGTGTACCAAGATCATACCAAACCTCAGAGATGTAAGGGTTAAGCCTAATAGCTCTACTATAAGCATCCAAGGCATCCCTGTATTGGTTAATCTGGTAGTACAAGACACCAATAGAACACCAAAAGGTTGGGTTCCTGCCATCTCTATACACAGCTTGTTGGTAAGCTTCATACGCTTTGGGATATTTCTGCTGAGACATATAACAGCGTCCCAAAAGATACCAGCTCTGGGCATCAGTGTTGTCTATATGATATCAGTAACATTGCTCAGCATGAGGAATGATACAGGTTTAACTCACCAGCCCTGACCGACTTTTCTAAATGTTCAATAGCAATCTCCTGGCTCTCATAGCTCGCACTTCGCTGATGGTAGAGCCAGCCCAGCTGTTGAAGGACTTTAGCGTGATTAGGGTCACGCTCAAGAACCCTTTGGTACGCCTTCTTGGCGTTTTCAAACTGCACGTGACGGTGTTAATTTTGGGGGAGTTCTTTTAAAACCATAAATGTCAAGGGTAACCTACATCTTTTTGTTGTTCGTGAACATGTCCAATCTGGAACCAAATGTCCTCCTCTGTGAGAGGGCGTGGCGGATCCTGGACAATGAATTTGAAGCAGTCCAAGCTCTGAGAGAACTTCTGCTGTTGTTTATAAATTATGCCGAGGCGGAAGTAGATTTCGTTTGCCTTATCAAAGTTCCCATCCATTCGCATGACCTGGGAGAAGGCTTCTTCTGCATGTTCGAGGGAACCGTATCGGTCATACAGAATACCTATGCCATACCACAGCTTCGGTTCTTTAGGGTCACGGAGATGGTAGAGAGCTTGCTGGTACGCTTGGTAAGCTTTCTGTAAATCGTCCATCATGAGATAACAATGACCTGAATGGGGATATGTTAGCAAACATTCATATGTGAATCGTGCGAACGGTGGCATGCATACCAAGTGAGCCCCAAACTTCACCATTATTGGCATCGATATTCAAGATAGCCTGAAGATACTCAACAGCCTTGGGAAATTGTTCCCGTGTTCGTAATATATGAGAAATGCTTTCCATTGCAGGTATCGAATAACTGTTCTGTCGGATAGCGGATTCATATGCATCCATTGCACCGTCCAAATTTCCCATCATCTCAGCAATACTCCCTAGAAAGGCCGAGAACATATAGTTAGCCCTGTGGCCAGATTTTCCATAATATGTGGCGAGATCCATCAAGCAAGGCTTCGCGCTAATTGAGATGTTTATGTATAGGGTTTGTAAAAGGCGGGAAAAGACTTACCAATTTTCAGCCAAACGGTCTCGTTAAGTGCACTTAGCTGATGGGAAGCGCTGGGTTTTCCACCGGGGCCGCCCATTGGAGGTCCGTGACCATTAGGCATGGGCCCTGGAGGTGCATTATGGGGGTGATGAGGAGAGGTTTGAGGAGGACCAGACATTGCGACTGCGGCGCGATTCACGCGCGTGGTAAGAGGAGAGGCCTGCACGGTTTCGAATTCCTAAGGATACAGAGAGGGAAATGATAGATGTTACGGAATAGCCGTGGACAGTATTCTCGGTTTAAAGTGGCCTCTCAGCCAAGGGGATTATCGTGGTCCAATATAATCAAGATCACGATGTGAGGACAGTATGTTTCTGCTCAAAACGCGGTGAGAAGGTAGAAGGTAATGGTGTGTCGTGAATAAAAGGTACTCAAGGTCGAAACGAGTTTGGAAGATCGTTGATGGTTGAGGGCCAGGATATGACAACGTGCGAGATGCGTGATAGACGCCAGACAGACAGAAGATCGAAGATCGTGGTATGGCTGTGGTGGCTAAGGAAACGGTATCCCACTCGATAAGATGGTAAACGTGATGAGCCGAATTGCGATGATGGTGACGCAAAGGGGAAGGGAAGGGGGAAGGAAAGAAGGAAAGAAAAGACGCAGACAAAGGGTCAGGTTAACAAAGTCGAGTCGAGGTGATAAGAAAAGGACTTCGCGAAGGAAGAGAAGAGAAGAAGAAGAGGAGGAAGAGGAAGAAGAAAGTTAACAAGGGAGAGGGAAAAGGCGAGGTTTTGGATGGCGGCAAGGAATTGAGTGGACAGGGAACCGACTCGGCTCAAACAACAACAGCGCAAGGACCCGCTGCAATATAATGACGGAATAAATTTGGTAGGTACCAGAGCAGGAACAGAAAAGAAGAAAAAAAAAAGAAAAGAAAAGAAAAAAAGAAGGAAAGAGGAAAAAAGTGATCGGATGGTCGGAAAGGTTGGAGGAGGAGAAGATAGATTGTTTGATAGTTGGTTAGTTTGGAACCGAGGATGATGTTGGTGATGTATGTGATTGATGATGGATGTCGATGTTTATGTGAGGAGGGAAGGTGCAGTAGGGCTGAGTTTGAGATTGAGTTGGCTGAACATGTAACTGTCAATGATGTCCTGTTGGATAGATGGATGGATGTACGAGGACGAAGATGACGAGAACAAGGACACGACACGACACGGTCTATGATGATGAAGATGATGATGATAGGCTGGATGTAGGTAGGTAGGTAGGTAGGTTTGAAAGAAGGAACAGATGGTTTAGGCTTCGGGTTTACCAGGAAAAACAATTACACGCTCATAAAGTGACGCTTATCAACCGAAGCTTTTGTTCTTATTAGGAACGGGGTGTGTGTGGCTGGCAGGCTGACTGACTTACTGGAAGCAAGCAAGCAGACGAGCAAGGGCAAGCAAGACGAGACAAGTGAGTAAGTAAATTTAAAGTAAAAGTAAAGCAAAGTAAAGTAAAGTAAAGTTAAGTAAATGTATGTCAACTTTAATCTGGTGCACAGGGCAGACAGACGAAACGATCTACAGACACGGGTGTAGATGATTAACTTCTGGCGAGGTAAGTGGCTCGCATGAAGAAGTTTAGACTTCGAGTGGATGAAAGAAGGAAGGAAGGAAGGAAGGAAGGAGAGAGAGAAAGGGAAAGAGGGGAGATCGTGGTGATGTTGATGATGGTGGTGATGGTGATGATGATGATGATGATGATGATGATGTGGTGGTGTTGATGGTGGTGATGACGAAGAGAGATGGGAAAGGAGGAAAGGAAAGGAAAGTGAGAGAGGAAAGAGGGAGAAAAGAAGAAAAAAGAAGACGACGACTGATCAATTACAGCAACGAGTAAGGATAGTAAGTATACCAGTAGAGTTAGATCCCGAGAGAAGAATCAGAAGAAGCAGAAGCAACGAAGGACTCGAAAAAAAGCACACATGAATGAACGGGTAATAATCACAGCCTAGCGTTTAGTGCACTATAACTGATATTTCTTATTCCAGATATTATTTGCTAGTCCATATAATCTACTGATCACAAACCAGGACATGTACACTTATAGTCCTATTGTACATAAGTAGATACATTATATATTTAATGTAATGTATGTACATGTATGTGATGTACTATGTATATGATGTACACTATTGGTATCACGGTCATGCCCGCCCGCCGCCCTCATGGTTATCAGCGAGTCAGATTCCAGTTTAAACTTGGGAGCAGAGAAGGAAAGAAATAAAGAAAGAGAAAAAAAGGGCCAAAGGGCAAAAGACAGTGGAAAAAGAAGAGGAAGAAGAAAAAAAAAAAAAAAAAAAAAAAAAAAGAAAATGGCAGAGAGAGAGAGCCTGCAGTAGTTTATTTGACCCCAGACCCAGAAGTTTAGTTAGTTAGTTTAGTAACTTAAGTAATGTATGTACAATATGTATGTCGATGTATCCCCATGCTTGCTTCTTCGGTATTTTATTTTTATTCTTTTTTGTTTTTTTTAGTAAATTTCTTTTTCTTCTTTCTGCTCCCCATTCTTTTTGTCTTTCCCATTCGTATTTGCTTCTTCCTTCCTTCCTGGCGGGAAGCTCTTATTTAAGAGAGATCATAAAAAAAGTAATATGGCGCACGCGGGTGTCCAATGCGGAAAAAGCAAAGGTCCGAACTTACTGTTACTTACTTATTCGACTGTCGTTCGACTAGGCCCAAAGATGGCTGAGGGTGGAGAAAGAAGGATGTTCCGGAGGAAAAGGTTAAGGGTGTAACGATTGCCTGCATCTGCTCAGAAGGTTGAACCTGCGCTTGGCAGTTTCTCTTCTTCTTCTTCTTATTCTTCTTCTTCTTACTCTCATTCTCCAATATAGTACTTACTCTAGATACTTTCCCGACCCGAGGCACATCACGTCGGCATACATACACACACACACACACACACTTACCGACATATAACATGGGAATTGGGTTACATACTATATGTATATAAATAGTATATATATAAGTACTCAAGTACATCGAGTAAAGTAGGCTCGACTCCGCGATACTGTCTGCATGTCAATGTCTGAGCGACGGATGGATTACATCCATTCCCCCCCCTCCCAAAAACAAAAACAAAAAAAGCCTGCGCTATATAAATGAAAAAGCAAACGGCGTAGCAGAAACCATACCCAGAAACATGGGGATGGCTAATCCACTGGCTCTCCCGGGTGCTTCGTCAGGTCGCAGAAGCAAAAACGGGAAGAATAATCTTCGACGCTAAGCTAAGGATCTTTCCTGCATGTTATGGCTTAGTGAGAAATGCAAAGATGGGGTGTGGAATAACCCTCGCTATTACGCACATGCAGACCGTACTTCATCTGTGGTGGTGGTGGTGGTCTTCTATTTCTTTTGGGAGTTTCTTTTCTTCCTCCGCCCTTGTTCGAACATCGGCTCCCTCGCCCTTCAGTCCAAAAGTGGGCATCATGGAATGTCCACCCACACACCTTGACCAGGCTGAAGGGATGGGCCCCACTCAGATTAAATGGACCGACCCTTCTCCTTGCTTTTTTTTGTCTTGTCTGTTGCTGTTTCCTTGCGTTCGGTTCTTCGCCAGTCAATTGGTCGTTCGTGTCAGTCAAACTGACAGAAGGGGCACAGTTCCTTTTTCTTTTTTTTTCTTTTTTGCTTCTTGTTCGTTTTATTTCTTCCTTGTTACTCCAAACTCACATATCCTTCCAGGCGGAACTTCGGTCATTCTTTCGCGCAGGACAGATCGCATTTGGGGGTCCTCCTTCCCCAATTGTCTCAAGAGAGGGGGGCGACCTGGACAATCGTATACTTATTGTATGTACCCTCCACCCTTCAGTCCAAGCCTCGATCTTTCTTCCACAATCTCATAACCGAAAAAAAAACCAGTCTTAACAGAGCATCATATAGTATTCCATACCACTACCTAACCCATGTCGACCTGTGTGTGGACTGAGGACTGTGTACAGTGTATGTGCTTACAATATTCCTTATGCTAACGGCCGGCCGGAAAACTTCCAGGCAGATATATGATGGTCCGAGATGATGATTGTTTTACTTTTACTTCGGATCGGTTCCCTGAGATCAAAAGTCAACTGATAATCCACCAGAAACCCAACCTGGTGGAGATTTCCCCGATAGTTTTTTTTCCCTCTGGTCATTTTAGTGGATGGACGTGACTTCTTCCCTAGTTTTAAGCCTCCTGATGTGCCCTCCACACCAGCAGATGGCGAGGGGGTACTGCTCCCGCAACCTTACCTGCCTTGGTCACCACCGCACAAACCTCCCAAAGAAAAAGCAATATTCAAACGTCTCAGGGTTAAGTAACCCATAGCAAAAAAGCAAGTTCACAAATGTGGATACGGTGCCAACATTTGGAGAAGAAACTAGCACATTGCTTCTTCTTCTCGTGTCCGCTGCCGGGTGGGTAAAGCCTATGTATCCCAGATCACGTTAGTGCAGCGTAGTAAGAAGCATACGCGAAACCCAGTCGCTGGTAACTCTGTCATGCTTTTTTGCCCCCTTCGTTTGTTTCTTATCCTTATGTAGCCTTTCTCTTTTCATTATTTTTATTTTTTTTATTTTCATGTTTACTTTTATTGTTTATTCTTATTCTTGTTCTTATTTTATTTTTTTTGGTTTTACAACCCTCCCGCATGCGCATGCGCCGATGACAAATGGATCATGCTTCGTTGCTAAAAGCCGGCCAGGTATCAATTGAGATAAAGTAGGTACTTACATACCATGTAAGTACTTACGAGGTAGGTACATTACCTTCCCATCGCTACGAGGTACACGATATAATCAAGATCCGAAAATGACGATACTGTCTGTACCTCGTACTTTGATATGCAGGCATCTACATCCAACCCACGCCTAGCTAGACTCCGCACACACCCTACCGAGGCATTTAAACGTCATCTCCCGAGTCTTTCTCACCTGGGTAATATATCACAAAATTCTTCTGCGTTTCCAAAATTCCTTCTTCCCTTTTATCCATACATCCTTTCCCTCTTAGTGTGTGATCTCGAAAAGATGACCATGGGAAGAAGGGGGGAAAAGGGAAAAATAACATAAAAGGGGACTGCTACCACATTTTGGCGAAAGCAAGATCTCCAAGATCCTTGCCAAGTACATACATATCCTTGCCCAGCTCCGGGTGTAATCTTTGGCCCCAAAGAATGTGAATAAACATTGGAAAAGCAATTTGGATATAAAGTATATATGTAATCGATGGCAAGATCCGAAACCGAAGCAGGTGAAATCTCACGAGAGGAGAAATGAACCCTCCCACCCCCTCCCCCTTCGCGATCCCGGCGACGAGCGCCTCGCAGATAATAGATGAGGGAGCCATAACCTTAATCACACTTTCTCCCTCTCACTCTCCCCCCTTCTCATGTCCGTTTTCTAATCTACTAGTATAAGTTTGGAGTTTTATGCGTGCGGCGTTCTACTATAGTCTGTATTAGTTAATATTGATCAAGCCTCAGCAAGCCTTATCCTTATACACTACGCTCAAAAGGGGAATCTGCATTATGTCGGCTACTGTGGACGGCGGTCTGATCTGAGTCTGAGTCTGGGCGGTTCAACTTTTTTTACTTAAAAAGTTAAACCTGCGTAAGGGGAAAAAAAACCCGCTATCGGAATGTTTGGGCGTTCGTTTTTTTTTGCTCTGTCCGCCGCCGCCTCAGATCTTCCATTCCAGACCATCATCCCATTGTTCACTACAAAAATCAAGTTAAAACATACATGTATTAGAGAAAAAAACGAAAGAAAGAAAGAATAAGTAGATGACAAAACCGTCCTCCAAATCCTTTCCCTTGTCATCCGAAATACCTCTTGATCAATTGGGAGGAACCCCATTTTTTTCGCATCTCCGGTACGGGACGGGTTTTGAACCAACCAAAAAAAAAAAAGGTTAAAATGGAAAAGGGCGGCATGCGCGCGCGCCCTTACCTACCCCATCAATCATCATCATCCCTTCCTTTTTCTTTCTTTCTTTTGAACCAAACTTGAACAGAGGGTTTGTGCGCTACAAGCGAACTATCGCGAGGTGGTGCCTGTTGAAACTTAACTTAACTAGAGCCAAAGGCAAAAAACGCCAGAGTGGACGGCTTGCATAAAAATCTCATGACCAAAAAATTTAAAACGCCTACCAGGAAAGAAAAAAAACAATATAATAGTATTAATAGTAATAATAGTACCTTAATATCGGATCAGATTTCAATCTCATCGAGAAGTTATATTTTACCGGTCCCTTGAAGTTATATCTTTAAAAGATGGGGGTTCATGTTATTGTTTTTGTCTACTCTGAGACCAACCAGCCAGCCAGGCCAGCCCGGCCAAGATGACCTCGAACTCTCAGGTTTGTTCCACTCTGAAAATGTGATCGAACGGAAAAAGGTCTGCAACATATACGGGGAAGGGGAATGTAGAAACACACTGCAACGACTCAGATTGACAGAAGTATGCTAAAACCTTAAGTTTTATGAGATCTCCAACCCTGTAACAAACAGTTAACTTCAGGGTTGGAAAGGAAGAAGGCAGAAAGAAAGAAAGAAAGAAAAGAAAAACGTCGTCATATCAGTTGCATAAAATTTTATAGAGAGAAGCAAAGGGGAAGAAGAAAATAACAGCAAGGAATAGGTACATGTACTAGGTTTCTCTGGTTATACAACATTTTGTCGTTTGACGATTATTGCATACCGCTACTAGGTAGTATACTACTGTGTACATACTCTTACAGTCAGCCTTTTCTCATTTGCTTTTTGAAAAAAGAACCCTTGAAAGACCATTTGTTGGAAGAGACGAGGGGGGGTACTGACTTACATCCACCGACGAGCGTCTGTTGCAGGCTGCATGCGAACAACCGTTCCTGGCGGTGAGATGCCTCCGCTGCTCTCCGAAGCACCCCAGGACGACGAATGAGAACGATTCGGTCCCTTCGTCACATTGTTTTCCCTTTTGCGAGGATCTGTAAACGTTAATAGAAACGACTGGAGTTGGACACATCGCTAGCTAGCTATAGCTACTAGTTATAGTACACCAAGCCATTGCAAGGCTAACGGCGGCGTTTGAGCTGAGGCTACCAGAATTTACAAAGCGTCTATCCATTTGAGTATCCACTTCTTCTTTTTTAAATTTAAAAATTCCTTTTTGTTGGCAGGTTCTATTTTATACTCGAAGGATCGGGTGTCAGAACCAACTCTGATGTCCTTGCCTCCAACAGCGTTTTTTTCTCTTCTGGACAACTACTCCGTATCGCGTCTTCCGGGACTAGCTGTTGGTTATATTGTAAAACCTTTTTATTTTTTGACTTGGACAGCCACCACCATCCGGTTCCGATAGGGGAATAAAAGATAGGTATTAGTCGAGATGCTATGTTATAGGTGGACCGACTCCAACATTTTGTAAAACAAGTGCAGTGGCATCCGTCGAGCCATATCGTCGCAGTAGGAGGTACCTAGGTAAGTACTTTTGTTAATTAATCATGTATGAATCCAATGTAACAACATCGGTATCAGTAGCCTCCTACGATATAATAAGCCCAATATTATATAATATCGCGACGAACTCTGGATACTTTTATACATCCTTATATAAAAAAAATATTACCCGAAGGACAGTAAATCCGAAGAAATAAGCTTATAAGCCTTAGTTAAAAAGACACTTTGCAGTCTTACGTATGTAACCGTCGAGAGACAGTGGATCTCCCCTTCCCTCCCCCCCCATGCATGCCATACATAGTACATCCATACATCCATCACCACCATCCTTTCCGGCTGGCAAGTCCTGTACCCGCAATATCTGCGCCAAACAGTGTGGCCAAGTTGGGGGAAAAAGCAAAGGGCTGGAAGGGCAACCGGCTCTTTTTTCTCTGACTTCGCTTGAAGGCCAAATCATGAAACAAGGCGGTTGCTTGCTTTTGCGCACCTTTCTTTTCTTTTTCATCCAACCAAGAGCTGCTTTTTCTTTTCTGTTTGGTCCTGTCCTGTCCTGTCCTGTCCGTGACCTTCTTCTTTGGCTTTTTGCTTTTGGCATGGGGAATTATGGGCTCTGCTATGAGAAAAGAAGGACCCACCCGGGTCTGGGCTTCCTGGTTGGCTGGTGGAGCAGCAATGCTCTCAGGTTCCTCACCTTTGCAGCGTGTGTCGCTGCTAAAATTACACACAGCACACCTCATGGGAAGGCATTTCCCCATGATTTCCCACCCCCTTCCTGTCGTTCCTATTCGACTGGGGCCATTGGCAAGTCGAAACATTGGCGTTTAAGTGCGTGGTTTGTCTGTATGTGTGTATGCGTGTGTGTCTTTCTTTGATCTCTCCCCAGCCCCAGTCCACTTTACGAGACATAATCGAGATCCTGTCAAGTGATCTACCGGCTTTTGTTATACTACCATGATTGTACATACATACATACTTACTTACTTACTGACTTACATACATACATAAACCCCCCAGCTGCATGGAATATTGGCCGATGAGCCAGATGCATAAACTCAATTGCTACTGGGCTCTTTTTGTTTTTTTGTTTTGTTGGCTGTCAACCTAACGTGGGAAGATTGAGAAAGGACTACCCGATCACGGAGCTCTCGCTAGGACCGCGCGTGGTTGGGGGTGGACTCGAATCGATGCCACCTACGTCCTCGTACATGGTATCATGATTCAGATATTCGTCCTTCAATTGAGGCGAAATCAGCTGAATGTCCGCTTTCTCAAGATAATATATAATTTTAAAAATATTTTTTTTAATAAAAAAATAAAAATAAAATGGCGATATAACCCGCGATATACGGTGAGGCAGACTGCACTTCGGATGCCACGTCATATTAAGCTTTGGGGAAAGTGTCTTTACTCCAACATTGGCTCCGAGTCTCAAAAGTTATCTAATCGATCTTATCACGGGAGATAATCTATCCAAAGATCTACTGGTCGGACCTTCCCCACTCCGAGATGTGTTGCTGTGTTGTCCTGAAATTACCACGTGATACTAAATTTGTTTGATAACATGGGACTGTCTTTCTGAAATGGGAATGGTGCACTTTCAATGGCCATTTGAGCAAGCCCTCGAAAAACGTCCTGGGTTTGGCGACAACAACGAAATTTTTGTATGGGTGTGTGGATATAGCGTCGACTTGGATTCAAGAACTTCATCAATCAACCACCGATACTAACATCACAGGAATCGACACCCGACAACAGTCAAGATGTCTCACGTACGTCTACATATCCAATTCCTTTCCAAAGCCGTCTACAGATAGTTGAATTCGGGTTAGATTCTGTTTTTCAGAGAGCTTGAGCTAACTTGTGATGGTCATTTTTAGAGAAAATACGTATGTGCCCACAAATCTTCAGAATCGACGATATCTTCGACCTTTGAACGAACCGACAAGCTGAACGATGATTTTTTTTTGGATATATAGGAAGCTCCTCGCCACGGTTCCCTTGGTTTCCTTCCAAGGAAGCGTGCTGCCCGACACAGGGGACGTTGCAAGGCTTTCCCCAAGGACAATGCTAAGAAGCCAGTCCACCTCACCGCTGCTCTTGGTTACAAGGCCGGTATGACCACTATCGTCAGAGATTTGGACCGACCTGGTGCCAAGATGCACAAGAAGGAGATTGTTGAAGCCGTCACCGTCATTGAAACCCCACCAGTCAGTAGCCTTTTTTTTTTTCCGACTTTGAAGAATTTTTTCATGGTTTTATAGAGGAGTTTGGAAGCTCATTTTTGCTCGTTTAGATGATTGCTGTCGGTGTTGTCGGCTACATTGAGACTCCCCGCGGTCTCCGATCCCTCACCACTGTCTGGGCCGCCCACTTGAGCGACGAAATCCGACGAAGATTCTACAAGAACTGGTACAAGTCGAAGAAGAAGGCTTTCACCAAGTACGCCAAGAAGCACTCCGAGACCAACGGCTCTGCCATTGAACGTGACCTTGAGCGCATCAAGAAGTACTGCACTGTTGTCCGTCTCATTGCCCACACCCAGATCCGCAAGACCCCACTCAAGCAGAAGAAGGCCCACATGATGGAAATCCAGATCAACGGTGGCAGCATCGCTGAGAAGGTTGACTTCGCCAAGAACCTCTTCGAGAAGCCAATCGAGATCCCATCCATCTTCGAGAAGGACGAGGTTATCGATATCATTGGTGTTACCAAGGGTCACGGTTTCAACGGTGTTACCTCCCGTTGGGGAACCAAGAAGCTGCCGAGAAAGACTCACAAGGGTCTCCGAAAGGTCGCTTGTATTGGTGCATGGCATCCTGCCCACGGTATGTTTGACGTTATCTTCTATTTTTTATTTATTTTTAATAGAGAATGAATGAGAATCTAATAAACTATTTTAGTTCAATGGACTGTTGCCCGTGCTGGTCAATATGGTTACCATCACAGAACCTCGGTAAATCACAAGATTTACCGTGTCGGTTTGGGCTCGGACCCCAACAACGCCTCCACCGAGTACGACGTTTCCAACAAGACCATCACCCCAATGGGTGGTTTCGTCAGATACGGTCCAGTCAAGAACGACTTCATCATGATCAAGGGATCGTGCCCTGGTGTCAAGAAGAGAGTCCTTACCCTAAGAAAATCTCTCATCACCCACACCAGCAGGAAGGCTCTCGAGAAGGTTGATATCAGTAAGTTTCCTATTTTAATCAAAAAAAAAATGTATCAAATGAATCAAAACCCACTAACAAATACTTCTAGAATGGATCGATACCTCCTCGAAATTCGGTCGTGGTGGCTTCCAGACAAGCGAGGAGAAGTCCAAGTTCCTTGGAACCCTCAAGAAGGATGTTGCTGCTTAATCTTTCTCCTGTCTTTTGCCTACCACCTCTTAATGCCTTACTTCACGTTTTACCCCCACTTTATATATCATCGTCTGTAGTCTCGTTTTCCTTTGGTATGTTCATGCTCAGGGAGTTTTTATGCATCTCTTATTCCCTTGTATATTTTTTACGGCGCCTTGTCGTTGGGGCGACAGTCAACGACACTCTCTCTCACGAATCGAACACCTCAAGCCGGTATATTGGCTTTTTCTTCTGTATCTTCCTTCCTGTCTCTGGCAGTCATCGTACTAGCTTGGAATAGATGATTAAGATTATATTACGTGAAACATCCCCAATTAAAAAAAAAAAAAAAAAAAAAAAAAAAAAAAAAAAAAAAATCCGGGCCTTTTTTTTGAAACCCGGTTTTTTTTTTTACATAAGAAGTTAAACGTAGACGTAGAGACTGAATCAACCCCCGCCCAAAAGTAAGACCGTGCTCAGAACCGGTACAATGAATAATTGCTGATTGATATATGTGGGTTAACTAGCTGGGGGTTAGGCAAAGTAAGTGCTTAGTAGTCTCGGAGCCACTTAATTAGCATTGACGACCGCACTGTCGTTTTCAGCCCTGGAGGTTAAGCCAAAGGTGCCGCATATGCATCGTACGTCACAAAAACCAACAATGGCTCATTGCATTCCCCTATCCCGTCCCCCTCCCCTTCCACATCCGTGAACAAGCCCACTAGCCACCTTTTGAAGCCGAGAACAAGGCCTGTTTTTTTTTGTTTTTGTTTTTTTAATACGCAGGATGGCTTCTTCACCGATTTGCATTGCGATTTCAGGTTTGTGTTACTTACCCCCCCTCGGATATATATGAGAGGCGGTGGTGATGGTTGTGAATCTAAATTTGCCATTTCCCCCCTTTGCTTGAGCTGGCTTGAGCCGCAAGTATTGCTGATATCGCCAACACTTCATGTGATTGCGATTCTATTATATCGTTACAATTGAAGGACTTGTTGTTTTGTATCCTTGAGATACGACGTTGATATCATATGTAACTTTGTTACGCAAAAATCACCAGATATCGGCATGACCTTTAAAATAAAAAATAAAAAAATAAAGTTCACACCGCTTATAATTTAAGACAATAGAAACTAATCACAAGCTATATAACAAATTCATAGGTCCCTCCTCCTCAGGAAAAACCTCAATATCCCGTCTCCTCCGCGATGCCTTCACTTCAAAGTCTTTAACAAAATCCCCCGCACCGACATGTACGATCCTCCACGCCGATGATTTTTACATCCCGGACTCCGACCTACCAATCGTAGAACTCGGTGGTACGGGTCAAAAAGTTCAGGATTGGGATTGTCCGGAAGCATTAAACTTCCCGGAGTTCATCTCTTCACTTAGATATGCGAAGCAATTCGGAAGACTTCCGGAGTCGCATCAGAGTTATGAGGTTACGCATGCGGTTGGGGTTGATGAGAGTATTTTGAAACTTGTGAAGGATGGTGATGGTGGTGGTGGTGGTGATGGTGGGAAGGAGAAGATTTTGGAATTGGAGAGGAAGGTTGTTGGGTGGTTGAAGAGTGTAGAGAAGGATTTGGGAAGAAGAGTGGAGAGGGTGGTTATTGTGGATGGGTTTTTGATATTTGGGAGTGGTGTTCCTGAGGAGTTGAAGGAGGAGTTTGATGTTAAACTTATGATACGGACGCCTTATGAGAAGGTATGATATCAACATTCAAAACTTTCTATCGACTTGGTGCTAATACTTTGGTTTTACTCCTTTTTCACAGGCGAAACAAAGGAGAGAGGATAGAGCGGGATACACGACCATGGAAGGGTTCTGGCACGACCCGCCAGGGTATTTTGAACTACTGGTGTGGCCGGCTTATGTTAAACAGCATAGTTATCTATTCAAGGACGGGGATATGAATACGGGTATTCTAACAGAGGAGGCATTGAATAATGGGCTTAGGACACCTGCGGCAACGGATTTGGCATTGATGCAGACATTAGAATGGGCTGTAGAAACATTAGAGCAGATTAAACTCAGCAATAAGGAGGCTTTAGAAGCGTAGAGCTCCTTTCAATATAAGAGCACAAGGGCATCGTTTATTATGATACTAGAAGGCGTCGGTATCAGAGGAGGTAGGAATTAGAACAGCCTGTTTGACACTTAGAATGAACTTCAATATCTCAATCCCATTGAATCCAGAATTAATTCCAATGCTTTTATTAGTATTTTCTAAGGTTGCTAAAATTCGCCCGAGGCAAGGATAGGTTGGTATCGATAAAACCATCCAATGCCGTTTCCGTTTTTTGTGCTTCTAATATTCGAGGTTATGCAAATAAATTATCAGTTCTGGCGCTTTGCCCACCAGTTAAAGTTGCCCCCTAGCTGGATACCTCCTCTATTGTTGAACTCTCCGTATTCATTGATGTTATCCCCAACATCATTGGATCTCTCCCCACCTCCTCTCCTCTTAGTTCCGTCAGCTTCACCGCTTTCGTCCTCTTCATACGCTTCTTCTCCGACATCACCTCCCTCATCTTCCTCTCCATGAGTAAAACTGTATTCCCTTTCTGCTTCCTCTTCACCATCAGGATCTTCCAATACAGTCGAGAGCGTCGACGTTATTGAATCTTCTGAATCATCACCCCCTTGCACCCCATCATACCTCTTCCCTCCAATCTCATAATACAACTCTCCAGTTTTGAAATCTACCCTCCTAACCAACAATCTCGGATTCACTTGGTTTTTATAAACCACGAAGGGCACAAAGCAGTCGGTTCCATCCTATAGAATCAACTCATTCTCCGCCTCAAACCCGAGACTATGGAGCTTCTTAGCCTTCTTCTTCTCTCTCTGCTTTTTGTAGGCATTTTCTGCACGTTGAGCGTCGTATATTTCGTCGACGGTTGCTTGTTTCAGGGGAGTGTCGTCTTCCTTATCAAGATCCTGGAGATAGGTAAAAGACGGGTGATTGTTAGAGTCCGCAACGGCTAATAAGGAGGTTCTATGTGGCTCATAGGATTTACTTACGATCTCTCCTAATAATAGAACGTTCTCTCCACGAACGATATAACATCCTCGTGGAACATCGGCATAAAGGTTTTGGGAATATAACCGTTCGATGGTATCCTGGAGCACAAGGTTCGCTAAAACAAGAAATCAAGACGTCAGACCTATATCAGAGAGTCCTTATAGAGCTTGGGTCAAGCTTCCTAGGGGGAAGGTAAGGATATGTTGAGCGAGGGGGAGGTATTTACCGTATTGATCATAACTTCTTAAAGTCCCAATAAGCTTCCGCCCATCTCGAAGCACGATGACAAGCTTCTCTATTAATACGGGAAGGAAAGGGGGAAAGGTGGTCGGTTAGCTTGCATAGCTCCAGGCGACGCCACGTCGCAAACTATATGCCCGATGTAACGTACTATCAGTAAGATCCAGCAGCTGCGCTCCAGTCGTGAAGACCTGTGGAGGCAGCGGTTCCGGGAAGACGCCGGGGACGTCCATTGCCGGCGGAAATCGGGACACCCCGAGGCCCTTTCGGAAGCCGAGAGAGTGGGATTAGAAGAGGAGGAGGAGGGAAAGGAAAAAGAGAAAGGTGTGTGGAGGCGGTGCCTGGAGCCCTTTGGAATTATGCGCAGCCGCCGGGTGTCATTCGCGGAATGGGTGTGTGTTTTGTTTAGAGAGAGGGAATGGTGGTTTTTTGTGAGGTCTGTTGGATTTTGGAACGATTGCTGGGAAACAACGCGGTGGACGGGATGTGTTTTCGAGCGGAAATATTGGTCACTTGGGTACGGGTTTGTATTGTATTTTCGGGTAGAAATTAAATAATACTGATAACTGGGTCCGGTTGCACCTGGAGATCTTACTTCCAGAGAAGCCAGTAGATGCTATTTAAATAATTAATTTGTTATGAGTGTATAAATGCACCGGTAGCAGTTTTTGGCCCGGTTTGTAGCGTTAATCAAATGCGCATTATAATATTAATGCCTCCACTGCAACGTATACATACAAAGTTTACAGGCTACATTTGTATCGTACGTAGCCTCAAGGCTAGACTCGGGTGGAGGACGGTGAATTTTTCCTTTTCATACAGCTCGACTACAGGGAGCCGGCTCCGGTCTATCTCTCCAAGCTGAAACGGCTCGCATAATCGACAATGCGAATGTATCATGTGCACTATTCAAGTTCAACAAAATAGCTTTCGACTCTTGTGCCTTAAGCTTGTCTGCAGAAATAGCCTCTTCCATGCTGACATATAGCTGCTATTAAAGCCAAATTATAACAAAATTAGTTTTATTTATTTCATCAGTTAAACGTAAACCATGGTACCAACCGGCCGGGGAGCTTTGGCGCTGAAATTTGTAACTTACGATTTGTGCTCCATCCACGTTTGCAAGGCACGCATCGATGTTATTCTCAAACTCGTGGAAATATGGCGCCTTTTCTAGGCCCTTGAGGGTAGTTCTCAAGGATACAAGTTTTCCAAAGTATTTGCATTGCTTTTCACAGAACTATGCATGTTGCGAGTCAATTGTTAGCTACAGTTTCTCCTGAATACAGTTTTTTCACTAAAGTCTTACCGATTTATACGCTTTAGCAATTTCTGTACTTTCATGTTCGCTAAGAGGGGACTCTGCCCAATATTTTTCAAACTCGTCCGCATACAATGAAACTTCGTCTGCGCCTGTGTTCATCATATTCACTGTAGAAAGCTTTTGCCCCCCCCCCCCCCCGATTTCCAGTCAGTCAGTTTATTAGTACTTGTGTTCTGTTTGTTTATGCATAATAGCTTATTTCTGAGGGTATGTAGAGAGAGCACAAACCCAAAGTGGTATTTCTCCTGCATTAAAATCTTCTATGCTGGAGTATTTTATATTGCCAATGTACCGCGCATTTTTGTTATAAATTCCGCCCCACCTCTGTAGAGCTAATATTAAATCCCCTGCTGTCGCTTCTCTGGCTTTGATTTCCGAAAGAGCAAGTGACGTCGACGTCGTAAACGCCACGAAGATTGCTAGTTTCTTTATAAGCATCTTTGTGGATCTAAATATGGTATATGGCCTTCGATAATTTTGGAGTGAATTTTGTAATGTAGTTTAAAATTTGTCGACAGGTTAATTGATTATAGCATAACACCAAACGTTTTCAACTATTTCCTGTACTATACCTTTGGGTTTCCGTCTATTTGATTTTATATGCGCATGATGGGGTGGATCTGTATACTTTGAGAGGCATTTGCTGTTTTTTCTCTGTATAGGCTGGTGATAGAATTAGGCTGGTCTTGCGCACGTGGTAGTAAGTCAAACATCTGAAGGACGGAAGATATACACTGTGATGGTCATATGATCGACTATATTGCCGATATTCAACTACTACTCTGATGCTGCCGTCTCGAGTGGCCTGTAGTAAGATATTACTGTTGATCATGATGGGATATGTACAGGATAAATTGTGGCCGTGTGGGTGTTTTCACGGAAGTATGTAGAGCTTAATCTGATTTGTCCAAAAATTTTATATAGATTAAACGCCGATGGGGTACAGGGAGACACTGAAGATCGATAGTTCTCGTATTGCAGACGTCGTCCACATGATATATACTAGTACTCTTTGAATAGTCTTTTTTTGTCTGTTATATATATATATATATATTCTAAATGATAGCACTATCTTTTTAATCAAATAAACCAATACCGAACTCATCCGAGTCAATGCCTAGGTACCATTCCATTGAACGGTAGTATTGCTGACACAAGTCCTAAACCGTTCTTGGGCTTTATTAAAATTTATCATTGATTGAGTCAAAGCAGTGTCGGAGACGCTAAAGGTAAAAGTATCCGACAGTCGCGTATAAATCCTCTATACACCCGGGATTTGTAAATCAGATCATTTTTCATTCACAGTCGTCATCCAACTCCTCATATGAAGCTGGCATCACGAAAAAGGGGGGGGGGGGGTTACTCACACTTTGTAGGTTGTCGATATCAGCAATCCACGGGATTATTCCGCGATAGCCCGCTAGTTGAGAAGAAGTGGTTAATCCCATCCTTGATGGGACCGCTGCTAGCTGGTTGAAGAATTGGCATTGGGAATTCGAAAGCTATATTTTATTTACAATTAAGATGAGATTTTTAGTGTTAGCGTCTCTGCGTGAGGAAGTACTTAAAGTGGAGTGATAGATATTTGACATACACCTTCAAATAACTTGGTAAATTGCTTGACCGAATCCTCAGACATCGCCGTAACATTTGCAGGCGGTCCGTTGAAATAGTAAATGAAAGTAGATAGGTTTATATTGTCGTGATCTAGCAGGTCCATTATACTCTTTTGAATGCAAATTATATTGCGTGTTAGTCTATCTGTAGGCTGTAGGCTGTCCATCGGCCACGTTACTTGGAATGAATCATATTAGTAGGTACTTACCAGAAGAGTACCCTTCGCCTCTAAGGATGCGGGTCCTTCTGATTTGATTTTGGCCGGGTTTCGCAGGTTTACATTTCCCATTGCATACCCGTATGACCGTTGGGTATCTATCAGGGTGGTACGGAGGTCGAATTCGGATACACAGAGTCCCGAGATGAGTGATGGGAGGAAGACAATTGTCACCACGGGCGATATGATTGGCGTTAGTTGCATTTTTTATGATGCTGGGGCGCCTGTGTATTTTGATAATATAATATGGGCTGTTTGGAGATTTTTTCGGCGGCATGTAAATACAATTTGAAATGTACCCAGGTCGAGTGTGAGGACGGCATAGAAAGGGAATCTTGGGGATATTCATTCTCACGAGCATAATGTTAGGATCAACCACCCGAGTAATATTAGGTAATTACGGCGGTTCAACAGAGTAGGGTACGATTCATGATGATCCAAGGTTTGAATTGATCTAATTTTCACGAATCGACGTGCACAATGCCTATGGAATCTTAGTAAATTGGCTCCCTTGCTGTGGTGTATCCTTTTATTGTGATGTACGACAGTGCCGACGTGGAAGATTTCTGTTTTTTCAATTAATAGAATAAAATCAAATATATGTAATAAAGAAGTAAAAAAACGTCTCGGTGAGGCTTTGTATTTCTTGACAACTATATGCACAAAAGCATTCAGGACCAGGGTCACGCTCTCCTACAGTTTAACACGCAAGTGGGTATCAAAAATTGGGTGATCTCAGTCATATATTAAGAGACTGAAGCCTAATAGAAACAACTGTCTTTTATTTCAATGCAAGGACGAATGTAAGATCTGATCCACGAGTATTCTGTGTCTATGCTAAGGGGCCATTTTATCGTAAAGCAATGAAGTTGGCCAGGCATCATCACTCGCCCCATCCATGAAAATTCTCTTCGCGGGGATATGTAACATGACACAGACCCAGCAACCGACTGCCACACGCGGGATCTGGAAAAATCGAGTTCCCGGCCGGAGTTCTTGACTATTTTGGAATTTGTGGCGCCTTGTAGACTTGTGCCTGACCATGCAGCGACAGTTGGGGTCATCGTGGGGCACCCGCCTGTGCAACGTCGTCACGGATGAAGAGCCGGCCTTGTAAATAGTAGCAAAAGCTCCTTTCTCAGGCAGTTGCCCTTACAGAGGTGCCTCAATTACTTCGCAACGCTGATAGAAGGGATGGCCTTTGTCTTTATGGAAGTATAGCGCCTCAAATCCAGCAAGTCGGTGAGTTTATATACCTCCAAAGTCAACAATCGATTCAAATGACTGGTAACGTTCACGATTCGACCAAAAAACCAAACTTGAGGTAGGAGTTTACTGCGCATTCAGGCCTAGCTTAGAGACTACGCTGTTCGGAAGTGGTCCCCTTGACCAACCTTGTGAGGTATCATCTGAAACGGTTTTAATCAGTTACCGTCACTGTGAAATCTCCAAAACCGTGATTCGAGCCGAGAGAATTTGCGCTTCCAAGAGCACGCGTCTTTGTCCCAACAAAGCCGCGCCTATTACGCCCGGTTCGCCCGCGACCAAGCCAATTGTGTTTCATGGTTTTTGCCAGTTCATCCATCTTCGCCTGCTTATCATCGTTCGACAGAATCGATGCTAAAACGCTAACACATTGCAATACCCGACCAACGGTTTCTGTAACATTTGGTAAAGCATCGAAGTCGAGTTGGAGTTTGGAGAAGATGGCTGGAGAGAAACAAAATATAAATTAGCTACCGATCCGGCCAGGATTGACTTTTATGAACACTCACCATGTAGTCGGTTATAAAGTGGTAGTATAATGTTGTCTCTATAAGCTATAAGAGCCATGCGCCGGAGATCAAGTCTCTGATCCGGCGTTCCCCAGACTTCTCGAGCCCCTCCTAAACCCAAGATAGTTCCATTTCCCTTGAATTCTTGTTGCAGGGGAAGAAAGACAGCCTCAAAATACGGAAGGACGGTGCTAAACACAAAATTCCAGAGTTCAACCAGCCGAGGAATCAGTCGGACATCTGCAAGTTTAGATAGTGTATTATCAAGGAGCGCCATTCCATGCTCTAGCAAGGATTGAATGTCGTCTATCAAAAGAATTGCAGATTTTTTGTCGACTTGATGTTTGATATGGACACTGCATCTCTCGTTAGACGGTATTTTCTTAGAGGATTATGGTCTTAAAACTCACATAACAAGCTTGTTTAGATCTTCAACCGGTGTTCGTAGCCCCTCACCATTAAACAATGGAAGGACCCTGGATTTCAGTAGCGGCCATACTTCTTCGAGCACTTGTTCACCAGCAGCATCCTTATCCTTCCCCGAAACTACTCCTACGACATGTTTGATATCGGCGTTTGTGACTAGTGTCTTCTGGCTAGGATTTACACTACCGGAAACGGGAAAACTTGCGGCAGATGGGCTATTCGGGTTAAAATTATAGATACTCGACCCTTCCGAGACGAGTTTTGAATTGGAATTTGCACTAGATAGCGGCTGATCTTTCCTTCCTCTCAGAAGCAGGTGATGCTTGTGACTATGTGACGAGGTAGGCGGCGAGCTTGAATAAAGAGTATCCGAGATTGTAGAGGTAAAAGACGGCCTTCGGCTTCCATCAGCACTCGATACGGAGGGTATCCTGGGCATTGGTGCAGCTAGTTTTGAAGGGGATGGAAGTGGCTTAACGTCCACTATTTTCATAGCCTGAGCTGATTTCAAAGGTTTTGAGAATATCTTCATCTTGGACTCTTTTTTTTCTTTTTCATATCCGGTAGGCTGATTCTTATCCATCTTCGGCATGGCGGCCAGAGCCGCTGCCCCAGCAGCACTCATAGGCGTCGACGATGAGGTAGCCATCCCTGGTGTCGGTGGAGACGGATCTGACTGCGAATGCTTCCTTGCGGATTCTCTCGCAACAGCGGCAGCAGCAGCCACCTGGGACGTTGTAGTCAACGATGGTTCAAAATATCCAGCACCTTGGTCATGATGCCGACTCTGACGAACTAGCCCGTGTACCGTTGAGACAATAGTATTTGTGGTTGATGTTGAAGAGTCGGAGGAGGAGTCAGCAGACGGTGAGCGGGTAAGAGCTGGAGTCCGCTGATGGGTCCTCCGATGGGGGCCAACAGGTGGCATCGTGGAAGTCGGGTGCGCCCGCTTTTTTTAGTGAATCGCGTGGGATATGGAGTTAGAGCGCGAGTGAGCCAGAACTGGGCGATGAGCAGGCATCTTCGAAGCTGAGGTTGGTAGTGAGCTTGATTGGTTGGCCACAACACCTAACTTAGTCTCGCGCGTGGCTGTCCAAACGGAGCTTCTCGAGCCTACAAACCACCAAATTCCGACTAGATTTCGATATGTACGCTCGTTTTACGATCTAACTTTAAATTCCTATTAAACTAGTTCTAATGACCAATATCCAAAGGTTCGGAGATTTTCTCTCTTCATCGCATATGCGTGCTGCTCTCTCTAGACATCAACGTTCTTGGCTTTAGGCTAGCTCTAGGATTCTAGCTGTCGACCGAGCTATCGACAAGTACATGTCATAGCTATATTATCACCGGTGTTTGTATTAATATAGCTATCACCAGGGATTTCAGGTACAGATATACCTGAATCCGTTCCACTACCATTACATCTGCGGATAGAGTTAGTACTGCCTTGCTGACTAAAACTTATGTGACAAAACTTTAGTACGACCCGGGAGAATATAAACAAATCATCTCGAGGCATATAGGCCCGTGAACTCATAAGCTGACTAAAAATGTTTAGTGTATAGGGTATATAAACTTGGCGATACTGGTTCTTTATGGATCTAACCTGGTTAGACTCCTTGTATCTGACCAAAAGCGAGCTATTTCCCGAAGGTTAATTTATAGCTCTCCATCCCGTCCTCGGTTCCTCGCCTTCTTTGAACCGAGACGTATTGATCAATACAACGCTGGGCTCCCTATTGAATGGGCCGCTGGAAGCATGTGAACATTTATAAAGCTGCCGTCTCGCCAGGCTGCCATACGTCGCAGAAACTCGAGGAGTGATGTCGCTACCAAATCTCCTTAGGTAAAGGACGGGTGCCTAGCTTAGCGAGAGGAATCTACCCGCATGCCCTCTGACACATCAGTGAACATTGGAAACATATTTCAGGAGGTTCACGATCTGTGCGATGCATATAAAACTAAATTTCTAGCGCTTTTTGAGGCCAAAAAAAAGCAGAAGAAGAGGAGGAAGTAAAGAAGTTTGATGGCTTCAAGTCATGAACCTTCCGTATATTCAATCAAGATACACAACGAATTCTTTCATTATCTTTAGTAAAAAAAAAATATGAAAACCCTATTTCATTTTTGCTTAGAATTGATATTAACCAGGCAGAAGTAGAAGTAGAAGTGTCAAGATAGAGGACGCGGACGGGAGGCCCTGTATCGAGATAAGACGGATGGCTGAACAGTACCGTCGGGTAATGCCTCATTAGTGAGACTCCTCCGCTTTCTTTTCTTCTTCTTCTTTCTCCTCTACTCGGATTTTTTCCCTAACATCCATTAGTGCCTTCCCAAGAAGATTTAAACCCCATTTCTGTCGATTCTTTGGTGCATTCACTGCACCATATCCAACCCCCCAGATCCGGTCTCGAGGAGACGCTTCGACCTACCCGACACCGTTAATACTCACTTCGTATTAATTCAAACTTCAGGATCATGTCAAAGACCGAATATGGTCATAAAAGCCGTGGACCTACCAGCTCTTTGTTCCCAGTTTCTAACAGCATCGCCTTCAGCTTCTCGTTTTGTGTGAACTTGTAATAATTCCCCTGCACGACAATCTTGTATCGATTGTTCTCCCAGGTTTCCTCGTCAAAGTTTGGAATAGCACGTCCTAAGGCCTTTATGTCGGCAGGGTGAAGACCTTTCGCAAGAATATCCCCGGTAGCGTCGCTGTCGGGGGCGAAGAGAACTCCTACGGCCATGACAGGAAAGCTTAATCGTCAGAAACGAGGGTTGTCCCGAATTTCTTGCATATAAACATCACTGAGAAAGACTATCCCGGGGCGTCCCCCTTGTAGCTAGAGAACAGCTAGGGTGGATGCACGTGGGTAGGCAAACGAAGCAATCCACAACTGTTTCCCCCTTCTGGATGCATAGTATGTTCGAGAAGTCATCGAAATGGCCATCGGCGATATAGATAGGGATTTTTACCTTTCTGGTGCATCATATACCTATCAGATCGACCGTGTAATAGTGATTATTGGACAAATTAGCTTCCATATGTGACTTTTCATCCTATCGATCTCGCCAACTCCAACAATTGTTCGAGATTATTTCCCGATTTGAGATATAAAATGAGAAAATAGAAGCAGGAGCAATCCGCACTAACTCCGCGACTTCGATCCGATAAGAGCAAAGAATAGACAGTAAATGGAGAAACTCACTGCTCGCAATTCTCATAATCGATACGTGTTCCATCTTCCGAGATGACTGTGAAAGGCGATGCGAACCACTGCCCGAGGTACCCAAACCTTTGCTCCGGTTTCCAAAAGTAAATCCCATTGTCTGTGTCAATTTGCAACTTTTGTGTGTTGTTTGCACTTGATGATGCAGCCATCTTGCCAAATGTCTGGATTTTGCCAAATATCGTTGGATTCGAGGCTACAAATATCGATGGAATCGGATTGAGGTAGAATGTTGTATGTTTAATCAGCAAGTAACGTTGATACTGAATCATCTGCTCTTTATATCCCCTCAAACGCAATCAATACCATGAATTAAAGAGTCATGACCGCGTCGTCGCGTCGAGCAAGTAGTGGGCTAAAGCAGAGATCCCTGTCAGCTGAAGAGGGGACCAGTCAGAACCCAAGTTGATCCTGCAACACAAATATTTGTGGGATTTTGCACCGACGACCGCATGTTAGCTGGTGATCGTTGCCCGGATATCATGACTATGGTTACACACATACATAATTGGATTCTTGTAGACATCGAGTTTGCCTGATATCGATGTAATTTCTTGGATCGGGGTTGCATCTTACCATCATGTTTCCAACTAATCCGGCTAATTCAATTTCGCATATCCGCAACATATTCGAACTCTTTGAAGCTCCTGAAATCGTTCTAGCTGAAGCACCATCTGTTCCGTCTGTCCACGGAGCTGAGAATAATCCAGAACAAAAAGGTTTGAAACATTTATATCTTAAAACTTATAAGCGGCTATTAATTAGCCTTTCCTTAGAAAGGAAATTATTTTTTCTTCACCAAACCGTATGCTAAGCCTCGAGCTCTAATTTCGTGGCAACAATCTTAGCTAACCGCATTTACAACAGCGCTATGACTCGGCTTCTAACACTCCGTTGGTTTCACCACTTTACAGAATTCATTGAATCTATATAAAAGTCGCGAATAAAATAATAACGGAGACTAACTAATGTAGGTACCCGTAGAGAAGCTTCGATGGGAGTTCCATTTTTCATTCTTGAGGATGATGACGTCTGGGAATCGTTTCTCCCCGTGTATATCGGGGACATATCGACCAAGTTTCTGTAGAGCATTAAAAAAACACGCCTTTTTGAAGTAAGATGACTATTGAACGGCGTCACCGGGCTTATTTAGTCTGTTACCGGCTTGTCGGAAACCAATTTTATCATATCTTATATTGTTTTCATCGGAATTTATGCCTTGGGTGTCTCGCAGTTTGAAGATGTGCTCGGAGCTCTCTGCGGCTTGATTCTTTACGAGGGCGAGTGCGACTATTGCCACGAAGGGTTCTAGGTTCGTGAAGTATCAGGCCATAGAAAGTGATACGACTAGCGACCTGAAGGCCGGTTCGCCCAGCCTCGTACCCCACAGCTGAGATCTACTCCGATGTCTAGCGAGTAATTTCAGCCGACCGCGATATCTCGCCATCAGCTGGATGGATGCGAAGCTAATTTTTCGTGCAGGAGTTCTACTTGTATACGAGAATTAGGTAAGGATTATATCATATCGCAATCATCGAATTTTTTTTCGATGGATCACTCTTGGCTTTTGAAAATTTCCCACGAAACAAAAAGCGCATGTTTTCGATAAGCTTCGCAATCCAGAGAACCGGTTAAGGTTTAAGGGTGATTGTTTCGTGAAGGCCCCACAGGTGTACGTATACGACAGAAAGAGAATTGTTCAATCCGGGAAGTTATCGCAATTGTCTGTGCGGAGTGTTTCTTCTAGCAAAGAAGCGGGTAGAGCCATCGTCACATACATTTATGTCGAACAGAATTTCTGTGGGGTGCAGTCGCATAAAAATTAATTACCGGCTGATATAAATCTCAATCTACAGTACAACGTAGGGGCAAAAAAATGTGGAGACGAATTTATAAGTATTATGAGATGGAGGCCAATAGAAATTGCAGTTGAGACGGTTCACCTGATCAAATCCACTCGAGATCCCCGGCTTGTGATTATAATTTACAATGCAATGTCAGCGGCTGGGTTAGTTTACAAGCATAAAGAGCGGACGGGTTGATCCGGCCTCATCATGCCATTCGATAAAAATATTTTACCCGGGGCGTAGGAAAGGATCTGTATTGCGAAAAGAGGGGAAACGAGACTTCTAAATTTCATATATGCATGTCGTCGACACTTACAAGGTCTCGAACCAGTCGGTAAAATAATTAAAACGAAAAAAGCGTGGGCTCACTTAAAACGCATGTTTAGCGAGCGCACGGAGACCTGGAGGTCATAGCATCGACATCCCGCCAGCCCAAAGGGAGTTAAAATATGGCGCACACGGAACAGATCCGAGCATGTTGGTCAGCTAGGAAGGCTTCAGGGAACAAGTTTTGTTCAAACACAAGATACTTCCTATGACGGTAAAGAACTGTTATTTCGTTACAATGATAATTTATCGAAATAATTCAACGTCAAGCTCAGGGCCAGGCCGGGAACAATTGAGCATGATTTGATGTTTAGGGAGCTGGCTACAAGCGAGACCACGTTTTTTACAGACACAATGCAATACTGAGACCTAGTAATTGATTCAGGGCACGAGATGCAGCAACGAATACGGTTTAACACTTCAGTAAATCCACAATGTGACATGCATAACGGGAGAAATACCTTCTTCTAATAACTACGGGACGCATATGCATACCACACTTGTCGAATTAAATTTACGAGTTGATATCTGAAACGAAACACCTTGAGTTGCAACAAACCAATTAGCTGGCGAAGGCTGCCACATTTTATAATTTACTTTTAAAAAAATTCGACGATTGATAAACTGTTATCGGATCTCAGAGCTAATTTTAGGGGTGAAGGCTTGATCTTCGGCATGGAAGGTAACTAGAATCCTAATCGATCTACCAGTTGTCTACTTTGAGCGAGGCCATGATACATTGAAAAGCTACAGTTGACATCAAACGGCCCACAGTCCATACAGGCGGATACCATGTAATTATTTCTTCACGAGAATCTAGGATTATCCCTAAGACGCTTAGGAACCATGATTTCGCATACCAAGTGTAACTTTGGTTCGCTTTTTAATTTTGCGAGTTATCTATGGTTACAATTTCAGTATTGCTGAATTATGCATGAAAAGATGTGTCGATATGCATAAAGGCTGAATTGGAAAATGTCCACCGCAAGTGCGTGCGGGAAAAATACAAGAGGCTTCTTGCAGTTGTTCCCACGCCCGGACCCTCAACGCTATGACAAAAAGTATATCCAGCTTATGTATCTGCCCCATAGGCTGCCGGGACGGCGCACTCAAAATTTTCTCTCTATCTTGGTCTTCAGCTGTTCGAATTGCACTAATTGATCGAGAGATCGATTACGTATTTAGATATGTTACACTATACTTGTGTGATATATATCCCGTTGGTGCAGTGGTATGCTTTAGCCCCAGCACATCGATACATCTTGCCTCGTGGCAGATATACGATAGACCAGGCCTGTTGCTTAAGTGATCGGTTACAAAGAAGAAATGACATAGTAAATCTCCTGGCTTGCACTTATAAACCGGGTGGGTATGGGACCAGTGCGGGTTGTTTTATATTATCCAGCCGCCAATTCACTAGTAAAGGTCACCATTATATTGCAAACTACGAATATATACCCAGAGATCGATCGCAGAATGGTTTCACTTTCATAATTAGACCGACATCTCTCAGTCGACGATTTACGCTGCTGCAGTGTCTTAACGATTGCTATCGATAGTGTGTAAATTGTTGTGCACGTGGAGGATGAGGTATATAGGCTCTGTCCCTTTAAACTCCGCCCTTTAGCTTTTAGCTGGCTGGGGTCAAACCGTACCTGCATTCTACAATGTCTTTCGGATGTTATTCCGCCATAGGAATAGCCTTAGATATAGACTAAAATATTAAATCTGGGAGAAGACACTATAGTTCTTTCGATGTCATACATACTAGTAGAGTAACCGGCCAATCGTATTATAAATTTAACCGGAGAGCTCCGAGAACTCCCCATTGAGGAAATTATTGGTGTGATGACTCTCTATAGAGCTCATGTCGCTGTTCAGCCTGTCTTAAACCTCTTGGATTTTTAGATGGACAGGTTGGGTGGGAACTTGAATGTAGAGAAGAAAAAGCCCTTGGGTATCGCTAGTCATCTGAATCGTGAGCGGGGTGCTGTCGACCGTCGACATACAGGCATGGTATGTATGTAAGTACGGTATCATATATGCACAACAAACTTTAAACCACACCATCGTGAGAATACGTCTTGTCGTCAAAAAACCCCATACATTCACCATCAAAAAAACCATCCGTGTTTCATCTTCAAGTAAATTGCTGCTACCTTAGTTTAAACCATGTTAATTTCTATTGTACCATTCGGCCTAAATATCAACCTCACGTTTTTAACCCACCTTCCAATTCGTCGGTGTTGTATGTGGAAGCGAGGCCGGTTCTACCACGATATTCCCAGCAACCTCAAAGGCCGGGTAGGCGAACTAGGGTCTTCTTAATTGCGCCCGCCTTTCGTTAACATGCATCAAGCAAGAAGTCAGATGCTCAAACCGAAACGAAACGAAAAAAAAAAGCTCCTAGGCGCTGCCTTCGCCCCAAGCCTTGGGTTTTAGTGACTATAACCCAATGTTGCAAGTTGTGGTGCGGTTTAGCACAGCCCGCTCGGCTGGTCCGGAATATCGGATTTGCTTCCCATATCTGCACCTGCAGAAGAGTGTTCCGCTCTCGAGATATGAACTTTTTGAAAAGCTAATGACAAAACCGTTTGTGATAGTTCGGGACAATTCAATCACTTTCTGAAATTTGTTAACTCGCCGCTCTCGCCCTAGGATCCTCGTCTGGTCCAACAATTTTAAAAGTTGTCTGGGGAAATCCGGTCAGGTGGAAACAGAAATGATTTTCAGAGCTCACGGGAGCGATTCTGAATGTGGAACATTGCCAGATATAGCTCTTGAACATCCTAGATTTATCGGAGGACAATTATTCTCCTCGACGTGTCGCATTTCAATTCTAAGTCAACCACTCGCCCTTTTGATATTATCAAGAGCTTCTTTAGAAAAAAATTGTAAAATATGGCCAAATGTCTAACTAATACTATAATATGACCCGATGATGACCATTTGTTCTAATATTAAATGCGTCATATGTAAGTCATTCACGACTTCTTACAGATTAGAAGGTTGACGGTTCTCACCGGCTAAGTGGGTACCTATCCGAGAAGGCATGTTCATATCTATAGAAAATGATAAATTGGATAATGCATGAAATTCGATTGACCACTGGATCAAATACCGATCGATACATTCAATGTTTCGAACTTCCTGTACCTGATTATTTTTGGAGTATCGAGGTGGAGTATTGTGCCTGTCTCTCTTTCATTGACGGTTCCCCACAAACGTGCACACAACGCTAGAAGAACGTATTCGGGAGAAGGAAAGGCGAAAGACGAATAAGGAGTCAAACCATTTGCTCCCATCCCGATCTTCAGGTATTTGGTAGTCGGTTCGATATGATGTACCCTTTGGAGTTGTATCTGTGCCCATTAGTTCGTGCTTAAGCGCCTTTCAAAAGCAAGGATATCTTTGCAAACAATTATTTCGAAAGTCATCGATCCATCGACAGTACTCCCCGCCATGGAGGCGAGGAAACATTGTTTCAAGGATTCGGGACAGCTTAGCGGACATGTTGTTCACGATAAGTCTCAAATCTCGTCTACAGTTGCTTTGAGAGAAAGAATAGATCGCCAGTCTCAGAATCATGCTATTTTGCTGTATGAGCCTGCTCAGTCTCGTACGTAGAAGGCAGTTCGCACCTATCTAAGCATCGATTGAAGGAAAGATAATACAAAATGTTGTGAGCCAAAACCTCCAATTTTTTCTGGTAGGCCACCTCCTGGATTGTTTCAAGCCTGTTAGCTGCAGGTTTTGCATAGTGGCGGCCAAACTTACTAAACGAGGCAGAGCATGCATCTTTGCCCAATTGATCGTTCGAGTTTAGGTCTCTCGTAAGGTCACGGAAGGAAACGGGAACTTCTCGGTGCCTGCTTCATAACCCAAGAAATTTAATATTTTCATTGATTAATATTTTTCATAAAGAAGGTCCTACCTTTTTTTCATAATTCATAATTCATCAATCCTCAGTAATATTATGAAGGGAGTCTGGATGGAGTAATAATACAGCATCTTGTGCTGCTCTGGGCCTGGATGTCGTTCTTGTCCTTAATCTTCATAGTTAGTGTCGTAGATTAACCATTGCCCTAGCTCCCTGCTCCCTGCTCCCACACCTGGCCTTCACACGTCTCAACCGTGCGTCTGCCCATCTTGAAACCCCTTCTCCCAGAACAGCAGGCAGTGAGGAGCCACCCAAACGGTCACCGAATTTTGCTTTTTTTCGCAGGTAGCAAAAAGGAAAAATCCACATCCCAGTGGCCTGGAAGAGCGTTGGCCCGTTTGCTGCTTGCCCGCTTAGCTTCAACTCCAGACGACCTTGACTCTCCCAGAACAAAAGCTGCTCCTGACACGAGGCCCTGGGAGGAAAGGCCTCTGGCTTGTCCTGCACGTTGACAGCCCCCAGCCATGGGAGACATTGCTTTTTCGTTCCCTTTTTTATTTTTCTGGGTTCCTTACTCGATATGGCCTGCAGAAGGTAGGCTTGCTGAGGACGGCCATACCAGTGCAGTGCGGTATCAAACCGTGAGAAGGGGCCATCGTACTATAATCCCGAGTGGACATATATCCACTACTCCCTCCCCACGAACTGCGAGGTGACAGTTTGTTTCGACTTTTTCATTTGCCTTTGCAAACAAGCTTCAATATCAAGCAAGCACCGGTGGCCGGTTTAACGACTAAATCTAAACTTAAAAAAACAATCAATCCTTCTGTGAAGGACTCAACTGTGCTGGTTCCATACAGTTAAACGACGAGTCTTTCGCATAGCCGTTAGGACACAATACCACTTACATATATACCTTACAGGAGCATCGGAATCCTTGCCGCTTCTTTGCAGCATCTTTTTTTCGTTTCTTCCTCTTCCAACATTGCATTGCATTGAAATATACGTACAGACGTCTGGGGTATATCCGGCATCAGATCAAGGCAGGCCTACCGACAAGGACCACAATTTCAACACAATTCGACGTTTCGCAACAACTGCAACACCAACATTTAACATCGCCAGATTCGACTCCAGCCGCCATGGCTTTAACCTTGTTCCCTCCTCGTGCTCCATCGAGGCAAGCGGAATCGCATGCTACTACAAACAATACGTCGCAGGATGATAAACACAAACATGCACAAGAGCAAAAAGTTAGCCCTGCGCCTCCCACTCCAAAGACTCCCATGATCGAAGAGGAGACCGAGGATAATAATAGAATCGTAAGTATATATATACCTACTTATAAATGCATGATCGAAGCGATAGTCTATGGTTGGACAATGGCACCGCTTGGATTTATCCTAAATTCCGGGATCTAAATGATGTACCTGCTTTATTTACATTGTTTGCATGTCCTCTATGTTTTATATATCGTTTAAGATCCTAGTCACTAACCACATCTTAAATATCTAAATAGAGCTTCGTTCCTCCACTACCAACTTTTGCATCAAGGACAGAGTCCAGGTCCGCTTCTCCGGGCCCGCTACGGTCGAGCTCCAACAGCCGACAGAACTCACCAACAAGAGCTGCCCAAAACTTGACACCGCCGCCAACGATGTCTTTGCCACCTCTGCCAGCAGGTGCCGATGCGCCTATCCTCTCAAAAAATGGCCGTCCCCTCAGCCCAAATATTACAAAAGCTCACACTATCTCCAAGGGATCCTATCTGGCTGGTGCCAGAATGAAGGCAAAGGAGACATTCATGCGTCGCAAGGGTAGTATGCCCGAGATCAAGACGGGTGCTCCACTCGTTGTTGAGCAAGATATACCTATGGATTCTCGTAAGTTATTCGGACTCATACATAATAGGCTATTGCTTACATCTATCTAGCAACAATACCAGGGCGTCCTCCAACGCACGATAGGCAAGCCAGTCTTCCAGCGTCGGCTTTCTCGGCTCCTCCCTTTGGCGACACAATGTTCAAACACTCTGAGAGAAGGGAACATAAACGCTCGGCTTCCACAGCCAAGGAGGCTGATAAACCAAAGGTTTTACTTCATAAGCGCTCAGAGTCTACCCTTAAACTTGCTGAGACCCCCAAGTCGGCACATACACCAAAGTTCCCGCCTGCTGTTCCCGTTCCTACACGCTCACCACATTTGCCAACTACGACCCTTCAAACCATTCGGTCGCCTGGGAGCGACCTACCACCTACTGTCCCCCCAAAGGATCCCGCTCCACTCAGTGTTGTCAGGAATGTAACTCAACGAGTTCGCGGTGGTTCGGAATCTGCCGCAGAGAGGCCCCCTCGAACAATCACTCAAGTACATAAGAGACAAACATCTGCTCAAGAACCACGAGAGCAGCAGAAGGTGAAGCCCGTTGCATCAACCGTTGCATCAACCGTTGCTGCAAGCAAGCGTAGAAGCACAGCCAACCGGACTATGCCGAGAGGCATGCGTCCCGTTGATGTTGTCAAGACACTTCAACCTCCTGTGATCGCCTCTCTTCAAACTGCAGCTCGTAAGACTTGTGAAAAGTTTGCAGTTCTTTCCCCTGCAGAAGTTGATACCCTTACAGCCGAACTCGCTTCGCTTGAAGAGCGATGCGAATATCTTCGCAGAACACATCAATCTCTACGATCCGGAAAGAAGGCCCTTCACATGAAGATGCTTCAACACTTACGCTCCGATCGAGGTGGAAGCTTTTCTAGAGAGACTTTGCTCAAGCAGCAAGAGGCTCTAGCAGACCTCGATAGTTCAATCGATGACTGGGAATCCAAAATGGAGAGAGCTGAAACCAGAAGGGCCCAGGTTCATAGAAAATTATTGGAGCACGTAGCCGCTGCTCTAAGTGTTGGCCCGACCCTGGAGACGGCAAGAGCCGATACCCCTCCCTCCACTCCTGAAAATCGAGACAGCCTTCTTGAAAGGACACAATCGATTAAAGTATATGCTCTCCTTGCAGATGTTGAGAATGAGTACGGAAAGTGAGTATCTAATCCTTCCCTTTTTTTTTTTTTTTTTTAAGACATAGTCCTAACATTCTCTATTAGGATCTTCACTGAAGCCCGATCATAATGACTATTCACGCCTAAACATTCACTTTCATTTCACTTCTTATCACAATATTTATCCTTGTATTTCAATAACTTTTTTGCGCATTATGCGACTTATGACGACGACTATTGTCTTTCTATTTAATAATTTTTTACAGGTGTTCTTGCGAAAACCGAACGGCGCAACTGATTTATTTTTTTCTTTCTTCTGATCTTTCCTTCTGTTCCACAAGGAACAAAATCAAGTATATAACACGTATCCGCTCTTTCCTTAGCTTTGTTGTTTCCCATTCCTTTCTGAATACTCTAGCTCCGGCGTTCATGGTCTCGAGTCCTTTTGCTTTGTTGATTGTACCTTCTCGACGAGGAAACGTCCACTCCTTTAGATTGCCCTTTTTTTTCTCTTTTCTTTGTCTTATCAGCGACCTGAGTTCCGCTATATTTCTCTTCTCAAATGTCTTTTTCTAGGTATACTTTTTTCTCTTACTGCACTTACTGTATATCTACATCGCCCATATAAGTTGGCCATTTTTTTTCTCACAAAACTTTTCCCCCCTGTCGTTATTGTCAAAAATAGCACTATCTCTTCTAAGTACTTTACTCCTATTAGAATACAGGAAAAAAAACTTCAGATCAAATAATTAAAAAAAAGTTTACATGTTATGACCTTACCAGACTCCATACCTTACATCTCGCGACCGTTCGTTTGGGCTTCTTGTGAGGATCTTGAAACACATCGCTTTGTCGCTTCTGCATAACTCCAACGTTTAATATAATCCTCATGCACCTCGCCTCCTTGCCTCCGGCGTCTATATTAGGCTTGGTCATAAGTATCACTGGGCCCTTCCTTCAATTGCGAAAATTGAGGATTGTATCAGATTATACTTTTGAGTAAAGCGGCACGCCCAACACCATATAATCGGGTACTCTCCTCCTAGAAATTCCCGCTATTATAACGCTTAGTACGTAACCCTATAATTCCAGACCGATATCCCTCCTGGGGATTTTCTGCGCAACAAAACAAAAAAAACTTCAAGAAAGGGAAAAAAAAAGATAAATTTGGAGGGATAAAGAAGTGGAGACGTATCCATCCTTCGGTGTTTTTTGCTCATCGCAATCTTTAGCTCTTTGACTTATTTCGTTTTGCCCTTTGTTACCCCGCCTACTGTATCATTCGTACAAGGGGAATATACTCGAAGGGGAAGCGGAATTATTCTGCCGGTTTAACCGTACGAACGGGTTCAACATAAGCAGCAAGAAAAAAAAACAGTTTTACATATCTCTTTTAAAGGGTTGAGACAACCTATTGGCCGTTTAGTTCCATAAGATGGTTTTAAAACCCCACTGCGACAGAGTTGACCCGAATCGTGGGGAATTTGATTGACCGTAGATGCATGATAAACGGCCTAGGACATATGTAGCATGATACCCCCAGCATGGGGTTCGACCAGCCGGCCCAGTATATTGAACGAACGTAAATGAAAAAGAGAGAGACAGAGAGGGAAAAAGATGTCTGCCTTGGTGAATTGAACCGATGAGCACAGCGAAATATCAAAAGGATAAGGCGCTAGAGCTCACTTCAGTCTTTGCGGTTTGAACGATACCGCTCCATGTTCATGAGACCATATTTTTTGTCCGGGTTGGGCCCTTGTACCTGCAGCTTTGGCAGCTACACCATGATACTGGAGCCTTGAAGTTTCGTTAAGACAAGTTCTCTCTTTTTTTTTTGCTAAGCTCAATTCATCGTTATTCCCCGGCAAGAATATAGGCTCGGGTTCCTTCCGCGGATTACTGAGAGGGATGTTCACTTCGACATGGGTTTGGAGCTTCTTGGGGGTTCAGGACAGGCCTGGATTCGCGGGACGAGTTATTTTCCGAGCATATTGCACAGCTTCGCGAGGGGCTGCCCAGCTAGTACTGTAGACATGGTAGAAACGGCTAACCAGCAGACAAGAGACCCTGTAAAGGGACAGGCCTGCGAGTCGTGAAAGAGAGAAAAAAAAGTCGACGTCTTGCTCGACCTTGTGTTGCCGTTGTCGTTCTTGGTTATATTTCTGTAAACGTCACCTTCCTCAACGCTACTAGTATCACTCCGGCTTCAAAGCGGAGCCTCGTATATTCGGCAATCGATGCCCAAGAAACTCGTAAGACCGTTCCTATGGATTTTCAGGACCTTGCAAAAAGTTAGCATGAAAATGCTAGCGAAAAAGTCAATTGCCGGTTTTCGGGACCGACGCTTGGGCGGGCGGGCGAGCGCCAAAACTTGCAAAGCTTGCAAAGATGTCTGGGGCCCATGGGGTCGATCGACGAGGCAAGGGTCGTTGAGCAATTCATAAATTTAGAAGACTCTAAGCTTCACAAGGCGCCGGCTTCAACAGGAGCAACTTTTCATCGAAAGGGAAGCTCATTTTCAGGAGTAAGTTGGGAACGAGGCTAGAGTAAGTACATACAATTGTTGGGAACATGTTCAAGAATTCATTACCAAAACCTTCCTCTCAGAATGTATTTTTCTAAAAGTTCGATTGGGACGACTTTGCAATATTTACTAGCTTCCAAGCCAGGCCATATGCGGTGAGTACAAATGTGACTTTATCTGTAGTTCCTGCATGTACCGTTGCCTGGTGTTGGCTACTTCTTCAATTCACGGAATATTTTCGATAGTATCGATCCATTGGTTAACGGAGTGTTTGTGATTTTTATATCGAAAATGTCGCGATACATCTGCATCTACATCTGCACATCTGAGAAGCCCCCCCCAAGCCCCATAGCCACTGGTACCACTATCGACGCCTAAGTCCCTAGTGAAATAACGCATCTAGCGAAACCGGACGGCGGAATTGTTTTGAACCAGCGATCGGGAATCGCAGAAACAATTGTGACAAGTCCTGCATGCATTTTCATATGTTCATAACAGCTATAATATGCCTCGTTGACACGGCCCAGGGCGCTTCAAACCTAGGAAAGAATAGTCTTCTTACCTGCAGCCTTGTCCCCAGAAGTTGGCCCATCGATCTCATCAACCGTCTTTGGAGGTAATATGTATTCGCGTCGAATACCCCGGCTTTATTCAAATACCTTAGGTTTTTCAATTGCTGACCGGTATTCCTGCAGTGTTACGTTAACCGCTGCTGGGGATCCTATGAAGTGCAGTTGTTTCCCGCCTGTCAATCGACGTTGGGGGACCCACTATGCCCGTTGACTAGCTCGAGCTTTGGCCCTGAATATCAAAAACGGCCGGATCTGATACAGCATCCACTCCAACGCCAAGAAGTAAACTTTTGAAGCCTGTGATACTCTTCCCTATCAGTTGGCCGCACGCCACCCCGAGGAAATCGGAGATGGTTTCTCCTTTGGAACCCCTCTTTCACTTCCAGAATTTGTTCTTACGTACTTTTCGATCGTTACAAAGCTTTGAAATCTGTTGCTAATCGCTCAGTTGAGTGCTTGCCTTTCAAGCGAGCCAATGTGAACCCTGGGAAAAACTTATAGTCAGGGGATGTTATACCCCCGGAACAATACCATCCCGCGAGAGTTCCAGGCTTCTTCTTCTTGTTCTTCATCCTCCAGAGTTCCCTTAGTGTGAGAGCTGATAACTTCCCGTTGCCCCGTTTACGGATTGCCGTCTCGGTTCCTCCTTTTGAGTTTTTTCAGGTTGTTTCCCCGAATCCTCTTGCCTGCCTGAAGCAAAGTTTCTTCGAGGCGGGAGACCACCGGACTAGTCCTCTTCCAAAAGTTCCGTGATGATGCTATGGAGTAGCGTGAACCAGGTAGATTGATTTTATATTGGTGCAGGTTCCTTTGTGGTGGCGAACGCTAACTCTGTTAAGGAATTGAGAATGAGGATACCCCACGTTGAACGCCTCGATCTGGGATTTTTGATACTAGGTCCACCGCTGTCTTACAGGTGGCTGAATTCGGACTGGACGAATTGGTGAGTCGATCAGACATCTTCAATATCCACAAGTGTTACCAAAAGGATTCGAAATCGTTCAAAAACGAAAAATCAATAAATCAATAAAGTGGAGCTATGAAGAGGGGAGACCTATAATATTACCGGAAAATGCATGCAGACGTCAGCGTCTTACAAAACTTGGAAGAGATAACTAGGTAATTACCTGTTAAAAGCCCAATATCTAAAAGATCTTATGGGGGGGAAAGAGAAAAAACTATAGTATTTGCATTTTGGAAAACAAAATGTGCAAGGAACTCCCTTGAATGAGGCTTCGGTGAAGGTACCATTCCGGGCAAAACGGGCGCTTGACTTTCCGTCAGTATGGTCAATACAGCCGGCCGTTGTTTTTCTGGAGACGAACAAGCACCATACTGCACGCATGTGAACGTTAACATACAAATGAAGGTAATTAATATTCGTCTAGAGATGCAATTGTAGCCGTGAAGAACGGGATGAAGTCCTCCGTATCAAATATTATATACCTAAAAGAATCATTAAAACTTCAATCATCTCCGCACGCACACACAAATGTATGCACACGCACGCGTCAATAAGATTTGATGGGTGCGGCATTCACACCATAGTAACAGCCCGGATATGTTTCGGAATACGATAACTATATCTGCTACCCGGCCTTCCGATCACGTTTCCCCCTGCCTCAGTGCCCCAGATTACACAAGAAAGAAAGACAGAGAAGAAAAAACGTGGTAGATAATCGTCCCTGAGCTTGAGCCCAGGAGGATAAAGAAAAATGCGCCGCAGTCCCGTCCTCCTACATTAACTAACAACTAGAGTGTTTCGTTTCGCGATTTGCAACGGCGGCCAACACAATTCTTCGTGTTCCAAAATGCTTCTGGCCCGGCTGCGGCGGGGCCCCCTTAAGCTTACGATGCACGCGCACCGGCCGTGGGGTTTTTTATGGTTATAGTGATGTTGTGTTATATATATATTATATCACTCTCCACTCTTAAAAGAATTTCCATTTTCCGTTTTCCCCTTTCACCCAACCATACTTCTTTGAGAACATGCTTACGAGGGGAACTTCCCTCGGTCCTCTCTCTTTTTGTTTTCGGCTTAGGCGCTGAGTTGAGTATTCCTGTTAATCGATTGGACGATACCCGGATTTGGAGATCTCGTTATTGAAAGATGGTTGGATTTTGTATTTTAAGGCAAGCAGGTCGAGGCGCCGGGTAGATAACAGGTCTCTTCTTTCTCTCGTCGACTCGGGCTCCGCCTATGAAATCGTCGTCGCTATCGAAAGTGGATACCAAATCTTGTTTGCGCGCGCGGTGGCACCTGTGTAGTATGTATGTAAGATAATAAGTACTAACTACTATCATATGCATAATATATCATTAATGAGAGTGATTCGGCGTGTGGAGCGGTATCACAGGAAAAAAACCATATAGATGTATTATAGACATTCTAATAGTTAATGCGCGCGGGCGCCGGCACAGATCCACCGACTAGTGGGGCCTACATGCAATTGCAACTATACAATTATACCGATACCTGGTAAAATCTATAGTAGTAGTTATAGATACGAATTTAAAAAACAACCGTTTCCGGACTAACTTCTATAACAAACTACCCACAAGTCCCGTGCGTAACATATAGCCAAAGATCTTCTTTACAAACGTTAGCTCGGACTCTATTATATATATATGTTAACTTGTATGATGAAGATCGTAGACCTGAATTCCATGAATTCATAAAGTTCAAACGAATACACGGACGGGTTATAAATTTACGTCGGTGCCTTGGAGTCGATCAATCATTTGTATGTTATTATATTGTAGATGTACGAGCAAATAACATACACTAGTACGACCTCGTATCCGAATCACTAAACGAGGTATGAACCGCTCTCTTTATCGTATTATGAATTTCGCGAGGTTATATAACGTTAGATTTATAAAGAGAGGGGTAAGCACTTTAACTTATATCTCAATCTACACTATTAATTGATCCGGTGCATTGTATGACCTCCGTAATATAATATAAAGTAGAATGCGTTCAAATCGGTGTTGAGTGTGATGTGAATCTCACTTAATTACTCTATAACTATCACATCCAATCTCACCAGAAGTCATGCGGGAAGTACGTATCAGATATATATCAAACTATAGCTTATCTGCTGTGATACATCAATATCAATATCAGTATACGGGTGATCAAATCTTAGGGAGGTCTCACATGAATGACTGCAGTTGCTTTCGTATTTTGCCGTCCGAATAATAGTAGCCTAAGTCAATGATATGGCCGATTGGAATTGGGGTATCACATATGTTTTTCACATCGCGCATGTAGAGTCGACCTTGGGCTCGCCGACGGATCCAGCGATATCACAATGTTCGGTTCGCAACACAAGAAATATACCGACTCCATCGATTCTTGTTGAGTAATACTATATCGAGCGGGATAACTACATGTATTTATTTCTATGTCAAATATTGCTGAGCTGTATAATTGACGAATCATTCCTCAATACTACATCTGTGGCCAACTGGTCTATGGAACCGAGACTAATTCACGCCTATAAAAGAGTATTCAAAGTGTCTACTTAAGAAGTATCTACTTAAGTATCTATGCGTTGGCTGAAAAATGGCAGTGGTATCTCACCACCGCATTCTATATTCCCTTCTTCGACCCCCATTTTCTTTCCTATAGAAAGAAGCTCCTCCCCATTGAAGGGGAAGTCAGGTATCATATCTAAATAAATATTCTTTTTTTGTCGTGAAATCATAAAAAAGTTGGAGATGTGTAATCTAGTGAATGAGGTGATGGGTGAAAGTAGGGATGCAAAGATGGAGAAAAATGACAATACGGTGAAAGAAGGTAGAGGTGGATACAGTAAGAAGAATAGTGTGCCGTGAGGCAATGTGTGTGATGTGTGTGTGGTTTTTTGATGTGCGTGAGCACAAGGGGAGGCTGTACATGATATAAGATTGAATGGAATACCTCGATAGAGGTTTAGAAGACCCAGTGGAGTAGAAAATAGAGGGTCTCCAAAGGGGGGGAGGAGTAATGTCGATACGATACTTCAATGTTCCTGCCAGTGGAGCAGTTCGTATGATAAAGAAAGATGCGAACTAAGTCCTTGAAAGTGCGTAACCGGTTTTTGAAAGCATTCCGAATGGTGGTTTTACTGAGAGAGAGAGGGTCGAACAGAATCCAACTTAATTGGACATATACTGTTTCAATCCTCGGAGTCTCTCCTTTGCTGCATCCAGGATGTCATCGTCTTTGCAAACCGCGAAACGTAGGTAGTTCTCCGTGAGTTTTTCCATAAGTGATCCAGCTTGAACGAATTCTGTCGGTGGAATTGCAGCAACACCGAGTTCTTTAATCAAGAACCATGAAAGTCTATAGAGGCGAGGTGTAAGTCAAAGAAGGCTCTGCCCGGAGTATGAGAACGATATACTACTTACTTGAAATCACGAGGTCTGGATTGAACAAAATCAGGGAACGGGTAATCCACAGGAATATTAACCTTAGCCATGTTAACCAAGACGAAGTAGCCACCTTCTGGGTCTGTATATGGAAGTCCTAGCTCGTCCCAGATAGCATTGAACCGAACCTGTTTTGCCTTCATCTCACGTTTGGATTCTTCCCAGAACCCTTGTTTTTCAGCTTCCTCGAGACCAATAGCGACAGCTTCCTGGAGGGGCGAGACAGTAGAGTAACAGATTCGAGTGTGAGCAGCAGATACATATTGGATTAGGTGAGGGCGACCAATGAGCCAGCCTACACGCCATCCGGTTGCGTAAAAGCATTTTCCAGCAGATCCAACAGTCAAAGTCAAGTTATCAATCTCGGGGCTCAAGGTGGCAATTCTAGTAAACGGTGTGTAGTATAACCGGTCGTAGACTTCATCGGAGAGGATTATGACATTATTTTGCACGCAGATGTCACCAATTATCTGGAGTTCTTCGCGAGAAAAGATCTTGCCAATGGGATTATGCCTATTTTGTCTTAGTCAGTCGTTTTATCCCTAGATTATGTGATATAGCTATATACGTATATACGTACGGCGTGTTCAAAACCTATATAATTCACTAGTTAGTCTACAGCTCATACAATTTGCATACGATCCAACAGACTATGGACTTACCAACATCCTTGTCCGTGGAGAGATTCTCTCCCTGAGCATATCGAAGTCCACAGCCCAATCACTACTAGGCGTAGTCTCATAATGCCCTGTTGCCGGTGGAATCAAGTTTACATAAACGACCTTCCCGCCAGCCATCTCGATATTGGAAATATACTGGTCGAAGTACGGTTCGAAAACAATAACCTCATCCCCTTGCTCCACAAAGGCCATAAAAGCAGACAACATGCCCTCATTTGCACCGGTAGTTATCGTAATCTCAGTTTCAGGGTCGAGTTCACGACCAAAATGCGGAGAGTAGGCATTTGCAAGAGCTTTCTTCAGACGAGGACGACCTTTGGTGGGGGAGTATTGGTTGCAATCGACACGGTTCAAAGCTTCCTTCGCAGCATCGAGCACAAACTTTGGCGGGTTATAGCCGAAAAATCCTTGTCTGAAGGCCCAGGAATTAATGGAGCGATTTCGATGAGTGGTTATCGAAGAATGTTAATTACCCAAGATTGATGACGGGAGAGACCTTGCTACTCTTTGCAGCTTCGTTGACAATTGTCCAGACCTGCACGAGATATCCAAAAAGATATATTAGCATGCCATTCGAGACGAGGTGAACTTGAACCCCGCAAAAAGCCGCAAATTGATCGTGCCCGAGCGAACGTTGCACAAAATCAAATGACACACGACTCCAGAAGCCAGCAGTCGAAGATCGAGGGGGGGAAGCTGAGTAAACAAATGGAAAAGATCACATACATCCTGATTCTGGTTCGCAACCCGCTTGGCCGGTCGAATTTGAGTAGCCATCTGGGCAGCTTGAAAGACGGAGATTCCAACGTTTCTTCCAAGGTTTGGGACGTTTGTTGCAGCAGATGCGGCGGACTGTCTAGCGAGGTTTGCCGCGGCAGCGTTTGCTACAATTGGAGATGGCGACTGACGTAAGAACACACTACGATAAATAGGGTTCAGAGGGAAAATTGGTATGAAGGGCCGCATTGCGGAAAAGAAGAGAAAAGAGAAAAGAAAGAGAAGAGAAAAGGAAAAAAAAAACTGAAAAAGAAGCAGAGGGGAGAGTGTCGAAAGGGAGATTTTAAAGTATTTACGGAGAAGCAGAAACTAGAGACTCAAGGGAAGGAGAAAATAGTATGTACAACAACAACGTTCTCTCGATACCACCGTCACGGCGCCGGTACGGTCGAAATACACCTAATCCGGACTGGAACGATGTCGCAATTCCGGAGAGTATGTTACTATGTGTCTATCCCTCGAAGGATAGCAGTTTTCGTGAGTCCGCAGACGGCCAGTCGGACAGGGACCGAGATAACGAAATCAGGAAAGAAAGTCAGAGGGAATATAGTATAAATATTGATACAAAGAATCGAAACCGCAATCTATCAATCTATTATTCACTCAACTATCTACAAAAACGAGATAGCTAGTAGACGATAAATAGCAGAACAATGGACAAAAAACAAAAAGAACGAAGATATGAAGGGAAAAAAGTTTGCAGGCGATAGGGTAAAAAAAAAAAAGTGAACTGCGACATCCAGATAACCTTTCAAGATCAAGACCTGGGGATGCTAGCAACCTTAAATCATTAAGCCTATAGCCTATAGCCAACCCAATCAGCTCTTTCAGCTTTCTCATTTCAGTCGCATCGGGATCGCATCCCTCGACCCCTTGCACTTTAGGTCCTTTAGGTAGCTTGGAACCTGCGATCAAGCTTGCGACGTGAATGCCGCAGCTCGTACGGGCCTGCCGTCTTGCGCTCGTGACCCTTTCTTAAGATTGCCCCTCATCTCCCGTGATGCCCATCGCGGGGCTGAAGCCGGCTTAGTCTACGCCAACATCGGGTCCAATCGGGTGCGGCTTGTCAAGATTTCCTTTAAAGGCATTAGAAACCGGGTTATTGGGCGCCTGTTCAATCGGCTTACCGTATTCTTAGGTAAGGGACTTTGTATTTTGGCAGCCCGAAATTGCAGAACTGCAAGAAAAGAATGTCAAATCATCGTTAGCGAATTTCGGATTCGGATGTAAACGTCATCTGGCTAAATAAAGCTCACGGGTATTTGGCATTCCGACGGGGTACAAAATTTAATAAATTGCTTCTAAAAATCCAACATTATGCAACGCAGCGCTCTTGTTTCGCATCTTGTAGGCGCCCGTTTATAATTTATGCAGCCTTGTTCCCTGATGTCGGTTGGTCACGCGCCTGATTAGACAACTTAATTATAACTTTTCGAGGATAGCTTCCGATGTATCGATAATAGATCGGGTTTGGCTTCCGCTAGTGATATTCAAATACAATAGTGTGGGGTTGGGATGTTATCTGTTCTCTTATCTAACAGTATCACAAAGTCGTATACTATACCAGTCTATTAATACATACTAACTTAGGTGTACCCTGCATAAGTATGTTAATACCCTATATGGTTATTTAAATGTTACCCGTGGAGCTTAATATTGGTGTTGGGGTCTAGCCCTTAAACCAGGGACCGGGCCAGCACCATGCATTACTATCATGTTAACCGCATATATATGCATACGGACGTCATAGAAGAAATGTTCATAAAGCACTTGACTAATCGATAAGAAGATTGGATTAATCAATAAGAACCGACTATTACATGCAAGCCACAAACACTGACAGTTAATTGCGAACCTCAGTTGACTATATAGAAAGGACCCCCAAACACCATTCCCGTTTCAAACCTCCCATTACTATTACAAAATGCACACAAAGTAAGAAAGCAAACCAATCAATATAACTCCGCCCGAGCCTCCAGTTTTTTCCATCCCTTCTGCTTCGCCATACTCCTAATCCCCATCCCAAAAGAATCTCTAACTGCCAAATCCGCACCCTCTTTCACCAAAAGCTCCACAATCCTCTCAACCTCCTCTTCTTCCTTTCCAAACCTCACCGCCGCATACAACGGCGTATGCTTCATCGTACTCGTCATGTATAACCTTGCTCCAGCCCCCACCAATTCATTCACATAAGAAAAATCACCTTTCGCTGCTGCCAAGTGTAACGGGGTATATCCCGTCTCCACGATTTTTGAGTTTAAAAACGGTCCTTCCTTCAGTAATAATTTTAGAACCTCTAATCCTTCCTCGCCGTTTCCGTATTGTACAGCTGCATGAATAGGACTCCATCCGTCGTCACCACTTATACGAACGTCGACTTTGTTCTCGATCAGAAACCTTGCTATATCCGCATGACCACCCTTCAATGCCAAAAATAATGCCGTCCTCCCAACGCTATTCCCATCATTTTTGATCTCTTCAACTCCCTTCGGTCCTAACCAATCCCATAATAATTTCAAAATTTCGAAATGTCCCTTCTCAGCCGCCGTAAGAACCGGACTCATCCCACTAGAATTATAACACTTAACCTTCGCCTTAGCCTCCAACAACACCCTCACGGTCTCCAAATGTCCAAACTTAACCGCCAAAATCAAAGGCGTAGATCTGGATTTTTCCGTTTTAGCTTCAATATCGGCTCCATTCTCCAATAATAATTTAATCCCATCTATCCAACCCTTTTCGACGGCTTTGTGTAACGGTGTAAACCCGTCTTTGGTTTCTGTAGCCGTGATATCGGAGGTGAATGGAGGTGATGTGAGGAGGAGGTTTAGGATGGATAGGTTTTCGGAGTATGCGGCGAAATGGAGGGGTGTCCATTTTTGTTTCCCGGCTGTAACGGGGTAGGAGTAGTTCTTTGATGAGAGGATCGATTGAACTTGTTCTAGAGAACCGTCGCGGATGGCGGTTATTAGGGCTGGATATGGCATGTTTTTGTCTTGGTTGAATATATATAATATATATATATATAAGTATATATATATATATATATATAATACGGTGAAGCTTTAATCGAAGACTCTTCGACTAGATAATCTGTAGGCTTGGGTTCAAAAGATCCTGGGGATGATATCGAGATGGAATTTGATATATTAATACTGTAGGTAATATATAATATTTAATTTGTGGATGTATATCCTACAGACTTTTAATCGAAGTAATTGCCGAAGGATTTACTGATATAATATACTGTCCTAGATATACCCTGACGTACCCCCCTAAAACCGGCTTTTGTATCCATGTGTCATCGGTTCGAAGAGCTAGAATGGGATGATATCCAGCTTTGGTTAGATATGCCGCGGCCTTTCGCGAGGCACACACTAGTTACTTGTATTACCAGACAAAAAAAAAAGATCCCTTCGGAATGTTCTGTAGCCAAGGCTTTTCCGAAAAATTACTGCAAGCTGAGGAAGGTTTCAAGTGGGTTCGGTAGTTTTGAAGTATTCTTTTAGGACGGACCTAAGATGGTAACTACCTAATCCTGTCATGTTCGGCGTGACATATAAACCCTTAGCTACTTAAATACTTATAAAGCAAAGCAAATAAAATCAAAGTATTCTTACCGTCTCAGCCCGGGGCGGGACGTACCTGTTATGAACAGGAACTTGCTAACATTCTCCCCCCCTAAAAATAAAAAAACTCCAGTCAGTTAACATAAAAAACAAAAGTTTTATGTATGAATACAATATTCAATACCTCGAACCACATTGGGATTTTTAAATCCGCTTTTTGAAAATCAACAGGTTGACCATTCTGATAGCACTCGTGAGGTGTTTCTCCGTTTTCGAGAGCTTTAAGGACTGCCTCGATGTTTTTTAATTGACGAGCGTTTTCTTCGGGCTTCTCGAGGAGTTTCCTAAGATATTGAATTCGTGGGCCTGTGTCTATAGGAATCGGGATAAATGGTTGCCAGATACGCGCTGGAGCCTCTGGATTACTGATATTATCACCCATATTTCTTTTTGTTATGTTACAATTGATGAAGTGTGTATCTGGACGGCACGGCAGAGTGGCTGTTATTCGGTGTCGTGAATACTATACCCTATCAAGTTATCGGTAGTCTGTAAAAGTGGCTCATGACGGTGGTCTAAAAAGCTAAATTATAGATGCTTAGGTACCTCCTAGTGCGCTAGATATCGGTAATATTATTCTAAATACTAATTATGATCGTCGCTGATCGCGAGAGCTATCAGGACAAACAATATTCCGAATACAAATACTTGTAAATATAAATATAGTTACAGATTTGTTATAATTGTGTTAGGTAATTGCTCGCTGCCACGTACGACGCTATTCGCGCTCGACGAACAAAAACTAAGTACTTGGTTAAGAAAGGTTTCCATCGATCCCACCGCACATGCAACTATATCACAAAGGACTTCCCAACTTCAAATCCCCCAGCCACAATTAATTATCACATTTAAATCTAAAATATGCATACCTAAACCAAACCAAACCAAACCAGAAAAGAAAAAGAACCTTCCGGTTCCCAAAGAAGTATCTACCCCAATCCAGCAAGCCGTACATACCAGGAAACCCGTAGTTAGGCTAGGGTAGGGCCCGCCGTAGCACATCCCTGCATGAACAACGGAAACGTAACAGAGTTATGCATGTCAATAATTCAGCCATCCGAGAAACAGCCTTGCACGGTTAATTCATTAACCAACTAACTGATAGTAATAGTAACCTCTTCGCATAAACACAAGCCGACTAACTAGGTAACTTCCTTCTCTTTTGATACCCTCAAACCCGGTTTTATACACCCCACAACCAATAACATTATATATATGGTTTATAAATCTGGATGTATCATATTAGAATACTATTGGTCGCAGATTGAAACTGTGTTGGCAGTCGGAAACGGCACATTAAAGGCCTCTCTCAATTTCGGTTTCGTAAGGGGCCGGGCCGGGGGTCATACATGTCATCATATATTATGAGGATCTAGGAATGGATAACTCAATAGCTTCCACTTCTAGATCCTCTTCAATCATTCCGCTAATTATAATTATAAATTTTACTTGATGACGAAGAACATGTATGAAACGGGAGGAAAATGGTATAAGTTCTTTTCTTTTTTTTGGGGGTGTGTTAACTCTACTCTGAAGATTTTGATTTCAAACAAAGGATCTCCCTCCCCGCTCAGATCTTCTGTCTCGAAAAAATACAGGGTGCATATATACTATTCTGTACATACTACACAATTGATATCATCCAAAACAATATGGGATATCTCAAGATAAAAATTAAGGAAAGGGACAAAAGAAAAAGTGTATAACAAAGGAACAAAAAAAAAAACCAAGAAAAAGAAGAAAAACGCCAATAAACGCCAGCTCCAGATGCAGATAATCCCTCCCGCAGAGAACCAAAAGAACGGAATGCAAGAGGAGGATAGAAGAAGGAGAAGATCAAATAACAGAAAATGCCCAGATGATGGTGATGATCGTAACCTTTGTCGTTAGTTTTTTCAAAACAAGAAAATATAAAAAGCTCAAGTGAACGGGGTATGAATTATTATTTTTCCACCTCCGAGGGAGAACAAAAGAGAAATGAGCGAATAAAAATACTAGGTATTCACAAATGTAAAGGGAGACGAAAGGGAAAAAAGGCCTCTTAATTAGGCATAACGCACACTCTGACCCCTCTGCGGCTCTTGCTGCCCGTAAGGCGGTGCGTATGGAGGTGCGTTGCCTGGCTGCTGAGGATGACCGCTGTTGGTTCTCATATTATTATAATAATCCAATGCTGCCGCTTGTTCCATATAATACTGTTGATCATAGCCGAACTGGTTTGGCGGCATCTGTTGAGGAGGAGGAGGGGGCATGTTTCCTCCAACACCGCGATTCTGGCTGCCGTCCCGTCGACTAAGCCTTCTCCCAGCATTACTGGGGGCGTAGGGAGGGGCGACATAACCCATATCTTGCGGTGGGATGAAAATTGGTGGTTGTGAACGGAGCTTTCTACGCTTGACGCGACGGATGCAGCTACGGATGCAGCACCACAGGATCGAGAGGACTATGAGGCCGCCGATACCAGCGGAAAGGCCGATGACAAGTGGAAGATGCTGTAAAGAAGCTTGTTAGAGTTATCGTTCTCATGATATATAGTCTGGCTCGAAACTCACCCTCTGGATCCAACTCCTGACATCATTGAACACACTATTACCGACACAGGATCCGGATCTGCAGACTCCAGACCCACACCTCGTGCCGTCGACGAACCACTGTTGCATCCCGTAGCAAACGCCTTGGCCAAGTTGTGGGGATGTACATGTAAGTTGGCAGTTAACATCATCGCAACTCTTGGTATTGTTATTAACGCCCTGGAGAACGCCAACCAAACTGCGACACTGAGCGTCACGATTGGTACAATGCCCACTAGCACAATAAGTACCAGCGTCTGCGTCACCGCATGATTGGCCATCCGGAGTCGTAACATCTGCTGGACAGGAAGAACTGCCACCACTGCAGGTTTCTTCGGGATCGCATGGACCGTTACTGGGGCGGCAGACTTGGGTATTCGGGGCGAATTGGCATGTGCCTGTGCAGCACTCTTCGTTCGTGGGACTAAAGGTGGATTACTATTAGCAGCACGTCCATAGAACATTATTATACTAAGATGTTGTACTTACTCGCAAACGGCTCCGGTACGGAAACGGCAGGTACTAGGATCACAGCAAGTAGAATCACCACCGCTGTCACATTCCTCACCCTCTTCGACGATTCCATTACCGCAAACACCCGCCACAATTGTAGGAATATTACGGTTAGCAGACAAGCAGTTCATATTAACAGTGCCCCGGCTAAGTCCGGTACAGATATTGCCGACAGTGCAAGCGCTGAACTGAGTGATAGAATCTCCGGTAGAGGGGTTCATGATGAATCGCCCGCCAGCATCGCAGCCGTTCGATGAGAAAGGACAGCATTGCGATGTAGCAACGTAGGCTTCATCTTGACAAGCTGCTGACGTACAATCATGTACTGCTCCGAAAGTATGGCCGACCTCGTGACTAAAAGGTTTATTTATTAGCAAATATTGATTTTGTTATCTTGCATTGCGCGATTAGGCTTACGCTAGAACTTTGTATTCCTGGTTGGTTCGGGCTACAACGTTGGCTCCGCTGACAAAATTGGTGTTCTGGCGGTTGGCTTCGGATTGGCAAAGAAGACCCAGCCATGCAAGTCCAACAGATGCCCCAGTAGGACAGTTGGTGAGTTGGGTCCAAAAGGCCAGACCGTCGCCAGACTTTGTTCCTCTCCACTCAGAAAGGATATTCAAGCGGTCTTCAATTGTGGTGTTGCTGGAACATCGCAAATTCCATGGAGCAGTCTGAGGCGCAGTGACCGGGCAGGTTTCGTTTGGATTGCTGACAATTAGGTTGGCAAGGCCAAGGGTGATGTTGAAGGTTGATTCGAAAAGAGTCGATGCCTCGTTGACTACACTGATGATGTTCTGTCGGACTCGCTCTCCGTTGTTTCCGAAACTGGCAACGTATTCGCAGTCCGCTACGATACCCATAAGAGCGACCTTTCTGGTCGACGGGCATCCCACGGTGCTTCCGATAACGCTCCTCAGGTTGATACCACCACCGAAACCACCAGCTAGATAAACTATTAGGATTTCCCGCACATACTGAATCTCATGTTATAGGAGGAGCCTTACAGCTGTTGTCGACCTGTCTTTTTTTCATCCGACCGAAGATACTGTTGGCACCAAGAGGATTCCAGCTAATATCTCTCTTCATTCCAGCGCTTTCCATAATCTGCCTCCTGATTTTATGATTCGGGTCCGTATTGAAAGCCAAATCATCAGAACCGCAGCTCTTTTCGGCCTCTATCCCTCTTTTATGTTGAGATCTGATGCCTTCGTTGATGTCCGAGTCCCTCACAACGACCATAAATTCCTCCTCACCATCAAGGTGAGGGTCCTCGTCGTGCTTGGTTTGCATATAGCCGGACCTTAGTTGAATATGATGGTCATTTCCGTGAATTGCGAAGGCACCACCGAACAAAGGTGACTCTCCATCCTTGTAAACGTATATCCTGGCGTGTCCGGCATATTCCCATCCGTGTTCGCCCATTAAATAACTAGTCCCCTTGAAGACCTTCTCTTGACTCCTATCTACATTCTCGGCCTGGACGATTTTGCCATCGGCGCCCATGTACTCGATTTTAACATTATGATCGACAACATCATGATTCGGCTCCAGCGAAAGTTTGATTTGTTGATACGGCCTGTCTATGGAGAAAGTGATCGAGAAGTCGGAGAAGGCGTGGATACGTTGTGATGTTCCATCGGCGTGGATCTTGACATCTTTGATGAGCCCGACAGACGGGACTGGAGCACGGCGTGCTATCGAGTGTGCTAAAAATATTGACGAGTGTCAATCAGCATGTGTTTTTACTTCTCTTATCCGACGACGGGTGGGACTGGTGGGGAGACGATCACCAGGTGGGTCGAATATCGAAGGGTGCAAATAGCGTGTAGTGTCTCTCGACGACGACGACGAAGCACGAAGCGCGAACATACCATGTGAGAACGTGAGAAGTAGAGATAGTAATACACCTGTAATCAGGGCACCTATCCTGTGAAGGAACACCATCCCAATCCGATCAGACCAAGATGGATATTACCGTCGATACCAAATTCCGACCTGACAAGACAAAAATGAACGGATTATTGATGCCGACCCGACCGGAATGTCCGGAATGCCCCTCTAGATTTACAACCCGAACGAGCGACCGAAAAGACCAGTTCGTTTGGTTGATTAGTTGCTCAACGAATGCCGACAAATGAGGACGACGAGGAAGAACGAGGGCGATGATCGAGCGCTAGCAAGGTCGTTAATTTTTGTTTTTTTGTTTATAATATACCGATATGTTTCTGCGAGAGCGTTTAAAAACGAAAAGGAAAGAAACAGACGAAGCCGTGGAAGGGCCCGAGGAGATATAACTATCTCTTTCTCTTTCTCTCTTATTGAAGCAAGAGAGTAGTATAATAGACTGGATTAAGCTGGGCTGAATCTCAGGGCAGGAAAAAAACGTGGTTGAAACACAGCGAGGCAGGAAACCTGGAGAGGATGGCAAACATCAAAACGCTAAACGCCGGATATGAGACCCCTTTCGACGGATCCCCTTCGATCCTATTATATACTCCAAACTCTCGCCTCGGGCCAAGTCTTTAATTTTTAATATTTAATGGTTTTTTTTTATCAAAAAAAAAAAAAAAAGAGGTTAGTAGATTCTAATCGTTGTACCGTTGGTGTCGAGGAGTATAAGTAAGTATTTGTAGTGGGCGAAGAGGCTGAGGCGAGGAAAAGGTGGAATGGGAAAGAGCCAAGATCCAAGGAACCAACGGCACTTTGGTCAGCAGGGAAACGGAAACTAAGAATAGACGATGCTATTTGAAAGTACTTCGGCCCTGCACAACCCTCGTAAAACCTGTCTTGTCGGTCTGCAGGCTGTACTATGCCCGTATGTATGTGTATGTAAGTAGCTAAGTGCGGAGTCTGAACTTGTCCCTGCCGATGTTGATCCAGTGTGCTCGTGGTTGCAAGCTGACGGTCAGATGCAGCTACACACAAAACAAGATCTCTTTCTCGAACTATTTCCTCGAGGCTGAGATTAGTCCGGCCTACATAGTATCGTGGATACTCACCGATCTATTAACATAATATCGACAACTAAGTATGTACCTACCTTTTTTACTGCTCTAGCATCTACATCTATGTACTGACATCTAGAGAAATATCCACATGCACTTGTCTTTCAAAAGAAAATCTGCTATCGACAAAGAAGTCTCCTCGACGACGCAGACGGCCAAGCCGGGCTAAGATGGAAAGGCGTCGTAAGTTCCAAGCTCTGCTCCATGATTTGAATTTCTGGATTCCAAAACTCTGCTTGACAAGAAAAGCCCAGCCCAGGTTCCTCTTCAATCAGAGGAGACGAAATGATCAGAAAATTCTGTTCTACTCGACTCGCAACTTGATGTATGCCTAATAAATGAAGCCTGTGCTACGTGCTCCATCGTGGCTAGCTAGCAGTCGACTAGTCTAGCCCCAGTCCTGCTGTATCGACAATCTATCATCCCGTAACATCGCCCCGATCTCTCTCAAGATCTTTAAAGCCTGTTGACAAAGCGGGCTGTGCAATCCTGTAGACGCATGAAGGCCTTCAAGCCAACATTTGGCCGCACCTCGTGTCGACTCTGGACCCCACTAGCCTTCATTCTTATTGGCTGTTTCACGGCCGTTTCCGAATTCGCACCACCTGCCAACCAATTCTTTCTACCGAGGCTGGGTCGCTGCCCTTTCGAAGCTTTTCGTGTTGGAAAGCTTCCCAGTTCTCAGTTCTCAGTTAGGTATTTGAGATGCACGAGCGAAAAATAAAGGCTGGGCACTTTGCGAATTGCGACTCCGAGCCAGCCGATTGGTTTGAAAGCCCCTCAAAGGAAGCAGTGAAACCCACAAAGATCGAATCTTCTCTCTTCAAGCCTTATTTCCTGTGGTGTGCTAATAACTCCGAAAGTGGGGCTTAAAGAGGTCGTTTCGAAGTGAACGCGTAATTCATATTTGCGCAGCTTCCATTCTGCATTGGTTCGCCTAATCGAATACGCCCATCTTCTCCACTTTCTTGACGGTTGCGGCGTGATACCTTTTCTTCTATCGAAGAAAAAGCTGCTCATACTACCGAGCTGTAACCTCGCTCAGCCAACCTGTCTCACGAGACATCCGAACCGCTTCTACTGTGCGGGTTCTGAAGGGAAAGCAAGAAGTTGGTCTGCTTGATTATGAAATCCTGACCCAGGGTTTCCAATCTTTTCAAAGGACAGGGATATAATACATGACAGAGCGGTAAGTCCAACAGTAGCATTATTGGGACGAAACAATTGGGCAGCGGCATGATAAAGGATGTGTCAGAAACCGTGGAGCATAGGATACATGAAATATTTAGGCACCAAACATCCTAAGCAGGGTTTGAGATTTCATCAAGCTAGTGTTCGCGCTACATTGTCGTCTTCCCAAGATCGTTATATATACTCCCTGTCTCCTAAAACATAAGTTCTGACATATATTCACAGTGAATATATGCATACCTATACTGTTGATGTGAAAACTTTAGAAAGCAATCGGAAGCATGCAATTAAAGACAAAACAAATATGTTTATATACCTCTAGCCTCGAATCCAGGCTAATATACCTCTTGGTTATATTAAAATACATAAAACTCGCCACTTCGTCGTCGAAAGTACTGCCTTAACTGTTGAACGTTCGAACTAGTACAAGTGTGTATTTTCCCTTGGCGACATCCACTATGACAAAATACCACGCAACACACTGTGACAGTCTCGTAACCAAAACACTATGATCCCAAATATGAACACCGATAATATGCAACACCTTTTTTTTTGGTGACCGCCTCGGTGCGTCCGGCTTCGAGACTAAACATGCATGAAGGCAGCAAAAAAGTATATCAACAACCTACGCCTGGGGACCAGGCGCTATCAATAAAAACTAAGAATCAGATTCTAGTTTACGAGATAAGCTTATCCCAGCTAGCAATGTTTGTCTCAAACTAGACTTAATAAAAAAAATTAAAAATTAGCAGTGCCTAGTAATGTGTTTGTTATCAATATTCTTTATCTCTATAGCCCCCAGTCATCATATGACCGGTACCGCAGAGCAACTAGGGGGCGACAGATCTAGAATCCGCATGCCCCAATCCATGTCTTTTGGGACTCCTTGACTCGTTTCTCTTTCTAATGTTTTAACGTTCGTCCGGGATCTAGAACTTTGAATTAACTGTTTCTAACTATCTCGAAAGTCCATAAACTTATCGAGGACCCTAGTTTTCATCGTTCGATGTATTGTGGCAGAATCGATCGATCGGGGCTGCAGGATCTTCCTTGTGCTATATGTATATTCGAGTCTGATTACCTTTATAGCTAGGGTAATAAATATCCGGTATCATTTATGAAGTCTCTGACAGTATGGCACTGAGCAAAGTGTGGACCGCGTCTGCAATACGAGACCAAGCACCGAGAAGAGCTATCTACATCTAGGAAAAGTTCCATACAGTATCTCGATATATACATGTGTATCTATGTATACTGACATAAAGTAGTATTTGGCGGCGGCGGCTAAAAGTTTATATTAAAATAATCTTCCTTTAGTCCTAGGGGATTCAGTATCACTCTATCGCTTCTTTTGCCCTTCCCTTTCCAGTTGCATGTTGCGTGATTGCACCGCTTCCCATCCTCTCTTTACCGCCCTTTTTCATCTTCGGACGCAGGTTCCTCTTTCCCATCCCTCCTCCTCTTCCGCTTCTGCTTTTTTTTTTGAACCACTTCCCCCCTTTCTTTGGACCACTTTTCTCCCCACTTTTCTCCTCCTTGTTTTTCCTTCTCTTTCTTTTCCTTCTATTCTTTGTCTTTTTATTCCTTTTCCTTTTATGCTTTTTCCTTTTATTCTTCCTCCTTGTCTTGTACCGGGGCCCCGGAAATATTTTCCCCTTTTTCTTTTTTTGCCTTTTTTTTTCTTTCCTTTTCTTCCTTTTCCTTTTTTTTCTTTTCCTTTTCTTCTTTTCCCTTTTTTGCTGCTTCAAGAACTTGTGGGTTGGCTTTTGTCATTACCTCGTAATCTTCTCCCAGTCTTATATTCATCCTCATCCTGTTGGTTTTTGGATCATCACACATGATCATGCCCAAAATTCGTTGTCTTCCTAATCTGTAATGATATTTGTGAAGCATTTTCAGAACTGTTACACCCTCAAATGAAGAAAGCAGAACTGTCCATAAAAAATAACGCTGCCTATCGCTCGTGATAGAAGATTTGATGCCTCCAGTGAGTGACGATCCAGTCGAGGGGTAAGCCCGCAGATCGATGCAGTAAAGACCATTTTCAACAATAACGTAGGGTGTACTGGAAAATTCTTGGATTGCCGTTTTAAAGGCTCGGGCCGTATTCTCTGATACAACCTCGAATAAGATGTCCCGTAGCTCTAGATGTTCCTCCCTTTCAAGCCCCCCTCGAAATGCTATAAAGATCATATCAGACAAAGTGTTTACCTGCTGGTGAAAGGTACTATCGCTGTATCCCGAGTCAAACCCGTTCAGATATTTCAAGACTAAAAATCCATCCCGGCCAGTACGCCCCCTCCGGGGTCGAAGTGGTGAATAATACCCAGAAACAATCTGGCAGGCCATATCCTCGGATTTAGTCCGTATACGCATCATAGACCACTTTTTCGCCACGTCTAACTCTGGTAAATCTATCGTGCTTAGCCCATAAGAGCGGGCAGGATTACCCTCGTCAGTCTGTACATGTACATTTAGTCGCAGCCTGACAACCTCAAGCCATTTTAGAGTCTCAGGTAATACATCCGAAGCCTCAACTTCTTCTGATACTTGGTGAGTATCAAAAAGATCTGGGTCAGGCTCTCCATCTTGTATGCCCCCTACTCCGCCGAGATATGTGAACGTAACCAACCCGTCTCCACGAGTCAGAGCTCTTGAAGCGGGATTCTCCTTGGCTAAGGTGCCCTTGGTAAAATCTAGAGTGATGAGCATCTGAAAATCTGCGACGCCATCATCTCCTTCGGTTCGTCGTATCACGATGGTGTTAAGGTGCAACAGAGGTCCCCACTTACTGTGGTCCATTTGGCCTCGGAATTTGGTTGCCATGCGAGCCAGAGCCGATAATTCCGTTAGTGCCATTAAAGATACCCATAGTTTTTCCATTCTCCTTTCAATGTGCGCCTCCGGGAGGACGAGCCCCATGTAGGTTCGAAGATACCCACCTGACTTCGGATATGTAATTATGAGCGTTTTATTACTAAATAAATCGATATATTGACCATAAATCTGTTCAAGAAGCGACCATGACTCGGGTAAGACTTTTAACACAGTCAAGGTCTCAATTCCAATAATACCTGTCTTGGGGGGTTTTACGTGCTGGTCGATACGATCGGCATTAATCCATGTTGCATACATAGCATCGGCTAAGATATCAGCATTAGCGCGGCTTCCCTGCGCCTGCTCTGAAAGGTCTACAGCTACAAGGACTAAGTTGGAGCACCAACCGCTCGTGGCGAAACCGAATTGCATATTATTTTGAGCCGGTTGGCGCACGCGCACAGACCACGCACTATACTCCGAAAAGCGTTTATGGCCAAAAGTGGTCGGGGTCGCGGACATCAAAGATCTAGTCCGGCCGTAAAAGGGGATGCTTATGCTCCTCAGCAAGCCTTCATCCCGGAGGTGAATAGTTATAGCATTTTTGCCGGCGTTATCAAAATACTTAGGGTCCTTCTTAAATTCGTACTTTTCGAGATGGTTGCGATCCTTCTCATCATCGTAGACATAGTCAGGAAGACGCCAAGTACTCCTCTCGCTGAGGTACCTTGTTCTTTCGTTGCTATATGCCATGATACCCTTTAAGAATGACTTCTCGAGTGCTGATGCGTGTGGCGATGCGAATATGGGCTGCCAAGGATGGATATATAGACTCGGATATGAGCTGTCCGGCTCTGAAGTTAGCTCTGAAGTCTCCAGCTCTAAAGACTTCAGCAGGCCAGGATCGAAGCCGCTACCATGCTCGCCAAAATCAACATAGATGAAATGCTTGTTCGTGTCACCGATATGAAGACCAATGCTTATAGTCTCTATCGTCGGATTTTTGAGAAACTCCCTTTGTTTCTCGATGAAGTATTTCACCACACCGCCCTCCATCGTTGTATAGAAAGATTCCAAATTCTGATCCCAGCTTTCAGGTGTATCTCTTTCCCAGACAACAACCGGGTTTGCCTCATCAAGCAAAACTTCCAAGGCGGGTATAGTATTTGGGTGTACTGTTTGGAAGGTTATGCGGGAAATTTGAGACCAACCCTCCTGTGAAAACCAGGTTGCGAAAAGAACGGTTCCAAAGTTAATCTTGACAAACTCTTCAGCGTCTGGATCGAGGGTGCTTGGAGCGAAATCGTCATCGCCCGCAGCCTTATTATCGTCCGTGGCCTTCGCTTTACCTTTTCCCTTCTCATTCGTTTTTTTTTTCACTTGATAATCAACGAAGAGAAGATGTTCTTCTTGAGAGGACAAAGCAGTTTGGTACACTATTCTGTACAATTCGGCTCCGTTCTGAAGGGCTTGGGTAGTCTCCATCCTGGTATAAGAAGGACCACCTGAAGGTGTGTAATGGACTCGTGGGCCGAGAGTTGGTAGGAAAGGGTTTTCTATAATAGAAAAAGATGGGTAGCCGATGACTGAATAAGACAAGTCAAGCTTGGTGCGCTCAAGCTCAACTTGGATCTCGGTGAGAGCCATGGGGAAGTCATTTAAACCATCGTCTTCGAAGTCTTTAGAGAAATCCATCGCATTAATATTTGGCCAATTTGGATACGTAGCTGTATTAGATTCACCGTTCTCTCCCCCCAGGAAAATACCGAACGACTTCACCCGATCCCACGCTCTATTAATCTGTGATGGTTTTTTACCAGTATCGAGATGCAGGGACTCTTCTTTGATGTTTACGCTCAGCTCTACGACTATCGAGACGCTATTTGAAGACCATGTCAAGACTTTTTCCGATATGGACAGGGGCCGGTGGAACGAGAAGTGAATAGCAGCAATATTGCATGATCTCAGACCGGTCATGTAAGCTGCACACATATTAGTTATTGACGAGAGAGCGGGTGTTCCTATTATCGCGTTCCAATGCTCTTTTTCATAATCATCTTCTAACTTAGAGTGAGTCAAAGAAAATTTATCCTCAGACTTCCCCCATGAAATGTAGATCAATCTTAGCACGATAAGAGTGGTTGGTTCTTCGACCCCCCATATCGTTATATACTTTAGCGGTACCGCTGGTATGGCCGAATAATGCCGCATATCTTCATATGCCGATGAGCCGAAAGAATTGGGTTCGTCGTGATCGTTCGAACCGATTCGCCAACAATGATATAGAAGATGGTGTAGCCCCCCCTCCGAATAAACACTTTTTTCCCATGGCCAACGGAACGAAAAGTGCTGATTTTCCGCAGATGAGCTTGTGATAAGCCTCAACGTTGCAGGAGGCTTGTGAGATCGAATTATTTCGTTCAGATTTACTTTTCGATAGCTGTGCTTGTTCCGTACGATTGGTCCGCGCTGAGATTCACCTGTGCCAAATGTTGATTCGAAAGTAGCTAGTGAACGGTCTTGCAGCGCAAGGCTCACCAACAGACCTTCAAACGCATATGTTTGTAAGCCGCTCCAAGAATAATCTATTTCGTAGTTTCGGGGAAAGGGAGAGGAATGTTCTAGCGGGTGGAAATCATGACCTGAAAGCATCAAGCTGAGAGCCGTTATTTCTGCACTTTCGAGGGCCTCTTTTGTTTTCTTGCCCTTTTCGACAGCCCGGTTGTATATTGGCCTCAAGATATTAGGACGTTCTCCATTCCCTTCCAATTCCAGGATAATCCCCGACACATCTCCAGGACGAGTGGGCTTTGGGCTTTTAGGTGACTCTGAGCGGCCCTTCACACCTACAAGAATGGACACAACTTCACCCCCATCAGGAGCGGAAGATACATACGTATATAATTCCTCTACTCTTGCAAAGCTCAACTCCGCTACGTGAGAATATAGAAAATTTTCACAAGCAACCATTTCATCAGTGCCTTTAACTGCGGTCCATATCTCAGCCTCCAGAGTATCTTGGTTTGCAGATGATGTAACATGGAGATAGTTTAGACCATCAGGCAACTTCGCTCGCTGGTGGGCTTCTAACACGATTTTGATAGTGTTCGGGTTCCGAATATTGTAGAAGGCTATGTATCGCAAAGGCTCTTGTACTGCGTCGAATTTCGTGGCCAAAGCCCAGAAACTGTAGGCTTGGTACCAGATAACTGGCATATACTTGTTGATTCGGAGGGCATTCTGTTCCCAAAGGTTATAGACTCTTGTTCCGAACTTTTCAAAATTTACGCCGATGTACCGATTATGAAGAGACACGTCTATTTCGACCCTACCCGATCTGTCCGAACTTCTGGCGGCGAACATGTAATCAGCTGGTCGACACTTTTTTGAAGGATCCTTGATCACATTTTGGAGGCTTTTGAACACTGTAAGAACTTCCTGTCCCACGCAATCGAAGGCCTCTTGAGGATTCCTTTCTTTGAGGGCGATTTTTTTGATATATTCGGGGAGCGGTTCTTGGTCAAGAGCCACCCCGTACTCCGCCTGCAGTTGATAAAACTGGAAAAGCTGAGAAGATACCTGTCCCTTCCCTATCGCGTCATTGTACAATCTAGAGCCAGGGTCATCTCGGTTTTTGGGTTGCTTCAACGGAGGTCTTTCCGTTTCACCATCGCTATCCGAATCCACTGGGCGTTTGTTTGGTTCGGTTCGTTTATGTAGAGGAAGAGGGTTTGGATAAACGCCAAACTTATGATGCCGTTGTAACCCCAAGTCTCCACTATCAACTCCAGATCGCGGGGTCAGGGCTTTCGAGTAGTGTGGAAGATGGTTCAGGTTAGAGCCAAGAGAAGCATGCGCAAGCGAGTCTTTTCGTTTTGAGATATCTACAGTCGCTTTTGGAATATATATATCTCGAGAGTATTAGGTATAAATTACTTTCTTTAGCATGGGGTGAATTCAAGGCGGACATATATGCATACCTCGGTGTTTTCCAGGATCTTTTCCAGGCAGACCAAAGATAGCGGTCAAGAATAGTAATTGGAGAATGCAGAACAAGATGGGACTGCAACGGGCTCGGGACATGGCAATAGTGCTTATCCGCCCAGGATGGTGGAGGTTTCTGACTCCAAGGTGTAAACCCTATTAGCAAAGATCTGATCAAGATCAAGTTAGGCGTGGAATGGATATGGATTCCGAGGGTACGGGTGACAAAGTTGGCCTCCTACCTCACGATCACAAATAGAAGTTATATGTATATATATGAAATGTAGATATCTTAGGACTCGAGGGATATCTAAGCTTATCTTGTATCTTGAATTAAGCAGATACCGGTGTGATACGTATCGATAAGTGGGTGATATATATGGGGCTGGAATCTAATATCTCTGATCGAGTGGGGCGGAGTCGTCGGGATGAAGAAAATACTCTCATTATTACTTCCTAAGAGGGGCTGTACCTATCTGACGGAAATGGATAGGAAATACACCAACATGATATTAACATCGATACATCAAAACTAGAGCAGTGTTTGTGATCGATATCTGGGAACGAGACCAAGCAGTGCCTCATTTTAGGCTCACCAATTCACAAGCACAGCCGCATGAACTTAACTGGTCTCGTTCTCAAACGCCACAAAGGAAAGTACAACCCGCAGAAGGATCGTTATGAAGTATTTGAAGCTTTAGCACAACTGTACAGGATATAAAGTTGGAGTTTCACCGCTTCATATTTTATTCGGACCCTGGCTATATGTTATCAACATTGGTTTCAAAACAACTTTTTAGATATGTATCCATCTTAATCGATAAATCGGCACTAGCAGGAGTCTGATTTCAATCATAGCATCCAGTAGCTGTGCTATAGCTATCTCACTAACAAAAAACATGATACGCATAATCAACTAGTACATACCAAAGTTGGAACGCAATTAATAGCCAACTTAATCGTATCCACTTGCGCTCCTCCCAATCCTAAACACATATTGACCAGGGTGCGTTGAGAGCAGGAGAAGTAGACGGCGCAGCCCCTAGAGCTTCAGACTTCTGGAACCTTGACTGGTTATGTTTTAGCTGGTATCACGACCCAATTGTTTCCTGGTTTACTTTTGTAACCTTGATACCAGACACAAGATTTTGGTCCTAACGTGTTGGGTGTTGTAATTTTTCTTTCGATGTTGGGCCTCTGAATTTATGTCGAGACAGTACAGTGCAGCTGACATGACAGTACTGTATCCTAGTTTTTCAGGTGAATCTGTGGCGTATGCGCAAAGCTGTTATCCATTATATCACTTGTACTCTGTCTCTACAGCCCTATATGTGTATATACTAGTCTAGATCTACCTATCTTATGACATTAGTGAATGCAACATTTGTTTCAATGGCTAACACTACGTTTCAAATATAAACTTATTTATTTTTTCTTGGGAATCAAAGTCGCAGTTAGTTACTTAGTGATTTCCAGCAATGTGCATACATACGGATATATGCCCTCCAAGAGCTCGGTTCTGTTACTGGTAAGTACTTGTACGTATACTTAAGTTCCTAGTATCTTCTATATAACCGTCCGATCAGCTAATCCGAATTCCATTCCCAGACGAAAACATGCAAAGAACCTGCGGGGTGTAGCTGCTTAACTCCTGTGCCGGAAAGAGGTGTATTTCGAATACCAGTGCAATTAATACCGATCATAAGCAGTATATAGGTTTGCTAATTGTATTAATACCGTAACTAGTCCTGTCGTAATAATAACACCCCATTTGTCGGCACAGTATAGTTAGCTAGCCCATGGTACAACTTATATCACGATGTTTAATACGGATCAGAACGGTGTCAAGAACGAAAATTTCGTTAAGAATTCGGATTCGGATGGTATTAATTTGTGCATATAGTCTCGCCGACGTCTGAACACGCCCGGATCACAACGGCACCAAGATATTTACGAAGAAATGCTTATAGCAAAACTGCTAGAGACTTATATATTTAAGTACTTATTTATATAAGTTACAACAGCAAAGGTAGCATCTGTAATCGATGATTCAAAAAAAAGGCTTAAAACACTTAAAGAAAAAACAATCGAAGTTATAGACATGGCCAAGGAGCTCAAAGGACAAAAAAAAAAAAAAGGGAATCTTCTCCTTGTCAAGATTTTTTTATGAAAAGAAAAAAGAACTACTCCCAAGTACCATTGACAAAAACCTTATCAATCAAGTCGAATATAAGAAAAAAGAGATATCCAGATCAAGCATAGAAGAACCTGAAACCAGACCACAGACCCCGAACCGACCAACCAACCCAAACCAACTAGACATTACACCGTCCTGTTTTTCCATCATTCCTTTTATTTTCTAACAAAAAAAAAAAAACAGAAAAACTTATTTACCACCAGCCCTAACTGCCTTGACGGTCTCGATAATACCAGCAACAACGGAAGGATCAGCGAGCTAGAGAAAGTTTCAATATTGTTAGCCTGTTTATCCTGCTTTTCTTCGGACTATAAATACCACGGGATGGAGGGGAAAAAAAACTTACAGTGCTGATATCGCCCAACTGATCTTCCTCACCAGCAACAATCTTTCTCAAGATACGTCTCATGATCTTTCCGGACCGTGTCTTTGGTAGATCGACGACAATGTAGATAGCCTTGGGGGCAGCGAATGGACCAATAGACTTTCGGACCTGAAGGACAAGCTCCTTCCTTAATTCAAGTGTATTCTCATAACCATCCTTAAGGGAAACGAAAGCATTAACAGCCTGGCCAGTGAGTTCCTCAGCAACACCGACAGCGGCAGCTTCAGCAACAGATGGGTGGGTAAGAAGCGCGGCTTCGATTTCAGCAGTGGACAATCTGTGACCGGAGACGTTGACGACGTCATCGACACGTCCTCGGATCCAGTAGTAACCGTCGTGGTCACGGCCAGCACCGTCACCTGTGAAGTAGTAGCCCTTGTAGACGTTTAGGTAGGTATCCATGTATCGGGTGTGCGATCCCCAGACGGTACGAGCCATGGATGGCCATGGTTGAGAGATGGCGAGGACACCCTCGACGTCGTTTCCTTCTAGGACGTGACCGTTGACGGGGTCCAAGATCTCTGGCTTGATACCGAAGAATGGGAGGGTGGCGGAACCGGGTTTGGTTGGGGTGATACCGGCGAGAGGGGTGATGACGTTGGATCCGGTCTCGGTTTGCCAGTATGTCTATATTTTAATTTCTCGTTAGAATTTGATTTTCTTTGATTGGAGTTAATTGAGGGGTTCGGAGTGAAGATACTCACGTCAACAATGTGGCAATTTCCCTTTCCGACCTTCTCGTTGTACCACTTCCAGACCTCCTCGGCAATTGGCTCACCGACGGATCCGAGAACTCTCAAGCTCGACAAATCGTGATTGATATACTTATCACCAGCCTTCTTCAACAATCTCAAAGCAGTTGGAGCGACGTAGAACTGTGTGACCTTGTGCTTCTCAACGGTTTCCCAGTATCTCGAGAAGTTTGGATAAGCTGGTGTACTTTCGAACACCAAAGTACCAACACCGAGCAACAATGGGGCGTAGACGACATATGTGTGACCGGTGATCCAGCCGACGTCACCAGCGGTACCCATGATGTCACCTTCCTGGAGATCGAAGACGTATTTACCAGTTGCGGCAGCACCGAGGAGGTATCCAGCTGTGGTGTGCATGACACCCTTTGGTTTTCCAGTAGAGCCGGATGTGTAGAGGAGGAAGAGTGGATCTTCAGAGTTCATGGACTCTGGAGCGCAGTATGGTGGGTATTTGGCGGTTTCCTCGTGCCACCAGAAATCACGGCCTGGGGTGAATGGGACGTCTTCATTGCCAGTTCGCTTGAAGACAAGGACGTTCTTGACATCTGGGCAGGACTTGAGAGCATCATCAACGATCTTCTTGGTACCGATGACCTTGCCACCACGCTTTCCCTCGTCAGTTGTGATGACGACCTTGGATTCGGCATCCAAGATACGGTCTCGGAGAGATTCCGAGGAGAAACCAGCGAAGACGACGGAGTGGACGGCACCGATACGGACGATAGCGAGAAGGGCAATGATGGCCTCTGGAATCATAGGAAGGTAGACTGCGACGGTGTCACCCTTGCGGACACCCATCTGCTTAAGCACATAGGCGCACTTGGAGACCTCACGGAGGAGTTCACCGTAGGTGATGACACGGCCTTGGTTGGGTTCGTCAGCTTCGTAGTAGATAGCTGGTCTGTTTGGGTACTTGAAGGCCCATCTGTCAACAGCATTGACGGAGGCGTTCAAACGACCTTCTGGGAACCAGCTGACATCGCCGAACTCGAGGCCACCGTGGAGAGTGGTCTTGAATTCCTGGTCCCAGTCGAGGAGATCATTGGCGAGCTTGCCCCAGAATTTTCCGGGGTTTTCGATGGACTCCTTGTACATAGCATGGTACTCCTCGATATTCTTCAAATTTGGGGTTCCTTTGTGCTTTCTATAAATAACAAAAGTTCAATTGGTATTGGGTCCATGGATGGTTGCATTTATATATACTTTCTATTCAAGTATATATAAATATAGAAGATTGACAACAGAAACTTACTGGTGGAATGCAACTGGGACCGGGTAGGTCTCAACATTATGGGCCTCGATGACCACCGGGGTCGCCCCATTTCCATTAGTAGTAGCAGCCATGTTTTCAGTAGTAGTGACTGTCGGAACGTTGGTAGCTATAGCTTTCTCTTTAGAGACACCGTTTGTAGCGCCGTTTGTAACACCGTTGGCGGGTTGTTTCGAAACTCCGTTTGGCTGTGTCTTTACGGGCGACTTGCCTGCCGACTTGCTGCCGACCTTGCTCTTGAATTTTTTCTAGTGAAAGAGAAAATTGCGGGGAGTAAGCTTAGGTTTTGTGTGTTCAAAACCGCGAGTGAATATAAAATAAAATCCAGACGATTCGGGTTTAGTGGGGGCCGAGCGGTCAGAAGCGGGTAGTTGGGGATTGGAATTGAAGTTGGGAGCAATGGTGGGGTACAATTGCAAATACGTAAGAGCTGCAGCAACGCGAGAGTACTTGACACCACAAGCTTACAAGCAACTATCACGACTTGATATTGGATACTGAAGAGGCACGACAGGAGGATGGAGAGGAAAGAGAAAGAAGGTGAGGAGGAAGAACAGAAGGATTAAACAGACGGGGAGGAGAGGGCTATATGTACCCACATGGAATCGATTGTGGTCTGCCGACTGTATAACCACAATAGATCCGGAGCTCAGATTGATTGCCACTAGCTGGTTCGGACTGAGCAGCTGCTTGTTCTGGGGCTGTCGATTTGCAACCGAGCAAAACCTGTTGGATGGGCGCGCAGAGGGCGAAATATCCCCGAGCGTAGCGTATGTACGGAACTTGATTAAGACTACTGCACGGTATACGCACCTTACCGTTCAGAGGGGCCGGTGGAAAAATGTGGGCAATGCAATGCAGCAAAAGTGCGGGGTGGTGCAGGGTGCCAAAGGTATAAGACCCCAGGCTAAAATCCCTTGGCTTGTCGCTTGCTTACCCAAGGAAAAAAGGAAGCTTGTCGGCAATGAAGCTGCGACTTGGTGGGCACGACGGATGTATGGATGACTGACGTGCGTGGAAACGGGACAAGAAAAGCGGTCAGCAGTCTGTGAGTCTGGAAAGGAATATGGACGACCGTTGATGCGCAGGTAAGAAGTAATTACTGTCGGTCAGTAATTAACGTATCAGGATGAGAACAAATTAAATGGCTCTTTGCTTCCAGCGGGTTTTCCCCTTCTGCGGTGTCACAATAATATGTTCCCTGTACGTTTTTGTTTTTATCTTGGTCTTTCGATTCGAGATATTAGAGTTGCTGCCGGGCGCGCTGTTTTCGTCGTTCTGATTAATTGATATATCCGAAGTCCGAAGCTTCTCGAATTCCCAGATCCACCGGCGATTTGGAGAATGCAGTGCAGAGGGGATACTCGAGGTTTGAGGTTCGAGGGATATCTTCAGATTCAGGATTCAGACTCAGACTCAGGATTCCTCGAAGCTAGAGGGATGCCTGGCGGCCCTTATATACCGCTCTTCATATGAACGAGGGCGACTGAACCTCGTCACACAGCTCACAGTTTTTTTTATTTATTTTTTAATTTTTCACTGGATAGATTGCGAGAAAAAAAAACCTAACCTTACCCCTCCTTTCCTTCGAATCAATTTTGCATATCTCTCTGGAAGAATTAATGAAATGCATGTTCAGATTCGACCAGCTAGGGTGGGAGGTCTGTAAAGTTGTGTGGCAGCTGGCAGAAATCTGTCACTGTCAAGCAATTAGGAACTTTGATTTGAAAGCTTGTGCTGATATCCCCGGCAAAGCCATTGGATCACCAGGAAGGAAGTCTCTCTCTCTTTTTTTCCGCCAAAGGCATGTGCTAGACTCTAATAATTACAGTCTGCTATCAAATAACAAAAAGCGTATTTCGGGGCAGTGGCCGGGTTGTGGGGATCTGGGGTCAGGTTTTAACCTTGGTCAGTGCTATGTCACGGGTGAAAGGCGTCTCCGTTTGTCCGAACACAAAACCCGTAGGATTTTATATCATCATGAAACCGACCCGCGCGCGCGAGGTTATAGAAAATGCCCCCAGGTTAGGCAGGGCACACAATGGTGGCCAGGGACATGGGACTATAGATAGGTTAGAAGGGACCGGGCATGGAATCGGTAATCTTATCCGGAGGAATACAGGAACGATTAGACCCTCTTTGATGTCGAAAGCCGTCATCGTGGTCTGACGCCATGCTTCGTGCCGTTGCATACACAGTAGATCCGTTTCAACGATTGGAGAAAGCCGCGGTCTTGGACGATATCATTGCTATGGTCGCACTTGGCCGCCCGTCGCTCCACATAGCCTTCGTCGCAAGATAATGATTTCGCACGAAATGTTCATAGGATTTACAATTCTTTTTTTCGGCGGCGAACCGAAATTTCGACAGCTCCACGGCTGGTGGACGGCTATGATCATGCGTCCATGTATGCTTGAATATTATAACATGTTTCGGCGAAGGGTTTACTGATCGGCTGGCAGAATGATGGAAGCCAACCCGTTGTCGGTGGCTAAATGGGTTATTAGGTCGGAGATCTTATATGCATGCCTGGTCGTAGCCCGTTACCGTTACGAGCTATATCGTGAGAACGCTGCGCAAAGCGGGATAGGATATGCATGCCGTAATAAAGCGATGTCAAATTCGAGCATGGCATGGCAGGGCATGGCATTGCAGCTTGATACAGCTGGTTGCAGGGTTTGTCCCTTCTCCAGCATTTGAAACCCCGAAGATTTTAAACCGATATCAGACGCGAAGCAACGGCAATTATAATTATAATTATAATTATAATATATGTGAGATAGCACTGCAGTCTGGTAGATAATCATTTAATCAATCTTCAGTCCGTGCATCTCGGTTTCCAATATCTGGCAATGTCTCTGATCATGATCTGGTCCGGCTGGATTGAACATACATGTATGTCATGTACTTGCATGGTCATGAAGCATGGAGGAGAGGTAATAATTGATCGCATGGTTGCACAAGCGTCGCACAAACAGGAACAAACGACAGGTATCAGTGCTATAGTGCTATACATCTGCCCTTAATGTCTGTAAGCTTGCAGAAGAATGTATCAGTGCGCCTGCTAGAGCGGCTTGCGAACGGCTGGTATCGAGTCTAGACCTGCATAATTAGTCCGTTCGACGGTAAAGGACCCTTCAGACAGGAGTTTTGTTAGTTAGGCACACGCTATGTCGTAACTTTATTCCCGGTGCCTAACAATCGCATACCCAATTGCATACCAAGTACCTAATCGATACGAGATTGTGAAGCTGTCGCAGAATAAAATACCATTGCAGAGCTTAGACATTTGACGGGACATTCCGTATTCCGCATGCGAGTTTCTGATGGCAATCCGGGGTTGTAATTGGGCAAGAACAGAGGCCCAAGGTAGTTCTGCTTTGGCTGGCGGGCTGGGCACAAAACTGGCGCCAAGACCGAGATCCTCGATTGGTCGCACGAAACGCGTTCGTTCGTTTTCTCATCTCCAACTCGCATCAACACAACCAGCCGCCTGCAATCATCGACACGACTCCGCCTATCCATCGACTCTACCTCCAACTGGATTGCGGCGCTATCCATCGGTACTTCGAATTAAATCGGTTTATTTCCAATTTGTCATATCTCTGTTTCCTGGTGCGGTCTTCGGGGGCTGTGTCTTGAGACGGGCGCCTTGGTCGAATTCGCTCTTTAAACTACTACTACCCCTACAAATCCAAAAAAATGCCTCCAAAGGCTGCCAAGCAAGCTCCTCCACTCTACGAAGTCAGCGAACGAGTTCTCTGCTTCCACGGGCCTCTCTTGTACGAAGCTAAGGTTCTCGAGATCAAGAATCCTGGCGAGCCTGGTGCTAGCTACAGCTACAAGGTTCACTACAAAGGATGGAAGTCGAGCTGGGACGAATGGGTTCCTCAGGACCGTGTTCTTGGATGGAATGATGAGAACCTTCAGAAGCAAAAGGAGCTACGGGATGAGCATAATCCCAAGAAGAAGGTTGAGAAGGACAAGAAGCCAGCTCATACTGAAGAACCCGTTGTCCCGACTGTTCGAGGCCAGAAGCGTGCCCGAGAAATGGACATGGATAAGGTATCTTACCATTTCTCTTCTCACAAAAGAATAAATCTGACAGGCTGCCAGGAGGAGGACTTTATTAAACGTCACGAAATCAAACTCAATGTCCCCGAGATTATCAAGTCGCTCCTTGTCGATGATTGGGAGAACGTTACCAAGAACGGTACTCTCGTCAAGCTTCCTCGAGATATTACCGTGACCATGTTCCTGAACGACTATTTCGAATCTACGGAACCAAGCTATCCTGCTGGGAGCCAACAGCGACAATCTTATGAGGAAATTATTCAAGGCCTTAGAGCGTACTTTGACAAATGCCTCGGAACCATGTTGCTCTATCGCTTCGAGCGCGACCAGTACAACGAGATCAAGAAGGACTATCCGGATAAGAACATGTGCGATCTATACGGGACAGAGCATCTTCTCAGACTCTTTGGTATGCTCTTGTTCGGTACATTAAGGTGTGGTTGTGGTTGTGGAAGAGGCTAACTGGATCATAGTTACCATGCCGGAGCTTATCGCGCACACCAATATGGATACTCAGGCTGTCAACTCCCTCCGTGATCACTTGGATAATATAATGCTGTTTATCTCGCGAAATCATGAGAAGTACATCCTGTCAGAGTATGAACAACGTACGTAACCCTTCGAGTCCTCCTTCCCCTCCTTCATTTTTCTATCCATGTTTTTAAATTTAAAGCTGACGATTTGGAAGCTTCATCCTAGTGCTCAAATACTCTCAATAATGCCTGCTTCCTGGATTGGGTTTGATTCTTATTTTTTTTTACCATTGCATGGTCTATTTCTCCCGACTCATTCTACGGGACGGGTTTCGCGACATCACTTCAAGACTGCTCTGGATTATGTGTTCAGCATTTTTGGCCATTTCAATCTCTGTGTGGGACTGGTTTAGTATTGCAAAGGGCATTCTCGGTTTTTCTCATCGCTTGATCTGAGATGATCCTCATGTATAGGGTTCAAGGGGTCGAGAGCGAGAGACTGGAATGGGTTGAACTTGATATCACTTTAATGGAATTTTGGGTTTCTTTCCAATACACATGACATGACATTACAGCCTTCGATCCCGCTTTTTTTCGTGTCCATTTCGGCGTCTGCTCATGCGGTTGCATTGTATTCCTTTTTCTAATTTTTTCCATTCGCAACTTACTTATGTATTATATGTTTTTCACACCGTCGAGAATACCCGTGCTCCTCTTGCATACCTTTTTTTTCCTATTTATATATATCACTTCCACCATCCTTCATTTTTTTTGAATATGAAAAATGGGCACTACCTATTTCTTCAATTTGTGTCGCATGAACTCACTCGTTATTAACCGTGGTAGTGAGCAAGGAGCTAAACCGTTTTGCTATTGGCGGGGTGGACATCGGGTAAACTTTTCTTCTTTTTTTTTCCTGCGTTGCGAAGAAAACCGCAACCTTTTTAACTTTTTTTTTTTTTTCCCAATCCGAGAATCCGATAAGCTTTCCAACCATAACCGTCTACAAAAGACAAATCCCTTCACTTCCACTATTTCACAACATTCTAATCAATACCAATCCACAAATTAGCATCTCAATCTTACTTCAAAGACCCACCCTTCACCAGCTTAATAATATCATTATTTTGAGAAAAGAAAAAAAAAGAAGAAAAGAAAGGTCCACAATGACCTGCACAAACTGCACAACCCGCATCCTCCGTTCGCTCATCACAGACATCCCATCAACAACCATCACCACCAAGCCCGCCCGTCGTCTACCCCGTCTCCCCAGGACCACAATCCGACATACCTCCTCCTCAACCCCTCGTCACCAAAGCGCCGATTTGAGCGTAAACCTCGACAGCAATGGCACAGGATCAGCAACGGACTTTTTAGGCATGTACTCTACGGCCAAAAAGAGTGCAAATAAAGAAGCATTGGCAACATGGGGTACTTCGTGGAAGACGGAGACTGATTTGAGTTCTATGAGGGATCATGAGATTCGGATGCCTGATGTTCATAATGGTGGGAATGGGGGGAGTAAAATACAGAAGACGGAGTTGATGGAGGGGTATACGTATCTTGACGATTTTAAGTCGTTACCGTCGAAGGTATCGAAGGGTGTGGATGTGGATGTGGATGTGAATCCGGAGACGGCACCGTCGTTTGCTTCTTCGACTCCACCGTTATCATTTGCTTCGAGGAGGAGGAGGAGGGAACGGAGACCTAGGGATGATGATCCGGAGTTAAACCGTATTCCACCATCTTTAAGATCACAATTTCCTACTCGTTCATCATCATCATCAACAACTACTTCTGAAATTGAGGATTCAAAATCATCATCATCATCTTCACCATCACCCGACGAAATCCCCTGGGAAAACCCAGCACAAATTTCCAAAAAGATAGCAACCCCCCATAACCCCACCGCAAACGCCTGGAAAGAATGGTCAACACCAGCACTATGGTCCCACGCCCGCATGCAAGAACTCTACAAACCACGAACCCTAAAAAACGGCATTCGAATCTCCAAACACGCGGCCTTAAACGTAAACGCCGGTCAACTAAACTGGAACCCATCATCCAACCCATCCGCCTCGTTGGATAAATACAAAACAATCGCAGGCGTACCAATCAACCATTCCCAAAAGATTTATGATAAAGATACACCGACGTGGAAGATTCATATGGATTCTGTGAAATCTAAGTTGAAGGGAGAGAAGTGGAATCCCTTCGGGAGACTTTCTCCGGCTGCGGTGGCGACTTTGAAACAGTTGAAACAGGAGAATCCGGGGATGACGGTGGAGGAGTATGCACCGATTTTTAAGATTTCGCCGGATGCTTTGAGGAGGATATTGAAGAGTAAATGGATGCCGACGCCGGAGCAAGAGACGGATAGGAACGAGAGGTGGAAGAGGAGGGGGAAGGCTGTTTGGCAGGAGTGGGAGGAGAAGGGATTGGTGCAGAAGAAGAAGGAGAAGGAGAAACAGGAGGTAGGATTGGGGATGTTGACGAAGAGGGAGGAGGAGAATAAGAAGAAGGGGTTTGTGGTTAGTAGGGGATTGAATTTGAAGAATAGGATCTTGTAGGTCTTTCTTTTTTTATCAAAAATGTAATGAAGCCATGAGAGATGTGTATATATATATATAATTTTATAGTTACTTCTCCGCTGTATCAATTATACTGAAGTATTTACAGAGTAGTAGATATTTGATATAAGAAGTATTGTATTGTTGGATTGTATTTAGCCGAGTGGAGCAGCTCCACCTGTCCCTGCAAACCCAGCCAATTGGTCCGGCTCGTATTCAAAGACCGAGAACCCCTGTCAGCTGTCTCCCAAAGACCCGGAGCTACATACTAGTTATACGTACATACTCTGTACTTTCGAAGAACTTGGAACGTGCAAATTGCTGGAGCTATGATGAAAGCGAGACATAAGTGACTTCGTTTTATTTTTTTCTGGATTACCCGTAAGGTTTTCGCGCGAAAGAGAAATGGAATAGACTGGAACCATTTCCCCTTCCTTAAGAACTGTTCCCTTCTTCTTCTTCTTCTTCTTTCTATTCCTCCACTTCTTCTTCTTCTTCTTCTTCCTACCCCATCCCACATACTTACTTACTTACTTACTTATATACTTAAGTATTTACATATACATACCACCACAATGAAACCCTCCACCCTCCTCCTCCCCCTCCTAACCACCCTGGTACCCACTCCCGTAAACGCGCAATGGGAACAAATCCAAGAAGCACTGGGTCTAGGCGGTGGTTCCAAAACACCGCGAGAACCGGTGGTACCGGTACCGAATGTGGTACTACCCATCGACAAGGGGAATTTTAGAGAATTATTGGGAGGCAATGATTTGGAATGGTTGGTATTGTTTACTACGGGAACGGAGAATTGTCCTGGGTGTATACTTTATGAGAATGTAAGTATTCTTTCTTTTTATTTACCTTTTTTTTTTGGGGATGGGATGGTGGTGCTGACTTTTGTGGGGTGTGGGGTGGTAGACGTTTAATGTGAGTTTTTCATGTGATGTGATGTGATATGATTTGATATATCGGTATGATGTTATGGGAAGGTATTGTGGATGGATGTTAAGAGGGTGATTGATATAATAGGAAGTCGTCGCTTTACTCCACGATAACAATAAAATACACTTTGGCAAAGTAGACTGCGACACCGATGCCGGTATGATATCCCCATTAACCCCCCCCCATCTATACACAATACTAACATATTATACAAAAAAAAAGTGGTCTGCTCCGTCTTCAGCGCCTGGGGTTCCCGCATCTTCCACGTCTCCCACTCAACTCCCCCCTCCGCATCCCTCCCAGGTCTAGCCGACCACCTAACCCACCTACACCCAGTCCCCTTCCACCGTCCCGGTACAGAATCCCAACCGATACCCACAGATTCGGAGGGTAACCCGATCAAGGATGCGAGACCGCCTCCACCGCCTCCCGATGCAAAATGGATTGCTGAGGTGGTGAACGAGGAGAAGTGGAGGGGATTCGAGGAGTGGACCGGGTGGACGCATCCGTTGGATGGAGTTTTTCAGGTTCCGATTTATCAGTTTTGGTGGGTTCTTAGTATATTTGCGAAGGTGCCGCCGATGGCTATGATGGTTGGGATTGGATTGCTTTCGAGGTTTGTTACGTGAGTATTTTACGTCCCTTCCTACTTATTTTTTTACAATTAATTACCTAGTTGGGTAAATATGAGGTATTGGATGGCTAACACTGGGGTATTATATTAGAGCACGATTCACGGGAAGGACGTTGGCGAAGAGGGAACAGCAACGTGCGGCGGTTCAAGAGGCGGTTCAACAGGCGGCGAGGAAGAAGAATTAAACACCGTTCTTTCTTTTTTCTGTCTTTTTTGTAATTTTTTCATTCGCTTGGTAGTAGTAGTATTATTATTATTAGTTCGTAATAAAGCATTGGAGATAAAAACAATCAATCCATTCATTTCATATAATATAATATAATATGTATTGTATTCTCTCATCTATATTGAAATTCGGGTTGAATACCGGGTTTATATGATATGAGGCTCTGTCGCACATTAACCGAGAGATCCCTCCCAAAAAATGATATGGTATCACAAGCTATTACAAGCAAAGCTTCCTTATAATCCGCCACAATCGAATCCATAAAACTTCAACATCTCAACCTCCACTCCACCCCAACATCCTCTCCACCACTACTCGAATCAAACCAGACATCTCCATACCAACAAACAACAGAAGAGAAAAAAAAAACAATGCTCCGCCACATCCTCCACCAAACCCGGCACTTCACCACCACCCTCCCTTTCAAATCCTCCAAATCCTCCTCCTTCAAACCATCCCCCTCCCCTCCCCGTCTCCCAAAAGAAGACCAAGAAACCTTCGAATCCCTCACAAAAGCCTCCATGGGTGCCTTCTCAACTTCTCACCTCCAATCACCATCTCCCAATACCAATACCAATACAAATACCACCGCACAATCAACAAGTAGTACTAGCAAGAATAATACAAATATGAAAGCAGAAGACCTCCTTTCGGAGTTGAAACATAAGGATTTATTAACCGGTGGGGAGAAACCTTTGTTTGAGGGGGAGAGGAATCCGGTTACGGGGGAGGTTGGGGGACCGAAGACTGAACCTACGAAGTATGGGGATTGGAGTTTTAATGGGAGGGTTACGGATTTTTAAAAATAATATTTATATAAGTATATATACCTAGGTATTTATCAGATCTGGGAGGGGTGGTGTAGAAGGGATGGGATGGGGTGTATGATATGGAGTTTTTATGTATGATAGAAAGAGTAGTATATATAGAAAAGGTATTTATATAAAGACAACCGCTATGAATGATAAAAAAGGAAGGAAGGAAACGCCAGTCTAAGCTACAGTTTCAACAAAAAAAAAAGGGAGACAGGAAAAGATTTAACTGGAAGCTGGAGTCTCCGGCTTCTTCGCCAATAATGCCGGTCCAACTTTACTATTATTCTTCCTCCCGATGGCTTCCGAAATCCAAGCTCCAACTTCCGATACCTTCTCCAGATCGACCCCTGTCTTCATCCCCACGCTGTGTAGACTATCCCCCCATTCAAAGTCAGTACTCATGTCCAATATAAAAAATAATAATCACATATAAAAAGAGGAGAAGAAGGAAAAGGGGAGACTCACAAATACACTAAATCCTCAGTAGCAACATTCCCCGTCGCCCCCTTCGCATAAGGACAACCTCCCAACCCAGCAACGCTACTATCAAAGACCCTAACCCCATTAGCCAACCCCACCATACAATTCACAATAGCCTGACCGTAAGTATCATGAAAATGACAAGCAAGCTTCTCAACCGGTACCCCTCCCTCAATCAACGCTTTCATAAGTACATCAATACTATAAGGATTCCCCACTCCCGTCGTATCCCCCAACGAAACCTCATAACATCCCATTTCCAACAGCTTCTTCGTAACTTCCACTACTTTCTCCGGTGGTGTATCACCGGAGTAAGGACAGGCGATTACCATGGAAACGTATCCTCGGACTTTTATGTTGTTTTCTAATGCCCTTTTTACGACTGGTTGGAAACGTTCGAAGGAGGTGGCGATGTCGCAGTTGAGGTTTTTGAGGGAGAAACCTTCGGATGCTGAGGCGAAGATGGAGATTTCTGAGACGCCTGCTTGTGGGGGTGGGGGTGTTGTGCGTGGTAGGGCGGATTCTAGACCTTTGAGGTTTGGAACGAGGAATGGGTAGGTTACTGGTTGTGGGGATGGGGGTGGGGAACGGAGGAGGTGGGAGAGGATTGAGGTTGAGTCTGCCATCTATTTTTTGTATTATATCACCGATTAGTTTTTATACTTTTAAGATAGATGAAGGAGGGTAAGAATACCTGAGGAACCCATTTCGGAGCAACGAAGCTACCGGCTTCGATGACTCTTAATCCCGTGGTGCTGAGTTTTTCGATCAATGAGATTTTGGTGTCCAGCGGGACAATGGTTTTTTCGTTTTGAAGGCCATCGCGAGGACCCACTTCGACGATTTTGACGAAGTCTTTGTCGTCTGGTGATGGTGATGATGAGATTGAAGAGAAGGATTTGGGAGATGATGAAGAAGAAGAGTTATTGTAGTAATAAAGATCTTTGATGGAAGCGAAGAGACGGGATCGAGTAAGAGATCTGGAAGGGAAGAAGGACGGACGGAGAGAGGTTGAAGTTGAAGATGAGGTTAAGGATGTTGTGGCGCCGCGCAGGGGGGCCAGCCGACCGAAGATGTGTTTTGAGGCGCAGAACATTGTTCCTCAACTTCAACCTTTTTTTTTATTCACAAAAAGATAAAAATAAAATATGGAAATAGAGGTAAAGATAAAAATAGAAACTTAATAGTAAAGATAAAATAAAAATAAAATACAAGAAGAGGAATATGTATAAAAAAAAGGAGTGGAAGTCTTGCGGTTGACTAAAATGCCAGTAAGTGCACTAGGTACAAAAACTGTTGGGTGGAATGTCTATACAATAATTAGTGTCTGGAGAAGGAAGAGGAAAAGAGAAGGGAAAGAAAGTCCCTGAATTCAAAGCAAGAAAAATTTAATTATAACCGCGATGAGCACGAGAACGGATGAGAATGACATCTTTTAACTAACAGAACGGAACTGAACAGAAACAGAAACAGAACAGCTGAGCCTTCTCTCCTGCGTTCTGTCCGAAGCTAACCGGCCGAGGTTCTTTTTTCTTTTCATCTCGATTTGGTTGGCAGAACGTGGGGTAAAACCTCCTGCGAATTCGAATGGAGGGGCACAACAGGCTTAGCTTGGCCTGGTCTGCAACAAAATCCTTTTCTGCTTCAACCCACACTCTTCCCAAAATATATATATATATTTCTTGACAGTTGCAGCTCTCTTTTTTAATAATAAGAAAGGGGATTTTGGATCGGTTTAATAGAATTCAAATAAAGGAATAGATAAAAAAAAAGAATGGCAGACGTCATCGGAGAACCATCCGGATTGCAGCCCGAAAGCGCTCCCGTTCAGAAACAACCCCGCCGTCGCTTCATCGGAAAAAGAGCTGCCGCAGAACTACACAAGGCGAAAGCTGCTGCTTCAAATCCTTCGACTTCCACCGACGACATCCAAGTCGAGGATTCTGTCGCCATTCAGGGTACATATATATATCTTATCTACTCATCATTCTGAGGGACGATTGTATAAGAAAACATGCTGATCATTGTGATATAAATTTCTAAAAAAAACAGTGAAACCCCGCCGTCCCGCAGGTACCACTCGCAACCAAATCCCAGATTCAATCCTCCAAAACCCCTCTCTGAACGCCGCCATCTCCCTCCTCCCCTCGAACTACAACTTCGAAATTCACAAAACAATCCACAATATCCAAAAAGCATGTGCCACACGTGTAGCCCTCCAACTCCCAGAGGGTCTTCAAATGTTCGCCTGTACCTTATCCGACATAATCACCCAGTTCACCTCAGCAGAAGTACTTATCATGGGTGATGTGACATACGGTGCATGCTGTATAGACGATTATACAGCCAGAGCATTGGGATGTGATTTCTTGGTGCATTATGCTCATAGTTGTCTTATTCCTTCGGATGTTAATAGGATTAAGACGTTATACGTCTTTGTCAGTATTGATATCGATGCTAAGCATTTTATTGCTACCATGGCGAGGAATTTCACATCAGGGAAACATATTGCCGTCGTGGGGACGATACAGTTTAATGCTACAATTCACGGTGTGAAAACCGAATTGGAAGAAACGGCTGGTATTAAAATATCCGTTCCTCAGATACTACCTCTATCCAAGGGCGAGATTCTGGGTTGCACGGCACCCAAGTTATCGAATCAAAGGAAAAAAGACGGTACAATGGTCGAAGGAGTCGATGCGGTTGTATACCTCGGAGACGGAAGATTCCATCTAGAAAGTGTGATGATTCAAAACCCTTCCTTACCGGCATATAGATACGACCCATACTCTCGAAAATTCACGAGAGAAGAATACGACCATCAAGAAATGCAAACACTACGATTGACCGCAATAAAACAAGCAAAGACTGCTAAAAAATGGGGGCTCATATTGGGTACTTTGGGAAGACAGGGGAATCCTAATACGTTATCGAATTTGGAGGATAGATTGAAGGAATTGGGGGTTGAGTATGTTTTGTTATTGTTGTCGGAGATTTTTCCGGGGAAATTGGCGATGTTTGGGGATGTGGAGGCTTGGGTGCAGGTTGCTTGTCCCAGGTTGAGTATCGATTGGGGGTATGCTTTCCCCAGACCGCTGTTGAGTCCCTATGAGGCCTGGGTGGCGTTGGGGAGGAGGGAAGAGTGGACGAAGGAAGGGGATGGGAGTTATCCGATGGATTTCTATGGGAAGGATGGGCTGGGGAGGAGTAAGCGGTACACCCAGTGATCTATTAATTACATTGTATTAACAACATTAATACATCTTTTATCAAAATCAAGATATGCATATCCATCTATCGAGAATCCAAAATTCGAAAAAAAATATTAGACTGTAAAGTGGATATAATGCGACAGACTCTGATTGGCTGATCCCAAAGCGAGTGAATCAGACCTGAAGAGCGGTTCCCAAGATGGATTTCTCGGGCACCTAAACCGGATCTGGCCCGATTTTAAATTAATACAAGGCGCCTGCCAAGAGTGATACAGGGTGAGTGACTCAACAACACCAACGCCTTGGTAACAAAAAAAACACCACGGTTTTAAAACTCGCGATCTTTTTCTCTCTTCAGGCATGCCTGAGAGCTTTTTCTCCTGCTACCAGGCCCTGAAGTCCATGACTATGGTACTCAGGCGCCCTGAAGGCTTTTTGCATGGCGGATCTAACTACTCAAACTATACTAACTGTACTTAGTTATTGGGAAGGTAAAGGAGGTAGTAATTGGAAAGGTATAAGTATTGCATTGCTTCTCCAGCTTCATATTATTTTTTCAGCATCAGCATTAGCATTCAATTGCAATACCATTACTACTATTACCACTACTACCATCACCGCCAAAACAATAAGATATTTGTCCTCTGAGCCTATTTCCAGACGACAATCTTTCCCTCATCACTTAAATTATATATCAAAAACCACACTTTGATTAGTCGCTGGTTTCCTCTTCCTATTTATCTTTAAATTTAAAAATTAAAAATAAAGATATAAATTAAAAAAAATTAAAAAAGATGTCAACAACATCCCTCCCAACCGCCACCCGTCGCCTCCTCCGCGACCTCTCCGAACTCCGCTCCTCTCCTGTCTCAACCAACGTCGCCGCCCACCCACTGGACTCCGACATCTACCAATGGCACGGAAACCTCCACCTCTCCCTCCCTAACCACACCTTCACCCTTCACTTCTCCATGCTCTTCCCATCAAACTATCCATCCCACCCACCATCCCTCCTCCTCCTTACCCGTCTTCCACACGAAAACGTACTTACAGCCGTAGGAGGGTATAAAGTATGTCTTGACATGTTAGACGAGAGTATTGACGGGGAGTATAAGGGATGGTCGCAAAGTTATTCCGTTCGAAGTATTTTGATGCAGCTTGAGGCTTTCTTGACGGATGAAGGGGAGTTGGTGAATGTGAGGTTGGGGAGTTTGGATGATGCGCAACGGGATGCTGGGGTTTTTGAGTGTAAGAAGTGTGGGAGTTGTAGAAGGAAGGTTTGGCCGAGGTTTCCTACTGAGGAAGAGGTGGAGAGGAAGGTTGTTAGGGAGGTTAAGAGGCCGAAGATTGTGAGGAGTGTGAAGGTGGTTAAGAAGACTGTGGTGGGTTCTGAGGGGAAGGAGAAGGATGTAGATGGGTGGACTTCGGTTTCTAAGAAGGGTTTGCAGGTTGATGATGTTCCTGAGGCGAAGAAGAAGAAACCGGCGGGTCCTGATTTCTCGAAGGCGGCTGGGAAGGTTATGGTTATCAAACCGGGACATCAGATCAAACGGGCTCCGAAGCTCATCGCCTTGAAGGATCTTGAAAGCATCAGAGTCGCGAAACCGACTGAATCTCGTCCTGCCTCGCTGGATGATGAAGTCGCAGATAGTCCTCGAGAACTTCATTACAAACGTATCGAACGCCATAACGCCGGTTTATTCTCCACTTTACCCTACGAAATGATGTTACAAGTCCTTCTTTCCGGTGGATTATCCGCTAAGGATATTCTAAACCTCAGCATGACCTGTAAACATATCAATTCCTTCTGCATGGATGGATACTTCTGGAAATCATTTTTCCAACGGTGTTATCCAAACTCCGATCTGGTTGCTTCGAACCTGGACGACTGGCTTTTGGCTTTCGCTCAGGAAACTAACTTTGCCGGGTCGGAGATGAAGTGTTTTGCTTCGAAGGTTGGGATGGATGAGGATGTTTTGGGAGTACCTATCGATTGGACGGTTAATCCTAAGACTAAATGTGTGGATTATATCTACATTGTCGACTCCTCGGACTTTCTGAGTAGATCTTCTTTCCATGATGATAGGGTTAGGAAGACTACTTGGAATAAGGAGTTTAAGTCTTGGTGTCCGATGTACCTTACCGAAGAACACTTCCAACGTGCCTTACCGGATATCAAGGAGTTCATGGTGGAGATGTGTCCTGAATACGGTACTCGACTGTTTCAACCCAGAATGGTGCTAGACGTCATCCCCAAGATGATGAATACACTTGTTGTCCTCCTCATGGACAACGGAGAAAAGATCTCTAGCAAAGCCATCGAAGGGTATTTCCTCCTCCACCGACTCTTCCGCGCCCTCCTCGTCGAATTCCCACAGTTACAAAAGGAAGTCGACGAAAGAATCCGAAGAGTCAAAGAAAGTGAAGAATCAAGGACGAAATCCGTTCTTCCAAACTTCGGAAACTTCTTACCTTTGTTATCTGTCAGCGAGAAATATACATGGACAACACCGGGTCTCAGCCGTTCCATCATCGGGGAGTTCTTCGATAGACAGGTAATCTGGACAGCAAGGGAACATCCCAAAATCGTCAACGTCCAGAAATTCGCACCGACGAACATCGATGCCAATGATAAATACCTAAGTCTTTGGTTAAGCGTCGGACAGGTTTCCAGGAGGTTGATGGTATTTCACGTTCGATTGTTGTATATGATTCAACAGAAGAACGGGGGTTATATGGATGAGATATCCACCGCGAATGATCTTTTGTACGGTCGTCCTCCCAGACAGGTTGTTGAGAAGTTTCAGAGGACGGTGCAGAAGATTATGACGTTGGAGAGTTGGCCGGATTTCTTCGATGGGATGTTTGTGAGACAACCTACTCGGGCGGCGTTGACGGGGGTATTACAGCAGGCTGTGAGGAATTCTTTGAGGAAGAGGTATCATCGTGCCGGGATGGATTTTTCAAAGATCCATGCCAGTGGGGTATCTAGAATCCTTTTGAAGGGACAAAGTTATTCCGTCCCACCCAATTTGAAGAAATTGGAGATGAAGGAGAGTTGGAGATGGGATTCGAATTCCGGATCTAACTTTTTAGACGCTACTTGTACGGTCTTTGATTTTAAAGATCAAATGATCGATGAAGTTTCTTATATGTCTCGGATAGCGTTTTGCTCTGATGAGAATAATAGGAATAAATCCGCGGCGTTGAGACATTCGGGAGATCAAATGGATCATACGATTTCTCGAGGAGAACATACGATCGAAATCGATCTCGAGAAGATTGGAAAGGTTAAGGAAGTTAAGAGTTTGGTGTTTTGTATGAGTGCTTTCAGTGGAGCTCATCTTAGGGATTTTAAAAGTCCTGAGGTGGCGTTGGTGGATAAGGCTTCGAAGGTGGAGATGGCGACGTATAATTTTGGGAGTACGAGAGGTGGAGAGATTGGAGGGAAGAAGAGTGTGGTTATGGCGGTGCTCTATAGGAGTAAATTTGGGGATAAGTGGGATTTGAAGGCGGTGGGGGATATTGGGAGTGGGGATTTGACGAGGGCGGATGTTTTGAGGGAGGAGATGGAGAGGAGTTTGAGGAAGATTTAGAAGCTTTTTTTTTTTCTTTCTTTCTCTCTTCTTTCCTTCCTTTTCTTGTAGATAGTACTTAAGTATTTAGGGTATTTAGAGCAATGGAAGGTTCTTTTTTAATCTACAAGTATATCCAATATGTTCTAGAATGGTGATGTGCTAGATTTTATATTGTAGAAGGTTCTTGAAGACTATGGTTCATACCTGCAGAGTTGATATCATGATATATCTGAGCTTTATTGGAGAGAGTATAAATACCCATCCCACCCACCAATTTACTCGTTCTTTCTTTCTTCCCTTTACATCCTCCTCCACAATAGCAACAATCTAGGATCTAGGCTAGATACCAAACCTTCTCCGCCCCCTTACTTTTTTCTCTTATATAATATAATATAATATAATATATATACATACCCTCCTAGCAAATCATGCACAAAGCCGTTCATAACCTCACTACTAAAACCCAACTCCAAAACAGTTGATGGTGACGAAGTCACCTCAGTCAATGATGGTTATTAAGTAAAAACTTTATATAACGTGCTCATGTCGTAGGGCCTATTATCAACTTCTGTGGAATGAACTCTAGAAAAATATGATCAGCGAAGCTTCTAAGACGGCCGGCTACGGTCTAAACCGATGATATCCTCAGATTGCATTTCTGCTACGGGTTTAGTTTACTACTTCTTTACCGAACAATAGCCTTATTTGTGCTTATATCAGCTTATATATATATACACCCGTCTTATGGTTTGCTTTAACTTAAGCTTCATTATAACAGCAAAACAAGAAAACCCGCATATGAGTAGCTGGTCTTTTAAGGAGGCTGGGATGCTGTCTATGGCATGTTTGTTTGTGGATTATGATATATATTGGATCTTATTTTCCACTATGGGGATATAGAGCCCAAGTATGTGCTTTGTTTCGGAGAATCTTGCTGTTCTTTTAGTAGCAGGTAAGTACTCAAGGGCTTTGAAGATAGGAGTATATATATTAATGTTTTTATATTATAGTATATTTACTAGGTTGAAGAAGTACTCCTTCTAGGGATGTGAACTTAGATATTTCTTTTGACATACAGTTCAAGTACTGGGATGGGTCAAATATCTCGTCTCCGCGGTTCCGAAGCCCTAACATCGTTACCTTATGAAGGTTTAAAGATCCATTTTGAAAAAAAATCCGGTGCCTTTTTTAGCGTCGAGATAGTTACAAAAGAACTTCAAGAAGAAGTCCAATTATGATTCAGGAGTATGTACCTGGCCTAGTTGTTATACGCATACAAAGTATATATATATATATCTGGATCTCAGCAATCACCCATGTCCCCCCAACCTAAGGAAGATGAAAAAAACAACGAAGATGTCAATGGAATGATATATATCTTAGTTTATACCTACTCACCCCGTGGGCGAAAATGATGATCGATAATATATAAAAACTGTACTTCCTTTCTTTCCTAGATATTTTATTCACCGGCTCGATTTCAGGAAAGATTTGGAATGTATACATATACTGTGAGTATTTATTGGAAAATATATATAGCAAATCTCGAGCGGGCTATATAATCTTCATTTGCACTTCTTAGCCTACGGAAGCCGTGGAGTACATGCTCTCCTAGAGTATTCGGCGAGATACAAAGGTATCTTGATGACCAGAAGCACTAGTGGAATCCATGATTCAACCTCCTCGAATTAATCGGACAGAATATTTCTCTTCAAATCATGGTACCAATTTTAAACTTTTCTTGAGGCGGCTAAATCAACGGGGCGTACAAAAGGAAGTAGTCGGTAGCTGTAACTCCAGCCTTGCCGGTTTATGACCATGTTCCAAGTTATAATAATACAACTGCATTTTCTACCCCCTTGGTATATAGATCGACAAATTACAGAAAAAAGAATACTGTACAAAGTTTCAAGACGCCATGGAAATGAAATGGCACATAATTACCATACGCCCTTCGAAGTCTGTGTCGGTTACCTGGTATTAGTTCCCCGAATGTGGCTAACGGGCGGACTTAACGCCACTGATGAGGATTTTTTAGAAGGTATATACTATATATATATATATATATATGTAGTTGGTATCTAAACTCACCGTTCTCGGAATCATATGTTTCGAATTATTCATCCTAGATATGTAATTTCTATTTGAACTTATACTCGAGCGGCGAAATGGAATATTTCGGTCCCGATAACATGAGCATTATAACAGTTTCCTGACCAGACCTTTTTTGTAATTTATATTATATTTTTAGAGATTTTGTGACGGAATTCCCGCCGCTTTGCATGGTTGGCTAATATATAAACTAACAACTAACCTAGCTAGTAATGCGAAGATCATCGAGTTCTGATGCATTGACTTAGCGACTATAAAAGCTTTAAAAGTAGCTAGAGAGTCAGAGCTCAGCCCCCAGAGCATGGTACCATGGTCTGTATCTATATAAACAGATCCAATAATACAACAGAAGATCTATACGAAGTTTCCACACTCACGCTATGGGAATTTATATTGATCATCTGGCTCAAAGGAAATATATGTTCACTCTCGATAAGTTCATTTTAAATGTTTCATCTCTGTATATTAGTTATATTATTTCATCCCTTGAGCACTCGCCATGTTTATGTTTTTTTTCCCCGTGGGGTATGTTTCATGTCACATTGGGGATAACGGGAATGTATTTTAGATACAATTCTTCCCGAGGCTCTGGATGCATTGTGAGGAATTAAAGTGACAAAAGTCATGGGGGTGCTTATCATGCTGTGAGGAGGTCGCGAAATCCAATGAAAGTTTGTTCTTTTTTGGAATTTATATATATATACTACATAGTCCTGCATGCTTATCATAAATTTCACGCAGGCAATTTTATGAAGAGCTGTTGGCTACTCCTTGAATGGATTTTAATACTTGGACAATTTGATGGAGGAACTATTTATATGTGTGTTTAAGTATAGGCACACTACCGGACCGGTAGTACATTTTTATAAATATTTCAGTGATACGGTTGTGAACTTCCGTGCTTTAAAACATTACTATATATATTTACCTTCTTAAGATGTTCTCTCGCGATCGTGGGGAAAATCCAACGACAAAGGGATACAGATATGATGCATAAACTCCACATCGTACATCATGATCAATCGCCTCTAGTCTAGTCACTATATATACTGTTTTCTAAAGATACACGGAGTATGAACTATCTGAGCCAAATAAATATTTAAAGGAGTTTTAAACAAACCAAGAGACCAAAAAATTCCTATGAGTCCAAGACAAATAAAAAAAGGTCCATTGAACTCTAGATACATGAAAAAGGGGACTAAACCAGAAGGAATTTCGTGGTATGAGAGATATGGTTATTTATGTTGCGTCCCCTCGTTCTCGAGTGACGTCACAGACGTCCCGTGATCACCCACATATTCTATTATATATATATATTCTGTCGATAAAATCCTGTACCAAAGAATATTCTTTCCAAATGACACAGAATCATCTCATCTTCACAATTAAATGGTAGTTTCAGAATATGAAACTGAAGGCTCTATGGATTCTGTGACTCCAGAAAGCCATCACGGAATTCCTGCGATACAACAATTTATAAATATCTCTTTTTACGTAACGTAACTACACAGGAAGTAGCCAAACATTGAGGACGCAGGATTGACAGAACAACTACTGTGCTGTCATGGGGAGTGTTTCGAACAAGGGGGCTAGCTTGGAATAACGACCAAGTTATATATGGTTGATCAATTGATGGCTCCGCTTTATGGGATATTTCGATCGTAGCATGATAATTTACTATGAAGACAACGTCGGTAGTATTAGTGTTATAGTTATTAAGACCATTTACATACACCGGTGCCTAAGACAGGATATATGTTGACGTTTGCGAGTCCGAAGGGGACCTTTGTGATGAGTTAAAGTTCCTGGATTTTGTATATTGAGATCATGGGATTCCATATCCAAAGAATGTTTACTGAGCTGCCGCCTTTAGTATTTCCTAACTACATGAAATAGAGAGTCAATAGCTAGAGTATAAAGAAAAAGCACGGGTATATTTACCCTGAAAAGGGGGTTTAATGCTTATATATATTGATTTTAATATATCTCAGTTTTATCTATCTACCGGTCTAAGTTCCAAGAACGACCATCTTTTATGGAAATATCCTGTCTTTTCTAACGAAAGTCAGACTGTACCTTTTCAAAGGATGATTTCATGTTATATTTCGATCCTTATTCATGGTTATGGTTTATCCGCTCCTGCTTATATTCATATGTTGGATCCTCCTAGTTGAAACTAGAGATGCGGCGAAGCGGGAGATGTCGCTTTGTTGGATCAATTCGAAGGATAAAGGAATTTAACAGTCGAGTAATTTTATAAGTACACTATACGCTTTATAGATATTTATATATAGCGCACAGAATTCTGACTCCCTTGTTATAACGGCTTTGACATCGGTTCCGGAAATATAATGGAAGAAATTACTATACTAAGAAAGATATAGAACAGGAAATTATCTTGATCAAATGCAGAGACCAAAAATATTTTGGAGAGATGCCAATTCACCGGTTAAAACTCCGCTGAGACAATGAGTGTAACATCCGGCTATGAATTGCGAATTCTAACGAAAGGCGGCACAGGGGGTCCCGCAGTTTACAATTACCTTGTTTTTTTGTTTTTGCTTTCTTGGTTAAAATGTTTTGGGACAATTCCTTATATCTAAGAGGCACCATATGTCGATATTCTAAAACATTCTGAAGTTCTCCACAACCAGTGGCGAAATCCTAGTCGAATATCGAATGTAGCACGGCGCTATATTAAAGGCATAGTGCTTGGGTTTGGTAGTACTGATCTAACAGAAAGAGGACCCTAAATTATCAGAAAGCTAGCTACCAAGGATATGCTACAGTGTTATCCAGACCTTGTTATTGAGCTTCTAGTTACGCTCAGAATCTCAGGATTCTGAGATCCTAAAATGTGGTTTATATAAATCAATCATATTCAAGGGGCCCGGAACCTGGCCGATGGAGTCCTTATAGGGCTGAAATTATATATTTAAATCACCAAATTTAGCTAGGGCCAAGATCCGAAAATGTGAATGTCAAGATAGCATAAAGTGGCCGGTTGAATATAATTCGAATATTCTGGTAGAACCCCAAAAGGTGGCAGGATGGCTATATTAAGCCAATTTGTTTCGGGAGTGTATGGAACTGGCGGTATTGATATGAGATTCTAGCGATAACTATATATTATCATTGGATCATGCGAGTATAGCGGTTCTATGATGCCTCAGAAACAGGATTCATGTATATTAGACTCTTTCTTTTCTTAACCTTCACAATTCAGTCGTTAGTTTTCAATTTCATCCTTAGTTACTTACTATCTTAGACATGTAATTCCCAATATTTAGGTTTCCGCCACCGACCCCTTTATCAAGACATACCGAGGGAATGTTCTGCCGGGCTAGTTAACTATGTCTAGTGTTTTGAAGCTAAAGTCTAATGGCTTCATCACGGCCTGGCCCAGCTGGGCTGACCCCCTAGCTCCCGCTTGGCTGGCATACTGACATCAGCCAACACACGCTTCCATGACATTAGCGTCTCAAGACCTAGGAAGTGTTGTTTTTGTTGTACTTTTGGTCCACATTTTAGTGCGGAAGCGGTTGATATTTGTAGAAAGTTCATATTAATTTCATTAGTCAAATAATTGACCTTTTAAGCTTTTAAAACTTTGAGCTGAGTCGTCTATATCGGGCCATTGTATGGAGAATTGGTATCCGCTTCTGAATACTCAGTCTGTCTTGGTGAGCTCTAGTCAGTTTGCCTCAGCTTCCGAGCGCTTTTGCCAACGAGGTTAATTGCCAACCGAACCCTTGGAAACTAACCGTCCACAGCCCGCAATATCATTTCAACAAAATAAAACGCTAGACACGTTGTGCGGCTGAACCACATCAAATCTCTGTTCGGTACTCGGAGCCTTTGGGGTTCGAGTTCGAATCCATTTTCGGCTTTGCCTAAAGTGGGTCTAGACTGCAGCTCTTATTGGTGCGCACTTCGGAACAACGCTAACGTCGCGCGAGTGCGACTGCGCAGCGACTTTTTCATTTCCACATTAGCTTCACATGGGATTCTCTTTGGGCGAATTCCCCGATCGATCAGGGGCCTGGACTTGTGGCAAAATAATTCTCGGCTCACGGCTGCTTAGTTTTCTTGGAAATTGATTCATCCCAAAGATCTAGTTGCGGCTTGAGCGGATTATAACCAAGATTGTGAGTGTCCAAAAGTAATGGCGGCTGGCGGTTCCAATATACTAATATCTAATAGAAGTCCTCTTGAACGTTGAGCTCCTGCAGTTGCCTCCAGAGCTTTAAGAAAGGGGTTTATCAGATTATTGTTCCGCAGGAGGCCGAACTCTATATTGCCCTACTGTGAGATATATTTTCCCTGCACATTCATATGCAAGGAAAGGGATTGCACAGGTGACAAAAAGCCGCCACGTTCTCCACTTGAAAACTTTGTTTCCAACAGAGTAACATTCGGAAAGCTGAAATTTCCCCATACTAACCTAAAACTGACGATTAGCGTGTATACACAGACGCCACCAGCGGTCTGGAAGAAACTCTCGTACACGATGGCCAGCTCGCGGGCCTGCTTAAGGCGCGGTGAACTGGACATGCCGAAGCCGTAAGGGATAGAAAATTGTGACTTCTGAGAAAGGGATCAGGATAGAATGGAGGGTACAAGAAGGGCTCGTTTTCTTTGAAATTTAACGGCCATCATCCACATTCCTTTCCTATAGCATCATCATAGCTATGAAGGTCCTCGATCAAATCAATGTGCTAGCTTGCCTTGCGGCAGCAGCCCTACCAGCAGTCAATGCCGTTGCATTGGCTTCAACCACTACTCTGGCATGCCCTCCAGTAGCCGCTACATCTCCTGCAGCCACTCTCGTTTGCGCAAAGACAGGTGATGTCAATGGTGCAAAGAGAAAATCGATCCGCACGTTCAAGAGCAAGTCGACTCCATTGGGAGACGATTGTCTGACGGAATGTCTTAAGGATACTACATGTTTGAGTTATTCATACGACTCGAACGCATCCAAGACAGAATGTCGTCTTATGCTCAAGACAGTGGCCGAGCAGGTGTTCACACCGGGAAGCACCGGAATCACTTGGTGGGATCGCGGATGTTGGGCTGTTCCAACATCGTGCAGTAACCCAGTTGTTCCTACGACGAGTGCCAAACCCATCGTGTGTAACCGCGATAATGTTCTTCGAGCATTATACGGCAAGGGCGACGAAGCTAGCTCGTTCTGCAGTTCTTACACCAAGACTGTTGCAACAGCTGGACAAGTTTATCCTGCATACCTTACAGCATATTCGACCACATCTGAGCGTATCTCTAGCGCCTGCACCTGCTTGAGCGTTTCTCCTCTTACTACTTCTACTACTTCTACCACATCATCCGCTCCCGAAGTTCCTCAGGTTCCTGAGGACCCCGGCTGGACATCAACCTACACATGGACTGAAGCCGTTCTCCCAACTTTCACATCTTTCCCATCTTATGAAGACAATCCAGTTACACAACCTCTGTTCCCAACGACTACACAAGTCGACTCTTTGCCTCCGGCATACACGCCAGTCAATGATTGTATCTTCGACCCTCTTGCGGCTCCAGATACCAAATATGTAAGTTCAGCCTGGTCAGTCGATTTAATTGGAGCAAGGATTAACGAAGTTCAGGAACTTTTCATGTATGGACCAGATGAGGCCAGCAATGACTTTATCGTGGCCGATGATATGATCATCAAGCTGCTCGGTGACCCAAATTTTGCAACAGAAGAAGAAGCCAATGCATGGGAGGCGCCTCTATTCCGCCTCTCTCGACCAGCAACTTCGAGGTGAGTTACATTAAACTTTATGTTCCTGTCAAATACTCGCTCACAAAATATCCTAGCTTGTATGATATTATCATCGAAACTCCCCAAGGCAACCGATATCTCGGTTATGACCCAACCAATGGGAACATCCTGGTTGCAGCCTCAAGTTCAGGACCGGCAACCGAAGTTCCATCGATAGGCGATGTGGCACCGATTAGGACAACCGCATTCATCATCGGATGCGATGGCAAAATAGAATTAGTCATGGATAGTAATCGAGTCCGTTGGGGTTACCGGACTGAAAACCTAAATCTATATGGTTACGGTGCCGCTGGAGGAGATTTGATTATCAAAGCCACACCCAAGCCTCCAGCCACCGAGATACAACGTCGTGGTAGGGGCAACTGGGGAGGAAACCCTCGCTGCCCTAATTTAGCAAACTCTTGGGCTTCTGTACGAGGTGGTGCTCCAGGCACCTATAACATCAACTACTGCGGTGAAGGTTATACCCAAGGCATTGAGGATGGTGGATTCTACTATGTTAGAATCACCTGTCAAGATCTTCACAGATGTTACAGTAAGCCTCTTTGTCAGCGGTTTTACCCTAAACTTCGTTTACTAACACATAAACAGGTGATTGCAGCAGGACCTGGGAAGAGTGCAATACCGAGTTTTATGACCGTGGACATGGTTTGTCCGGCGATTTCCGATGCAGAAGCTTGAACTGGAAGAACGGTTCTCAAGGAAGATGCTTCAGTAAGTAAATTCGAATTTCTACATTTGGCAATAATTCTAACCCGATTTCGCAGAGGTCGTCACCGATATGACTGAGCGTTTGAAGGGCGGTACAGGGCGAAACAACTTCAACAGAGCCAATTCAGATAGGTACGTATCATTCAACTTTGTGGGAAACTTCGTACGCTAATTGAAAATAATAGATGCACTTGCAACTGTGACAATGGCGGCAGTATCTGCAATGGCCAGTGCGCCGACTCCAACTTTCTCTCCAGCAAAGACAACTGCGGAGCATGTGGCAGACGCTGTGAAGGCGATTTGGTCTGCAATAGCTCCCGACAGTGTGATTGCAACTGGGGCGCTCTCGGCAGGAACAGCCCAGATAACTGCGGGTATGCACACTTTGTTTTATGGCTTTTCTTGGTGCTTCTGCTAAAAACTATTGTAGTGTTTGCGGCCGACGATGTGCGACTGAGAAGGGTATTATCTGCTCCAATGAGCAATGTATCTGCCCCTTCGATACTCAGACCGACCGAAATAACTGCGGTGCCTGCGGAAACATCTGTCCGACCGGAACACATTGCAATGGTGGTCAATGTGTTTGTAACGAAGATCAATGCGGGTAAGTTATTATTCTCTCTTACCTTTCACCTATGGGGCGTCGAGGCCTAATACTCGTGTGTATAGAAACGTTTGCCTGAGCCTCAAATATAACCCCAACAACTGCGGAAGCTGCGGAACCGTTTGCGCAAGCGGATTTTGCTTCAGTGGAACCTGTTACGACCCTCCTGTCGATGCTCCTGTCTGCCAGCCCAAGGAGATCATTGTCAATGGGGGCTTTGATAACGGCATGGCTCCATGGACTGGACCCGACAGCACGGGGCGTACTTCTGGCCAAATCTTGACAGACCCAAGATCCCCTCCAGACTCTCCAAATAGCTTGCAGATCGTCCTCCCAGCCAGCGAACTCCGATACACACAATTCGCGGACATTGGACAGGCGATCGACATCTGCGTTAACCAAAGATACCGTATCAGATATTTCGTACGAGTGGAAAGAGCAAATTCTTTTGGAGGAGGCTGTGATGTCGCCGTTCTCGTGCCGGGTCAACAATTCGTAGTACAAGCAATTGTAAGTTCCAATATCCCCCCTCGTATATTATAATCACCCCAAAAAGCATTTGGCTAACACAATCGAATAGGACATCTATAAACAAGAGTACACCGAAGTCGTGGTCGATTTCACCTCCGACCAGGGCGTTGTCACCTCACCCATGTTCTGGCAAAGCATCCTTACATCGGATGGCGCTAATGCCAGAAGTACCGTGACTTTCAGAGTCATGTGTAAGGGTGGAAGCACAGGCGGTGGTCTTATCCGCTTCGATAGTATTAGCATCGCTCCGATCTAATAGCAGCAACTTTGCGAGTTCACTTCGTTCGCTTTTTTGCATGATCGCGCGCTTGCCATCAGTTGCTTCATCATACATACTTTTTTAATTTCATATCAGAAAACAAGATTCTGGTTTTCAGCATTGCATTGCATTGCATTTGGAGCATGTAAATTAAAAACTATCTAAAATCGCATTGGGGGGGTATTATTATTACATTAATAACGAAATCAAAGAACCATAATCGCTATGCTTGTATGTTAATTAATGAATCGATGGAGTCTGTTTCCTCGACCGAATGAGAAGTATTTCTAAATTTTCTATTTTTAATCTTTTTTCTTTTTTCTTTTTTCTTTTATTTATAACTTTTGACCGATTACTGAACCATCATCGGTTGGGCCGTAAGGTCCCGCATTGCTGCGACTTCTTTTCTATGCCGACTCTTTCCTTTCAACCCGTCCGGGTTCGATTGCTCCCTTAGAGCTTTTCTACCGGATTTGTTTTGGGAAGTTCGTCTGGTTCCACATAAGCGTATCTGGAATGTTTCCTAATGGCTTCACCCTTAAAGTAAAATACATAAGGAATTGCACAACAAGCGAGACCGATGAAAGCCAGCAAAGTACTAGCCCATTGGTATCCAAGACGGTGGTACCTAGTTAAATATTATCGTTAGTAAAAAGTCCTCCTTGTGATTTTTTTAAGAAAGCTTGACTTACATCTGAGTAGTAAACAAAACCGTAGAAGCACCCCAAATCGAACGAATGAATGTCTTCGCAGCAAGTGCAGATGCAGCTTGATGTTGATAGGTATCGACAAGATAGTTATTTGCAGAATTGTAAAGGAAAATAAACCCAAACCCGACCGGGAAGCCACCAAGACAAGGTCCAACCCATGATAGATGAGGATACGAAGTCCATGCGAAGATGAATAGTCCAATTGGAATTGCCCAACAGGAGATCATCATGGGGATAAGTCTGGCTTCTGCTGGAGGCTTGCCACCATGTTTTTCTACGAGGGTGAGGTAGTGATTGTTGACCCATGGTGAACAGGCAGCGCTGAGGAGGACACCGACGGCGATGGGGATGAACATTAATCCGGTTATTCCGGCGCTGTAGCCTTTTCCTTCTTGGTAGATGATTGGGTATGCGACGAAAAACATGTATAAGAGACCATAAAGAACGGACATGTAGAGGGAGATAAAAAGAACAATGGGTTCAAGGAAGAGGAGTTGTAAGGGACGGAAGAAGAAGAGTTGCATTCTTTCGCCGAAGGGACGTTTATCGAGAGATTGTTCGGTGGTGTATCGGTTGTCCCCGGTTTCTTTTTGTAATTTCTTAGCCCTTTTGGCGAGAATAGTGGAGGCTTGGGTTTCTGGAACGGTGAAGGTGATAAGAATCCAGACGAATCCAGCTAAGATGAGCTGAATCCAATACAACCATCTCCAGCCCTTAGCATCCGAGAGAAATCCACCGACAAGAGGTCCAATAGCGGGTCCAATAAATGGAGCGGCACTGAAGGCAGCCATTGGAACACCTCTTTCTTCATTCCTCCAAAGATCTGCCAAAGTTCCACCGACCAAGGACATTGGAGCAGAGAAGGCGATACCATCGATAGCTCTTGTTATAATCAAGGTTTCGATATTTTTCGCCACAGCTCCGGGTATGATGAAAATAACAGCAACTCCAAGTGTAATTGCATAGACAATTCTTCTTCCAGATAACTCACTCCAAGGAGCGAATACCAAAGGACCAAGACCAAATCCAACAACAAAGACCGTGATAGTAAGAAGGGCAACTTCTTCCGAAACATTAAACTCTTCAGCCACGCCAATAATATCACTAGTAATGACCGCAGAAGCAAACGCAACGACGAAACATGTTAATGCCACGACCATGGTAATGTACCATTTGTAGGCCTTCGACCAGTTCTTGGGATTTTCCGGATCATTGAGGGTAAATGTAACGAGAATGTGATCTTCAAGTTTTCCGGTAACATTGGATTTTATGGTTTTGAGTATTTCACCGGCTGGTGTTTCTTCTGTGAATTCGTCGAGGTTGGCTTGTTCGCTGAAGGTTCTGTAAGGAGTGTATACGGGGTCAGGAGCGTCTCGATGTGTTGGGACATGTGTGAGTGTTGCATTGTCGAAGTGATGGCGTTCCTCAGGAATAGATTCCTCTATCCTGGTATCAAGGTTATTTGCAACAACCATTGTGGAAAGGAAAATGAAAAGGAAATATTATAAAGCAATAGCGATAAAGAAAGAAAAAATAAATAAATATAAAAAGAAGCCCAAAGGGAAAGGGCAAATGAATTACACAAAGACTGAAGTCAATATTGGCATTTTCTTGTCGTATTGGCAGCGTACTCAATGGCTTTTTATATTCGACTCTTATCACTAAGATTTTATGCATACTGACGTGATGCCTTTGAAAACGGGTATGTCGGCAAGCACCAAAAAGTCGGCTTGCTCGGCCGGGATCGATAAGAGCTCAGGTTCGGCATGCCGAACTTTGTCCTGATTGGCTGAAAATTTTCGGGATGCATCTAGAAGCTTGGGCCGGCATAACCGAATTGGCGGTTAGACATTTTAGTCCCACACTTTTCGGTATGCCGGACCAATGGAGAATGCCTCAGGCCTATTTCGTGACTATCTCTGCATGCGGCCCGTAGATTTTAAATAGTAATCATCATTGCATAATTCTTTTCATACGGACAGGTTTTTTTTTTTTTAAATCTTTGATTATGGGATTTCAAAATAGCATTCACCAAATCAATATTCCTACCTCGTTCAGAATGCTACTCGGAATGTTCGATCTCGATACGTTCGATACCTAGGTCCCTGACGTCGACACTTCTTTTCGCACAGACAACCGACTCCGCAACATCGAGGATATGCGAAAACCAGATCTGCGAGAACGGCTCAAATCTTGCACGAAGCTATTACTAAACCATATGTAGTCTCTCATGTCAGCTGCCCCTTTAGCCCAGGATTCGGAGAGAGTTTTTTTTTTGAAATTCGGAGTATTGAAGCGGGGTGGTGTCCCCACCAACGTACTCCGTCTAAACTTCGGCCGAAGTTTCGAAAAGTGGACCATCGTGGCTTCTTTTACCCACGGGATTTGCCATATTTCACGTGTAAACAAAAGCTTATTGTTGGGGTTTTTTCTTCCTGAACGGCAGACTTCCGGAGGGTTTAGGTGGCTATAGGCCGCTGAAGATATAGGCCTTGATTGTGTCGATATGTCCTGCGATAGCGATCTAGATGCATTATCTCGGGGCCTTGTGATTCTTAGTATAGATTATAGCTCTTCTTTTCCGTGAGCGCATTAATTAATCTATTCGAAGATTCGCCGATATCGCAATACAGGACGTCACTGATTGTTAATTCCAGAGAGCCGTTCGGGTGAATTACATTACCGGAGCCCAGAGTTAAGTTAATAGTAGATGTATTTAACTGATATAAACAATTCAATGTATCATAAGCGGCCGTTTTAGTCCTTATCTGTTTAAGAGCATGGTAGCGGCTTTATTATCCTCGCTAACCTACCAGCGGGAGGCTAGGTTTGCCTCGTTGGTTGGGTGTGTTGTGTTGAAATTGTTGCCAAAACACACCACGCGATAGACCCAACCAAGCCGAGATGGGCAAGATTGTCCTCGTCTTAGCTGTTGGCATGACATCACCATAGCATGTAACAATAGTGACGTCTCGGTGGCCATGTGGGAAAACGGCTGTACTTCAACAGCTCGTGGTGCAATATAAGTCTTCCAGTGAGATTCATGTACCATTGAACGCTTCAAATTCAATGTATACAAGCATACACCATTTGAAAAGGCTAGAATCCGGCTTCAATCAATTAAAATCGATATCGATCTGATTAACATCAATTCTCCCTAACGTCGAATTACTCGAACACTTCAACAAAAACATTCAAAAGATCCAAAATGAGCTGCTTCCTTGTTCAAATCAGCCGCCTGTCTCGGGTCTCACATCCCAACTTCATCCGAGCACAGCCACGAAGTTCGTTCTCAAAACTCGGGGTTACACAAATCCACCAACAAAGCCAACTATCTACGAGCAACTTCCTCTATAACAATTCTCCTGCCGGTGACCAAGAACGGCCCGAGCTACCGAGCGATAAAGGACGAACAGCTCAATCTCCAAAGTCAAGCGATGAAAAGATATTAGATCGTGCACATGAGGCAGAAAAGGGCCAGCAAACATTTACAGAAGAGGAACAAAAACGAAAGCAAGTGGACAAGAGGGAAGGATATGGGGAGGGCGAGGCTGAAGAATTTGATAAATCGCGCGGTCGGAATGCTTAATATTGGTCACTAAACTATAGACCTCGATGCAAGCCTTATGCAGGTATGGATACCGGGCCGAAACCTATTGCGTCCTTCAATCCAGGCTTTGCAATGTTTCCCAGTTAGACCCTGTGTTTGCTGGTCAGCCTTAATGGAATTGAAGATATCGATGTATCAACTCGTCACGCGAACATCAGGCGCGTCAAAATAATTAATTTCTATTAAAAATAGCACTTTTCTTAGTCGTAAGCCAAATTACATTTAGTATCCCTAGTTTGTGCATATAAATACTATCCAGTCGTATATTCTCTGGCCAAGTCATGACGCTTAGTGAGCTCGGGAATTGGGGGCGCTTACCGATGCATCAGATCCTCCAACAACAAGCCGTCGGCGCGGAAAATTGAATTTCCATCGGAATTGTCTCCGAACGGGCAGGTAAATTATGCGTAGGGCTACATATTCGAAAGCCTTTTTTCGCTGAAGAAGTTTCAGACCGTCCAGGTAATATGTGAGCGTTTGGAGAATTATGCTGGGCAAAGGGAGTGTTATTTTTGGTATAAAATGGTGTTGCATATGACGGGGGTGTTGATTGGCTGTCAGCGCTGTTTGCCGGGATTTTGGGTGGGAGGACAACAAGGGCCTGGCGGTTACCAGCTTAAGCTTAACTTCTGACTAAAACAACACTTTCGAATTCCGGGCGACAGAAAGATCAAGGATCAAATTCAAAATGGCATGAGGGCATCTGTGCGCCTAGATAATGCAGTCGGATTGAAATGATGCGCGGTGCTGACGACGCTTTCGGGCTGAACAGCGGGGAGCATTATCACTCCAGTTTCGAAAGCCTCAAATCCAACATTTGACAAGCAGTAGCCTAACCATGTGGCTGTTGATACAGGTACACTAGCTAGAGAATAACGAGCTTAGCTTCGTCATCTCTTTAGAAAGCATGAACTTGGTTCTGTAACGCATATTTGTGGTCGCAAGTACCGGTACATCTAGACCAAGATGTCATTCGATGGAAACCTGTCCAGTGTTGCATCCAAGGAGAGAGAGAAGTCATTCTTAAGTGGTGATCATATAGACATTTACGAAGTCGATTTTGAAAGAAGCCTCCGGTGTGGCTGATATCATCATCATAGCAGAGAAACTGATCGTCAAAACGGTGGCAAAACATTTAGACGTTCCTTGGATATCGGATTGCACTTGCAGAACTAGAACTGGCACATGCGCTGTACATATTACTGTCATTCAGGGTCCGTAATCCCATGTTCGCGAGTGGACTGTTGCAGGCGGTTACTCAGACTTCAAGGCAAAAATAGGTGAGCGCACAAGTCACTCCCTCGAATTTACTGGTCCTCGATCTGCCAGTGCCTTGCTGGGGTTGTGCGAGCTGACCCCTGTATTCAGCATTAGCACGATGCAATTGGCTGGAAGATCCCTGTTCCCACCCTCGCCAAAGAGCCTGTTATGCGATATGATGCTATTGCGCTCACCAGCATCTCGAACACAACATCCGGTTTTGTGAATTCTGAATAAACCCAATCGCCTTCGAACTTGCAAATTCCTTTTTTTTTATTTTATCAGCGTTAAGGCGACGCCAATAGACTTATGAACTGGCAAATGCAGGTTTGTGGAGTCGTCTGTCGGTTCCTGTACCTTCTTTCGTTCAAGTCATGTTCCTGCTTAGTACCCTTGCAGCTAGAGCGATCAAATAGCGAACTCCTCGTGTTCACCGTTGATAAACGTTGAAATCACCCACGGTTTTCGCAGCCCTCTCTTTTTTTCCTATTTCTTTTTTCCTCAGGTTGCTCTATGCTCAGGCTTCCTCCTGTCAATTCGCCTTTTTTATATATCCGCATCATATCCCTCTAGTTCAAGTTAGATCTTTTGCCTCGTCTTCCCCTCTCTTCGACTCGCTACTTGTGTGAAGCTGTGTTTCACCTTGCAGAACCCGAATTCGAACCAAATATATTGTTAGCGCTTCTTCAAACACTTACCAAATCGCGTCACATACATATATATAACGACCAGGTCATCTGCATCTCCAAATTTTTTTTTGTAATACTCATTCGAAAAGGTATCTGATAAAAGCACTCGTGAAGCGTTCACTCACTTTCGCGGGTTCCTTTCTTAATATCCTTTTCGGCAGGTATCACAAGAAGATCGACCTTGAGGGACGACAATTCCAACATCTCAACACCTCAACACAAATCATAGCATATCCAATTGACAGCCACATCCGACACTCTATTGAGCATCATTTACTTCCCCACCGCGACTGTTCACGAAAACGAGTTTCTTTAGTCGAAATTTGCATAGCATTTGAACAGCGTCTTATTTATCTATTTGTTTAGTAGTGGATTTCTCTCAGGAAGAGTGGTTGCTGCTTCAAATACATCTTTGCTTTTTTTGAACGTATTTTCGATATCCCACATTGTTCACTGTTCTGCTCAGCACAAAACGAATTTTTTATATTTTATCACTCTTCATCTTCATCAACATCATCAACACTACCAACAAACTTCATCAACCTCACCTTCCTTTCATTCAAAGACACTCTCGAATCGTCGTCATCATCAGATACCCGTTTCTCTATTGTTCTAGCGCTTTCAAATAGAGAAGAGGAACCATACAGACCATCAAGCAGCCAATATCTCGGCATCAAGATACATTGTTGCAAAGTAGGTAATTGACTCGAAGACTCGAGCTTGGCCTTCATATAAACACGCGATCTAACAATCGATTTTCTACGAACATAGACTAGATACACCTAGGTTTAGAGCTACAAACCACTTTTCTGACAACATCTCTTTCCCTAAAACGTCCCGTCAGCATGGCATCTCTGAGAGATAGGATGCATCGGAGCATATACCAGCAACGGGATGAACCTTATCCATACCCTGACCTTCCACCATCGTTGACACCACACCGACATACCAACGACCAACAACACCCACAAGCGGCTGCACAAACATACCATACACCATATCTTGGCTTAAGAGCTAGGTTATCCCAGATATGGTTCAACCGATGGACAATCTTGCTCTTGTTGATCGTCGTACGGATGATCATCTTGGTTGCTGGTATGAGCAAGGATCTTGATTCGGCTCAGATCCAAGCTCAGTCGGCATGTACTGGTGTCGAAAGTATGGGTAGTGCTATGGCATCTATGCCACACTACATGGCTTCCGGTGTCAACGAAGCAGCGGCCAAGGGTATTGAGGCTGCCGTTCGCGGCTTGCAAAGGACCCTTTTCTTGGGTATCACAGCTATTGAAGCTATTGTCATCTTCGCCATCAACGTTCTTCTGCAAACATATATCTGCCTTCTGACCTTCGCCATCAGGAGCAGCTTGGGAACTGTTATCAATGCCGTCGACGAGATATCGCAATTCGTTAACAAAACTCTAACTGGAATCGTCGACGACATTAGAGGTGATGCGAAGAGCTTTGAGAACGCCTTCAACCGCTTCGTAGACTCCCTCAATAGTCTTGGCAACTTTTTCGGCTCTGGCACTGAGGTTCCTAAGCTTACCCTTCCCTCCCTCAATCGACTCGGTAAAATCCAGATCCCCGATAGCTTTGCCAAAGGCCTCGAGGACCTGAACAAGACCATTCCAACTTTCGATCAGGTCAACGACATGTACACCTCAGCTCTTAAGATGCCATTTGACTACATCAGAAATGAGATGAACAATTCTCTCACTGTCTATCAATTCAATCGCGATGTCCTCCCTGTTCCTGAGAAGACAACATTGAGATTCTGTTCCGAAAACCCCACAATCAACAATTTCTTCCAGATGATCAACGACAAGATCAAGCAAGCTAAGAATATCTTCCTAGGTGTCCTGATTGCCTGTGCCTTTTTGGTCATGATCCCAATGGCATACCGCGAATGGTGGCGCTACAGGAGCATGCGCCAGCGTGCGTACATGCTCAACGACAATCGTCAGCAGTTCGATCCCGTCGACATCGTTCATATCGCTACCTACCCTTACTCCTCAACTCTTGGGTTGAAGGCTGCCACTTGGTTCAAGGCTCATCGACGCCAAGTCGCTATGAGATGGTGGTTCGCTTACATCTCTTCACCCGCCTGCCTTTTCGTTCTTTCTCTCGGAATTGCTGGCCTTATCTCTGTTCTTGGACAATGGATCGTTCTCAAGCAAATCGTTAACGCTACACCCGCGCTAGCCAACGAAGTTGGGGAGTTCGCTGACATCGTTGTCACTCAACTTACCGATTCTTCCCTCGCCTGGGCAAAAGATGCCAACGGTGTCATTGATGAAACCGCAAGCAACATCAACGGCAATGTTCTCGGATGGGTTCACACCGGCAGCCTTGCTCTCAACGATACCCTCACTGGATTTGTTGATACATTACAGGACGGAATCTCTGATTTCTTCGGCGGTACTCCTCTCGAGGAGCCCGTCAAAGGTATCTTCTTTTGTTTGGTCGAACTCAAGGTAAAGGGTATCCAGAAGGGCCTTACTTGGGCTCATGAGAACTCTCAGGTTTCATTCCCATACTTCCCCAACGATACATTCTCCCTCGGTGCAGCTACCAGCGTTGGCCCAGATGCAAAGGAAGGATCTTCTAGCTTCCTGGCTGATACGGGATCCCAGGCAGCTGACAAGATTACCAATGTCGTTGTGAAACTTGCGGAGAAATATGAGAGCTCACTCCTCATCGAGGTCTACATCTGCTGCGGTTTGATCGGACTTTGGTTGCTCGTCTGTGTCATTGGTGCGATTCGTGTCGTTATTATGATGGCAGGAAGTGACAAGACTAGGGCCGAGGGCGGTTCCAGAGCGCCAATGGGAGGTAACCAGCAAGGATTTCCCGATCATGGCGAGGAAAGGATCGCTCCAGTATTCCCACAGTTCTCAGAGAAGTCTGACCCCGATTTGAGGATGAGGGGAAGCTCCGAAGATGGGGGTGCCCCTGCCGCGATTGGGAGTCCGACTCGGAGGGTAGTAACCAAAGAGCGGCCACCTGTCTGGAGCCATCATGGCGACGTTAGAGACTAAGCGGTGGTTGAGTAGGTGTATTTCTTTTTCTGTCTTCGAGTAACATGACTCGGGAAGCCTAGATGGTGGATCTTGTCATTTTACTCCGTACATATTCGTTTCTAATTAGCATATTCTCATGGTGTGTTTTGAGAGTTTTTTATTTAAAATTTCCTTTGTCTCTTAAGCGCACATTTTGCATTTACACAATACCCTGAGAAAGCGATGGTTCATTCCATGTCTGTTCTACTGCATGCACGAGTTTTTAACTAAACTGTGTAATATTTCCTTTGTCCGGACTCTGATCCGAGTGTCTTTTCTATATCTAAAAGCTTGTGTGGTTACACTATCCACTCCCTCTCTCCCCAAACAAGGAAAGAAGATTATACCTGTACTGAGAGTGATTCTAATATTTTAATTTTCGTTTTTTTTTGTTCCAATATACCCTGTCCTGTGGTGTGCGGTATGGGAAACGATCGAAGAATACATTTTTTTTTTAGCAAACCTTTTTCTTCTTTTAAGATGTCATTCAATAATGTGTCCAAGTGTTCGTCCTTCTGTTTTGCAGATGTTTCAAGACTTCAGAGTACCCTGGCTTTGTAGTCGCGCGTGGTGGATCGTTTCATAACTTGCTTGCTCTTACGCCTCAAGTATGTTTGGTCTATATAGCTGGATGCAGGGTATCTTGATGGCATCTGCATGTGGTTTTATAGATCGGTTTCATGAATTGTGGGTGTATTCGCTTCACGACTATCTTTAATTAATTAATGAACAATGGACAAGATTCATTGTGATTATATTTACTATTTATGATACTAGAACCGAGTTATGTAACCATCTACGCAAGCCGAAGGGTCCGGGGACGAGAAGCATCTAAGTCTAATCCTTGAGAATTATCTAATCACGCCAATTCACGGAGCGAAACCTAGCAGGGTCTGCTATTCAAACACCGCGATGTAATTCACCAGAGTTTTCTTCAAGAAAGATACTAGAAATAGATAATTGCTGATATGTACAGATGTATCTTACAAAATAATACCAATCGTATACAGCGGTCAATAACTGGGAGGCAGCGGCCACCTAAGCTGATACTGTAGGATTGGGAGATTCGGTGGCGGTTTGAGCAGAGGGTGTAGGGCCTCCTCGTCGAGCCGCCTGAGCTTCTGCTAATTTCAATAGCTGTTCTTCTTCCTGTCTCTTCTTTTCCTCCTTCTCAATCTTCTTCCTCTCTTGATTGGCTTGCTTTTGCCTTGCCATTACTGCCTCTACTCTTCGTACCCTTGCATTTTCCGCCTCTGTCTTCACCCTTCGTTCACTACCTGCCTCTCTACCCACATACCTCCTTACCCTCCACGGCTCTCCGAATAGCACCTTCTTAACCTTCGCAGACTTCTTCCATCGTTCCGCAAAGCCCTTAGGTATATCCTGCCTCTTCAACCGTCTCTGTTTATACGTCGGCAAGGCCTCCTGCACACCTTGTGCAACACCCAACTTCACATTCTCAGCCACCATCTTCTCCTTAGTAATCAACCCCATCTTCAACCGTTCCTCATTATACTTCCTCTGCACGGTCTTCGAAGTCTGTAATCTATACCTCAATTCCCACCCCCAAGGTCCCAATTCCTTTAACCTCGCTGGCTTTTCCGATAATAGGTAGTTATCCAACCCACCGACCTTATCGATCGTTCTTAGCACGCTAGTGGCGAGTTTGCAAGTAACCCATTCACCCAGTCCGAAGCTCCATAGTTTCTTGTGCTTGATGTTGGGGTACCATCGACGTCGGGTTATGGTGTACTTCTTATTGGGGATGTTATTGCCGAATTGAACATGTTTGGAAGCGTATAGACCGAACCAGGATTGTTTGAAGGTGGTCTTGATGGGGTATGGATATGCTGGAGCCTTTGCGAGGAGTTGGTCGAGCTTTTGCTTCGAGGAGGAGTGTTTGGCTTCGAAGGGGGTGGTTGTGGTGAAGGCACGGCAGGCGGCTAAGAGGAGGGCGGATGGTGGGGTGGTTGTGGTGGGTCTGGAGACCAAGGAGGTGGGTATTCGAGGTGGCATTGTGGGGTGGTTGTGACTTGTGGAGGGAGGCCACCGGGGCCTATGAATGGAGTTTGTAGGGGGGCTTTAGGTACCCTCTTTTGGACGTCAATTGGTGATGGGGGCGCGGTCACGTATGTCTGTCGCTCGAGTTGGGAAAGTTGAGGTTGGTGAAAATCTTCGAGCGGTCGGAGATAAGAGAGTTTTCGCCGAGTTTTACAACACAGTTTAGCTGTTGTATTCTGCACCAGCAATTTTTGGATTAGAGATTTTGGGTCGATGAGGAGAAAAGGTTGCTAATTGCTAACTTGTATTCTATATATAAAGAAAGAGAGATAAAGGAAGAAAAGGAAAAGAAAACATTAAAATATCAAAACGCAAATTTTTTGACCAGCAGAAAGGGTATAACGATTAGAAGATACTATGAATGCATGTACAGAAAATATAAGAAATTACCATTAATCAAAAGAAAAGCCTAGGAGTCCTGCCGCATTTTTGTATCCGTCCGCCCATCCATCCATCCCCACTAACCTCGCCCAAAATCCATATTGTCGTATTGCTGTAGCCGTCAATATAAAAAGAAAAAACCCCTCAAGTAAACTGACCAAAGAGAACCCGTTATCAAAATAGTCAGAAATCGAAAATCTAGCTCCGCGTGACCGGCGAACTCAGGTGCACCTGCCCCAAGCCCACAAACTGCAATACCTGCAGAACAACCAGTCCGACCATCATAATCAACATTAAAACCCCAATCACCAGTACAGCCCAAAATGTATACCAAGAGGCCGCCGGATCCACCCCATGATTCCAGATACTCGGCCAACCCCTCGATTTCCATTCTCTTATGTGCTTCTGCATTATAGCTATCCTCGCTCTCAGGATCGGAAAATCTCTTTTATGTCGGTATGAATCCCTTTGTATGATGTTCATTTTCTGTAGAAAATCGAGGGATTCGTATTGGTCTGTCGTACATAGTTTTTCAAGCAGGGGGTCATGAAGTTCCTTTGGAGTCTTTTCTCCGAATGGGTTCGCTGTGTGGAATAGTTTTCTGGCATCGTGTGATTGTCCGAATATTAGACGATAGCTGAGGAGGATCTCTCTTAGGTATTGGGTTATATCCTCTATTGATCCCCACTTTTCGAGAGTTACCGACGAACAACTAGAAACTCTTGGTTAGTATCACTATACAACGTAGAACAGCCAACATAAAATATAATAGTTACCTATGTATCACCCCAATGCTATCACTACTCTCAGGTAGATTGAGATAACAAAACGTCGGATACTTATATAGAAATAACACTCTCGCATCCGGATCAAACTCCATATGTGCAGAGAGCACATCCGTCCAAGATATCCGAACCCCTCCATATTTCAGCATAAGTGCAACATTGAACTCCTGCGGCCGTACCATCGTCATCCTATCAAAATTCTGACAATCCTCGGTATCCTCACTAATAAACACATTCCCCTGCGGCAGCATCAACCCAAATCCTAGTAGAAAATCCGGTATCGGTAGATGCGTAAGACTACTATCCTGCCGTATCGCCCAAAATGCTGGAATTGTGTGGCCATCGAATACATCCGCTACCGCAAAGTTTCCTAGAGGACATGTATTTATCGAAGGAAGGAATAACATCGTCTGCCAGCCCAATATAGCGAAAGAAATTGTTTTTGCTAGGTCCCTGGAAGCTTCATCTTCCTCGTCGGTGAAATGGCCCAAAACGAATTCTGCAACATCATCAAGAGATTTGCCGGCTTTGAAGAAAAACGCAACGGGTATAAGTAGTTCTCCTATATCGGGACATTTATCGGTAACGAGACTGGGGAGGGCATCGATTTGTCGTTTGAACCAGGCGAGGTACCATTTCGAAAGGTTGCTCCCTTCGTCGGTGTTGGTAAGAGATGTTATCGGAAATACCGTTCTAAGGAAGTCATCATTCAGACTATCTATGGGTCCCACAATGTGTTACATATTAGATATAAGGGATGCGGCACGCGTCAGGTTAAGAGGATCGGGAGTTGGGGCTTACTATCAACGGTACCGGTATTACTAGTTATGACGGCAAGCGCGTCAGCAGCCGTTTTTGTCGTCATTATAGCTACCAACTCCCTATCGATAGTATCTATTTACTCTGGCCTAGGCGATTTTATCTTCGTTTTGATGTCGAAAAAACACGCAAGAATTGTTTTTAAAAAAAACAGAAGTTACGTGCCCTCCCGTTTCCTGACATATATCCCCTTTTAGTGCCACAGGCTTCCATATATAAGCTTCCATGACTTCATGCAGCGGAGGGGCTATTTGAGAGTGCGGGTAACCAACCGATTAATTAGATATATGCGGGCAACGGCGCATCTCGAAAGTTCAAATCAGGGCAAAATTGCATGAAATGGTTGATGGCTTGAAGGTATTCAAAGTACCTCTGCGCCGCGGAGCTAAATCTTATTAATGCTATATATTTTTTAACGGAAGGTTGGGGGGAGAGAAATGTAAAATGAAAGCTAGATCATCGCCCAAAATTACCCAGCAGCCCCCCGTTGGCTGAATGATACATGCGTCTTGTCACGGAGCATTGTTCTTTGAAGGTGCAGCTAGCAGCTAAAGGATGTGTGGAGTTCGAAATTCGCGAAATCATGCATGTAGCTAGGTCTTTTGAGGCTCGTGAGTTGTTCTGTGCACAATTTTGTGACAAACCGAAAATGGGTTGGTGCTGTTGGATTTTAGCCGGGTTTTGCGTTGCTCATCGCATTTGCTTTTTCTTAGTAAACAAACCAAAAAAAAAAGTCTTGGCGCGCGACACATAAAATCTTCTGATCAACGAAAAAATTTCTTTCTCTTCTTCTTCTTCTCTCTTCAAACACCCAAGTCCCCAATCCAAGACGTCAACAGTCCTGTCTCTTCGGAGGCAGTCGATAGTTGACGCTCTTTACGACATCACCCCTACGAGATCGGACGACACTGCCCTTTCGATGGTTCGATATTTTCATTTTCAAATCATTACATACATGTATAGCTCTGTCGGTTGGGAGACGAGAAGAATCGATCGCAACCTCTTACTTTAATGTAAAGCCTAGTTATTTCTCCGGATGGATTCGTCTGTTCGTTGATGGAGTTTCTAGGTGGGGAGGTGGTCGGCGGGTCATATTCCAAAATCGTCGCATAGGACTATGTCTAATGAGTGCGGGGAATAACCATGACGCGAACATAACATACCTACTTTTTAGATAGTATTATCTTATTTTTTTGATTACGTGTGTGATGTAGGCTATGCAGGCTGTGCGGAGGATGGCAATGAGGCACTAAGACTCAGGGACGGAGATACTCTTGTCCCGGTGGTAAATGATGGCGTGACCCTTCATAATGTCTACGTAGACACTCCACCGCGTGACATGTTCGTGGCGTGAGTTTATATCAGCCCGCGGGTTCGGAACTATGCACGGGAACACGTAAATCCGAATGAATTTTTTTGCCATAAAACTTTGGATTAAGAAAGAGATATGTACACAATGATGCATAGAAATCTCGGAAGTACAGAATTGCCGCCATGCGGAAAAGAAGACCATGGGGGGGTGATGAGGCTGCTCAAGACAACGTTTGATGATGATATGAGCGAAGAATATTGGAATCTATCGTCAGTTTGGGTATCTGCTGGTTCGTGATTTGCCATGACACGACTAAACATGTATGGCATCCTCTTTTTTGTGTGCGTAAAAAAAAAAGACGTTTCTTGAGAAACAAAGAAATTGGAGAGAAGAAAGGTTTTTTTTAAGTGATACAAACGGGAAGCTCTGAATGTGATTTTGGCCGCTAAAGTTCAAAATTTAAGAAAAGGAATTGAGAAGGATAATAGCATTAAATAAAGTATGAATCCAATGAGCTGAACTGGAGTGATGAAAGAGTGACGATACTAGGCACCACCGCCCAGCTCGATCTTCTTGCCCTTGACGGACTTCATTTCCATCTATTCGAACATATTAGCATATATCTATATAATGTCGAATCGACCAAAGGGGCTCGAAAACTTACTCCTAACGAACAGAGCCAAGCTACACCACCGACGGCAATCGGAAGAATGAAGCAGGTGGTAATGGCCTTATTGTAGGCGAGGATAACACCGGGAAGGTTTTCGGCAGAAATAATCACCCGAATAGCTGTGGCACCTGCGTGAATAACAAGCACCGGGTTGACCTTGGGGGCAAGCTTTGGAAGCTGTTGAAGCAAAGTATTCGAAAAAATGTTCTGAGCGACGGAGATCGAGATGGCACCTCCAAGGGAGTTGAAAAAGATGGCAAGGGCGTCTGAAATAAGAAGGTTAGTATATTAGTAAAATGCTGTAGGGATGATAGGGGGACAAAATACTCACTTCCAACAGGCATATCATCTGGGCTTAATACAACCTGGACGGCAACAAAGGGAATCTGAATTCCCATTCCTGCGCCGAAACCCGCTATGACCTGGTATCCAATCCATTTGCTCGACGGGGAGTCAACCTCAAGTGTGTATAAAAGGCCAGCACCGACAGTGAATATAGCAGCGCTAGCCCACATAAATGGGGTGTAGTAGCCGATTATAGTTACAGAGGCTCCGACAATAAGAGAGGCGACAGTCACAGAAATCAAATATGGGATACACCTAATACCAGATTGAACGGCACTGGTGCCTCGGACGGCCTGGAAATAGAATGGTAGGAAGTAAATATGCGCGTAGAGAGCCATAGAAAGGAACGAGTTGAAAGTGCAGGCCGACAAGACGGTTCGGTTTCGCAAGAAGATTCTTGGTGGGATTGTCGCAAGATCCTGTTCTCGATATTGAATGTAGATAAAGACGGCGATAATAAGGCCGAATCCGAGAATGCACCCCCAGACCCTAGAGTCGCTCCAAGGATACGAGAAACCACCCCATTGAAGGGCAAGAAGAAGACAAACAATGGCAGAGATAAGGAAGAAAGCGCCGAGAATGTCGATTTTGGCAATTCGTTCCCTGACGGTAAGGTTCGTGATCTTTCTCTCTGGCGGCTTGAAGAAGAATAGGACGACTGCGAAAGCAACACCACCAATTGGAAGGTTGATCCAGAAGCACCATCTCCAGGTAAGTTTTTCAGCGTCCGTGAAAGCGCCACCAAGAAGCGGCCCGATGACACTAGAGATACCGAACATAGAACTGAGAGCCGCGATATACATCGGTCTTTTCCGTAATGGTACCGTAAACCCGATAATAGTCATACCGCCAGAGAATAGCGCTGCAGCACCAATACCAGCAACAGCACGTCCCACAATAAAGGCGGTAGAGCTAGGAGCTGCTGCACAGACGATGGAACCGACCTCGAATATGAAGAGAGAAAACAAGAAAGTCCATTTTACGCTGAAGTAGGTGTAGATTTTGCCAAAACTTGGTTGGAGAGAAGTTTGTGTAAGAAGGTAGGATGATCCGTACCAGCCAACATCGCCAATAGAGTTGAATTGGGTCGTGATCCGAGGAATCGCAGTAGCAATAATGGAGTTATCTGGAATCCATCGGGTTATCAGTTAGAATGCTCTGTTCGAGTCGAAATACAAGCTCAGACGTTTAAATTGATCGTACCTAGCGCAATGACGAAGGTAGAAAGACAAAGACCGATAGTCAAGACGGCCAATGTGGCTCCGCCAGGATATTTCGATTCGTCATCCTCTGTAGAATCTGTAGCTTTTTCATCCGTTGTAATTGGTGTTTCGTCCTCTCTTTTCTCGACAGCTTCCTCTTGCTCCTCCCTAACGGCCGTTTTCTCAGAATCTGCCCTGCTTGCAGGAGCGGCTCGTTCCGCGGGTACACTTAATCCACTTTCATCCTTGTTATCGAGAGGCTCTTGCTTTGGAGTGGTCGCGGTGGTAGTGGTTGTGCTGTCGGTATGCTTAACTTCCGTTGTCTCCGGAACGGAACTTGCCGGTTTCTCGCTACCCTCTAAACCCATTCTGCGGTAAGAATGCACGTTAATCGGGACCCTGAAGGGCTATGTCTGACAAGAACGGCTGTTCTTCCCAATCAACTCACCTTAAAAGGCTTGGATCTGAGCTTGTCTGCTATATACAGACCGAAAGTTCTCAAGTTGGTGAAAATAAAAACCGTCTACGAGACGTCGAGAAAGAAGTGATTTTTCAACCTGCTGACGAAGAAAATAATGCCCATGAAAACTCGGTCCTTGTTGGCCTTTAAGGAGCAACCAGCACCATCGTGGTTTGCTTTTTTCTTTCTTTCTCACGGAATTGGACTGATCCGAACGCCTGCGCACGCCAATGTTTATTACATACACGGGCATTCACCGCAGGAAACAAAGTGGTGGGCACCAGGTATCGTCGTATTTTCCCTCTTAACCTGTCATTGACTAGTCGACTAGCTGGACATCACCCCGGCCTGCCTGGGCGGTTCGTTCTCCCTGCGCTAGAAGTGTGGCCACACGGACGGTTATTTCGACTATTCTAGCGACTCACACAAGCTTTCCTTCAAGACTGTGCTAATTTGATATTTCACAAGTCGGGCTCCAGCGCTGCTGTGGCTCAGTTTTTCTTACAGCGGACGATAAGCCGAGTGTCATGATACCGAATGCTCAAGACTGTCTTAGGAATTATACGGACAAATCCTGATATGTCGATATGCATATATGGCTTGCGAATCCGTCTCCTGATCGTGATCGCTTCACATACGTGGACCAGACCTCTATTCAGCCTAACCATCACAAAACAACTTTTTTTCCTCCCCTTCCTTTCTTCATCACAAATCGGAAGAGAAATTAGTATTTTTTGACTAAGCAACTGTGAAAAAGAATATGAGACATGTTAAGCTTTGAACCCACATATCGTTGAAATGTTGAAAAATGTTACCTTTCCAGACCCCTGCAGACCCAGGTGCATCCTGCTGACATGATGGATTGCCTGTTCAGGTAGTCGTTTTACGAGAGAGCCTCCCGCTCGGGTTTGCTTGGTACCGGGAAACATGATAAACCTCACGCCTAACTGACATGTTATCAACCAGTCCTTCGAGGACCGCGAAGACTACTAGCAACGTTGGTCCCATTGGCCATTGGAACGGGGAAACCGAAAGGTTCTTTGCATTTGCAGAGATGCTTTGTATGTACTTACACGGCATGAATGACTCGCGCTCGCAATGACATTTCAAAGCAACGACAATAAACAAAACAAAAGGCTGAAATGTAGTATACCATCCAGTCAACCTTAAATTCTGGTGTAACGACCGACGGCGAGATCTTTGACCCCGCCCGGGTCTGTGACACTCGTGCTTTGCAGGCTCTTTGACGTCGCGGGATCGCGCAACTCGGAAATTGGCAGGGAAGATACCTCGGAGGAACCCAAGTCTGGGGCCTTGCATTATTGTGCAACAGCGGCAGGCAGGAAGCCCTCTTTTTTTTTCTCTTTCTCGGTGTCAGCGTGAAACAAATAATTGGTCAACGTTAGACAGGTTCCTTTGGTTTTTTTTTTTTGGTTTTTTTGGTTCCTGTGATAGCTGATGGCTGGATCATAAGTTAACATCTACGAGTACGAGTACGAGTCAAGATCACCGCAAACAGTTACAAATGTTGGTGCTTCCTGCGTACCTATATACCAATTGTTACTTAAAGTATTTTAGGCATTCAACGGTCAAATTAGCAAACTTCAGTCAGAACTTTTGGTGCTACATACAAGTTAGGCTGGGAGGTTTTAACCCCTTGGCCCCGAAAAGCCAAGTCAAGCAGCTCTGATTTGAGATAAGGACGGGACCATGCAATAACAAAAAGAGCTATCGGATACGAAAGATCCCCTCAAGCGGGTACATGCAGCATGATCGGACCTAAACCCGAACCATTAATATTGAGTTATACGCCCCCCTAGTCCGGGGAATGTCCTCCACGTACAGACTTTTGGTAGAAGTTTTTAGTCGCAAACAAGAGTTTAGGCTTTATTTTTGCCACGAGAAAATTCGAAAATTCGAAGAAGAAAAAAGGTACAAGTTGCACGCTTGTATAAATGATGTGCTAACCCGGTACTTCAAGGCACACTGATCTATTTAAATTTATCCGCAAATTTAAACAGGGCTCAAAAATTTTTAAAACAGATGTACAAAATGTACTTCCATATTAGATGGGCTATATTAGCCAGGCGAAGCGACAGAATATTCGAACATGCATGGAAATTAATATCTCAAAACTCTGCAATATAAAAACAGACTACAAGTAGAATTCATCGATCCATCTATTAATATATTCCCCCCAAAATACGTTCGAATTTCTCCAGCTTATCCATGATACCTTTATAATTAGAGAGACTTCGGCTTGTCCGGAAGCCGACTTGACGAAGTTGAATCTGATTCAGAGAAATGTTCAGCTAGCACAAGATCTAAAACAAGTATAATAAATTAGTAGAATGCAATCGATCCTTCAACTAATCCGCATTCAGTGCATTACCTTATATATAGCTAAGCTATGTATAAATAAAAGGTATTAGATTGTATAAATCAAATATTAATATATAATAAAATAGACATATACATGCACTTACCTAGTATTCCTCAATAGAAATCGAAAGTCGATTAAGCGCAAGTTAAGGGCACAGAACCAGCCCCTCCGTCTAATAGAAACTAAAATCTTACCTTGAATAGATCGCGACAAATATTAATAGATTCCAGATCCTATGATTCGAGGCCGGAATGCCAATAGAGGTGCGCGGTTGCATATTTGAGAGGAAGGTGAAGCTCGCAAAAGTGAATAGATTCGCCGTACGTGGCTCGTATTCTATTCTAACCGATATAGCTGAAGAGAATCCTTCCTTATTCACTTGTAGAGTACCGTACCTAACATAGCGGATGAGATGCTAGATATATTTAATATTTATATTTGGTATTGACACTAATGCATTATATATTAATGATGGTAGCACAGAGTAAGATACTAAGTAGGGGCATGGCAAAGTTGAAGAAGGCTATTCTAAGATCATCAGCCCTAGCAGTTCGAAAAAAGGAGGAGGAGGAGGATGAGAGGGTGCATATACCTAGGTAACAGCTAGAATTCGAGTAATATATGGCGGCGTCTTCGAAAATTGCATGCATCACGACTCGGGGGGGTTCTGGATACGAGACTACGGGTGGTTAGGAACGGAACGATCTATAGGCCACCAATTGTATAATCCATCTAGCCCCCAGGAACCAATTCCAGAATTGAGTAAAAACTTATGTTTATACGTCTCTTTTCAGCCACTGGAGCTCCCTATATACTTAGCATGCAAGTACAACCTCCTTTGTGCAACCACAAAAGTCAATAATGACAGCCCCCCATGATATCATTTTCCGGAACCAACTTGCAACAAAAAGGTCTAGAAATCTACATGCATCAAAACCACGCACAAACCCACCCCCCGCTCCGCGGGATACAGGACCTAAAATATAAAACAAAAGAACCAAATACAGGATTTTATCACACGCCGCAACCGAAGGAGAAAACAAGAAAAACCCCACCCGTCACCCGCGCCCGCATGACATCTAAGATCCCAACCCCTCTCGTTGACCCCTCAAAACCTCCCCCTCCGGCACAGCAGACAGGTCCCCCAAAATTGAAATACCCCCCTTCGCCGCCTTGGCAATACACTCCCCCAAATCCCGTGGCCTAAACCCTCCTTGCAACCAGAACTCTCTAAGCCCTTCAACTTTCACACTACCCAAATCAAACTCCTTCGGCGTCGCAGCATACGTCATTCCATATTCATCATCATCCTGTTCAATCTCATAATCATCTTTATCCAATTCACTCATCCAGCTAGCAGTCTCCACCTTCGAATTGTAGATAATCAACTCCTTCACCCCTTTTAACTCCGCGTTTGCAAAGCGTCTCCACCAGGCGACGCTTACTACGCATTTGATCTTTAGGGTTTTGACTTTTGGTGGTGGGGTGATGAAGTATGATGGATGGAACATCTCGCCGCGGAGGTAGAGCCATTCTAGTTGTTTTAAGCCCAGAAATGCGGTTTGGAGGTTATTCAGAAGTGAAGCCATTCTTTCTATCGGTGGGGGGCTATACTGGCGTTCTTCGTTGTCCGTAGCTAGTTTTAGTGTTCGTAGGTTCACTGTCCTTGTTAGAAGTGCGGTGAGATCTGTCGCTTGCTTTCCGGCGATAGTTTCGAGTATTCTATCCTCGTAACTGATTCTTTCGCCAGTTGCATCTTCGTGGGTGTCGCCGTAGTCGTCGTCGTCATCTTCATCTTCATCGCTACTAGACAGTCGGAAGCCGTCTTCATCTTCATCGTCGTGAAGAAATATCAGTAGATCCAGACTTGTGACTTTTTCCAAGTCGATCAAGTCGAATATGGAACACTTGGGTTTAAACCATTGCGAGATGGAACTTATAAAGTTCGTATCCAGGATAATGCTAAATTCATCCGCCTGCTTCCCTTCAGAATACCTTTTCAAAATCCCTAGGAATCTTTCAATTCCAGTAGGTGGATCATCTGAAGTTTCCAGGTCTACCACCAACATTAAAAACCGTTTGACTTTAGCTTCCATCAAGAACAATGTATTAAAAAAAAATAGTAATAAAAAGGGAATCGGGAAAATACTCACAACTCCCCCAAACACTAACCTTAACCCACCGAACCGCCACCCCACCTTCCTCAATCCTATCCCCAAGCACTCTCAGCAAACCATCAGTCATACAAGCCGTACTTCTCGCAAAAACCTCGGGTTCCAAAACCAATCCTCTAATATACCCAAATCCCGGCATCACTTCCTCCCGCTTCTCGAATTCATTGGTAGTACGGGCTAAAGCCCTGCACCCATCGTTTCCAACCGCACGGAGAGGGTTATGGGTAAACGGCGGACATGGTGGTCCGCGATATTTCCCGGGTATTCGATCGCAGAGGTGAAGCGTCGAGTAGAGATGGTGGAGAGAAGGAGGGTAGAGGGATTTACAGGTTTGTAGGAGGGAGAGAGTATCACGCAGGGAAAGGTGTGTGAGGATTAGGGAAACTAGTTCGGAAGGTAAGGTGGTTATTGCTGGTGGCATCTTTTGTTGACATCGATATTTTGGTTTATGCGAAACTATGGTATATTGAGTCCGAAAGGTACTTCCGGTTGTTCGGGTTATTGATGCGTTGTAGGTGGTTGGGAATTGTTGGATTTTGCGGACAACCGTCGACTGGTTGACATCGATGAATGATGGAATCTAAAACTCTGAGGTCTTACAAGACCCGGAGAGAGCAAGATAGCGTTTAAATTGGGGGTTAATAGCTAGGGAATGGCGACAATGGTTCGCAAACAAAGAGAGTCACAATACATTGAAAGGATTCGTGACGCACGTAGACTTAATCTAGGAAAGCGGGTCATTGCAGTAATCTAGAACCATGGTTCTAAGACCTGTTGGCCGATAAAGCCAGCGAGCAAGGATGGCCCCGTCGCCTCTGATCTGTCATAATCCCTCAGCATAGCATAGTACCCAGATCCTGAACTAATGATAAGTGGACATCGAGAATATTGAGTTCCATTCGTTAATTCTTTTGCTTTTCGGAACCATGAGAAAGCTATAATAGCACCATAGAGTACAATCAAAAATCATCTAAACTCCAGTCATAGTCTCATCAGGAAGCTCCTCTACGAGTCCAACTTTAATACCTCTCCTCCAAGCTACATCTTGTTTCTTGAAAACAGTACCAACTGGAGCGTCTAGCCAATTTTGTGGGACACCGACAAAGCTTCCATTTTTATTGCTGACCCATCTAATCATCTTCGGAGACTCAGTAGGCTCTGGTGTTCCCGCTTCAGCGACTTCATCCGCCGCATTCTCGTCTTCCAATTGCTTTTGGCTGCGACGATTAACCTTCGTAGCTTGACGTTTAAGAAGCTTGTTGATTGTCTCCATCTAAATTGTAGAAAGTAATGTCAGTCATGGGTTCGTAGAAAGGATCTGGATTGAAACCGGAAACATCTCTTTACCTTCTCCTCTTCCCTTCGCTGTTCGCTCTGGTTCTTCCTTCTTCTCGCCATCTCAGCACGGCGGCTAGCCTGCTCAGCAGCGGTTAAAGGAGCTGCCTTCTTTGTAGTTCCAAAGTCATCTGGCAATTCCATTAAATCTGCGGCATAGACCGAATCAAATTTCCCTAATTGCCTTCTGGTCAAGCCTTTAAGATTTGGTGTATCGGGTCGGCTAATATCAGGCGTAGCCATCATTGAATCATCCATTTCCTCGTCATCGTCACCTTCCGCATCTTCGCCTTCCGCATCTTCATCATCTTCGTCCTCTTCATCGTCATCCTCGTCATCGTCCTCTTCGTCGCTCTCCGGTTCCACAATCTTCGGAATCGGTACAGATCTCGGAATTGCCTTCGCAGTCGGTGCTCGAACAACAATAGTGTCTTCATCAGGTTCTCCCTCTGCATCTTCGTCTTCACTAGCTACTGCTAATTTCCCACGAACTGTACCAGGAACAACCAATGACGGCTCTTCATCGATATCCATTCCATCGTCCGTCTCTCCAGGTGCATCTTCGTCTGAAAAGACCGCCTTAGCAGCCCTCCTAGCCGGCATTTGTCTTGTTCCGGCGCCACGGGAAGGTCGTTTAGGAGCAGGCTCAGACTCCTCCTCCTCTTCTTCCTCTTCTTCCTCTTCCTCAGATTCTTGACTAGCTTCAACGTCGTCGTCGTCCGCGATATCAATGTTTGAATCATCGTCCTCGCTATCACTAGACGGTAATCGTCGTCTACTCCTTGTATTTGTAGATGTTGTCGCAGCATTTCTAGTGGGTTGTGAACGGCCAGATGTGCGAGATGGTTGCGATCTAGTATTTGTTGCTGCAGATGTACGGGTGCTTCGACCGGCTGGGACGCTCCTAATGTTTGATGAAGTTTTGGCCACTACCTCGAAAGGGTGGCGATTAGCCCATGTTCTATAGAATTTGAGAGAGAGAAATAAAGCCAACTTACAACCAGGTTTTAGATTCTCCACCGATGCGGTCCTAGTGTGTGAACGGGTGGAAGGTTGTGAGACAGCACTATCATCTTTATCTTCCTTCCTCACGCTAGATCTCGTACCCCGCGAATTTTGGGCTTGAAGGGTAGGAGCAGCTGAAGGCTGAGAAGAAGCCGCTGCAATGCGACGCGAGGAGCGACGGTCTGCCATGGCTGGTGTGTAATCGATGCTGAAGCTGTTCAATTTAGAGCTAGTTAGCAACGATGAGAACTGAAAAGTACTCAGGCAAGGGGGTGGTTGGTGAAAGGAGAGAGTTGTTGGAGGAGGCTCTTACTCTTCAAAGTGTCTTTTTGATGGAACGCGAGACCTAGCAACGGATTCTGAGAGGGGCGCCGAGGGCCAAACTTGAGGTTTATACGCGCGCGTGTCGGAGACTGGTGTCCGTCAAAGAAGATGGTGATGTAACAGTTAGCCACAAAGGATTGGTTTCATAAAGCACCCACCACCGTCGCAATGGGCCAGAAAAAAATTAAGGTTGCTCGACATTGGAGGTTACGTTCCCCAAGGCAAACTGGCACACAACGTAAGGCATGAATTCCTTCGTGTCATCAACCATGAATGGAGCTAGTGGACCTTAATGACAAGAACCGGTATGACACCCGAATAGTATTATGCCATGACCATTGGCAAATATAGGGAACAGAATACGAAGCATCAAAAAAATAAATAAATAAACCGGAAAATAAAATAAAACTTACCTCGCTCCAAGCTCCTCCTCAAGACCCAATCATACGCTTGATCCTTGTCCAAAGGTAAGAAGTATTCCGGATTATCACTCCGACCCACGCGATCGCGATGGATACCCACGTCGATGAAGCTGGAAGTGGAGGCGACGGGAAAGACCAGCAAGCCTGTCATATTGAAGAGGAAAAAAGAGGAAAAAGGATCAAAAAAGAAAAGAGCTGAGCGGGTATCACAAGGGTCTGTGCAGCTGTGTGCCAATTATACCGACCCAGACGAGAAGCAGCGTGGGCAAAAAAAAGGTTGGGCAAAAAACCCAACTAGGCGAATGGGCAATAATGACGAGAAGAGTTCTTCGACGGCGGTGTAGCTATACCAAGTAGTGCAATGTAGCGACGGGCTGGGTCGGTCTGGTCAGTCAGGTCCTGTGCATGAAAGAACGCGCGAATGAGATGTGGAAAGGAGATGCCGTTCCGATGTCTTAGTCGGGCTTGGCTACCGTTGGCTGCAGGAGCTAGCAAGATGTCACACTTCCCAACACGGTTTACGGATCCTAGATCCTTGATTTTCTGGGGGCTTGGGACGAAGACTCACTTGATCGAGGCGGGGGTTCTGGGGGGATTGAAGCTGTGGATGGCTCTCGAGGAAGAATTGTATTATATCCGTGTCGAAGAATGCGCGGGAGGAGTTATTTAATGGGGCTCTGACCAGCTACTCACAGAACTATCCAATCCCAAAAAGGAAATCTTTAACGTCGTCCATTAGTGTCCTCAACACACACCCGCTACCCCCCCTACTTTACATATACCGACTATATATCACCAGGGTGCTTGTCTCATATACAGTAGACGACTCTATTGATCCCACTTATATTAAATGTCACCTCCGCCTCTGGAAAATCCCGCATCCGAGGAGGTTGACGACAAACAAACTAAACCTGAACCTGAAGGCCCAAACTTCACCAAAATACACGGTCAAGTGAATCCTATTCTCCATGGTGCCAGATACGTAAACGGCCAAATCATCGAGTTCCGAAATGTCTCCTCGGGGACGGCTCAACAGGTAGTTAGCTGGTATAAACAGAAACTCTTTGATTTTCAACTTTATCGTCTAAGGTACGTTCCCTTGGTTCTTCGTCAATATATACTCAGGATTATGTACTATTCTTCGTGTACATACTCTGTGTTTAATCATGTATCTCTACGTATATATATACTAACTGATACCCACCCCTGCCTAGATTGAATTATAACTATAAACACCGCCTTGTCCAATTCAAGTTCTCCTACCCAGCAGGAGAAGCCTTAGCCGAAGCTCTCAGGTCCAAATTCACAATGTGGATTTGGGATTCCTTCAAAGACATCGGCGGTATCTCCAAATCCATCAGCAAGGACTTTCAAATGCTATCCTACTGCCGTAAGTCTCGCATATATACAATATTAATACTAGGTACTTCCTGATACTTACAACCTACAGCCTCTCCAATCCTCTCCCCGGTCATCCCTAGAACCCTCCTCCTAACCCCAGCACTCTCCATCTATCCAAACCAAAAAAACCATGATACCGAATTCCCACCTGTGGTCATAGACTACGCTTTCTCACCCACAAACTCCCCCTCCGAACTCCTCCGTCACTGGCACGACCTCTACCGTTCCCGCGACCTCTGGTTCTCCCACAGTAAAGCAAAAACTCAAGTCATAATCCTCGCATTATTCTCCCCAGCTGCCACCGGCAAAGATGCTGAAGAGCAAGGAGAGGAAGAAGGGGAAGAAGAAGAACAAGTACCTCGCCAAAACACCCTCAGTATTAATAACAACAGAAACATCCGCATCCAAGGAAGAATGGACGTCTGGCGCTATGATAAAAACTGGAAAACAGGCCGTTTAACAGATGAAGTTATATTATTCCCCCGTCCATGGGACCACCAGAAAGAAGAGGAAAAAATAACCTTCAAGATTCAAGAAATATTCGGTGAATCCTTTGATTTTAGATTCGACGAATCAGATATCCCTGAAGATATGGAGTTTGTCTTGGATGTTAAGGGGTTGAGGAAACATATGCAGGAAAATCGGCATGTTATGAATTTGTGGGCGGTTTGATGAAGCTTTGGATCATTTGGAGGGGTGCTAGACTAGACATCTTGATTCTTTTTCTCTGCATCAGTGTTTTTTTTCTTGGCTTTGTGGGAGCGTAGCTGCTTCGTTCCATTGTCAAGAATTATCTATACATTGTTTCGATATTTCTCGTGTGGGCAGAGGCATCAGGATCTAGAACGAAACAGCTCAACAGGCTTCTTCGATAAGTTTTCATCATAAAGGTTTCTTGATTAAGGATATTAATTGCAAGAACAGGCAAATATCAAAACACTTGTGAATATATACAGGGACCAAATACCCACAAAACTATCCCCCTCCAAGTCCAGATATCTCCGAAAAGAAAGATCGAGAAAAAAAAATGAAGTATATACAACGAAGTAGAAATAAATTATCATCCGAAATTAAAATCCCGAAAAAGAATTTCAAACTCCAGCCTCAAAAGAAAAGAAAAAAGGTATCCAAAAGAATATCATGATAACCCTCCAATGAAATGATATGTGGAACCCAAAAATAAGTCCTCAGATAGAAAAATAGGGTGAGGGGGAGCAAAAAAAGAGGAAGAGAAGAAACGCCATACCATATCTAACCTTTTGTTTTATACAAGAAAGTGCAAAACTCATGCATGCATCATAGCCTCGTTAGTTATCAAGGGATCGCTCAAAACATTGCACTCATAGCCCTTTCGTCTTTGGGGTGTCAAAATCATTACAACTGCACTCCGCTCTTCTCCGCCAAAATCATTTCCTTCTTTCTGCGTTTCTTATGCTTCTGTTGAGTCTCCAAATGACTCTTCTTCAACTCATCAATCGCAATTAACATGCCCGAATCCTCGAGTGGGAGGTATTGTAACGCAATACGTTCAATTTTAACCACGTGTGACTTGAGTAATTGTAGATCAGACTCATCCTGCGCCTTATGTCGTTTCCTATATATCAAGGTTAGCAAGGTGTTGCTGAAAATAAAATTGAAAAGGGTGACAGAGGAAACATACAAAGCCTCAAAAGTCCTCAGCTGCTTCTCTAATGTTGCAACCCTCTCACTGGCGGCTGCAACTGTAGCAGCAGCTCGGGCCTCCTCAACCTTCATCTGCATTTCCAACTTCTTCAACTCATTCTCCGCCGCATTAACTTGTTTCTCTGCATAATCTTTTGTTTCGACTAGCATGCCTTCAAGGTGAATGATCTTCTCTTCCGCAGCGGTTTTGACAACATCCAAAGCATTGGTCAATTCGTTGATTCTTGATTCAGCTGCCTGTTTCAGAGCTTCTGGGATCCGATTAAGCTCCTCGATTTCTTGTTCAAGCGTGGTGATTCGGTCTTCGGCTTCGGTTGCGATGTCCACGGTGTGAACTTTGGCTTCCTCGAGGTCTTTTGACAGAGCTTCAATTTCGATGTCTGCTTCTTCGATAACTTTTTCCAAGTGTGCGTTGACTTCGGCGAGTTGGCGTTCTAATTCTTCAATCTTCTCCGCATCTTCCTCTCCGTAGATAGCTGCCTCATGCTTATTCATTTTATCCTCCAGGTTCTCCGTAAGAGTCTTCAACTTCGCTAGTTCTTTTTCTGCGGATTCTTTCTGAGACTCAAGATCTGTGAACTTCTCCAACTCTTTCTCCAAATCCCCAATCTTCTTCTTCGCTCCCTCGATAACTAGCCCACTGACTTCATCTGCATCCTTCAACTTTTCAATCGTCTCGTTCAAGGCCTTCATAACCTCGTTCCGTCCTTCAACCTCTACCACCATTTCTGCTAACCGTCCAGAAACCTTCTTCAACTCCACTTGACTTTCATCATCCCTCCTCTTCCATGCGTCCGCTTCCTTCTGATGCAATAAAGCCTCTTGCTCCTTTATTCTCAGTATATCTTGGAGTCTCTGCTTTGTACTCTCAAGCTCAAGACGCCTTTCTTGTCGAGAATCACCATCCTTATGCTTCTCGGAAACCAACTGGTCGTATTGTTTGCGTAAATCATCGAGTTCCTCTCGGGTTTTATTCAACTCTGAAGTTTTGTCGGTTTTGAGTAGAGTGCGTAGCTGTTCCCGAAGAACTTTGATTTCACCTTCTTTCCGTGATTTTTCCTTTTCGGCAGTAAGCTTCGAGAGTTCGAGGTCTAGTATTTGGGTGCGAAGTGAGGCGATTTCTTGGTCTGCGGTTTCAAGTTTCTTTCGGAGCCCATTGACTTCTTCAGTCGGAATTTGTGGTTCTTCCTTTTCCTTCTCGTCTTCTTTTTCCTTCTCTTCTTTTTTCTCTTCATCCTTCTCATGGTCTGGGGTTTCGATTAAAAGCTTCAACGCTTGCACTTCCACACTTGCATTCTCTAACTTTTCCTCAAGTACTTCCTTTTCTTTCTTCAGCTCCTCAATCTGCAGCTTCAAATCCTTTATCTCTGAATCATCTCTAATGATGGAGACAGAATCAACTTCTTCCAGCTGCTTCCTCAAATCTTCGATCTCCGTTTTAACCCTCGTTATCTCCTGCTTATCCGCAACCCCTTGCTTCAAAGCCCCCTCTAGTTGCTCAAACATGGCATCCAAATCATGTTGCCTCGTCAAAAGCTCTTCCTGGTCTAGTTCATGTTGCTCAAGGAGATCCTCGACTTGGTGTCTCAATTCCGCGGTCTCGGCCTTGAGGTTACTGTATTCATCTTCGCGACTCTTAGCCTGCTCGATGATACCAATGAACTTTTCATAAGTGGCTTCTAGATCCGCTCTCTTCGTCTTAAGGTCCTCTTCCTCTGCCCGCCTGTCTGCGATCATATCCGATAGCTCCTGTCGCAACTCAGATATATCCCTAGCATCGGCCGACTCCTCCTCAGTTTGCACCCCAGAATCTCGAACGTTAGACGTAGGGCTCGGGGTTCGTCTTTGCTTTGTCGGAGATGGTGTCTTCCTGGGCGACATGGATCCAGGTATCCTCTTTGGCGAGATAGACCCAATAGTCGAAGACCTGCGCACTCCAGCATCCGGTAGATCATCGAACATCTCCGGAGGAATCATAGTCCCGAATTCTTCATCGTCAGTCCCGTCAAGTCCAAACGCTCCTTCCTCAAGAACAGTTTGTAACCCCTCAGGACTCATCCGACTTTCATTGATGTGTCTTTCGAAAATCTCGATTTGGCTCTGCATTTCCCAGACGCTGACATTGAGTTCTTCTTCCGTTTCCTTCAATTTCTCCTCCAACCCGACTCGCTTTCCTCTTTCGAGAATAGTGTCCTTGAGGGAATCGGAGACAGCAGTCTCGAGGCGTCTGCAGCGGTCGTTGAGTTGGTCGATGTTCTGGTTAGCGAGGGAGCGTTCAGATACACGGGCGGCGGACTGTTCTGTGAATTTGGTAAGTAGTTGGGAGATCAAGTCTTCGTAGTGTGTCTGAATTTTTTCGTAACCAATTTCGTGGGGCTCCTCTTTCGCTGAAGAGACTACGGAAGGGTCCGGGCTGGGAATTGGGGCGGGGTGGTAAGGAGATAGGTCTTGGTTCCTTGAGAGCTGGTCGATTTTTTCTATTTATTATGTTAGTCAATTGGACTACTTTGCGACCTAGAGTTATATGTTTTTCACCTTTGAGAACCTCATTTTCTTTCTGAAGAGCAATTATCTCCACCTTGTGTTTGACGGTTCCTTGAAGCTCCTGGGAGAGAGATAAATTCTCCTCCTGGAGCTCATGAAGCTGGCGCTCGAGACGGTTTGTAGCATCATGATGTTCGAGAAGAAAGCCACGGAGGACGGAGATCCGTTCTAGAAGTTCTTGCTGAGAGGATTTTTCGAGCTCATGAAGTCGGTTCTATATGGCAATTAGCGCTGTTAGCGTGGCGATAGCGAGAGAATTTTTCTCTTAGCTCCATTCCCATACCTTATAGAAATTGAGTAAATCCTGGGTCATCAATGGCTCCGGATCACCAACTATCGCTACCGGCGGTTGTTGCTCCATGTTTGTATCATCAGTTTGTACACCCTCGGACTGCGCACCAAGTTCTTCGTCTCTTTGTTTGAAGGTGGTATTTGTAGGCGAGATGTTGGGTGTGGCGAAAGCGCTCCCAATTGTTTTCACGTTGTAAGAATCCACGTTTGCGCCACCGTCCAAGGCCGATGTAGGACGAGTCGGTGTGGTAGGAGTGTTTCCTGCGACAGGAGTAGTGGAAGTGCTGGATGGTGGGATAAAGTAGCGCGAGAGAGGGATTAAACCAGGGAATTCCTTGAGTTTTCGACGACCCGAACCCGAACCAACAGCTGATAAAAGGGAAAGGGTAGCGTAGGAGGTAGTCGTGTGCTGCGATGTCGGGGATTCGTCCGGATGATTATTAGTCGAGGTTGAGGTTGTGTTTGTAGTGGCGGTTGTGGTGCTAATATTGCCAATATTGCCAGGACTAGGATTAATCAGATTATTGTTGTTGTTGTTTGTGGTGATGCGCAGGGGGGACTGGCGATGAGAGATGCGACGCTTCGAAGGCGAATGCAGCAGCACCAGCGACTGTTGGGGAGGAGTCGATGGCGGGATGAGGTCGATGAGGTCGAGATCGAGATCCTCGTGATTCTCTGCAGCAGCAGGGGCAGAAGTAGAGGGAGAAGGACAGTCGGCAGCAAAAGTACCTGTACCTGGAGCTGCGTCTGTACCTGTATCTATACCAGCGGCGGCAGCGGGAGAGGATAAAGAGCGGGAGTGGGAGTACTTCTGAGGGAGGCCTTGATGGTTATTCACCCGCCAGATCGCAGCCATGTTTGCTGACTTTGCTTGCTTGCCTGGCTGCCTGGCTGCCTGCTGTGCTTGCTATGCTTGCTTGCTATGCTTCTTTCTTTGTTCTTCTGGAACGACGCGCCGAAATTAAAAGACTTCTTCTCGAGGGCGCTGCGCATGATCCTTTTTTTCGTATCCTGGTTTCTTCTGATTCCAGCCGACAAAGAAGGTGGTTTAGTTCGGGTTCAGGTGGAGGAGTGCAGCATGCAGGAAGTCTGCATGTAATTTTACCCGAAACGGCAGTCAAATTGCTTTTAATATCTTCCAGCGACGCGATTAGTTCGCGTAATGTAGTTTAAACAGCTGGTTGATTCGAAGGGGCTTCTTTGATGAAATCTTGCAGGTTCGTTCGCAGTCAGACAAATCATAAAATATCGACTAAGAGTTTAGGTACTTGGCTTGGTGGGTTCTCCGTACTCCGTACTTTGCCGGGCGATAGGTATGCCGGTGTTCATGTTTAACCCGGGTTGGATCCATGGAATGGTATTGATAGAAGCTATCGGCGATATCCATGACATTATGATATTCGAATAAGGCAATTGCTCTTTCGAGCAATTTTGCAGTGTTATGGATGATGTTTATATTAATATTGGGTCAAAGAGTCTGACGATAATTAGACCACGGTCAGTAGACTGTCACAACTGGCCCTCAACCCGAGATTAACTCGAATCATAAACTATATATTAATATTCACCGCATAAGAAATGGGTCTCTCGGAAATCATCTGGCTCCTCTTAATTGAGGCGGGCATCACGAATTGTAGAGCTTGACACACCGGTATCAAGGACTTATCCAGTTTGTAGATAATGGTGACTGACGACATTCATATAGGAGCTAGGAGACTGGCCAGCGCTAGCTGTGCAGCTGTGTGCAGCAAACAGAAAGGATGGTACCTCATAGCTTTGCAGAGCTGCCATAGGTGAGCTGCCTGATCTAGTTAATATCCGCAGCGACACGATCGATTTGTTCTCAAATGCAGTGGCTATGCAGGGGCAGTTCGTGTTTGATTAAATGGCCATGGTAGAGGAAAAGAATCTCGCGTTTTTGACCAGTTGCATCTGTAAGACATTTAGCTGCATAGACAGCTCGAGCTAACTGGTGAGCTCAGTTATACATTAGTTTCATTTCATTTAGTTATTCTAGAAAGAAAAAAAAGCTTTAAAGGGGGTTTTGATCGAGGATATAACGTCTGTCATATGCCACGCACCTGATAGCTATAGCATCGGTCCAGTCGATCGTCTGTGGCGGGTGTTAAGGTGGTGTGGTGGTGCCATGGTCCCGGTGCACGTTTTCGTGGCTCGTAATTCACACGTACGGAATTGACCTGGTACCGTATGGTATGCATACTTAATGGCATATGAGATTAACGATACTGGTACCGGTGGGGAGGAAATTAGTCGCATTTCAGCTTGTTGATAACGTCTCGAATACATTTTTTCCTGGATCCTGACGTTAAATATTTGAAGTTGCATTCCAGAGGGGATGGAATTGAGGGGCCGGTTTAAGTATTAGGCTTCGACTGGCATGAGCACTCGCTCAAGACCGGCGTATATATATATCAAGGGCGAGAAAATCGAACATCGATGTGATACTGTCATATGATCATGAAGCTAGCTCACTAATTTAATTACAATTAAACTTAAATATACTAAATGATAATCACGATACGATCTTCTAAGATATCAATCTGCTGTTGGGTGAGTAGAAGGCGGTGTTGGTCGATTCCAAATCAACCACACAACAACTTGTTCTTAACGTATCCTTCGTATATCTCGGCAGATACAAAATATATTCCAATAATTTGCAATAGTATTGGTTAGTCAATTGTGCAAAATACAGTTAAGTTATTGATGGAATCACTTTCAAGGTGTCAAAATACACAAAGTATACATCGTACTTAATCTCCTACTAACCTCGGGGTTCGTCGACGCAGTAGACACAAGGGCAAGCGAAGTCCATATCGAATACTCACATATATTATACCTAGTAGATACTATACATTAAAATCTCAGAATATTGCAGTAAATAGCTATCTTAAGATCTCCAAAGCCAGACTAATTAAGCTAAGGATTCAAAATCCGAGGGCGCCAAGTGCCTGCAGCGTCGGAGCTAGCCCTGTCATTAGCCGTGTCAACCACTCCGCGATCCGGATCCGCAAAAAAGAATTACCACATTTGACATTTTAAACTGTCTACAATGATGCTGAATGCTTTGACGATATCGATTTCCTCGTGCTGTCATTTCCCTCGCAACTGGTGACTGAAAAGCTATTGTTTCGGCTTCCTCCCAGGTTAAGGTTCGCCTAACCCCGCCGAGAATGGACAGTCTTCGCGTTAGCGGGGGGTTACAAGCCGGATATCGGCCCCGCAGTGAAAGGCGACCCCGGTGATGTTTCTGGAATTATTCTGGATTTATACTGAAGTAAATGCGATTAATTTGCTATCGAAATACAATATGTAGGATTCAAGACGTATGCTGATCTCTATTGTTCGAAAGTTAGCATCTTTATTACTTAAGTATATAAAGGTGCTAAATTCCATGCCTGTTCTCTCAATTTAGACGTTTGGTTGTATACTCAGGCTACCTACTAGAAGCAATAGTCCCTCATTAGTCATCCTTGCTTTAGCCACTCATTTCCACCTCTAGCCACTCCTTTTATATCACTTTAGAGGTTCAAAGCATATATATACTTATATACCAATATGCATTTCCAAATAGCCTGCGCCCTCGCGGCCTTTCAAATCCCAGTAGCTCTATCCCACGTCCTCGTCACAAATGCCTTCGGAAACGTCGACCCAACCGCCAAAACATACGGCATCGGTCTTCTCGAAAACACAAATCGTCAAAATGGTGCTCGATTTAACAACCAACGAGACGTAACCGTATTCAGCGACCCGACAATGGCACCGAATGGGTCAGGTCAAGCCAAAAATGCGGGTGATAAATGGTACTGCAAGAAATGTCCTATTTACGATCAAGAATGTAAACACTGTAAAGGCGTAACGGATTGCAAGAAATGCTTTATTGGATATGATCCAAATTGTTCGGCATGTCGGAAGAGAAATCTTTCTGGTTGCGGTCGGACTTATTATGTCGGTTCGGCGAAGTACTATATCACGGATTCTCCGCAATTGAGAGGAACTGACTCCAATTTTCCGAGCTATAACACCGCACGGCTTAACACTACTTCATGGCTCGAGTGGATGGTTGATCGAAATCTTGTTGCTAAAGTCACGGCAGGCGGCTGGGTTAACGTGACAATGTCACAACAGAACACAGATGGGGGCGGGCCATATATGTGTCAACTTGATGAAACAGGTACGGGGGAGAATTTTAAGCCATTGGATATCGTTGGTAAAGACTGCGCCGGACGGTATGGCGCCAATCTATGTAAGAACCAAGATTGGTACGTCGGCGCGATTCTACCAAAGGATTTGAACTGCAAAGGAACAACGATTGGGGAGAAAAAAACCGACGTATTGGAAAAGATTTGCATGTTGAAATGCTACAATGACGCCCCGTAAGTCGAAATCCATTGAGATAAGAATAATTATATAATATACATAACTAACATCATAATGTCGGACACCTTAGGAATGGTCCCTTTGGAGGGTGTATACCGATCCAACAGGTGGAAGGCGAGGGAGCAACGTTCCCACCATTGGGGAAACAGGATTTTTGTGAGAATGGGCCGTGGCCAGGGTCTCCACACTCTGACAAGTTTCTCCGGTTTTTGGCGGGCAATGATAACCTCAAACAAGCCGACATGGACTATTTAGCCAAAGAAGCTGGAGTGAAGAGGACGTTTCACTAAAAGGACAGAAAGTCGGCCGAATTGTGGTCGCTACCGTATTTTCACTGCAGACCTGCTCAGATTGCAGGGTGGGCGGGTCATATTTGGGAGTCCTGTGAACGCGTATACCAAAGTACTTAATTAGTACTCGTTATACCTGTATCGAAAGCAATTATCACTTGAACAAAGCCTTTTTCTAGTGAGAAAGGTCATTTTTAAGGGTTAATTGCGGACAAATTCAGACCAGTATTTGTGTTGGACATGTTGGATTTCGGCTCCTTTCTAGTTTCGATCTAACATGGGATGCAATTCATTTTCTATTCACAATAATGATAGAATGGATTTTTAACAATCCGATCCACCTGCCGCCTAAGTACTTAATCAGTTAAAGTCCAAGAAAAACGCCCATACTCCTGCCAATGCTTCTTTCAATTTCAATTCCGATATTTATCGTTGTGTTGATATCATGAATTTGTATGATTCATATGCTTGGCACTAACTCTTTGTGGAATCAGATCCATGTCCATCTGACCTGGCTTGGTCTCGCGGCTTCAAAACCGTTAACACCAACACAACGGCGCCCCGGCCATATATTATAATTCTAAAAATTCTTAGATTCAATAGATATGGATATATTATGCACGATTCCCATGCACGATTCTTCGCTTTTGTCTCGTTATTCACAGTGTTCTTCTATTCTTCCTCTCTTTTGCCGAGTTTGAAAATTTAGATTTTTCTTTTTTTCTTTATATCTTTTCATATGGAGCAAAACTATGACCGTAACCAATTCTTTACAATCCGACGTTGCGGATTCGAGACCGGAATTAAACTTTCTAATGGACGAAAAGGACCCAAATGCAAATAAAAATGCAACTGATGACGATGTCCGCAGTGATATCAATTTGGAGCGAAAGTCAGCTGAATTGTCAATTGATCATGGTGGTGAGGAGTATCCTCAGGGGATGAAGCGATTCATTATCGTTCTAGCTCTCATTCTTGCGATTTTTCTTGCATCTTTGGATATGGTATGTATACGTACTTCATTATTCAGACAATCCTTTTCTCTTCAATATTATATGTCCTGGTAGCTGACATTCCCTCAAGACAATCGTCGCAACCGCCATCCCCAGAATCACCGACGAATTCCACGGCCTCGACAAGGTATCTTGGTACGGCGCAGCCTTCTTCATGACAAACGGTGGCTTCCAGTCCTCATGGGGCAAAGCCTACAAATATTTCCCTCTAAAAACCGTCTTTCTTGCCTGTATCATCGTCTTCGAAATCGGAAGCCTCATCTGTGCTGTTGCACAAAACTCCACAACACTCATTGTAGGACGTGCTGTTACCGGAATCGGTGCTGCGGGTATTGGTACCGGGGCATATACTATTATTGCATTTATCGCCGAACCTGCGAAGAGGGCTATGTATACTGGATTTGTGGGTATGTCCTTTGGATTTGCGTCGGTTCTTGGTCCATTACTCGGTGGGGCTTTTACCGATCATGTCTCGTGGAGGTGGTGTTTTTATATCAATCTACCCATCGGTGGACTATCTGCCTTGATAGTCCTATTCTTCTTCCATGCACCTAGCGGTGCAAAGCCAGTTCCGGCTACACTGAAAGAGAAGATTTTACAAATGGACTTCGTTGGGGCGTTTATGATCATGGGTGCGATTACCGCTTACATGCTGGCTTTACAATACGGAGGACAAACCAAAGCATGGAACAGCAGTACAGTCATCGGATTACTCGTCGGGTTTGTCTTGATATTCGTGGTTTTTGGTATTTGGGAGTTTTATCAAGATGAACGGGCGATGATAGTCCCGAGATTGATCAAACAGCGAGCAATCCTCGTCAGCTGTCTTTTTACATTCTCATTCGTGGGGTCATATTACCTGGTCATCTACTACCTACCAATATACTTCCAGAGTGTTCACGATGCCAGTCCGACTATGTCAGGTGTACGGAATTTACCGTTGATTATTTCGGTTACTATATCCATGATTTTGTCGGGTATATTCGTTACTAAGACCGGGATTACGAATCCTATCAAAGTTGTTGGGGCGGTTATTGCGATTATTGCGTCTGGGTTGCTGTATACCCTTGATGTTGATACTTCGGCTGGGAAGTGGATCGGGTATCAGGTACTCGGTGGAGTTGGATGGGGTATTGCTTTTCAGTTGCCGATTATTGTTGGTCAAGCGTACTCTGATCCGACGAATGTATCATCTGTGACTGCTATGGTTTTGCGTAAGTTTTTAAAATCTATATGCATAACATTTCATTGATCAACCGAGCTAACGTTATATACACAAAATAGTATTCCAATGCGTCGGCGGTACTTTCTTCGTGGCTGCCGGTCAATCTGCATTTGTTAATAAACTCCTGGCAAGTCTTCCACAAACACCCGATATCGATCCTATCATGGTAGTCGCCACGGGTGCTACTGAGATTCGGCATGCGTTTCCTGCACAATATGTTGGGGATATTGTGGCGGCTTATATGGCGGGAATTAGTGTATCTTTGGCTATTCCTATTGGAGCGGCTGGAGTTGGGTTGATTGTATCGCTTTTTGGGAAGTGGAATCGGATTAATGCAGTGGCTCCAGCTGTTGCTGCTTGATTATATAGGGGTGTTTAGGAGCATGCAGTGTCAACGTTATTTTTGGTGTATGGTATTTTTTAAGATAGATATAATTTTAATTAAAGCAGGGTAACCCTGGGATTTTGTTAGTCAATACCTAACTTGAGGATCATAAGTTTCAGTTATCTTATTGAAGAGGAGATATGAATCTTCGTAGACACCTCGACTCTGACACTTTATCGAAAATATATATATCTTGGCAAAGAAACTTCGAAAATGCCTAAATCGATGATTATTTTTTAGATTATATACTATGCGTGCGTATCTATATATGATTTACATTGAGCATTCTATTCACAATTAAAACGAAGTATCGAGCTTCTAGATTTTGATACTTTGTATTTCAAACTATACCCCCTCTCTTGTACCAGGTGAATATTCCGTTTCTGCCCTGCCATCTCCGTACACCACCCCATTTTTCACCGGTAGTCCATCCGCTGTATATATTCCTACAGACATATGTCCCTGTGACATTTCCTGTGCCGGTTGCTTCAATCCTAGATGTTTTCGTACTCTTTTACTCTTCACACAGATTACTACTAGAAGGATCAAAATCGACCCTACTACAGCACCGACTGCTATCCCTGCTATTTCTCCCATAGATAAACCCCCACCTTGTGTACTCGTAGATGCTGCCGATGAATTTGTATTTATAGGTTTCATGCCTGTTGAACCTGCAGTCGTTGTGGCCGGTATAATCGTGGAAGGCGGACTGGTATTTACTGGCACAGACTCGACTAATGAAGACTTAGCCCCATCGATCGTACTCCAAACTTCCGTAAAGACGGATACAGCACCTACCGAGTATGATAGAAAGACGTTAACATTCTTGTTCCGTATCAATTACAATCCGAACACCATCAAAACCGTGATCACGACTGCAACCGTCACAATTGCTATCATAACCACTTGATTCCTCCCACCAGACGAAACACCCGTCTGCGCTACAACAGTAACGGTAACAGTCCTCTCAACAGTACTAACACTAAAAAACCCACCTGTCTCCCTCGCCCCGGTACTAACCGGCGTAACCATCCCACCACCTCCTCCTCGAGAAATAACACTAGCACAATACCCCTGATAAACACCCGTAGCTTTACTAACATCGATTCTATAATCTCCCGGTGAATCCTGACATTTTGAACTAACGCAGCTGCTGATGTAGTTTATCACATCCGGTTGGTAATCTTGGCGACACCAGCAGGATTCGAAGGCGCCGGAGTAGATACTTGGTTGTGTGCAGGAGAGGTAGGATGCTATGGCATCGGAGCGGAAGTTGCCTGGGTAGGGCTGCTAGAAACAGAGTTGGGCGTAGGAGCGGAGGGATAGATAGGGGGGTGAGAGGTCGATTGTTTGGGGGGCGTCGGTTATTTGGGAGAGGATTGGGGGGGTTAGGAGGAGGACGACGAGGGAGAAGTAGGATATCGATATCATAGCTGTCGATATCGAGTAAGATAACAGATATAAGAGTTATATTAGAAGTATATAAAATAAAAATAAATAAAATAAATAGAATAAAATACTGATTCCAGAATATACAAAGCCTCAAAGCTAGCTCGTATATGGGAAATGAAATTAGATAAAACGGGGCTCTAATAGAAGTCCGGCTATATGAACTGAAAGAATGCGAAATAATACGACGAAAAAGAGAGAAATGGATTTCGAAACAGTACGAAACAAAGTACAAGGAAACCAAGGCTCTTATAGAAAAAAAAAAACAAGCTTTGTCTTTGTATTAGAGCCTTGAATTGTTCCTGTATGCAAGTTAGAACGCCGTCTGTTCAGCCCCACAGCACAATGCAAAAGTATGCTATCAAATCCAGCAGCCGTGTTCTGCAAGGAGATATGTGTATAGGTATACCAATCGTGGTCAACGCGGGGAACTGTTGGATTTTTGACTCTCGTTGGTCGAGCTTGCCGCCGTCACGCGCTGTGGCTGGCCGGGTTCTATAGCTGGAGATATACTTATCTGCCTCCGATAGGGGTAAAAATAGAACTCGATTATACAATCCCATTGTACCTAAAAAGAGTAAATTTAACTGTCTGTATTGGTTTAATTTCTCTGGTTATATAAAATGTATTGATTTCTTGCATTTGACAGGCTGTAAGTCATGGTTAGAATTCTTTGCGTATGGATCCGGAGGCACTTTTTATTATTTACTTACTAGAGTACTTAGCTATGCAATTTCCGTAATATCAAAAATACCCCATCTTGATATTTATAATCTCATGGATTATATAATACCTGTTAGTACGGACCATCTGTCAGGCATGTCATCGTCATCGGGTAATATGCGTAGCCATGCCATGAGGCGGACCAGAATGGAAGCGGAATCTCGTCTCGAACGGCAGCTCGACCAGTCCAGTTCCTGGCGTCCCCAACACACCCCAAACGAAACACCAAAACCAGCCCGCCCGTTTCAGCCCGCAGATATTCACCAGATCATAACATCTGCACCACAATGGACCCCTTCTCGCTCTCGGACTTCTCATAACCTCCTTCCGGACGCCTGCTTCCTGTCCGAACCGTGTTCTCGCTATATTCCGTCCGTTCTTCGACACTATCCCCTCGTTTAAACGCCTCCAATCCGTGAATCCATATCGATTACGGTTACATATCCCCCCGCCACCAATGGCCTCGAATATCCGAGTCTTCGTCTCGTTCGGCGACAAAGCCGCCGTCTTTGCCGGCGAGGACATCGAATGCACCATCACCTTCCGAAACATCGCTCCCGCCCCGGGTTCGCACCGTACCACCTCTTCCCGTTCCATAAACGGTAGCATAGCAGAGCACCCTGATGCCAAAAATCCTTACAATGAACGACGTAGTAAACAGCCACCCTTGTCTCTTGCTGCTGCTGAAAAGTCCTCTGGTTCGTCTTCGCGGAAACAAAGGCCTGGGAGCATCTCCACCGCCAATGCGAGGAAGCACCGACCGAGCTTGTCGCTTTCGACTCCGGCGAGTGCACGGCGGATCGCTCAGGGTACTCCGTTAGGGTCGCCGGCAGCTAGTACGGTTCGTCCGATGACGGCGACGACACAGGGTAGTGGTACCATGGAGGCAGTGCTGGGTAGTGCTGGGCATAAGCATAAACGGTCGATATCGATTATGTCGATTGGGTCCGATACTGGTGGTGATGTGCAGGCTAGGACTCCCGGCAGAAGGTCGACGCCACATTCGAGGAGTACCAGTTTAAGTTACAATCCGAAAAGGAGTCCGATGGTTGGCGCTTTTGGAGCTGCGCCGCAGTCGGGTAGGTTCTTTGGAGGCTTTGATTGCTGTTTGTCGACCTGGTGGATCTGTGAATACTGATAGAGCGAAGCTACTCTGCCTAGGAGACATGATAGAACTCAGACACCAACCCACCATATCGAAGAATCTCTTACATCCTTTTCCGTTACATCTCCCCGCCGAAACCCGAGCCCCAGACATATGGCAAATGGATCATTAAACCGGTCTTTCAAGTTCCCTCCTAGCTCAAATAACGCGAAGACACCTCCACTACCTGCGAAGGACCCATCAAAGCCAGGTGCTACGAAAGCGGACTCGCCGTACGCATCCGATCTCCTGCTCCCCGCCGTAGCCAACATAGAACTCGTCAGTCCAGCCGAAGAGTCCAACAATTCCACTTCAGAATTCGAGCATGTTCCACCTAGCAAGGTTATTAACTCCCAAATCATGAGCGACGATAACACACCTCGCTCCAGTATTGATTTCTACTCGTTACCGAATAGCACCACGGATACCTTATTGTCGGATTTCGATACGCAGCTCAATCAGCGATTATTAATGCGCCAGGGCGGCCATAGTCGGAGATCTAGCTTGCTCTCTGGGAATAGTACGGCCCGAGCGCCAGAGGTGCTGATGATGGGGTATGCGCAAGTACAGGGCAGTTTCATGCTGGATGGGTCGCTGGTGCAGACAGGGTCATTTGAAGAGGTTAAGCGGAAAGGGATAGTAGGAGGGCAAATGGGTGGTGGAGTGGTGGGAATTGAGAGTAAGAAGAACCAAAGTGGGCTGTTTGGAGGTCTCGGCTGGGGAAATCTTTCAAATGGGTTTCAAAATGGGATCACAAGCGGCATCACTAGTGGAATTACAAGTGGGCTGGGGAGTTTGATTACAGGAGGAAATGTCAGCTCGATCGCTGAGATGAAGAACATCGCAAGTATGTTCATTTTCCTACTAAGGCTTGAAATTCGAGTGCTAATGATTTGGTAGGCTCGAGATCAATCCCGATTCTTTCCACACCACAGTCGATTCTATTTGTCGACCTAAAGCTAGCGCCTGGCGAAAGCAAGTCTTATACCTATACTTTCACATTACCCAAGCAGCTGCCGCCGACGCACAAGGGTAAGGCTATTAAGGTGGTCTACAACATTGTGATCGGGACACAGAGACCTGGGAAGGGTGTCCAGCACCCAAAAGTGATTGAAGTGCCCTTCCGGGTCTTTCCACACGTTACTGGTAAGTCCACCCTTTAACGGTATTGAAAAGGCTTGTATCTAATGTATTACAGCCGGCGGTGGTCTCCACATGTATGATCTTCTCAGCCCGATTATCTTACTCAAGGACGAGGCGAAAGTCAAGGCTATCGATGAGAACAAACCGAATACGGCTTTAACGGCACCTCTAAAACCCAAGAAATCTAACAAGCCTGAATCTTCGCTTGATGAGTTTCTTCAATATGCCGAAAAGTTGTTACATACCGAGACTCAAACGAACGGTGCTTATTCGCCCGGCGGTCATACCGGCATACTGTCTCCTTCAATCACAATATCCCGTCGAAATTCATTCGCAATCCCCGAACAACCTACAGCAAAGGAGGCGATAGACTTCGCGGTTACAAAACTGCAAGGACAACAGGGGGCATCACAGATTTTTGGAATCACGAGGAACGGGAAGCAAGTCGCAAACTTGTCGCTTGCACGGCCGGCATATAAACTTGGGGAGGCAATAATTGCAGTGATCGACTTCTCGAATGCCCAAATTCCTTGTTACCACGTATGTATTCAGCTTATCCCAATTCCTACTATCATCACCCTAACATTCTTCGAAATTAGGTCAATGCCACTCTCGAAACTCACGAAACAGTTACCCAAACCCTGGCTTTAAGATCCAGCTCTTCGCTCTATCGAGTAACCCGCAAAGTCCACGCCCAACACACCGAAACATGTCTTTTCTCCAAACGCATAACGTTTTCCCCGACAATCCCCCAATCAGGCACACCAGAATTCTCAACCTCCGGTGTCTCATTGAAGTGGAGTTTAAGGGTGGAATTTATCGCCGCACACAGTTTTAGTAATTCAACACATAGTAGACAACATAGTACCGCCGGGGCACAATCACCCGCGGCCCACGTCAACGAAATGGGAGAAGTTATACCGGCGACCCCCGGGCAACAGGATGGGTATTTCCCGTATTATGGGTATAGAGAGGGTGTTTTGATGGAGAGGACACAGAAAGATGACAGGGGACAGTTGTTTGCAGCTGTGAGGGATGTATGGTGTGATGGGTTTGATTGTAGTATTCCAGTGAAGGTTTATGCTAACGATGTTGGGGGTCCGGGAGGCGGTGGTGGTGGGGTACATGGGGGGTTTGTGGTGTAAAGGTGTATTTTACTATTTTTGTTTGAAGTTGGTGTGGATATTTAGTATTATGCTGTTGGGAAATTGGTAGATGTTTATTCTTTTCTTCTTGTTTTCTTTGGGAAGTTAGTATATAGAAGGCTTTTGAGATAGGGATTGGGTTTTGTACAGCTAAAATACCTTCTTCTTTTCTTCTTCTTCCTCCTCTTTTCTTCTTCTGTTCACTCTTTTTTCTTCTGGTACATATTTTTTTAATGGTTATGCTTCTATGAAGGTTAGGAGGGGTTGCAAAAATAATCTTTTGGATCGGGAGGAAACCACACTAGCCTTTCTTTATAATTAACATGTAATCCAAATGGTATAATGTGGAGGATTCTTGGGTTTATGGCGTTAGGGCCGAAAAAGGTTTGGGCCGATACTAATTGTATACTTACTGACTTAAGTTAGTAGGTATGAAGGCTAATAATAATAATATGAACGTATACATGATATTGATACTGTGTTCTCGATGTTTCCCCTGTGGTGTGCGCGGGGTGAGACTGATTTCTTGGGACGTTATCGACGACGGGATTTTCATATTTTCATATTTGTGCTGTACTGGGGGTTAAGATGCAATAGGTTACATAGATTCTGGGGCATGTGTGATAGTCTTATCTTGAACTTCGCATGAACTTCGCATGAACTATGGCGAGACAAGTCTAGATATTTATTTTTATTAACATGATAAGCTGTCCACTTTATACCTAGGTACCTACTTAACTAAAGGGATGGGAATCTGCAGAAGCAGTCCGTTTTTGGATAAACAAGTGTTGTAGACGTTGCATTCCGCTTTCGGCAGTCTCGTGGTCAGACGTTGACAGGGATTTGGCGACGCGACCTGAGCTCCAATTCCGACCTTCATTTGTGACGCGCCATGCTTCCCAAAATTCCAGGTTATTACTAAGCACGCTTCTGCTCGAGATATCTGCGGTCCCCTTATCCTCTTGCAATTCAAGTCTTCCTCACTCGGCAAAGTCGTTTCATAAACTTCACAGACCTTCAAGCTATCGGTTCAACGAATTCCAAGCTATGCCGGCAGATATCCGGTCCTTCTTCGCTCCAAAGGGTGGAGCCGCCCCAGCTCCTAAAAAGCCGGCACCACCACCTCCTGCTGTATGTTATATTTCGCGCGGTTTAGTAGAAAAGCTGCTTTCTTATGCTAACTATGTGGTGTAGAAACCCGTTAAAAGAGGTCGGAAAGTTGGTTAGTTTGACCTTTAGTTGCCCCTCGAAGCTTGGACCATAGGACTGACATCATTCCTCGGGATATTATTAGTCGAATCTGATGAGGAAGAGGAAGTAAAGCCAGCTCCGTGAGCCACCCACTGTCTATAAGTCTATATCAGCAGCTTTTTCTAACAAGGTCGACTATCTATAGGGCGAAGAAGCCAATTTCCAAGCCGGCGCCGAAAACGTACACATCCCACACTCGAACAAACGATAACGAAGTTTATGATGGTATTAACATATTATCAAATCAAATAGTAAAAAGGAAGAACCTATCGACGATGCATCCGCCTATTTTGCCTCCTCCGGGAAAAACAAAATCACCCGTACCGGTCCCGTCCGTGCTGCTCCACCCGTCAAAAAGAATATTACCATGAAGAAACTTAATCTGAATGACGACGATGCTAAGTATCTTGATGACGACGACGAAGACTACGGTGACGATATCTTCAAAAGCGAGTACGGGAAGGCTGTTGAGGATGAGCCTGTGAAGAGAAAAAAAAAGAATGATGACATGGATATGGATGATTATAAAGACGACGAGGGTGATGAAGATGAGGATATGGATGACTTCGTGGATGATGAAGAGGAAGTAGTCAAGCCAAAGGGCAGAGGGAGGCCGGCGAGGGCCAGTGTTGTGAAGGTCACCCCAAAGAAACCGACTACTGCTGCCGCCGCACCTAAAGGAAGAAAGAGGAAATCGATAACGCCCGAAACTGACGACGACGAAGAGGATGAACAACCGAAGCCAAAGAAGAAGGCGACGGCTGCGGCCAAGAGGAAGACACCGGTGAAGAGAAAAGAGGTCGAGGAGATCGAGGAGTCAGAGTCGATCAAAGAGATCTTGAGTTCTGTCCCTACCGTTCGACCGCCTACCCCGCCCCCGCGAGATGATACAAAGAAGTGAGTTAAAACTCTCTCTCTAAAAAGGATTGTGGATAGCCCACTAACAACCAAAGTAGATTCAATTACCACGCATACAAACAGAAGGCGCCCGCGCCACCACCATCTGGGACAAAAGATATACCTACAGGAGCCGAGAACTGCCTTGCCGGTCTGACTTTCGTGTTCACGGGTAACCAACAATCCATCAGTCGAGACGATGCAGTTGAACTGGTTAAACGCTATGGAGGAAAGGTCACTGGTGGCCCGTCTCGGAAAACCAGCTATGTTGTAGTAGGAAGCGAAGCTGGACCGAAGAAGCTTGAGACAATTCGGGAATTAAAGCTGAAAACCATTGACGAAGATGGACTATTTGCGCTCATCTCCAAACTCCCCGCACACGGTGGTGACAGCACGGCCGCGCAAGCTGCTGCGAAGAAGGCCAAGGACGAGGAGAAGAAGATTCAAGAAATCGCCAAGGAGATGAAGCCAAATACCTCTGTTGCACCGGGCAAGGAAGCCAAGGATCCAAATTCACAGCTGTGGACTGTGAAGTATTCACCAGCGACCATGAAGGAGATTTGTGGCAACAAGGGGCAGGTTGATAAGCTACAAAAGTGGCTACAGAACTGGCCGAGAAATCTAAAAAAGAATTTCAAAATGCCAGGTCCAGATGGGAGTGGCCTTTATAGAGCTGTAATGATTCACGGGCCGCCAGGTGTGGGCAAGACAACAGCAGCACATCTAGTTGCAAAACTAGAAGGATATGACGTTCTCGAGTCAAACGCCAGTGATACTCGAAGCAAGAAGTTGTTGGATACGTCGTTGAAGGGAGTTCTGGACAACAGGAGTTTGATGGGCTATTTTAACGCTGGAGATAAGAAGGTTGATGCAGCAAAACAGAAGATTGTATTAATTATGGATGAGGTGGATGGTATGTCTGGAGGTGACCGAGGCGGTGTCGGGCAGATGGCCGCGATTTGCCGGAAAACACAGATACCTGTCATTTGCATCTGCAACGACCGTCGACTACCGAAGATGAAGCCTTTCGACCACGTCACCTACGATCTTCAATTCCGACGCCCAACGGCTACCGAAATTCGAACCCGGATGATGACTATCTGTTATCGTGAGGGCCTCAAGCTCAGCCCTCAAGCTATTGACTCGTTAACAGAAGGCTCGCATTCCGATATTCGTCAAATCATAAACATGCTTTCGACATTTGGCGTCAGTGGCAAGGAAATGAGCTTCGATGAGAGTAAAAACATGGCATCGGCTTGGCAGAAACATGTTGTTTTGAAGCCGTGGGATATCGCGCAGCAACTCCTTCAAGGTCATATGTTTGCCCCAACTAGCAAGAAGACTTTGAACGATAAGATTGAGTTGTACTTCAATGATCACGAATTTTCATACTTGATGATTCAGGACAATTACCTCAAACCGAACCCGCAGCGGGCAAGTAATTACCAAGGTCCCGAAAGACGTTTGAAGTTACTAGAACTAGCGGACAAAGCTGCTGAATCGATATCGGACGGAGATTTGGTCGATGCGATGATCCACGGGCCGCAACAACATTGGAGTATGATGCCTGTTCACGCCGTATTTTCAACAGTTGCGCCATCGAGCTTTATGTCTGGAAGTTACGGAGGCGGACATATGCAGTTCTCGGCATGGTTTGGACAAAATTCTAAGCAGCAGAAGCTTAACAGATATGTGAAAGAAATCCAAAGTCACATGAGATTGAGGTGCTCTGCGGATCGACATGAAGTCCGACAATTCTATGTGCCGATGTTTTGGCAAATGCTCTGTCGGCAGTTGGAGCGTGAAGGAAAGGATGCTGTAGACGGAATGATCGAGCTTATGGATGATTACTTCCTGACAAAGGAGGATTATGACGCCATGATCGAGCTTGGAGTTGGGCCATTAAGTGAGGATACTTTAAAGGTTCCGACGGCTGCGAAGTCAGCGTTCACGAGAGCGTAAGTTTAATTTGTCCCTTTTGCGATTAGTATAGTGTCTAACATACTGTTATAGTTATAACGCGGCCTCTCATCCAATGCCGTTTATGAAGGCAAGCAATGTGATTGCGCCAAAGGGCAAGGCAGCCAAGAAAGAGCAGCCAGATCTTGAAGAAGCGATCGAGGAAGACGAAGATGAACTTGAGATGGTTGAGGACGCTGAAGATGCAGTCGAAGAAGAAGACGCTGATTTGAGTAAGGACAAATATGTAAAGCAGGCAAAACCAAAAGCAAAGGGTAAAGCTCCTGCAAAAGGCAAAGGCAAGGCCAAAAAAGTAGTAGATGACGACGACGAGGAGGATGAGGATGAGGACGTCGGTAAAGGAAAGGGTAAGGGCAAGGCGCCAGCAAAGAGTAGGGGACGGGCAAAGAAATAAAGGGTCTGAGGAGTAGTCTACGAATTCCTAATTGGTGCTCTCTTTTGGCGGAATTTTACCTCAACATTTTAATTATTCATTTTTTCCTCATAAACCAACTAAAAGTTCTTTCCCCCTGTAACAATACTTTATTTAGACATCCAAACAAGGACTATACTATTATTTCGAGTAGCGCCTAATCGAATACGAAAATTCTGGTATTATGCATTATATCTTCAAAAACGCTGTGCTAAACTACAACTAGCAGCCCGGCTACCAGAGCTAGGCACCAAATACATATCGATAATCATAATATTAGCCCTCATCTTTTCTGATTCCCAAGTCTTTTTATTTTAACCTCTAAATTTAACAAATTTTTAATTCGTTAGCTAGCTATAATAAAATCCGATACTCAGATAGAATAAGACGCTTACCAAGTTCCGAGCACCACTCATCTAACTCCTTAACAAGTTTTTCAAGGTCGCCCACTCTTTCGTCGATATCATCGACTTGCTTTGTATACTTTTTCAGTTCCGCATCTGTTTGTCTCGGAAAAATTATGATCGAGTCGAGTTAGCCGGATACTCTGAAGCCCTTCACAAAAAATAAACAAAAATACATATCACATAAGAATTATAGCTGCTGCATAAAGTCTCAAATCTGGGAGATTTGAGGTCCTCAAAGTGTTTTTTTTTCTTATACTTACATCGCCCGCGTAAATACTCGCTATCAGTCTCCAGTCCCACTGCAGCCTCGGTCATAGCTTTATACCGCTCTCGAGCTGCTTCATTGATCTTATGTAAGAGATCAAGATCCCCCAGTATTGCAGAACTATCGGCTTCAATGAGGTTCTCGAGAGATGAGAGGACTGTTTGGACTGCTGTCGTAGGATGGTTTTGAGTGGTAGCACCGTTATTTGATGTTGTGGTTGTTGTTGTTGTTGTTCCGGGGAGGGGGAATGGAGTTGGTGGTGCCATATTGGTGGGTATGAAGGGGGGTAATGGTAGTTTTGAATGATATTTTGAAGGGGTTTGGGGTTTAAAGAGGCGTCTATAGACGGTTGTGAAGTCGTGATGTTGGGGGTCGGAGGTTATACGTTTGGGTGTTCTGGGTGTGACAACGCAATGTTGGACGTTGTAATTTTTACAGGCTTACAGTTGGTAGATTTTCCATCCATTTAGAATTTATGTACATACACTTCCACTCTATATATCTATTTACAAATGGTTCTGTTCTGTTTAGTTTACTGAACTTATGGATGAAACTGCGGAATCAACGCTTGCTTCACAAGTAACGTATCAGTCCCATCCGAATTTGGCGTCTCAGTCAACTCATAAGTTGGTCCAAAGCTTCCTGCACCCCATCCAATATAACCTAAATAAACATCACTATTCTGGTTCAAGAATGCTAATTGTTGGTTCATATATGTCACGCAGCTTTGTACATTTCCACCTCCGGTCTCTGAAAGGATCGCTTGACGACCTTTGCACCTCAGCCAGTAGGATAGTGGACGGAAGGCGGAGTCGATATTGTCAGTGACGCACTCGACGTGTGTTCCGGAGTTGTCGGAGTCGAGATACTTGTGGATGTCGAAAATGAGGCCGGTTGTGCTGCCGTCTGGATTTTTGACTTGGATGAGAGCGTCCGCGGAGCCTGATGAGATGAAGGCGCCGGCTGAGGCCTGTATATTTGCATATATTTGTTAGTTCTCTGTGGATTTATGTGATAGCGGTGGTATATCACGTACGTAATTGTTTCCAGGAAGAAGAATAGGCTGAGTCTTTGCACCCGCATTGCGAATGGCGGTGACTACCTTCTGAACAGTTGCAGCCCAGGTTTGAATATTCACTTCATGTGGTTCGTTCATGATTCCAAACCAGACTTTTTGCTGGTTTGCATATTTCTGGGCGAGTTGGGTCCATAGACTGACGAATTGGTCGTCAGTGGGGCCACCTTGTCCGACAATGGCACCGTTCCAGCGAGCACTAAACCCCGATTTTGTAAGCAAATGACTTGAATCAAATTTACGAAGAAGGATATGAATAATTATAATGCTTACTAGTTGTGGACATCGATAATGCAATAAGCACCAGTCTGCAAACACTGTTGAAGCGTAGAATCATATTGGCTGATCAACCCAGAAAGTGAGCCACCGAGCTGTGGTGTAAGACTTTGCCAACCGATAGGAATACGGAAGGTATTAAACCCGTCGCTCTTAAAGTGCTGAAATTGTTGAGTAGGTGGAGCGCTAACTCTTCCATTGCAATTGCCCTACAATTCGTTTCCCATGGTTAGAATCAATGAAGATTATTAAAAACGAATAGAGAAGTCATACATCGGTGGTACATCCGAAATCGAAGCCTGCGATGTTAATACCGGCGTACTGCACACTTCCAGCGTTTGCAGGTGGGGTGTTTGAGGTGCAACTGATCGCCGTTGCGGTAGTAGTACTTGCGGTTGTTGTACGGGCGGTAGTACTGGCAGTAGTACTAGTGGTTGTCGTACGGGTGGTGGTTATTCTTGTAGTACTCTCCGACACAGTCGTTCTAATGGTCGTTACAAGCGTAGTCGAGCGGGTTGTCGTAATAGGAGTAGTTGTAGTCGTAGTCGTCGTCGAAGCTGCCCCAGGTAGACATTGAGAGTAGTAGGGGTTCAAACTAGGTAGATATTTACAAAGTCAGCTAAGCCCATATGGGATCCATAATAATGGAACTATGTTCTTACACGCTGCAATAGGAACCAGAAGCGCAGCTCGTGGGACCTGTGTAGCCAATACCTCCGCACTAGACTCTCATTATTGTTTTAGTCGTCGTTCAACATGCTTATAGACACGAAAGCAATTCAGATTGAAAATGCCTACCTGCCCCCAAACCGACTGCTGTGCGGCCGCAACTCTCAATAACACTGCACCCGCTAGGGTTACTTTGACGTACATCTTGTACAAAAGCTCTCTTATATCTCGCTATAAATCTTTATACCTAAGAACTTCTGAACCACAGGTCGATATCGCAAATGCGTTGGTGTGTATAATGTAAATTGCACCAAGCTTCACCAAGAACTCTCGAAAGCTTGATCAGTCTTGTCATTCTCTTGGTATTTCGATCCAGGTATTTATACCTGTTCGATCCGGTGGTAACTCCCATAACCCAAGGGTTTTGGAAATATTCGAAATATGTTCCTACTAGGAGACTCACTGCCGGAACCACGCTCCAAATAAGCCGAGAGTAACTACCCTTGTCAATTTCAAACATTGTCGACACACCGTCTAGATGTATCTGAAATACTGAGAGAGACCAACGTACATGCATGCAGCTGAGGCCGTTATAAGCTTTTTGGTAGTCAGGTGCCCAGATATTTTAATCTGAGAGAAGGCTCCGGGTATAGCCTAATCGGATTTTGTGCCTGGATCCTATCACGTTTTTAAAACGGTACCCCGGTCGTTTTAAATCTCGATCTTGTATATTTCCCGGAATGGTGTACCGCCGGACCGAGATGTACCCTAAGTTATGTTTTTTTGATATAAATGACATCACGGGGAACATTTCGCGGTAGCTAGCTACCTGCAAATGTTAAGAAATTGGTAATGTTCTGAGTTTATGTCCATGCTGAAAGTTGCGTTGCGATTTCGAATTTCGGAATTGATGATACGAGATCCTAAAGATTAGCGGGTATATCCAGGTAATCTAGAACACTACCGTTCTAGCGGAGGATAAAGCCAATCGGCCGGTTTTATGGTTTTGGCGAGGTTGAAGTTTGTAGTGATCAATTGAAATACCATGCTGGCTGGTGCAGAGCAAAGTAGTGAAACGTTGTTGAAGTTGTGTGACCACTCTGTGGGCCCGATCGATTCTTAAGCGAAACTAAGCAAATTTACTTGATTTTGATGCTTTCGGACTTATAATGTGAGTGTTAAGTAGTATACTTGACAATTACGAACTGTCGCTATCTAAAAGCAAATTAACAATAACAGAATTTCATAAGATCCGAAGTATCTTGTAAGAATTCTATTAGTATCGGCCAATATTATTTAGATTAAGCCGACCTGTAATTCTGTGGCTACTATATTTCAAGGCCATGTTATTTCGGTTCCTCATATATATTTTACAACATTTACAACACAGTGCGGTTTCATTTAGTATTGTATATGAACGAGATATATTTATTTTATTTTCCCAACAAATAGGCATTAAAATTCAGAAAAAATATGAAATCCTAACCTGGAGGACCCAGATATTCAACAGCTGTTTCGACCATATTCTCCACGAGTGCTGATATCACATCGGCTGTTCTCTGAGTTGCTGGCGTTAGTGTCTATTCACTTCGGCAAGAATACCCGAACTGTTAGTCCGATCCCGTTCTTAGCCACACTTGCCGATTTCCTGCTCTTTCCCATTGGTATACTTTGCGATATCTGTCCAAGGAATTCTTAACGGTGTAGTATTCTAAAATACATCGAACAAGCCAGCGAAATATCTTCTCCACCTTTAAATAGGACTTAATCCCACTAAATCATGGTGCATTACATTGTCAATTTTGCGCCTCTAAAGTCTTATCTTCTTACCTTCGACCCAGTGCTGTCGATGTAAATTCCAACCATGGTGCATTCAATATAAGAAAACAGAAACCCAAGAGTAACCTAAGGAAGAAAGGCTTAATTAATTCTCCAAATACGACATCAAGATGATACGCAGCCCCGAGATTCTGGCAAAGCCAGACGATGCTTTTGCTCTCGCAAAGCTCGGATACCAACAAGAACTCAAACGCAATTTCTCGAAACTCGAAATCCTTAGTGTCGCTTTTTCAATCCTAGGTCTACTCCCTTCGATAGCCTCATCCTTGGTGTTCGCCATCCCCGCCGGTCCTGTGGGTATGGTATGGGGTTGGTTCATCGCCAGCGGGTTTACGTTTCTTGTCAGTGTTGCAATGGCAGATCTAGGTTCAGCAATGCCGACAGCAGGAGGACTTTACTGGTGGACACATTATTTCAGCGCACCTGGATGGAAAAACCCACTTGCGTTTCTGGTCGGATATTCGAATACATTGGGAGTTATCAGCGGTCTCTGTTCGACAGATTATGGATTTGCGTTAATGTTTCTGTCGGTGGTACACTTGGCTGTAGGCGACGGCAAGGATTTTGCACCAACGAGCGGAACGGTTTATTTGGTTTTCATCGTTTGCGTTCTTTCTCACGCGACTGTTGTTACTTTTGCATCGAAAATTATGGCGAAGTTACAGGTGATGTTTATGGTTGCCAATGTGCTGTTGATTGCCGTAACACTCATTGTGCTTCCTGTTGGAAAGAGAAATACGAATAGTGCGGAATGGATCTTTACGCATTCGGAGAACTTGAGTGGCTGGCCTGCCATATGGACCTTCTTCCTGGCATGGATGTGTCCGATTTGGAGCGTGGGAGGGTTTGAGGCGTGTATTCACCTTTCCGAAGAAGCCCAAAATGCAACAATGGCGGTTCCATGGGGCATCATGGGATCTTGTGGATTAAGCTGGATACTAGGAACGGTTATCATGATTGTTTTTGCTTCGAGTATGACGACAGATCTTGAGAGTCTGCTAAACTCGCCCTTGGGCCAACCGGTGGCACAAATATATTACGACGCCCTGGGAAAGAACGGGGCAATAGCCATGATGATATTATTATTTATCAATCAATGGCTGATGGGAGCTAGCGTTTTGGTAGCAGCAAGTCGACAATCGTGGGCCTTTTCGCGAGATGGAGCTCTACCGTTTGCATCATTTTTCAACAAGATCTCAAAGGAATTCGGTTACGTACCTGTCAGGACAATATGGGGATGCGCAGGGTGTTCCGGAATCCTAGGTCTCTTTTCTCTTATCGCCCCAGCAGCAGCATCAGCTCTTTTCTCCATCGGAGTAGTCGGGAACCATCTCGCCTGGTTCATGCCAATATTCGCAAGAATCGTCTGGGGTAGGGATAAATTCATCCCAGGACCTTTTTACACCGGAGGGCTCAGTATACCTATAGCTGTCGTCGCATGTCTATTTTTGATTTTCAGCATTTTGACAGCATGGATGCCGATCGATGGGCCGAATGTTACGCCACAAAATATGAATTATGCTATTGTGGTAAACTTTGCGGTTTGGGGAGGTGCTTTGTTGTATTATTATATTGATGCGAGGAAGTGGTTTACCGGTCCAAGGATAACACTCGATTCGTCGCATTCGCAGTTGACGGAAGAGCAGGAAGAGAAGATTGCGAAGGAGGCGTTGGTTGATTTACGGCATTAAGTGCGGTCTTTTGGAAGGTTGACGTTTAAAGTGTATATATATACAGTCGTGATCTATCCACATAGAGATATAATACATGATTATAGATAGTCTAGAGCCCAGGCGCTATATATATAGGGATTGTATCATTTTAATTCACAATATCATGTGTGAAAGACTCAAGTACGTATTATTTCGGTATTTCTCTAAGGGCGATATGTATAGCTTAGAGCAATGTGCTATTTCCTGAAAGTAATCCAATTTTCCAATTTTTTTGTTCTACAATCCGCCGAAATTCCCGAAACTGTATGTAAATTTGAATCATCTGTGTAATACGTAGTCGTTGCAGCATACAATTATATCCTAAGAGCAGTGTCACACAATATCAGTACCCATGCTTGCACTTTTGCAAAGAACTAAACCACATTTGGTGTTTGTACTTTTCTATCCTGTCTTACTATTGGCTCGATAGAACTGCATCTCAATTCTTGGGACTAACCGTATCTGGTGTTTGGCCTTTTCTAACGCTGCGATATCTGCCCGAGTGTGTGTCAGAAGATACAAACTTGCATGAATCTTGCAGGTAATATTCGGCCGCCCTGACAGAAGCCTGAAGCTGAAGGTTGTCAGTATTTTTTTTGAACCCCCAACGCAAAGTAATATGTTTCTGGCGCGTTAAGTGTGTCTTTGTACTTGGGTAGAGGCCTTGTTTGACTAGAAGGCTGTCACTTTTGAGGTATAGGTGCAAAAGTGTATATAACCAGGTCGGTTTCCCCATTCAATTTCGCAGTTGTCTTTAAAAGCTAAAAAACCACCGCGCTCTATGAAAAGTTGCTTTGAAGGTCCCAGCGGCACCAAAATATTGCTACAATAATTATAACCGGTTCAACGACTAGCTGTTTCTATCATAAAACATAAGACACTTAGGAGTACTGATCCCTATAGATATCTATTAAAAACTCTAGACCGCACCTACAATGTCGAAAGAGTTAAAATTCAAACAATTCACAAAAGAAAAGAGAAAATACACCCCAGCATCTCAATGGGATAGTCACAAAGAATTCATTCTACAAAAACTTGCAGAGAAAACTTCTCAAAAGGGTATCATCGAAGCACTGAGACTTGAAAGAGGTGTTAATATTAAGTAAGCTTATACTTCTTTCTTTCCAAACGCCCTTAGGCAATTCCAATAGCTTAGCTACAAGTGTATCTAATCAATAGTTAATAGATTACGTCAGTTGAAACGACAAATAGAACAATGGGGGGTCGGTAGACGGAATCTCAACCGTCGACAGCGTGCTTACATCTGGACTGTTTATCGGCAGCGGAGGAGGGAAGGGAAGATGAGCACGAGCTTTCGGTTTAAAATCGATGGAAGAGTTGTTACAGAGAAGCAAGTCGAAACGGTGATTTACGGGGACGGTAGTGATATTGTGGGTAAGTTAATAAGTAGCCGCAATGAGCATGTGGATATGCTATAGGTCTCTGTTCGCCATGCGTATATCGGGCAAAGACTGATTTGGACTCCAGACAGCCAAAACAGTGAGGGCCAGACTCCCGGGCTGGTTTATTTCACGCCAATGGCTATGACTGGTGACCCGGTCGATCCAACCGTAGAAGATTATAATCGTATTGACAATATTGAGGGCGAAGATATCGACAATACGGTATCTTCCGCCCCATCTGAAATTCCGGAGTGTCAGGGTCTGAACCAAATGAAGTCAAAGAAATGCGACAAATCATACCAAACTATTGGAATTGCCGAACTATTAGGCGAACGGTCTACAAAATCAACTTGTGAGGACCTACAAGCTCTCTGCGAGGATGTCCTGAACTCTGTCCAGGGAATTAAGGCAGCGGTATCCGCAGATGCTGGACCACTGCCAATAGAGCAGCGGCCGAAAGATTACTCTGCTTATTTCGCAACCGAGTTAGAGAATCGGATCAAGTACGAAAAACGAATGGCGTCATTATTCTTACAAGAGATGGACGAAGAGAAAGCAAAATCTGGAGATACTTTGAGCGCAGAAGAGTGCTACTCACGTGTTCGGACGCGTTGGTGTGCCCGGAACTTCAGTCTAGAGGAATGTGAGATCTTAAGGGGTGATATAGTGGATCCGCTACCCCTCTCGATATACCGGGATCTTGATCGACTTGATCCCAATCAACAAAGAGTGAAGGTGGATCAGCGAGAAACTGTCTTTTGGAATGAAATAACTATCTTTTATAGACAAAATTTGGATGAGGTAGCAAGTTATTGTCTCAGTCACCCGAGGTCCGAAAGAGTACACGCTCTCTTCCGCCAGCAAGCATGCCACTTTCTCACACTCTCCAATCGATTCGGACCGTGTCACTTTTTTTCAATCGCGTCAATCGTGGCTTTTGTAGCAATACATGCATTGCGCATGGCGATACATTTTCCCCTTCACATGCTTCACAAAATCCTTCAAGTTTTGCGAAACAAAGGTATGGGAACACACTATGACATCATCACCACCCTACAATGCACCCACCGTTCAATATACGCTGGACTTCAGGAAAGAAATTACAAAAATTTAAAATACCTAGTGCCGGTAACAGAACTGATGTATCGCATAATTATGTGCAGAAGCAAGGGATTTCCTTCAATGAGCAATACTCTCCGCGGCTATCAGATTCTCCTTGACCTAAGCAAAGCATACTTTCTCAACCGGAACCCGATAAAAGGTATTAAGATCAATAATTTTGTGAAAGAAAAATTGACAAGGTTAGAAAACCCTAGTACCTCGGGGGAATGGCGTAGACGAGCATCTACTTGGTACAGCATGGGTATCACGGCTTTACAATTCCGCTTTCTATCCGAAGCAAAATCATGTCTCGAGGCAGCCTATGCGGCGAACCTACAAATCCAGAGAAAGAGTGGGATGGATGTAGATATTAGCTTCGAATGTGTTTCCAAATTGGGCTATGTTCTATTTATGATGGGTGACCCCAAACTCGCGATTGAGAAGGAAAAAACACGCCTGGATTTTCGAAAGCAGCACTATGGGGTACAGGATATATGGTATCTCAGAAGTATAGCATTGGTAACGCGGTATATGACCGAGAGGGGGCTCGTTCGCTTTTCACAGCCTATTCTCCGTCTTACGATCGAGACATGCGAGACTATGGGTATTGATGAAAAGCGCTACCACTGTTTATTGCGTGAGTACTACGGTGTTTCATTTACCGTAGATATGGCGGAGTTTGGCGATGCGTATGGCCTAGGTCGGCATGATGTAGTGGAGCTCGAGTGAGTCTCTAGCTCTATCTCAGTAGTTAATTATATATCTCATTATAAGTCAGTGTCAGATTTATCAACATCGATACCAATATATAACTTGTGGAGCGTAATACTGCATACATTTAAGTCTAAAAACCTTATATAGTAAAGTAGTCGTTAAATATATGTATGTACTTAAAAAGATTGCCGGTTAAACTACAAAGGATAGATCGATGAGTAATACTGCGTTGCTCCTGTTGGAATCTGCTAGCGCAGAGGCCGGTAAACGCGCCAAGCGCCGGCGATGTCTCCGAGGAGCTAACAAATTCCTCAGAAGGAGAGAGCTCATAGCCGAATTTTTTGCTTGGAAAGAGAAAAAAAAAAAAAAAAAAAGAAGGAAAAAGGCGAAAGACATCGTTTCCTCGGATCCCACACGACTAACATCCATCCACCATCCCACTCCCATCCACCCGGATCAATAGTTATCCAACTAGCAATCATCATCAACTATCACCAGCATCACCATTCATTTGTGTTTGTGTCTGGATACTCAAGGGACTACTTGACTGTAGTCATTCTCTTCGAGGACCAACCCTTCCTTCTTTCCTTCCACTAAACCCCTCCACCACCTCCTCTCCAAAAAAAACATACCGCCACCATGCTCCGCCGAACACTTCTCACTCCGGCCCGGATACGTCCGTTCTCTTCATTAACAACATCGACAGCGACTCGTACTCCTTCCTTGTCGTTATCCGTTCAACCTTCGAAATTATTACAAAGATCACAGGCGGCTCCGTTACAATGGCGAAACGCCACTGTTCTGTCACGATGGTCGTCGACTGAAGCTTCTGCTGCCGAGAAATCGGCTACTGCTACTGCTGAGGGTGCAAAGGCCGAAACATCGGCTGGAAATGGAGATGCCGCTGCTGCTGCTGCCGCTCATGCTAAAGAGTTGGAAGCTAAGGCTAAGGAAGTTGCTGATTTGAAGGTATATATACATATGCACACTCCCGTTTCTACAATACTTCTTATCGATACCATGAAATCTAACAATTGTCATTTAATCCAATAGGACAAATACCTCCGATCCGTCGCCGACTTCCGGAATCTTCAAGACCGTACCGCCCGTGAAGTCAAATCTGCAAAAGACTTTGCCATCCAAAAGTTTGCCAAGGATTTACTCGAATCGATCGATAACCTCGACCGAGCATTGATTGCCCAACCTGGGAATACTTCTGCCGATCCAGCTGCAGACTATAAGAACCTTCACGACGGCTTGAAGATGGTGGAAACCGTCTTGATGGGCACTCTTAAGAGACATGGATTGGAGAGATTCGATCCTATCGGTGAGAAGTTCAATCCTAATATGCATGAGGCGACTTTCGAGGCGCCCATGGAAGGAAAGGAACCTGGTACCGTTTTCCACGTCCAGAGCAAGGGATTCTCGTTGAACGGGAGAGTCTTGAGGGTATGTTGCTTTCCCATTTTATCGTCCATCATTATTGTTCCGAGTAGATGTTAACATGTTTACCTTTTTATAGGCAGCACAAGTCGGTGTCGTTAGGGCCTAAATATTGCCTTCCCACATCACCACCGGAAAAGTCTCTCGAATGAAAACGTTGACTACTTCCCAACTCTTGCCTCTCTGAAACAAGTTGTTTTAGACTAAATACCCTTTACCACGGCTATGAGTAGACGGATCCTCGCACCACATAGCATAAGCAACTGCTGCCTGGAATAGACCATATTCCGTATATACTACTTTTATTGTTTTTTATACTGTACATATTTATTTACATATTCCCTATCTGACTAACCAAATACCTTCTTCAGAGTATGAAGAAGAAGAACAAAGACATATCCCACAGGAGAGGGGCGCAGACAAGTTACTCTGACCCCCTCCCTCCATCAACCCTCCTCCCCTCTGCAGCCACAAAGCTTCCTAAATGGCGTTTCTAAACCCCCAAAAGTCCAGTTTTTTCTCTCAAGGTTGTAGTCTTTCACTCAACCTCACATGTACCATAGAATACTGCCAAAGAAAAAAAAACCCCGAGGAGTAGCTTTTCTCCTTTGATCGTTATTGGAGATTCTGAACCCCCTGCTTTCTATCGTAGTTGAACTCCCATCTTTTCTCCAAGCTGAGACCGAACTTTAGCTTGTAAGTCGTCAACTTCTTCATTCGTGAGCGTTCGTTCGAGGGATCGGTAGTTTATGCGGTAGCACATCGACTTCCTCCCCGTCTTTGGATGCGTAAACTCATCAATCTATATCACAGTAAGCATTACTGTCACACCCTCTCGGGATCACCAAGGAACGGAATAGAATATAAAAGGAGGCGACATACCAACTTAACATCCTCCACCAAATCCCCTCCCACACCTCTAACCAACTCCATGAAATCATTCTCATGAAACTCCACGCCCTTCCCTTCAACCCCACCAGCACCCCCTGCAGCCGCAGCCCCCCTCTCCTCACCCACCCAAAACGCCACATCCTTAAAACACTGCGGATACTTGCTAAAAGGTTCAAACCTTTTAACCAGGCCTTCTCTAAACTGTCCCTTAAACCTCTCATCCGCACTCCAAAACAACCTAATATCCGGAATACCATACATCAACATCGCAATCCTCTCGATCCCCAATCCAAAAGCCCACCCAATACTCCCTTTCTTCCCCGCATAATCCAACAAATCCTGCCTAATAACCCCACACCCGAGTACCTCCAACCACTCATTATTCCACAAAACCTCCAATTCGTACGATGGCGACGTAAACGGGAAATAAGCAGAAACCCATCTAACCTTCACTTTCTCCTTTGCAGCCTTAACATCCCCAACCGCCAATGCAGCTTCACTAAACACTTTAGACACCACCAACTCCAATTGTCGTTGTAAATGCCTTCCTACGGCCTCCGCTTCTTCAACCGAATGTCCCTTGGCCGTTTGTACCGGATTCCCATCTTCCTCGAATAACCTACAACTCTCCACAACGTCAACATTAGGTTCTTCCGTCCCCTCCAAATCCCTCAATATCTCATCCACCAATTCCTTACTACTCTTCCCTTTTCTGTCAAATAACCTAGCACCTTCCATCTGATGAAAAACCGGATAATGCGATTTATCAATCGCATCTCTTCTATAAACATCCGCAGAGATTAAATACCCATCAACCCCTTCCTTCTCCAACGTTCTAAACTTCTCGGCCTGGTGTGCCGATGTATGTGTTCGTAACACAGTATGTTTGTTGACATAGTATGTATCCGATTTACTCCTTCCAACGTGATCTTGTGGGAACCCCAGACAATCGAAGTTTTGAGCAACGGTGACGACCGGTGAGAGGGTATTATATCTTGCGAACGCGGATGCGGGGAAGAGGGATTCGATTATTTGACGGGTATTGGAGATTGGATGGTGGGGTGTTAGATGGAGGTTACGGGTTAGATAGGGTAATAGCGTCGGAGGGATGTTGGTGTGTGAGTCGGTGTTATGGGTTATGTTGGCGAGGGTGATTGTGTTTGGAAGATCTGGGAGGGCTGTTGGGTTCTCATGGATATATGTTTAGCATACGGATGGGATACTTGATGGTGGAGAAAGATACTCACGTACGTTGTGAAGAAGAAGATCTAGAGGTGGGACTGCTGTGGAAGCTGCGCGGGGTGTAGATACATGCTAACCGCAGTGATGGTATTGAAAAGGCCTGCCGGGCAATAAGCCGACGGCTGAGAGGAGTGAAAACGCGCGATGCCTGCATCACGATCGGAGGTTGGCTTTTGAGGCGACGTTCAATTGATGTTTTTTTAATTGTCGGGATTATCTACTTCGTGAAGTTCTTTTTTGAAGTTAGGTAGTCACCTCAGTACTTAAGTACTCTTGCCTGGAAATTCTTCGGGAGCCATACGTTTATGGAAAAACTCAAGGGCAAAATATAGGAGTCAAGTAGCAAGGCCGTTGTTTTTCTGATAAATGTGTTGAAAGTACCTTGAGGCACAGGTGCATTGACAACTTGGAGTCTCGTAACCAAACTGTGGTTACGAGACTGGACAACTTGGTGGATAGAAATTGTTTTGAGGATTATTAATCCGTCGATGTTTTAGAATAAAGTTGCCACTAGTGAATTGAAGGTAGAAATGGAGTCGGCCCGTGGAGACGCTACTGTAATTGGAAGAAGAACCACAGACACAACACAAAAAGGTCAGCCCAGAATCAGAATAGGTATCCAGAATCAAAACTCGTGGACAATTATTCGTAGTTTTATAATTAGTCAGGGGCTAGACAGCTTAATTAAGACCTTTCCCTGTTTTATCTCCAATGCAGTACAAATGCTTATACAGACGTAAGGTCCTTTGCAGTCTTATCCCCCTTGCCGAGCAAATGCCTACATGGACATAAGGTCCTTTGAAGTTTATCGTCTGACTCCTTTGTCTATTTAAACCGTTCGTATCCGCCATCGTATATTTAGAAAACTAAGCAACAATTTAAGCATCAATCTGTAGTTATACTGGTCTCTATTCTTTCCTAGTGATGTTTGTGTATTGTTTTGATAACCTAAGCTAGTCATATACGATTCCTTATAGGTTTAAATTTGGCGACAAATCTCGAAGTGAGATATTCATAAACTTTTTCTTTGGGGCCTCATTTTTCCACCTTGAGCTTTTTATAAATCTGTTTGATTGGTTTGTCCTCTAGAAAATGCGTAGTACCTTTAAGAATTCTGGCGGCACGAAAACACCATTTCATTGGCTACGTTCAACCGCTGAGCCTTGTACGTCGAGACTCATTTGTTTGTCTTATCTTTGATAAATGCCTGCTATGTTTAATGCAAGTTGTGCTTAGTACTATAACTATACTGCCCACTCTTACCTAGGGGGTACTTCAATGCCCAAACCCCAAAAAGCGGGGTAGAGAATGACAAACCCTTTGGAAGAAGAGAAAACAACAATCTTTGGTTTGTTATACCTTATCGGAACCTCTACCGCACAATTCTCCTAACTCGGGCCTTTTACGCGGCTTTGTAGTCCTGGCTTTTCAAACTCTTATCGCAGGGTTCCTCCTATTATCGCTTTTGGCACATAACATGCTACGATCTATTCAGGCCACTAAAGAATAATAGAAGGTGTGAGTGGTAGCCAGCAGCAAAAATGGATTACACCGAGGAGAACGTATTCAACAATACAGAGTGCCATATAGGACTCCAGGGAACTATAATCAACTATGGGTAAGTTCGTTCGCATCAGCCGCATATCAATACCTACTAAACTCTTGACTAGGCATATAAACACTACCAACGACCATTATCTGTCGGGGAGGCTGGATGCAAGGAAAAGAGAGATTCTACGGGAGCTCTACAAGACATCATATCAAGATCACAAAGAGCGAAATATAGATCGAATCCCTGGGACATGTGAGTGGTTTACAACTCATAAGCGCTTTCGAGAATGGCAAGAGAACAAGTCGTCAAAGATGCTTTGGGTATCCGCGGATCCTGGGTGCGGGAAGTCGGTTCTTGCAAAATATCTGATTGATTCCGTCCTTACGACTACCGAAGATAGAACGATATGCTACTTCTTCTTCAAAGAAGACTTTGAGGAGCAAAAGAGTATTATGAATGCACTTTGCTGTATTCTGCATCAACTGTTTAAGCAAAAAAGTGCTTTACTCTCCGAAACGATCTTCAAAAAGTTCGAGGTTAGTGGTGAAGGTTTCACCAATTCATTTACCGAACTTTGGGGGACTCTTCTTAGTGTTGCGAAGGATAAAAACGCAGGCGAAATTGTCTGTATTCTTGATGCAATCGATGAATGCGAAAATTACGGAAGGTCTCAGCTCATCAAGGCGTTACGCAAACTATATGGTACTAGTAGTGACCTCAATTTGAAATTTCTTTTAACTAGTCGACCTTACCGGGAGATTCGAAGGGATTTTCTGGGGAGTCCAGAGTCGATCATTCATCTGGCTGGAGAAAGTGAGGTTGAGATGGATATGATTTCTCGAGAGATTGATATTTTTATCAAAGCAAGAGTGCAGGATATCGGAGCACGACGGCAACTTAAAATCAAAGATCAAAAATTATTATTACAAAAGCTTATGGAAATTCCTAACAGAACGTATTTATGGGTCTATCTCACACTAGACTTAATCGAGAGCGACATTTATATCGACAAAATTGGAATACTCAACGCTATTACTCAGGTCTCGAAAACAATTGATGAGGCATACGAGAGGATTCTATTTAAGAGTCGCGATGTTGAAAAGGCTAAAGAACTGCTACAAATCGTAATTGCAGTGGCACGACCTTTATCTCTAAAGGAGATGAGCTTAGTGTTAGCTCTTGGAGATAATCATATGCGTCAGTCTTATAGCGATCTTAACCTTGAATCGGAGGAACAATTTCGCGAATATATAAGAGAGCTCTGTGGATTCCTGATAACAATTAAAGATTCGAGGATATATTTGCTTCACCAAACTGCAAAGGAGTTTTTTGTTCAGAATAACATATCGAATTCCACCAAGGGCGATCTTAAATGGAAATACTCGCTCCAACTGCAAGATTCTCACAGAGTACTCGCCAAGATCTGTACCCAGTACCTACTCTTTGAAGAATTCGAAGATCCTCCTCTTGAAGATTCGATGCTGCCTGAATATATCGGGAACTACGTTTTTCTTGATTACTCCTCTAAAAACTGGACAACTCATCTCCACGAATCCCAGCTGCAGGTTGAGCTTGATGAAACAGAGATACAATATATTTTGAATTTATGCGATGCAAATTCAAAGCGTTGCTTAACTTGGTTCAGAATCTATTGGACGAGCACAAATACAGACTTCCCGAAGAATTTCACCAACATTATGATCGCATCCTATTTTGGACTTACAGCAGGAGTAATACGTTTGCTCGAGATGGATATCAGCAATAGCATTGACCTAGATTCTAAAGATGACGTATATAGACGGTCAGCAGTATCTTGGGCCGCAGGAAATGGGTTTGATGATATTGTTGAATTATTAGTGGGAGGTATTGGTGGTCGCTGGAACTCGAGGGCAATCTCAATACCATTTAGAAAGGGAGCTCAAGTCGACTCTATAGATAAAGATCGCCGAACACCTCTGGTGCATGCTGTTTGGGGTGGGCATGTAGCAGTTGTTAATTTACTCCTCAAAGCAGGAGCCCGCATTGATTTGGAAGATAACGTTGGGGGGACGCCCCGGGTTTATGCCATCTGCAGTGGACGCCATGATATAGCGAGGCTAGTTTCCAAGGAAGACACCGGGACAGACGTAGGGGACGGTGAAATTGCGTCACTACTTTGGTCTGCTGCATCAAAGGGCCAAGAGGCCGTTCTTAAACTAATGCTTAAAACAGGCATAGTCGATCCTGACTTAAAAGATAGAAGGAAGCAGACACCACTATCAATTGCAGCAAAAAACGGCCACGAAACCGTCATTAGATTACTGCTTGAAACAGGTAACGTCGATCCTGATTCAAAAGACTTGAACGAACGAACGCCGCTATCATACGCAGCAAAAAATGGCCACGAGGCTACTGTTTTACTACTACTTGAGACAGGCAAAGTTGATTCTGACTATAAAGACCGGTCCGGACGGACGCCGCTATCATATGCAGTAGAAAATGGCCACAAAGCTATTGTTCTACTGCTACTTGAGATAGGCAAAGTCGATCCTGACTCCAAAAACAGTAATGAACTGACGCCGCTATCCGAGGCAGCAAAAAATGGCCGCGAGGCTATCGTTAAACTACTACTGAAAACGGGCAAAGTCGACCCTGATTCAAAAAGTCGTCAGAAAAAGACACCATTGTCACAAGCGGCAGAGAATGGTCATGAAGCTGTTGTTATAGTACTCCTTGCGACAGGCAAAGTCGATCTTAACTCAAAAGATTGGAACGGATGGACACCGTTATCACACGCCGTAGAGAGAGGGAACTTGACCATTGTCCAGGCCTTGCTTGATGGAGGGGCGAAAACAGATAACAAGTATTCTGTTGTAGGTGAATCCAAGATACCTACATCGGCTGTTGGTTAAAAAGTAGCTGACACTTTCGTTCTTCACTACTGCAGAAAGTAAGTGAATCCAAGACTTCTACATAGGTCGTTAGTTGAAAAGTAGTTGACACTGTTGTTCTTGACTATTGCAGAATGTAAGTGAATCTAAGGTATCTACATAGGGGGTTAGCTGGCTATTGGCTGATGTTGTTGTTAACGTTCTTGGCTATTGCAGAATGTAAGTGAATATATGGATATCTTATACAAAGTTAATTGATTAATGATGACCCTATCATTTTAACTATTATAGTTTGTAAGTGAATCCAATGTATCTACACAAGTCGTTGGCTAAAATTTAGCTGACACCGCCGTTATTTGCTGTTGCAGAAAGTAAGTGAATCCAAAATATCTACGTAGGTCGTTAGCTGGCTAATGGCTGATACTGTCATTTTCGATTATTGCAGTACGTAAGTGGATTGAAGGATATCTATATCAGTCATTAGTTAAAAAGCAGCTAACACTACTGTTCCTGACTATGTAGATGGTAAGTGGATTTAAGAGTACTCAAATAAATCATTAGCAGGCTAATAGCTAATACTGTCGTTCTTGACCGTTGCAGCACGTAAGGAAATCCGCATATATCTAAATAGATCTGTGTTCAATTTGATACTAACTTTATTGCCCTTTACTATTACAGAGAGTAAGTTTCTTTCTGAGTCCGATAAAAGACTTCTAATTAAAAGAATTTGATAGACGTCATTGTCACGAGCAGTAGAAAAGGGGGATTATGCAATTGTGAAACTGCTCCTTGAAAATGGTACCCAGCCAGACTTGACAGATGGGGACAGACGGATACTGCTGTCCCTTGCAAGTGATGCGGCGGTTATTAGGCTGCTTAAGTCATACCATACTCATGAGCTCGATTCCTAGCCAAGGTGAGATAGTCTATGGGTAAAGAATACGACAGATGCAGTTTGATTTATTGATCGTCCCTATTGCAGGAGCCCCAAATAGCCCCGGTCTATGCCGGCAACCATTTATCAGCGTTGGCGAATAGATGTGGAAGATGGCCTTATGTTGTGGAATACAGATAGTGCAGGGAATGCAGTGCAATGCAATAAAGTGGAGTACAATTTTATTATAAAGAGTCCGTTACTAATTGGTATACTATTAGTGAAGTAGCTGCGTACTACTCGTTGTGTATTAATTCCAAGCGGTGTGGAACAAAAGTTTACAATGACGTTTGATACAAATCCACTTCCTTTTGTACTTGCGATTTAAGTTCGATTTTGAATAATTCATGCTGAATATGTATTTTTCGTAGCCCGTAAACTTAGATTATTAAGACACAGTAGCAAGGATAGCTATTTTTTACCGCGCTAATCCTCGACACTCGATGGTACAGGATCAATGCATTTATAGACTTAAACTTCGTAAGGTCCGTAGCAACTGCGTATTAGCAATTTTGATAAGGATTAGCCTTTGTACCATAGCCGCAACCCTCTACGGTGACACCCTAGAACCGACTAATGAACTTTTGATCAAAAGGAACTTCCTACTTTTAAAATTTACAAAGCTGATTCCTATATCTAGTAAGAAAAAAGTTATCGTGATTATTAACTTAATTTTTATCCCCTCCATTATTTTATCAACCACTTCTATCACAATCCTAAACTAAAGTCCCCTACCCCAATCAGGAAAAAAATAATCTACCCACCATCCAAAATATTTGAAAAAAATTAGATCTTGACAATGGGCCCATGGTAGAGGTTTATGTTTGTGGGTCTAGATCTAGGATGGTATTATCTTATGGTAAGCTACTTCGTGTGCCCCCACGTGTTCCTGGGAAGAAAAACGTGGGACGCTGATGTGTTGTGGGTTTTCGCGTGATAGAGCCAGTGCATCCCGGGGTTGGGGTTTGGGGATTCCCAAAATGAAGCGAGATACATCTGTGAACAAGCTCCTGCTCTGGAACGATCTCCAGCACTGTGTTTCGAAGTATTCATGCTTGGAAATTTCTCCAGAGCACTAACTTCCGAGAGTCATGTTGGAAGTACCTGAAGATGCTTGCTATAACATTGTCACCTGTCTTTCGGTATTAAAACAAATATCCGAGTTACTTCGACGAAGTGCACATAGTCCATAGCCCTTTAATGACCATCTCAATTTTGGTATTTCGGGAAACATATACGCTATTAGGGTCTATTTTGTATTTATTGACGCTACACAAAGTGTGCGGCTAACACGAGTCAAGCACTATCCAGATGCAAATGCAACAACAACGCAAAAGAACATCAACATGACACCCATTTCGAACCCCTTTGCATTGTAACAAAGCTACAGCGGCATAATCTACTCAAGGCGGAAATAGAGTCGGCTGGCGGCGCCAATCAGGGTGGCAGACGGGAACATACAGCATTGCTATGGTTGGAAGAAAAGCCACAGGCACAACATAAAAAGCCCCCCAGCCCCAGCCCCAGAATAAGGTGGCATCCAGAATCAAGCCCTGCGATCCGTGAACAATGATTCAAAGCGTTATTAGTATTGTGCGCATTAGGGTCTGTGTAGGCACGCATCCTATATAGGGTACTGGGCCATACAGGCAGGCTAGCTGCAAAGAATTATATCCTGTCTAGTTCATTTTGTCTATTTCCTTGTCTTTTTTTCTTTAAACGCATGTATTCGCTGCCGTGTATTTTAGAAATCAAGCTACAATTTAAGTATCAATCCGTATACACAAGTGCCTCACCCTGCCCCATGAAATTTGTGCATTAACTTGATATCTTGAACCAGTCTATATACGATTTCTTACAGAAGACCAACTTTTCGAATATCGAAAGCCAATAGATTTAAAATCAGGGTGGGAAAACACCCATAAAGCAACGGTCCCTACTTGCGATTTCCTTTATATGCGATACGTGATGGTTTTTTTCTTTCTTTTTTTTGGATGGGGTTGATTTCAGGCAATGCTGTCAGACTTCGTTGGTTGATTGAAATAGAGCATCAACAGAGATGGTTCCCTACAAGTTTACCAAGAGCAAAGGCTCTTACAGATTGCTTGTTCCACTAAAAAGTTATGCAAACCACGCCTTCGGGAAATATTTAGACCTTTTCGTGAACCTTTAAAAGTAGACCAGAAAGGCAGGTATAGCACGATATTTAGGTCACAAGATCTTAAGAAACTACTTTTGAACAACCTGCTCGAATTCCAGTTGGTGACTAAATGCATGCTAGCTTGCTACAAAACATCCAAACACCTATCAGCTGGTTTCCAGAAGTTTTCGAAAGCTTTTCGTAGCAGGTCTCGCTGTGAGCGCTCCATGCAGGCCGAAGACGAAAGGTCTCATCTCCTCTCAGCCCGCCCTGGCCTGTAATAGCGGGGAGCATTGCGTGACCGTTTCGTCTTGCTGTTGATGCCGAATATATGCCAAGAATCGAGCCGTCATTTCATACCCTCCCCTGTTGTTTGCTGTTAGAGATTCTGCGGTCTTGGTACTGAGCAACCTAGCCCTTCTGTGCTGTGCCGCTGGTGCGCAGCATCAGCTAGTGTTCTAACTGGTTATATAAATTTTCGATACAGCCGAGAGTAGTCCGAATTTGTCACCGTGCTTACGATCACCCGCCTCGTCCGCATTTCGGCGTCTGGGATTTGTCTCATAAACCAGACCCGGCCTTCACTTCTGGGATCTTAAAGTTTGGAACTTTTGAATTTTGCCGGTTATGTTACGTTTCTACAAAGGATTTATAGGCGATACCGTAGAAGGTACTTTCTCAGTGTTTACTTTAACCTAATTCCTTACAACAGACAACTCTGATATCTCGTTCCATGTTTACGGAATTTCCTACGCAAAGCTGTCATGACACCAAAACTCTGCGGGAATGCAATAACTGATGCTGGATGGGGGATACGACTTCTTATACTAATAACACACTTGCTAGCCTTAATAACAGCTGCAGAAAACATTATTTCCATACGACAAGATAACACACAAGAAGGTATTGTTATTTTGAACAATCTCAAGCTTCAGGTTGGTAGTCTTGATTTATCGGGCGGTCGCTCCGACCTATATACATACTCTCGTAGTATCTATATACATAGGTGTATTTTACGAGACAACGCTTAAGTTTAAATTCTGACAGAGGCACTTATTCTCTCCTGATAGCGGTACGATACGATTGGTCTCAGCTGGTCGTATGGCTTCCTGGTGAATATATCACTAGGTAAGCTTCTTATTTTTTTTCTTCTTCTTTTATTTTTTTTCCTTTTAAAGAGTTCGGCCCTTGGACTCTTAATCAATATAGAGTCGATGCCACGACTTTTAACTATTCAATACAGACAAAGTGAAATGAAATAAAACGGTTAACGTAATTAACCAAAACACCAAACATATAGGGACCCCACCGCAATATATTACTGCTCGTCTTATCGGAGATGACCTAAGCTGGGTACCAACATATATATTTGACGGAACACCATGTTTCCGGGGCACCTATATGTGCGATCTTCTTGATAAGTATGGGATCTGTAAGACACAACCACGATATATATCTATATCTATGGCTAAAGCGTTAGAAGAATAATTGGCTTATAAATAATCGAACTCTTCTCAGATAATCAATTTCTCCCAAATACATCAGGGGTTTCCATCTCCAACGCAACTGTCCGTGGATATTCATCAAATTCATATATTTCAGGTGTTCCCGCTCTTGGTAGATTTGAGTTAGGGAGTCTCCAAATAGAAGAATTTACGTTTGTAGCGGCGGAAACCTATTCCGACATCCCAGAGCTCGGACTTGGTGTGCGGTCTTTAGACCCCATAGTATTGGGGCAGGACAGTGTAATCCCGCGCTTCGGGCTTTTAGCGGCTATCTGGAGGCAGGAGTTGATTGAGGTAATGGGGTTAGGTCTGAGCTATGATGCATACGGTAGGTCATACATAAGTACATATATATACATACGTATGTACGTATGTATATTGATTTTCTTGGTATCCTAATATAGACTGACAGTGAGCTCAGATATAAACCTGAGTCAGATAACCCTTGGTGCTGTGAATACGCAAAAATACGACCATCCTATGAGAACGTATACATGGCCAACCAGGGATGGCGTGGGAGGACTTGCTACTCGAAAAGTTACATTGTCTACCGGAAACATCTCATCATTATCGCTCACTAATCCGAAAACGGTCATTATACTAGAAGAACCAAACATTCTAGTCCCTAGAATTTATCGAGATTCTCTTTTAAAAGCTATGGATGCGTACGAAGGCTCGACTGGAAACTTTTATGTCGACTGCAACGCCGCTGAAAACTTGGATTTTTCACTTAACTTTGAATTTGATGGAATAAACATAACTCTTACAGCGAAGGACTTAATAGGTAAAGTTCAAGAAGCAAATGAGCCGCAGTGTAGAGTTTTTCTGGGTAGCTCGGAATCTCCTGCAAAACTTTACAGCAGGGCTTCGGCGACCTTGTTTTTGGGAATCCCGTTCCTGAGAGTCGCGTATGTGTGGTTGGATTATCAAAATAATCAAACCAGTTTGGCAAAGGCAAGGCAGAGAGTTACAACGAATAGCTATGTAAAAATCAACAAAGATGGAATTGTAGCTACTCTAGGAGAGCAGGATGATACTCCACCCGAAATGGAGGAGCCATATCTTCCAAGCGATAATAACAAGACCGAAACTAATAAATCACCTGTAGCAGCTATTGTGGGGGGGTCGGTGGGTGGGATTATTGTTTTAGGGATAATTGTATGCTTAATATTTTGGAAAAGGAAGCGGGATATCCCCAGGTTGCAGCCTCCGGATCCTCCAATCGGAGAATTGGAAGGATACCAGAGGTATGAAATGGCTGCGCCTCAGGGCCGATTCGAGCTCGTTGGAAGTGAGGTATATCCTAAGGAGTTACCCGCGGATCGTGGTCCTGTGGAATTACCTGTTCGGCGAGCACCCACAGAATTTGTAGAGCGTATGAATGATCCAGATAACCGCGATTCATAGCTTGTCGTCAAACCCAATAGCAATATAATTCATTAAGACCTAGGTCTAGTCTAGTTAATGTCTTAAATGCGCTCTAGCCTTCATTCAAATTATGTGTATTAGTATCTGGCCTCGTGTTGGTAGTGCCTGATGATTTGGGCTTGCCTCCTCGTATTTCTGGAGCCTCCGAAGCCTCCTACATGCTACACTTACAGAGCAATTTATTAAAATAATAATAATAAGGCAGATGGTATTTTGAAAATATATACAAATAAAGACTAGGAGGCGATGACTTTGAGATCGAGCTAGAGGTGGTTAACGTTTCAAGTGAGCGAGTAGGTGCTGCCAAACGGGGCGGCCGGTCTGAAAATGGGTGTGCCGTGCGGACTTCAGTAAACAGCGTCTTCTGCTCCAGAAGAACATCTAACGCTGTGTTTAGAAGTAATTAACCGATACCGCCGGAGGGCATGGCGGGGCGAAACAAAGTTACAGGCCCCACTACACCACCACCACTGATCATGACAGTTATCGCGGGGCACTTTTGTAGATAAACTGTGTATTCTGAGATTTGGAATAAAAGTCCGTGAAAATTTCTACTCTTGTATATGTATATATAGCGATATACCTGTACCTATATCTAAAATTTAAAAACTACGATCAAGCCCAGATACTTTTACGAATACTTAATGTCACACTATAATACAGTTACAAGCGAAAGGTATACTACTGCAGAGGGAGAAGATCCCGAACAAAAGAACCCAAAACAGAAGAATATAAACCGGGGGTGGGGGAAGGGAGGGGAAGATAGTAATACGGGAAAATAATACAAAAACCAACTAGAGTGAGTATGCAATGCAATGGTGATGATAAACAATAGAGAAACGGTGAGGACGGACATGCATCTCGGGTTATGTATGTTATGTTTATATGGGTTAGTTAGGAGGGGCACAGTTAATTGACCGTTTTCATGCTTTTTTTCACCAAATATCACCGTATGACCCTCGCCCAATGTCGGCACTCGAAAGATCTAGTCGCCCAGTTATGATTCCAGAGCACCATATATGCTTGACCACTCTGGATTTAGCTCAGAGGGGCGACGTATCACGAAAGGCCTCGCATACGAATCCACACTCAGCGCCAAGTCAGGGAAACCAAATATTGGACGCAAAAGAAAGAAAGCCGTCAAAATCCACACTTTAAATCACGCCGTAATACCGTAAAAAAAGGATAAGAGTATATGAAAAAAAAGTAAAAGGGGATAGCGAGATCGTTGGTCAGTCGTTTGTTCAGCCACAAACGAATAAACGTGCTCTCGCGCTAGTGGTCGATCATAATCAGGTTCGTGTTATCAAACCAGTAGCTGTCCAAAAGAAGAAGAAAAGTGGTCACCAGTAAATAGTTTGTCCTGAATGCACTGGTCATTGTCAAAAATGGTAGTAGTATGCGTAGAATCATCCGGCACCAGGTCATAGAACGAAATGGCAAAGGCGTCGTCATAATAGCGAATATCCATGCATGCAAGGTTTGTCGATTAATGTTTCTCAGTTTGGGGCGATTCACGCTTCTTATTATGCGATGTTCATCATGGCGAGTATGGTCATTGTGGCATACGACTCGACAAGGGCGAAGGTCATGTACCAGGGGCACCGGGCCCACCTGGTTGCTGGTTCTGTTGCTGCTGTTGGGCTGCGATAGCGGCATAGTACATTTGGGCATATGTTTGAGCATATGCCTGGTACCCACCGTAAGCCTGGTAGGGGTCATTCGCAGGGTCAGTAGATCCGGGTTGTGGTGGTCCGCCACCGCCACCGCCGGCAGCTGCCGCCGCCTGAGCATAAGCGCTGAGCGCTTGCTGGTAGGCTTGAGGGTCAATGCCAGCAGGGGCGGCTTGACCACCAGAAGAATTCATATCAGACCCTTTCAATTGGCCTTGGCGACGCTATAGACCAGTTATATTAGTTTTCCTCCTGTATTTGAATGTAATGATCAATGCTTACAGCTGTATCGACTTTCTCGTCGATGGCTGCTTTGGCACGTGCGATAGCATCTGGAGGTCCAGATAATGAGATCTCACGCTCACCGTCTGAGGTCTGTTGGCTCAGAACATTGATACGGCAGCCTGTCGTATTCTGCATTTCCTTGATCGTTTCACCGCCTGAGATAATACGTTAGCTTGAGCCGAATGAGTGGAGTCTGGATTCGCTGACCTTTTCCTATTATCATGCCAACGGCGTCGATTGGTACACGAATAGTCTCACCATTCTTATCTCCACCTTGATTACCATACCCACCTCCTTGTTGGCGACCGCCGCCGCCGCCGCCGCCGCCGCCGCCGCCTCCTCCACCACCTCCACTTCCACCGCTGCTTCCACCTCCTTGGGGTCCGGGGCCGCCAGGGCCAGGGCGTACGTCAGACTCAACGATCTCCATAATCAAAGCCTTAGCACGCATCGCCGCCTCAGTTGTCCCGATCAGATTCACGGGTCGAAATCCATTTACTGATTTACTTTCACCGACGATATTGATATGACATCCTGACCGGTCTTGAAGATCTTGGATGGTCTCTCCGCGGCGACCAATGATAAGACCAACGGTTTTGTCAGGGACCATGATCTGCATGCTGTTCTCTATGAAATTATTAGATTCTGAAGTGCAAACTAGAGAATCGATTAACTTACCACCCTCTTTTAAGACGGGGTGGTGTGCGGGGTCCTGCCTCGCAGAGGCGCCGCCGCTGCTGCCAGGTCCGCCACCACCTCCACTGCCACCACCACCACCACCTCCTCCTCCTCCGCCGCTATGACTACCACCATGACTGCCGCCGCCGCCGCCGCCACCACCACCACCGCCACCTCCTCCTCCACCTCCTCCGCCGCCATGACCACCGTGTTTGCCATGGCCGTGTCCATGCCCATGGTAAGTGTTGCGCCGATGGTCATCCCGAATGCTACTTGCACTGTTTTCAGATATTATTGTTTGTATTTGTTGCCGAGCAGACTGTACTGCAGCTCTTGGACCAGTGATGTTGCAAACACGTTCTGGTTCACCTCTACTGTCAGCAACAAACTGTACCCTAGCACCACTCATTTCCTCTACCCTTTTCAGGGTTTCGCCGCGGCGACCAATGATCAGACCGACTAGGGACGCGTCGATCATCATATGATCAGTAATATTGCCCTCCCCTTGAGGTGAGCGCTCTCGGTATCCCCGTGGAGAATTCCGACGATTGCGATTAGGAGGGCTAAATGACCGATCTCGAGGACGAGGAGAGTTGTACTGGTTACGGCCTCGTCGTTCATCCCTATAAGGGTTAGGATTGAAGTTGCCGTCGCGAGGACCGCCATTACCCCCACCTCCTCCACCAACACTGCCACCGTAGTTACTGCCACGGCCAGGAGATCTCGAACGAGACCTAGCGTCCTGGTTGTACGATCTGTTATTGCCGCCACCACTTCCTCGGTCGAAATCTCGAGGGCCACCAGGTTCTAAAAGAGGTTAGTTAGTTAGTTAGTAAGCAGGAAGAATAGTGATAACAAGACAGGCAAGTACGCACGTTGGTAGGCACCAGGCTGAATACCCCGTTCAGACGCGAAGTTTCTAGCCTTCGCGATTGCATCTTGGAGTGATACAGACCCAGAGTTTGTGGGCCGAATGTTCGAAAGGTCTAGAGCACCCGATCCGGTCGGCTGAGGAAGAGGGAAACTGCCCTGAGGAGCAGCGGCCCCTCCAGGGGCACCTGGCTGCTGAACATTGGCTAGAAGGGATTGCAGAGCGGCAAGGGCATTTGGATTCGGGGCTTGTTGGGCGGATGGTTGCTGTTGTTGCTGTTGTAGACCCGCAAGAAGGGTCTGAGGCGTCTGGGCACCAGCTCCACGTTGCTGCTGCTGGTTTGCTACAAAGTGTAGGAAGAGGATCCGTTAGTGACAAAGTGTAAAAAAATTTAGATATTTGATGAGATTATAGGCAGCACTCACTAAGGGCAGCGAGGAGGGCGGCGACGTTGTTTGGGTCAGCCATCACTCAGGCGTCTTAGCACCGCTTACGCAGGCCGTTCGGAGAGAACGAGTGGAATCAGGGAGAACGGATACGGTGAAGGAGAAGTCGAGGAAGACTCTCAAGATCGCGTCCTTGAGTAGGCAAAATGGTCAGACGAAGGTTGGTGAAGCGGTGATGCTCAGGTGATATGTGTGAGATGAAGACGAGATGGTGATTCGATAAGGTTGCAGTAAGTCGGGACGGGGAAAAAGAATCGAAGGGGGAACGGACACAGAGATGGAGGCTGGTTGGCTGTTGCTGAGGACCTGCAACTCGGCGCGCGGCAGATGATTGGCTGGTCAACGGAGGGCCTGCGCGAAATACTGCACCGTACGCTTGTCCTGTTTTGGTATGCAACACGACAACACAGCAACACAGCAACACATTTCCCCCAATATCATCCATCTCTGCCCACTGGCCACCTACAAGGACGAACACTATATTTGGTGGGTTCGGTATGAGTACTAGCTTGCCGAAGCGTTTTAATACAAGAATAGAATACTAGTACGTGTACTAGTCTCGATTCTATTGAAGTATTGATACTTCTATGCTGCAATGATAGTTACTAGGTATATTACCTTGTGTTGATAAAATGTGTGAAGGCTAACTAAATATTGTCATAAGTGTTAGGAATAAGAAAGCCTTAGCCTATTACTATTCTCTTAGGGCGTCTCTAGCCTGAAGATCTAGGCGTCGACCATAAGATAGTCTTGATATCAAAGGAATAGGCAGCTAGTACCTCATACCTAGAGCTATTTGGGCCTCTAGTATAATTAGTCTTGTATTAAAACGCTTCGGCACACTGCTGAGCGTAGCGAAGCGTCTTGCACAACAATTGAGTTTTTTGTATGAGAACTTTTGTCTGCTCGGTTTTATTGCTCTCTGCACCCAATTTGACAACACAATAATCGACAATCTGCCTCAAAGGCTAATAGTATTAGTGTATCCTGTAAATTCTTGTATTATTATAACCAAAACCTCACATGTACATATACCAAAGCTCACGGAATCTACTAAAACAATCCTTTCTTACCTATCTCTTACTGATTTAAAACTCTAAAATGGATAATCCTAGTAGGTGTTCAGGGGGGAGGCCGACTAAGACGCAGATACGGAAAACGACACAGCAGTTGCAGGCAGAAAAGCTGCGAGTAGGTCGGGTCACACAGGTTCTTGATGCTATTGCGGCCGCCGGGTATTCCGGAATTGGGTCCTTCCTCGTCGACTTTCTAACACCGGCGGAGCGATCCACTGAAAATTCCCGCTTTACAACCGCGCAGACAAATTTCTTGACGAGGGGTGGCTTTGTGAAAGTAATGAACTTGGCTCTTGACGACGAACGGTGCTTCAACCGAAATTTAAAGTCTGAAAATTGCCCTGTGAATTTCCTAACTCGCTGGTGCACTGATTATGTACAAGAGGAGGCCACATCCTTTGCCTATATGAAAGGTACCCCTGTCAGAAGAAGTCAGCCGACTCCTTCAGTAGAACCGCACGATATATTTAGCTTTGAAGAGTGCGCAAATGGACTCGAGAAGCATGTAAGTAGACCAGGTCTAAGATTCCAGTATACGTATACAGGCATCACTAACTGTAGAAGGCCCCATTTCTCTGGTCAATCCTTTCTTCATTGACTATAAGAACAACCAGAGTGCTCAGTGATAAGGATATGGCTGGTTTCGGTGGCGGAGATGCCCCTCCTGCTTCTCGTATGTCAGCTGCAGTCGCTTTTAGCATCCTCGCATATACGTCGAACCCTCAAATAAGTGGCCTACAGTCAACCATGACAATCTACTTGGGGGCATATCGGGTGCCCAAAAAGGCGATGGATGTCCTCCATAGGATGGGTATGGTTGCATCAGCTAGCCAAAGACTTATATTGCTAGGGGAACTTGCCAAAGCAGAGGAAGGTTCACTTAGGCTGCTTGCTAACTCCGCGCCTTGTGGAGTAAGCGTTGACAATGTAGACAGTCAAGTTGCCAAAAGAGGCAGTGACCAATCTGCCGTGTTAAAATCATATTTGGAACACAGTTGTACTGGATTCGTTTTCAAACTGCGGCATATACCCCAAGATTATTCAGCAATGTCATATTTACCCGATACTCTCCTCACTCGTGGAGCTAGGCTGGCTTTGACAATCGAGGATATGGTACCGTCCAACGCTTCGTGGGAGTACCTGCGGGAGGCGATCCGGTATCACCTCTACTCCGCATTAGACAATCGACTTGGGCCTTTTAATTTCACCAAACAGCAGAAAGAAAACTTCAGGATTTCGAAGAAATATTGCTTCCAATGTTCGAATGAGCCCGTTTCTATCAAAAACTTCGCACTGTTGCCATTTAACCAAGGAGAGGTTAAAGGGACAAGGGCCTTTCTCGAACATATCCAGGAAAAGGAGATGGGATTTGAGCCTGGGGCCCTTTTGAATGGTATAATCCCCATTTCTGCAGACCAGTTAGGACTACAAAGGGTCCAAACCAACAAGATTCAGTCGCAATGGGATTTCCGGGGTCGAAGATTTGACCATTATCTCCCATGGCCGGCGCCTTTCCACTGGCGCCTTAACGTAACAAGTACGTACCTAAGACTCCATGGCCTTGCGACTGAGGAGAGTGGGGATACGTGCGATACCGCAAATTCAAACCCCAGCTCGTTGGCGTTTGCAAATCTAACTCTCCGCCATGGAAATCTCCGCAAAGATCTACATAACCAGGAGAGGTTTATATCTCTTGCGTTAGATGGTCATATCTTGGCTCTCGCAACTGCTACATGCGATAAAAATAATCCAACTGATATCAGGGGCCTACTTGAAACATGCGCGGATAAATATCAGTTTGTGAAGAACTTAGTCGATAAAATGACGGATCAGGTTTACCTGAAGCACATCCGGGAGCTCGAATCCCTACCCGATGCGCAAAGAGACCATACCCAGGAAAGTGGCTTGCTGCTGATATTCCACGGCATTATGGTCAGGGATCTTTTTCGAGTGATCAGGGCCGGCGACACTGGAAGGCTGTTACTCCTTGCCGAATTGTTCATACCTTTTTTTTCCGGTTCGGGCATGAACAACTATTTGTACGAATTCATGGATTTCAAAGCCGCAACTACAAAAGAGTACTCGAGTGTGCTATTGGATATATTGAAACAGAATTGGCTGCTAAATCCAAGCGGCTTGCCAGGAAAATTCATGGCCATAGACGAGTTTACGGAGTATATCGTCCGAATGCTCAAGGATATATACGGGATTAATCTGACCGATAAGACGGAAAACCATCGTCGGTTTGTTATTTCAAGGCTAGTAGTGTGTCTTTCTAGGATAAAAGAAGAGTTGGAGTCGGTATCAGGAAGCAGTGGAGGTCGATCTGGACACACGTCGCATCCAGCGACACAAGACGTTTTCCGTGTAGCGTCTTCTTTGGATGGACTTTGTAAAACCTTTAGGGGGCGCGGAAGACCGCAAAATTTGAATATTATGGACATCGGCCTCAAGAAGCTCAGCCAGGAAAGAATATGGAAAATACTCATGAAGAATACTTTATCGGAGGAGGATAGGGAAAAATATTTCGGGTCTGTAGATGATCCGATGGACGAATGGCTGGAAGATGATGAGGGGAATGGATTAGAAATTGATGGCGAATACAACTAGTATGTATGTAAATGCTCTATGTTTCTGTTATAGGGGGTAAGCCGGCGTTTTTTAATCTGTCTGCTTCGATCTGTGCCTTCGTCCGTCGAACTCTAGTTTTTTTGTCTTTGCCTCTGGTTCGTTTCTTTTGAGGGTCGGTTTCGGTAGCGCTATCGGGCGTTTTGGGCGCACTTGGAGTCGCTTGTATTTCTGGTGTCTCCAATCTCGTTTGGTCGTGCGTGGTTGGGGGTAAATCCGGAATACTGGAAATTTGGGTACTCGTAGCCTCAGTATCGTAACCTCTTGTATCCAATACAAGATTTAATATTCTCATGCGTTCATCAAGACTTCTCAGTGACTATGCAAGAAGTGATGCACCTATATATGCCAAACAAATTAATTTGGTTAACCAAGGTGTTTATTTGGGACGCATTAACTTCACATACCGTGCGCATGAAGGAGGCTTTTCGGCATATGGAATTTAGATATAGACAATAAGTCATTCGGGGTAGTAGATTCCTTAATGCCAATAATGTGAGAGGCCAGGGCCAAAATAGATGCATCCGGCAGAAGATATTGTTCGATAATAGACATGCTGTCCAATTCTTTGACCTTTTGAAGTCTCCAGTTCTTCAAGTCGGAGACAATACTAGCTTCCAAGGCCGCCGTTTTCGTCCGCTTCCATGTTATGGGATTAATAGTTCGCTTATTTAAATGAGGAGGGGGGTCCTTCTTAGAATAGAAGAAAATACCCTCCGGTACACCTTCGAAGTGTTCGTGCACCGCATCCGGGTTGCATCGGCAGCAACAGAAGGAGGAAATCCCTGCAGTAAGCGCAGCAGTATGCCTCATTGGATCACCCATTGCATCTAGCAAGGCATATCGAATGCAAGGAACCTCTATCCCGTTCCGCTTAGCCGTACCCAATACACAATCGTATACCCCGCTAGGGAGATGCGCAATACGATCAGTCTGAGTACGACGGATCCGCTTTCGTTTGCCTGTCGTCGCTTGAGCGTCTTCATATACTTTAACTTCAATGGTCTTTCGGGAAGTATTGCTAGCATCGGAATCATCTGCATCCAACGGTGGTACATTCTCCTTGTCAGTATTCCGTTTCCTCAAGAGCTCTCTCCTTCTGTTCAATTCTGCCCGCCTTTCCCTAGCGGCAACCTGTGTGGGATTCGCTGGTACAAGAGCAGGCTCAGGATAAACAATACATAACCCTTTGGACCCGACGGATCGACCGGCCCTTCCGAACCTTTGGACAATCTGGTCCACATCATCAAGATTAGAAATTCCTTTAATAATGATCCTTTCGCATGAATAGTTTACTCCAACTCCCCAGGCTTCCGACGCAACCAAAATCCTGCATATCCCTTTGCGAAAGTTCTCCTCTTGTAGCTCACGCATTTCTGGGCCTAGAGCTGTTGAAGTATATCCCTATCGTTCTCTCTGCTAAAGAGCGATGATCTTCGAAGGGACCATTTACCCGGACGCGGGAAGTAAATTCAGGGCTTCCAGGAAGGCGGGATTGAAGATATCTGGCCAATCCCATGGCTTCGGCCACTCCGAAGCAGTATACGACTGTTGAAGGTATTTTCGCGATGTCATCGGGTGTAGAAATGTCGCTGGGAACTAGCCAAGCAAAGTCCTCCTAGTGAATAGGCAATCAAATTAGACAATGGAGTTCCAGGAAGTTGTCCAATTTGACAACATCGACAACACGGGTTGTCAAATCTGACAACACTCCAACTACCACTTACCATTCCCTTTCGAATTGGAGCCCCTGCATAGAACAGGTTTTCGCGATTGGACGACTCCCTTATTTTCATAAGCCTTTTTTCTCTCATCCCCAATAGTGCAAATAATTTCTTTTCTTTCCCTGGTGCCAGAGTAGCCGTGCAAGCGGTAAACGGTATCCCAGGCAAGTATGTCCGAAGAGCCCCAATATTCTTGTATGCGGGTCTATAACCATCAACATGGTCAACTGCATAATGACATTCGTCGAATACCACCAGCCCAATCTTCTCTCTGAACTTCTCGTCCTTCAATAATTTCCACAGGTTTTCGTTATCCGTTCGTAACTGTTCCGGAGTTACGAATATGTACCAACCAATATTTACCCTGTGCTATATCTTTGAAAACACCAGGATACATATCATCCGAGTCTTTGTAAAGCCCGATTGCAGGCATGCTGACCTCCTTGAGATCGTTGACCTGCTGCCGTATCAAACTACGCAATGGCGAGACAACAAGAGTTATCTTTCTCTCGATAGAAAAGCATACTGTCGGGATCTCAAAGCCGACAGTTTTACCGCCACCAGTGCCGGCTACTACTAGCACGTCATGGTCGTTCAGAATCCTAGTCGCCCAACGAACCTGGAATTCTTTCGCATCGTAACCCCATGTGCCTTTTACAGCCCTCTGTATTCGTATTCGTAATTCAGCGGACTCTCTGCCGGTTTCAAAGGAAAGTCGATTTGTCATGATGGACAGTAATGGTAAGGGTAATGAGGTGTAAAGTTTGAAGTACGAATAAGATGGAGCGTGAATGTAGTATAGTGACAATGGGTAGTGTGTGAAGTATGAGTATAAAACAAAAAGAGCTAGATAGGCAGGCAGATTAACTTGAATATTTATACACCCTCGCGCTATACATAAACGTGATGCGAACGTGACCGAGCACGTTATTTACGAATAATACGAAAGTTAATATAGAATTAAATTATTATTTCTGCTCGTTTTCAGATAGGATGGCTAAAGGCTGTTCTGAAAACGACCAGGTTAATTTGGTTTCTATCAAATCCGCTCGATATAGATAGATATACACAAAAAGTAAGACAATTCATATGAAGCTAGTTGGTAGCCGAAAACCCGGGGGACGACTCGTCATCCTTGTCTTCCTCGTCCAAAACCATACCGTCTTCATGATCAGTTTCCCGGTAGTTGTCACCCAGTTCACTATTATCTTTACCAGGACTAATTGGCAAGGTTGAAGCTGAAACAGTGAACCGGCTGACGGCACTGCTCTCCTCGATACCCAAGTCTTTGTCGAGACTATCGCCAGACACGTATTCGAGTATTTCCTTGGCCACATCGTTGGCAGTAGCACCAAAAAACTGCTTCGTGGCAGCAGAAATCATGTCGTTACGACTGGCAAGTCCAAGTTTCATTCTGAAGGCACGGAACTTCGCAGAAACCTTTTGAACTGCCCCCAAATCTTGACACATGCTTGTCATCATCTGGTTACGAGCCGCTGCAAACATGGTAATCTTTTGCGCCTCCGCCTCTAAGTCCTCGATCTGCTGGATGATACCAGCCTTGACAGTTTGAAGACTATGCATGTCAGCTTCGTAAATTTCTTGATAATAAGCCCCGATTTCCTCAAGAGACGAGGATCTTTCTTCAGGAATGGAATTAGGGGGAGGTTTGATGAACTTTGGCTCAATTAAAGAGTGAGAAACCTCTGAGACGAAGCTATCATCATCATCAATTGTCTCAACCTCTTCAGCCTCAGCGGCTTTACCAAGATACCCGAATGAACCAACATGTCGCTTCATAGTTGGCCAATTGGTGTCGATCAGGAGAGTGGGGAAAGGGACGTCCTGGGTCTTAGCATCGCCTTTCAGAATACTATGATTATGTCCATTTTAATTAGAATTTTTAGTCGTAAAAATGTAGGAACTATGAGGTAGCATACCAAGCGGTAACTAGTTGCTCGGGGATCTGGGATTCGCGCTTTTGAAGTCCGTTCTCTTCGGAGAACTCATAGCATTCAGTTATCAATTCACTGAGGACGATTGCAGTGGCGTCGGTAAAGGCCGATACCCACTGGCGTCCCTCAGTAGACTCAAAAAGGTTGTCTACGACAACGTCGAGAATGTTACGGTAGACGTCCGCAATAAGCCCACTTTGTTGTAGAAACTCCTTCAACTTTCCCGGAAAGATGTAAGGGCGTTGAAGATTGAAACCTCCAGCGATATTGCTGTCCATTCGTTCTTGGAAACTTTTTCCAGCATCTGTTTCCAACCAGAGGTCAAGAAGGCGAAGGTGGGCACCAGTAAGAGCGGTCCAAACAGTGCTCCTCTCTTTGTTAATCCAGGTGAGAACTGAAGCTGAGGTCACGAGTGTCGTATTCAAACCAGTCGTCAAATAATTGGCGACAGCTCGACGATTGTTCGTCTCGCTTGGAAGATCCAAGCAACGGGTTTTCCAATGGCCAACACGAACAAAGAATCGAAGGCAGGCACGGGCCTTTAGACTTCCGTTTTCTTGCTTCTACATAATAGATACATGTACATTAGAAGGAATTCCTTCCGGAAATCTAAATATCAGAGATTAACTTACGAAACATGATTGGAAGAAGGACTTAAATTTTGGGTGGACCCAAAGAATTGTCTCGATGTCGGTAGTGCTAGCTGGCACCTGCGCTAGCTTCTTGGCAGCAGCAACGTCCCCACCGGTGCTCTTACGCTTTTCGGATACTTTCTTGGCGGCGGTAGCACCCGACTTTTGACCTCCAGAAGGAGTATTGTTCCCGCGAGTCTGAACCATGGCGATGGTGGTTGAAGAATTGAGTGGAGGTGGAGGTGGAAGTGGAGGTGGTCGATGGAGGTCGATGGAGGTAAGGAAAGGAGAATACAAAATTAGAGAGGTTGTTGAGGATAAAGAGATTGGAAAGGTAAATTCGGTATATACATGATTAGTCTATAGTCTTGTATTAAAACGCTTCGGCATATACCGCTAGTAGATATACCAAAAAACGCACTTATACAATGCTATCGATGGACATTGGCTTTATAGCATCTGCTAGTGCCTTCTATCGATTGCATCGTGTTGCCCTCATTGCACCTCAGCCAACCCAACATCATCTTCACACCTGCAACCTCAATTCCAATGTTGACGAAACTTCAATCACGATTATATCATCACCATCCCCCTAGTTCAACCATCTGCCTGCACTAAACGGGTCAGTATAGTATCGAAAAAGATATACCATTGCTAGACTTTGCACTTCTCAGAATCCTCGGGGTACATATATATCTTGCCCTTGCTTTTTGTCCTTATCCCAATATACTTCTTATAGATCTGAATTCTCCACTGTTCTCTTGCCAATATCCACCCGAAGTTCCATGAACAATCCGTGATATTAGTCTTGTATCAGAGCCACTTTCGCTGGCCTTGCCAGGTGATATTGAGATAGCCGGCTCTTTGAAGCCCTGCAAAGCGTACCCTTCAATATCTTCGTGACTGTTTTCTCTTCCAGCCCCATGAAAGTCTCATAACCAAATTATGCCCCTTAGTCCTCGAGCAACTCTTCCTTTCTAACCCTCAACAAATATTCATCCTACAGAACCTCGCAACGAGAAATCCTCCATCTCCATCCTCATCTCCTCATATCATTCCAGTTTCGACAGGTGTGCTTTCCTTGCCAGTATCCCGTGATTCAGTTTGTTCAATGCTTTAGAATCCCTTGGATATCACTAACCGCTCTCTTTCAGAAACTCCTCGTTTTCCCACTTGAGCAGCTTGCTCTGTCAAAGAATCATCTACTTGCAACGATGCGTGACGGTCTCCAGCAATTAATCATTGCCAGGTCTCAAGGTGGCACCCGCCCTAAGACGAGAAGAATCGCCGATGATGTGATACTCATGCATCTTCCTCCCGGCTACGAGTTGAACAATAAGCTCAAATTCAATAACTCTTTGCTCCCTGTTTATGGAGAACTCAGTGTCTTATACATTGATGATCCAAAACATGCCACTGAGCTCATTGAACTTGTCCGTCTCCGAGCTACATCCCCTTTAATCAACTCGATTCCTCCTAAGAGACGAGCGAAGCCCCTCCCTCCTCACAGCGAACATGCTGAGAATATCCAGTACATCTGTGACTTCCTTGGTGAAGAAGAGGAAAATCAAGCATCTCAGTATCGTCACGTCATGGGCCGTATTCACGAAGTCATCATCAGCGGCCTTCTCAAATATGTCAGCTCCGAACCCGGCAACGACAAAACGAAAGTCCTTGCCTATTTACAAAATCTTGGACGAGCCTCCCCAGTCTGGGAAGAGCGTGTCAAGAAACTCCTCCTTGAGGAGCATAAAGTCCTCCAGGATATGATCAAGGAGATCCAAGGCGGCTGGCCTTTCCTTCAACATTTCTTGAGCAGCAACATGATCACTGCTAATCAATGGGAACGTCTGGTTATTACCGCAATGGCAGAGACGGTTAGGAAGTCTCCTGTTCTTCGTGATTATCATATGGTCGTTTACGATGTCAGCATCGACCACTTCATCCACGGCAAAGTTGGGGAAACACTGCTCACATCGCTTGATGCTTGGAAGTGTGATGTTGAGTCTATCAATAGTGACTCCTTCCGTATCAACTCCCCTTTCATGACTTCTCGCAAGCATCCAATGCAACGACTTGATGAACTTGGTGAGAAGTTCTTCCGTAAGCTCACCAATACTTATCAAAGTGGCGAACTTCTTTACACTCGTGCTGTTCTTTGTCGCTCCATTTTAACTACCTATTTTTTCCAAGCTTTCATCAGTGTTTGGGATGACTGTGTTCTTAATGGGCACTTACAAGGCTTGAAAGGGCTCGTTCCTGTGTACCCAAAGATCATGGACCGTCTCCGAGATCATATGGCACATGGGACCTGTCCACGTGAAAGCCATCCCGGTACCAGAAGGAAGCTAGCCCAAGGCGACGCTGATGATATCCCTTGCATCCTTCCCCCAAAGCCTTCCCGGATTCTAGTTGTCCAAGCTGCTGTATCGGAAGATGTCGAGATGGTCGATGCCGACCCCTTGAGTGATAGTTCCTCGGAGACCATTATCCAGCAGGATGAATCGCGCCCTAGTGTGGCCCCTTCGACTAGCAAGGAAGAAGAGAGAAGGAGGAAGAGACGAGATAGGAGGAAGCAGGTCAGAAAAGCTACTCTGATCACTATCGAACAGAGTAAGTATAAGAGCCGATCTTGCTTCGACAACCACCTTGTAAACGTGCTAACTTTGTATGAAGAACCAACCCAAGGCTCTTCGGCCACGGGAGGACCGCTAGTCACACGTATCGAGAGACTCGAGTTCCCTTCTGGGGGTCCAATTGAAGTACTTGATGCCACTTCAACTCCATCCCAGATGATTAAGACACCAGATGAAACTAAAACATCAAAGGACATTAACACCATAAATTTGGAAACACAGCCTCTGATTAGCAGTCGAAGTATCAGTAGGGTGGAGGATGAGCCGAAGCATCTGGGGCTATTCCTTGAAGTTTTGAATGGCGGGTCAGAGGTAATTGAAGAAGTTGAGAAAATAACCTTGCCTGAAGCTTCTGTCGGAGGTCAAAATTACATCAAGAACAGAGGTGCGTCTTCTTTTTTTTTTTTTACCTTTTCCCTGTGTCATTACACTGTAGACGATGTGGTCGTGCAGTATTGTGTCCAAACCCTCGACACCGCAACGTCCACTATAAAACCTGTCACCCCCCATTCACAACCAACCCTTTCCTCCCTTCTTTTCCACCAACCCACCTCTTTTATTCCTCAACCTCCCCTTCACCGCTACTTCCACCAACTTGCTACTAGCATCCAAATCTCATCCTAACGTTAGTATTCATAACTTCAGCCAAAAAAGAAAGACGCAAAGCAAGAGCTGCGAACGTTGCTGCACTTCAAGCCGAACAGACATCCCCTAGGGCAGAGCAAAACGCCACTGTTAGTCCTCCAGTTAAAGAAACCACCCCAAGTAAGTTAAACCTTTTCCTTGTGTTTATCAACATCTTCCTTCTATAAAAGCTGGAACCGTCGTTCATCTCCCTTCAAACCCTCCTACCCGCCACGTTTGCATCGTCGCCATCACCACTACTATTGCCTCCATAGGTTTCACCTGAGGCTCCTATCTTACTCTGTATCAATCGTACTTCAGTCGAAAGACCTTTCCGTCTCCACCATCCCCTTCCTTTATCCTATAACACCTCCCTTTGCCAACTCACTACATCCTCCCTCTTAGCTCCACCTCAACTACACCTTTCTCCTCAAACTGCCATCTCACGTCTTTCACCAACCCCTCACATTACAAAATTAACGACTCAAAACCATCCCTCAGCCCTAGAGGAGCAGTCAAGGAAGACGAACAAGCCCCATTCAAAAGGTAACACACTACTTTCTAGAAAAATAATGCAGTTAAACATATACTCATCCGAGCTAATAGCAGGGAATTCGAAACCAACTGAAAAAGCCGAAGAAATAAAATTAAGCAATACAGGTAAGGCTCTGTACTTCATCGGCAACGTGCTCCTTCTCCTCGCTCTTAGTCTCGCTCAGACTATCCGGGCTCGAAGATGTCCACAACGAGCTCCCTACACTTTGCTACTCTTCCCCCCTCAAAGTCATCGTCTAAACCGTCCTTGGGATATGGGTTTCAAGCGGCTTCCGAGAAGAATGAAGCTTAATTCTTCCATTCTCTTCCTACTGCAAATGTCTTTTCATTCGAGGGTAGTACTGACCAAGTTTAGTTAACATAGGCGTTCCGTTGCAATCTATTGGCGAACTCACGAAAACAGTCCATCAAAAACAAGGTATGTTCCTTCAAACACGCGTCCTTCGTCAAAAACCATCTGACGTTTCATTGCAGAGAATAAAATGCCGCGTCGTCGCAAGACAACCACCCAGGTGGTTCCACGTACGGTCCCTGGTGCAATCGTAATTGGACCTACTGCCCAACAGGCCGTTCAAACCGATCAGCCGGCCGCTTCGAAGAGTCAGGCTTCAACCCCTTCCAAACCGGACAGTGACTTGTATGACGACCCCGAAGCCATTGCTGCTGGAATTAAAGCCTCTGAAGAAGAGGAGTCATCTTGGACCAAGGTTGGAGGCAAGAAGCCTGAAATCTCTAAAACTGCCAAGTTCATGGAAAGTAAAGGGTTGCGAAACTTAGGCCATGGTCACAATGCCGTCTTTCCGAATAAAAACGTTCCTCTTCGATCTCATCCACATCATAAACCGAACCCAAAGGCTTCGGGGGTTCAAGGAAAGTCTCTTCCCGTTCAGAATAAAGCCAAGGTCTGGCCTCCTCAGGGGCAAGGAAAGACTACCCCTCCTCACGCTCAAGTGAAGGTTGTTTCGCCTCAAAGCGAAATGAAGATTACTACCCCTCAGAGCCAGACCAGGTCTGTCGCTACCAACCAAAGTCAAACAAAGCCGCCTGCTCAGAACCAAACCATCCCGAAATCTGATGTTACGAAGACGTCGACCCCGAGTAAGAAGCCGTCACCAAAGGAGGGCCAAAAGCCACCCGGAAAACAACATCGTCAGAAGCGTGAAGCTCGCCTTCCCATAATTAATTCCATGAAGGAATTCCCAACTCTAGCCACTAGTACCAAGCTTCTAGGACGGCAAAAAGATTCTCAATCAACTGGAGAGCAGCCTATGGATATGACTGTCGAGCTCGCATCGCATGAAGTCGAGTCACCTGCCTCTACACACACGACCACTGCATCTGCTGTCGGTGAAACTAAAACCAGTGATAAGGATTCTGTTCAGAAGAAGGCACAAAGTGTATCAGTTGTCTCACTATCTCATCCTGTCAGCTCAGTTAAAACCCAGAAGAGTAAATCGTCCATTATTCCCCGAGCTGTTGAGCAAAAGGAGGACACCATAACCGTCACCACCACAATTCCAAAAGCTACCGAGTCCGTTTCTGAACATCTTGCTGTCAAAGGCCAAGTTCATGACACCGACGCTAAAGCGCCTATCACAGAGTCGAAGGGAACCCCGGATTTGTCAACTTCTACCTCACCCTTAGCCGGAACGTCCAACAAAAGCACCGCTCCAGTGACTCCCACCAGAGCCCTCACTAAGAGAGAAAGACGTGCACTGGCCAAGAAGATTGCTGAAGAACAAAAGGTACCTAAGTTGTCCATCAAGGAAAGAGCAGAACTTCGACGGTCATTGGAAAACAAGAAATCCCCTGAGCCCGCTGAAAAGGCAAAGGATGATCCCGTCGTCCCGGTTGTCATTCAGGAGGAGGCCTCAACAACTGAAAGTCCTGGCATTGCGCATCCAGGCACGCAGACCATAAGCCCTGTCATTACGCATACAGGCTCTCTGCCCGAAAGTCCTGCCACTACGGATGCAGGCAACCCAGTTGTTTCGAGCGTCGACAGTGAGACCTCGACGGTTCCCTCCGTAAGTCCCGGCATTGTGCATCCGGGCACCTCGGCTTTAAGTCCTGGCAACGTGCATCCAGGCACCTCTACGGAAGTTAACACAAATACTTCCGGTCAGATCAAGTTGGCCTCTGGGGTCAACAATGGCATGAGGTACGAGGTCGTCGCAACCCAAGAGGCTGCAACAATTTTGGGAGGGGCCACGACTTGGGTCCCTGCCCCCGCTCCTGGCTTTTCCCAGCTGGGGTACGGTCCGGGGGTCGGTGGGTTTGTCGGTGGGCCTCCACAGCCCAACAACTTTGGAGGGGTGGGTTAGCACCCTGCTCCTCCAGGTTTCGCGCCGTCGGGGCGCGCGGCAAACCCACTGACCCTACATGGGGCAACTGGGCTTTGGCCCAGTGGGTCAACTTATGGTTTGGGGGTACCATTTAACCCCTTCCACTATCCGTTCCCGGTGCACCCGCCGCCGTGGGCATTCTTTTCCCCGGGGGGACCTACCCCGTGGCCAATGTGGCCACGCGGGTTCGTTCCGTCTGGGTACCCGCCGTCGGGGCCGTACCACTTTCCTGCCATGTAAATGGCAAAGTTTTGTGTTTTGTTTCTGTTTTCGTTTTTTTAATTTTTCTTTTTTTTATTCCTTCATAGTCAAAACATAACGAGAGAGGGACTATGAATGAATTTTTAGTTATTTTTATCTTTGCTATCTTTCCAGTGCCAGTAACTCAAATGCGTAGACTTCATCTTGAAGCTTTAGTGAGCTAGGAGCAATGATTATGCCATCCTTCGATCCGTCAAGCCTGTTAGATATCCTGACGTTCAGATCATGGAGATTCTCACGATACGGGCAACACAAAAGGTTTAGTGTTGAGGACGTTGGATTCTGTTTGTACCACCAGAACCCGGCCGGGATTCCCAAATGGGACATTGCCAAATACATCTATTGACTTTAGCAATGCTCGAGATTTCCGCCTGGGATATCATGGTGTTTTTAATCCTTCGGAGTTAATATATTTATTAGACTCTTTGGTTTATTTTATCCTATTCATAATGTAAGCCTGAATTTAAGAATATATTCCAGAGTAGTTGCTGTCTAGGTGCCATTTGTATGGGGATTTGGTTCGGCTCTGGCAATTTGAGCCGAGGTTGGATGTCATGCCAGCGCGTGTTGTCGCATGTCAACATCAAATCAATCAATCAACTTCAACTTCAACAACTTTCCAATCTCCAACCTCCCCGACTGCGACATCAGAACATCTCCAACTTCAACATCAGCGCGTCGCAGAACAACTTCTTCACCATCTACGGATCCATTATATTATATATTACACCATGGCCAACGATACCGATCCGAAAGACCAGCCGTCAGAGCCACAATCCAGTCCAGCTGAACCCACACCCTCCCCGTCGCCCGAGAAGGAACCGCCCGCCGCACCAGCTCCGACCCCCGTCGAACCTATCACCCCAGAACCAGAACCAGAACAAGAACAAGAACCGGAACAAGAGCAAGAGCAAAAGGAATCAATACCCCTTACCCGTTCCCAGTTAATCGAACAGGCTCTCCGCTTCCTCCAAGAATCCGAAGTCCAAAACTCCACGCGAACCAAGAAAATCGCGTTTCTGGAGAGTAAGGGGTTAACTCGCGATGAGATCGATGGTCTCCTCCCCGTCGAAAAGGGCGTTCCCAGCTGGCAGCTCCCGAAATCCGGATTGAAGAAACCGATGGTACAAGCTGAACCTCCCATGCCGCCGATGCCGAGCGAGAGCTCCGCCAGTGCCGGGAGTAGTAATAGAGCTCATCGGAACGTCCATGCTTCTTCGATGGTATCAACCGGCACATCCACAGTATGTTAAACCTCATTTATACACCCCCCATTCTACAATTCACAAATTGCTAACAACAAGCAAAGTATCCTCAAACCCCCCTCCCTCCTCGGCCAAATGCCTCGGCTCCAATTGTCACTTTCCCCGAATACCTCCCCCCACCCCCACCTCCTCCACCAATCTTCAACACCGCAACCCTAACCGCAGGAGCCTACCTCTTCGCTGGTGTCTCAGCCACGATCTATGCCGCTACAAAATACTACTTCCAACCCCTCATAGACAATTTAACCGACTCCCGTCTCGAATTTACCTCCCACACCCTCTCCAAGCTCGATGAGATGAACCAAAAGCTCTCAGACCTAGCCCACCGCCCTCTCCCCTCAGAAACCCATCCAAACCCTCCATTTGGAGTTTTACAACATAAATATCCTCTAGCGAAATACACCACCCGAACAACATCAGACACATTCTCCGAAGCAGACCTACTAGACGACGAAGCCGACAGAGAGAGTATATACTCCTACGCTTCATCAACTCTACCAACTCGTACCTTCCACGTAGACGCACAAACCCAGACCTCACCTCACCATTCAATCGCCTCGGCTTCAGACCCAACTTCCCTACCACCCGATGAAAAACTAGATCGCATCCACCGTCTTTTAAAATCACTAAAAGACGAAGCAGACGATGTAGTCCAATCCGACGGCGGGGAGTTAGGTGGAAACGTAAAAGACTTGACGGAGTATCTACATAATATTACTTATAAGGCTACATACGGTGGCAATAGCGCAAATAGCTATCTCCCACCATACGTTAGTATCTCTGGAGGTGCTGGGGCGCAAGGCAAAGGTGACGAAGATGAGTTTGGAAAAGTGAAGGCTGAGATTAGGAGTGTTAAGGGAGTACTTTTGAATATGTAAGTTTCTTTTTGATTCCTTAAAGACGACTCTCTTTTATCCCGGATGAAGCGACAGATATGCTAATAAATTATACAGAAAGAATTTCCCAGCCGGAAGTCGGTAGATTTTCTTCCCTTTTCTTTGTTTTTTGATTAGGTGAAATATTTAGGTGTAATAAATACGACTTATTTTCGTGGGATTCTTATGATTTTCATCATAATCTACTTTGATTTTTCCTTGCTCTTTTTTATATTTTCTTGTACTAAACATATAGCCGGCCTTGATGTTAATCCGAAAGAATGCCATATTAATGATTCAAAACGAGAGATTATGAATGTAACTGTACAAATGCCTCAGGTTGACGTATCCCGTTACTTGTGAAATACTAAGTGATCTTGCAAGTTTGACATCAAAGAAAGAGAGAAAGAACCCGTTCGTTGCCAAATTCTTATATATCCAACGGTATGTATGTATATATGCACCATTTGTATAAAAAGTGATGTGTATAATATGTAAATCATGGCCCCCAGACCAGGTAAAACAACAATCCCCTTGACCAATTGCACTTAAGCTGTTCAATCAAATTCAAAGAAATCGCACCTTCATGATCGATCCGAATAGTACACGAATGAAAATTCATTCTTCCAAGAATAAGAGGGAAAAAAAACTTAAAAATCCCAATGCAATATGAACAATGCATGCATGTAGTGATAAAAAAGATATATAGATAAGTACTATATATATACAACCAAAGAAAAATGCCAATATGTTATACTAGCTATAACACCACCCTTCCAATCGGTAAACTATATCTCAAGAAAGAAAGAAAAGGGTACAAAAATAAGAAAACCGGAATATAAAAGATATATATATGTAGTATATAGAAGCAAGGGTAAACAAAAAAAGTTTTGTTTTCAGAAAACCCCATCCCCTCCAGCACCGACTCTAGCGTGTGCGTATAAATTGTAAAAATAGTATGCATAACAGAATATTGGAAAGTCCAAAGAGATACACAAGTAATTTGAACTCCTTTCTCCAAAGTTTCCTACTCTAACCCTTCAACCGAGGAGAAGAGAATAGGGGGACTCGAAGGTAATGGTTGGTATTAACAAACGGTAAATGAAGAAAGAATCAGAAGGGCCGCGGGCCATGGATGGATATATATAAAGTGGAGGTGAAGCAAAGGAGAGAAAAAAAATGATGATGAGAATCAGAGAAAGAAAGGAAAGAACGCCATGCACAAAGGAAAGGCTTAGAAGCAAAGACACAAAGGAATCCATGAGCAGAAGGAAAGAGGGAAAACGAAGAAGCAGAAAAGGAAAAAAAAGAAGAAGTAAAGTCCCATAAAGCCTTCCCATAAAAAGACACACAGTGGTAAGCAGAACCCATAAAGATATGCAATCAAAAAAAAAGGGAGAGAAGAAACAAAAGCGAGCCGAAGGAAACAAACCAGTTTTGCAGTCGTAAATGAACTGCAGTTTCCTTCCTGCGCCGTGCAGACCGCCAGAAATAAAAATGCGACAAGAAGACTTTTATATCTTTGCGGAAAGAAGCAGCAAAGAATATCAGATCGAGTAAACATTAAAGCGAAAAAAAAAGTTCACCGCCCCGGTCGTGGACCACTCAAGCTCGGCCGTGGACTCGCCAACTCTGGAAGGCTATTCTGAACCACGCTCAGTAATCTCTCTGAGTAGGTTGTAACAAGCGCCATCATTTGGTCATCCATTCTCAGCCCTAGCCCCTCGACCGACCCGCTGCCATAAGTATATGCCGGCCCTCCATTCGCCAAACTACGGGGACTCAAAGCCCCTTCGTCTCCACTAATGCTCACTGTAGGTGTAACTGTTGATGGTACAGGGCATCCGATACACCTCAGCGTAGCAAGCAACTCCTTCTCTAGCTCTTTACGCACTTCGGGCTTAATCGCATACTGGGTACTTTCTACCCTCCTTCTGAACACACCTAAACTCCTCGTCATCTGTTCGGACAGGGCGTTGGCATTCGCAATCTCGCCACTAGCCTCTCGACTACCGCTGCTATTGCTATGCGCAGCCGCTCCAGAGGGTCTTATCGACGATGTCCTTGAAGTAGTAGAATTAGACCCTCGTCTAGAAGCCAACGGACCCCCAGTCCCCGATGACACCGACCTCGAATTCCTACTTGAAGCCGTTGTTGAAGGCGAAGGGTCCCGCGGCCGCGTAGGGAGTCTCAGCTTCCGCTTGACTGTCCCTTTCGAAGTGCTAGTTTCCGTATCCGTATGACTCCTTGTTGTATCACTCCGTGACGTCGTCCTAGAGCCCCTCGAAGGCGCCCTTGATGCAATATCCCCCTTTGTCGTCGGAGCAGCAAGGTTTATCGTAGAGGTCGTCCCAGACTTTGGCATACACGCTAAGGAATTCCGATGCGATCCCTTCTGCGGCTTTGGCGGGCTTGTCGATATTATCGCACTCTTAGGCCGTTCCGTCAGCCTGGACCTAGCCGCAGGAACTGTATTATTCATTGTAGCGGTGGTCGGAACAGCTGTAGTCGGCCTCTCAACCGGCGCGGGATTACTCATCACAGGACTATTCTCGACCTTCCGAAGCGTTGAAGGCGTGGGTGTAGGGCTTATCGTCTCAACGTCCGACAAACTAGCCCAATCCGCTCCGAGCAGTGAATCCTTCCTATTCTCTTTATGATTCGTCTTTCCCGAAGCGATACTTGCGGCATCAGATCCCTTGCCGGTAGTCAGCTCCATAATCTCTGCTTTCGACAAAACTTTCCGGATAGGCGCTTTTGACGCTGTTATGTCCGAGATTGAGATCCCATCAGCGCTATCCGCATCCCCAATAAGTTTCGAATTATAACTCCAAATCATCACCGTCCCATCGGTGCCCGTGCTAATCAAAGTCAACCGCCTTCCGTCCTCTCCGCTACCAGGGGCCTCAAACATCGCCACATCTGTAACCCCCTCTGTGTGACCCCATTCCCTCTCCACCAGGTTTCCGGCCATGTCATAAATTCTGACGCTTTTATCGGTGCTCGAGATCCCGGCCATCAGCCTCCCCTTCCCAAACGTTACATCTCTGCCAGGGGTCACAGTATCTAGAATAACCGACTCCCCATTCTCATCTGTACACTTAAAGCAATGTAACTCCCTGCCAGTCGTAATGTCAAATCGGAAAACTTGTCTCCCGGTCGTACTCGTCAATAACAACGGTGAATTTTCATTAAACGATGCCATATGTAGTGGTGATGCCTTCAGCGTAATAGTTCTCGCTGCAAGATATGCCAACATATCCACTTCTCCATTGCCCTTTTCCTTAACCGCGAGTTCACGGACCACAATTGTCCGATCTGCGCTGGCGGAAAGTAACTTCGTTCCATTGTCCATGAACATGACACCCGTAACACTCGCTGTATGTTCGTCCAATGTCTGCGTCAGCGTCCAAACAGAACCTGGTCGCTTCTTCTTTGTAAATAATTGTACTGTTCGGTCCCTTGCGCAACTGCTGATAATTGAGAACTTTTGGCCTTCGTGAATTGATATTGACATAATCTCCCCGGAGTGCGCCTTGACAACGTGATTGGAACTTCGATCAGATGCTTGGATTACCCTGTTTCCGGAAGCAAGTAGCGCGAGTTAGCTATGAATATATCTTCCTCTCATTCTGAGTAATTTAGATATGTGAATTCCATACCTTAAAACGCCAAATTTATCGCCGGTGACAATCAACTCCCCTGTACCTGAGAATTCCACAACTTTCAACTCATTCCTATCTTCTTCGGCGTCCTTCGGCTGTTCTAGCTCAACCACAAGTTCATTCTGGCTGTTACCGTGGTTGTCCCAGAATAATACAGTCCCGCAGGCTGACCATGTGAAAAAATCCGCCTGGATATGTGCTGATGGAGGCATTAAGCGTACGCCATTGACCGCGCTTTTATGTGCCGGAAATTCATATGCCACACTATCTGGTGTCGGTAAGCCCTCGTGATATTTCAGACTAACAACCTTGATCGAGCGGTTGGTATCGATAAGAAATAAGTTTTGCCCCATAGCGGCCATCGCGATCACATTTGCAGGTTTGCACCCTAGAGGTAGAATCGGGGATCCAGATCGTGACGATGGTGATTCGGGAGGTGTTAACGGGTTCGCAATATCCTGTAGCTTGAGTGTCCTATATCATCTTCATAAGCATTCATTTCACGTATTGAATAGAATGGCTATTTACCTGATAGTCCCCTGCTTGCAAGCCACCCAGGCGAATTTCCTTTGCGGATCCACTGCTAGACAAGTAACCCCAGAATCCGCGCTGGCAACCTTTGACACCCGTTGTAGTCCATCATCGATAACACAGATGTCGCCCTTCTCAGTTGCAATAATTGCACGGTCGTCCGAGATCGCTGTGACAGATATAAAAACTTCCTCCAATAGCGGACCTAGAAGTGCATTTCGTCCATTAAGTACGTTCGGTCCCTGTGATCGTATCGGTTGTTTCGATTTCCCATGTGAGAACTTCTCAAATATCATGTGTAGTGATTTCGAGTTAGCCTGTGGTGACGGTGCTGCGGGTTCCTCCTCTATCTTCCAGATCTTGACGTGACGAAGTCCTACTCTATAGTTCACAAGCTCTGTTAGTATTTAAATATCTCTTACTCTTTTTTACAACTAAACTAGAAGGAAACATACGTGATAAGCCCCTTCCCTATCCAAGTCATATCCTGTACCAGATTGGTACAACGATTACTCGAATGCAGCTTCACCGGGCCTCCCTTGGCTCCTGGCATACTCCAGACGTACAAACATCCATCATTGATTGTTCCAATACTCGCTAGAAACTGCGAGCAAGGACTGAACGCCACACTCTTAACACCAAAGGTATGTTCATTTAATATCGCAAAGGGCACCAGATCGCTTCCTGCATTTTCAAGCCCTGACGAAATATTGTAGATTAAAACTCGAGGATTGTGGCCCGTTTCACCGACAGCAATGTACCGCCCGTCCGGAGAGAAGCTGACGGTCGAAGCAGCCTTTACGCGATCGCGAACTGACCATTTTCCTTCTTCGCCTTTGCCTAGAGAATCGAATTCACGTATGGGGCTGAACCCGATCCCTGAGTCGCGAGTAGCAATGGAAGATCGGATGCGGCTAGAGGAGGGGGCTTCGGGTGTGCTAGGGACCGAGGATGAGAGGCCGGCAGACGTGGAGGGGTGTGCGCTGGCGGAGGGGCGAGCGCGAAGGAAGTGGCGTGATTTGATGTGGAGGTTTTCGTCGACTTTGACGACACAGACAGCAGCACCAGTGCAAAAGGCGATAGAGCCGGAAGGAGCGTGAGAAGCAAGACCGGAGGGGGATGAAGTTGTAGTCCCTATCATACGCTTGAGGTTAAGGCCTAGGGCTTCTCGAGTGTCGGTGAGAGACCGTCTGAGAGGAGATTTGGGAACATGGATGGAGCGAGCGAGCGAGGTTGTGGAAGAGTTGATTGGATTGTTAGGCGTGAGTTTGAGATGAGCGGGGAGGGCCTTAGAGTTCGGCGTGGAGGTTGTCGCCATTGTATGTGTCTATGCCTCCAATTGATCCTGATGATGGGTGCCCTCGACCTCGTCCGAGAAAGGTATATAAGAATATATCTATAAGACGGACCGGGATCGATATAGATGGTTGGATTTTCCGAGGTAGCGAGGATGAGAGAGCTATATTAGCTCGCTGTCAAGGTTCGGAAACTAACAAGCCAGCAAAAACCCATCCATTGAAATTAATATGTGTATTATATTAGGTACCGGTACAGTTCGCGGCTGAGTCGATAGATACTGAATTATCTAATCTGGCCGTCCGAATGGAGGATATATTGATTGTGCCCCAGGGTCCAGCTTGAAAAGACACCTTCTGTTTTGAGGTCGGCTGCACCCTGTCCTTTCGCTTTCGGTCCTTTTTTCGATCTCTGTCTTTCTTTCTTTCTATGTCGCAGGAACAGTCTTCGGAGACGACGACATGAAGAGGGAATTAAAGGCGAAAAAACGGTGTGAGAAGCGGGAAAACGGTGGCTGAAATGACGACCAGCCAATGATAGCGGTGAGGTTGGAATGGTCAGGCAGATTTCCCCAGCCAACAGGTTTAATTATAACGGGTTTGGCGCCGCTGAACAACCAATGCATGCAATGCCAACTGAGCTGGCTACTAATGTCACTCTGCTATGCGGCACAGAATGGACCACGATGAGATGGGGAGGAAATGTCGAGGATCCAAAGGAGCCGGAGAGACGAAGCCGAGATCGAGATAGTGGTGATCTATGATAGTGGTGGTGGTGTGGTAATGATGATGGGAAATGAGTGGAGGGAACGGGAAGGAATTCGAAAGGGTGCGCCTGGCGATGGAGACAATGAATAACAGCTGAGATGGGCCCACTTTTTCGAACTCGAATTTGAACTAGAACTCGAACCTGAACTCGACTTGAACTCGAATGAACTCGAATTTGAATTTGAATTCGAACCCCGGTTTGTTTTTCCGTCCTTTCAGGGGAGCTCGCGGTACATACGTTTAAACGTTTCAGGCGCTATCTAAGACCTTACTTAGTCCGATATTATGTTATGAGATTCGGAGTTCGGAGACGGAAATGCTCACCGACCAGGTTGCATACTTGGATCAGTTAGACTATATAATACATATGCAAATGTTACGCGTGAATCACGGGTCGTGACAGGTATGCAGCGGCGGTGATGGTGACGGGTGATGGTGATACCTGTCTGTGGTCGTGCTGGGAATATAAAATCGGGACACCCGAGTGCGCCATGCATTAATTAGAATTGTGACTGTGCCAGAACCATAGCTGCAGCGCTGCGAGAAGGATCACGATAGCTTCACTGCATATGTGAGGCATGGAATCTCTATAGCTATCCATTAGGTATCTAATTCTAGGTATCTATCATACAGGAAGCATAAACACGCATAACATCAGCTGCAACCTCAACCTCAACTTTTGTTCTATTGTACACGACGATATCAAAATAAAAAAACAAAACAAAACAAAAAAAAAAGGAGAGTGATAACTTTTATTTTTCTTGCTTCCTTGCTGTGCTTTGCAATTGCTCTGGGGATGTTTAAATGTTTGATTATATCCAATCAAAGCGAGCGGATGTTCAAGCGGAGGGCCGCCAGAACCAGTTCTTCATTTTAATCTCGCTTCCGCCCGTCCAGGGCAAACCCAGGCCCATGATAAATGAAGCAAAGGGGACTTCACTTGGTTTATCATCACGGGATGGCTGAACCATGAAGCAAGGAGTAAAACACTCTCTTCAACAAAAGTTAACTACATATGTAGTTAGTTAACAAACTTGTGGTTAGAACTTCTTCCTGCCAATGCTTGCTGTCCCGCCCCCTCGCTGCTTGAAAGTTGACGATGATGATGACGGGCTCTTGGGAGGCTTCTGCACCCTTCCGCTATCACCTTTCCTTCCAAATGACGCCTTTCGCTCGTGCTTATTTCCCCTCTTTTGATGTTGTTGACGGTCGTTATTATGATTCGGCCTTTTGCCTGACGATGTTGTTTTGGTTGTATCCGCATCATCCATATCCATATCGTCGTCGTCGTCAACTTCATCCTTCCTTCGTCGGTTGCTGAACTTCAATCGTCCCTTCTGTCCCCTTTGAACCGCATCCTTGCCCTTCAATGCCTGGATGTAAGCACTGATCCCATCCCTGACTTCCCCGCTCGCAATGGTCTTATCATTGATATTTAACTCCGGCTCCTCAAAATCATCATCACCATCATCATCGCCATCCTTCTTCCCGATAACGAACTTTCCAGACCGGTTTGTCTTGATATCCGATTTGATGACCTTCTTACCCCTCGCCTGCGGTCTTGTGGAGCTGATATTTGCCAGCGCGTTCTTGTTCAACAAATCCAAGGGCTCTTCTTCATCCTCAACGATGAATTGCTGGTGTCCCTTCTTTCTCCTTCTGTCCCCTCCCCCTCCTGCTCCTCCCCGCTCCATATCAACATCCCCCTCATCATCTCCTTCGCTATCTTCACTCTCACTTCCATAAATAGCTTCCTCAAACTCACTCTCAAACTTCCCTTTCCTCTTCGATCCACGTTCCTCCTGCTCTTCCTCACCGGCCTCGCCAGCCTCCGCCTTTCTCCTCTTCTTCCTATCCCTGGTTTTCCTGATATTGATCACCAACTTCTTATCCTCTTCAGGAACATGTTTCTCCACAGTGTCATACCCAAATCTTCTTATCATTCGTTCGATGATATGCTTGACCTTCGCTTTGAAATGTGCCTTATGCTCGTGTGACCATGTCATAAGATTTGGTATCAAAGTCCCCAATCGAGGGACCATAAGCTCCTTTGGTAACGAAATAACCGACACCTTGACGAACCCAAGGACAGATCTAACAATCTCTCGATTATTACTTGTCAAGAAGGCGTCCATAGTCGTAACTAGCTCAGAGACCGTTTCGGGCTTCAAGTCGTCTGTTTATTCAGTTAGCCTCAATTCAATGCAAAAATGATTACCTCGATGTATACGTTACCTTTGAACTCGTATAAAACCCTTGTAACAGCTGTCACCGTCGCGCTGATCATATGCGCCTCAGGGCTCGCAAGCCCAGCACAAACCATCAGCACGAAATCCTCCAAACTAGCCTCTACATCCGCTTCCCCCTCAACCCCCAATTTCCCACGTTTGATAACACCGCCACCCTTCATCTTCTCTCCCATCACAACCAACAGCTCAAACGCCGTCGCTCTAGCCTTCTCATTAACCTCCTTTGCACATTGAATAACTTCATCCAAACTCTCGAAGATAAAAGTCATATCCTCCCTAGGCAACATCTCCACAACCTTGCCAATAGCGACCAACCTATCCCTTCTCGCCGAGCTCCCCGTAGCATCTTTGCATCCCCTCAACAACTGCTGCAACTCCGCAATTTGCTGCTCCAAAACCTTCTTCCCAACTTCACTCTCACAGATCCTCGGAATCACTTTGTATGCCTTCTTCTGGATTTGCGCATCTTCTTTCCTCCCAACGCAGGAACTAACCACATTGAACAACACGGGCAAGCTGCCAACTTGTAGATATGGCGCGATGGTCACTATCAAATCCATAAGATTATGGCTCATAGCTGGCAACTCCTGCCCGGTCTTCTTAGGTTGATTGGCGCCTTGCACCTTCTCCTTCGCCCCTTCATCTACCAAAGCTTGATGTAGTGCTCCAGTGACCTTATCGAAAGTCCCCGCAATCTCCTCCTCTTTCGTAATACTCAACCAAGCATCTGCGCAATTCAGTATATACCCTCTATACTGTGGCAAAGTCTCATTGTAGATGTTAAACAATACCAACAGCATGTTGGTCGCAAACCCTCCGAGGTGCTCTAGGTTTCTCTTCGCATCAGCCTTGGTAACCCTTGATTGCAAGAGGATCTCCTCAATCGCATCATCCTCTTCACTATCTTCTTCATCCTCATCGTCACCGCCTTCGGGATCTTTAGCCAGATGTAAAATCGCCAGATTCGACTCTACAATCGCTTGTAATCCCTGACAAATGCTAACCCTCAACTCCACATGCGAATACAATACATTCGCAAGAACCTCCGCAAGCCCCATATCAAAGCTTTCCTCAAGATCCAACGGCAAATCACAATATCCAGGCCAAATACCCCAAATCTGTGAAATAACCGTTTCAAAAACTTTGGTTTGCATGGTTTTTTCCTTTTGCGATGCAGACAAGCTTTGTGCTTTTTCAAAAAGTGCCTTGAAAAGTGGGATAAACTCAGATTTGAAGTGTGAGATATTTGTGTTCTGAACTCCATCGCGAAGGATGGGTAGCATCCATGCTCGACCAGGGTTATTGGGCGTAGAGCTGAGTAGGTTTAGTGGTAGAACCCTCAAAACGTCTTCCGGTCCCATAGCCCTAACAGCAGCAATAAGAACCTCATCTGCCTCCTTTTTCCCATTAAACCCATCATTTGCGCGTAGCTCTCCAATAGCCTTGACAACATCTGTAAGGTATAATGAAGCTTTCCACCTCAACCTCTCAAAGAGCGCTTTGTACACATCAAAAACTTCCTTCCAAGCACCCTGATACCTCAAACTGAGCAAGCCTGTAACTGTGCCCGCAATGGCTCTCAATATTTTATCTTCCTTCTTTCCAATCTTCCTCAAGATATCCGAAGGAATACAAGTCGCCGTCAACGCAATCAAACACTGCGAGGCCGAAGATCTGATGTTCAACGCGGAACTCTCCAAGAACGAAGAAATGGTCACAAAAAGCTCTGGTAACTGTGCGAATGTCTCTGATGGCGAGGTCTCAGCTGAAGCTCCGTAACCCTGCGCAATAACCGTAAGCCAGGGTGGTAACAACTGACTATCATTCGCCGAAGGTCGCAGCTCAGATATTGCCGTAAGTAATTGCGGAAGCTTCGCAGAAACCATTGAGTCCTTAAGACTTGAGAAGATTACTTCAAACACATCAAGTGAAGAAATCGTCATAAGCTCATTCGTAGACTTCGCAATCGTAAGCAAAACCTCAACAAGCGGTTCAATACGCTTCGACGGCCATCCAGAAGCAGTAGCGACAGCCCGAACCAGCTGTAGCGCGTGTATAGTCTTTGGATCATGTTGTCCATGTCGTGGCGCCTGCTTCGCAAACTCTACAAGTGTAGTCAAGGACTTTTCTGCGCACAGCTCCGTAGCTGGATGGTCCAATGAAGGCGTGGGTGGCGGATTCTGAAGAATCAACTTGATAGCGTCCAAAGCACGCTTTCGAACTTTTGGTCTAGGATCTAGTCCCAAATTCAACAAGCCCGAAATCGCTCTCTTCGGACCGACCTGGATCTGTGGTACAGCCCAGGTATTCGCATCCTGAGCGATTAACAAGGTTTCAAGACATCCAATGCTGGATTTCAGTAATGGAGCTTCGGCGTCAGGATGTGTAATCGCCGGAGCAAGGTACGACAGGATTTGTGCAAACTTAGCACGAAGGAGTGCTTCTGGCGCAAATGGCGTTACGATGTCGAGGAGGTATACAACAGCTGCGGCGAGGGATTGATTGAGTATTCCGTCAGAGGAGATGTATTGGTTCAAGACAGAAAGTAGGGCAGAAAAGTAGGCTGTGGGTGTCAGAGGTCCATCAGGATGGTCTTCTCGTAAGGATGTTTCGAGGGCATTTAGTACTACAGCAGTCTAGAAAATAACAGTTAGCTAACATCATGAAACTACCAACTGAGGCAGTGAGCAACGGAAAAAAAAAAGTGCAGTCGAAAGAAACGGTTGGAATGGAATATACCTGTGCCTGATTTTGTAAATTCGGGGTTCGAATGCGATCCAATTTCTCCTCTAGTGAGGCCATGGTTGCGATCTAATGGTAGCTTACCGCTGTGCTGTTGTCGCAGTGCTGGTCCTTTGAGACGATGGAGGGGGAAAGTATTTGGTTTGAAGGTTTGGAAAATTTCTGAAAGCTGTGCGACCAGAAAATCCGAAAATTTGGGGAATCGTCTAGATTAGGAATAGCGCCATGCAACACATAGCGACTTCAAAATACAACAGAGTTCTCGAGCTCAGCGTTGCTAGCTATGGTTTTGCTACATGTGCATGTACATGTGTACATGCGTAGATAGATACGTCACGATACTAATGTTGGCGCTACAGTATTATTATATTTGGGCCTGCTCCATTGCTAGATCTATAGAGGATTCTCTAGATCTATCGGTGGTTCTCGGTTTCTTACCTTAGATCGAGAGAGTAGCTACGGATTCCTCGTGCCACAAGCCTAACTATTTCGAACATTTCTAAAACGAAGCTACCAAAACTGCCACACAACAGTATACAACAGAACTCCTAAAATGTTATAAACCATGCCGCTAACGGTCACTGCACTCTTTAGCCCTCATATAAAGCATTCAGGCTTGCACGCAAAGATTCACTGCGATTCTACCATGATTCCTGTCAAAGCCTTGGTTCTCTCATAGGATTTCCCGCGTGCAAGTTCAACCAATTCTCGAATCAAATCAATGTGATATACCCTAGCTGATTATACAACTTATACATGCACAGCCGCCTAAATTCTATATTCTAGGTAAAGGCTATATACTGATATCGCCGCATGATCAAGAAAAATCTAACAAGCTATCGTGCTCGCGATTACTGGCTTAATGGGGCCACCCTCCACAAAATGTGCAATCAGTCGTCTATAACCAAACTATTTTCATAATTTACTCTTCCCCCAACCTTCTTAATATCCTCTGCAGTGGCTCGGAACGAAGATAAAACTTCCCGCAAAAGGGGCTGGACTCTATCGATTATCGCAATTGGAACCTCAAAGGCCCTATGCCTCCTATATCTAAGAATCTTGATTAGAACCCTGTGCAAATACTAAAATATGAAGCGTCTACTCATCTTAACATTCTACTTACTCCTCTTCCTCGGGCTTACATCCGCTCAAGATCCTCCCCCGGAAAAACCAGCTCAAGACCCTTCTCCTGCTCCGTCGCCACCCCCAATACCACCTCCTCCACCCAGACCTTCACCTGAACCCTCTCCAGAACCCTCTAGACCTCCAGAACCCATTCCAGAACCCTCTCCAGAACCCTCTCCAGAACCCTCTCCAGAATCCTCTCCAGAACCCTCTCCAGAACCCTCTCCAGAACCCTCTAGATCTTTAGAACCCTCCCCAAAACCATCTCCTCCCCCAAAACCTTCACCTGAACCCTCCCCAGAACCCCCCCTAGAACCTTCCCCCAAATCTAACGACGGCGTACCCTTCGACAGTATCGTCGACAGAAAAGTAGGCTGGAAATACAAAGCCAAATCCCTCGTTCTAGCCTGTATAATCATCCACCCCAAATACCGCAAAGACTCCGAATGGCAAGACAACCTTCAAAAGCGAATCAATTCAGTACGATACAGCAAAGATTCAAAAACACCAATCGGTTATGAATCGCAGGGTAAAGCTTTGGGACTCGTGTACACTTGTTTCCAAGCTTATTATGGAAATTTCTTGGATGTGATTAGGACTCACGGGGATGGTGTAAGTACTAGCCAGTTAAAATTTTTACTCGGATTTATTGGGGAAATGGATTAATATTAAGAGGAAATTATAGTTCTCGGGTTATATCGACTACACCAAAATTTACAGTCATAAATTCCCAAAACCTCAGGATAATGATCAATACTCAACCTCTAAATCCTCCAGCGGGAAGAGTTCTAATCAAAAACCCATGGGAAGTAAACATAAACGCTCCCTCAGATCTATCCAGCACACACCCGCCAAGTCCCTCCGTCAAAGAGCCAACGACCTCTTAGCCCGTAGCGCTACAAAATTCCACCATTTTAAAAAAATCGTCAAGCGAAGTCCTGGGTACGATGTTGATAACACTTTTCTCGTGAAACGACAAGATGATAAATCCAAGAAACAGGATGACCCGTTATCATCCCTACGACGAAGTGTAGATTTTACTCAAGACACCGCTGTACTTTCAACTGAACCGCCTGGGCTGGACGTGGCAGATGAATACCTTTTCGACGCAGACGACGGAAAAGGCTCGACTGTATATATTGTCGATGGTGGGATAAATTCAAATCATAGTGTAAGCTAATATCTCATATCTACTCTACCTCATACCAAAACACTGATCTTACAATTCCTTAACTCCAGGCATTCGCTTGGAAACCGGAGAAAGACCCCAAAAACATAGGCTGGATCTGGGCCGGCCCCAGACCCTCAGATAGACAAGAAGACCACTCCCCCAGTACCTCTGAGACTGCTGTCCGCGGCACCCATGTCGCCGCAAAAGTAATCGGTGCGGTAACAGGTCTTGCTCGTCTCGCGAGTACATACATGGTGGTTCCCTACGACGCCGACGGTGGCCTAAACATTCTAACCTACCTTGACGCCCTCGTAAAAATGCACGACCACATCAAAATCACCACCGGAGCAAACCCTAATAAGAAGGTTGTGATCTGTTTCTCCCACCCTGTTATCCACGTCGCCAGATCTCATGAATTTATTCGCTGGCCACAATATAACAATATAACTCAGAGTAAGAAGGATTTTATGAATGCGGCTACTAGTATCCTTGATGAGATTTTGGAAGATTTTGGGACAATGAAGAATGTGGTTATGGTCACGAGAGCTTCTGGATTATTACTCGTATATATATCCCCTGCGATCCTTCCAATACTAACTAATGCTATAGAAATATATACTAACATAATACCAGGACAAAGCCCCAGATCCACTCCTCAGCTGGCCCGCCCGTCGCGCCAATTCCGGCAACATCACAAACCTCGTGCTCGTCGGCGGCGTAAATAATAACGGCGTCAAAATCATGCAAGCACCAAGTAGCGTAGTAGTATACGCTCCAGCACAAGACGTCCGTGTCCCAATCTTGCACCGTACAAACCTGAACGCCTATACCACAATTCCTTATTCAATTCGTTTAAGTATGACCTATAATAAATATCGATATCACTAATTTTGATAATTGCTGACAATAAAAAAAGGTGTCGGCTCTATCTCCGGCATGCTCGCCTTCTTCATGTCAAAATATAATGAAGACGGTCGAGCCGCAAAGAACCGTCTAGAAGCAAACGCCTACCCACGCGTCAAATTCGGATATTCAGTAGCATGGAATGGCCTCAGGGTCCCCAGTTGCGGTTTCAATGCCCCCCAAGATAGCAAAGGCGACGATAAAGCTCCAAAAGCCAAACGTGCCGTTCCAAGACTCGACTACACCGAAGGCTTACCTGTGAAATGTGCCTTAAACCCTTTCCGCGCCCGAGTCACTACAGTCAAAACCTCAGTCAATGGTTCTGCCACCGAAGTCCCTAAGGTGCAATACTTCCACGCCGCCGACGGTCCGGGATATACCCACAAAATCCCACGTGTGCCACGACCAACTTTATACCGTCCTTCCTTCGCCGTCACAATCACAAAGACCACGAGTGTTGGAGCCGCTAGATTTAGTTCTGACTATGAGAAGTATAAGGACATGTTAAGGAGTGGAAGACCTCCAGGACCCAAGCCAGCCGCATTGTATGAGCCAACTGAAATGGCGGCACCACTGATGACAACAGATAAGTTTGGAAAGACTGGTGAGGTTTTGGTGATTTGGAAGACAGTTTACACTTCTACGGTACCCGTAGAGACTAGTGCCGGTGTTCCTTCAGCGACGCTGACGGCGACCAATGTTGGGTCTACGAGTTCCACATCGGCTGCAGATTCATCCCAGAACAAGAGTGCCGCTAGTCTCTCTGGTACCACTGGTACCACTAGTACGATTATATCGACTTCTGTTGATAGTACTAAACCCACAGGGCCAAGCGGTACCCAAACACCGAGTTCAACAATAACACCGGCACCAAGTCACTAAGCTCGTTAATGTATATTTCGCCCTGCAAGTTGCCGTACGGGTCAATGGGCGGTACTTCTAAGTATATTCAGGGATATAAATTGCCGAATCCGTTTATTTTAGGGGGAAAAGATAGTATAGTTATATAATCGAATGTTTTGGACAATATGGCTAGTTGCAAGCTCTAGTGCAGCATCAATTTCCAACCTGCAAGTGCGCGTTTTAAATCGGCTTCATTAAGTATATTAAATTGCTCTACAATGATTTAATCATATCCTTACTATTTTAAATTTACTATCATTTTAGGTCTTTTGCTCCTGAAATAAACATATATATATCAAGGAGATCAACGACAAGTCCGTTATAAAACTTCTAAATTCGAATGTAGATATCTCACTAGCTCGCTCGAACCAATATCTCAAATGATTCCCGTTTCTATCTCTATCTCTATCTATCTTTATCCTCATTCATAACCTCATTATAACGCCAAAAAAAGTAGATGGTAAAACCAAAAACCAACAAACAGGAGAATCAATATCGTGATCAGGTGCAAAGACTGCTGAGATGCAAAACAAAATGGGTAAGAGTGTCGCATGCGCGCGCGCACAGGATATCGAAACACCGATCTATGGTAAGTATGTAATATGCACATATGTACTAGCGCCTCCCAGCTCTGAACCTAGGGTATATAGATTTTAGGATAGTCTTTCTTCTTGAGGAGTGTAGATTGCCTTCCAAATGCTCTTATGCTGTTCTAAGAAAACAAATGTTAGGACGGTATGGGGGCCTATTAGTTTTGCGAGCATCATTAGTATCACTTCTGAGGTCTTTTTCTGAAGTAGGCTGTTATCAACTCACCTAATCGAATGAAAGATGGCAAAAGCCCCTTAAAAGCCCATGTCATACCCTCCCTCTTGGTCGTCTCCTTGAGTAGATGAAGAATACCCTATCATCATTCATTAGCCAAGCCCTTCTAAACCTAGTGTAAAGGAGAAGCCTACATCAGGATCATGTGAACTCATAATCTTCGTCTTAACCACATCAACTGGGGAGCATATCAAAGTCGCAACTCCTCCGGCCATCGTACTTGCAACAAAATGTGTCATGAGATTGTCTTCAAACATCCCAGTACCCAGCAATAACATCTTAAATTCGTCATAGCTAGCAAGTTGACTGGCCGTCATAAGTGCTCCACGTCCACTGTTCGGTCCTACACCTCGAAATAGTGATGTAATCCCCTCGCTTTTAACCATTTTGATGATTCCGTCGATGGCATTTTTGTAGTTTCGCCGTTTCGAGGGTTCGAGAGCGCCGTCTTGTTGCATGCGAACATTGATGATATCGGCAGGGTTACCGGCTATAGAGCCTATGCTATAAGGGTGTTAGCCATTCATTCCGCTATGTCTATCGAGATGTAGGGGTCGTACAATCCACTGGTACTCGATAATGCGATTAACGTGGGTAATGGAAGCTCCTTGTTAGGCTTCTTAACCATCCCTTTCAATTCCTCGTATATTCCAAATCTGGCGGTCGAATAAGTAGCTGTCAATCGTTAGCACCTTCCAAACAACCACGCTCGTGTAACAGTTTACCAACCTTGCCGTAAGAGCGAAGCCGTCAACTAACCACGATTCTATCATCAGTCTTTGACTTCTCAAGCTGTTCCGAGTGATCCGAACTCTTACCCCGCTGTATAGTCCAAGGAATCCTAGTATTGACGATATCTCCATCAGCATTTCTCCCTCTTGCCCTTCTTTAACAATAACACCACCAGCGATCTAACCTTCATTTCTGAATATTGTTCGAAACGTATCGACCATGCCCGGCTTGGGTCCATTTCCAACCTTCTTTGCCGTCTGCAATCGTACTTTATTCAAATCGAGTGGATGTGTGAATACGGCAGCCCCTATATCAATTCCCAAACAACCATTTCATTAGACGACTCTTATTTTTTCCCTAGAAGAAACCAGTATCGCCATAACCATAGTCCAGACAGTCGCCAAATAACCAAACATGATTATGTATCGACAATTGGTTGTCGCGAATCGAATTGGGGGGGGCTGTGTGGCTTACACATAGAACTAGCGCCTCCAAACCTACAGTGTGGCCGGTGTCGGCGTTAGCTCATTGATTGCATTGAGCTGAGCCTCAAAACAGCTTGAGTGCAGCAGTCGGATATCCAAGGAAAAAGAAGAAAAGCAAGGGGGTAATCTTACCAGAAGGGATATTTAATCCCTTGCTGCTTTTTGTCCCCCATCGTGACGAGGTTTATTCCATTTATGCCAACGAGAGGTGCGCAGCGTCTTCCAGAGAGAAGAGTGGTGATAAGAAGGTTGAAGGGAGAGCTTGATGAGGTCTTGATGACGACGGGAAATGTTGGAATGCGAATGCAAGAAAGAACGAAAAGAATGGAAAGCAGGACAAGGCAGGAAAGAGCTAAAGCTTCGAAGGCATCAAAATAGAAAAAAACTAAAAAAAAAGAGAGAGAAAAAGATCAAGGCCAATTGAATGGCATCAGATTACAAATTTCCCGGCGCCTTCCAGTAAAATATGTAACGCAAAAAAGAACTAGAGAAAAAAAACCAAAAAGCCATTGGGCCCTGTGCTGCACGGCGCGGAATTAATTAAATTTTCTGGAACAGTCTCACGGGCATTACAGTTAACTGCGAGTCAGTCATAATAAAACCTGAGCCAGGTCAAGGATTGGTTCGATTAGTTAATTAGGTCATTGAATCAGTCGAGCCGCGGCCGATGCCAGCCACGTTAAACCGCTTTGGGTAAGTCCTCCAGAACAACCCCCACAACGCACATTCTGCAACATTCTATTTCATATGCAGGACAATCCAGTATCATGCTCGAATTAATGAGTTCGCTTTTGTCTAGTCTATACGTTCTTTTGCAGGGATTTAGTATCGGGGACTTGTTGAGAAATCCTGTTTAATATTTCCCGTTAACGTTGTAACGTTGATCTTGGATAATAGTAATATCCTGACAAAGTTACGGATTAAATATTCACCGGTTTACGGATATCGATTGCATGCTTTGCTCAAAATGATATCTTGAATTACTGTTCTAATCGGGATTGTACGTCTTTATTCTTTATAATTTATCAATATTGTATCTATCTCATCAATAGATATCTGTTCTTGTGAAAGATATACTTCTCCGATTGATTCAAATAATTACTATTAGCTGCGTCGGCATTTGATTGAGTGTCTAATTAATTCCGATTGATTGCCAGGTTCTAAAGTCTACATCTTGGAATAAATGTGGTACCTAGGTTAGTTCTCTAGCTATTTTAATAAAGTTTAAATTTATCAGTGTGCCTGATATGTGAGTAATTGTATGCTTGGATACAATTGGGGACGATCTTGAACTTCAACTTTCACTATATAACTCTAGTATGCAACATAATGCAACTGATGAACACTACGTAAACACTGCGCTTGACACCACAAAATAGGTAAAGATGAGGGTAATAGTAGATCTATAGCTATGGAGGCATCTATCAAGTATAAGTTCGAACCTCTCGTCTTCTTTCGCCCAGTACTGCAGTTCCAAACCAATATACATTAGTATTACGATTTCAGCGGAATATATAATATTATAGTATACACCACTTCTTTGATTAATATTTCTAATGCAGAGATTCTATAATTTTAGAAAAGGTCAAAATCTCTTTTCTTTCCTCAGTCCTGCCATGTTATCAGGCTAGCTCCACTGAACCGCCAATTGCAATGTGATATTTGAGCCTCGGAACATCCTGAAACACCAATCCAACACAACACCAAATTTTCACACCACCCTAAACCGCCATCACCAGCGCTGGCCAGCTCCATCACCACCCACCTCCCATGCTTCAATAACCCTCTCTCCCCGCATCATGCTCCGCTGCTGCCTCCCCCGCTCACGGGTCGCATTCCGTCCCCTCCTCCTCCACCCCCACCGCAGGCCCCAAAGCTCCAGCACCACCCACCCAATCCCACTAGGCGAAGAAGAAGACCCTCTCGACGACTTCTACGCCGCCATCCGCGCAGGAATCGACCCCCAAAACCCAACTTCCTACACCCCCACCGCTCCCCTCTCTCCAAAAGCCTCTCTAACCTCCCAGCGACAACAACAAATCCAAAACCTCATCAACCGTCCTATCCCCACGGTCACACTCTCAAATGGTGTAAAAATCCCAGCATTAGGTTATCAAGCCTACGTCCATCGAGATCAGAAGCCCAAACCCTGGAAGGATCTGATATGGAAGGGGTATAGACATATTGATATGAATTCTGCGTTTAATCAGCCAGAGACGTTCCTACAGAGTTCATTCTGGTCGCTTGCGACGAATATTACTCGTTCGGATTTGTTCGTTTCTGCGAAACTGGAGAGTTGGTGGCATCATGATCCGAAGGCTGCGTTGTATAATACTCTTTTGGGGTTGAGGACCGGGTATTTGGATCTATGGGTGATGAGATGGCCTGTCTCTTGGGTTTCGAAGGCGAATCATTCGGACCCGCCGAAGGATAAAAATGGCAGGGAGATAGATTTTATACAGGCTTGGAAGGGGATGGAAGAACAATTTGAAGCTGGGAAAGTAAGATCCTTAGGGGTAGCGAACTTTTCAAAAGCGGAATTAGACCTTCTCCTCGAACATGCGAAGCATAAACCGGTCGTTCATCAGATGGAAATCACACCTTACCTCCAACAAAAGGAATTCGTAGAGTACAACAAAAGCTTAGGAATAAGTCCGTCCTCCCCATTCATCCTTTATCTTTTAACCATCAAAAACTAACCAAAACTCTTAAAACCTACAGCCCCAGTAGCCACAATGCCCATGGGTACTAGAACCCCAGAAAGAGGCGCCGCTTACGAAAACCTCCTCTTCGACACAGTCCTAATCTCCATCGCCGAAAAATACCGAATAACAGTCCGTCAACTCCTTACAGCCTGGCACATCTCAAACGGCATGGTCACAATCCCATACCTCGAAGACTCCACACACGCCCACGACAACCTTCGCGTCGACTCATTGACCCTCGAACAAGAAGATCTTGACAAAATAGCATCCCTCGAAAGAGGTCAACGAATCTACAAACCAAGACTCCTAGGCTACTACCCATTCTCGGACCTTACCGATCCGGATTTGGCCCTCGATAAAGGTGATCTTCCAAGATTAGAAGATGTTTATGCCAGAAATCGTGAGAAGGCCAAGTTTGCAAAACAGAAGGCAGAGGAAGAGGAAGAAGCACATGATTTTGCTCGAGGACATCAGCTGAGATTCGGAACGAGCACTTATGCCGGCACGGTATACGGATGGCTCAGAAGCATGGACGGTAGTAGAAAGGCGGCCGACAACAAAACCGGACATTTTGGAACAAAATTGCGACCTCCGAAGAAGAAAAAGTAAATATTTTCTCTCCTCCTCTCGCTTTTCTTCTAAATTATGTTCCTCCGGCATTTGTATATTTGGGTTATTGTAGGAGTATGAAGGGGCCTTTGTATATATATGTATTCGCTCTTTGATGGCATACGCTTGGACTTTTGGTATAGTTTTGGTTATAATCAAGTTGGATACTTGATAATATTGTAAGTTAGGTAGATATAAAATAATGATTCACGATTACAATTCATAATCTCTTCTAACAGCGCTTCGCAAAACTATGCATGAGCTCGTAGCTATATATAAGTACTAGATCTCTTGAAAAAAATATTCTCCCAAGGAAACCAAACAAAGTATAGAGATGATCAACTAGGCTGAGCTCAAAATCCCATTTTGAGGGATTAAACCACCGTATTAAATATTGATAAAGAAAGATTCAATGCCATGGTCTCATGATCATATGAAGAACCCAAACTCGCCACCAAAAAAAAGAGTGTACCCAACTTCAACAAGGCCACAAAACAGAAGAAACCACTTCGAGAAATCTACACGTTTCCCGAGTTCCTTTACAATTACACCCCGCCTTTATTCTAACAAATCGGCTAGAAAAAAACCTCGGAAGAATCATTACATGCTAGCTTTGCCCCTCGGTTCATAAGGCAAGAGCAACATCACTCCTCCCGCTGCGATAAACAGTGCCCCGGAAACATACACGGGAACACTGGTTGTAAGATCCGCGTATCCAGCGATGACGGGTGCCATGATTCCGAATACACGGTTGGCACAAGCAGCTAATGCGTTCCCAGTGCCACGGGAAGAAGTGGGGAAGATTTCTGGGGTGTAGGCGTATAGACTATAAAATATTTATCAGTATGTAGCTCCCAAATCTGCGGTGGTTTGAATCGGAGAGGTACTTACATCCCGTACATCGCATTCGATGTAACACTGTACCCGCAGTTCCAACCAAGGAGGGCGGAACTTGTCTTTGCGGTTGTACTCAAGAACAAGAATACACCTGTCAAAACAGTGGCAATGCACATGGCACCCTTTCTTCCGAGCCTTGGGAGTTCGACGGCTGCTGTAGCAAGTAGGGAACCGGGAATACCACAGACACTGGGTACTGTTAGCACAATTTATCCAGGTTACGTTGATATTATGTGGAGACTCACCCAATAATGACATAGTTTCGATAAGTAGTACTCAACGAATCCTCACCCAGCTCTGCGCCTCGGTTCGTCAACAGGAAGGGCAAAAAGGCGTTGTAAAGAGGGAAAGCCAGTCCAATAATTCCCCAAAGCAAGATTATCAAACTAGTGGAATATGCCAACTGTCTAGTTCTAAACAACGCTCTAATGTGATCAAACTTGAACTTCTCAAGGTTTCTTCGGAGAGCAGCAGATGCAGTGGTATAGTCTTCCAGTTGTGGGCGGTCGCCATTATCGGATTCTGAAGAGCGGTATTGACGGTCAACGGCTTCAAGATGGTCGAGTGAGAGGGATGATTCGAATTTGTTGTATTCAGCGACTTTGTGAACGACATCGACGGCGTCGGCGTCACGGGCTTTGCCCATAAGGTACTTGGGCGATTCGTACATATTAAAAATGAAAAATCGAATGACGAAGAGAAGCAGCGTAAGACCACCCATTCTGGTTGAATCTGGTTAGATTGTATTCATACGCATTTGAAGGGCGGGTTCCTTACGCGAAAACGAAGTATCGCCACCCCCAGTTGTTCTCCTTGGTACACGTATCGGCATCGGGGCATCCGTAGTTTCCGATTACTATATTGTAGGTGTTAGACAAGTTAAAAATCTCGTGGTATATCTTTTTTAACACTTACGAGGCCAAGCGACGAGACTGGCAACAATTTGGCCTCCAGCCCACCAGATCTGAACATCAAAGTTAGTATTGTTCATTTAGGATTGGCAGAGAGGTTATCATACGCTGAGCAGTGTCAATGTCCATTGGGATTTGCCATTGATGAACTCAAGGAAGATGGCGGAATCTATATTGTTAGTCCTCACATATTATCAATCGAATTCAATCCCATAAACTTACCGACTGGTAGCGAACCACCAACACCAAAGGACCAGAGGGCAGCAAAGACAGCAAGAGCCTCAAAATTGGGGGAAGCTCCAGCGATCAGGCCGAAGACGCCGACAACCAGCAATGTCAGATTGAACGCCCACTATGTAACTGTGTTAGTTCGGGCTATAAAAGAAAAGAAAAAAGATAGACAGGTTCTTACTCGTCGACCAATAATATCAGATGCGAGACCCCAGACAGCTATAAATCCTTAGTTTCGACTCCCTCAAAATAGGCCGGCGTCCACCAACATACCAGCCCCGAAAAGCAACCCGATGTTCTGTGATAGCGCAAGAAGCGATGGCGGCTTGAATTTAAACTCTCGTTGGACGGATGACAAAATGCTAGTTGGTGGTCAGTGGAAGACAAGACTATAGAAAAATTTGGAGGACATACATTGCTGTGACTTGTGGCCACATCTAGGGAGATAAATTAGTTCTATACCATCTTATGTGAGTTTTTGTTGAGTCGCAATTGCTTACATTATCGATGAACCATCCGAATCCTAAGCAGGGTTAGCATAAACCTCTTAATTTAAGACCATAATGATCAATTAACATACCACAAACGCAAAACAGAAATCTGCAAATCAAGTTAGCAAACCCCTCCTAAGTCCAATTATTCAAGTACATACTTCTGGTAAGCTCCAAATCCCATATCCTACAAGTATTAACGTTAGTAATCTACTTTTCTTTTTATTTACTTTTTAAACAGAACAGCAAGCCGAAGTAAGACTCTAAGCGAATAATGAGGTCGTACCTGCATAGCGGCATTCAAAATTGTCGCCTTGGCTCTATACCTCGGGTCCAACGACCCTTCCTCGAGTACTCCATCATCTTCTACATTTTCAAAATTTGTAGCAATGATTGATCGTGCGGCTTCGTCTGCAAGACCGAGTTTGACGTCTGGGTCCGGAGAAGCTTGCGCTTCACGGTGGCTCTGTGTTGAGTTGGTTGCCATTTTGGGGAATGCTTGGGAGCGGGAGGATCCCTGCTAATGACGTCGATGATAGTGGAGGACTTGGCGATGTAGGTTTTTCCTGTAGATAATGAATGGAAAAGGTATTCTGAGAGAGTGGAGTTCCAAACGTCTCCAAGGGCTGGGTATCGTATGAGGTATAAAGAGAGTTCTTTGTCGATGTCGACTTGAGCCACGCGCCGACGAAGATCGTGAGGATGTTCGGAGCGGACACCTGAGTTTATCTTTAGTAATGAAAACGCAAATTCGGTAGACAAGAATTCCTGGCCCCGCAAACACAACTTCGAAATTCCACACAACCAGAGAGAAAATTTTGAAAAAAAGCAGATTTTGAATGAGAAGAAGGTCTGGAATTTGCTTTCTTCTTATCTTTTTCAGCCAAGAGCAACATGGAAAGGAATAAATTTCTTAATGTTATAAACGGCGAACGTGATGGGCAGAAGAACAGAGAAAATCGAAGCTCGCCATCGCCCTTGCTAACCCCTGCCACAAGGTAACCTATGCCATGTGCAACCACCTTCTCTTAGCCTCGCTTTTGCGAAAGGATGATTATATTACACAAGCAGTTTCCTTTTTTGCTTATGTATCACGACTCCGTCCCTGTGGAGCTAAAGTACGTCTGTACTTTGCGGATCGACGGGGAGGGATAAAGTGGGGAAACGAAGAACGAACATATACTTCCCGTCGCTGCACTGCAGGCGGACTTGAGCGATGAGAAAAGTATTGATATGGTATCCACAAGTGGGGCCGCGAAGGGTTAACGTTGTAACCAAGCTTTTGATTTTTGCCGTGCAGATGGTCGGCTACATATGAAGCTACCCAGATCTCGATAAGCATGCCACTAGCTCGTGTGGAGGAAGCCGGGAGCCTATGGTTGGTTGGCGTTACGGGAACGACGCATGTGGGGGACCGATTACTACTTCCAATGCATGAAATGACCACATTCGCACGACCCCAAACCGGATTTCTTCGATGATGGTGCAATTCGAGGGCCGGAAGAGCTAATCAGGCAGAAGCAGCGATAGAATCCGAATCTTATTGATTTGATTCTCAAAAATGCGCATTTTTGCTGCATATTGTTGCATGTTGGCCAACAGAGACATGTCCTCCAGAAAACGGCCAGGGATTCGCAAAGATTTTTTTCTTAAAAGAAAAGATGGAGTTTCGGCAGTGGCTTGCATGCACAAAAAGAATCTTTGCAGTGACAGGCGGGTGCAACCGAATTCTGATCTGTGCTCCGAAGGCTGCCTGCCTGACCAGGCCGGTGTGTAACTGTATGTTTCATGTAAACAGGAAACCGGGTTTCGGTCATAGGTGCCTTTTCGGTTGGTAGCTTACCTGGAAGACGTGCTCGACCTGCTTCATTCCCTCCCAGCTTAGCTCTACGCTGACTGTGCAATTTGGAAGATATCCTGGAGCACACATCAACGATCTTCATGGGCCTTGCAAGCTTGGGATATCAGAACCGGAGCCGAGAAGCCAGGGTACAAGCTTAGCGGGCTTGGGAGGGAAGCAACTATTCAGCTTCCAGAAGGAACGGAGTCGGGTAATATTGAGCAGCAATAAAAGAAGCCGCAACTACCAGTCCGTAGTCGCACTGAGAGAAATTGGACATCTGACTAGGAGTACTGATTAATTTAAACTCCGTAGGTTTCAATCGTAGAGGGATATCTGGGGTTTCACCTTTTCCAGTGTGATGTGTATGCATGTGAGGCACGATTGTAGATTGAAATTCAGCCTCGATATTATATTTTATATTGAACATGGAAGAGGTATCCGGTTGAAATGTGGTTGTGACCAGACTTAGGTAAGCAGCACAACTCATGATCATGGTCAGACGAGCCGTTGGGTTGAACGTCGATATACACCAGGTATACGTACCCAAGTACCCAAGTATAATACCACAGCTGTAAAGCTACTTAAAAAGTTGCCGGTGGTTGTTATACGACCTGATCATATATCAAATGACGTTATTATGGCTATTAATATATTAGGGGGTATTGATAAGCCGGCCTGAAGCAAGCACATTTTCTGAGACCTTAGTATACTTATTGATCATGATCATAGCGCTGCTAGCTGCGGTGTTTAAGTCGTACTAATTCATAAAACCCACGAACACAGCACCTCAGTTTTAAATTTTAACTGGTATTCTCTGCGCATAAATACTTGAGATTACAAGTTTTGCCTATATAATCGTGAACTACTAGGTAGGTATCACTCCAATAAATTCAGCTTGAAATACGCTTTATAATTATAAAGCCCTGGTCGAGGTGCTCATTCTCGCCCTAACTGTCAAGACAAACATTTTGGGCCTCCTAAACTTGATATCTAGATACTCTCATTATCATTCCTCAAGGGTTCCCAAGATCCATACACTCGTCATAACCACAAAAGCTTTTATTGGAATTTATCTATCGATCCCGCGACGAGGGCTTTTGAGCTAAATCTGTCTTACCGATATTTGCAACTGTTGCCACGCTCTTGATCTTGTTGATCCGATGTCTGATATATCCTATGCATGGCCCTCACTGGTGTTTGACTAATTATATATATAATTACAAGAAAATAATAATAATAATGAATTATATCAATATACTATAAAAACTCAATACTTGTACTCCGGTCTTGAATATAGACTCTATAACATGGAGACACTAACCCGGAGTATTTAACTGCTCTCTTCGCCAAAATTCACGACGCTGTTACCAGTCCATTAACAACCCTCAGATTCGCCCTAGAATATACAGTAATCGGCACAAGCCTAGTTATACACTCTAAAATGGCTACTACCGCGCTTAGAGGCCGTCAAAGATTATATGACGTTGTAAGTCCTGAAGTAGTCCGGTTTTTCGAGGAAAGAAGACTTTTCCACCCCGTTGTCAACAACAGGCGAAAAATATCACCATCCACAATATCACCGAGCTGTAGCAGCCCATCAGTTTGCTCAGGCGGACCCTCTTGTTACCCTGCACCTACCCATCTCGTAGATGGAACAAACCATTTTACTTCTGCAGCAATCTCAAAGCCATGTGATTTTATCGAGATACCCGTATTTCTGGAGAGTCGAGAAACACTTGAGTTCGTTGGGTTCTGCCCAGAGAGAGCAGAATACATCTGGGATCTATGGTCGAAGATCCCAATGCATGATATTCATGTGTTTAATTTCTTTGATTTTGCTGTGGATTTTATTCCAGACCCTGGGATACGTCAAACTCGAACAGAAGCGATTAACGAGAAGGATGGTTGGAGGGAGTATATGGATGAGCTTGGTATATCGACTGGATTAAAAATAGCCATTCTTCTACCGGAGTACGAAAATGTCAGATTTACAGCATCTTGTGAATTCTGGTCAATTGAATCCGTAAGGGAGGCCTACCGCGCTTTGGAGTCCCTTGCGCAACAGTTTGAGGAAAGCGTCAAATTTTTTCAGTACCCCGAACATGAAAAAGACGGGAAGTTCGAAGGTACAACAGAGCAACCTAGTACAAATGTTTCACCGGTTCCCGAGGGATCGAGGACAAAACTTTATAGGGCTAGTACCTTGGAGAGAGCTACACGATTTTACATTCACCAAACCGGAGAAATCAACGAGTACCATTTTGCAACTCTCCGAGGGGATCTTAGTGGAACAGAACCGGTAACATATTGGACACCACAGAAGGTGGTTGCTGATATCTATGCAGGGTACCTTAAGCGCAGGATACCCATAGCCCAGATTATCGTCACAGAAGTCGAATTCTCGGAGGAACTGGCAGCCTCCGTTGACCTGGTTAGCCTCTGGGGAACAATTGAGGGCGGTGATAAAATTAACCCGTCCTTTCAAGAATATACTTGGAGTTGCAGGAAGGGCATCGATTATCGAATACCCACTATTTGAAATATTTGGAAGACGTAGATGTCATAACCTCCAATATTCTCAGTCTCAAAGACATCGAATATCGTGAAAAGGACAGTTGGAAAGAAATACAACCTTCAGATCTCGTCAGAATTAAGATTGACGGCGAGGATAGGCTAGGGATTCAGTGGGCTTTCAAGTCAGAGGAGGCTCAACTGGCCTTTGAAGAGCATTGTCGAGGCAAAGTTACTCAGTATAACTTAGACAGATTGCTTACTGTAGCTTCAAAGACAGAACGCAGTCTCCCATCAGCAACAGGATAACGGTTTAAGATTTAATGTCAACAAAAAATACGTAATAAGAAACGGGCGTTTGAGACGCCAGTATCAGATTCGATATCGATAGTATAGTATATTACATGTATATATACACCGTATGAGCTAGATCAAAGCTGTCCCGGGAATCATTCAGCTTTAGTTTTATCAAATCATATATATATATATGCCTAGATGGGCCATGGGCACTCTACAAATTTGAAGATGCAATATGCAACTCGAGTTCCGATGTTCAGAGTACATATCGCACATGCTAGCTTCTAGTCGCAGTATCATAATCAGACTTTATCACTTGTAGCACAAAATTTGTTGGCCTCTATAACACTACTAGCTAATTACTTCTTGGAAATGCGGGCTATCGATCGGCCGTCTTTGCATCATAAAATTGGCGGTTACTGGTACAGGGCATTCCAAATGAGGACACAACGTGCACGAAGAAACAATGACGATCATGTAGCACGTGTATGTGGTGTGAATATGTGAATCTACATGCAGCTCGATAATCACTGCGAGCAGCTGCGTGGGCCTGTACTGGTACCATTTCCAAGTTTTCGTTAGCTACCTAAGTAGGTACTTATATATATCTGTATACTGCTGCATCTAAAGTTACAATCCTGCGAAAAAAAAAAACTAGAATCGAGACTCAAAAACAAAATGCCAGGTAAATTTAAACGTTTCGCGGAAAATACATCATTACGACACAACAGATCGTCTTAATGCTAGGTTGAAAGGTTTCGAAGTTACGGAGAATGTACTCGGATATCTGAAGATATATACTACCGTTTATATTGCGCCTTCTACAAGCGCTCTTATAAAGCTTACAAAGACCAGCCAGGATTCGTATCAAGAAATCTCAATTATGACCTTCGGTATCTCCAATCCAGACGCCCTTAATTAAGCACAAACGCATTCGTGCATCCAACATCTGTACGTGCAATCGAATATACAATGTGTCGATCGAAGGTTCAACTAGTTAGCTGCAGAATTTATGCACTCGATCGATTGCTAAAATCATCCTGCTATCAATTTATCGGACATTCGCGAACACCCATAGCGCCATAAAATTGGCAGGTAAGCCTTGTCGGCACCAAAATTCTATGATTCGACAATATCGTCTAAATTTCCTTGGCATGCGCATGCATGCATCTTTTCCAATATCCAACATTCTCGACTGCGATGAGGCTTGAAGTTTACATGCAGAGATGGTATTTTTGGATTTGAATTTGTGAATATGTCGACGAGACTTCGATAGCCGTCGAAGTTGCGAATTTGAGGATCGTGATGCCTATTTTAACTTATTAAAAGCCATTCTGGCCCACATGCCAAAGGGATTTTGCTCAAGTACGTTTGGCATTTGTGGAAGTATAAACCTGTTTAGTCGGATCCTGGGATATATTTTCAAAGCAGAAGTTTGATCCATTACTTTAATGGCTTTTTCATGATACACAATGAACCTCTTTTTAATATCTCTGATATGGCTCCTCGCAAGAGTGGGTCTCGGGCTAGCAGCACTAAGGGGTGTGGGGCTCCCGTCATGCAGCGTAAGCACTCATACCTTAACAGCGATATTAATTCTTAGTACAGAAAATATTAAAGAACAATGTCTGAAGATTAGCGCCAATTTTTGCTAACTTAAAGTGAAACTACTTAGATTGATTGTGTTCTCCCCTACTACAACGGGTGCTATGAAACCGATCCCAGATGCATCTGCAGATCCACCACATATATCAACAAAGCAGCCGAATGTACATACAAAGCCTGCCCAAGAAGCGACTTCGAAGCAGTAGCCGGAGCCCTTCAAAAACGTTGCGCAAGCGTCGGAATCGAGGTTCAAGTTCCCAGATTTACATATCCAACTCCTTCCCCCACTCCAACTCGGTATACATACCCCTCACAAAGCTTAGAACATAGCAGTAGGGGCCCAAGTTTCGTCCAAATGATAGTCATATTTGTTGTAGCCGTGCCTGCTTTCCTTTACCTAGTTACATGCTTGCCTATATGGTTGATTCATAGACGCCACAAGAAGAAGAAAGAGAGAGAAGATCCGGAGGTACTTGTGGTGCCGATGAACAACCTCACGGAAGAAGAGGTGAAGGATTTAGGTGGCATTATCGAAGGAAGCGATAAACCTGTGACGGTGGATTTGCCGCAACGGGTGCATGTGTATATAGGGAGGTAGTTATATAGGTAGAGAATATATCGGAGCCGGCCGTGCTCATAAGAAGGGGAGGAGGGGTATGTTATTCAACGTGTGCTGGATTAAGCTTATGTCTTCTCGATCTCGATTAAGAGGCTCTCCTACGAGAGTAGTTCTATAGTCTGTAGAATTAATATACTTATGGTCACCGATCTACTCACCCGGTAAGACCGCCTTTAGTATATGAAGGAATTCATATGACCACATGAGCTATTGTGAGCTTCGTAATTGCGAGATTTACATTGCTAATAGCTCTACAGCATAGCTAATAGGGTTTTGAGCCAACATGCTAACTACTTGACTCAGAGACTACTAACTACTTAGTTTTCAGCAAGAATGTGAAATAGCAGCCAAGAGGATCATTTAACCTTAAATTTGGATACCGAGAATTTTTTTTTTTTTATCGACAAGATTTCGTGAATTAAAACTTATTAAGATTCATAGGGCGGTTGTAAAGGAATTGGAAATTTTAATTGACCTTCGACTTCTGCCATGGCTTGGTCACATGATATAGGCCTTCTCTAACTAACTAAACACAGTAAATTTAAGAAATCCATTAGAGGTATCGAGTTTATCCAAACTTCAGGAATGAAAATCGGCCCGATATAAGCTTTGAGCCCACCGGCTTGGTTATTTTAGCGCCGTATCCGACAGAAGATAGCGGGACGTGTGTATGTGTTACGATCCCTCGGATCCCGTGGACATAATATAAGCCGGCCAAGCCGCCACACATAAATATAATACACAACACCGCCTCCACATACACGTCAACGGCAGATGGTTCTGTGGTAAAGATATGTTCATGGCCAATGTTACATCGCTTCTACTAGTTCAATTGAACGGAAAGCTTAATTCGTACTACCCCGGCTTAATATTTCAACATACATGTCAGCTTTGTGGTAGCATCATATTATAACGATCTCTAGAGGTTACATAAACCAAACTTTACCGGCACCATGGTATCTAGTTGATGATATGTAGCTACTAGGGCCCCCGCCTCAAGATAAATCTTCATTCATATAAGTGGGGCCATGGCTATGGTATTCACGCTATTGCTCAATCGAGAAACGGCCCGAACTAAAACAGTAGCCGACTTAAAATCTGGCCGCATGCAGGCCGTCGGGAACGAAACTATTTTGTTACTTTCCCGACAAATACCAAAGATCACATATGCACAATTCGGATAGTGTATCCGCATGACTGAATACCAAAGAGAACGAACCCTTCGGATCTCGGAATAGATAATTCTACCTAGTGCCAAGGTAGGGCTGACGAAGTATGCCGGCAGTAACTCATGCGGGTGCAGGGGTTAATGGTGTTTGTGTTGACTACGTTGGAAATTTTTACCCAATCGGTTCGGATACCTGGAATGCAATTGTCGAGCTGTCGACGACTTGCATGCATCGACATCGTGTAAGCATGACCACTTGATTCACTAAGGAGAATACAGCTTAGCCGCTATCGATATGCTACTGTGTAAGTAGGCCTTCTGCCTACTTGACTTACTCAACTTTCGGGGTCTCGACTTCTAGCTCTGAACCTTTCGATCAAATTTTATGAGGCATACGAGCATAATTGTGCCTAGCATCTTGAGAGACAAGTCGTACCTCATGGCCACGCGACCACCCCGAACACTCGAATATCGTGGATTTTGAGGCCCAATTTTTGAAATCCCATCAACCGCCCATCTCCAATGCATGATCAGTCAATTTTAGCAAAAGGGATCTCGATGTTTTTGTGGATCTTGGCTATCAATTGTCCCAAATGTCTCACGATGCGGGCACTAAAACCTTTGGGGGCGCAGTTCCTAAGACGTAAGCGGCTGCCCCTTTGAACCCTAACCATTCTTTGCCTCTGCACCCAACGAGCCAGCGCATCCCACGTCGAAGAATTTTTTTTGCTTCGATCACACATTAAACTAACCTAGTTCTAGAAAAGTTATCATGATTCGGCATAATCAGGGCTTGTCTTGGACCCTACGAGGCTCACATCCAAATTAAAGAAGGTGTCGAATGTGCCTGCTCGTCAAGACAACAAGCGACATCGTCGTAAGCTAAGCTAGCAAAAAGATTAAAAATGGCAACATTCTTATGCGGGGCCGCGGGCTTACAATAACCCGCGAGTCGGAAACACTGCTAAGGCCTGGGCGCCGCCCTTCACAGCAAGTGATCGCGAGTCTTCGAGATTGCATTGAACTTGGGTCACATCACACTAGTGCTCTGATAGGATGACATATGATAGCCAAGCCTACGAAGCTTCACGGCTAAGACTTTGGGAATTGGAAGAGTGGACCGAGTCTCGTGCGCGCTTGAAGCAGAAAGAGATTCAAAATCCCCTTACTCAAAGCGAAGGCTGTGCCAGCTTGGTACCCTCAATTGAGGGATATCCCAATCAAGTCCGGCGGCATCACTGCCTGTCTTCGTCGAGATTCGACTGAAGCTAGCTAGCAATGATAGGCGGTCTGACCAAGAAAAACTTAGGCTACCTCTTCTAGCGTCGATTTACATTTTTATTCTGCGGTAATACTCCTAGTGCGGACTTTTTGTTCAGGATTATAAAGTGACTGGTGTCTGCTACTGCGAACGATTATCTGCCCTGGCTTCGACGCTGACATTTGTTTCAGCCGAGACCTTTGCCTACTGCTTTGGAACTTGTCTCCGAGAGAGGAATATTTCCCTTTCCTTCCTGAAGAATCTTGGTGTATCTGGTTTATCTTACCTCAATTTCAATATCTTGCAATTTATTTCCTTTAACTTCATCCCTTTATCTTTATCTTTTATCCTTTTCCCTCCCTCTCTCTCTCTCTCTCCCACGCCGTTTGCAGCTATTCACCGAACCCGCCTGTATCTGTGTTGTCGACCACGCTGCTCCCGTTACTATTTTGAGTGCACGCGACCACCTTCTATTTCGAAACTCTCTCGTTTGCTCTTCCCTCGTTATTAGAACCAGCGACGTTTCGTTTTTTCGTTCTCGACATATTGGTAACATCCACGGAGGGGAGGTTGATATCGACAAAATTGTTGGGCTGGAAAGACAAAAATGCCGTCTCCTAGTACAATAGACTTCCTGCTGGTAACGCTGCGGTATGCGTTAGACTGGGTCCTGGTTATCGGTTTTACTCTGGCGGCTGGGTTTTTGGGAAATATTGATGGTGCACGAAGACCGTTTAATCCGTACGATCCGTCGTATAGCTTCCCATATCACGATGGTAAGAAATAGTCCCATACTTTTGCTCGATTGCTATTATTATACCTTACTAACAGTGTATATGTTCTCTCTAGATACTGTGTCTGTGATTCAACTTGGAATTGTCGCGATATTAGGACCAGCTGTTATTATGATGCTCTGCTGTCTCCTCGCCCCTCGATCTGCTCTCCCCGCCCTTGCAAATTATCCAAATGCACCATCTTCATTGGTCTGGAAGCACAAACTACTCAACTGGAATCGCGCATGGCTCGGTCTTGGCCTGACCGATGCTCTTGCATTCTTCATTTCAAACTGCCTCAAGAACGTCTTCGGAAAGCCTAGACCCCATATGATTTCCGTCTGCAAACCGGACTGGGACAGAGTCGCAGAGATCATAAAGACTACAAGAACTGGGCCCCAGGGTATCCTTGCCTGGAATCCTCTAGTCACCTCCGAGATCTGCACTACGACCGATCATGAGAAACTCTCCGAGGCCTTCCGAAGTTTTCCCTCTGGGCATTCAGCTAGTGAGTTCCCGCATCTCTATGTTCCGCAATTCGGAACGAGTATTCTCCGTACCGACATAACCAACTAACCCGATTTCTACTAGTGTCCTTCTCTGGCTTAACATTTTTGTCACTTTTCCTCTATTCGACTCTTGTATTGACACTTCGCAGCACTTCGACTTCAAAACTTCCTTATACAAATGCCGATGTCAAACGCTCGGATGAATCTAATGAAAAGAGCTCCAGCTCTGACCGTGCCTCAAAGCTACACCCACCATCGCTCCCATTAATCACTTTTGTGGTCGTTATTGCCGCCTTCTGCCTTGCAATGTGGATCGCAGCGACTCGATACCTTGACTTCAAACACGCAGGAATTGATATCTTCTCCGGCTCGCTTTTGGGATTCTTCTCTGCAATCTGTGGAACTTGGTGGTACGCTATGCCTGCCGCAGGTGGCGTTGCAAAGGGTCGGATCAGGTCTGGCTACAGGGATGATCTTAGGATGGGACGTAGAGGTGTAGCAGATGGTGATTATGACCACGAACCTAGAGGACCAATCAGCGCAGGAGAAGGAATGCTGTTAGGTCATAGGGAAAGCGTGGATGAGAACGATCAGCCGAAATTCGAGCCTCAGACCTCTAGACCCATGGTTTAGATCTGAGAGTAAATATATGAAGAGATGATGTGTAGGGTTTGAAACATGGTTATATGTGATTCCATCGTATATATTATTTCTGGGATACACATATTTTCATTTTTATTCAAGTTTGAACTTTTTGTCTGTAATGTCGGCGTTTTGACATTTCGGCGTCTGTTTGGATTTTTGCTTTCTTACTATTTATTTGATCTATTCTTCATATTTATAAATTTAGCTAACTTGATTTTGTTATGTGGGTAAAATGCCCATCTAACTGACCTTATTTCCAATACATAACAATTATACTAGAGCTTCTCCCGTAAAACGAGAATGAAACTTGAACCTTAGCTTAGGACTTTGATTATTTTGCCCAATCTCAGATTCGAAAATCGAGCGCGAGAATTATACAACGTGGACAACACCGATTATCGTGAATCGTCGCGTTCTAGAATATTACACAAATATAATACTAAGACTCCTATGGGTGACGCAGGCTATTGTATTGCGTAGTACCAAGCTACTTCCTCTCTAAACAATACTGTAAGGTTTTGGGGAATTTTGTTAGATTGATTTTTAATAATATTGAGGTCAGAGACGTTTCTCGAGCGTTATAGTCCATGATGCAGCAAGGAGATCGACCCTTTAAATTTGCCCCTGGCTTTAGAAAAAAGGCCAAGATGGGAAAACCATTCTACATTTTCGAGGTAATATGGGTGATGAAACCTCGTCCTCTCAGTACTGGTAGCTCTGTGCGTATGTAAGGTACGTAACCCAATCTATTGACCAGCCAAGTAAACAATTTGCCAGGAATGAAATTATATTTCTACTTTGAGAGAGGCTAAGCCCCCGCCAGTAGATCGCGCACGTTCCTCCATAGCTGATCGCTCTTTTAGCCTCTTCACCTTGCTACTTTCTAGGGCTGGTATGGAAGCTTAACCTCGTGCAACTGGAATATGGCATTTGGAGCGAATAATCAAATTCCGAAGATGGGATTTATAGGTATGGATAATCGAGCTAGCAAACTAAATACATATATACGCCAAATTTTACTTTACTAACTAAATATCTTCTTCGAATAAATGAAGCTGAATGAATCTCATTCTCGTTAGAAACGGAAGTGAGACCAGATTAGAAGTTACTCGACATGAAGCTTGGGCAATTGAGAGCTTCCAATTGATATTAAATATGCTACAGCTTAAGACCCCTTGCATTTGTAAATATGGGTGTATGTCTATAGAGAGTGATATTGAGATCTGATAGTATGAAAAGAAACATTTGGAGGGACTATAAACCCGTCAGATTCGCCTTCATCCTGCTTCAGATGATTTCAGTCTCCATCCCGCCGGCCCTTCAAAAGATCAATAGCAACTTTACCCTGCTAAAGATATATATTAAATTACGTACATCTAAGTATATCTTTAGATATCTAGATCTCTTGTATATTTCACTGCGCCAAAATGAGAACGACACGGATTATCCAAGCATTGACCACTCTATTCATCCCGGCAATTCTTGCCGGCCCCATCAATCATGCATATATACGACGTAACGAATTTTGCCTCGCAAACGATTGCTATCGGGCACTCACGTACGATGTCTTTGTAGCCTCCAGAACTTGCTCCGAAGTCCTAGCCAGTGCCACTCCTACGGTAACAATAACTCAATACGATTTCGCAGCAACTCAGACCAACGTCAAGACAGTGTATGCTGCTACGACTACTATCACGGTTGCTCCATCAAATAGTCAAAGTCAACCACGATTGGCGAAGCGTAAAAATGAAATAATTCAAGCAGCATGCGGTGGTGCGGCATCACCCGAATTTACTGGCGCATGTAATTGCCTAGTCGGCATCGGTATCTTTAACGTATCCGCGCCTGCTCCAATCACGACTACTGTTCATATCACAATCGATGATGCCATCAAGCTAGTGGCTAGTACAACAACCGCTACCGACACCCTCACAGTCACGCAAACATGTTCTCCAACCGGGAATGCAATTGTCAATGAAGACTTCCATACCCGACAACTTCCTCCTTGGTATATCGCTCCACCGGGTCCGGGAAGTGAAGCTGGAAGTTTTAGCATCGTCGAGGACCTTACTCTTCCAAATGAGTGGCCACACCGAGTTTTCAATGCTTCGGTCTTCAAAACTACGGGATTATCTCAGTACTCCAAAGTTAATATCGCACAGAACTTGAAAACTTGTCCTGGTGTTGATTATAATCTCTCATTTTCTTACCGATTTGAGGGTAATGCTGGGCGGGGAAGTTATCTAGTGACATTTATTGGTGGTATGAAAGTCACTGATATTAATAACGGACCGTCTACATGGACTCGAGTTGGTCCTATTCCGTTCAGAGCGACCTCGTTTACAACAGAGCTCCGGGTGGACCTCGTGAACGCATTTTTCACACCGGAAAACCTGTATCTCGGTTTGTTCGATCTTAGTCCCGCCTAAAATTAGGCTAAAATACATCCACGGACGTATGTTAGCGAAGCGCATAATTACAATCAGTCACAATATGCGCGGACGAGATAAATCTTAGTCTTGAGTGCTGGAAGAGGAAAGTGGACTCAGCTGATCAGTTCTTCTAGGCTGTTAATTGGAACTGATCATATGTGCTTAAGCAAGCCTATAGTATAATATCATTCGATATAATAGCGTCACTTTTATAATGCGATAATGCTTCATGTACTTAAATTAACTTCTTATTTTATGGAAAGCCTCATGATCATAAAGATACATCGTAGCCCGATTTGGAGATTTTTGCCTTATATATCATGCATCTTATACATGTAATTAAATGTGCTTAAGCGTGTGTAAGCTAGGGCTAGTATTTCGATGTAACTAGATTAATAACCTAAATATCCCAGACCCCTCCCCGCTTAACCCATGTGGCAAACGCTTCCTGCATATAAGAGAGCTTGACTAAAATCAGATTCAATTTCGCTAAAATAGATATACGATATAGCTAGAGGGAAACAAGGAACTTGCATATTTTTATGATGTTTATACCATAAGGCCTATAGTATAGTAATGGCAACTCGGGACATCTTATATCCGAGTCTGTCTAGATGGAAGATCGATTGAATCCCGGCTAGCTACACTAATCTTATTAACTCAGCCAAAATAAATAGTTTAGAATCTAGAGTTTGTATATATCTCCGTGAAGAACGGGTTTTTTCTTTCTATAGATCTAGTCTAGAGGAACGCGACGAGCTATAGCACTAAATTTCTATTATACCCAACAAACGAGTGAACATTCCAATTTTTTAAATAAATTTCATTCGAAGAAACCGCATTTTACTTATAGATTTTAAAGAGGCATCCGCTACATGGCATTTTCAATAGATATCTTAATTAGTATACGACAATACGATACCAAGTAAGTAGGATTAATGGCAGGGCCTGCCCATTCTGGTCCTAGCGGTTACCGGCTAGCCGACTAAGGTTGCCAAGTAGGAAGGATAGTACGTATGTACACGCATCTGATTACCACACTTAGTACAATATAATAGTACTAGTAAATATAAATGCTATCTCAATAAAGCACTAAAGTACTAGCATTTCCATATAAAATTTATCGAAATCTATCACCTTTTGTGCCACAATTGTGAAAGCTTGAAACAACCCCGCTCGGATACAAGATTTGATGTAAGGTCTCTATATTCCTTATTCGGACCATGCTTATTCGGCTATCGCTTAGACTCTGAACCAATCTCTATCTGCAAATGGCATGCAGCTGACAGTGGGCGATGTTAGTTTTGGACATCGCCGTATATACGCATCAAAATGCATCAAAATGTCCCTACATATGGTAATTGAAATTTGTCTCATGAAAGAGCACCTGGATTTGAGGCTACTAGCGAGCCCGGCTTCTCGGCACACTCGAAGCTGCCTACAGATGAGAAAATCCGGGCGAGTAACCATTCTATATAACAAGTGCCTCCCTGGAATTCTTGTAATTCATTCTGCTGTCTCTCCAGGCTACCGGAGGCTTGTTATATCATACCACACTCTTTTAAACCGACCATTACACTCCCTTTCCTCTTGATATACCTAGCCTTTAGTTGAATTTTCAATATGCACTCGATACTTTTGGCTGTAAGTCTCGCGGGCCTCGTAGCGGTTCCGCAAGTATCTGCGCACTTGCGTATACATACGATTACCGGAAATGTTGAGTATGGCAAGTCTCGGACGACCAGTCTTGATTTCGGAGACTATATTCCATTCAATGGTCGTGATGATGTTGTCAATCTTCAATTCGATGTGCAAACTTTTTCCAACCCCGTGATACCAGCTACACAGTGGTCTCCGTGGAAAGATTTTCACCGCCAATATATGGTACAAGGTTGTGGTGCAACTCTCCAAAGAATTGATTGGAATTGGGGGAAGCATCCTAAAACCTATAAGCCGTTTGGTGAACACCATCCCAATGCGTGGAAACATATATTTCTTAATTTTTTCCAGAAGCCAGTTCTAGCTGGTGATCTTGTACCAACAAGAAGCAAGATGTTGGAATTCGCCAATGCCGGTGAGTACTCTATACTTTACTTTCGCAAATACTTATGTCTAATATATACTTTACAACATTTTACACAAAATCGCAAAGGTCACGCCTGGTGGGTGGCTTGAGGTAAGCTATTACCAAGTCAACGCCGATGGTGCTGGCCCCTTTAGGTTTGTATCTCTCACCCCTTGGCTATTTACTGCTGTATTATTGGTTCGGAAGCTCAAAGCTCATGAATCTTCTTTTACCTTTTAGATGCAGATTCGATGCCCATGGTACTGGTGAGAATTTCGGGGCTTGGTTACCCGGGATTGTACAGCCGCCTGTTACAGGGCATAATAGTTTCAACCAATGGGGAAATGGTAAACATTATTTGTTTAAAGTTCCGATCCCAAAAGACGTCTACTGCGGAACAACATACGGAAAATACGAAAATGTTTGCACGATGAGGTGTGAAAATTATGCTATGTAAGTATAATTATTCCCCATCCCTAAGTCATCCATGACATTGTGGTGAATACGGTATAACTATATAGCTTTACAATGGTATAATAGTGATAACTAATATGCTTTCGCTGGTATAGAAACGGTCCCTTCGGTGGTTGTTTTCCGTTCCAAGTTATCTTTCCGCAGAAACCAAAACCGTTGTCGACGGAAACCCCAAGCAAGGAAACAAAGCCAGCGCCAACTCCAACTCCAAAACCAAAACCTCCCAGCAAACCTATTGATGCTAAAAAGCCTGAGCCTGAACCAGTATACGGTGATGCAGGGTATGACGTAGGCAAAGGCAACTACGATGAAGGTGGTCAGAAGTATTATCGACGCAAACGTGACGAAGTATCGGGCGCGAAGCTTCGCCGGCGAGCAGCTGCAGCTGATCTTGCTGCTGCGGCTAGGATACTGGCTAATGCAGTCCCTGCTGAAGAAAGATAATCCAGCTAAAAAGGTGCAAATCATTTGGGGTGGCTTATGCAGCTGCGTATGTGGCTCCATGTTTGGATTGGAGCATCTGGATTTTCGGGTACTTACTACGTACGTGCACGAAATTACTTCGTGTGTATATAAATAGCATAAAAATACCACATGGAAGGGACATACCAGCCTTCTAGTAGTGAACATTGTGTATAAAGTTATTTTCTCAACTTGATTTCTCAGTGTCAATTCTCAAGTGGGGTCAAATCTTAGCGGAGAAATACAGGTTGAGACGTCGACCGTATACATAAACGTGTTGTGGGTGTGGTAAAAGTTAAAGGACTCCATAAGCTTTTGAGCCAATTGCCCTCGCTGGCTGTGCACCATAGCTGCTGGTACGCCTTTTCAAAATTTACCGCTTAGACTTGCAATTCACCCAACTGATTCAACTGATTCTTCCAGGTCCGCTTGAAATCTAGTTCCCAAAAGAAAGGGTGGGGGAAGAAGAAAATACACCAGCTAATAGATGTAGCTCTGTTTTAGCTAGGCCGAATCCGCGAAACGACATTTAGGTATGTAATAGCTGATCATAAGTTGTCAGACATCAACTCTAAGAGACGAGAACTTAATAATTCAGATTAATTCCATTTCCTGGATTCTATCAAACGGTTTAGGACAACTTATAGTTAATACATAGTTAATTAACTGCGTGGAAACAACGTTAAATGAGGTAACAGCGGGTACGAGACAAGGTAACAGCTACATTCACTCGAGAAACTCTATTTCCAGTTACATATATGTCTCGAGATAGAATGAAGACAACTCGATATTCAGCTTCCAGACAGAAGGCTTGTCAGTCATGCTCTAATGCTAAAGCAAAATGCGACCGCAAAGCCGAAATATGTAGCCGGTGTGCTACACGAGGCCTCTCATGTGTTTATCCATCCTTAACTCCGGTGGTAGCACAAAATACAACATATACCGGCGGCGAAGCGGAGATCGATGCCCAACCCTCGAGTTCAAAAAATATTTCAATTGACACTATATTCCCGGACTTGAGCAGTAAGCCCCTTAATCGAAAATCTATGCTCACTTTTGTTTAGTCTAAATATCATATATCGTAGGCACTGCTAGCGTTTGTTCGCACCCTCAAGACGATGCAAACGTTGCAAACCTCAGTAATCCACCTCTCGATTTTTCGAATCTCGAACTCGTATGTCCTATCAATGCAGACGACATCAATATGCGCTGGATGCGCTCATATATTCCTTTACCTGAACAAATTCCCAAAGCATACTCCACAGCCACGATGACTTTCATCCGCAGGGTTCTCAAATCATACTCAGCTGTTGCGGTTCGCAGCCGCGGAATACCGCCATTCATTCACCCGCTTCAGATGACAGTAAAATCAGCGTCGCCACTTGCTACATGTCTAAGTTTGGTTCGGATTTGCGACAACCTATTGCCTGGGAGCGATGAAGCCGTTGCCGGTGTGCTGATGCGAGAGATGCAGTATCTGTACATGCAACGGACGACTTATGACGACATGACGTTGCTTAGCGCTTTTCAAGCATATTTAATCTACTCAATGGTCCTCTTCTTTCAACTTGGTAGGGTGACTGACTCCTTTTTACGACAAGCCGTAATAGCTCTTCAGGAGCTTGCGTGCTCGAGTTCTCGTCAGGGACTTCTCTGCATGGCAGAACAGCTACCCGCTCGACCTAAATGGGAGGCTTGGATTGTTACAGAGGCGAAGCGGAGAAGCCTGTATACCATGTATCTCTTTGATAGTGTGCTTTCGGCTCAAGACGGCCTACCAGTTTATCTGGGCACCGAATTGAGGGGTCTCTTCGCACCCGGGAGCAAAACGCTATGGCATGCGCAAAGTCGGCAAGATTGGGAGACCGTTTATAATCGACATTTAGCAGACTGGGCAGGGAAAGGGTTTCAAATCGATGAGCTTTGGCCTATTACAGCAGCTGATGATGATGCTGAAGTGGTTCAAAGGCGTACTAGGATGGATCGCTGGTTGGAAAATCTTGATGAGTTTGGGATCATGATATATGCTGTCACGAGTTCTACGCATGGTGATTGATCCCAAAAATTCTATCTATTATTAAGATCTTCGCAATATTATTTTAACTACTGGCAGGCATTAAAAGCATAATGAAATGACGAAAAAAAATCTAAGATTCATCCAACGCTCTCAGAGCCTCTTCGAGCGAGAGTACCTCAACATGCATTTTTGATAAAAGATTTCCCAGCAAAAAATTCAAGTACTTCGCTGTCTCCGTTACCGGTAACTCTAATAGATTATCGGAAATGAGATAGATCTTATAATCCAAGTCTATCAGGTGATAGATAGTACTCATCACTGCCCCCGACATGCTCAATCCAGACTTTCGAGTACCGTGAACTCATTAGTAGACGGATATAAAACCTAAGTTTTTTTGGCAGGGGCGACTTACTATGATAACTGTATCTACATTCCGCGCCCTTAGAATTTGCTCCAATGCATTTCCCGCACCAGCATACCATCTCGTTTTCTGAAGAACAATATCATTTTCGTCAACCAAAAAACGAGGATCGATTTGTACTTCCGGGGATCCAGATTCGAAAAGATTGTATCCATTTATCTGCTTCGCGAAAGGCGCCTTGTCACTCTTGTGGAGTTCAGGTTGGGATTTATTCGAGAAGAAAAGGGTTGTAAAGATAGTTATGGGCCGTGGGATTTTTGCATGCACAGCATCATTCCAGCGCGAGCAGTTGGCAATGTATGTCTGTCCTTCAGGCGTATCTTTGACAGCGTCTATTAGGATTGTCATCCAGTCCAAATTGAGGATCGCATAATTTTTGTTGAAAGTTGCTGAACAATTGGGTGGCATTGTTTTAGAAAACTGCGCATTGGTTGCATATGCATATTTTCAAAAGATATTGAAACTGGAAGCAATTCTGCGATATTTATGTTTAGGTCAGTCCCGCTGGTAAAAACTTGAGTTATGCGAAGTTTTCTGCATCCACTTCTCACAGTGCGCTGATGTGACGAAGTCGAATTAGGCGGCCCGGGCTTCAGTGCCTCAACTCCTTCAACTCCGGCTCTAACTTTAACCGACGAACGTCAGGTCCGAAATCGCCCCCAAGACCTCAAACTTGAGTCATGTCGGCCGTCGGCCGAACTAAACAGGAAATATTGAAAGATCTATATATTCTGAGCCGAGATTCTCTCCTTTAATATCCAATTTATGGACCCTTTTTTTTAATAAATATAAGCCTAATTCAAGAATCGAAATTCAAAATTCTTCTGATCCATCAAGCTCAGCTTCCACGATTTCTCGAAACACAAAACATGAGTGAAAATGCAACAGATACCTCGATGTCGGCACCAATTGCGAATGCAGACTCAATATTATCTACAGAGCCCCCTTATAGTATATTCGACCATCGACAGAGGGCATTAATTATTTTCATAATATCCATAGCTGCTACATGTAAGTCTCGCAAACCCTACTATACATCCATAGGCAATTACAATTGTAGCTAATAAATTTGCTACTAATATAGTTTCGGGCTTCGCATCCAATATCTATTTCCCAGCCCTGCCAACTATTGCGCATGACCTCAATGTGTCAATAGAACTCATAAATTTAACTGTTACGTCATACCTCATTTTCCAGGGACTCGCTCCTAGTCTCTGGGGTCCAATATCCGATGTTAAGGGACGCCGGGTCGCATATTGTTTCACTTTCGTCGTTTTTCTTGGGGCTTGCATAGGTCTCGCCGAATCAAAGAACTACACCACTCTCATAGTTCTTAGATGTCTACAGAGTACAGGTAGCGCGAGTACTATCGCAATTGGTTCTGGAGTAATTGGTGACATTACTACACGCGATAACCGCGGTGGGTTTATGGGTATCTTCCAGGCAGGATTACTAGTACCCGTCGCCGTAGGGCCGGTAATTGGAGGCGCATTGGCAGGTTCTCTAGGATGGAGATCTATATTTTGGTTCCTAGCCATCTATAGCGGCGTATTTTTGCTGGTTCTGATCTTGTTGTTGCCAGAAACACTAAGGTCGATTGTTGGGAATGGCAGTCTGACACCTTCTAGTGTGATCGCCAGATATCCGCTGAACCTGTACCAAAGGACTAGCAAAACCAAGTGGAAGCCTGTAACTTCCACAAGTCCTGATAGCGATACGACGAGAAAGCGGGTTGATGTTATAGGTCCCTTCCGCATTCTTATCAGCAAACAAGCCGCACCGATCATTATTTTTCTTGCCTTATATTACGCCGTATGGCAGATGAGCATTACAGCCATGTCCAGTCTTTTCGAGGCCAAATACGGTCTCAGTGAGATGGAAATCGGTCTTACATTTATCGCCAACGGCGTAGGCTCCATGGTCGGCACATTAGTCACCGGTAAAATCCTCGACATCGACTACCGCCGCGTCAAAACTCGGCACGAGTCTTCAGCACCCACGGACCCTGAGCAAACCAACAATTCTCAAGAATCAGATTTCCCGCTAGAAAAAGCCCGTCTTCGTCTCGTTCCAATATTTTCCGGATTACAATGTATCTCCATCCTTCTTTTCGGCTGGACGATTCACTATCCGCATAAAGTACACATCGCCGTGCCAATTATATCAACTTTTATTACCGGCTGGACGGCAATTTCGAATTATTCTGTTGTTGTGACGTATCTAGTTGATATCTTTAATGATCGGAGCGCGGCTGCAAGTGCAAGTCTTAACCTCGCGAGGTGCTTATTTGCCGCGGGAGGTACGAGTTTTGTTATGCCTATGATTAATGGTATAGGAGTCGGTCCTACGTTTTCTGTTTGTGCGGCGGTACAGGCGGTAGGAATGTTAGGCCTTGCTATACAGTGGAAATTTGGGGCTAAGTGGAGGATGGAAGCTCAGGCAAAGAGACGGGTTGATGTCGAAAGGGAAGAGTCTGAGTCTATGTAATAAATACTGTCGAGCGTAACCACATTTAGCGATACCTACTTATTAATACCGCTTATGGAATTATTTAGATTCGTGTATTTCTAGTTTAGAGCACCATTATAGATGAAAGCAAAGCACTTAGATATGATGAATTTTCATTTTCGAAACTTGATGAATTTCCGATCAACTACAAGTCTTCCGTTTCTCAATTATAGAGTCTCGATCGAGTCTAAAACCTCTGGTTAGTTTGTATTGGGACCAAGTATACTATGTCCTCTTTTGGGTATCTAGGAGTGAGAGAAGACGGGCTAAGATAGCTAGTTTATATTGTGTCGGTCCATAAATTCAGACAAGCAGATTTTAAGCTTGGTCTCGAAGCAAGGCGTAATGACCATCTGAGTACCAATAGACTTGGCCTGGTATTTTACAGTGCTTGTTGCATACATCCTTTGTAAAACTAGGTGCAAGGCCAAACAAAGTGCCTCCCTTTGTGGCGTTTGGGAACGAGACTAGTGTAAGGGGTACTAGAGTTGGGACGAGTAAATATGAATTGAGATTGTAGAGGTTAAGTGGCGAGTTAGTTTAATCTGACTAAAGTACAAAGTATTAGTTACTACAGTTAGTTGATGGCTAGACCAAAGCTAGCCTTCGAAAGACAACGCTGGGGATGAGGTATTCCATTCAGTCTGCAAAAAAGTAAAAATCAATAGCCTCGAGAGCAAGGGTAACAAATAAAAAAATAAAATAGAAAAAACCTCAATCAATTGATATCAATAAGATCACTATACGCATCCAAATTGCAATTTCCCCACACCCCATAGTCTCCAAATTCGGAAGACCCGCTGTCCAGCATTGGAGTATCAAGTTCTCCCAAGCACACTTGGCCTTGGGTATCAGAAGGAGAGACCCTCTCCAGTGATTTGAGCGCTGAAAGAGACTCTGGTACTCTTCCCCGGTTAAGAGAAAAAATCGCTACCAAGGTAGAATAGCAGTAGTTGCGACGCCGACCAGAGCGCTCCCAGGTGTGAAGAAGCTTTTGCAGGAATGGCTGAATACATCTGTATAAAACGGGCCCCCTTCTGGTCGTAACTACCGTTATTTCACGAACTGCGTCCCAGGCCCAGTCTTTACTTTCCGGACGATTCGCTCTATTGGCTAGATCGAAAAGAGTTTTCAAGGAGGCTTTATAAGCCTTCATCTTACCATATATCCGCCCAAGGATAAGATTTATTTGAAATCCATCTTGTTCTAACCAGCCCAACTGTGCATTATTCCACCTCTTCATCTTCTTTAGGAGCCTTATGGCGTTGTCAAAGTCGTTGGTATCCTCGAAGGTCTGAAGAATGTCGAACATGTTCCCTCGAACAATATGCTGCCATCTTGACTTGGTGTTAGGTCTTTTTGTCCATCTTTTACCGCCTAAGTCGTAGATAAGGAATGAATCAAAGCATGGGTTGAAGACAGCCTCAACGCTCAGCTCGAGATTCCAGCCCCATGCTGTAACCCGTTGAGCAGTATCCGAGGCCAACTGAGCATGAGTCTTGGGCGATTTTAATAGCTTCAATGTAAATGATATAAGCTGCGCAAACGCAGAAATAGTTTGTGGATGGCGAGGTCCATATTTCTTATAGGAACGTCGAAAGTTCCTGTGGGGGATTTCAGAAACCCCCGTTGTAAGAAATCTACTAACGGGATCTTCATCATCAAACTCGTCTATATTACTTAGCAGCATCTCCAAACATTCGATTGCGAGCGGATGGTCACCCATTCCAATATTTTCATATGATATCAGAGCTTGGGTAAGTATGCTCGTAATTGCTGGGTACCTCTGGGCTGGGCTGGATTGATTTGTACCAGGCATGGTTAGACTAAGTGTACGAGGCTCGGATCTTTGCTGTGAAAAGCATAAATATCGGGCAGCCTCTTGGAGCGCGAACGCTGTGAAGAAGTGATTTATCCCAAATTCCCAGATGAATTTAGGTAGGTGGATAGCGACACTATCGAAGGTGTTATATTCGAAAATTGAGGGTTGGTGGATGTCAGGGTTGTATTGTGGGATTTCTACGAGAATGGCATATTCCTCTCTGATTGGGAGGACATTTTCCGTATATAATTTCATTTCCGAGAAATTATTGTCAAGAAAAGTCGACATGGAGATATACCATTCTTTATCCATCTCCCTGGACTCCAGATTCCCCAACCGTTTGACCTCCAAGATTTGCTGGCAGACGCGATGTGGCAAGGGCTCGTAGTTGGTATCACTCTCTAGACACATCCATGTATGATCCATCATGTCCGGGTTAAAAGTTCCGGGGCTTTTTAAAGAATAAATCGACTTAGCGGATTCTAACCATTGCATTGCCTCCTACCTCCGCATTTTGATATATTCTTGGCGGTCTGCCTCTTTCTGGCAAGCGTATGCCGCCCAAGTTATGTTGCCCGGAGAGGAATAGAACTGGGGGTCGTCTATGAAAGGTTCTATTAACGCATCATGAGGGACCGGCTCGTCAATTTGAAAATCGAGTATGCCGATGTCATCAGCAGCTAACGGTACTTCCTTCAGACCGTCTATCACTTGCTTCTGGAGCTCTTCTATCGGATCATTATAGTGAAGTATATTCCGGTTACTGAACTCCACATCTTCGGCATCTTCCACATATGGATGATAATATTCCCAATTTCTATCGGGGGACATACTCTCATCAACTTCAAGACAGCCAGTAGAGGCGTCTGGTAAGTTGGTTTCCATAGAGTCAGGAACATCAGAAGCCGGTAGTCGTGGGCTATTACTACTTTCACTAGGTGACCCAACTTCAAAGTCTCTGTTTTCTAGTGCAGAATCTACTATAAACAATAATTAAAATCACACTATTCATAGGTAATATATTTTATCCTTTAAACTTCAAGGGCGATTTGTGGTTCGGGGAGCAGGGATTGCTTGAGGGCTGCTCACCATGTCTCTCAGCTTTAGCTGCGTGCCTTTGTTTCTGTTTCTCAAAAGTTGGGACAAAGTATCTAGAAGATCTCCTCCTGACATTTTCTTCGGAGAGATTGATGCCATTTCGTTTTACTCTCGTGGTTTTTCCCATGGCATCTCGTTGCTCGAATTGTTGGTTTAGAAACTCGTGATCTTTGGCATTGAAGTTCTTCCTCGCCTTCCAAACCACAAGCAATTGGTTGTTATATTGCGCTTTCCTAAATTCGAACGTTCAGCATTAGTCGAAGTGCAGCCTAGACCCCATAGGTTAAAAAAAAGTACTAATACGCACGTTGCAAAGAATCCTTTTTCTTCTTGCATTATTTTTACTATCTGGTCTACTGTATGGTTCGCTCGAAGCCGAAGTATATAGTCCTTATGCTGCTCCCACACGTCGGCGCTGACTCTTGGAGCATAGTCGGTTGGGGAGTCGTGTGGCATTTTGAAGGAGGTGTTGATCCAATGCAGACTGTCCCGGAATATTAATATCACATCAACTGGCGATACCAGTCCAGCTTCATTTAAGGAAAACCAAAGTGATGAAAATTGGGATGTTATAGAGCCCCGGGCACTTAATCACGTAATAGAAGGGAATATAATAGTGACAAAGCTAAGTTTGCAGAAAAAAAAATGGTAACGGTGCGCGTCGACGTCGTATAAATAAGTCTACCAAGCCGAATTCAAGCCCATTAATACCGCACGCTATCATGCCTGTTATCCTGTTCTAAAAAAAAATATAGGTATCACTAAAACAATTGCGTACAAAACGGAATGGCATTGACCAATTACACGAACCTAATATTCCCCGCCTAGCATGTGCTCTCGGTGCGTCCTTTGCACGCAGACTAAAAGGACGGGCCAGGCCAATGATACCGTTCGAGGGTAGACGTTTCGGCCCGGTATGGCAATTGGACCGTTGGATCCTGCTTCGCGTTGGGTTGACCCGATTTAGGGTGGGCCAGGCACAAACTGCTTCTCCGCTCCTAGGCCAGGCCAGGCGCATACACGGCACAAGGCTCTATCGACACCCCCAATTTTCAGTGGCAGATTCCAATTTTACGGGGGGTATCAAGTGGAAAGGCAGCTGAAATTAACATAAGCGATCTTCCGGCTTCGTTGGCCATACGCACGCATGCACCACCTTTCTTGCATGGAATCGGAGGTTGTTGTATTTTGACTAGTGTGATAATGCACTGCATCTTAACATGTAAGTACAATCAATTGTGACTAGACTAGAGTCGACCTATTCCACTAGAAGGCTCAAAGTGTGCCCCTGCCATGGCATGCCAATTTCAGGAGAACGTCAACGAGGTGTTTGGGCTGTCAAGCTGAGATTCCTTGATTGAAAAACGCCTTTCGCTTGTGAAGTTGCAGGTTTGATTCGTAGACCTGACCGAAACCAAAAATATGTTTGTGAAAGTCACACCAGAGATTTGCATATTCGAGACGTTGGAAATTAGACCGCTAGCTTGAGCGGTATACATTTTCGAGCTCGAGAAACAACAGGATATACGATCATATAGTGTACATACATGCACACACGGCACATAATTCAATAGGATCTGGTCGTTCATAGGATCCTATATCTTCCCCGCTTCAAGGCAATATTATGCGGGCACTTTATCACAGGCACTGAATGAGTCGCAAATCATAATTCACGCACCATCACTATCGAATATATTGCCTCGTATGTCAGAATTAGAACTATCAGGTTGCAGTTAGAGTCAGCAATTAGGACGAACCAAGACTCTTCGCAGTAATTTTGATTGATTATGAAATAATTGACTGGTCGACGTCGAAAGGTTACATGCGGAATCTAGTCTTCAAAACATCAGTAAGCGAGCGAAATGTCTATGCATGACAGTTTAAAGGTTTGCGTAATCCATGGCCACATGGGCTCCACTTTTTGGGAAGCATTATCAGAAACAGGCCGTTTGCTCCCCCACTTATAAAGCTCGCCGACCCACGGTCGCCTGAAGGCGTTACTCACGCAGGTTCTCTATATATATCTCCCTCGCTATCCTGGCGTGGATAGGTAAAAATTCCAAACCTAACTTTTATTCTGATCTCTTCCTATAGATGCCCCGACACTAGATATCTTTCATGCATTCCCTTCTCACAAAAACGAGAAATGCAAATTAAAGGGGTCATTCTACACCTTTTAGGTCGCATTTTGAATCAAAATGATGATCTTTGCCTTCATAAATTACTTTTTATTCTTTAAATCTACAAAACAACCCTATTTAATGTTTCACAGTCGCGCGAGTGACTAATTTGAGGTTTGCCAAAAAATTTACAGGGTTTCAGAATCGCGAGCTATATTGAATTGAATGGCTGTATCAATCGAGCCTAATCGCTTTCCATGCTATTAAATTATCATGTAATTTACTAGGAAGATTATAATAATGCATATATGGGAGTGTATACCTTTAGCCTCGAGATCAAGCGTAGAGAGAAGCCTCGAGGGCTAACATACTTGTACTTGTTATCGATTGCATGCAGGTCTGCGGGGCATACATGTATGAGGGTTTTGCTGAACTAATCTATGCTATCTAGTTTTATAATCACAATCTTAGTAGAATAGTATTATACCCAGGCCTAGTCATATGCATATGTCATGACATTAAACGACATAAACGAACGAATAAGGTTTGACTTCGATGATACCCATGCACGCCTGAAATTTAATGGCCTTTCATCAATTGATCAAACACATTGTGCAACTAAATTGCATTGTTGCGTATACCTAGGTACTTGCTATAACCAATTGATCTCGTGATCGTATTATAAACTAATCAAGTTACAAAAAGTGATTTACTACACACAAAGACTACATCCAAGATGTTGATCGAGATCGCTAACTATAGTTACTAGCTATGTATCGAACTTTACCATATATATCAATAGCCTATAGGCTCGCAGCGATATTCGTTTAATTACCTTTGGGATCGAACTTCAGGTAAATTATATATATCGGGTTATAAAATTTAAGTTCTCAAGTAAAATATTTTCCCAATATGTATAAACATATTTCAGACGCGAAATTTCATTATCAAAATGGAGAACCACTGTGAAGCATATTGATATATTAATATAATATACTCTAGTCGATCGACGTTGGTTCCAGGCTTTATTCAATGGTAACGAGCTGGTTGCCTGGTATACGTCTAACCTATGGAAAGCTTGAGCCCTAGTCATCACTGTGCAGCTATGGACTCAACTACCGGACTTCAAAATATCTAGCAACCTCTAGCTTCCGGTCCATCCTAGAACTCATCTCATCAGTAACTTCACCATCTAAGACCTCATACCATTCTACCCTTCAAGAACCCCTCTCAATCTAATAAATCATTCAAAAATGTCTACCTCTCCAAGACCAGAAAAGGGCGGTACCGTCCAAACCCCCACCGACTCCAACTCCGGCATCAGCGCCGGGATTCCTCAAGGAGGTGGTTTCGAGAAACACTCAAAGGCTACTGAGACCGAAGCCACAGAAGCCGAAAAGGCACGCGAGACTTCTCAAAAGCTCGTCGTCAAAAAACTCGGTGCCATTCAAAAACTCGCCGAACTGTCTTTGGAGGCCGAAGCTCCCGGTACGAAAAAGGCTCGTAAGGCGACAACTCGGTACATTAGTACAGCTTTGGATATTTACGATGTCCTGGGTCCTGAGTTTGAAGCTGTTATCACGTTGAAGGTTATCAGAGGGATTGAAAGTAAGTCTCTAAAGGAGACTGTTGCTACTATGATGTGGGATAAGGATTGGAAGCTCCATAATGTTGCTAATATTTTGAGGGCTAGTGCTGAGTAGGTCACCTTCATCTATTCATGAAATATGATTCATTTTGTTACCCTTTAGGTGGTGGTAGAGGCCAACCATCGATTGTTACGAGACTAGTAAAGTGGTGTGGGAGAATTGAGCCTTGCTTCACTGATATTGGAGGACAAATAAGGTCTAATATAATATGACCGATTGGAGGATTTCCTAAAGTCTGAGCAAAGGGTTTTTACAGACCCAATCATTCTTCTTATTACGGAGGACTTTACCCGTACAAACAGCTTTCTCATATCTTATGAAAAGGAATACTGTAATTTCCTCCCTAGGCATGTAATGGGTATAATTAATTACATACCAGTCTGAATGATTTAACGATCTTAACGATATAGTTCCCAGCTCCATGAGACTTCAAAATCATGATGTGCAGTATCTAGACGACAATATCATGATCGACATGTGCGAAAGACAGTCAAATTTGGCAGGCGATACACTGGCTTAGAAACTGAAGGAGATCTGGGTTATCTTTATGATCTTATTCCCCTTTCCTCGACAGTTTGAACATTATCCACTACATAAAATCAACATCACCAACTTCCCAATCCGAATATCGATATCAGTTATATTCCAGATTACCAAAGAACTAACGCAAGAAACCTTTAGATTTACCAGAACCCAACTAATTAAACCCTTAAATATACCCAAATTAACATCATGTCGCTACGAGATGCCGACAAAAAGCTCACAGCTATCTACAAACTCACCAGACTCGAATATCATCCCAAATCCGCAGGATCCCGAGCTAGTCGTCGTACAAGTAGGATGATGAGATACCTACAAGAAGCAGAGGAAATTCTCGACGTCCTTGGTCCTGATTATGATGAAGCCGTGGCTTTGGCGGTCGTGCGAGGAATTGATCGAGAAGAACTCAAGGAGACTGTCGCAGCTATGATGTGGAATCAGGAATGGAATTTGGATACGGTTTCTAGGATTTTGAGGGCAGCTGTTAAGTATGTGTCTTTACACTTAGTTATATATTTTGCAGTCTGATCACAGGCATCTGTTAACTAGAGTCTAGGAAAGAGGCTTGGGATTTCGACAGGTATGATAGATTGGCTATCACGAAATAGAGATCTACTCGGAAGAAAAGCTCGAGGTATTAGAGTTAAAAAAAAAGAAAAAAGAGAAAAAGAAGGCGTAGAGAATGTTCAGAGCCAACAATTTTTTTAAAAAAAAAAATCTTGAAAGATTGCCCAAAGTTTTCCGATGATATTCTGGAAATTCTTGTGATCTTTTCTTTGAGGTTAATATTCATGGATCGGGAAGGATGCATTACCGACGGCTTGTTATTCAAACCCGACGGGCCCGCAGCGAATAGATCTGAGTCAGCATGCGATATAATTAATTTGGGCTTCTGGGCTTCTCTTTCCTCTTCGTATTCCCGTATTTTTGACATGGGCGAATCATAGAACTAAACAACTGCTATGTTATTTTCATTTCCTTCCAAATCCTCACTAAAGGTACAGACTATGAGCCGTTAAGTTAGCGTTAACTAGAGCTAAATTCAAGTAATCAAGTGCTATCGCGACCGAGTGGACTGCGGCAGCTATTAGATTAGTAACGTTATACAGAACGTTTCAGACAACGGATTTGAATTCAAATCCTGGGACATGTTAATGTTGGATCCAATTCTCAAGGATCATGGGTCTCCTTGTGCCTGCCTTTGAGCCCCGCGACCGTTTGTAATCCTCAAACCAGGGCAAGGATTTGGCGAAGCCCAGCCGAACAAACTCCTCCAATGGATACCAATATTAACATTTGCTATACATACGGCATCAGCGAAATTCGAACCGTTGACGATCCTACCGTTTTAATGTCGCTATTGTTTTTTTTTCTATCTTGAAATTACCAATTCAACGTGGCAGGGCGTATTTCTTAACCCTTGCTACCGGGGGAGTTTTCCTCCTTGAGATAATATTGCATCAGCGATTGTTGGACAACAGATCCACGCCCTTTGCACAAGCTACAAAGCTCGTGAACTCGTAAGGCGCAGGCCTTGCGTCGGTTACACATTCCACAGCAGAATACAATCCCTATTGTCATCAACCTCCTGGCCACTTAACTCAAACCCTTTTCCCAGAATTGACCAATTGCACAAAAAAGGATATAACAATCTCATACCCCAGCTTAGGCCCAGGAGGTCTAGCAGTATGAATAATATAATATCCCCCCCATGATTCATCAGAAAGAGAGGTGCTGTAGTGGAATGATATTCACTAAGCCTTCGAGGCTTGTGGGTATCATGTGTTGGGCCATGGGGTTTTCAGCTGGGACTGGTTAACCAAAAAATCTTGTAATTGTAATTTCAATTCTTTCTTCATGAAGCCTCCCAACATAACACCAGTTGGGTTGGTAACTAGTCACTAATCTGTCAAAGTTTCATGGTCAAATCTCCGCTCTAGACCGTTTTATATGCAAAAAAAAGTGCAACAGGGCTCGTATTACTACACGCCTGCCTGGCATGTCCGGGCGCCACGGTCTCCACGTAGTTTTTCGGGCACAGTAATTATTCTATACGCGTAAAGATGGGCGAGCTTCACCAGGCGCAGGAATGATTGTTGCGTAGGCTGGGCGTCCGCAGTTTCGTTGTTGACTCTGTTTCCGTTGAACTTCATTTCCGACGGTGGCGGCTAAGCTAGCCACGTCAAAAGGAGCACAGAGTCTCGGGAGGTGAGGGATCCGAGGGTAGGCAGTGCGGCAAGGTGGTCGATACTCAATGGTGAAAGGGCCAAAGGGAGTTAAGAGGGTGAATTTCACACTCTAAACTCCTTGACGACACCGCCACAGCCGCCACACCTTGAATCCCTTCATCGTCTTGAAAAAACTTTTTTTTGTGATAGTTGGCCGGGTCTGGCCTGACTACTTGGTCAAACAAACTGGAAACGAGACGGAGATATGGAAGTTTCCTCTATGACGTAGGATCGCGAGGCTTATGGTACTTCCTTAGATTTGCTTCAGTTCGCGGTAAAGGCACTGGAAAAACATATGTTATTTCCCTCGGAAAACGCCGTATTGCTTCGGAATTGAACTTGGTGCCAACTGAAGCAAGCAAGCGGTTTTGCACGTAGAGTCCATAGTCTGGAAAGACAATCGCCGCCGCCGACTGCCTACAAACACGTCTCGTGCCAGCGCGAGGTCATGTTCAGGTGTTAACCGCTCTAAGCAGCCAGGCACTTGGTATGTAGGCAGTCAGGCGCTGGCCCGCCGATAACCTTCAGCAGAAGATACTTTGGTGGCACGTTGCTGCGGACCAAACGAAAAAGAGAAGTCTCATGCTGACCGAAAGCTCAAAGGCTGGGAAAAACGGGAATGGTGGTTGGTGGGATCGCACGGGAAGCGACCGCGCTGTTCGACGGAATCGAATGGGGAGGCTGTGTGGCCGACTGCATCTGTTCAAAACAAGTAGTTTGATTTCTCGAGGGAATTAACGATTAGGCTTGAGGCCGCAGCAAGCGAAAATTCTTTTGTTCTGATTCAAATTGATCAGTTCAGTGATACCGAGCAATTGCTAGTGCTAGCAGGTACAGTGCCTAGTTAGCTTGCTTGCCTGGGAGTGGCCGCAGCAAAGGTGGCCATGGGTGGCCATGGGTGGTGATTGTGGTGGTGGCCGGGGTTGGTTTGTGGTTTGTAATGGGGAATTTGCCTTTGCATAGCCGCTGTGGGCGGACATCCACCTCGATGCTGTAATCGTATATATAATAAATCCATCCTCCCAGAACTCTTCTCCAGACATCATCAATCAATCAGTCAATCAATCAATCAATCAATTAGTACCACAATCACTATCACCAAATACTAAACTTCATAAACTTCAAAAACTTCAAAGAGTACTTACTCAAGTAGATACATCGCCATGGCTTCCAACACATCTGTCCAAGAGCCCTCCAGCCCAACATCCCCAACTTGTCTGGCCGGCAGCTTCAGATTATACGATCCCGCCACATCGAAACCTTCCTCGAAGCCATCTTCCAAGCGCTCTTCTCGCTCAAACCTCTCTATCGATCTCTCCTCCATCCCTCCTCTTATGACTCCTTCTCCTCCTACAAACACCCTCCTTATCACAAACCTTAAAGACGCCGATATCTTCCGTGCGGACCATCTCCAGGGTCTTCGAGACGTTATCGCCTCCTCAGCTACTCTCGCTTCATGGGCTCCTCTAAAGTCCTTCGCCCGTATCGTCTGCTCATTCTACTCTGAAGAAGATGCTATCAAAGTTCGTGGCGAGCTAGACGGCGAATCCCTAATGGGACACCGAATGAGAATATATTTTGGGACCCACACACCCGTTACACCCCCAACAGACCAACATCTCCAGGCTCCGGAATCGCAAAAGTTGTTCTTTATCTCCCCACCTCCAAGTCCTCCAGTTGGCTGGGAATCCCGAAACGAAGAACCACCAAATACCTTGGTTATGCCAGAGGATCTAGCTTCCGCACTATCGAAACTCAGCTGGAATACTGCAGCTCAGGGTACTGCTTCACCAGTTGACGGACAAGAGGGGTCTTCCGCTACAGGGCCAGCTATTCGTCGACAGAGGTCCGGTAGCTCCACTGTCCTGTTCGAACCTAGCAATAAGGATGGGATGACAGTTCCCGGAGTTACTGTTGACGACTTCTCTGACGACGAAGGAGCTGCCAGCCCTGCGGAGAACCCTTCGATTGGAATCACACATACATCCAGACCACCAATTGAAACCATTCATGACGCTTAAATATGGAAATATTTCGCATTGATATCATTTCTAGTATCTTTGTTTTTATGTTTACCGGCGTTCACAAGATAGATTTTCTTACTATTCTTAGGAGTCAAAATGGGGGCCCTATTTGGTTGATTTTACTTTACTAGCATGTCTTTTTTTTTTTGCACACTGCTATTGAAGCTCTATATTATTCGGCTGGAGTAATGGGCTACAGCGGTGACGAATATTATTTCCTAGATCGCTCTAGTGTTTTGTTTAACACTCTGTTTCTTTGCTTGGCAATAATCATTCTTCAAGCCGATTCGGTTGGCTGAGACTTTTCGATGCTAGCTACCGATGATTTGTATCGAATCTTTTTTTTTCATTCATTTTTTTTTCTTCACTGATTCGAAATAAAAAGCTGTACGATATCCTTGATTGTATATACAATTATTATATGAGAAGTTGAGATCTATCAACTATCAAATGCTTCAATCTCTAAAAATCTTTTGCACAGAATCAGACATAATTTACAGCTCCTGACAAAAAAAAGTCGATACCTAGCTAGAGCTCGCAGTGTTTCCCTGCAGCTCCAAATCCTGGGGTCGTCAATCATGTGGAAGAAAGAGAAAGAAAAAAACTTTCACTCTTTCTGCCTAGCTCCGAAAGGTGTTCACTACAGCGCAGGAGACAATCTGTCCAAGCCGATACCAAGAGGGCATAGACCTGCCTACTTTGGTATCTCGTCTTCTTGTGGATTAGGTTCTTTGTAGAGGGAATTTTCGCTTTAGGTAGATTACTTCTTATTCTTCGATTCGACAGAGGCTGTGTATTTTATGCTCGCTTTGATTTACTTGCTGTAAATGTAGGTTCCCGTGGGCTGGCTGGTCTAGGCGTGGGGTTAAATGTTTGCACTTGCAGGCGCAGGTCTGCGGTGGAGCTTGTGAAACGAAACTTAACTTAACGGATGGAGAATGAAGATCGCGGGTACGATGTTTGAGGGAATTTGGAAATGGATTCTTCTTTCGTTATGTTAGTACACCTTTGCATTACTTTGTAACATTAGCCAATTGGAAATGGTAATATATCAATACAGCCTGGCGGAGCTGTCGGTATGTTTTGTACTTACGGCCGAAGGCAGGTCTGATGCCAGATGCAGATCAACTGGTCAAAGGCTTTCCAAATCAACGCATTTAAATGCAAAATACAACAGACTCACGGCAGCTTGTATACTAGTTTAGCCTGGTCTCGAGATTATCTATTGATTGTTATATCAATTAGCTAATCACATTATGAAGAAGACTAGCCGTGTTTTGAGTTATGTTTGGCCCCTATCAGATCATTTATAAGATGCAGAATTGAAGGAAAATAGAGTAAATTGATGGTTTGTTCTGGCCTCATATTAGTTTGTCCAAACATCTGCTCGGCTGGCTGCAGTTTCCATAGGCCTGGCTGGCTGTGCTTCTAAGCCTTACTACTCTTCTCCTTCTTTGACCTGTTTCTTTAACCTGTCCCCCCACCCCACTACTACCTTTCGTTTTCACCTTTCCTCTGTCGTCAGTTCATAGAGCCCATGCCTAAATAACTCCCTTTAGGACGGGACAATCTACAACCGATGCATTAAACCATAGCCACCTATGATTAGTGCTCTTTTTAGCTGCTTTCATGGCAGCAGGCATATACACTGGGAGAAACAGGGCTCTTGATTAGGTCATTAGGTTTTACACCTTTTCTATACTGTGGGTGCTTCGCGAACTCGATATAGCATTCTACGGTGCCCCGCTCAATATCAATGCCTAATCCCCTGACAAATTTAGGTGGATATATTGATTCCTATGAATATTTTATAGACGTACCGTAAAACGAGGATATGGTGCTTCTACCAGCTGTCTGGCTGGCTTCCTAACTCCACAAGTCGGGTTAGTACATATTATCAATAGAGTCTTAGATATTGCCCAGTAAAGGGGGCTAGGGGATAAACTCTTAGGAGCGCCTGGGCGGTTTAGGACACCTGGAACTAGAATCAAGGCTAGAATCGGGATCAAAATCTAGGCCTGGCTAACAGGTAGCAGGAGCACTCCCTGCCACCAATAATGTACCTCAGTTTCACACCCACCACCCATAAACTTGAAAGCTATTCAATAGCATGGTAAAATTATCCCATAAACCACGCCTATGTACCTGGGATTCGGATCCTTGAAAAACAAGCCCAAATTCTCTCTTAATGTGTCGGGGAGTTGCTACCTCCTGAGAGAAGAAACAGTAGAAGTATGAAGGGGAAGAGAGGCCAAAAACGGTGCCCAATGATATTGAAGAAATACTTATTTGGTAATAGGAAACCTCTAGCTCGGGCTTGGGGAGAATATGGGGTCTGATAATGAGGGAACCCGGCCAATGTTAAAAACTCCACCGAGTCGAGGACAAAGAATATTATGACTTTCGATAAAGATATCGCTTTAACTATGCACCGAGAGTCCAGTCTAGCTCTACTCCAAAGATCTCGGTTCATTGACTTATCTAGCGAGTAATATACTGAATATAGCCCGGTTGTATCTGGATCCTTCGATAGCTCAACTAAAGCTTCGAGCGTTGTAATTTGTAAATTTGTGTGTTGCACATTTAAATGAATATTGAATCAGTATTGTGTCTGGGTACGAGACTAAGTATATCTATTCAAGTACTGTTAAAAGTGGGCCCTCTAATTGCATGTGACACTCCTATACGTATAGTAGTCTTGAAGTCAGTGTGAATATACCGATAGTTTCTCGCATCGTCCGTATGAAATTAATTTCATGTTGTTTCGATAAGAGAAGCTCGACGTGCTGACTAAGCCAAGCTTGCCGCATGGTTGAAGCGTTGTGTGACGACGGACCTCCAAAGTTTGCGAATCAGAAATTTTATAGACGGTAACCAGCGACCTCACAAAGTTCCCAATATATTTTGTTCACGCAGAATACTTCAGGCAAGGACACATGCCTCATCGCTCTCCCATCGCTGACTCCGACCTCTAGCGTGGTTGAAATCCACATCCCAGATAGCCCCCTGTTTTTTTCCTTCTCTTTACCAGCTTCTGGAGAAGTAGAAAAGCGCGAAAACTGGTCAGGCAAAATCTAATTCCTTTTCTCGTTGCAAAGTCGGGATCCAAGAGAAAAAGTCGCCCGAATGCAAGTTGCAACCAAACGAGCGCTGAATACGGTGCTACGGAACTCAAGGACTTCAACAAGCTTACTTCGTCGCTCTGCCACTTCTCGAGTACCCAATAGTTCAGCATACGTTTGTTATCGATGCAGTTATCTACATTTATCTGCTAGGCTGCGGACACAGGTGCCTTCGGCTGGTTCGGAAACCGCTGCGACAGCTGAGTCCAGAACACCTTCGTCATCAAAGGACGTTGAAGCAGCTTCGCAAGCAGCTTCATCGCCGTCGCGGGGGAACGAGGATTCTACGGCTGCAGACGACACAAGATCCGTATCCGATGCAGAAGTTTCAATCCCTTCTGAGGTCTTATCAGCTATACGGCCGACAACTACGGGTGGCGAACCATCAGACCCTGAACAACCCGATAAGCGACCTTCGACACGAACGTCAGCCGCGAAGTTAAAGTCCACGAGGAAATCTACACGCCCGAAGGAGGAACCGTTACCGAAAATCGACTTGCCGGAATGGTTCCTGGAACGTGCTGTTTTCCTACCCGAGGAATTGGCGGCTAGGGAGTCAAGGCTTGATGTGTCTGATCGGTATGGAAGCGAGGTGCCGTTAGACGAAGAAAGGGGTAGTGCTAGTGAAGATGGAAAGAGTAGTGGGGATAGCGTAGAGGGATCCGGTGGTGGACCGAGCAAAGAGACGGATGTGGAGATTGAGCTTTTGGAAGCAGGACGAAAAGCTGAAGCAGCTGCAAGTCGTGAAGCTCCCCTACTGACGGAAGAGGGAACCGCAGAGGCCGACAAAATACTCGACGATGCAGATACTAAAGCAGAGTCTCCCGAGAAACCAGATCCTGAATCGCCATCCTCATCGTCTACCCCGCTATCCGACCCCGCTTCAGACCCAACAACTACCCCTCCCAACGCTAGTTCCGATCCTACCAAATCTGACATTGCTTTCTTTACACCATCTCTTATCCTTGACACGAAATACGGTCTTTCACCCGCCGTGTGGTCCGAAATATGGTCAATTGCTAAAGCTACACTTACTCTTCCAAAGCCGGCCTTCAACCAAGCAAAAGTTGCTAGAACGGTCGATTGCATCTTGTTATTTCCCCAAACACCTGAGACGAATGGTACATACTTTCTGGACGCCGTATCAGAGGATTTGGCACAGCAGTTGGGGGCTACATTGATACGGATTGATGCGGAAGATGTCGCCGAGATTGCTGGGGATTATGTTGAGACTTCAGCTACTGGGAAAGCTCCTATCACAGGTAATCTTCGACTGTGCTACGATTATATCATATAAGGCTAAAAAAAGATACTGACTACTCTAATTCCTAGTGCCTACACCCCTACCATCCGCTGAACTTCGTACGCTTGGTTATGATGCTCAGTTCATTCACCCCAATAATCGTCCACGAACCGAAGAAGAGGAGGTGGAGGAGGAGGAGGTTGAGGAAGCAGAAGAAGCCGAAGTAGTCGAAACTGATGAAAACGCCCCCGCAGACTTTGAGGACTCCCCTCGGCCGTTCAGGGCTGAGGCCCCAAATTTCATGGGTATCCCGATATCATTTATCCGCAAGTTCACATTACCCGGTGGAGTTATTAGCCTTGCCGCTGGTATTGGTGGTAAGGAACCAGATGAAGGGTTATCTGCATCATCTTTTGGGTTCCCAATTGGGTCGCCTCCAGGTGGTGCAGCGGTGGATGTTCACCCGAGGCTACAGGCAGTATTGGAGTTAATGCTCGACTCGGGAATCAAGAAACGGGAAGTGATAGAGAAGATTCCGAAAGGTTCTGCTACATTGGATTCAGAGACTCAAACACCGCAGCCAAATCGGACGATCGTGCAGGTTAGAGATTTTAAGGAATTGCAGTCGGTTCCCGAAGGGAGGACCTTCCTCAACATCCTACGAAAACTAGTTTATGAACGACGTCTGGAAGGCCGGGAGATTATGATTTTGGGTAACAGCGCGACTGTCAGCCACGGATTGGACTTGAACTCTTCGTATTTGACGGTACTACAGGGTTCTTCGAACGCTGCTGCTTCGATTGGGATACTAGAGCGCACAATCGTGGTTCCTCCGCAACCATGGGACGCCACACGAGATATGTTGGAACGAGATCGAAAGGCGCGAATACGTGAGATTAATATGCGACATCTTAAAGCTATGATTACGCGTAGGAGTGGAGACGATGGACATGCTGTGACGTTAGAGGTTCCGAAGGATTGGCATTTTGAGAATCTACCTAAGGTGGAAAATATCAGCGATTGGATATGGGATTTGGATGCCGTACATCGGTTAACCCTCACGATTCTGGGGAGCGTGCCGGGGCCTGGGGAGAAGGAGGTTGGGCCGAGGGTTATTGGACCCGGAGATGTGGCTAGCGCAATTCAGACCATTAAGAGGAGCGATAAGGCGAAGGTTGCATGGTCGACTGCTGAGGCAAAGTACGCCGAGGAGAGGGAAGCGGCCGAAGAAGAAGAGCCGTCGCCCGAAGAAGAAAGGGCGGCGAAACTTAGAAAGCTGAAGGGGAAATGCAACAAGCATGAGAAGAGGTTATTGGGTGGTGTAATTGATCCAAGTGGTATTTCGACTGGGTTTGATCAAGTTCGCGCAGCAGTTGAGACGGTGGATGCGTTAAAGACGCTGACGAGTTTGAGTCTTCTACGGCCGGATGCTTTTTCGTATGGTGTCCTGGCACAGGATAAGATTCCAGGTGTGCTTCTGTATGGCCCACCCGGAACAGGGAAGACGTTGTTGGCAAAAGCAGTAGCAAAGGAGAGCGGGGCGACAGTTTTGGAAGTTAGCGGGAGTGAAGTCTACGACATGTATGTTGGTGAAGGCGAGAAGAACGTCAAGGTAACTATCTTTCCCTTCTTGAGAAGTACTAAGAGAAATATCGCTAACAAGTTCGGTATAGGCAATCTTCAGTTTAGCCAAGAAGTTGAGTCCATGCGTGGTATTTATCGATGAAGCAGACGCAATCTTCGGCGCTCGAACGGGGCATCATCAGCGGACCTCTCACCGGGAGCTTATAAATCAATTCCTGAAGGAGTGGGATGGGATGGCTAAGATGTCGGCATTCATCATGGTGGCGACAAATAGGCCATTCGACCTCGATGATGCAGTCTTAAGGGTAAGTTGAAATTTGTTTCTCGATACTTCCGAGCACCGTCTATTACGGTTCACTAATATATATTCTATAGCGTCTACCCCGTAGAGTCCTAATCGACTTGCCAACCGCGGAAGATCGTCTTGCAATCTTGAACATTCACTTGAACGGAGAGACCCTGGATGCCGACGTCGACTTGAAATCCATCTCGTCGGACGAACGGACTAATCTATACTCTGGTTCAGACCTGAAAAATGTCGCTGTGTCTGCCGCCCTTGCAGCAGTTAAAGAAGAAGATGTCATATTCAAAGAAACCGGTGCATATCCTGAGAAGCGAACACTCAAAGCTAAGCACTTTGAACAAGCGCTCGGTGAGATAAGTGCCAGTATCTCAGATGATATGGGAAGTTTGGGGATGATCAGAAAGTTTGATGAGAAATACGGAGATAGGAAGGGCAGGAAGAAGAAGATTAATAAATGGGGTTTTGGAGGAGTTGTTGGGGAGGAAAGTGTGAAGGAGAAGGGAACTGGGAGGGTAAGGAATTAGGCGGCTAACTGTATTAGACGGTATAGACAGTATAGATATTGATATCGCGGCTCTGGGGGATGCTATCTTTTTCTTTGGGATAGCAGACTTTCTCTTTTCATTCCTTTTTTATTTCCCCCTTCCCCTTTCTTCTATAGTTTCATTTATAATTGTATATATGTAAACTTGGGGCGATGACAAGCCGTGTATATGGTCATGTACTATTTAATTTTTTCTTTGTTTCTTACTCTGCTTCCTTTCCTTTTTTGAAGATTGTATTATTAGATATATTTGCTATTGCGGGCGACTAGACTATGGCATTTGAGAGTGGTGAGGTTGCACGCTGAATATCATATTTTATATATATAAGCCGCTCTAGCCGAGAATAATTACTAGCTTACAAGCTTACAGAATAAATACTTACTTGGTGCTGAAGCTTAAGCAGAGAGAACTCATATTATAGTCTCATATTGACTCACATGGACCGTAGACTTGAGGCCAGAGTCGACGCCGCCAGGGCTTGCAAAAGTACAAAATTGTCTTATTTTAATTATGCCTGACCACAAAATATAAAACTTAGGGTCTTGCAAAATTACACCAAGTTTGGTTGGGAATGGTTTTCATTGTTCGTTATAATTACCGGGTAAGTTTTAAATATTGTACTGGCTATCGGGGAACGTGGGCCGTACGTGGATGTGAAAGTTATATACGAAGACATTTTATAGGGTTAGTTGTACCTCTACACCTCTCCTTTATATGTATGGGTACGTTTGGACATATCACGCATACTCTCGATCTCGTTATACTTCAATCTTCGTTTCTAAAAAGATCTTATGCTAAAAGATTTTAAAAAAGGAAAGAAAGAAACGGCCAAATCATCTGTCGTTTAACTTCATATCTCCATCATCACTAGCCTTCACCCTGCCCACTACTTGATCATAATATATATTATTCACCTATTTAATCTTTAATGCTTCTTTTCACGATCCGCATAAGATCATGGAAGAGCTACTCTTCATGATCAAACAAACCGCATTGGCAATAAACGATATCGACCACATACACAAAGCATTCGTCCGGCCAATTGCACAACCAGAATTTCCACCTCTACCTAGCACAGCTGCGATTCGATTTGCAGTTGTTTGGCATGTCGAACGGATCTTTGAAGCAGTTGCAGTTGCTCCTATTCCTGTTCCTGCATGGCAAAGACGTCGTCGTCGTGAAGATCTGGATCGGGTGATAATAAGAGGTAAGTTTTATGCTTCGTCTCGAGTATTACTACCAGCATACCATTGGGGATTAAAATTTAACTTAACTAACCCCCGGTATCTTAACCGTTTGATGCATAACTTACATATGGCAAGAAATGCAGATATATTACCAATAATCCTCACCATAACCACACATCAAATAATACTAGTAACAACATTTGCAAGCTTCACAAGCAATAAATTCGATCCGGAAACGCTTTTGATTATCAAGTCGTGTTTGCTGAGTTCTCCTTTCGTATGGTATATTGCTAAGATATGTGGTTCGGATCTGGGGTTTTTGGGACAGATTGTGGATGGTAGTTGGAAGGGGTTTTTGGTGGTGATTGTGCCGTTGGTTGGTTGGCATTTTTGGTATTATGGGGAGAAGTCGAGGGTTTGGGGGTTTACTGCGGTTGGTTATGATGGGGAGTTCTGGCCGACTGGGCCTTAGGAGAGGCTTGATTGTATATCTATACTAGACTTAAGGAAGTATAATTTGGGTACCTATTAGATTATAATGTATAATATCACAGGAAGGTTATAAATGTACAGCATCTAACTTGAGTACTGGTATTCTACTGCAATAGAAACCGTATACCAACTTGCTATATCTCGATCAATCTTAGAGCTTAAATTTTGGGGGCCGCACTGTATATATAGCACGGTAAAGTTATAATGTGAAGCTACACAAGTAGGTACTAAGCATCTACTAAGCCAGTATAGATAAGTATATTATAACTAACTCGTCCAGACCCCTCATGGGCCCCCCGATTCTTATATTAACTTTAGTCAAGTATAGTAATGTTAGTCAAGATTGACGGTAAATCTACAGTGGAATAGATACATATACTTAGGTACCTAGATACTGGATACTTTCAGACACAACTATCATGTCATTCAAACATATAAATTTTATGTATGATATACCATCTTCAGTCATAGATATCGCAGCTATCACCTATAGAAGACCTCCACTCGCATCCTAGGCCTCATTATATATATAACTTACAACAAGGTTGTCTGTTGACATTCGACTCTATACAATTGTACAAATTACAACATGGCAGTACTTGATTAAATTTAAATTAACTTTCTGACAATTCTCTAGTCACAGGAGATAGTGCGTATTTGGCTGTGTAACAGACATTAGGTAATGTCGTCGGTATTCCTAACGTCGTTGTACGTTGGGGTAGCTGGACTAAGTACCTGGGCCTAGATACTTGTTAGTACCGGATCCTGCCAGAAGGACTCAGCCTTGACACGTCAGTGGCGCCTAACACGTCGACCGATTCATTACATCACCGATTGATATTCCTATCGATACATTGTGTGTGCGTTATAAGGGCTTGGACGATCTTGAGTCAAGGACATAAATTGATACACTTCTGCTCTACCTCTACAGTCAACCAAAAAAAAAAAAAAAGCCAAACCGACGAACAGTCTACGAGACGGTACAAATCCAAATACTAGACCATCAAAAAACTGTTTCAAAAGATATCAGACTACACCAAAAGTCCAAGCTCTCAACCCAAAATGACCGCAGCTGCGGAGAAATATGCGCGAGCAGTCGCTGGAATTCTGGCTAGCAAGTTACCCGCAGAACTAGTATCCGAAATACTAGACTATGCCGAATGTTTTGGACACCAAATCATCGGGATCAATGAAAAACCAGATCGTGTCAGTACGGGATGGGGACTCAAATATGAAGAAATGGATAAGGAAGGGGGGGGATATTCGGATGTCAAAGTCTATTTGATCGCCCAGATCCCGGATTTCATGGCCTTACATAAGGATACAGCTGGGAGAGGTGGTTTGGGAGGTGGAAGACCTGGAAGGGTTAGGAAGATTGTGTTTAGATTGAGATGTAGGGATCAAGGATGGAGTAGTCATCCAGAAATCGAGATGACTTATCAATGGGGTAGAAGTCGGATTGATGTCGAGATTTGGAGGAAGCGTGAAACTGGGGCCGGTGGAGGAGATGATGGCGGAGAAGGGGCAGATGGGATGTATAAAGTGGGTGAGAGTTTGGTGCAGAGGAATAAAGTGGCTCTGGCAGATGTGTTGGAGTATGAGGTCTCCTGGAAGTGGGATCAAGACAAGCCCGAGGATGACGCCGATGATGTGGATTTAGTCGGGAGACATGAGAACAATGGACAGTTCGTGCGAGAGCTAAGAGGAGGCGACGAGATTAGAATTTTCATGAAGGCATTTTTCAGCGGATGGGAGTGTCGGATTGAAAGGTGTGAAGTCGAATGCTTTTGGGCCATTTAGATAATAATCTCTTTTGTTCGATGTTCCCTCTGACTCCAAGGCGTCCCGATATCTGTTAACGTTTCTTAACCTTGTTTCGGACGTTTCAATTGAGGGATAAACTTAGTTTAGCTATCCTTTCTCCAGAATGCATCTATAAAGTTTTCGCAGTTACCTAAGCAGTTAGTGGGAGATGTCATGAAAGCTTACGTAGGCAAAATCCTGGAGATATCCGATCTGACATGAGAAACGGTACCAAAGTTCAGTTCCGTCTCGTTGGGTGGTATTCGCATTTCGCTCGCTCGCTCGACCGAGTTTCGCGCTGCCAAATATAGGCCCGGCGGAGGACGGAAATGGGTCCATGCAGACTCGGATTCAAGCTTTTATGGGTAGCAGGTGGGGGACTAGTTGATGGACCAGGTTAGGGATGGTTATAAGGTGACATTCGTATGGGTCAGCCGCATGCGACGAACGGCGGGTAAACGTTTCTCTTGCCCTCTTCGCGTGCACACAATGCAATGCATCTTAATAGAGACCTTATAATTAATGAAGAGACTTAAGGAAGCCTTTTTCATGCCGAAGAAAGATGGTTGGAAGGATTTTCCAGCGATATTCTGCCAATTGGCAACGATAACTCGTTAACTCCGAGTATGAGGAAGATATGCAATCCATTGTCCCATATTATATATCAGAATGGATGCACACACTGACTCTGACGCCATCTGGGAATACCAAGCTTTTTGGATCATGGATTCGGGATCTCATTCTGGAACGAAGGGCTGCGAATGGAATTCCTTCCTTCGGCAAGGACGAGTTCTTGCTGGGGGGCACCTGCAGCCTGGTTGAAACCACACCAGACCGGGGGGCTGATGATTTTGGCGCATGCAGAGTAGCATTCAGGTCTTTGGCTTCGGCCGCCTTTACTTGCCTGATTGTGTACCGATTCTGTTATATATTAATTATCAGTATCCCGTGCTCCGGATTTCTTCCCCTTCCTTTTTGATTTTCTTTCTTTTGAAGTTTAAATCCTTCTTACATTTGTATTTGTATTTTTCTTTTGAGTCTCTCGTTTTTGAAGCGTTTGTGATATCGACGATAGCGGCTGTTTGGATGAAAAGTTGGTGTTTCAAGTCGAGATCAGAATAAGACATAACAGAACAGAACGGAAGAAAAGAGAGGATTCCGCAAACGGTGGCAATACAACGGGCTTCTTTAAGCACGAAAGAGCACTTTCTCTATTTCTAAATCGCATTACTTCAGCCTTCAACGGTCTCTAAGAACGAATTCAAATCTATCACCATCCTTCCGCCGATTGTAATCAATTATTCGACTTCTGGTACTATAGACCTCTCATAGCGACTAGTTGACCCGAGTGTAACAACCCCACGAGGGGGTCCCGACAAACAATGCATTTCTCACTCCCTCCCACCGTCTCAACGACATCATCATCTCCCCAGCTCTCCGAAAAATGGGCCCCAAAAGGCGCATCTCCGGCTTCCTCCCGGGCGGGATATTTTACCCATCTTCTCAAGCGCCGTAGAAGAGTTCTGTACCTTCTTATTATAGGGATCTTCTTCACACTCGCGTATCTCCGATGGAATGAAGATGGTTACACACCCCGCCGGGTGGCAGTAGCGAAAGGTGCTATACCGCCAGTGGTATTAATTGTGGCTCTGGATAAGAATTCATTATCGTCAGCGTACTCAAAAAGGATACTGGAAAACCGGAAGCGTTATGCTGAGAAGTGGGGATATGAGGTCTTCGCAGGGGATTTGGGAGATTATGAGGCTGGCAATGAATATCAATTCAAAGATGGAGCAGGGAAGCTTAGACATTATTCAAAGGTATTTATTCACTGCTGCTTTGCCATACTACTTAAGCAGGCATGTTCCAACTATAGCACGTGCTGACTATTTAATGATTCTTAGACTTTTAATAAACTACCAATAATCCGAGAAGCCATGAGTACATATCCTTACACGAAGACTTTCTGGTTTCTCTCGTCCGATTCTTTAATCATCAACATGGATCTGGATCTCGAGACACATATTCTTTCTAAGAAACGATTGGGTAACTTGATGTTACGCAACCATGCTGTTATCCCGCCCGAATCGATAATAAAGACGTTCAAACGCCAGAATCCCAATGATATCCAATTGATTATCACTCAGGATACAAAAAGCGTTAGGAGCGACAGCTTTATTATCAGACGACAAAAGGACGAGATGGGTTGGGGAAAGAAGAAGCATAAGGGTGGAAAGAAGGGAGCGACTATGTTTGGGTATTACTTGCTCGATTTATGGTTCGATCCATTGTATCGGTTTTATCACTTTAAAGAGGGCGAAACGAGTGCTTTGGTATGTTTATAGCTTCGACGACAGTTAATTGGAAGTTAGAGGCTGGACTAACAGTGTGGATAGGAACATCTGATTCAATGGCACCCGACGGTTCTAGCCAAATTGGCTATTATTCCGCAAAGAGTTATGCTTTCATACCCTGTCGCAGCTGGTGGAAACAGTCCCGCCAACAAGAAGAAAGGCGATAAGGATGCGAAACCAAAGAATGAGGGCGAAGAGATTAGAGCCAAATACGCCGGTACAGGGTTTGAATCTGGAGATTTTGTGGTTCATTTTGAGAAGTGTGGAGATGTGGACAAGAATAAGGCTTGCATGAAAGAATTTGAACGATATTGGAAGATGACAGAGAAGTATAAGAAACCGGAAAAGAAGGCCGGTAAGGCGAAGGGGAAGCCTGTGGCATGAGTTCACGTCTACGTTCACGTTCACCATTCTATCTAATACATACTCACCATACTACATTACTAATTGTGGTTTCGAAGCTGGTACATACTGTCTGGAGTCCTCCGTTTTTACTCTCTCACACTTTTTGCTTTTTCTCTGACTTAATTTGGCGGACTGTTCTATATTTTCTACATCTTAAGATACATCTTGTATCAAATATTTAATGCATATACGCTTTTATACATATCCATCTAATTTCTCATTGTCCGTGATGCTTGTGATTATCAGGAAGGCGCAGGGAAACTGTGGCGGCCTGAATTGTGGCTGAAACGGTCAGACGAGACTTCGAAATGCTCCAACATCATCCCCTTCTTTAGTTAGTTCCCACGCCGTACATGTGCGACTGCTGTCCAGATCCCAAATCATCTCCGCGTCCTCGTCCTACACCATCATTACATCCTCGTCCTCCAATGCGCTAACTCACGCGGCCTCCCGTCTTGCACAATCCTTCCATCCATTCCGTGGCTTCGACCCAAGGAAACCCCAAGAAACGAGAAAAGGAAAATTCTCCCGAAAAAGCCACGCCACAGGCTCAACGGCCGTTGAGAAACTCAAGTTCCCCAGGTTCCAATAAGGAAAAAAAAAACTCTCCCATAAAAACCGGCCTTGGGAAACCCTTGAACAAGGGACGGATACATCCCACCATAAATGCACCCCCGGATTAACCTTCCGCCCCTAACCAGGGCCATCATCGTCGTCGAACTCTGTCTGTCGCTCATCGCCGGCGCCCTCCGCTATAGTGCTTGGGTCTCCCGTGCCGCTGCAAACAACAATGCTGCGCCGCTAGGTTCCCCTCCACCGGAATTCCTGGCTTCGACACGCATTCAGTATCTCACTGTCGTTCCGGCGCTCAGCATAATATACCCGTGGACTCTTGTGACGGCATCGTTTGTGGAGGCGAATATCTTTACGCTGGTTATTACCCTTGCTACTTTCTTTTATGGAGGGAAGTACCTGGAGAGAGCGTGGGGAGGGAGTGAGTTTGCAAAGTTCTTGGGTGTCGTGTGTGTCGTTAGCAATGTGGTCGCGCTCGGGGTCTATGTGATTTGGTATGCAGTGACAGGAAGTATTGAGAGAAAGTAAGTTGGACGGATGGGATAATCAATCGGTTGTGAAGAAACGAATCCAATGCTAACGGGTCTGTAGCTTTACATCTATCTCTGGTGGCGTCGCCTTCCAAGCTGGATTCTTGGTAGCGTTCAAGCAATTGGTTCCGGAGCATACTGTTACACTCTTCAAAGGCATCATCAAGATGCGAGTCAAGGTAAACCATTTCTCCTATTGCAGTGTTTTTTAAGGCATACCTACTAACTATGAAGTGTAGCACTTCCCTGCCCTCTTCCTCCTCTTTACTTTCATCTCCGGTCTAATAATCGGCACCGACGTCGCTGCTATCCTCGCAATAAACGGCTTCTTCACCTCATGGGTCTACCTCCGCTTCTTCAAGAAACAATACGTCGACCTCTCAGCTTCCCAACCAACCTCCCTCCGCGGTGATGCCTCAGAAACATTTGCATTCGCGCATTTCTTCCCAGATAGGATGTATCCGGTCGTATCTCCCATCACAAACATGGTTTATGCGGCTTGCGTAGCAATGAGGCTTTGCACACCCTTCTCGGACGAAGATGTACAGGCAGGAAACAACAGGGTTGTGGCACAGAGCACTGCTGGCATGGGAGGTTTTGCAGGTATTCTGGGACCTCCAGGTGGAAGGTTATCGGCTGCGAGACAGGAGGCAGAAAGGAGGAGAGCATTAGCTTTGAAGGTTTTGGATCAGAGGTTACAAGCTGCTACTACCGTTGGAGGTAGGAGTGGAGGGGAAGTACTAGGAGGTACGAGCTTTACGCCGGAAGAAGGAGAAGGTGGTAGAAGTGCGGGACAGTCGTAATTATGATCATTGACGAGGGAAAAGTGGAGGAAGCATCTTCTATGGTGTTTTGAGTTTTTGTTCCGTCTTTTTTTCTTTCATATTCTATTAGTCTCGGGACTATTCTATTTGGGGAGCCTCTTTATACCCATTCACTACCACCTTTTCTTGACAATTGCATTTGCGGTTTAGCCTCTTTTTTTTAATTCTCTTTTCTTCTCTTGTACGATTTTATACCTTTTTTTTTATATGGAAACGGGTGGTGGTTAATAGTGTGGTGATGAAGCTAGGCTAATAAATGGGGCGGTGGAAAGACCTAGAGGGGTGGAAAGATCTAGACTATTACTATAGCTAGCTAGTAGAGAGTTGGGGATGACTTGATGAATGGAAAGAAGATATTATGAGATACTTCTACATGTTTCTTTGACCTCTATAAAAACCTTGCCAGGACGCCAGCAACTTACACCAACCTTCCTTCCTCTTTCTTTCCACAACCCACCTCTTCCTCCTCCTGCCAACTCCCCACCACCAACCTCCCCCTTCACGATCATCACTACAAGTATTTTATATAAACCCATCTCACCAGAATATTGTCTGTCGTCTCCGTTCATATATATTAAGCACCAAAGAAGCCTCTAAAAATGTTTCGGAAGATGACTGAGGCATGCCTTAACGCGTTTCCTGATTGCAAGGGTTCAAAAGCCTAGCTAGCAAAAGTGGACTTTTCATATAACCTTCAAAAGTGGGGAATCAGACGTAGCACATGTGTACCACCTCCTTAGCATAAGCTTGTGGACTGAAGTGCAAGAAAGGGGGCTGACGGGTTAAGTAAGTATTTCTACTTTTAAAATCTGTTTATAATATGGCAGTGTTACCATCAGATATAGATGTTTTTTGTTCTTTCGTTTGAGAAACATCTGCTCTTGCCTGCCTCTATGTCTTTTGGTCTCATTTGCCTGACAACTTTGAGGAGCTCGAACCAACTTGCTGACGCAACTTTTACTTAGCTTTCGGGCTAGATTTTACTCTTGCAGTCTATGTAGTAGCTATATACGCTTGCTATTGACAGAGAGCTCCGCGGAATCGATGAAAACCACTCCTGATCTAAGAGTATTCGCAAAGCAATACTATCGTGTTACACCTTCACCATCTAGATCTCACTCTAGAGCAAAAAGTCGCAAAGTTTATGGGAAAACTAGCCCATCCTTTTGGCTCGTTCCACCAAAAAAAATCAAAAATAAGCTCGGCCGAGTTGTTTAAAGGTACTTCCTGCTCTACCCATAATTAGTTACTTAATTCTAACATCTGTTTAGCCCATCATGCATAATACACCGCTCGCGTCGACAATATGAGATTACATAAATACCCATCTACTATTTGGGTAAATATCTCATCTGGGATTTGGGTATATATGGAAAGGCTGGGGAGGTGTTACTTCCTCGTGAATTCTTGGTATCGGGTTCTAACGCGATTAAATGGATTTATGGTCTTCGATATATGGAGTGCGTGATCCGGAATCCACCGCTCACGCCGATGTACAGACGAAGCTCATATCATATATGATATCACCTATACACTATTCTGTCACTCGGTGCGATGTGTGTATACTATCGATGTCACGATGTGAATATGATAGGCAAAAATCATTATACCTATATACCATAAAGGGGGAAAACGACAAAGCCGGCGATGATGATACACTAGCTTGCAAGCTCTTGAGATCCGTTGGCTCCACTTCGCTCGAGAGGTCGCTTGGGAGGATGACTCTCAAACGGGCTCGAGAAGATAACTTCGAAGAAGATCACTTATAACGACGGCTTTGAAGGAAAACTGAAACGTCGTCTACACATATACGAAGCATACCTATGTCCTGGCCAGCCTAGAAAATGTTTGTGTCTTGAGCGCGATGGGTTAATTGGTCCTTACCCCAAAAAAGGCAGGAGCACCACATTCCAAATACCATACGAGGCAGAAGTGCGGATGTGTGGCAAGTGTTCACGATACCCAACAAATGGACATCGAAAGAGTATGATAATATCCCAAGAATTTTCAAGATGAATCTTGCACCTCCATGTCCTTCCGCAGAGACCCGCATACTGGATGATCTTGGGTAAATCTTCCCTGACCTAGCTAAAAACACAAGTGAACTAAGGTCTGATATTTTAGTCTAGAAATAGAAGAAGAAGATAACATGTCTATTTTCGAATTCAAAATCCCATCACTGCGGCTCCATACGTCGCAATGCGATGCATCAACAACAACTACTAATGAAATCTACAATATAATACCTCCGGGATGGCTTCCATCATGGACCATGGATTTTGGCGTCCGGGATCTCGATGAAATATATATACTTCCATACCATGAGCTATTTAGCTCATTAGGCTAGGATATATATATACGAAGTATTGATTCACGGAGAAAGAAAAAACAGCAATGCAAAGAAATATCAGAGTTTAAATTAACGAACTCGCACTGAACTCATCAGGCCTCTATAATGAAATCGACAACTTAATCCTGGGATACTATTGGAATCTTCAAATTAAGAAGTTGGGATAGTCATAAAAACGCAATATCTGGAGGAAACTATCAGCCGATGCATCGATGAGCGTATGATCCGTGATGCAAAGCTTCTATTAATCGTGGTGGCTTCTGGACATTATACAAACTTCCATAGGGAGCAATCGTCAACTATATCTCTTTAAATCGACCACCACCATTGGAGCTCATCACACCAACATGCAACACCAATAGACTATGCACCCCCGGCGAAATGAACGAAAAGGGATTTGGCTAGATCAAATATTATACAAATATATACCAGAAGCCTCAAGTTACCACCCAGATGCATAAAGCTTATACTTCATTGCATGAGGGAAACAAAAAGAAAATGGCTATACATCATGCGCACCCCGAATTTCTCAGAAGAAGCCAACATTTATCTTCCCGCATACGAGCCAACAAGCTCGAAAATGTTGGATAATGTTGATGCTATAGCAGCGGTTTACAGGATGATGGGTTCTCACCATCCGTACTTCAATTCCAACATTCAGGGGGGCAATACTGTTATAAAGGATTGCTATAACACAGGGTTTACATGAATTGATAATATATTGAATATAAAATGAAATCACCGCTGAAATCCCTAGCATGAGATCTCAGAAGAAGTCAACGACAAAGCCGATGAGATCATGAGACGTCAGCCTCTCTCTTATGGTGCCGGAATATTTCTTTGTATATTTTCACTCTGAATTTATAAAACCAGTGCAGGCCGTACTCTATATGTGGACCATCGACAATCTAGCCATACAACAAAATGACAAAACTTATGTCCAGCAGAATCTTTACATACGTATAGTAGATTCGAATCTATATATTATATATACGGAAGCCACGCGAAGATGATATACTGTTTAATATAATAATATAATATGTACATCTATATCCGAGGTAGTCTTCTGTCGGGACGTTTTTGTACTATCTAAAACAGAGTAGGGTACTATTTAAGTCAGTACTTTATAAGTAAATCTTCCTCCGAGGGGGGGGCATACATGTGTCTATAAGCAACGCCATAAGGCTAAATTATATGCGGCCGGCCAGATTCAGATTCCGATACGACAACCATTCCCACTATTCAGATGTCTACCACTGACTAAGGCCATAACAGGAATTGGGTAGGTCCAAACCTTATGGTCGTGGCTTCTAATTAACTATCGACATAGTATTATATTACTAAAAATATATAAGAACATCACACACCTCTAAAATAATGTAATCACTTGGACGATATCGTCAATATGTACCAACTCTGACAAGAGCATTGTAGATGTATCAATTTACCAATCCTTAAATTGTCAAGAACTTCGTCAAAAAACGCCAATAGCCTAAAAAGACACAATTAAATCTCATAGGATACAATAACCTCTTATATATCTCTCTTATTTCGTCTCGAAGATGATGAAGTGATACAGAAACGAAGTACTAGCGATATATACTTCACGGCCTAAAATGAAACGACGAACTACTCTACGAACCGGTTCAAGATGGTATATAATGCATTGGTTTCTCCAAAGAATTCATCAATTTATAATTATAAGTAATTATAAATAATAGGCAACTGAGATTCAAACCCCTTTCGATGGATATCCGGATTAATAGCGCCTGTCAGGGCTTCGACTCCCAACTATCCTACAGGTCATAAGGTTTTACCTATGTAGCTATACGCTGCGATATCATATATCCAAGCATAGCGGTTACTCTCCTGGAAAATGATAGATCCCGTATAAGCTATCGATGCGGCACCTCAAAGATGCCAATATCACTATGTGAATGAGTTAGGTGCGTTTTCGTCGGCTGTAGCGCTGAGTCTCGAATGGGAAAAAAATGTTTTATCAGGTTATCAGGAACTATAGAACATTGAAATCGATAGAAATGCAAAGAAAACTAGCAGATGAAAATGTTCTAAGTAGGCCTTTCAGTTAAAATTAAAGATTTATGATTTATAATAGGAGAAGAAACTTCAATGAGGTGACCGGCTTTGCTGGGGGGCTATGGTGTATTGAGAAAAGTTCAGGCGCAAAACTACACGTTGATGATCGATATATGCCTGGGAATGGTACCACATTATATATGGTGATCAAGATGTATATATAAATCAAAGAGGTATATCAAGGTAATTAGTCCGGCCGAGATAACCCATTGCGGGATCGGTCCATCTGAAATGTCTACCCCTGGACGCTTGTACTTACATATATTTGCCAGCCCCATATATATTATAACCCGTCCCGTCATTTTGGACGTTTGGGGTTCATGTAAACGAACACGGATTTATAGCACATGATTCATTTCCTAGTATAACTTTGCTTCTGTCGAAATTCAGTGGATAAACTATGTATGAGTTCAATCTGATTTGGCTATAGCTATATATATAAAAGGGTCCATTAGAGGTGCCTAATGCTCGAAATAGAATTAAAGCGCTTAGATACTAGTTATTATCGATCCTGTCATCATTATAAAAAAGGCTGCTGTCGAAATTCAAAATCTAGACCATTCCGGGTTCTCTGAACATTTTGGGCAACTTGGGGGGCTACTTGCTCACAAAGCCAGTTGCCATAAATAGGAAGATACCGCCGAAAATAGAGTAATATTCTAGTTTCAGAGTCAATAGTATGAAGATAGTGGAAAAAGATATATAAATTAATCCTGCTTATATATGCCAATAAGGATTTCCACCGACAGTAAATGTTACAGGGCAATTTTCTTGCTACAGGAATACTTCATATTCTGTAACCATGAAAAGCATCTATATCCATTTACATAGACACATTATTCCCGTCTACGAATCGTAATTTTTTAAGATGAACTCCGGAACTATCGGAAACGATACCATTCGGTCATTTTGTAGACTCATATCACGGATAGTTCAAAAATAACCCAAGTATCGATATATGTACCGATTCAATTCCATATCATTTTCCAACTACCCGGTTTGTAGAATTGAGATCTTTTTACCGATATCTTTCTTTCTGTCCCGGGAAAATCTTTTGCTTCTAAGGTAAGTTAGGTTTATTGATCTTGTATCCGAACCCAGGTTGTTTTTTTTTAAAAAAGGTGTTTTCCATGACTGGCATACAAAGTACACAATGCAATGGATAATGTCCCCGACCTGGTTCGATCTTGGTTTCTTCTTCAAAATTCAAAACCGTGGGATACGAAGGCGATAAGTAGAGGAGTTGATGCTATCTATAAATATATCAACTATTATAATGAAGAAGACAGTATAGGTTATATCGATATCATATACTCAGAGTTATTCAACTATGCCCATACTGCATAGCCTATGGTGGGTTCGAAGACATCAACTCTATCAGACCACCGCCCTAATCGCATTATATGCAACCGCCCGAAGAAGAACAGTTTTAAAGATTAATAGACTTAGTTTTCCGCTATACTATTAGCCGAATAGACTACCAAATTATGTGAACTCCAATTGTTCGTATGTCGTCTGCTTTCTTTTTCCTTGTTTGAGGATATAAATCAATGCAAGGCTACCCCATACATGTGGGTTAGACCATGCACATGTAAGTTAAACCCATATTGAATTCTCAATCATCTGCATTGATATGCGAGATTGGATCCGACTTATAGATGCATTTTGAGAAAACATCTTGTAGATAATTAATCATTTCCTTTTTAAATCATGATTTTCTGTTTCGGGCCAACATAAACGTTGTTTTTACCACGAGGGAAACGGGTGTAACCGAGGGCGCGCGTTATATATAGGCGTAGTTGTGGTGTGCATTAAATTTATAACAGACCGCAGATCTATAGTGAGCCCTTCTATAACTTTGAATAGTCATTCTGATAACGCCTTGTTAGTTGACCTATATCAATACCCTCATATCGATATTAGTTTATAAGTCACAATATTATGGTCACTATAGAGGCCTAGACGTCAGAGATCTCGAGAAGAAATCAAAGGTATATACTAATTTAATTCAACCGTATGAACTATCATAAACTAGAAAGTAAGAAATTGTAGTACATCGACGATGTGTATGGATGTCGAAGTTTATTTGCTCCATAGCACGAGCTCGATATAAAGCGGGTTAATTTAGACTATCATAAACGCTGAGGAATTATCGATGTTGGATCGGTCTAGTGCGAAGATCCCAAACGAAATTGGAACGAATTCGAATGCCAAGGTATTTTTAGTACGGCAAAATATGCAACAGTCCCCAACACGGCTCGAGGACTAATTATACGACTTATAATTATCCACCTCGCACGTGGGCTAAAAATATCTTAAATTCTATCACCGTTTTACACGGTTTGAAATTCTTAAACGCATTCCGTCCGATGAGAGGTTATAGATAGAAACTTTCATCCCAATCCAAAGATCTACTTTACAAATATAGTCTATCCCGCGTTTTTCCTTATTGGTTTGTTCGCAATTATTCCAATGTCGCAGTGTATTCCTCGCATGAATATTACTTTCATAGGATCTTATAGCTCAATAGGGCAGCGTAAAATACTAGTTATGTAATAATGATATCACTATCATATATCAGTAATATAATATTAGAATTTAGTGAAACAGAGAGCCCAATGTATACCCTCCTCACGTAGAATACAATCGATCTCAAAACCCTGTTCGAACGCCCAAGGCCAACCACAAAGGTTCAACGTTTAAACGCTAGCGAACTTCGAGATTAGTCGAAGCTGGTAATAATGATGGCTCGACCTGGGAGGTTTATTTTTGTCCTTCAGGCCTTTTGGTATTTATGGGTCACCCCGACATATTCGCAATCTACACATACACTTTACTATACCACGCATTTTACATCGACGATTACTGGTTATTGCAGCGCCAATATCCTGCCAATGTGTGAAAATCTCAGCTGGCTTTCGATATCCCAGAATATTTCTGCAACTGGCGGTCCTAATACTTCGAATGCAAATTCTGCGAGTGGAAGTGGTGGTTCCTCCCCACCAACGGGATCCAGCTCAGGCGGTTTGACTGGCTCGTCGACTGGCTTAAGCTCGTCTACCGGGTTTAGTTCTACCACGACTGCCCAACCAGCACCATCACTTTTCTTCCTCGAGGGTGGCGAGAGCTTTTCTGGTTATTTCGCCGTACTCGGGGAAGATGGTAACGTATTCTTGACAGACGTAGAAACTGCTAGTGGGACAGGATTTTCGATTAATTCGTTCGGAAAAGTTTCAACTCTCGAGGAACCACCCCAAGATCTACTTTATCGCAGAAACAGTACTGCTAGTAGTAGAATTCGAAGAAGGCAAGATGACCTTATCGACTGGGGTGACTTGCTTGCTGCACTTCCTGATATAGCAACCACATTGGGAGTTACTGAAAGATTCCATTTCGAGGGCAAGGAGTTGCTGCTGGATACCGGGGGGTTTACATATACCCTCTATGTTCAACAACAGAATGGAACTTACTACCTTATGAAAATGGCTAGGCGGGGAAGCAATATCCCCGAATTCTTAACAAAGCTGCCGTTGACATGGGCGAGTACTAGCGGAACAGTTACTCTCACGAAACCGCCAATTTCAACATCTACTAACACAGGCGGTTTAAATCCTTCGGATATCCTTGTTTACGATATCATCACTTCGTCGAAACTCGAAAGTTTTTGCTCTTTGCTTCTGGGGTACTTCGGAACAGTTACATCAACCTTAAACTCAATTGCTTCAATTGCAACCAAAACGACCACCTTGCTCGAAACCGCGAGTTTTCCAAGGACTGAGACGAGTACTATTATTGAAACTTCGACCGGTTCCCGTTACACAGTGTGGATTATAGAGACTGCAACTGCCTTAAGATCGAAGCGAATGTTAGATAATGGTCGAGAGATAGAGACGACGGTCACATCCTACCTCCGGAGGACCGTTACTTCAGACAACATCGAAACTCCGGGCCCTCTCAAAACATTCCCAGCAGCACAGGTCCGAGCTGGTTGCTCCATGGCAGTCACAGCCCCCATAACCTCCACCATTATAACCACTAGTATCACTTCTGAGCCATACATCGAATCAAGAAGATCAACTAGCACACCAGTCGTCATTTCGGCTACAACCAGTTCCACGATCACATACAATATCTTAAGCACTACTCTACACGGCAATGGTGTTCTTCGAGCAGAAATCACTGAGCTGGCTCCCAGTTTGCGACCTATGATATATGCAAACCGGCAAGTCAACGGCGACACTTCTATTCCAACGCCAGGTGTCCAACTTGGTATGTTTGTTACCAGACAATCTTGGGGGGTCTCATACGCTAGTAATGCCCACCGTGCGCTTATAATTACTCAACATCTTCGTTCTGGTACTGTGATGAATACATATGGTTGGCATATCTCTACGTCTGTCATTGCGAATCCACAGTCTTCAAGTGTAATTTCGGCATACCAGGTTAGTATAGCTGTTATTGGGAGTTCTGTAGTCACAAGACGAGATGTCAATGCGGTGGAGGCGGCACCAAGTCCAGTTCCGGATGGCGCAGCGGCGCCTGAACCGGCTCCTGTTGAGAGTGCTGGTGCTTCTAGTTCCGCTGCTGCTAGTTCTAAGGCCGCCAGCTCTCCTGCCGCAGCTGGTAGCTCTTCTGCTGCGGCTGGTAGCTCTTCTGCTGCAGCTGGTAGCTCTTCTGCTGCAGCTGGTAGCTCTTCTGCTGCAGCTGGGAGTTCTTCCGCCGCCGCCGGTAGCTCTTCTGCCGCCGCCGGGAGTTCTTCTGCCGCCCAAAGCTCCAGTGCGCCGACAGCCGTAGGAATCCTATATATGGACTCTAGCGATGGATATTTATATCCTATGAAAAATCTTATGAGTCAACTTGATGGATACGAGAATAGAGATACGTTTTGGGTTTGCACTAATGATGCGGCGATCCCACGTACTACATTGTACTTATATCGATCAACTGGTTTTGCGGAGCTGGTGGCTAGGCATGAGCCGACTTTGACTGGTTGTTCGACTTTTCATAGTGTTTTACCGATGGTGATTCCGGCTACTAGATAGAGGGGGGTTTAGTAACGAAAATTAGTTCTGGATGCTGGATTTATATCCATGTTGTAATATTTGTTGTATTTTTTGTGTTTCTTCAACTTTTCTACCCTCTTCTTACCTCGGCATTAGGTACTTATTTGCTTGGTTGGGAGTGTATATAGTCCCAGGTACCTTATCAACAAGTTACATTTTTTCAATCTACACAATCACACTCGCTTATTCGGAACATCAGGCAAAGACTCTTAGAAGTACTTGATCAGAAACTTTTGATTGATACGTTTCAACAGCTTAGTAGATGTACATTTAATGAAATGTTGCTTCCAAGATAGATAGATACTCTAGCGAAATCTAGATGGAATATTCCAAGATATTCCGAGCCAATTCCATATTTTCGTGCTTTTTACTTCTTTATTTTGGATACTCCAAATAATGTCTAGCAGCACTTAGCGGCATCAGAGTTGGCGCCGTTCTGGATGGCCTTCTTAGCCAAGCTATCGGCATCAATATCCGATCTGCCTACAGCGTCAAGGAGAGGGGTGTTGCTCCCTGTCTTGACATTGAAGTGGTATTGGCGGATGATGCTGTCACTGTATGTTTCATAAGAGAAATCGTTAATTTCTATATTTTCGGCTTGACGGCTCTGATCCGAAAGGGGTGGTGGGGACTTACACATCATCAACGTTCAAACTCCTAACATCAGCCAACTGCTTAATCTTAGCAGTGCACTCCTTAACCTGAGCATCTGTCAAGCTCAAATCCAATTGATCTACTCTGCTCTTGATCGCATTCCATCCTGTCAATCTCGAGGCGAAGTGCACATATCTTGTAAGACCGAAATCTGCTGGGTTGACGATCTCGTATGTGCTTGGGTTTGCCAGGATAGCCTTGGCGTGGATACCGGCCTTGTGTGTGAAGGCACAGAAACCAGTGATGTAGTTGTTGAATGGGATGTTGACTTCGACGGCCTCGGCAACGAGATTCTCGAGGTCTCGGAGCTTCTCGAGCTTGTACTTGCTGCGAACATAGTCACGATCGGCGACGATCATGCGGGCCATGAGACCACCGAGTGGGGTGATACCGTTACGCTCACCGATACCTAGGACTGAGGTATCAATGTGTGTTGCACCGGCTTCAAGAGCAGTGTAGGCATTGGCAATGGCACAACCGGTGTCATTGTGGAAGTGGGTTTCGATATCGCAGTGAACGACACCACGGAGAGTTCGGACAAGGTCATAAACCTGTCTTGGGCCGGCGCAGCCGACAGTGTCAGCAATGCCGACTCTGTTAACACCGATCTTGTCGACGGCTCTGTAGATGCTGAGGAGGTCGACGAGGTCCGATCTGAAGGAGTCTTCGGAGGAGAATCTGATTTCAATGTTCTTGGACTTGACGAATTCGATGACTTCGATGGCGGACTTGTGGATGTAGTCCATGTCCTTGCCGTGAGAGTGTTCTCTGAGGAAAGAGGATGTGCCAATGACGACATCTACACCGTCAACACCGGTTTCGACGGCGATTCGGGCATCATCCATGTGACATCTGATGTGTGTGAGGATCTTGGCCTTCAATCCAAGCTTGCATATCGCCTCGCAGTCCCTGCGACTTTGTTCCGAAGCTGCCGGGCTGGTGAGTTCGATCTAATAATAATATACGATATTAGTATTGGTCACACGAGAACCCACTGAGAAAAATAGACGGAACATACGTAGTCAACACCAAAGTCGTCCAGTGCCTTGGCAATCTCGATCTTCTTAGCTGTATCAAAGAAAGCATTTGCAAATTGCTCTCCCTCTCTTAGTGTGCTTTCGATGATCTTGAAGTTGGAAACATTCGATAGGAAATCCGGAACGCCGACGTATGGGCTTCGGAGTGGTGGGCGTTCACCCAAAGGTTTGAAGTCTTTCTTGATATCTAGTAAGTTCCGAGCATCGGAGGGGGAGGGGCCTTTGTTAGCGGGGCAGCTCCAGAGAAACAGAAACAGCAGAAGCTATGTGTTGTGAAAAAAGACTGATTGCAGAAGAGAGCATTGATAAGTACCGTTACTGGTGGACATTTTGGAAGTTATGAATTAAAATTCCGACTGGGGTGTTTCTAGTATGGGAATCTGATGCAGGTGGTGTTTTGGTGATGTCGAATAAAGAAGGTGCAAATGTCAATGGGAGTTAACGTTGGGATAAAAGTTTTTCTGCCAGTTGAGAGTTGTTAGTGGCGGCGCACAGCAATTGCAACGAGAAGTTGGTCTGCATTGGAGAAGCATACTCTAACAGTTTTGTAACGCCAATTATACTGCAAATAAAATATGGGTATCTTAAGGTAAAGGAAATGAATAAGAATATACAAATTCTGTAGTTGAGAGAGAAGATAATTTTTTAAATCGGAGGAGTAAAGAAAAAAAAATGACGGCGTTGTCGGCCAATTTATACAAGTATACTAGAATCTACCCGACCAACAAAATTGCTTCCAATCCAAGGAGTCGAAATTTTTTTTTTTTCGTGCTTCTTGTCTCTCAGGTTTTGCATGTATGCATGCAGCTAGCTAAGGAAGATCTGGGGAAATCTACTGAGGGGCCTGCTCGACTGGCAAATGGGCTGCTTGACTCATAGTTCAACATTTCCTCGGGCTCCAGTACCGGAGGTCCAGCGGTGAGGTCTTATGCGGTGGAACCTTACCCGCCGGACGGGCTTGCTGCTCGAAGAGTTCCCACATGGAGAGTCGAGCCAGAGCTGCTTAACAATCGGAAGGCTATTAGCCTGCTTGGTACCTGTAGCCGGGGGGCCATTTCTCACATGCATCTGGGCAAGCAACGAACGGGTCAAAAAATTTTATTTTTGAAGAATCACAGCCAAAACTGGAGCTCGCTTGACAGGCCAGATGGTATGTTTTGACGCTTGTCTCACGATTTGCATTGGCGGGGTGGTCGCCGGCATCGGTGGTTGTGCAGTTTTCTATGAAACGAGGACGTCATGACAAAGCTATTTTGAATATTTCATTCGGTATAAAGGGTCTTGATACTCGTAAAATCTGGCTTGGAGAAGCGTGATGTTTGAAACTCCCGAGCACAGATATCTTTATTCTTCTTTCTCCTTTGAACGCAGTAAATCATCCGACAAGGAAATCGGAAAACCCTTTGTCGGTTTGTTGGACTAAATCTAGTCACTTTCACCTCGTTTCGCATGATGTTGGCGACTGTCTGGACACCTTGTCTCTGAATGAATTCTAATCCTTTGGGAGTCTTGCATTGAAATCTGGCCAGAATGCGGAGTGGAGATGCTTTGCTTTGGCACAGGTTTCAAATTATTCTGTGCATTAGAATTATGATATGGCGTCAAATCGAAGGAATATGCGGTATCATAGGAGTATTTCCTTTTTTGCTTTCTTTCTTTGTCATTGCATCTCGACTTTTAAAAATTCGAGATCGATTAGACCTCCGGACGAATAGGCTTTGAAGAAAACAACCGGGGCCTCGTCAGCCCCAAGCAGTCAGATGAAGCAGATAAAAGTCGGGGTTTTCGGCAAACCGAAATGAGGCACCTTGCCTTACGCAATCGGCCGCGGGAACGGACGCACAACATGAATGCTAGTTAATTCGGCGTACGTTACGTAGGTGCAACAGGAGCTCGTTGGTTGATTTGATCGATTGTGATAAGAAATGATACTCAACTGACAGCTGACATGTCGGTTGGAATCAAATCTGGAACGATATCATCTAGCCTGTAATATAAGTATATAACATGTATTGAACTTCGAGGTTGTCCAGGTCAGCACATCAAAACTGTTGAAGTCTTAGTAAGGACTTACCTATGAACAGCCACAGCCGCACATTCTCGGGACTGCGGCGTACCAGCATGACAGCCAGAAGAGGTTTGGACTGTTCTGTTTAGTGGCTGCACACTGTTCTCGGGTGGACCGAAGTCTTAATTGCAATAATGCTGGTTCTTCCTCTGATTCCTCGTTATTCGTAATTGCAAGTGGAGTGGAGTATTGGCCATACTAGTACCAGTTAGAGATATTAATCCGATTTCGATATCGTCAACACGCAAAACCCCATTCTTCCACCTTTTCATCAACCATCTCCAACCCACGCACCCATCACCGTCGATCTGCCATCACCACCATCACCACCACCATAGCCATAATCATAACCATCATCGTCATCATCATCTCCATCTCCATCCCCAATCGTCTTCACGTCTCTTTTCTTCCCCCTCCCCTTTTCTTCATCAACCAAAATCTATCTTCATCCTTGCATCGATGAATTTGCCTTTCCCTTTTTAACCGTCCTAGCATTATCCTTCTAATTGTGCTGTACGTTTTGGTTAGTGGTGTCCGGTAGTCCACCAAACCTTGTTTGCTGTGTTGAGCACAAGCCAGGCATTTTGCATTGTCATCAACCAAATTCCTCCGTTCTCAGCCTCAGGAAGAAGGGACGAGCCGCCATACATAGACGAGCATTATCGGCTCGCGATTGTCATCATCAAAAGCTGTCGTTGACTGGTAACTGCGTGAGGCTCTACCTTTTCGTGTCGACTTGATCGGACTTGGTCATCACTCAAACTCGCTCATTCGTTTGACGGGAAAGGGCATATCGAATTTGCCAACCACCTCTGCCTGTGCTGTGTGGCCAGGGTTTTGCTTTTTTCGCGTGTCGTTCATCGATTCGAGATTCTGAGATTCGGGAGGGGTGCCTTGCACTAGTCAGGACTGGACTGGCCATCAGCACAGCACTACAAGAGAAGTGGCCAGCCATTTTTGCTTTACGAAACCCCCCAAGGCCAGGTCCGTTCTTGACAGCCAGCAGAAGAACGGTTGTCGAATACAGCCGGCCAAAGGAAATCGAACCTTCCAAGTAGCAGGAAGCAAAAAGCTTGGAGGAAGCCCCGGAGGACCTTTTGTTTACTTTTTCCTTCCAAATCTCGAAATCGACGGGTTTTATTTGTGAGCTAAAATCCACACTAAAAAAGGGTACACACTCTCTCTTCACCTCAGTTTATACATAGCGTTTCATGCTGGCCTCCAGTCTAGGCGGATACTTCCTGTTTCCTTAGCTGGCCCTCCAACGGTTTCCGCTAAAGGTCCACTGAACAGTCTCAAGCCGGGGTATACCAACAGATACATGTAATCTGTGTCGTTTCTTCAAATTCCCTTCCGCCCATCCCCTGCACCTTTACTTAGCACTCTTTCCACCTCACATTTCACACATCCTTTCCCTTCTTCCCTAACTATCTTCAGCATCGAAGCACCAATCCTTCTTTCTTTTTGTTTTCCCCCTTCCACCTTCATCCTATTCAATCCTCAGCAGAAGATACCACCCGACAATACCTGCATAATTACGACCACTCTGCAGGGAATAGTGACAGCAGGCCCCGTTCTCCAAGCGAGAAATCTTCTAGAAAGGGCATTCCCACCATCTGATCGCGACTTTGTTTTCCTGGAATCCATATCCGAACAATCCTCACGGGAACAACGGTTTAAAGATCTTATTTTCAAATACTCGACAGCTTTAAGGGAAAGGGTGGGGTGTGCGAAGCGACCTTTAGGAGAAATTGCGTTCCTGGTGGCACCCTAACAAATCCGGACAGCCCGACAAACCTTTCTGCTTTGCATATTCCTTGCGACTAAATCAACGTCCACCTCTTGCATTTCCCATCTCGACGCCTCAAGAATCAAACACGAACACTCACCACATCAAACCGTTGCGAGATCTCGTGCTTTTTTGATACGACCGACAAAGACTGCGACACGAATATCGACAATCAGCCAAGATCGCGTGTCGTTCGGAAGCGGCCTCTGGACGGGGCGGTTTCAGATATCCTTTCATCATTCTTTTCTCACGACTTTCAAAATGTCGGCTCCACTGACCTCTGAGCAGGTCAACTATTTAGTATGGCGGTAAGTCATCAACCTCGATGTTTCGCAACTCCTTTCAAGTGCCCTGTTGCTTTCACAAACAATCCTATCGGCCTGTGGGACTGTTTTATGCGGGTAGTTGGAGGCGAAACGGGTGTACAGAAAGCCCTCCACACTGGAGATCACGCATGCAGGCAAGTCAAGTCTACATTGAGTCCGGAGGCTTTGATGGCAAACATATCGCCAAATCCCGAATTCCCGCATGATCGGTGAGCCTCATTTGGGGCTTTCGAGCGTCTAAAAAGTGCACCGAGAACCCGCAACTCCCCGATTTGCAGGACGACAGGTCTCTTCTTGCTGCCAAACCCCAGGCAAAACAGAACGACTTGGTTTCCTTTGTGACTTTGCTGCACTGGCGCCAATTTTTCAATCTGGCGGACCCTTGCGTGTATTTGCTTATTTTTCTTGAAATTTGTTCTGTTTGTCCGCATGCATGAGATTTCCTTGGCCCTGTTTTGAGGAACCGGTTGGACATGCTCCGCTGTCTCTGTTTTTGAGGCGAAACCTTGTTCCCGTTTGCCCTGCTACCCGACACCACAACCCAGAACCACGCTAATGTCATGTGTCCTATATAGCTATCTGCAGGAATCAGGTATGGATCCGATCTCTTTATTGCTTGCAGATACAATTGCCCATGTCTGATTAGATACATCGGACATTATTTTGCGGCCCATAGATCTGATGGTATATTCGATCTGTGTGTTGACGTATTTGTGCGCTGACTGGCCATACCTTACCTGAACAGGTTTTGAAAAATCCACATTCTCCTTTCAAGATGACTGCAGGGCACAGCACCTCGAAGGGAAATTCAAAAACTGGGTCAAGCCCGGTGCTTTAATAAATATAATCCAGAAAGGCCTCCAGTACCTGGCATTGGAGGCATCTATATACGAAGTAACTTCAGATTCTGCCTTTGATATCACGATGTTGGGTTTTTTTTTTGGCTAACATTGATCTAGAATGGGACTATAGGGACGACAAAAGTCTTTTCATACTTCGGGCCGCCGAATGGTCAAGAAGAGCCTACAGCTGCACCGCCGTCGACAGACGTACCAATGGAAGATGCGGCCAACGATATAGAGATGACGAATTCACTACCCATACCGGCGCAACCACACGAGGAATCGAACGGAGTATCCATAGAAGTGGAAGCGCAAAAGGCAGAGCTGTTACGCGAGCCACCTCAAACAAATGGAACCGTCACCCCTATTAAACGTAGCCACGATCTCGCTACAACAACGGCCCCCGAAGTGAATGGCATACACAGTCAACGAACTAAGAGAGCGAAGACTGCTGCTGCTGTTGGCGAGGACGCCATGATAATTGATGGAATCAGTCTACCCGACACTACATCCGAAGAGGTTAGGGCGACTATCGGGAGTAGTATAGGTGTCCAGGCAGACGAGTACATTCAGTTAGACCGCGAATCAACAGGTGTCTATCACCTTTCGCCATCGGATACATCCTTAGACTCCGCTGCGAGGAATTGCAAATTCAGTCCCTCCAATAAGAATAGTCTAGCCGTGTCACTGGATACATGTCATATGTTCAACCTCGGCGACGAGTTATTCACGCCTAACCAGAACGTGCAGGATCTGGTATTATTTCAACAGTTTGGGGAAGAGATGTCAACAATCGCTTGGAGTGATAACGGCGAACATCTAGCAACAGCATCTTGGGATGGTTTGATTAAGATCTGGGACGATAAGGGCCGCCTACGACAATCGCTTAAGATGCACCGTGCGCCGATACTGAGCCTAAAATTTCACCCAGCAAAGTACAACCTACTTCTCAGCGTTGATGGGCATAGTAAAGTGAATGTATGGGACGTCACAACAGGAAAGCTAAAGAAGCAATGCGAGCTCTCGGTTGAAAACAGCGTAAACGAAAAGACAACGCCCTATGACGCAGATTGGGTAAACGACAATACCATTGTTGCTGTTGGAGGTAACGGCGCAGTCGAAAAATTTGACTTATCCATGCCCTTAGAAAATGGGCCACATTTGGATTCGATTGTGAGGTATGAAGGGCACGATGCGCACAAGAATGTTAGTTCAGTCATTTGGAGTAGTGGCCACGATATGTTTGCGACAGGAGGTGAAGATGGGAAAATAATGGTACGTATCACTGAACGCCAGACCCATAAACTCCCGCAGTGATAATCAATGCTAACTTTGCATCTCGTTTAGCTATGGAAGCCGTCTCAGTTCAAACCAGTAGGCATCCTCGAAGGTCATCAAGATGAAATAAGTTTTCTTCAACTTTCCCACGGCAGCAATTCCTCGGAGTCGCTTCTCGCGTCGTCGTCCGCAGACGGTAGCGTTAGGATCTGGAATATCGAAAGCAGGATATGTTTGCATGTTCTTTACATGCAGTCTCCAGTCGACGTTCTTTCTTTTACAGCCGATGGCAAATATTTGGCGGCGGGAGCCCAAAACCTTATAGTTATGATCTGGCTCACAGAAACGGGGCGATTGGTCGGAATGTATGATGCAAAACCTGGGGAGGATGTATTATCCGTGCAAAGCACCATGGAGGATTTGAGCTGGGATAAAGAGGGCAGTAGATTGGCCGTCGCAGTCAGAGATCAGAAGGTGAGTTTAACACTATAGAACTTCGAAGTCGTACGGACACTAATTTTCAACTTCTTCAGTGTGCAATAATCGATTGGAAAACATTACTAAATGACGCCGCTACCAAAAGACTACGGTAGCCGTAATGAAGAATCGCACCGTCACACCCGAGTCTCCCCATTCCAACCTCAGACCTCAGACCTCAGTTTACGAAAACGAAGCATTGAGAGACGTTTCATTTATCTCCATTCCTTCTCTATATGAAATCTAGCCAAGTGAGAAGCTAGCCTTGTCTATGATCATATTTCTGTGTACTGTAAACCAGATGGATAAAAAGTAAACTATCCTGTTCTGTGTTTTTTTTTTTTCTTATTTTTTTTTCGCATCTTTGCACATTCCCTACTTTGTTCAAAACATGTTTGGAGGTGCTCACTGGCGTTTTGCTTTCTTACACTGCACTGTTTCCTAATTCGCTCCCCGCCATCCCTTTGCCCCCCGCTATGTGCAATACATTTACTTGCTCGTGTAAGATAGGAAGTGCTTTGAATTGTGGAGGGAGTTAGGTAAATGTGGTATTCTGAAAATTACGAAAATACAAGCTAACCGCTAACTACTAACTACTTTACTGCTCATATTTTGTTGCCTTTTTAATTTTTTTTCTTTCCTCCTTTTGCCTCACACGGCCAATGATCATCAATAGACTATAGTATGATATCGTACACACTCTCACTATGGACCCGCACATGGCTTCATATGCAGCTATACTCCTCCCCGTTCTTTGACTAGTTAGTTAGTCACAACTGGTTTTGTTGACCAGTCACAACCACATACTTAATCTAGGTTGATGATGAAGGCAAAGAGTTCGTAGCATAATTATAACATCACACTACGTTGACGTTGTTAACATATGTAAAACCGTCTCAGCACATATCAAAAGGAACTATACCCTAAACCAGCAAATTCGAATTGCGCAGGCGGCGGTGGGTTCCCAGGTCTGGCTTACGAGATCAAGGTACTAGAACTATCTTGTAATTTAATTATCTTTGTTAGGGTTATTTAGACAACCGGATTTTCTACCGGATTTTAATCTCCAAAAGGCTCAAATATGGTAGTGTTGTTTTCAAGATCGAAAGGAATTTAATGATAGATGAAACTTATGATAATATACAAGATTCCTTATTATATTTATTAATATATTACTTTGTACGATAGCATTTGGATATGTTATATATACAAAAGGGAATATTATTTTATTTTCAGAATCAGGCCTAAACTTTAAAAGTACTTAAGCCTTGTTTGAATGCTGGCCATTTGCCAGAAACAATACCATTCGCCTCTATTAAAATATCCCGACTTTTTTAGTGCTAAAAAGTCAACTAGTCAGCCCTCCAACTTGTTGACGCTTCAGGCAGTAGGATATTCTCTAAGTGCTAACCATTTGCGTAGGGATTCGAAACTTAGTCGACAACGATCAACAGCTATCCTGCGTGTTTATATAATTCTTCATGATTCTTTGCTGGCTATCGACATATCAACAGATAGTTGCATTTCTCCGCCTATAGCTGTAGCTACCCTTTGATCATCCTCATACATACCCGGCATCAATTATATAAATATATATATGTGTTAGGATATTGAAACCTCGAAGATTTGCAGAAAACGATGCATTTTGATAAACCGAAGACTGCCAATCCCCTTCTCTCGGATCTGTTCAATATATACAATTAATCAATAAATTGAAAATTGATGAATAAATCCGAGCGAAGAAATCCTTATTTAATCTTGGAGAAGCCACCCGTTCTTCTTCTGACTCTTCTTCCCCCTTTCCGAATATAAGGTTTTAACGCGCCCCCCAAGGAAGAAAAAATCCTGATAAGGATCTTGCAGCGATGCCTCTCCTCGACCTAATATGGCCCGGGAGGGTTCACTTAGGGGGAAAGCGCTACTCAAAATCAGTATTTCATGGCGCGCAAGCAGTGCCTGATGTATGATTTTGACCATAGTCGGGTTCTAGTAGCCCACTGGAAGCGAAGATAAAAACAGTCCTCATAGGATGTGTCGAAACAAAAGACCTCACCGGATATACCTTTTCAGTGGACCCCGGTGCCAAGGTATTTGACAAACATACTGATATAAGTGATAATTTTGTGATCGTCGATAACCATTTTCTTCTGCCTCATATGTATCTATTTCTTGGAAATAAATGTGGGATGTTACCATTTTTTTTTTTTTGGTATTTTCGGTGTGTGTATATAGTGCGATCAGGCTCTTGTTTGTAAATAGTTGGCCCCGATAGCTGGGTGGCTGTTCTCAGAGGAAAAGTGGTAGGATATAGTATAAATGCGACTCACTATACAAAATGATATGTTGTAGTTTGGGAAACAGATCTTTCGAAGATCAATGATCGCTGTATGAATAAAATTATCCCTACAGCAGGATTTAATGCAATTTCTTAGTTTCGATCCTATTATATCATGAGGTCAAAATTCGAAGCATTTCTAAACATGGGCACATAGTGTTGATCTGATAGAAGATCTCCGCTTGTGCTGACAGCCTCGTTGTGAGTGTTGCATTTTATTTTCATGGAGTCGATCATGTGATATATCACGTGCACACATCAACATGGTAGATCAGGTGATCTCTGTCAGCGAGTTCGATCATTACTTAGCCTAGCTTAGCTATATAGCGCTATCGATATCCGGTCAATCCAATATTGACTGGTTGAAACTTAGCAATGCTAGCAAGCACGAAGCATGTTTAGGAGTAAGAACTTGACAGATCCAAACAAATCAATCCCTCCATTTGTGAAGTCTAGGAACGAGACCACGACAGATCGGATCTGTATATTATATTCAAGACTCGTACCCCCGGCCCCCGCTAAAAAGCCTAGTAAAGGCAATGGTTAAATTAAATTAGTATTAACGATTACATTAGTAATGGTTTACGCCAACCTTGCTACTACCAAGTCAAGCGCATTGTATGAGTCTGGCAGGCCTAGGGTGTAGTCTAGTCATCGAATCAACCCCTTCCTCCCGTAACGAGCTGCCCGGGCAGATCGTTATCCGGCCCAATTCCACCCAATTGATCCGTTGTGCTTCCATTGGATGTCGCCACGGGCACAGTTTTTTTCTGACTCTTCAGTCTATAGATCACATACAAACAAACTATCAAGGCTATTACAAGTGCCCCCACCCCAACTGCAATCCCTGCGATAGCCCCAGTACTTAAAGAAGAACCACTATTTGAAACTAGACCTGGGGTGGATGTATTGTTGGCCGGAGGGGTTGAACTAGGATTTGGCTGGCCGGTGGTCCCCCTCCCAGTTGTCGTCATTGTCGTTCGGGAAGTAGTTTGGGTAGTCAGTGGCTCAGAGCTACTAACAGTTGTAAATGTTACCGACGCAAGGGTGGTACTGGATGAAGTTGAGTTTCCTCTAGCAGTTGGAGTTGGAGGGATAAACAAAGTAACGCCGGCGCTTGCGCATAACTGCTGAGCCGCTCGGATCGTTCGGTCTACTTCTGATTCTGTGCAGGTTTCCTGAGCGCAAGGTGCAAGATTTCCTATGAACTCATTTCTTTGGCATATACATGCAATGTCCATCGCGTCGCAATCCGTGCCTTGTAGAGCTGATATACCACAAGTAAGCTGATTCTTTCTGTATTAGCATGAGTTTGAATAAAACGACTTATATTTCTAAAATAGAATACATCTAGTCAAGAACCATGATCTTAAATACGATCAAGCAATTCGTGTAGGATGCAGTGTGGAATCTTAGAGTCGCTGTATTCTTTTTCTAGTGTATACTCACAGCGCATTGTGGGATCTGGTCGAGTTGGGCGATGGCGGGTGCCACGAGCAGAAAGACGCAGAAGTTTAAGAACTTCCAGAAAGTTGTTAGAGTATACATCGTTTAAGTCGTACTGGTCGATCAGTGTGTCATTGAATTATGTATAGGTTGTCGGCAGAAGAATCACCAAATCAAAGTTTTTGAATTGATTGGGTATTGATCGAATTTACACAGTAACTAGTAGTTCGAAGAATCTTGATCAATTGAGCCTTGCCGGCCCCTGTGGGCTGGGTTTTCACATTATAAGTAATATAATACAAAGATGAGGCTGAATCTCAATTTCACCTAATCTCGTCGTTGTTCCCACTGAACCTTCCGCCAATTGAATAATCGATTGGCTGGTGGTGCCGTGGTTAATGTGAAAATAGCCAATGGCATAAGTTGCCAAGAAACAAAAGATGCGCACATGTGGCACGGTACATGCAAAGCGGTTTCATATTGATCGATACATATGCCATGTTTTGAATAGAGAATGTTAGTCTTGTATTAAAACGCTTCGGCACACTAGAGAATGTTATCTATAGGTGCCACAAGTACTTAAGTATGTCTATAACAGATATCTATAAATCTATACATGGACGTTGTGCGCCAACATTCGCAGTGATTCTACTAAAGTTTACGGCCTGTCATATACGGTTGTTCCAAACGAATTTACTATAACCCCACGAAATATATTGAACTTAACTCATGATTTCATTTTTTACTACAACAATAGTATTTATTTGTATAATTTCAAGTGCCCGAAACTTGACTTCGAACCCGCCAGCCTTATATATTACGCGTATCAGCACTGATTTCGATCGACCTACCACATGAGTATGGTGTTGAGGTTCCTGAAAGGCCGGTTACAATTGCAATCTAGTTAATTAAACTCACCATAGGAACTGTAGCTACTAAACTACTTGGCTAGACAAATCTTACTGAGAAGGTTCGAATTATTTTAGCTCGAGAACCATGCCGGGCTAAGCACCGACAGCGTACCTAACCATTGATGCTTGGGGAGAATTCTAGAAAAGATAGCTGGAGCAACACAGTTGTCATTTGTGGTATAATTGCATAAGTTTTGTAAGCTATAACAGGTAGGTATGTACATAGTACTTACATACGGCACATGTACTTTACCTAAGCAAATGACTTTGAGTTTATCTCGATAGTTTTCTCGCGGACAGGATCTTGAAAACTACCGACACCTGTACAGCTGTGAGAACCCAAGTACAAAGCTACGAATTTGGATGGTTTCTTTCCGTAAATAATAGTATGTTTAAATTCAATGTTATCAACACCCGTAAACCCTTTCCGACGCAAAAAGATAGAAAGGACAAGGGAAAAAAGAAATGAACAAAAACGCTGAAAGAACCGACTCAATCGAAAGATGCAAAATAACAGAAATGACGACCGAGAAACGCGAACCCCTAAGGGTATTAACGTTTTCCGCACAACTTTGATACACCTTGAAGCTGGATCTTAAAACCGAACCATTGAAGCACTCTAGGAAGATATCTAGCCGATATTCTAAGGCAAGCAAGGAGAAGTAAAACCGAGGGAAGAACGATGAAAACAAACCGAAAGGTACCTATGACTTGCGAAACTGTTCTACGCGGCCATTTTTTCGCACCGGTGTATTTTTGCCCTGGATCGGATACAATAAAGATTATAGCTTCCGCATTATCCTCTTGGATCTTATGATGGTTGAAGCATGCAATAACTGTTCGTCTTAGGCAGCTATCCAACTCGTTTTCATCCTATAAGACCGAGGTCTATGTGTTAGAGTTGATTATGGTTCGAAGACCTCGCGAAGGATTCACCTACCTGAAAGCGGCAACATTCATCGATTTCTATGAGGAATATGGATGAGTTGTTTGGTGCCATTTTAGCGGTTTCACTTATTTTTGATGGGCCAGTTATTCTCCCTCTGGTAGCGAGCCAGGTTGTTATCCGCGATTTTTCCACTTCACTTATCGACTCTTTTTTCATCTTCTTCATATTGATGTTAATATTCCCGGTATCAGACTGGACAGGTTCATTTTGACGGTGCAAAACACCCCTATAATATCTGGTTGACGCCAAATATGGTAGTTCTTTAACGGTCCTCGAATTTGTGAGAATCCTTAAGATTTTTTCCATGCCCCTAGATCTAAAACCATCACCTGTTCTGCTAATCAGCAACCGGCCAAAGCTTCAAGGATAAGCTTGAGTCACGTTACCATTTAAAGATATGATATCGTAGTATGATATTTGGAAACCGGTGGAGACCCCGACAGAGTAAATGTATCCGGATTCCTCCTTGAAGTCTACGAGTTCCCAATCAGAAGTACTTGCGGCACTAGATTCAGCATCGTGAGAATTTCCGTTTTGACTGGTCTCACGGATGTCTGACTGGGTACCACGGGGGTTACCGCTATTGGCTGGAGTAGAAGTTGAGAAGAACCAATTTTTAATGGAGGACGCAGCTGAAGTTACACTAGCCTTTGCTACAATGAGACCATTTGACAGCGAATTTCGGATTGACGGTGAAGCATTTGTACCGCTTGGAGCCGTTGTAGTTGCCGTTGGAGAAGCATTGTTTTGTTCTACATTTACAGCTGACGGTGAAGCACTTGTCTTATCTGGGGATGATCCAGCCGTCGGCGCAGGTGCACTGTTTGATTGCGGGATTGTGATCGATAGTGAAGTCCTCGTATTATTTGAGGGTACTGAATTCCCGGCTGTAGTAACGTTGTTAAGTGGAGCTCCAGTTGCTGTTGCAAGGGTATTACTCGGTAGTGGGTTTGTGACCGGCGACGAAGTATTTGTACCAGTTGCTCCGGTTTCTGTTGCGGAGGTGCCATTCGATGGTATTTTGGTTATTGCCACAGGTGTACTGCTGAATAGTGAGCCTGTAGTTGATGGTGAAGCATCTGTACCATTTGGGTTCACTGCAATTTCTGGTGCAGCGACACCGTTCGATGGCGTGTTTGCTGGCGGCGGTAAAGCATTTCCAATCACCCCCACGGGGCTACCACCCGATAGTGAGTTCGTGATCGATGAACTACTTGTACCATTTGAGGGTACCACTGTTTCCGTTACAACAATATTGCTCGCTGGTACTTTAGCTATTGCCTCATCTGCACTGCTTAATGGTTGACCTGTGGTTGATGGTGAGGTAAGTGCTCTATTTTGGGCTACAGGGGTTTCTGGTGCAGCGGCATTGCCCGATGATGGGTTTGCTCCTGGTAACAGAGCCCTTGTGCTATCTGATGGTATTCCAGCTACCGTTGCAGGGTTACCGCTCGATAGTAGGTTTGAGGTTGGTTGTGGGATACTTTTAGCCTCAGGAGTCAGTGCAACTAGCTCTATATTCATACCGTTCAAAGGCGAGCTTGTCGTTGATGGTACTACTATTGTACTTTTTGAAGCCGTAGTTCCCGCCGGAATGACATCGATTTTTACTGGGCCCGCAATTTGTAGTATAGTTGCATTTTCCGAGGCTGCTGTAGTTGCTACTATAGTGGTATTGTTCAGCCGCGATGGTGAAGCACCAACGGTATCTAAATTACCACCGCTCAAGCTGCTCTCACAATTAGTGGCAGCCTCAGGGGTCGAATGGCCATGATTATTATCGGTAGTGGTATTTTGAGGTAAGCTAACCCCTAGCCCTACTACTGTGGCTCCAGACTTTGTGGAATCGCCTGAAATGTCTTCAGTGGAATCTTGGGCGGATGAGCCCTGAGGGTCACTAGACTGTGTGGAAAAGGGAGAATTTGGATGAAACATCAACGGTGTGTCCACATCGAGACTATTAACTACTTTTTTAGGGTCTGACCCTTTGTGATGGACAGGATCACTTGAACTTTCTGGCCCCATAAGTCTCCTTGAAGGAACGTTTGGAAAGTTACTGAAGAGGGGGGATGGTGATAAAGCTTCGGTATCTGGTGCCTCTTCCTCGGGTAGGCCTTTATTACAGTCTGAAACATGCTCCTCCATCGTGGTGGTGGTGTTGTTGGGCGGGGAATTTTCGGGCCTTATCGGCATCGTAGATTTCTCGTTTGTTCTGTCACTTGGATCTTCAGTGTTGATAGCTTCTTGCGATTGGGGTCCTGGGTAATCATGAATCGCATCACTTGCTGTCACTGGAGTAGTGGGTATTATCTGAACAGCCCGTGTATTCTCTGCGCTATCTTTATTGGCAGGACTTTGAAGTGGCTGAGTATCGCTAGGTTCAAGGTTGACCGGAGCAATATTTTCATCAACAGAACCATTTTCTATAATGAAGCACTGCTCAGAAGGATCTCCACGGGTCGCTTCAGAGAATTTGATAGATTCACTATCACCCCCAGTCGTTTGTGTTATAGGGAGTAGCTCACGGTTGGACCCGATTTCAACGCTGGCAGGAATGGGCGGTGTTGGACCAGATGTTTGAGAGAGTGGCTCGAGTGAAGGTTGGCGTGCAAGATTGGGGTTGTTTTGCTCAGAGAAACTAATAGAGGGCCCATTAGATTGGTCGGCACTTGATTCCTCGCTGTTACTTGTTGTAGAGGATGGAAGAGGGGGGTCATCGCCAGGCTTCTGGGGCTCGGAGGATTCCACAGTGTTCAAATCTGAAGAATTGGGCTCACGTAGATGGGCGATATCGTGGCCACTGCTGTTTGAAGTAGAATTTTCTTCAACGGGGGAGGGGCTTTTAATAGAGTCTAGTTCGAATTTATTGGTGTTTTCAGCGGTGGGTTGTTGAAGGCCTTCGACCATAGGTCCTAGCTGAGCACTAGAAGCCTCTGCAGGTTGGTCGCGGGACTGGCTTATTTGGTTGGTGCGAACAGGATTCGAAGTACATGGCTTAGAAGATATAGGGCTAGCAGGAGTTCGATTCAGGGAATCAGAGATTTTTCCGTCAGGGTTATTTGTTGTCCCTGTAGAAAATGTTGGAAAGTCTTCTGTTGTATTTTCCGATACAAAGAAAATTTCGTCTTCATTATCGTCGCTCTCTTCGCTATTGTTATGAGGGTTGCTGGTAGCTGCCTTACCAGTAGTGGTGTTTTCAAAATCCCCGCCTTCAAGATCCTTCGGGGAGGCTTCGATGTTGTCTAGGGCTTTCTTAGGATTAGAGCTGGGTACGAGACTAGGATTTAAGATGGTGGTGGTTGATTTTGGAGGGGAACCATTATTCGAATTATTGGAACGCTCTTCTAGGAAACCGCTTGAATCATGATAGGGAGCTTTGGCACTACTATTGATCGTGCTCTGAGATGCAGTATCACCGTCTGAAATTGTATTGGTGGTACCATCGCACACTCTTTCCCAGTTATCACGATTTTCGTTGGCTAAATTGGCATCGCCGCTAAACGAATCCGTGACGGGATCTCCTATAGGACCCTCATTGAGGTTACCTTGAGGAGGCAGAATTGTATGCGAAAGATTATCACTGTCTTTTTCTTGACTAGAATTTTCTAAGTTGTTTGGTGAGGGGTTCTCGATCGCATCAATAGCGTTAGCTTCGGGTATTTGGGGGACATTGTCTTTCGCCGGGATGATATGACTTTGAGGTTCGTTTCCGCTGATTGCCAATGTCACAGAGCCTTCCTCTTCTTGATCACCCCTAGGGATTTCGAGTTCCATGTTACGCGGCTGTGGAGTTATAATGTCTGAAGGATTGCTCTCCTCTCTACCCAGAGCTGGCCTTGCTGTTTCATGGGCCTCTAGAATCTTTGGAGGCGGAGAGGTTGTCGTAATCAAAGGTCCTGTAAGTACGCCGGGTTGGCCGATTTCTTGATTAGGATTTCCTTCGTTACCACTACTTGCGATGCTCAAAATTGGGGGCCCGTTTAGTTCCAACTGAGATATGTTCTCGCTGCCTTGGGGCGTGTTGGTTACATCTTTTTGCTCGGGTCCATTCCCATCCATTTGAGAGGCATTAGGCTGGGGGTGGTTTTCATCGAGACCAACGACTTCAGCAGTGTGCCTAGGCTTGAGCTCAGACGTAGAACCCGCAGGAGGCTCGTCACTGCCATTAGGATCGAATCCTCCATGGGAACTACCAGTTTCAGATAGTGTATCTGTAGACTGATAGTCATTACTATCACTATAAACCCCTCCAAGGGTGGGTTTAGGTGTAAGAACTACTTTTTGAAACTTGATATTAGCAATGTCGAGTTTTGACAAGGAGGACTGATTTTGGCACTTTACCTGCAGGGTCTGAGAAACTGTCGTTTGTTTCCGTTTTTGCTAAAGTATTTTTATCTTTGGATGACGGCTGCGGAGGAGCACTGTCAACAGTTTCGACCTCTTCAGGACAATTGCCACCATGGGAAACCGTATTTTGGAATGAATTGTCATTAGTACCGCCCTCCTCTTGATTGTGGCTGCCTTTAGACACTACGACCTCAGATTGATCAGAATGCTCGATTACACCACACTCGCTAGGAGCATTCGAAACTTCATCAGTACTGCGAACCACCTGCGTAGGGATGCCGCTGCTATTATCGGATTTTCCAGGAGCATCCTTGGCCTTGGTTCCTGTCAATTGAGGAGAAATGGTGTTAATATCGTTATTTTCAGCGATACTACTGGTCCCAGACAATGCAGGCGAAACTTCATTGGTATCTGCATCAGATTTCCCGGAATCATGGTTGTTGAATATCAAAGGCGCGAGTTGAGGAGTATTGGAACCGGTGCCCTCTTTCTGGGGAGCATCTTGGCTAACCTGAGGTGCAACGGGCTGGTGAGCAGTGGCGCCGGTACCGAGTTTTTCAGAGGTATGACCAGGCGCCCCTGGCTCTGGGTCTCCGCAGTCGACGTCAAGTTGTGGAGGAGCATGGTCAGTATTATCAGGCCCCGCACGCTGAGACGTACTGAAACTCGTACTGCTATTTCCTTGACCGCTGTTCCCGGGATCAGGGATAGCGGTTGGGGAAGGTGGCATTGACACAATTTCAGAAGCTCCAGAATCGCCGTCGAGTCTCTCAAAAGGATGGTTTGTCTCCAATCCCGTAGCATCAAGATTATTATCATCAATATCGGCATTTTTAGAACCATTATTGCTAGGGTGAGGCATCGGGAGCTCGGGAGCGCCAGAGTTTTTGTAATCATCATCCCCTACAATAATACCGACGCTGGTCTCGGATTTGATTGGTAATCTTGACTGAGGGGCGTTATCAATGGCAGTATTTGTGCGAGGGCTTTCGACATTATCAACAATCTTAGACACCACAGCGGCAGTGGCATCGTCAGAATTGTTTTTTTCTGAGTCATAACCATGATCGAGTTCCTTAGGAACCACGGATTGAGGATCACCGGTGGCAGCACCCAGGTTTCCAGTGTCCTGGTCACTGAGATCAAATATCGGTGTCTGAGGCGTTTCTGCATAAGCGTTATCTCTTTCAGAATGATGACTGGTAGTCTTTGATGCTGGTGCTGATGTTCTTGGTTGAGGGTCATTCTCTGAATCAAGTGGCTCCTTCATTTCTGACGTCCGGGAACAAGGACTGGTATCATTATAGGTGTGATCTCTAGCTCCCTGGGCTTTGTCATCATGAGGCTCGTCAATTAGCTGCGGAGTAACTGCTTTCCCAAGATCGTGGTCCTCAGGAGTGAACTGTGATTCTGGTTGAGGTGTATCTTCAAGGGTGTAGCCTCCTTCAGACGTATTCTCAAGCTCGCTAGCTGAGGGCGCCCCTGGTTGGACCGTGTGATTTTCCATGCAGCCTCCACAAATATGACCACTGGTCTCGGGCTCCAAGAGCTTAGAAGCATCGATGTTGACATTGCCCGCCTCAAGGTCATAGTCACTAGTATTTCCCTGGACTGGCGATCGAGGAGTATTGACTTCAGTATCGACTTCAGTATCGACTGCTCCTGCGTCATACAGGGGATCGTTATTTGGGGGCAACGTTTGATAGGAATCATCACTCATGTTGTTTTCAGGACCATGGTTGCCAGGTGTCAAAATTTGCGGAGTATAGGTATCGACATGATCCATTTTAGGACTATGATTGCTGGCCTCGGGTTGCGAGGGGATTGCAGAGAAACTAGTCTGAATTCCACTTCCCTGGGGACCATCACTACTAGTTTCTAGTTCCGCCGGTTGAGGGGCAATGACATCATTTTGAGGTTTCTCGGGTGCTTGAATACCACCATTGTCAATATTGGCTTCTCCTATGCCTCCAATCTCCTCAGGGATCCCAGTATCAATATTCGTCCTGTTTTCGCATTCCTCAGGTGGGTTTATAGGAGAGAGGCTAGGACTAGAGTAAATGCTAGGTCTCCGAGAATAACTAGCCTCGGGATCGCGATCGTTAGGAGTATTGCTGCTATCTCCTACTAGATAGCCTTTGGCTTTTGTCTCACTGCCAGCCTTTTCAACTTGCGTCCTAGTAACGTTAGGTGTGATCTCTATGGGATCATCGTCGATGGCATTGCTTCGTGGGGTGAATTGTTCTGGGGAAACCTCATCTTCGCTTGAAGGTTCACTAATGTCACCATCTGGACCAGAGGTTCTTTTACTCTCTTCTGTAAGTTTTGCTTGAGGACTTTCTTCGATAGTACTTTCTGAGTTTTCAGGCCCACTTGCAATAGCTTCGCGGCTGGGATCTGAACAACTCATGGTGTTCCCTTGGTGGGGAATGTCGGTCTCCGTAGCAGCTTCACTACGGCTAACTCCACTTCTATCCCCTACTGCGGGGTCCTTTTTGCCGTGGTCCACGTCTGTGGGGTCTAGACCTGTCCCATTATTTTTAATGTCAGTGAATTTATTTTATTGGCTAAAGTCGGGTGGAGGGATGGCAAATGGTTCGATTTGCATCCAATTGGTTTACCTTTAGTAGTGCTTCTAGCGCTTTGCTCCAAACCGGGCCTACTAGGGTTGGTTGAAGCCGCATTAACGTCTTCGCCTTCTGAAGAGTGTTCTCGTAATTTTTCAAAATCTGTACAACTAGAAGTAGCAGACCCCGGGCTAGCGATCCCGTCCACACAGTCCTCGGACCTATAGTTTTCTTCCTTATGCTCTTGTTCAAGGATTTTGGGATCCGTAGAGCTAGACGCATTTTCTTGGGCTGGCGAGAGTCCGGTTGCGCTCTCCGTTATAATATTATTGTCGGTATTGTCGTTGGCAGGATTATTAGTGGTATAAGGACTTTCGTCGACTAGACCACTACCAACAGAACCATTGCCGCCGACCCTATCTAAGGCGGTATCGCTAGATTTGTCTGTACCTCTCTCATTTTCGCCTTCTCGAATAATTTCATCAGAGGCTGAACTAGGAGAATTTTGCTTTGGACCAGTAGTATCATCCTGTTCAGTGATTTCCTTGTCTTTGGTTTCAGCATCGTCATTGAAGGAAGCAGATTTATCCTTTAGAGACGGTGAGTGACCTCTTTCTCCAATAGGATTTTCTTCCGTAGCACTAATATTGCTAGAATTTTTATTTGGGCAGATGCTGTTTGCGGCAGACCCACTCTCGTCATTGTCATCATGAAGAGGGTGTTCCCGAACTGCACTAGTGTTAGTGTGGGTAAAGATACGAAAATTGAGAGGAACCTTAAGCTTACCTTCATCAATGCTCTCTTTGCGAATATGGGGTACTAAATTTTCACTACTGGTAGTGGGATCGCTGTTATTCCCCTGAGCTTTTGAGATATCACCATCTGTGGCATTAGCGGTGAGGTTGTCCTTTGGAGGATTTTCGATACCGCCAACTGTTGAGATACCTTCCTCATTATTGCAATTCTCCGGAAGGTTAGGATGAGCTCCGGCGGGGCCATCAACACTGCCTTCATCTATGCTATCGATACGAGCTTCAGGAACCGGGAGATCGGTTTGATCATGATTATCTCCGTGGACACTTTCCCTGGGCGACGAGCTGGTATTTATATTGGTCCCATCGCCAACATTATTGACTGGTACAAGCTGCGAACCAGGGTCGCTGCATATTTTATCAGAGCGATCACGGTGATTTGACGAGCTATCTACCATTTCAGAGATTTCCGGGTCCTCGCCGATAGGAATTTTCTGTGACGACTTTGTGGTATCATTTCCTAGAAGTTCTTTAGAATTCGAATTCGAAGAAACTGATCCAGTCGTGAACTGAGATGGCTCGCTCAGCGTTACGACTTCGGATCCCACGCTCTCATTGCCATAAACATTCGCATCGTTACTTATGTTGCTCGAGTCCCCAACGGGTGATTCACAAGCTGAGGGATTCGGTGGTGATGTAGCGAAAGGAGCGCTTGTAGCCTCTGGAGCTATGTCATCTTTTCCGATTTCGACTTTGTTTTCGATGGTACCATTGTAATCCTCTTCTAAGGTGCCAGCGCTACCTGGAGTTTCGGCATGGACGACTCCGTCGCTTTCGTTGGCTCTAGTAGCATCGCCAAATATGCTAGAAGGGGCACAACTCGCGGCCTCGTTGGGTGTGCCGACACCAGAATTTTTGGTAGATGGACTAGTCGGCATGCTAATCTCACTTAGATCGGTAGGTTCGGGCGTATTTTTTACGTTGTCGACGGGAACGGTTCCACTAGCTACAGCAGTATCACTAGGAGCGCTAAAAGAAGGAGCTGTAGGAGAGCCGTCAACAAGGCTGTCCTCTGGGGACGAGACTAGGCTGTCCGTAGCATTGCTATTTTCGTGACGAAGTTTGATTGGTGAGTTGGTTCTATTTATGTCGAGAGGGTTGGGTATGGGGGTATTTTGTGAGTTTTCTCCGCAATTTCCCTGCGAATCAGAGCTTGACTTATCACAGAGAGAATCGTCATCGCTTGAATCATTGTGATCTGATTGAGCGAAATTCATATGTTCTGCTGAGGCAGCGTCGTTATTTCCTGTTCCAGTGGGCATAATATCCTCTGTTTCAGCAGGAAGGAGAATAGATTCCGTTTCAACGGAACCGTCGCGCTCTCTTTCAGCGGGATCAATGTGCTCTAGCTCAGGAGAATAATTGCTATGTTCTGATCCAGCAGAGTATGTGCGTTCTAGTTCAGTAGAACCAATACCCTTTAGACCGACGGCGTGCTCTAATCCGGTAGAATCAACATGTTCTATATTATTAGAATCGGTATGATTTGATCCAGCTGAGTCAACAGATCCCATCCCGGCAGAATCATCTTGTTCAATTTTAGGAGCTGAATCAAAATATTCTATTCTACTGGAATCGATAATTTCTGGTGTAGTTGGGTCACCATCAGGGGTTGTTCCATCAAGATCGCTTTGTCCCGTTCCAGTTGAATTAGCGTGCTTCGATCCAGCATAGTTGCAATCTGATCTAGCGGATTCAATATCCTCTGATCCATCAGAGCTAACACGGTCTAATTCAGGGGAGACAATTTCCTCCGGCACAGCGATGCGCTCTGATCCGATAATGTTCCCCGATTCAGGAGATTCCTTGACTTCTGATCCACCAGTATTACTATGCTCTAGTCCAATGGAAACATGATTTTGTGTTTCAGAGGAATTAGCACGTTCTACTCCGGTGGAATCAATTTGCCGTGGCCCAGCAAAGTCAATGTCATCTGATATAGGGGAGCCGATGTCATCTGGTCCAGCAGTTTGCCCTGATTCAGTGGAATCAACGATATCTACTCCATCAGGACCACTGTGATCCGGTCTGATAGATTTAATGTGATCTGATGTGGCGGGGTTGATGTGCTCTGGTCCAGCAATGCGCTCCGACTCAGCGGAGCTAGCGAGATCTATAGGTTCTGGTTCACCATAGTCGCCCTTTTCTATTCTAGCCGAATCAATATCTTTCGTTTCAGCGGAATTAATTTGTTCGATTTCAGCGGAATTAATGTTATTTGATCCAGCAGAGTTAATATAATCTGATGTAGTAGGGTCGGTAGGCTTTGGTTCAGCGATGCGCACCGAACCGGCCAAATCTATGGATTCTGGCTCAGCAGGATCACTTTGTTCTACTCTGGCAAGCTCAATGTGCTTTGGTCTAGACGTAGAATCGCCGTGTTCTGGTTGTGGGGGATGAATAATCTGTGTTTTAGTGGGATCGGCTTGATCTATTTCACCAGAGTCAAGGTACTCTGATCTAGGATAGTTACCGCCTCCTGACCCGGTCGAACCAATGAGCTCTGGTGTAGGGCAATCTATGAGTTCTGATGTAGCAGAATCATTTGGTTCTTCCCCGTGGGGGTCGATTTGCTTTGGTCCAGCGATACCCGTATTTTGCGTTTCAGCGGTGTGTACTGATCCAACAGAGTCTATGAGTTCTGATTTAGTAGGGTCGCTTTCCTCCACCCTGGGAGAATCAATTTTCTCTGGTTCAGCGGGATCCATATTTCGTGCTTCAGCGGGATCGGTGTATTCAATTTCATCGGGATCGAGGTCCTCTGATCTAGCAGAGCTACCGTCGACGTCTTCTGATCCGATCGGACCCGTGGGCTCTGGTTCGGTGATGTGTACTGATTCAGTGGAACCCATAGGTCCCGATTCAACATAATTGCTTTGCTCAACCGTAGGAGAACTAATTTCCGATTCCTCAGGCCCAGCGGAATCGATATTTTGTGTTAATATTTCGGCGGAGTCGGTACTCTCTATTTCATCGGTATCAAGACACTCTGATTTAGAAGAGTTACCATCATTTGATTCAATAGAATCAATGTGCTTTGGTAGACTGGGTTGTATTGGTCTAGTGGAATTTGTGGGTTCCGATTCAGCAGAATCACTTCGCTCAACCCCAGCATGACTAGCTCTGGCTGGTCCGACTAAATCAATATTATTTTGTGGTTCAGCGAAATCGGTATCTACTTCATCAAATTCGAGATAATTTGACCCAGAAGAGCTTTTGCCATCTAATCCCATAAAACCAGTGCGCTCTGGTCCACTGATTTCTCTTGATGCAGCGGAACCTGTGGGTTCTGCTTCAACAGAGTCTTTCTGTTCTGTTTCCGGAGAACCAATTGGTCCTGGCCCGACGGGATCAATATTTTCCATTTCAGCGGAATTGACATGTTGCATTCCAGCAGAGGCAACGCTCGCTGGCCTAGGAAACTTAATCTTATCTAACTCAGCGGTGTCCATTTGTGAATCAACGTGAGTTTTTCCAGCAGAACCAATGTGGTGTGACCCAGGAGTATTAAGGTGGTCTAGTCCAGTGGGGGTGATTTGCTCCGGTTCAGCAGTTTTCTCCGACCCAGCATAATCAACGGGTTCGGATCTCGCGGAATCACTAAGGTGGTCCTCGGGGCTCGGATTTGGAAGCTGCCCAGCCTCAACGGTACTCGCAGGGCCACCACTGATACTTTCAGGAATATTACCACGGACGGGAGTAGAGTTTGTCTCTCCAGTTTTTAGATTAACGTCTGTTAAATCGTGGCTAGGATTTAAAACGCTTTCGGAAGGGCCGTAGCTATCGTGTGGAAAGTTTTCGCCAGAGAGATTTTCTTCTTTGGTAGCCTCAGGTCCAACTTCAAGCTCTAGAGTCGCCTCAGGCTTGGGTTCACCGTTGACGTCGATGACGGGCTTTTTAGGAATTTCGTCGCTACGTGGAGGGGAATAGACCGAGGGACTACCAGCGTTTATAAAATCGCCAGCACTCTCAGAGCCAACGACACCCTTTGAAATTTCAATAGGATCATAGCCGCTTGGGGAGTTTTCAGCGATATCTTTTAGTGCTTCAGGGTTATCGCTGATGGGATACGTGACTGTGTTCTCCTTATGGGATGAAATATTTGTAGTAGCTCCTGTAGTCTCGGGGGCTTGCGCTTCCTTGGTGGAATCGCCATCACTGGAGCGTCCTTCAGTGGAGTTATTCACATCCACTTGGTTATCCTCTGTGGAGTCTTCTTGGGTAATAGGCTTTTCATCGTCCGTTCCCGAGCGGTCCTTATCTTCCTGGCTATGGCTCGCGATCGCGTTTGTATTTTCAGGATCTTCAAGCCTAGGCTCTTCAACATCTAGAATGGGTCGAGGATTAGAGACTTTTATATTCTCAAGGTAATCCGGCTTGACATCCAATTTTTCAGGAGGACCCTCCCTGCCTTGCTTCTCGCGGATAGGCGTATTCTTGTGGCCATTAGAAGTTGAATCCTTATCAGAAGAAAGCTCGTCCAGGTTATTACCGTTGTCCGTTTCACCAATCGGAGGATCATCACCTGGAGATTGGCTAACGATAACCGTAGGAGGCAATCCTGCTTCCTCTGTTGGGGTAAAATCGTCGACGTCCTCGGGGCTACGGCTTGGAATGGCGTTGTCAATTATGTGTTGCGGCGGTTGTCGCTCAGCGGGACCTGGACTCGAGACTATCCCTAAGCCGCTAGTCTGGTGAGCTAAACCTTCTGAGCTATTCTCCCGTTTAGTGCTAGCTCGGTCCTGGCCCTGTTCCTGCGATCCATTAATTGTCTCCCGCTCCGGTGTTTGTTCACGCTCCGATTCCTTGGGAGCCTCCTGTACCGAGTCCGGTTCATTGTCTTGTTCCGCTCCATGTTGAGGTGGTAGCACCTCTTTTTGGCTACTTTCACAGGTAGCTTCGGCGGACTAATTATACATCATTAGTTTTAACCTTATATTATGGCTCTGGGAATACAGCTAAGTTAAGGACTGTTTGACTTACCGTATCGTTGGGATCGCGGGGTTTGCTGAATAACTCGATTGTAGCTTCATCTTCGGACTCGACTGCAAGCTCGTATGGTGTCTTGTGATCATTATCTTTGAACGCTTCATATTCCTCCCAAGTAACCTTTACATTTTCGTTGGTTAGACCGACCCGGAACTTAAAGACTTTGACAACCTCACTCTTTCCACCTCTAGCGGCTGTGTGTAAAGGTATTCTTCCTCTTATGTCACGCTCTACTTCACTAGACCCCTTCTCGAGGAGTAGCTGAACGATGGCAACATAACCGTACCTTGCTGCCTTGTGCAAAGCAGTTTCGAGAGCCTTATCCTTCGCTTCGATCTGTTTTTTGGCTAGACGGTCAGGATGAAGAAGCTGGCGAACCATTTGAATATTACCCTTCAATACCGCAAGATGAAGAGCGTTTTCATCGTTTCCATCCTTGAAATATCTTAGCCATAGGGGCTTTCCGTATTGGAGATATAACCCCAAAATTCGCGCTGCACTATCATTACTTGCTGCAACCTCGTGCAGAGGGTTCCGACCCAACGTATTGCGTTGGGTGAGGTACGACCCCAATTCTTTTTTCAACAGGCTTTTGACGGCTTCGTAGGCGTTTTCGCCGGCAAGATGTAGAGGGATGTTTCCATCATTGTCTTTGATACTATTGAGGTTCGGACTGGTTTCGCGTGTTGCGAAGATATCCGCGGCAGCCACGTTGCCTTCACGAATGGCGCGGTGAAGGAACGTTCGGCCCCGGGCGTCGAGGATGTCAACCTTTGCTCCTCGAGCCTCCAATAACTCAACAATCTTGTGGCATCCAGTCTCGGCTGCAAGGTATAAAGGCGGCCGACCGAGGCTGTCAAGTTCGTTAATATCCAACCCAACTCCAGCTTCTTCGGCGACAGATAAAAGGGCTTTGATGGTATCGAGGCAGCCTTGACTCGCCGCCTGGTGAAGGAGGCCCCAGCGACTGGGGTCATCTTCTCGCGCGCAGAACAGAGCTTTTCCAGTAATACCATGTTTTGAGATTATGACTGTAAGCAATTCCTTCATAAACCCCTCTTGCTTCTGTCGTGCTGCAGTGTATAGTACATTTTCACCTTTATTGGTCAGTGCGAATGGGTCTAACCCGATCTCCAGCAATGGTTGGATAGCTCTAGTATCCCCGGTCCTTGAAGCCTTATGGAACATGGTTTCACCATCTTTGTCTTTCACATTCTTATTCGCTCCGTATTCGACAAGCAAGCGAGCCATTGAGGCACGGCCCCGCTTAACGGCAGCATATAAAGGCGTGTTTAACAGATTATCCTCAAGGTCGATGCTCGGTATTCTAAGCTGCTCGAATAGGAATCGAACCGCCATTTCATTCCCAGACTCCGCCAATTGATGGAGTAGGGTTTGCCCATAGTCGTTTCGGACATCCAAATTTGCGCCCTCCGCTATTAGAAGCTTGGTGGCATCCCCGTGGCCGCCCGACGCAGAGTAGTAGAGGGCCACTTTGCCCTTCTTGGCGTTGTCTATTGTATCAATGTAGTATCTTTGTTGTGCATTGCCCCTCTCTAGCAATATTTTTATCACCCCGCAGTGTCCTCCGGCGGCAGCATGGTGTAGAGGCGTTTTCCCGTCCTTGTCTAATGAGGTAGGGCTGGCTTCGGACTGATCTAGTAGCTTCCTGACAACATCGTCTTCACCATTGGCAGCGGCAATATGGACGGTCGCATTCAGTACATCCTGACTAAAATTTTGATACGAAAGCTGGTCCTGGCGGTTCTCAAGGATTCTAAGGTACAGATCTTTCGCATCTTGATCTATTTTCGCAGCTTCGTCCATTTTTGCCGATCGATGCAAGATCTATTAAACACGTATTTTAGCGCATTGTCAACGAAAGAGACGTTTCCAACAAGGGTTTACCTGGATAAAACTTTTTAAATTGTCTTAGTTTTATTAATCTTCCTAGGATGCAATACCAACTAAATGCAATGCGCTCCCTGTACAGGCAATGGAGAAAAGATTATTGGTCGTCGAATTCATCAATTGTGATATGGATCCATGAAGTTAAAAATTCGGGGTTCAAGTTGGGACAGTTATCACAAAATACGATCTCAAAACTAGCAGAATGTGACGAACGGATGACTATATGTCAATTGCTATTTGGCGTGGTTGAGGACATTTCTCACACATTGAATAATTTTACATACAGATAAAATTTATCAGAGACGCCATGAGAAATTAACACTCGATAAAGTCAGGGCCCGGGGCAAAGTAGTACTGGCTAATTTGCCCTGCTTTTGAAAGGCCCCGATCATATGACGCCTAGGGCCCCTATAGTCTATCTGTTGACGGATAGCTAGTAAATGTGGGGGTTTGAGTCGCCTGTTGTATATTAACATATTGTATACCAATATGTCGCACATGTACAACATCAGACCTATCCTCCTGAGGATGGGACTACAGATGTAATACAGTACATACGTGCAGCTAGCTTACATGCTGCTTATAGGCGCCTGGATATCCGAATTTGAGGCGAGAATACAAGACATATACCTGGGCCGCTGGGTATGCATGCATGCAATATATGCATTGAACAGAGCTAGAGACGTCCTATGAGTTGTCCCCGGGCCCCAGCCGCAGAATTGCATTGCGTAGACACTAGCTACGACTAGAGTCCAATCACATCTTGTCTGCAGCTGCAGAGCAGCTGCGGGTGGTGCAAGAGCTCGAGCTACAGAGCTCGAAGCGAAGGTGTTCATAGACGGCTGGGTCCTGATAACGTCCCCGGCTTGGGGATAGCTATAACCGACATAATTGCATATAGCAGAAGAAGTTTCGCTAATTTTTGATTTTTTGAAAATTCCAACGCTCAAAAAGTGGATCAAAAGGTGGACCCCAGATACTGAGAATATGGATTGAAGTATCCACGTCTGGATATAGTTACTATAACGCTCCAGATAGGAAGGAAAGAGTCACGAATGTGTTTGCGCATGTGCAAAATTAACTATTTTTTCTTTTTCTTATTCACTCCCTCGTATGATAATACCAATAGTTATGATTGTATACGCAGCCGACCTCGCCCTTTCGAGTTCATTTTCGTATAATTTACGAGTAGAAAATAAAATTTGAGTAGCTATAATGCCCGATAAAGATCAGATATCTGGCGAGGATCCTAAAATCGAGATACTCGACAACTTAAGAAGATATTTTCAGCGTTATACGTTAACACACCAGACTTGGTTTCAATTGCATCGATGTCTGGCGCTTTAATCCCGGAACCAACCCATTTTAATATCTCTTAACCCATTCTTTACTCCCCTTAATTAATCAAAATTATTTCATAATTGCTACATTCACAATAATGGCAAAAGGCCCCTTTGATCAGACGAAACTCGCAGAATTCACAGCAAGACTCCGCAAAGATGGTCTACACACCAATCTCAAGATCCAACTTGACAAAAGCATCGGTGTAGTTATTGGCACCGAAGCTCTAGCACTTGGTACCAATCTTCAGAACCAGATTTGGAAATTGATGACTGAGCAGTTGTCGGATCGATTTGTGGTTGATTTTGCTCAAGAACTCTTGAACAAGCTCAATAAAGCTGCTGAAAGAGACAATATCAAACCGAAGAGATCAAAGTTTGGAACTAGGTCTGCTGGCGCATCGGGCCCCAACCGGCAAATAGTATGTGACAAGTCTAGTCTCCTAGGATTCTATATTTTGACCATGTATCCGACTTAATTACATATTTGCAAAGATGATCCCAATACTAACAATCAATTGCTATCTCGATATATATATATATAGCCTCACGATGTAAAAGAAGTTCTTCTGAATTTGGAAGATTTTATAGATAAAAACAAGAGCCCTTTCAAATTCAATACCCAAACCTTGATGGATATGGCCGTGGCCGTTGCAGAAAAAGGAGAAGAGATCTGCGAAAGTTTAGGTCTCTCTGAAGACGAGCTTTGGGGGCTAGCTAACGTTTCTCTTTATGACATACACTTCTTATGTGGTACGTATCTCCGACTACTTAGGACACCAGTGTTTCTGTATCAACTTATCTAACTGAAATCATAGACGATAGTGGATCGATGCAAATCAGGAATCGCAAAGAAGCTTTAGTCCGAACGCTACAGAGCGTCGCATATTGGGCCGCTAAACTCGAACCTAGAGGTATATCGATACGATTTATCAATTTCGAAGATCCCGGAGACAGTAGCTGCGACGGGTTGGTCACTATTGATAACGTCAAAGATGCATGTCACAAAACCAAGCTTGAAGGCGAAACAGAGCTTGCCAAAGCTTTGGAAGACAAGATATTAGGCCGAATATCGAGAGATCGGAAGGCTGCTGAAAGTTCGCCGCAATACCAAGGGCTTGAAAAACCGGCAATCGTTGCAATAATTACGGACGGACAAGTAGGTTGCCTAAATCTATAACATACTCTAGCGGATATATATATTTACAGTATACCGCGTCAAATAAACTGGAAAATAGGCACGTGCAGTGCATGCTAACTTTTCTTTCCACGCGGCAGCCAACAGACTTTCATGACAGTGATTTTGAAGAAGACTGCGACGACATCGATCCCAGTAAATATGGTTTCAAACATTTTCGCAACGCCATAATGAAGTTTATAGATGAACTGGAGCTGGATTCAGTAATATTTATTTTGTTTAAAGTGGGGAAGGCTGACGAGACCGAAGAATTCATGAAAATGATTCGAGCGGACAGCAAAATCAAGAGTGTTATATATTGCTCTGAGAGGAAGCTTGAAGCGCATGACCCCTACTTCCACCGGCACAGCCAAGCCAAGTCGACGTCGGCACCCGACAGTGATGAAGATAGCAGTGAAGATGATAACGAAGATGATAGTGAAGATGGTAATGAAGACGGCAATGAAGAATCCACTACTTCAAAACTTAGTGATTACCAGAGGGAGGTTAGTTCTACGGTTTCTTGCCACACTAGTCCACCACAAGTTTTAATTATGCTAACCGCTATGATCTCTGATATCTTTAACAGATTTTACATCAATTTATTAGTGCTGTCCGAGAATGCCACCAAGCCAATGACGGAGAATAGATTATAAGCTTGAATCTCTTACTTATATTTATGTACCTAGCAAATAAAGGTTCCATCAGCGTACGAGAGGAAGCCATGTTAGATTTATAAACACACCTATCGATATATCTTTGGAAATTCATTCCAACGACCATATCATGTTATAACGTTTCCCGAAAAATTCTTTGACACAATTCCAATTTGTCTCGTACCCAGCCCCACGCAAAAAAATCTTAAGTATATTTAAATTTAGTGGGTTTCTGTTGGAGTGGAAGCTCGAAGTCCAGCCTCATAGTTTTAGCATGGTACAAAAGTATCTAGTCTGGGTATACACATCTCATTGTTTGAGGCTATATAGGTAGACACTAAATATTCTCCAAAATGTTCGATACAAAGTTCAAAACTTTGAGCGATGCATCGATGGCTGATCCAACAGCATATATCTTGTTCCCATTTTCAAGAATTAACGCCAGAATCAACCATGTCGTTGAGTAACAACCCGGTGATCTCAACATGGCCAAACTTTTCCGCCAATTGTAGAGCAGTCCTCCCTTTTTCATCCCTCAATGTTGTCAAAGGCACACCTGATTTGGTTTTCTTATCCCGCAGAAATTCAACCACTTCTTTCTGGTTGTAGTCGACTGCAATCTCCAAAGCTCTACTACCCGCGGAGCTCTGAATTCCGGGATCTAATCCGCTTCTATCCATCATATCCCTCATCTTTCCCACTAGACCATCGCGAGCCGCAGAAAACCAATGATCTTGTCGTTCCAAGTCCGCAGTTCTCAGTTTCCCTAATACCAAACTATTCCCGTTCCGTGTTGCTAGATCCTCTGGTGACTCTTCATCTTTGTTTTTTGTATCCCATGAAGCCCCCTTTCTAACAAGGAGTTTAAAGATGTCGAGGTACCCCTTCTCGGCCGCTTTAGCGAGACAAGTTGTCCCACAACTGCATGAGGTATTTGGATCTGCACCCTTCTTCAAGAGCGAACGAACCTCTTTTCGGTCATTCTCGAGGACGGCTCGGTACAGCGCTGGACCGAGACTTTCTGGTTGGTTTGCGGTGTCCTGGATACCAGGCATTTTGCTTTTATTCTACCGGATCGATAGAATATGTACAGGACTCGATCGGTAAAGGTTGGGACGAGCTATGTAAGCTTGGAATTCGATGATTCGGCACAATTCATAGCCCTCTTAAGTGCTCTTCAGCATGGCCAACTTCGACGAAGCCGCGTTTTCATTCACAATTTATACATCACATGCACTGAATAACAATGCGAACGGGAGATATGGTGACACGGAATAGCTAATGCAATAATGATTTGATGCAGCGTTTTCTTTTCATTCCTCGTCCTGCTTCGTACACGGCCTAGCGGATTCGGGCTTCATTCGTATTCAAGCATATAGGTCAATGCAAGTGCATAAAATGCGTTTATACATACTTAAGTACTTAAGAAGTTAATGAAGTTAATGAAGATAACCTTCTAGTTCGTCGCTAATCTTCGAATCAGAGTCTACTAGCTTGTAAATGTACCTGAAATGCATGTCTATCCATCCTAGGATATCCTCATCCTCTTGCATATGATTTTCTTTTTCTTTCTTTTTTTCTACCAAGGTCCTACGATCCTAGAGCTCCTATGATCATGGAACGAAAGAACTTTCGCATTCGATTGTATTGTCTACCCGGTATCGGACCGTCTACTTCGATTTACAAGGCGGCCTAGGACGCATCATACAAGATTCCCAACATTTCTTTTGGTTTCTCTCAATTCTTGTAATAGAGACCACTCGTATACCATACCAAGATGCGGGGATCTATGCATTGACTCCTCTTCAATTCATTATGGTCACTTGATCCATTGATACTATATACGTGTCTGCGCGCGATTCAATCGATTGTCGAATTTGCTATCACAGGATCCAGTTCCACAGGCTCGTAGCTAGGAGCCCAATTTGGGTATTTTAAGCCAGGCAAGTGAAAGTGAGAACTTCAGGAATATCTCTATATCCTTCAGGATTCCGAGTTTAATCAACGAAAAAAATATTCCCAAATCAACTGTTATACGTTTTATTCACTGAAACTGGCTTTTTTTCTCTTTCCCACAAGCAAAAATGACGGAAGTAATGGTACCTACCGACGAGCCGTCAAAATGGGTGTGCCGTTTGGAAATATCCTATGGTACGAGGCCTCTACTTTGCCGATAGTTGTTTTAACGTTTCACGGTTGTCTAAAATACCAATATATATACTTAAGTACTTAAGTACTTTCTATGTGCGTAAGCTAATTTTGGTATACTTTCGTGGTCATCCGGCAGAGCTAGAGCAGTATCAAGACAAGCGTGGATCCGGAACAGGGTTTCTGGTCAACATGCCACACACCAACATGTATTGTATCATGACGGCTGGGCATAACATTGTTCATGCCAAATTCGGACCGACATCCAGTATACTGGTTACGTTTCCAAACAAACTGAAGTTTGAAGCATACCTGAACAAAAAGGAACTATTCGCTGCGAAGGAATTTATGAAAGCCCCCGCGCTAGAGTCGGATCAAAAAAGTTCTTACGAGGACTACGGAATGATTATTGTCGACAGGGATAGGGTCAAAGCCGAACTCGAGCATTCAAAGGTGATTACAGACGCGAAGGCAGAAGTGGAGCTTCTAAAAAAGAAGTTGGAGGGTATCAATGAAAAGATTAAGAATCAGAAAGCTGAGATAGAGACTTTACAGGCGGAATCAAAAAAGATCGAGAAAGATATAGAGAGTCGGCAGAAGTCTATCCGATTGCAGTTGGATCGAGTTGACCTGTATGGTTGTGCTTTCAGTTGTATGTTTTCCACGTTCGACTTGGCTGAAAAGGAAGGCTCTGTTTATGGGCACATGGAGAACAGTAAAACTCAAACTAAAAACACATCCCACTTCTCATTGACGCAGCCTACTACTTTGGATTACAGTAAGCAGACAAAGCCAGGCGTTAGTGGGGGGCCGGTTTTCGTCACGAAGGGGGGAAGTGACATTGCAGTCGGGATCCAGTAAGCCTACACTTACTTACCTAGGTTCTCAGGTACCTAAGATAATTAAGCTTATATACTTGCTAACCGAAATCCGAAGTAACTACCACTTTCGGGCAACCCGGCTGACGTACTCAGTACTGTCAGAGATGGTCTCTTGGATCAATGACTACAAACGCCTCTGGCAATTCGAATTTATGGAATTGAAACCGGACCCAGTAAAATTTAAAGGGAAGAAGATGGTTCAGACGGGGTCTGGCATTTACCTCCACACAACCAGTGGGCAAAACCCTAATATCGTTGCTCGTCCAGGCGGAGATGCAAACAGCTGGTTCCAACTCATCGCTGTATCAGGGTCGAAGAAGGTCGAGCGCAAGCCCGGTGAAGACCAAGAATTTCGATTTGCAATATTACCAGCACGGCCTATACAGGTCACCCGAGAAAGACGCAAGCCAGAGGATCCTGAGCTTCATTGTTTTCTAAAGTGTACCGAACACGGTCCTGCGGCCTTCAGCATTGCATCTGAACCACTAACTGAAAACGAATTTTGTGTTACCATGACGGCACCTACTGCTACCGGTACCGGTACCAAGACTAAGATAACTTGTATCTTTCCCGCTCTGGAATCAGATGTATCAATGGTCATAGAGCGGAAGAAACGCAGCGCCTTTCAATGCAGTTGTATATCACAGGACGACGACGTGAACTTCCGTTCCGTAAATAATGGACCTTGTTCATTTTTTCTCATGTCCCATGTTAAGGATTGAAGAGGGGAAGCTGCAGCTTGAATGGGAATCAGGGTTAAACGGCTGTAGAAGAATCCGCAAATAGCAGGTGCATACAGGCCGTAACGGTCCCCCAACGAACACTAGCGCACTTCGTCAACCACAAATCCGCAAACCTTTGTATTTACATACAGGTACTATAGATGCATCGTATCGCAATTATTCGCAAATATGTATGTAGCACGAGCGGCAATCGTTAAACCCCACGAGATGCTATTTTCTTGCATGCTATTATGTCCAATCGCATGTTTTATTTCGTCTACATGTATCCCTCATTGGTTCTTAAGATCTTGTAGTTTCTTATCATATCTCGCAATCCAGGTTATACGTACAAGGCTACTAGCTACTTCTTAACTACAATGAAATACATCCAATCATTTAATTGGCCACAAGGGCTGTGCATTGTTGAAGAAAAGCTGTCGGTATACTGTTTATCCGCACTCCGAACCTCGAGATACCGATGCGAATCCTTCTAGATAAATTTACCCTTTTTCTATAGTTGCATTGATCGACGCAGTGTGCTTGCGCATTTCATACCATTCCTATCCAGCTGCGGATAGCACGTTCGCCTGCGCAGCCACCACAAAAGAATTTCTCCCTATCCTCGGGAGGATGTATTATGCATATCGCGCAATTGCTATTCTCTTGTGCACAAACTATGCATGGTTTTGGAATGTCAGTCTAGTCTTAGCCCGGAAACGTTGCGGATCTGAGACTAGAAATGTTGCTGCTTTCTCCACGTCGAAAGTGCATCTGCACAGCTGCACATCACCGGATTGGGAGCCCTGGTATCCTGGTGGGGATAGCTATGGCATTGTCAGCAACCATCCAAATTCGATCATTGTTATCTATGTGCATGCCGCGCCAAAACGGGCGACTTTCTTCCTTTCTCCTTTTCCCTTTCTCAAAAAATAAATATCTTTTTCCCGCCAAAGATACGAAGTAATATATCCAATGCCGAAGAGTAAGTGCGCGGCACGCTGCCAGTTTGCCACGTAAAATTGCAACATCCTTAACACATAAATATATGCATATGAGGAGTAATGCTGGGAGTCGACGTCGACTAGGACCTACGAGCTGGCAGGGTCTCAGGCCACGATAGACTGCCAACATCCATTTCTTCGGCTTATCTCGAGTCGTTGGCATTACTTTAACCTCATTATTTACAATTATTATCTATTGTAAGAAAGCATAAATTCGTAGAGATATGAAGCTATAATCCAAAGATAGAAGACCAAAAAATCACCCTTAGTCTAAATTGCAATTGATAGTCTATGATATCTATAGATCAACTTGATCTAAATCTTCATTCAATATAGTCATTGGGCCGTTTTCTTTAGCCATCAAAACTTCTTACCAAGTCTGAATAAGAAAAAACTCGATCGCTCCACCTTCCTCATTTTAATTATGCCTCCAACGTCCCATAGGACGAGGTTTTTCCGTCATGAGTACACCGTCGGTTGGCTCTGCGCTGTATCGGAAGTAGAGCTACCAGCAGCAATGCAGATGCTGGATGTTTTTCATGATGATCCTTATGATCCAGTACCCAGCAGCGACGACAACGCCTATACTTTTGGCTCGATAAATGGCCACAACGTTGTCATCGCATGCCTCCCTCCCAACTCACCAGGGAAAGTGTCAGCAGCGAGACTAGTAGCGCCATTATCCCAAAGCTTTACCAACATGAAAGTCCATCTATTCGTTGGTATTGGCGCCGGTATACCTCGGACCCCGTCTACCACAGATGCCAAGAAGAACATTCACTTGGGAGATGTTGTAGTTGGCTGGCCGGCGGAAACGGGGTCTCCAATTATTGTTCAGTATGACTTTCGGTATGCTGAATCTAGCGACGTCGGCGCCGGCGCCCAAAGACTACTTGGTCACGACCAAACACCAGATCGGAGGCTGATTAGTGTTCTTGGAAAGTTGTTGGGAGCATATTCAGCAGGGAGAACGAAATTTCCAAAAATTGAGGAAAGCTTGAATGAGGATTTCCAGCACCCCGGATTAGAGCACGATAGACTTTATAAATCAGAATACGCCCATCCAAAGGGCGAAATTGACTGCTCAAATTGTGACTCTGGCCACCTTGTAGACCGGCCTAAACGACAAACGACAGACTTTGTATTTCATCGAGGGACAATTCTCTCTGGTGACAGTTTTGTAGGAGGAGCTGAACTTCGAGACAAACTCGCTAATGTTCATAATACCGCTCTTTGTATCGAAATGGAAGCAAGCGGTGTTATAGACCAAACACGCTGTCTTGTGATTCGAGGCATATGCGACTACGCCGACACCCATGTCAATCGGATGTGGCAAAAATATGCCGCAGGTACAGCCGCAGTTTTCGCGAAACAATTCTTACATACACTCCAACCTCAGGCTATTGAAAGGTTTGATACTATACCCAGTACGTCACGAAGCAAATCCCGCACTCGAATAAAAGAATGAGTTCCTTAAAAAGGTGGATCCGAGGATGCCCATCAAATTTCTTGTACCAAGCACTGCTATATACTATTTAAGTTTATCCGTTTATTGTCTTTTGAATTTTAGTATGCCGAATTCAGCCATGTAATCGATGGTATTATCTCGTTGCAAAATACTTGGCCCGGAAAACCTGTTCTTTCTTTCTAGTTGAAGTTCAAACGTTAAACTAACTGTTTGAATTATTGCTTTTCATTGATATATTTACTCATTGAAATTAATGGTACATTGCTTTAAAATCGAGTACTAGCCCTAGTTTATTTCTATACATATAAATAGAATACCGCTGATTTCGAAATTTCCACAAAATGATAGTTATTAGAAAACAGCCCGCCGATCGGGATGAAGAGTTTACCGCTCGAGAGGATATACTCGATGAAATCGAAGCCAAATTCCAATCTGAGCCCATTGTTGGTCTCACAGGTGTCGGAGGCGTAGGGAAATCGCATATCGCCCTAGAATATTTCCACAGATTCAGCGAGAAGTTCCCGGAATGTTCGGCAATTTGGATTGCCTCGAGAACCAGAGCCCGCTTCATAGAACAGTACAGAGAGCTGGTCGAGACACTCGGATTTAAAAATTTACAAGACCAAGCTCCTGAAAAAGTCATAACATTTGTGAACGACTGGCTTTGTCAGCAAGGCAACGAATGGCTGCTGGTGATCGATGATGCACAGCCTGAAATTTCACATCCCGAGGATGCTTCTTCAGGTTCCACTCGCGCGATGAAAAAAGACTGGTTAACTTTGTCAAAGTGTCTTCCGGAGATGAAAGCTTTTTGTGCTACAAAATCCTTCCGGCGCGTGCTCTCACAGTCACCTGAGAACTTTAGAACACTATACCCTACGGAGGGTTCAAATCAAACCACAGACAGGCGCAGAATTCTCTTTACTTCGTCTGATCAGGAAATGATAGACTCTCTGCTTAACTACAAGGTTGAAAACTGTATACATGTCGACCCTCTAAGCAAAGAAGACGCAATCACTCTTGCAAATACGAAATTTGGAAATCGTGGAGTACAGGCCCAGATATCACAGCTCGTCGAGTTGCTGGGTCGAATTCCCCTCGCAATTGTTCAAGCTGTGGCCATAATAAAAAGCCGACAAACGGTTTCCATTTCAAGTTTTATTGAGAGGTGGAATCATTTTCAACAAGAATTGGTGAATCAAAATCAGAGTACAATTAAAAGAGGGGGGGAAACTACAAAGGCAATATCATATACTTGGCAATTATCATTGGAGCAAATTCGGATCACCAATCCATCTGCTGTCGGCCTTCTTTCCTCAATGTGCTTCCTAGATCCTACAGGAATCAGTGAGGATTTATTCCCAAATGATCCCGAATCTCCGGATATTACGGACAAAATGGAGCCCCTGCTTCGCCTTTCCCTCGTGTCCCCTCTACAGAAGCTAGAAGCAACAGAGAGATCTTCAGATTTCCAGATGATAGCGTTAGTCCAGGCCGCTATAATATCCTGGCTGCGTACCGAAAATAGATTCGAAGCATCTTTAGAGGCTGTGCTCAAAGTTCTATCAACAAACTTTGAGGATGGTGAATTCTCCAATGAGAATCAGTGGAAGCGATATTCCGGTCTTATCCCTCACGTCGATAAAGTCCTGAGAGACTTCCCCCCGACTGAGAGTAACTCAGATGAGATGAACAGTTACCGCGCAAGACTATTGCGTGCCTATACAAAGTATCTATGGCGCCAAGGGCAACTGCATCAGCTTGAGAATCTTTGCGACCAAGCGATCAACTTCCATAGCGATTATATCAACGACTCCAGACTCCTTTTACAATGCGAAGCCCTCAAGGGATCATTTTATCAGAGCACTGGCGATCTCAACAAGGCTGAGGAAGTTCAATCTAAGGTCTTGTCAAAGAGAGAAAAGGAGTTCGGTCGGCGCGACCCGGATACCCTTAGCAGCAGAAATGATCTAGCACAAGTTTTAAGGAATCGGGGAGAGTTCAATAGGGCAAAAAAAGAATTTCGAAAAGCATTTCGAGGCAGAAGAAGGAAACTTGGCCTCCAGAACAAATACACTCTCGATAGTATGAGCGATCTCGGCCAGATACTATACGACCTGAAACAGATTCCAGAAGCTGAGAGGAGGACTCAAAAAGCCCTTAACTTAAAAAAGGAATATTTAGGTCCCCAGCATCCTTCCACTCTAGCAACCATGTTGCAATTAGGACATATAAATGCATTCAAGAAAGACCCCGAATATATCGAAGCGGCTAAAAAACTATACCAAGAAGCATTTGACGGTTTCACGGCAGCTTTGGGCGCAGAGCATCGTGATACACTAATCACGCATAGCTACCTTGCTGATCTCCTATTACAACAAAAGAGCTTCAAGGAAGCCGGAATAATCTATTCGACGGTGTTGGCGGTCTACGAGAAAACATTCGGCGACCTCGACCCCGAAACATTGACAACTATGGTAAACCTTGCGACGGCACTGCGGCGCAAAAAAGATCTGAGAGGAGCTGAGGAATATTATCGAAAAGCCTTCGGTAAGATGCAGGAAATGGAAAGGAAACTCGATGTGAAACATATAAGCCTATTAGTTTGCCTTAATGGCTTTATCAAAGTGCTACAAGAATTAGTTATATTAGAGTCTCTCAATGAAGAAGAGAAGGCTTTGCTTTCGAAAGAGTTACAGGAACTAACCACTTATCGGGAAGATTACAAGGCCGCCAGGTCCAACTCGGCTGGGAAGCGGTCACAAAGTCACACTGGTAACGCGCGCCGGAGACATTATTTCCCTTTCGTTATGCGCTTCCTGGGCTATCTTTCGACATGGAATATCGAATCCAAGCTTTTCTAGAAAGCTAGATCTGTGATTATTGCAATTTTGCTTGCTTCACAAAATCAGAGTAACTAGCACCCAGTACCCGAATTGAATTGGCAATCGTTACGTATGATCATGCAAGGCCGTCTTTGCATTGTAAGCAGGATTGTTCAACTATGACGTCTACATGTACGTATACAAGAACTATTAGAACCGGTTGACCTGTCTATCGACCGCTATCAGGTTGATCTAGCCTTACTACCTTTCCGTAGCTGTGTGTCTTCAGCCTATTGCGCAATTAATCAAGGATATCGTCCATTATGCAATTAATCAAGGATATCTATGATGCATAAAGCAATACTGAAGAAAGTATTAAGCATCTGGAGACGTGGCGACAGTTCTGATTAATATTTCCGCTGACTTGATTTCTCATCCCCCTCGTAATCTGCACGCCTATTCACTCTTCGTCATCGGAGTCGTTGACTGCTGCCTTTAACTGCCAAATAAAAGTCTCCACGTCTTCGTGCTTATAGACCCCGCCCACATACTTTCCAATAAGGACCCGCTCTCCATTATGAACTGCATAAACCTCCCGCTCAGAAATTTCAAACTCAAGACCATAGCCCAGTTTCGTAGGTACAACGAATATCTTGCTCTGCACTGATCCCACGTCAGTCAACTCAATACTGGAATCTAAGGCAGAAAGTTAGTTAAGGCAATATAGTCAACAGTCGTACAGAGAAGTCAGCAAACATACCATCCCATCCACCATCCGAGACCATTGCAAGGTCATGGATGTGGCCATCAGGATGAGCATAGAATAAATGGGGCATTGGCTCCAGGGTTACTGCATACATGCTCGCACCGGGACCCAGTTTTGCCTGTTCCAGTTCATCGCCGATTTTCCATTCATCAGTCTTGTCGCTGTGGACGTATTGGAGGTTGCCACCTTCGTTCTGGAAGAAAACAAAGGTGTTACCAGAAATAGTCCTGGTGGCAGCAATCCCGGAATTTGGTGCCAACTTGATTCTTTCATCTTGAAGCATTCCTTCATACCATATCAAGTCTTCGTCCAACAAGAATTCTTGAAGAATATTCTCTTGTGATACACAGTAAAATGCCCGCTGCGCAGAACGAGGTATATTAGCATCTTACACTTTACTTTGATACTTGGAAGGTTTCGATTAGCTACCATTTCTTTGAATAATATATACGAGCCAGGGGTTCCCGGTAATGCGAAGCCCAAGGTATCGTTGGCAGTAGTTCTTCCTTCACAGTTCAATGTTATCCCTCTCAACTCTGAACTTCCGTTGTCTTGACAGATATAGTGCACGAATTTTCCATCCTGTATATGTGCTACAGTCCCCTTCGGAACAAGGATTTCGCGATTCATTTTTGAAAGAAAACGGACTCAATGCTGTGTAGCGTAGGTGCAGTCTCGACGTCTCGTGTCCAAACGGAACAAAGCGAATCAGCCGAACAGTTTGGTCGTGAATTTGAGCAATTGAGTTGGCAGTTAATTCTCAATCCTGGGATCCGAGCTTCAGATATCAGGAGCTAGATCTATAGAAATGGTCAATCAATTGATCAAATTTCTATGAGTAAGGTAGCAAGCATGGATTTCGGTCTCCATAGCCATAGCTAGGGTGCATAAGTATATATAGAGAGCTGGTAAGTAGCGAGCTAGTGTCATTCAGACACATGTTTTAGACATATTAGATTTTATTGCATTGAAGAGTTTTTCTAGTATCGATACGTATCATGATCATGGCACGAATCCTGCACGACATACATATACTACCTTTACCTAGATATGTATTATATCCCGCCATGCACGAGTAGCAAAGTTTTTTTTTTGAAGTAGAATACGGCGAGTCTACCGGTCGGAAGTACTTTGGCCTGGGGTCGCCAAGCGCAACCTCAGCTGTGCCAATAGAAGGATATATCATCACGCAGGGCTGTACAGCCCTTTCGCTAGGTATCTATCCTGGAGAGGATAGACTGCACGGGATATATCGATATCGATATATCAACGCAGCGCCTTGTGCTAATTAGTGGCACGTACAAGGTGGCTTTTCAATGCAAAGTCGATCAGGAGGTCGACAGGTCTTGATAAATGTTTGCTGAGCTCAGATGTCTAATCATGATCGACTATTGATTAATGGGAAACTATCCAGTGCAATGCGCTGGGGTGAGACAATTTCACGAACATGGGCCCCAGCCCAGGCGATGTAGATGTTGATTATGTCAATGGCGTTAGCTTTGGGAGCGCTCTGCTATTCCTTCACAAACTCTGGATCGACCTCCAAAATAGCAACTTGCAATTACATTTGCAGTTGCTCGGTATACGCGGTATACGGTATCTATATCCCAATTTCTTAATAAAAGTGTTCTCGAAATCTCGAAAATTGAGAATTCCAGATCCTTTGTAGCCTATACAGGCGGTAGTTTAGATATTCCCGTATCGATATCATGCGTAGTTTAGTCCCGTACCTAGATCTACATAAAACGAATTTAATTGCCGACATGTGCATGTATATCCATCGTGAACATCGGGGATACCGTGCAACACAAAAATGTAGATGTCGGAACTTCTCCGCCTTGCGCTGAGTTTTAGGTACGCCTGGATCGATCCCAGTTCGCCACGACACCTGGGATCCATACTAAACTCGATAGGAAAACATGATCATACTGACGAGTTAGTCTGGGGGTCGCTTCCTAAAGCCTGACGAATACTCAATTCATCTAGTGTACAGCTGTATACTCGTATGTATAAATAGAAGTCGACCTCCAGCCAACAAATCACCTAGTTAGTAAAATCTAACAACGTTTCTTGCATTGCATTACATATTAAACCTACCAATTCTAAAAACTTAACCGGCTTCTACCCCCTCTTGGGTCTCTTCCACTTTTCTGGTTAGGGCTTTTACTAGCTTGGCTTCTTTGTCCCTCTCTCGACGTGGACCCTGTGGGAGACCTCGTACCATTGCATTTTACAATCACTATCATCGTAATCTCAGAAACTGCCTATATTCTTTGTCCTTGCTTTACAATACAATACTTAAAACTTCAATCTTAATTTTAATTGAAATTACCCCGAGATACCGGTCTTCTCTGGGAAATCAACGATACCAATATATATATATATCGATACGGCACTTCTAACGAAGATTCAACCCATGTCACTCCCAAGCAACAACAAGCTACAACGCCAAAATTCCTGTAAAGAAGATATAGACCCTGAGAATGTTCCAAGTCGGCCGGAACATTTCGCAAGAATTTCTTCACACAGAGAGCTTCGAGAACCTCTGGAAGGGAAGCAGTTACCAAACGTTTTACCGCATTCAATTGAAGCTGGGAACGATGCTTACTATATTGGAGATGTATACGCACCCTCAAATATTGTCCATGACTGGGAAATTGATACGTGTGAAGAACCTCCACCCCAGCAGACAAAATCTATTAACTCGTCAGTTAATATTTTGAAACCTAGTGATGATAGGTGTTACCTTCAGTATATCAAAAATATATCGAGAGGATGGCCCGGCTTATCATATCTGTCAAAATGGATGGAGGTCACTACGTCGCCCGTGAAATGGAAACACATTACTACGGATAATCGAAAAATCCGTGCCGAAAGGACTAAAGTCGCTATTATTGACGTTTTTCCAGAAGGCCCGGAAGTCCAATTGTTCTATGACATTCATAAACTCGAGGAATTCTTTAAAAATCCCAAAAATATTAATCCGGACCACGAAAGACTCTTCATCGTGGAAGACATATCTCGAGATGTCGTGGAGTTACTTGGGAGCCATTACAACGTGGACCCGTTTTTCTGGAGAGGCCATATTAGTGATTATCTGTGGTATAATACTAGAGATCCTTGGGTCGAACTAGAAGAGCTTCCACATATCGCTGGGGAAAGAAACTACTTTAACCTACCTTACGTCCACCCGAGATACTTTCAAAACCAGGAGTCATATTTAAAGGCTACAGTAGAGGCAGGAAAAATGAATGTGCTTAGACGTTTGGATAACGACGGCATTAATGTTTATGTCCTAGATAATGACGAGTCGGTTGTAGCACTCTGTCGAAGTAAAGCTTCTTTCTGGATGAGACCTGAGGGTGGAAAAGCTAAGGAAGAACGTGCTTTAGGTAAGCTTATAAGCCTGGGCTCTAGAGATTTGGCTATACCTGAAGCTAATATATGTATGAATCCATAGGTATTCTTGTTGTAGACCCGAGTTTCACAGAAGGGTCGCCACTTTGGGGAGGATATCGAAATTTTGATCCTTGTCCACCTCTTCATGCGGAAGAGTTTGGGGTACCTCCAAAGGATACTCTATTTGACAATACCGTTCACTGGACGATGAAGAATCTGAGGGAACAACAAGGAAATCTTAAACACCAACCCAAACTCATGGCAGTGTCTATTCTTAACATTATTGCCGCAGAGTGGCTGACGGTTAAGCAATATCTTATAACGCGTTTAACACAAATCGAATGGGAGCTCCAAGTTCCAGATTTCCGTGGTGAAGGTGTACAATACGGTTTGGACCGTTGTTTGAGTCGACTTCACCCATTTCGTCGCTCGCTACCTGCCTATCGAAGATGGATCGAGAGCAACCTAAACGGCATTCTCAACGACGAGGACCTTAAATCTCTGGATTCAGTGAACAATCCTTTGGTCAAAGCAAGAACGGACTTTACGACCATTTTAAAAGAACTAGATGTAATCGAAGGACGAGTGCACAATATGGTCAATACCGTCGCCACAATATTATCACTAGAAGGAATGAAGAAAAGCACAAAACAGAACGACACAATAGCTCGCCTAACCATTCTCGCCTCAATCTTCGGTCCGTTATCATTCGTTTCGAGCTTTCTAAGCATGACTCCGGATATAACAGAGTTACGCTCCACCGCCGGATACTTCTTTATTTTAGCGATACCGCTTACTTTATTCGCCATTTCCATTGCGCAATGGCCTGCGATAAAGAACTTTGTCATAGCCAGATGCCCCAAGCGAAGGGATCGAGGTAATCAGCATATGGTCTGATCATACAAACTAGCTTGCTATTATCTACGGTCGCCGGCGGACACGAGCTAGACACCAAATTAATCGACTGAAGCTTGGATATCTCATACATTACGATGCCCGGGGGCATATGTGTGCCGGGATTGCCAGCATAAATTAATATTTTATGGAAATTAAATTCAAAGCCGCGAGGCTTTGTGGGACAGGAATCTAGAAGGACTGGTCTTCCAAACAATACGAGACTCAACCTTTCGCTACAACTGGCAAAGGTGATCTCGGAGTATACACATAAGAGTGCTGCGGTGCAGCAGCACCTTAAATGGAAACCATTCTGCGGTATACCTCACGGTGAGGGTTTTGGTGCAAATCGGACAAGCGGTATATATAAACATATAAAGACAATTTAAAACCTCCCAGAATTGTCTGGTTGGAAAAAACTTATACAAATTAATAGGTACATAGCATTAGTGACGTTCTAACAACACTAAATTTTTCGATGGTGATAGAAAACGGAAATATTTACAAGAAGCTTGTCCGTCGGTGCTGGCATGAACCCGAGCACAATCTATATTATTACGAGTACGTATTGTATACCTACGCACTATAGATGTTCCACTGCCTCTACGCCAATTACATGGCCAAGTTTTCGAGGCCCCCTAGCATAAAACCGGCCCCATCGTCTGCGATCCGATGAAACTTTTGGAGCTGAAGGTTGGCTACTTCGCGATCGTGCCGAAGAGTGAGACACCCGCTCTTCAATGATGTCCAGTATCATATTTACATAAATCGATATCATGTATGTGTATGTTTGTGCATGGTCTTAGGTGTATGTAGGAACAAAAACGTAGTTTGTTTGCAAGTGCGCGTGTGTTTATGGTAGAGAGGATGAAAGAAGGCTTTGCCTTTGGCATTTTCTTTTCTATGTACAAAAAATCCGGTACGGTGCCGGCACCCCAGTGGAACTGTCTACCTTTGCACCGTTGGAGTGATTTTTAGATTTCCATGATCGTCATATCTCGCCTCTGTATCAATTGAGTTAGCCAGCATTTCCCACAAATTTTCGGACTTAAGAAGAATACATACTGAAAAATGTATAACTCAGAGTAATAGTATCTATACCCTTCATCTGAGGATCTTTCACAAACTCCGGATCTATGAAAAAGAACACAGGCATATCCACCGTCTCACCCTTCAATAACTTCTGTTCTTCAAAGCAAAAGCATTGAATCTTGCTGAAATACGGGGCCACCTGTGCCGGTGTAACACTGTATGTTGCGACTCCCACGATATCCTCATCACTCTTATTCGTAGCCGTGTAGAAAGCTAAAGCTGTTTCACCGGGTAGAACTCGTACTTCTCTTTGTTGTGGAGTGAACTTCCATTGTAGAGCATCAGATACCGAACCATTGAAGGTGATCCTAAGACGACGGTGAAGAAGAGGGTCCACGGGAACAAGCTTGTCCGGAGTGAAACGGGATTGGTCGGTAATTGGAGTACCGCCGTATCCGGTCCTTTGGCAAATAGCACGATAGAATGGGACAGCGGCGTAGGAGAACCCGGTAACTCCGACTATAATAGATATTGAGTAATACTAAAACAATCCAGTTAACCAATTTAAATTTAACTTTTAAAAACAGCAGGCAATGAAAATATACCAAAATAGACGTATTACGCTTTTTATAGACTGGGCTATAATCTGGATAGGCCTTCGGTCTTTGGAACCGTGGCGGGAGAGTGGTGAAGAATCGGGAAGACCGTTGACATGTCGGCTGGAGGCTTCGATATAGACATGTCGTAGAAGGCTGTCGATACAATTTCCCCAGCAGGTCAGTCAAACCTCCGGACCTAGTTAAAGCCGCCTTGTAGAGAGGCGGAAATGCTCGTACCATCCTCTCGACTCGATATTATTAGCTATCTCGTATGCATGGGATGGGCATGTTCCAGACCAGGCTTAGCAGGAACGGGATGTGTTGCAGGTGAGGTCAAGAAATTTTGGGCGCTGTGCTGGGCGGACTCGGCCGACAACCGACACAACTCGACCAACCACTTTCTTTATCCTCGACAGACGCGTTTGACCCCAGAAGTTTAGTTGACCATCCCTCCCATTCACCTTTATTACATTACACACCATCGGAGAAAATGGCTCCGTCACTAGGTATTTGCAAGTTCTGCGAGAAGGAACAGGCAAAATACAAATGTCCGAACTGTGCTGCCCCTTAGTACGTCGTCCGTCCCCTAGTTCTGTTAGTTGATTTGCGATGAGGGTGGTGGTAGTGGTGGTGATGACGATGATGCTAATAGGTCGCCTGGCAGCTGCGGTCTCGTTTGCTATAAGCCTCATAAAGCCAAGCATGATGAAGAGAAAGAATCACAATCGACGGCGGCGGCAGAGGCTTCATCCGTCGCTGCCCCCGAGCAGTCGTCAAACAGTGATTCTCAAGTAGTGGATACCTCGATGGACATGTCCACCACTTCAGCTCCCACATCCGTTCCCCAACTTTCTTCATCAGATACTCCCCAAAAGTCATCGTCGGCGTCAGATTTCGATTCTCTTCTTGCCAATGGCCCTCTTATCCACGCTATGCGAAATAATCAAAACCTCAAGGCTAGACTCCTTGATATCTACAATAGCACGCAAAAGGCGGCCTTTGAAGCCGAAAACGCGAGGTTGGTTGCTCAGAATGCCCAATTCTCCCGTCGTGGAAGAGGACGTGGCGGACGTCGCGGTTTCTTCCGACAGCCCCAAGATTGGACTGTTGAGAGAGGCATGAACCGAGGATTGAGAAAGATCCAAGCCATGAGGAAGGGAGGGAAAGACGAGAACGTCGATATCGAAGAGTGGAGCCGCGCTGTGCTCTCGATCCTTGAAGGCGATTCCTAATTATTTACATCCCTTCTGCTGGAAACGCTGAAACCGAACTCTTCATAGACCCAATGCGGCCTCTTACAAGTCCCTATATTCTTCATTTTTTTTAAACTGCTGGGCCGCAATTTGCACTTTAAAGTCCTGAGAGGTTAGCTACTAGCGACGGTGGCGATATCATTCCACGGGCGGCCCCCGCGACGTTGTCGACGCGCAATATGGCCAGAATGCCCTAATATCCTTTATATACGTATCATGTTATAATGGCTTCACTTCTTATCGCGTTTCCCCCTTTCTCTCTCTATGCCCCCTTCATTTGGCGTTTCACCAGGTTCCTCTCAATATCCTTTTCGGCTTCTCTCTCTCTTGCTTTCGGCTTTTTTTCATCTATCTTTTCTTTCTCTTTTTCTCAAGTTTGTCGAACTACTATGTTTCCTTATCAAAAGCGCGCTGGACACTCAGTTTTTTTAATGAAGAAGAGATACAACACCCCCCACAAGCCGTTCCACGCCGGCGGAATCCCTATTATTTTTTATTCTTTTAAGAACGTGGTTCTACGGGTCGTCTTAACGGTGTGCTTTGGTCACTTGATGAACCTCGCTACTGGATCCAATTATCCCGATTACTAATACTACGCATCCAACTCCCTGCACTCACTGCCCAATATCGGTTGTTATGCTCGCAAGCCAAATACCATATGGGAGGCTCCTTTCCCGCTTTTTAATGGTGTCACGGTTGTATAGTGCACCTTAGCGCATCCGCTTGAGGGCGGCTAGGGAGTAAAAATCCTGCCATGAGGCTAAACCTCCAATTGCCAAAAAGGTATAGATGTCCCGAATTGAGAACACATTTCAATCGGCCTGGCCATACGATCAGGGATCCCTTCAATAGCTCAACGATAAATCGATAAGGGATCCCGGGCTCGCCGTTTGAGTTCCCGGCATTAATTTCATTTTATTTTTAACGCTCGCCGATTCTTCTGAGTTTGATATTTTACTGTTCTATAATATTACTCCCGTTCAAGCTTTCGTTTCTTGCTTGTTTGCTATTCATGTGCAGGTTTTAGATGGGTTCTCGCTGTACTTACAGAATATCCTTACGGGCGTTTTCGTAACTTGCTGAAATATAGAATTCTAAAATACTACATCGATATACTTTAAATCATTCCTTTAATATACCTAGTTGGTTAGACCTTGAGGCTAGTCTTGTCGCCGAGAGCTTGTCGCATCACAAGCTTGGGGTGCTTATTTACAATGTGGTGTCGGGGACCCTGCCCCAGTGCTTGTACGCCACTCGGGCACTGTTTCGGGGAGACGCGGCCGATATATGAACCACGGATTCTTCAAGACCCTTCAACTTCGTTCAACCTCCATCCTCTTCATAAAGGGGTGTATCGGCCCTCCAAACCTACGACATCATCAAATTACCCTATCCTCTCCCCGATACACCGACACAATCTGCACTTTTGATTGTTCCCTCCCGTCACTTACGTAATCCACGCGCTCGGGTGCGTGTGCGAACAGTTGGTTTCTTTACCCGTTCAAACCACCAGCTGCAATTCCAACAACCATGCTGCTTGGCCGACGACTCTCCCCCTTCCGCCTAGTAATCTATGGCATAATCGCTTTCATCACAATCACCTTCTTCACAAGCTTATCACCAGTTCCGTTACCAGCGCCAGCAACCGAAGCCATCACAAACATCCAAACCAAAGCGAAAGAGAAGCTTGGACCACATTTACCAGGCTGGTACGAATCGGGGGTGCACAAAACCCCACAACCGACCAACGGAACAGCGTCAACGTCGTCATGGTACGAACATTGGACGTGGCTAAATCCATTCGGAAGCTCTAAGGACTTTTCGGATAGTAGAACTGTTTTACCGCCGTTGCCGAAGAGGTGTAGTATTTATGCTTATTATGATCAGGATGTTAAGAAGGAAGGACAGGGGAAGGCTGACGATGCGGTTATGTTGGCTTGGAGGAGGGCTTGGTGGGCTGCGGGGTTCGAACCGGTGATTTTAAGTCCGTTGGATGCGAGGAAACATGGGTTGTATAAGAAGGTCAAGGGACGGTTGGGAGCTAAGAAGGAAAAGTTGGAGTATAATATCCTGAGATGGTTGGCGTGGGATAGAATGGGGACTGGAGTGCTGTCTGACTTTAGGGTATGGTAGTTTTTGAGCTTCAGCTGGGTCAATGGATCTTTTTTTTTGGGGCTAACTTCTGACTTGACTTCAGATCTTTCCAATGGGTACAGCAGGTGACCCTGTAATCCCTTTCCTTCGTCGCTGCGATTACGGACAATCAGTCACCCGATTTACAGGACTGGGTAGCGCTCTCTTTGCTGCCGATTCCACATTAATTAAAGCCGTTGTCAACAATATAACTTCAATCGACTTGTCTACCGTTCCAGAGGATATCACATCCCCAGCCGACCTAGCAGCAGACTTCTTCACAGCCGACCCGAAACCAAACAGCATAGCCTACTACTCTCGCAAAGTCGTTAACGACAAATACGCCACCTTGGAACCTCACCAACTTCCAAAATTGATCAACGCACATTTACACAGTCACTTCCTATCACAATATCCCGGCGGAGTACAAGTACTCAACCCGATCAAAGACTTGAGCGGCGTATTCTCACTAAACTCCTACAACCTCGCACAAAAACTTTTGCAATGTCCGGAATCACCTATACGAGACACCTTTGCACCTCAAAAGACTGAAGAAAGACCTCTTTGTGGTAACGAAAACATCCGGGTTACGGCACAATACGTTGACACCGCGGCGTTTACAATCGCAGGGATACCCCATCCGATGACATTCCAGGGACTCATGAACAACAGGTTAATACCAGAGTTAGATTGGGTAAGAAGGAATAGTTCAAGAGATATATTTGTCAAAGCCGTTACCGAAGGTATTGCGGAGAAAGGAACCGGATCGGCCTATAGAGCTGTAAAGCTCAAAGAGTTAATAGCGGCATCTCTTACCTCTTCGCTTCAATCATCGGATGGGAAAGGTAGTGGTGTTGCGGTTTCTATATGGGGTCCCTTGGAGAGAACATGGGATTTGAAGGAGTTGGAGTGGACGCTCGGGTTCACACTTTCAGATATTCTTCCTGCTGCGCCGCATTTTGATCAAGGGGAGGATACGGTTAGAAAACATAAGCAGATTATTGAAGATTCGAAGAGGGCGATTAAGGCGACAAGTACGGGCCTGAAGAAATTGAGAGGAGCGATTGAAGGGTGGAGTTTGGCGGATTTTGAAGTGTGGAAGTTTGTTGATGCATTTGAGGAGAGAAGAAGGGGTGAGAGAGAAGCGTGGGTTAAGAGAGAGAAGGGGTTCGGAAAGGGGTTGGAGAAGTGATCTTGGTACCTTGAGGTCCACACGCATATTTATAGATATCTGTTTTTGTTCATTAGCAGAATGGGAGAATGGGGCATTTTGTGTTATTTCGACATGGCGTCTTGAGGTCTTTTTTTTTCAGAAGTATCGGTTGTATGAAATTTATTTCCTGCTTGCATCCTTTCGAATTGATAACGGATTCTTAAGCCTTTTTTTTTCATTTCAGTTGGAGCTATAAAAAGAGGGCGGTGAAGCGTAGTATCTGAGAAGCGACTGTTCAAAAAGGTGAATTTGAAAGACGCTGTAATGTTCTGTATCCGATACAATGCTTCCCTTCCAACCAGCAATAGGCTCGGACGATTTAGGGTGCGATTTGGAGAGGAACCTTTTGTCAGCAGTACATCTCGATACGGTAAGGGTAGTTTGGTTTTAGGTGAAGTAAACAGAAGGAAGGGGAGGTTGTTCAGGGAAAGGAACGTCTTTCTTAAATCATTTGCTTTATACGTTGGCTAGATCTAGAATATCACAGCGTCGAAAATTGCCCGATTGGGAGTCCCTGTCTGGTGTTTTCAGGCGTCCCAGATTCGCCAATCTCGGAGTGAACAACGGTGCATGATTGGGGCTATAACGTTATACACAGCCATAGAATCGACATACGTAAACTAAGCCCTTCACAGGTTGGTTATATATTCACTTTCGCTTTGACTAATGTTAACATACACGATACTTTTCATATTTTTGTGAGAAACTATGGTACTGATAGATATAAATACATAGATACTTAGCTTAGGTAGGATACCTAGGTATATACTACCCAACGGCTATAATCCAAGCACAAACCATAAGTATAGCCGCCACAACCACCTTAATCAACGGTGTATTCGAGCCATTATCAGGAGTACCATCCTTCGGATCATCTCCCTTCGGTTTATCAACCGGGACATCATGCTTCTCAAAAGCCCAGTACTTCCCAAAATCATCCATATCCGCCTTTGTCGAATACCCATCCTTGCCCTCTCCGTCTGAAAACATATACAAAGAAGCTCCAGCCGCAAACTCCAAGGAATCATCATTCTCTTCCACCAATTTCTTGACTCCATCGATGGCACCTTGTGCTGCAGCTGCAATATTTTCAGCTACAGAGTTGTGAACTTTGGTATCTTCACCGCTGTCGGGGAAACATGGGAATCCGAATAGTACTTTGACACCATTACCAGGTCTTCCATGGTTCCTTGCGTATTTCCCTGATACGGCTCGAAGGATGGTATGTACCTGATCCTTCATGAATGTCTGATACTCCTCCGCGGTTTGAGAGGATGAATTGAAACACATCGGTATCAGAATATCTACATATAACGCCGCATAATAAAACCCCGACGAAGAAGCCCAAGATCCTCCAAACTTAGGAACAGCTAACGCTGTAATCTTCCCCGTGGCTGACTTAATCTCCTTCATAAACTTCTTCAGTATCTCAAAATCATAAACATCATCTTCATTCTTAACACTAAACTGCACCCCATCAAACGGACGCGGCATCCCCGTCACAAACGAATTCTCCGTCTCAGCAACCACGAACCGTCGAATATTCGTAACCGCGGAAGCGTGGACTTCTGGATTACTCAGATCTAGGTATTCGTCTGTGTTTTCTTTGTTGAAACATGCGTCTACGACGGGGATGACTTTGAATTTTTTACCGCATGACCGGGACGATTCTTCGTATTCTTTGATCGTGGCCATGAATTGATGGAGGTAGATTAGAAAGTTGCTGTTTATGGCGAATCCGCCTTCTTTTGTGAGGGTTTTGGTGATGGGGAAAATGTATTCGATGTTGTGGTCTCGCATGAAGTCGAGGCTTTTGGTGAGGACTTCGGGCATGTCCCAGATGCCTGGGAGCCAGACGGCATTGGAAGAGTTCCAGGTCGACATTGTACGATTATAAAAAGATATGGACTTTCAAGAATATTTTTAAAAGACCGTGAAGAATTCAATAGCAATATCGATAATTCGATATATTGAAATCTGAGGAATATTAAGAATAGAATGGATAAAAGGACTTAAATTAACATTTTTCTACAAACACGCGTAAACTTTTATACTTCCCTCAATCGACTTTTATTATGAAATTAACGCCTCCACGTCATCAAGCGGGGTGTCTAAGTTCGCACTCGTATGTTCCTTTAGTCGGCGGAGGGTATGCAGGGAATTGTAGACTAACATATGCACGACAGACGTTTGACAAGGTTGTTTTCTGTGTTTTCAGCTCCGAATTGCAACAAGGCTGGTTAATACTCATTACTACAAGTCTTTTCTTTACCGAAAAAATACACCAAAACCCTGAAAAAATTAAGTAGGGTCTTGGATAATAAGGGCTGAATTTTCAGAACAATCGGAGAAAATTACTGGTCATCCCGTTAATTTGGTTTAGCCCGGTTACTCTATAGCTATCGCCAGAGTTTATCCTGGAGTACTGCCTTCACTTGTTTGTTCTTATCGTTTGTCCTTTCACTCTTCCCGTTTACGGAAGATCCGGTTTCCCAAAGCTCAAGTTCGCTAATGATAATCCCAGCTTGCCGACAGTCTCAAAGACCAAGAACTCAAACAAACCGTGTACATAGCAGGCCAGAATATAAGGGACTAGGGATTACATGGCAAATAAGCTTAGTAAAGTCAATTCTAGCGCAGAGTGTACACCGTTAAAGAGAAATATGTTAGTAGTGCACTAGTACTGTGGTGAAGGTCGGACGCAATGGTTATTAAGTCTTCCTTACCAGTATCTTAATATATGAGTGTATCAACATATCGGAATATTGTAAGTCAAGAAAAGAATATTCTGAAATTATACGCTTCTTAAACTTTAGGAAACTTACCAGGTGCGAGACTAGGAGACTCATGATAATTCTATTGATAATCAAAAGAATGAAGTTTGGAAATATTACATTTTCAGTTATAATTGCTCCTGTTATTTTGAATATTTCCATCTTTCTCTATGAGCTATTCGAGCTTTAATTCTTCATACTGCAGCTAAACTCGGGCCCCGATAAGGGGAGGTATCAGAATGATCATATGATCGCGAAATTCGAAATGGACTGCAACTGCTTCAGTTCGAAAAGGGGGGAAGTTCAGCACGCCGATGAGTTATAGCAGTACTGTCTAGTTAGTTATCTTATGTAAAGTGATAGTTATGTAGAGCACCAGAACTAGACATCGCCAACCAGTACTCGCCATTACGCGAAGAGAGCTCGAGAGCTCGAGAGTTGTTATATTACTTTCCTGCCAAAGGGCCAGTACATACAGTCCGCCAGCGGCTCATGAATCTATCCCGCTTTAGCCTCGAGCTCACGCTCCAAGCCACATTGTTCGTCCCGTCAATATAGCTGTATTCAACCAGGAAAATAAAGGGGACTGCACCCAAAATATCCAACAAGTCTTTAAATCGTCAGTTCAAAATTCTGGTCGGGGTAAAGTGTTGGAGTTTGGCGATGTGATTCAATTGACCAGCTGCAGCTGGCCAACAAGATGTATGCACAAAGGGCGTGTAAGCGCCTTCAACTTCAGCGAATCGGATACCTACAATTTCTATTGGACGGAATTTGTTCAGGAATATAGAAAAAAGTTCTACGCCCTAAAAATAGGCTCCACAATTCAACGTTTCACCAGGTGGGGTCATCGAATTAATTAATATTCTGCAGGGGATAGGGAGCCGGCTGTACGACCGAGCCATTGTCCTCGCGTTCGGATGGTGTTTTCTTAACTAAAACCATCAGCCTTGTGCTCAGATCTCGCTCGATATCGCGCGCTGGCCCCGCAAAATGCAATCTTGGTAATTTTTCATTGATGCCACTGTCTTCGCGCCCTGGCAGTGCATATCCCGCCATTCTGTTGATGCCGTTTCTTGGCCTGAAAGGTCGGCCAGTAGTTTTGATCAATCATAGTCCTTCATATAGCGAATCGTGTCCGGGTTCCTGGTCTTGGAAGCAATAAACCGTCTCGGCACCGCGTCTGAATTCAACTTTTTTTCCTTGGCCGTTGATATCATGATATCTCGAGTTGTAGAGCCTTGTGACGCTTTGAAGCCGAACAGCAGTTGATAGAATTCTTCTAAAATATTAATTATCTAAATTATATGTCAATACAAATATGAGATGGATCAATGTGATAGTAAAATGATGTATATAAAATGGGGGGGGGGTCTCTGTCTAGATCTCTCTTGACCAATTCAGAGCGATCAGTTTACATTCTTTTCTCATCGTCTTATAGAAATTATATCGCTTTTGATACATACATCAACATCTTTAAATTCATCACACATACCCTCTTTTTGATCTAATTGTTATAATTAAATAATCATGCAAGAAGTCGAATCCCAAAAGAACGCCCAAGATGCTGAGCATTACCCTGTACAGTCCGAACATTGGGTTTTAAGAGCAGTGAAAGGTCGTATCGGGGCTGCTTGGTTCTGTTTTGCCAACTTCGGTATGTTATAGCTTCACTAATCCGAAATCGAAATTAATATTAAATTGTTGGTGGACATGAAGCTAATCTATATCTCGTATAAAAATTTAAAGTATCATTCGTTCTTATTTTCCTCATATTTCTTGGGAACATATACCCATCGACTACCATATTCGCAATGGCATCTATTGACCTTCAACCCCGGTTCAAGTAAGTCCTTAGTTACTCATTCCACTCCTAAACACAAATTTGAATTTCAAAATGTAGTCAATGAATACATAGCTCATACAATAAATCTATAGTAAAACCCTTTCATCAGAAATCTACCGCGCAAATAACTACACCGGCACAAACCCTCTAACCAACCGCATCGAACAACCCCGATACCTCTACCTCGGCTTCTCCGGCTACTGTAACATCTACGACAACAATAGTACAGACTTCAATCAATACTCCAAAGAATGTATCAAATCATTCGTACAACCACTACTCCTTCCCGACGGCACCTTTCAAATGCAAAACGGGAAATTAAGAGATACTTCCACCCATGAATTCAACCTCAAACAAGCATATCCAATGTGGCAGGCTGCAGCCGCACTCATGATTCTCATCATGCTCTATAATGTGGCCGGTATCGCAGTCGTTTGTGCTGGAAAGTACTACGAGTTAGCGTATAAGTATCTTTGGATCGTGTCGATTTTACTTAGTATCCCGCCAGCTGTTCTTGCACCGCTCGCGTTATCGAAAGTATATAGCCTTCTCGATGAGGCGCAGACGGGTGGGGGCCAATGTTTGGGTTCGAGTCTGTTTTTTCTTGCAATGTTGTTGACGTTTGTGGCTCATCCTGTCTTGCTCGTTGTAGCAGTTGTAATCGTTGGGTTTGCTATTGCTATTGCATGGTGGATTATATCGGTATGTTGCAGGAATGAGACTAGAGAAGAGGGAAAAGCGAGGGAAAGGAGGGAGGAAGAAGAGAGGAGGGCGGTAGAAATGAGAAAGTGGTAATATGGTAGACGGTTTTAGTAGGGCTCATTCTATCCTAGATATAATATTTATGGGGTTATATAAAATAAATTATGAACGTTAACTTTCATCGAGTATTTTGAATCCACCTGTTCTGTGATTTGTTAAATGTGCCACTTAGAATCTTATGAGGCGTTAGTTTACTCTTGCAATGTTAGAAAGAGAAAGAACAAAAAAGAAAAGAAGAAGAAACACCATGCATTCGACTTATTTTAATCCTAACCAATACTCTTTGCTTCAAAAACCTTTGTCGCTTTACCCCGTAATTGCGGATGATCGACCCTATCTCCTTACCCTCGGAATCTTTTTGTTGTTTCTTGAGACCTAGGTCTAGCTCCCGCAATGTGGTGCTTTCATCAGAGTCTAGGGGATTAGATCTGAGCGCCCGAGTATAGTCTCTTGACGACTCTGCCATTGCCCAGTACACAAACTTATCCGACAACAATCCCCCCCGTCAACCCCCCGGTTTCATTTCCCTTACCACCTCAGGAAAGCATTCGCAGGTACATTTAAGTAAAAATGGGGATCCGTAGAATTGCCTGATTCACGAACGGGAGGATTTGAGAAGATCTTTACATTGGTATATCTATTCTCGTATGGAACTAGTCATAATAGAACAGCACATTAGCAGCAGTCAGCTATTTAAACCCCATTACAGCAAACAATCACTCATAACATGGAAATCCCAAGTTAATTCTCATTCCTGTTATGTTTCATGGATTGAAGGACGTGCATATGCATGTGCATAGAATCCATGGCACCTCATCGAACTTGTTGCAATTTCTGCGTTGTTCCAACCACCAAAACCCGCCCTCGGCAAAATTTCTCAAAGTGGTGTGACCTCACCTTGTCATTCCCGTGTCCCCGAAACGAGAGAGAAACCTCCAAAACCTTCAACCTCCGAAACGTCACCTCTTCTTCGTCGTTCTCCCCAATTGGACCGCGCAACCACTCCGAGCCTCTCTCTCCCGCTTCGACACATCTCCACTCCGAATCACATAGATTAGCAATCGTCATTTCACAATGTCCGACGAAGAACAAGTCACCAAGCCATTCAAGTTCGTTACCGGTATGCATAAACATTATTACCCATCCGTCCACCCATCCACCCACCACCATTCAAGAAGACCCACATCCCGACAACATCGTCCATGATTGTTCTATACTTTCCCTCCAACATGATAGAGTTTTTCTATGGAAAGGCGGGGGGGATATGTGAAGGAGTATATATATACCGACGGAATTGAATAAACCCGACTAACATCAATTGCGCCCTCCTCATCTAGCCGGGTACGACGCTCGTTTCCCACAACAAAACCAGTATGTCTTCTCTACATCTCCTAATCCCCCTTCTATCTAAATTGCCGTTGTAAAGATACATATCCACTAACAACTTTCCTTGCATGTAATAGGACTAAGCACGTACGTCATACCCAATATAAAACCTCCCCTCCTCACAGCAAACAAACCTAACAACCAAGCAAAAACAGTGCTGGCAAAACTATGTTGATTACCACAAGTGCATCCTAGCCAAGGGAGAGGACTTCCAACCTTGCCGTCAGTTCTTCCATGCATACAGATCTTTGTGCCCAAGCTCTTGGATCAGCAAGTGGGATGATCAGCGTGGTATGTACTCAAATCTTGTATCCCCTTATATTTTTGCAATAAGCTTGATGAAATATCGGATATTGGTTGGATATGGATATGGTTGGATACTAATATTATCGTTTCATAATATATAGAAGCCAACATCTTCCCAGTTATCCTCAACGACTCTTAAATCTTAAAGAAATCACACTATTTTTTGTAAATGATTTAAGACGAGGAAGGAAGGCTGTATATTTTTTCTTCTATAGTATCAGAGATAATTCATAAAGAACCAGAGATAGGATCTTTTTGGAAGATCTCCGATACCATAGAGAGCGGAAGAAGAGGTTTAGGGGAGGAGGAGGAGAAATGTTTATAAAATAAGGCGAAATGAACGGGTTATGGTTGTAGTATATATTTTTTCCCCATTTTTTCTTCTATTTATCAAACTTTTGCGATTTGACTTCCCATCTTAAAAAATATATATATTGAAGAAACATACTTTATGAAACCTCGAAGACAGAGTTTGGATATTTCATGAATAAGTACGTAGGTACTGAAGTACTCTTGCCTGGAAATTCTTTCGAAGTACTAGCTTCACTTTTCAGTTCCCATACATTATCCATTCATCTATTCCACATTTGTGGCCAGCCGGCGTCTGGGAACGAGACTAATCATTTCCGTAAGTAAAAGATCCCTGTTTATTCCGATGAATATATTAATACGTATAACTGATCATGACATTAGGGAAAAAATGGAAACCCGTCGGCCGGACGGAAAGCCCTTCGTAGGATGGAAGTTTCGGCATAAACAAAACAAAGTAACAAATTTATATCGATAATAAGAAAGATTATCATACTGAGGAAGACTGCACGGTTCCAAGGCATTTCATGACCACGGGACCATAGTAATTATCCTTAAGCTTCCTCTACTGGACAATCCAAAACCAATATATATATGTTTGAGTTTAAATCTGCCTCCTGCCCAAGCTTAGCCAGACCTGGAATGTTGAGTATATACTGTTTACCTTGACTTTTCGAGAGAAAAAGAAAAGAAAAAAATCCCAATTCCTTTCAGTTTTAAATTTTGGAGGGCCAATGGTGGTCTGGTTTCTAAGATGTTACTGAGCGCGCGTTATGCACAGTTTGACCTTTCGCTCCTTGACCCCGCATGCACAAGAATAATAACTATCTCGGGCTGGGTACTTCAGCCTTGTGGTAAACATTTCATCTACGGTGGCCTCCACTACTTAAAGACCAAGGATCCTAGGAAATTCGGGGCCTTGTTAGAAAACATCCTAGCAAGAAGCTATAAATGTGGAATCATATAAGATCTCCGAAGCTCCTATCAAGATCGAGGACAACGACAACCTAGCCAGGAACAACCCCAAGCTAAATCTGGGACCACCACAGACTAGCTAGTCTAGAACTATCACAAGCCGGTTTGGAGATAATACAAGCTGAACAAGAACGCCCGCAGTTTGAACAAGGACGATCACAGCCTAGTCTGGAGCGACCACGGACTGGAAAGGGGCAGCCACCGCTTGACCAAGGGCAACCACGGGCTAGTTTAGATCTATAGAGATATCACAGATCTAACTGAACAAGAACAACCACACCCTAGTCTGAAGCAACCACATCCTAGTCGAGAAACAACTAGCTACAGCTTGATCAAGAACAACCAGTCTGAGCAAGAGCAATGCAATCACAACGTGATCAAGGGCAACCACAGTCTATATTTGGGACGAAATCAAAAACAGACAGCGGAGACAACAACCACCAGAGTATATTCAATAACGGTGGGGAAAGTCGTGTAATGGTACAGGCGGGAGTACAGCATGTAAACGGGTAAGGTCGACATAAATATAGCAATGCATTTAGATCGTGACTATCGCTCCTTAACGATATCGATCGATCGCTAACTCCTCGATAAATTAGACATATCTTCAATATTAATTCCGGCAGGGCCGCGGCAAAGAAAAAGGAGGAAGTTAACTACAATGTTCCTCTCAGCTTCCCCTTCCCTAGAAATCGCAATTTCACTGGCAGGGATGCAGAATTGGAGGCCATTGATGGATATTTCTCAGAATCAACCGGTAGTGGTGTTTCTATCTATGCGATCATAGGCACTGGTGGGATGGGCAAAACTCAGATTGCTCTTGAATACGGCTATACCCGCTACGAGAAAACCCAGTTTACTGCGGTCTTCTGGATATCAGCTATGACCGAAGAAACCATCCAAACTTCATTGGTGAATATCATGCAGCAGATCGTTGATAAAAAGGCGAGGGAATATTTGCCCAATCCCCCCAGCTATACGTCTATCGCAGCAAATCTTAAAATTTCGCAGATGATGGACGGAAATGGTAGAATTAGCAGTGGTTCTGACGCAGGAGCCATCAAATATGCTTTCTTCAGTTGGCTCAAGTTATCAGGGAACGACAAGTGGTTATTGATCTTCGACAATGCAGATGATCTTAACGTTCCAATCGACGACTACTTTCCGAATGAAGCTGGACACATCTTAATAACAAGCCGTCGACCAGAGTTCTCCGACTACGGGGAACAAATGGAAATTGGTGGTTTAGACAGAGAAAACGCACTTCGTCTTTTGCTGTGCCTAGCACGACGAAACGCTACCGAAAGCGATATCGAGAGTGCTACAGAAATCATCGAGAAAGTGGGTTTTATGCCGCTAGCGATTACTCATGCTGGTTGTTTTATACGACAACTGAATATTCCCATCTGCCATTACCTACAATACTACGAGCGAACCTTTAAAGAAGCACAATCTAGAAAATCAAGAATCGGATGGGCCTATCGCAAAGACACATCGATGACAACTTGGGAAGTCTCCTTTTTGGAAGTTGAAAAACAAAACAAGGAAGCAGCTTCTATCCTGCTTACTTGTGGATATTTGAACCCAGCCGAGATCTCCGAAGATTACTGGCAAGATAAGCAACAACTGAACACGAAAAGTCAAACTCAAGGTAGGTTCTTTCAACAGGTTTCATTTCCGACTCCAAATCATAAGAGTGTTTATATATATGTAGAAGGAGCGACCATTGATCTCTGGAAACCAAAGCTAATATGCCACATAGAGAAAAATAAATTCTCGATTCTCGCCTCATATTCACTTATAAGTCGAGGCCAGCCAGGAACGTTCTCTGTCCATCCCGTTGTACATAGCTGGGCGAGGGAACGCGGGGACGACTCAGATCGTTTACGGGCAATAGGGAATGCTCTTAGAATCTTTGGTCGGAAACTTCGAACCAGAGGAAGACCGGACTGGAGCCAACGGGATGGACAAGAAGAAAGGAGAATCTCGGCACACATAGACGTCTTTCTGAAGCACTCAGAACATTACAGTTTCAACGAGATTTTTGAGAAAAATGACGATATTTCTATAGGTGATGTTCTCGGTGCTTTTAACAAAATAGCACTCAGAATGTCCGTTGTGGGGAAATTCTCCGAAGCTACTAAGATATATCGAAAGACCCTAGTTTGCTATGGAAAAGCATTCGGGGAAAGACATATCGACACTCTCAACACCGCTTCTAGCTTAGCAGGTTGCCTTGCTAGTGAAGGCCGGTACGATGAAGCTCTCCCAGAACTCCAAAAAACCTTGATCAGCAAAAATATGGCTTTGGGCGAAGATCATTTATCAACTAATGAAACAAAATGCCAGATAGCAGATTGTTTGAGAATGGGGGGCAAACTCGACGAAGCTCTCACAATATATCAAGAAGTTCTGGACTTTCAAGAAAGAAAATCAGGTAAAAATGATTTGGTTACTATAGAAATCGCTCATAGAATAGCAACGACTTTCTACAAACAAAACAGATTTGACGAAGCTCTTGAAGCTTATCAACAGGTTTTGATCAGTTTCAAAAAATTTCTGAGCGAAGATCACCCGTTTATTCTCGCAACACTTAATAATATGGCAATAGTTTTGGTTGATCAAAGCAAATTTGACGAAGGTTTGAAAATTTATCAAGAATGCATTATTGCTCATGAAAAGTCCTTAGGCAAAGATCATCCTTCTACTCTTGCAACGGTTTGTAATATGGGAAGGGGTTTTTTTCGTCAGGGCAGACTTGATGAAGCCTTGAAACTTTATCAAGAATGCATAATTGCTAAAGAAAGGGCTCTAGGTGAAGATCACCCGTGGGTCCTTGATACGGTTGAAGGTATGGCGGAAATATTTTTTTGTCAAGGCCAATATTGCAAGGCTTTAGAGCATTATCAAAGACTTCTGGTCGGTCGAAAAAGGATTTTAAGTGAGGACGATCCCAAAATTCTGAAAACAATTCATAAAATAGGAACTACTCTTTATAGGCAGGGCAAGCTCGATGAAGCTCTTCAACAACTACACATAGCTGCAGTGGGCAAAGAAAGAGTCTTGGGCCGAGACCACCCGTCAACCCTCTCCACACTTAGGAATATAGCACTTATCTCCCGAAAGATAGCAAAAAAGTCACCACCATGTATATAATTTCATATTACTATAACCATGAGCTTTCAACATCAAGCCGAGAAACTATTTGACTCTCCGTAAGCCTAAGACTATTTTCCAGTCAGGATGTCCTTCAGATTTGCGGAAGCCTAAGGAAACTTCATGATTCACCTGGTGGCGTTGACCTACTCATATTCTGACAATTACCTAGATATTCCTCCTCCGGCCGCCTGGATTTCTGCTTTGAGTTCTTTCAGCCGGGATGCTGGATGAGAGGTATTGTTCTGAGCAGTTAGAGGTCCTGTTATATATATATGGTAGATTCAAGATAATTATACCCCGGCCGGTTTGTGCCTCGTTATATTCTTTTCATCTATGCGTTAGTACTTAAATATATACTATTCTGGCCATATGACAGTATTCAATCCTAATACTGCTAGTACACTGCACCCGATGTGAACCAAGATCTCTATACAATTTTACAAATCTCAAAAAGGATAATATATATACTCTAATATCACAAGTACTTTTTCCTTCCAAAGTCCCCTTCACGCTTCAATCACATGCAGCCTCATTCCATAAAAGCTAGCCCATAGTTTTCTTAAGCCATAGCACCTCTCCCACCAATCTCCTTAAGCCTCTTCAAACTCCTCTCCCCGACTTTAGCCTCCGGCAACCCCTTCCCTTCACCCTTCGGAGCCTCCAAAAACCCAATTCCAACAAGGAAAGCCAAATAAACCCCCATCAACCCTTCATCAACCCCACTACCCCCAACCCACTTCTCATCATACTTCGCCAAAGCCCTTCTAGAGTTCTCATCATCCAACTCTGGCGCCTTCGTGCTTTGTGGCAAATTATCACACACAAAGTGGACGAGCGGGTAGAGGGCGTTATCCTTACTAACCTCCGTTACATGTCTTTCTAGTGCAATCCTCCAGGGGACGTAATCTACCCGTTGGACATTGTACCCGTAGACGGGTAGGGTGGCTAGGAATTCGTTGAAACGGAGACGTGGGTGGGAGGTTACTTGGGCTACTGCTAGTGGAGTTGCTGGTGGATAGAGTGTTGAGGCTACCACTACTCGGGCGACATGGTCGACTGGGACCATGTTGACTGTATTATGGATATCTGGGGTTTGGCCGAGCTGGATGCAGCCCTTAATCATGCGGACAAGGAAGTCATCGGTGTTTGTCACTATTTTTTTTCATAACATACGTTAGTTCGACCATTGATGAAATGAATATGAGATCGACAAGACATACCTCCGGTCAAAGTATCACCAGTAATATAACCCGGTCTAATAATCGTTCCCTTCAACCCTCTCTTGCCAGCTTCACGAGTGATATACTCTCCAACCCATTTGCTCTGTCCATATCCATTACCCAATCCGGACGCCGACCCTTCTAAATCATCATCTTCAGGAACACCAGCCCCACCTTGCTCCAAGATAGTATCGGAAAGTGCAACGTAATGATCATTATCCAATACCGAAGTAGAGGATACGAATGCAAAGCTCTTAGGCTTTCCGGTAGCGCAGAGGTTTATGGCCGCAAGAGTACCGAAGACATTGGGCTTTCGGAGGGTGCTGTACGGATAAACCCAGTGTACTTGCGCACCATTGTGGATCACGAAGTCTGCTTCCGCAGCAACGGTATTCCAGGTTTTGTCGTCCAAGCCTAAGTTTTCCTTGCCTAGGTCACCGGTGACTGGAACGATTCTGTCCTTCCAGGAATCAGACCAGGTATCATAAGCCTCACAGCTAGCTTGGATTCTCTGGAGCGCTTTTTCAGTCGTATCAGCTCTGACATGGGCGTATACTTTGATCTTTGGAGCCTCTCTAGTCAAGAGCTCACGGAGAAGGAAGGCACCAAGGAAACCAGTGACACCAGTGAGGAATACATTGTACTCCTTCGTTTCATCGACTTCCGGTGCTGACTCAAAGGATTCTGGAAGGCTGTTAACCAACTCTCGTGCTTCCTTCGCATACTCCGACTCCTTTCCAACTTCAACGGAAGAAGTTTCAGCAGCAGGCTCAAGTCCTATTTCGACACTCTGGCTGATCCTTTCTACTTCTATGGCAAGGCCACCAAGTGTGGGTTGCTTGAAAACCAATCCCAAGGGGATTTCAGCTGCAAACCTATTTCTGACTTCAAAGATCATTCGAGTTGCAAGGATCGAATGTCCTCCGAGGTCAAAGAAACCGTCCGTAAGCTGGATCTTATCTGTAAGAAGTGGTAGCAAGCTCTTCCAGATATCTCGGAGCGCACGGGCAGTGGGTGACCATTGTGCGTCATAAGCTTCCAATGGCTCTCCAACTGTAGATGTAAGTCTTCTCCTCCTTCCGCTTGCAGCAGCAATAGTAGCAGTATCAGGGAAAGGCAGCGCTGGCTTGTCAACCTTGCCGTTTGGATTCAATGGCATTCTCGCCATCGGCACCACAACAGTAGGTACAGCGTACGCTGGAAGCTTGGTCGCCAAATACTTTTTGATATCCTGAATCAGCTTCCTATACCTCCTCAACCTTCTCACGATATCATCGCTTTCAACTTCTACGTCTCCCTCCGTAGCAGTTTCGTCTGCGCTCTCCATCGCATCCAGTTCATCATTCTGCAGAGGAACGATGTATGACACCAAAGTTGGTTCTTCGTCCTTATCACGCTTAACAAGCGTAATGTTCTCTCGAACCAACGGGTGCTGCGAGAGATGTGTGTCAATCTCACCGAGCTCGATTCTGAATCCACGGATCTTAACTTGATCGTCCGCTCGTCCGGAACACTCAACATCTCCGCTAGGAGTATACCTCCCCAAATCACCACTTCTATACAACCTATCTCTAGGTCCCATATAGAACTCCCTCCACTTCTCCCCACCATCTACATCAGCCTCCTTCCATTGGGCTTCATCCACAAACCAATTTCTGACAAACTTTTGTTCCGTCAATTCCGGTAGCTGAAGGTATCCCTCAGCCAACCCAGCTGCACGAACATAAAGCTCTCCGATTTCTCCAACTCCACAAATCTGACTGCGATCATGTCTGTTTACGACAAGAAGTTGGACATCAACCATACCCTTTCCAGCCGCAATAACGTCCTTCTGGCTCTGGCTGAAAGTCGCATCCTTAGCTAGCGACGGAATCTCAAAGTAAGAAACCGCACGCTGAGTCTCAGTGGTTCCGTACATGTTAACCACGTTTACATTCCTTGCAAGGGTCTGTAGGCGCAAACAATCGCGCTTTGTAAGAATATCACCGACAAAGAATGCATGATGTAGCGATGGGATCTCTGCAGAAGCCTGTGCGGAGAGTAGTTGACCCATGGCCGGAGTCAAATGTGTGACGGTACATTGATTCTCTGCCATCCACTCGGCCAGTCTTCCGGGTGTTCCAATATCGTTCATGGTTGGAACGTAAAGTCTCGCACCCAAGAAGAGAGGAGTGAACATATCACGCTGGATAGGGTCATGAGCAATACCGCTAAGCATAGTGAAGCGGTCGTTCTCTGAGAGGTTGAATGTCTCTGCCATCCATGGGAAGTAATATGTGAGAGAGAAATGGCGGCCGCGAACGCCCTTGGGAATACCCTCGGAACCAGATGTGAAAGACAAGGTAGGATTGCTATCTGGACCGACGACCACGCCAGGGTTTTGGGACTTGAGTTCCACCTGGGGTGACAGGACATCGACACCATTGGCGTCTTTTCCTCCAAGAAGACTACCGTCTGATTGGATTGCCAAGGCAGGGACTCGAGTGACAAGTGAGAGTTCGTCATCAATGTATTTGAGAACTACTGGAGACAGTGTCCCTGCCTTTTCAATGACTACCAATGCCTTTGGGCGTGCGACCGAAAGGTAGATATTCTGTCTGTTTGGCGGATATTGGGGATCTATGACGGAAAATGTACCACCAGCCTTAAGAACACCAAATACAGCTACCACGAGGTCCACACCACGGTAGGCGTAAACCATTACTACATCTCCCAGTCGGATACCAGATTTGATCAAATGATGGGCGAGAATATTCGACGCCTCATCGATTTGACGATAAGTGAAAACTCGCTCAACGGAGTCTGATTCCGTGAAGTCTGGTGTTTCGACCACACATGGTCTATCCGGATGTCTTGCAGCATTTGCAGCGAAGATATCGTGAATAGCACCACGGAAGGAGCTCCACTTCAAATCCTTCTTTGGGTCTGGAAGAACAGCCTGTTGCGACGGTGTGATAAGAGATATAGCACCGACGTTTATGGTTGGGTTCGCAGCACCGATTTGAACGATTTGAAGGAGCTGCTCGATCATTAACGAAATACGAGCCTTGCTGAAGACAAGCTGGTTGTAATGTGCGCTCAATGTGATTTCTGGGATAAGGGCCGACGAGCGGAGCGATGCTTGAGAGAGCGGTTTGAGCTCGACGTATATATTCAAATCGGTGTTAAGTTCATTCGAAGCAAGGAATTGCTTTGAAGGAGCATCCGGAGCATGGTAGAGGGAGAGGCGGAAGAGGGATGGTGGGACCTTTGATTTGGTTTTCTTTTGGAGGTAGGAGAGGAGTGCAGAGAATGGGACTGCATCGGCGGCACCGACTTGTTCAGCCTGTATATCAATAGCATCATTAGCATCATAAATTTCTATAGAGACAGTAGTAGTAAAGGAATAGATAATACCTTCTGAACGGCTTCCAGGACAGAAATGAAGCTGGTCTGTCCAGCAATAGGAAGACGAAGAACGTATGGTTCCTTAGTTTCTGCACTGGTAGCAAGGCTTATGTCTTCATCGCCAGTGATTCTGAATGCCAGAATAGCGAATGCAGCCAACAAAATGGTGAACGGCGAGGCGTGGTTAGAGCCATCTGTGATTGCCAACTGAAGCAATGAAAAACGGGAGCTCTCAGGGAGAGTTATTGAGTGAACAGCTTCGACGACTCTGGATTCAGCAGGCTTTGGATAATCGGCGACAGATGTGAGAGAAGCGGTGGTGAGGTTCTTGAGTCTGTCTGCCCACCGCTCGAGGCGGGGCTCGATGTTTTCCGACAGGACGGCTGCCATTGTGTTTTGACTATTGATTGATTAATTGATTGAAGGCAATCAATTGGATTGAAGTAATTGAGATCAATCAATTGGACATTGGAGATGCCTCGATGGGTTTTTTGAATGTAGTTAGTTAATTGGATGTAAACGATTGGTATGCGTCATTGTATGCCTGTCGGGTGGAAGCACTAAAATTATCGCCGGCATCGGTTGCTGCTGGTGTCGTCCGATGTCCACAACACCCGCCGTATACATAGATCATGCCAGATTACCAATCATGTCGCTGTTCGGATGCTTCGTTCCTAGGATTCTACAATTCTACAATTCTACAGGAGGTGTATTAGAAGCTGTAAGTAATTATCTTCTATCTCCATATGCCACTTTGCCCCCGGTTTCGACGCTTTGTCTGATGGTCTGGTTGACTGGTAGCTAAGGACAAGCCAAGACGGATACCTATCACAGATACCTCGTACTTCAGCAACCGGAGATACTAGATACATGTACTACATCCAAGGCATTGTGGACCTCGCAGACGGCCGAAATTGATAATTAAAACTGCAGCGACAATGCTATATTAATATCCATCTGGCGATATTCCGTAGCCAAGTCTTATCCATACGACCAACGGTCCAACCCAGGAATGCCCAATTCAGCCGCCCAAACAGACAAGTGCAAGTGCAGCAAGTGCGAGTAGGTACAAGTACTATCGATATGGGAGTAGCCCGAAGCGGGGCAGACGAGGCCGGATGGTATGGTATGGTATGGTATGGTATGGTCTGGCCATGGGTGCAGCTATAAACCCCACTTTCCCGATCCAACCTCGCCGACGTCCCTTCTTCTTCCCTACTAGCGTCATCTTTTGTCTGGTTCCAATTCTTCCAACTAATCCGATCTTCTTGTTCTCTAACCTCAAACAAGACCTACGCAAGGATACCTACCTAGTCGATGGGCTAGGTATTTAGCCTTCGTAATAGCGTGGGAGACATCGTGCACCGATCGTGTGCCGGGGGCCCAATTGCGGCTTGCCGTTTGTCATCGATGAAGAAAGAACATGATTTGCAATGATCGCTTTTTAAACCGCAGATGTTCAGGAGAAAACCGACTCGGTACGGACGGACGTGAACTAGTCCGAACGGCAATGGTTAGAGCTAGAGCTCAAGAGACTTACATACCTTGCAAGCTTACTCAAACCTCAATGGCTGAATTCATCGAGAAGTGAGTATAATGCATCGAATAGCGGCACCTCCCCCCTCTGCCTGGGGCAGCAGCGTGATCTCAGTGGCCCGTCAAAGGCAATGCATCAATATCAAATCGAGTGAAAGATTCATTCGCACCGAATCGAAATCTTCGTCTGCTCCATCAGAGCTTCTTCCCCTTCCTCTTCGTCGTCATCTTCTGCTTGCTTGCTAGCACAGCATATGCACGAGCATCCCACAGAAACCTGCACGCGAGCTATTACATACTCACACAGAATTTCCATGCATGGAACGAACAAACCGCCCAAACTTCCGCGGGGGACGTCCCAGACGAAACCAATGGCAGAATCTTGTGTGCATTGTGAGGTGGGTATAAGCTTAATAGAACGGACCATATCAAACCCAGGATCAAAAAAACGTGCGAGAACCCGCCTCTCAGGTTGGCTTGTGGCCAGAAAATCCGAGGGAGCGGAAGCCAATTGAGAGACTCCAACATGGGTGATCCATAGCAAAAACGAGCAAATCAGCGCCCCGCAGCAGCTATACCCTGGGACACCATAGAATTAAAGCTCTTGCATACATATGCAGATTCCGACCAGCATTAGCAGTGGGACTGTGTACAGAGTACTTGGGAAACCGTTGAAGATTTTTATACACTAACCTGACGACAAGTGCTCGAATCGGGTGTCGGTGTTTCTTTTCTTCGCTTCTCCTCCGATGATTCTATCGGGCATATCATGCCATACATCCCGTACCTATCATGACCCCTCGTCGACACGCCCGAACTGACTTAGAAGCTACCCTTGCTAGCCTAGCACCACTCAATTGCAATTGCATCTCGGTGGAGGAGGAGTAGCAGTTACCTGTGGGATGGACCGGGATTGCTGCGCGTGTTAGTTACTAATAATCTTTTTTTTTCGTTCCCAAAATTTTATTTTTGTGGCCGCCAAAGACCATCATTGTCTCTTCTTCTCCCACCGGGCTTTTTTTATATACATCGCTCCGTCCCCTCTACAAACCTCAACCATGGCCAGCTTCGTATCGTAGTTCTCTCCTTTCTATTCCTCTCCCTCACTCTCTCACTCGTTCTATTCTATTCTCGTCTCTTCTCTGTCTTGGTGTTCTCCAACGTGGTTAGTAATACCCGACTGGTCCTGGAAGGGCAAAAAAAGAAGCTTAGAACTTTTTTTTTATCCGTACCACTGAGAGACTTCCTCCTCCCGTTCCTACTACTCTTCTTCCGCTTCTCCTCTCGAGGCTAGTATAGTCGCCAGAGCCCCTCTTATACTCCTCCTTCTCCTCTTCTTCCTCCTCCTCCTTTTCTGCTTCTCCCTGGTTCCTCTCCATCCTCGGAACTTTTTTTGACGACCAAGCTCGCAAGCTTGTTCCGTTGCGTGACCCACAACAAACTTTTTTTCCTCTCAACATCGTCTCATTGTCATCTGTGCCTCTTCTGATCTCCTCCTTCTCCCTCCCTTTCTCCATCTTCTCAAGCAATCCCCGTCTTCCCTCCCTCCGGAATTTTACCAGGTTTTTTTTTTTGTCACCCGCTGAATTACTGTTCTCGGAGCGGGACCCTGTCCAGACGACAGCTCAGAGTTGCCCGGTGCCTTGGATTCACTTCAGCTCCACCAAAGCAGAGCCAAACCAAACCAAAGGAAACCCCTAAAGCTTAGCTCCACCAGGAAACCTCACCGAAAACCCTCCATCCGGAACTCGAAGCCAGAAACCCAAAGAAAAAACACACCGCCAATTGCTTCAATCGGACCGTCTTTCCCATCATCAGCTCTACAAACTCCTCTTCTATTTAGCCATCAATAAATTTCCCGGAAGAATCTCGTAAAAAAAACAAACACTAGTAATGGCGCAGGCTTCAATGACATCGTACCAGCCCAGTTCGAGCACTCACAACCGATCCATGGAGGCACGTGTTGGAAGGACAAAACAACGTAATTCCCATTCTCCCCTGAAAATACCTTGATCTATCAAAAAAATTTAAAAAATTTAAAAACTCCGATGTATGCATCAAAATTTTCTTTATAGCTTGTTGCTCGAAATTTCTTGTTCTATTTCTTCCTGGCCGTTAAACCGGCCAGATATCGTCGAAACGAAAGAAGAGAAGAGAAAAAAAAAACACCAAGCGAATTCCAAGCTAACCTGAGAAAAAACCCCGTTTATAGGCTACGGTCCAGACGGCTCCCGCCTCGTCGCCGGAATTGTTCCCCTCAACAGCGACAAAACCAAAGTTCTGATCATTGAATCCACCCGAAAACCTAACTGCTGGGTCCTCCCGAAAGGCGGTTGGGAAACCGATGAAGAAAACGCCGAAACCGCAGCTCAACGAGAAGCATGGGAGGAAGCCGGTATCACCGGAAAAGTCACAAAGGCCCTGGGTCAAATCCGAGATAACAGGACGACAGCAAAGGCCATCTATCTCTTTTTTGAGATGAAGGTCGAGGAGGAGTTGACAGAATGGCCGGAAATGAAGAAAAGGAAACGAAAGTGGGTTGCCTATAAGGAGGCTGCCGAAAAATTCGGAAGCAGATCTGAGATGCTGGATGCGCTAGAGCGATCAAGTATCAAGAGGTAGAATCTGAAGTTATTGCGGATGGGGTAGCGTTTGCATAAGTCTGATTGGGAAGAAGAGGGGATTGAACCAGGAAATTCCATCAAAGGAGCGCCTGAAAACCTCCCTTCGGCCTGTGAAGGCATATGCTTTTGCTCTTTAATCCTAGAGAAGCAATATTCACGTGTCTCCTCTATACATCATGCGGTACCATTCAGTTCTCTCCTCTGGTATTTTTCTTCATATGCGCCTTACTAGTATAATCTCCAAATAACGAAAGGTCTTGCTTTTATTTCCTCCAAATCTTTTTCAAGTTTTTTCGGGAACCACGGTACTACAGGCGTTTTTTTTCTTTTGTGTTTCAATGTCTACAGACAAAAAAAGAAGATACTTCAATTTCACCCCCCAAGGATTCGAAACTGCCCTTTCTCCCTATCTCGAATCCTATCTGTTGGATATAATATCTTATTTCTGTACCTTTGCCAGTCGCCATTTCACGAGGAGTTCCGTTGCTGTATGCTGGCTGTCTTTTTTTCCTTCCCTCTTTCCTTTCCTTTTTCCTATTCTATTACCCTACCTTTTTCGATACTCTTTTCCGTGTTTTTTCGGTGGCTTATAACTGTGCTACTGTACTATTCCTCTTTTTTTTCTTGCCCTTTGAATTCAGCAAGGTGCTTCTTGTTTCGCTGAAACGGAAAATTATCCATGAGAAAGAGATTACAGTTACTTGGGTCTCCTCATGATGATATAACTACATATCTTTCTCCTTCGCCTTTGCCTTTTCCCTCTCTCTTTTTTTTCCCTTTCTCTTATAGATATTTTACTATTATTACTTTTTTTTCCTTTTCTTTTTTGTCCAAATTAGATCTAGATTTTTTAGAAGGGGGGGGTTCGGTCCATAGATCTAGAGAGAGGGGAGTTCGATCAAGGGGAAAGGAAGAGAAAAGAGGGAAGACTATTCTACTATAGAGCTAGCAAATATTTTCAACAATTCAATATAAAGAAAGAAGAAAGAATAATAATACCAGACAAGTTAATCGTGATTTGGTATCCCGTCCGGGGGGAGGCAATGAACGAGATGCATGTCTGGGATTATCTTTCATGATAATCATGATCAATCACATTCTATATACTTATATAAACTACATACTTAAAGTACATACTTGCTTAGAGAACATTGATTGGCACACGACTGATATTATATTTTATACCAATCTCACATGCAGGGTATATACAGACATACAGAAACCCCCAAGGACACCCCTGACTCGATTGATAACTATAACTAGTAGGTAAGTACCTATCTGTTTTTATCCCGCTTCAAACCGTCAAACCGTTCCTCTTCCGCCCATCCGGCGCGATGCCGCTGATCTTCCAGCTATCTATAGATAAACATGTATCTCTTATAATAACTAAGTACCTTTAATAGTGGGGGTTTCTTATAACTAAGTACTTACTCTAACAGTACCTCCAATAACTACTTTTAGTTTTTTTTCTTAATTTACCCCGCCAATGCAATAGCTGCAATGCACATGCGATTAGTTTATAAAACTACCATTCCCCCTCTCTCAATCCGATAAATCTTACCTAAAAAAACTACTTACTCCGATCCCTTTAAAACTCAACGTACCCCCGCTTTACTTTATATAAACTAAATCCCCACAGATTTACTTTTCTAGAATAAAAAAAGAAAGAAAAGAGAGAGAGTCTAGAAAGTCTTGTATCGAATAAGCCTTCTCGATTATACCCACGTGGTCTTCTTCTATAACCGCCGTATACACCCATACATTTTTTTAAGAAAAAAAAAAATCTAAAAAATGTCCCACACTCACTCCCACGACGGCGGTCACTCCCACTCACACGATGGATCCGGGTTTAACGCTCAAGAACACGGTCATTCTCATGAGATCCTCGACGGACCGGGTTCTTACCTTGCACGCGAGTTACCAATTGTCGAAGGGAGGGATTTCAGAACTAGAGCTTTTACGGTGGGGATTGGTGGGTAAGTACTAATAACCCCCCTTTGTAGTGTGTATATGTTATGTAAACGACAGAAGGTTGTTTATTATGACGTAATGAGAATTGAAAGATGTCTTCACTCTCGCACGATCACCGAAAAAGACCTTCGAGGAGTCTTCAAATCTTTCCCAGTCACATACTCTCTCGTTCAATCCTTCTACTTCTCCCAATTAATCAATTTTTTTTTTAAAAAAATGAAGCTAACCACCCCTCCAGCCCCGTCGGCTCCGGCAAAACCGCCCTAATGCTCGCCCTCTGCCTCCACCTCCGCGACAACTACAACATAGCAGCAGTAACAAACGACATCTTCACCCGCGAAGACCAAGAATTCCTCGTCAGAAACAACGCCCTACCATCAGAACGAATCCGAGCAATCGAAACCGGTGGCTGTCCTCACGCCGCCGTTCGAGAAGATATCTCCCAAAACCTAGCCGCCTTGGAAGATCTTCATAAGGAGTTTAAAACACAACTGTTACTAATCGAAAGTGGTGGTGATAATTTGGCAGCGAATTATAGTAGGGAGTTGGCGGATTTTATTATTTATGTGGTTAGTTTAATTAATCCCCTTTGCTTTCAATCTAGTTATCCAAATAAACCACTAAAAAAATTAAATAAAATAACTAGATTGATGTCTCCGGCGGCGATAAAATCCCCAGAAAGGGCGGTCCGGGAATAACCCAATCCGACCTTCTGATCATAAACAAAACAGATCTAGCACCTTACATCGGTGCATCTCTCGAAGTAATGGATAGAGACGCCAAAAAGATCAGAGAAGGCGGTCCCACCATCTTCGCCCAGGTTAAACACGGTGTCGGTGTCGATGAGATCGTTGGCTTGATATTGAGCGCTTGGAGGAGTAGTGGTGCTAGTTCTGTTTTGTAAATTTTCATTTCAAGGAGGTTTACAATATATATATATATATATATATAGGTACTTATATATATAAATTGGGAGGGGGTTTTTTTATGGTATGATCTTGATAGGGTTGAATTGGGCATATGTTTAATTGGTCATATAAAGATGGTGTGAGTATAACGTTTTCACAATTATGCGGGGGCGGGGTATGTGATATGAATGACAGCCGTGATCCCTCGATAGCGGGGCCGCCTGGTAATGATTCTAATGATACATTTCATATCAATCCATACTTTACTTATATATATTATATACAGACCTCTAAAATATCTACGATATATATCACAGTATAGAAAAAAATCCAGAAGAAAAAAAATAGTCCCATAGATCTGATTTTACTCTTAATCCAGTAGTATAAAACTTTGTATTTCAGTTTTAGGAGTACCTTGTTGGAAACAGACCAAGATTTCCATAGAACGGTGGAAAAAAAAAGCTAGAAGTTCGAAGGAAGAAAAAAAAAAAGATTCACATAAAAGTTAACAAGAGGAACGACATATCTAAATATCAAAAGGAGTTAAAAAAAAAAAAACTTTCAAGTAGTATAATAAGAATTCGAGGGGGGGAAAACAAAATAATAAAATAAAAATAATATCAACGCCCGCTATCCACGAAGTTGTAAAAAAAAGAGAAAAAAAAAGAAGAAAGGGAATTAGTAAAAAAAAAGAGGGAAGAGTAGAGGGGCACCCTTGCCACTGCACTGGAAGGGGGACGAAAGCGGATCGCGACATCAAATTTAGAAGACGGACAGAACAGTAAGTGTAGAAATATAAAAACCCCATTAAGTGCTCGATAATTTTGGTGTTAAACAGAAAAAACTGGAAATCCCTTCCATAATTTTTTGGTGTGAAAATGACAAGTCGAAAAAAATGAACCCCAAACCCGATATATGGCAACATATAAAACAAAGTACAAAAAGGTCAAATAAAAAAGAAGAGTCCAGCCGCTTTTGGGTTGACTGGCAGGTTCCAGAAGGAAAAAAGATATGGACAAAAATCAGTGACGGGGAGGATGATGATAATCGAGGAAGTGATAAAATATTTCCTTTTTTTTTTTTGAGTGAGATTCTCTATACACAGGTGATAAAGAGAAGGAAGAGAGATAAAGAAAGAAAGAAAGAAAGAAGTAGGACCCATCCGATAACCCTGAATACAGTAAAAGGAAAAGCCCAAGAAACCGAGGTATATGAGGGGGGGAGGAACAATAAAAAGATGATGGGAAAGTATTAGATTATTCCGTTAAAGCCGGGAACGTATGCTGAGAAAAGACAAGCAGAAGGAAGCAATACCCAAAAAAATATGCATGATGCTACGCGGCCAGAACAGTAAATCGGGGGTAAACAACGACTGGGAAAGTTATACGAGACGAGATGTTGGATTCGCCGAGATCGATGGTGATGTATATAGGATGTAAGAGGAAGGCGAGGCAGGTACGGTGGAGGTTGTATGCGGAGAGGAGAAAATTCGAAAGGGATATATAAATGCGTGTACTCATTATCAGAAACGTCATCTACAGCTGCTTGAAAAACAGAAAGCCTCGTTCGTGAAAAAATAAAAAGAACGTCGACGGGTATTCGCGGACCGGGGTATATCGTATCGCATCGCATCAGACTGCAACAAGCAAGGAGCAAAAGCGTCGTCAAGCAAAGAGAAGAGAGCGACCAAAACGATTCAGCGTCATGATGCCTGCTTCTGTCGTTTGTTCGCATTACCGGTCCTTGGACTTGCCTTAACCTTCGGGGGTGGGGGCACGGAGTCGCCATCATCTTGGGCCTCGGTCTTAACGCCGGCCGTGCTGGCTCTCCTGCGCTTCCCCGTGACGTTTGGGCTAGTATTAGGATTAACCGGTGTTGCGCCGTTGACGCCATTAGCTCCGTGATGCTGTTGAGAATGTTGAGCTACCATTCCAGGGGCTTGCAAATGAGCCTGTGCTGGGGATGGTGTGGCTCCGGGGATACCGTTCTGGGAGAGGTGGGGCGAGTTGGGCATCGCCGGCGATCCCTGGATTCCTGGAGGGACTGCATGTTGCATATGCGGTGTCCCCATCCCTAATAGCTGCTGCTGCTGCTGCATGTGCGCCTGCGCATGCGCATGCGCCTGGGCCTGAGCCTGGGCCTGAGCCTGGGCCTGAGCCTGAGCCTGAGCATTTGCCTGCTGAGCCTGAGCATGGGCTAGGTTCTGCTGGTGGGCTAGTTGCTGGTTTTGAAATTGTTGGACGTATGCCTGCAAGACCTGCCTGGGTTCCAGACTTGGGTTCTGTTGCGAGAACACGAACAGGTCCCGCATACTCGACAATGTTTCTCCTAGCTATAATTCACGTTAGCATATTATTCACTCCCGAAAGGGTAACAAGGCGTCTAGTATTACCTCTAACAGCTTGAAGACTTGGTCGGGGACACCCCATTCACCAATCGGACTGTCTGGTAACGGAGGCGGTGGGGGTGGTAGTTGCTGGTGCTGCCTCTTCCCCAGTCCCTTCGCATTTACTCTCGGAGAAGCCTTCTGGTCGGGCGAGCTCGTTAACGATCGGTTTGTGAGGATAAATCGAGGGATGTATTCGGTATGCTCGGCAGTATCGAATTCCAAACAATCGATTTGTGCTGCGACGTTCAACTGGGCTCGGAGCGTTCCGTGCGCGACAACTTGTGTGCCATTCTCGAACCAGTAAACGAAGCTCGTCTTCTGGCTCTCGACGACAGTCTGCCCGCTCATTTCTCGTTCTCGTGCGTTCTCCATTACCAGCTGGATATTCTTGATCCCATATTCATACAACGAGTAATAGTACCGTGCAAGTACGGGGGTTGTTATTTCGAATCGCTTAGTTTCTCTGGTTTTGGATCGCCATAAATTATGTCGCATAACGCCGGAATGAGAGTAAAACTCGTTAACAAATTTTCGCCAATGGTTCAAATCCCGCTTGTTGCCTTCCGCTGAGCTCAGGTGCTCGCAGAACTGCAGCAGTTTTAGAACGCCGTTGCCAATTTTCCTGGTAGACGGTGTTAGTAGATTCGCGATAGGTCCATATTGTGCAGCAACATACTGTTGAGGTCGCATTAATGCCGCCTGCTGCTGCTGCTGCTGCTGCTGGGCATGTTGCTGAGCGGCGGCGGCGGCTAGCGCCATATTGTGTTGTTGTTGCTGGTGTTGTTGGTGGGCATTCTGAGCGACCACCTGAGCTTGGGGGGTGGCCTGATTCGGTTGAGGGGTCTGCTGAGGCGTTGGTTGCTGCTGCTGGTTTTGCTGATTCTGCTGCTGCTGCTGTTGCTGCTGCTGTTGCTGCGCTGCTGCTGTTGCTTGTTGTGCCGCCTGCTGCTGCTGTTGTGCCTGCTGCTGTGCCTGCTGCTGTGCCTGCTGGAGGGTTTGCATTGTCTGCTGCGGGGTAGGTTGTTGAGAATTTGGCTGCGACTGTTGCTGCTGTTGCTGCTGTTGCTGCTGTTGTGCCTGTTGCTGCTGCTGCTGCTGCTGCTGTTGCGCTTGAACCTGGGCCTGCGCGGCTTGTGCCTGGGCCGCCTGAGCTTGAGCTTGAGCCTGGGCTTGAGCCGCCTGGGCCTGTTGTTGCTGTTGCTGTACGTGCTGTTGCTGTAGATGAACTGCCTGTAATTGTGCGGCCTGTTGGATTTGTGCGGCTTGTAGTTGCTGTTGCATATGGGCCTGCTGCTGATGTTGCTGCTGTATATTGAGGGCTGCGTTCTGCTGAGCGGCTTGGTGCATCATATGCTGCTGCTGCTGCTGTGATATAATCCGCTGTTGATGTAGTTGCTAAACCAGGGACGAACTATGTGAGTATTTTGTCCCCATGAGATGGTGAAGCATGATGATCCATTCTTACTTGTTGTAAATGCGCTGGCATAGCGCCGGTATTAACTGGCGTGCCGGGGAACCCAGGATTCATGCCTGGATGACCTAAGTAGCGATGTTAGAATGATAAGGTCTTCAGAGAAAAAAAACATATGAGCAATCGGGGTGTACTGACCCATGGCTCTTCTTTGATATTGATGTAATAGTCCTGGATGCATATTAATATTTCCCATCACTGTAATTTTTATGAAAGAGGAGAGCAAGTCGTTTCGTTAGCGGGCCACCGTAAATTTTCAACCAATTCGCGCATCCGAGAAGTTTGAAGAGTAGAGTTTTTTTGACTTTTATTTTTTTGTCGTTGTTGGAACACGAGAGAGTGAAGATGATTCCCGCGAGGATCGGAAGTGGCTTCAGAATTTACATGACCTTTCGCAACGACAGAATGATAAAGTGGGGATGGAACGGAGAAGGGAGGGGTATTTGGCTTACTTGGAGCGAACTGTTGTCCCTGTAATAACTGAGGGGCCATGCCGGGAGCAAGGCCCTGATGTGGATTTAGATGTTGCATGGCAACGGCGGTAGGCTGTCCAGGAGGACCAGCGTGCATCTGTGGTTGAACTGCGTGTTGGGGTACGGCATTCAGCTGCACCGGGTGAGGGTACGCCTGTGCCATCATCGTGGATCCCGTGGAGAGAATGGATAGGAATGCTTATTACGCTTCCTATTCCCAAACAACTGAAGGAGAAATAAATGTCTAGAGCAAGGGGTGGTGTTTGCTTGGGGGATCGGAAACACGGGCGAGAGAGAGTGAGAGTGAGAGAGAGAAGGAGATGTGTAGGAGCAAACTGGTCGAAGACCCGAAACGAGACCGTCGATGTTGTGTGTCACCAGTGGCGAAGGAGAGATGATGTCGGTGATTGATTAGATATCTAAATGTGATTGTCGGACCGGAGTGATTGGGCGAGAATAGACGCTTTTGGTGGTGCAGACGCGCTTAACCCAAATATATACCGCCGTGAAATATAGAATATACCTGCATGAAAAACCGTGTAAATGAGATATTCGAGAGAGGGAGAGAGATAGGGTGCGTGAGTGCAGTCGGAAAGAACGAGAGTAGAGAGATGGATTGAGAAGGAAATGTGCGACGGGTGAAAAAAACACGGGTGAAGTGCCAGCCATGCGGCAGGCCAGGAAGAGAAAAAATATATATAGAGAGGCAAGTCGAGCGTGGTACAGGACAAGGCAAGGCAAGGCAGGACGAGACAGGACAGGACAGGACAGGACGAACAAATGGGTGAATGCGAGCGAGCAAGCAAGGAAAGGATCTGGGTCGCAAGGATTGAAGACAAAATAGTCCCCACCACCGGAACAAACAACCACCACACGAGCGAGGAAGCGCAGCAGCGGCGACAGTCAGGCCAAGGAAGAGGTCGGACTAAAAATGGGATGGTGATATGATACGGTATGGTATGATGATGATGATAATGGTGATGATGGGAGAAGTGTCACAATCACGGTTGTTTTGGATAGGATAAGAAGGATGGATAGATAGACAGATAGGCAGGCAGGCAAGCCAGTTAAGCGGGAACGGGAGGGAGAAAGGAACGAAGGGATGGCATGAAACCACAGGAATAGTGGGTGAACAACCAGCAAACCAAGGGTTGTTCTGGGACTCGATCTTGTTCTTACCTGGCAAGGGAACAAAGCACGCAAACAAAGTAGCCGTCGGGGAGAAAGACGGACAAGAAAATGTGAGAGATGGAGAGAGACGGGTAAAGCAGTCGTGACGCAGTGAAGGACGTCTTTAATATAGTAGTGGTAGACGATAGTTAGTATATTTGGTGGAGGAGGAGGTGGTGGTGGTGGTGGTGGTGGGTAGGTGTGATGATGATGGTGGTGGTGGTGGTGATGATGATGGAGAGAGGCCGGTGTGTGTGGGAATGCGAGGAATGGAGATGGTCGGATGGTGATGTGTTGTTATGTGGTTCCCTTTGGTTCCCAGCAGCCAACAAGCAGACAAGCGGGAAAAGGAACGAAGCCGGAAGAGAAAGATCTGAGATGATAAGAAACCAGGGACCGTGGAAAAAATAAGGTCTTCTTTGGGAGATGAACGTGTAGAAGGAGAAGTAGAAGAAGGGAAAATCAAATAGAGAGAAGAGGAAAAAGTCGACGTTCGGTGGCGGAGGGGAGGAGGACCGAAAGGGGAGGGAGGACCGGCTGGAAAACGGAGATTTGGCTGGTCTGGCTGGTCTGGTCTGTTCGATTCAGTTCAGTTTCTGTTCTGTTCAAAGTGGTGTGGTTTGAAGGACAAACAACAGGACAGCAGTTTGTTACTCGAAAAACTGGAGTCGATAGACCGAATTAAATACCAATTGGACTTCAAGAACAAAATAAAAATGAGAAAATGAGAACACAAGAAAACGAGAAAACGAGAGAGATAGAGAGAGAGAGAGCGTGTGTGTGCGTGTGTGTGGGAGTGGGAAGAAGAGAGAGGAAGGAAGTAAGGAAAGGAAGGGGAAAGTAACGATTGCTTCACTGTCTTCCTGACATATACATGTACATGTCTAGATCGACTTCCTTACACCAAGTATCTTCTCCTATAACTTCTTCTTCTTCTTGAACACGCCCTCTTTTTTTTTTCTCTCTCTCTCCAGAAAACGGAAATAAATAATAATAATAATAATAATCAGGAATCCCGGTAATGTACCGATTCGATTAAATCCAATCCAAGAAATAAAAGAGAAAAGCTAAGATAATAAAACACCCACTAACGAACAAACGAACGAAACGAAACGAACGAATGGCTAAGAAGCTTCGAAGTCCAGTCCTGATGCGATATGATATGATATTAAAATCACAGGGCCTAGAAAACTCCTGATCGATATCTCTCCTAATCGTCGGTGTTTGGATATATTCCCAACTATACTAGCGATGTCTTAAACGCCAGCTTGTTCTTGTTCGTTTGGAGGAAGGGAGGGAGGAAGGGAGGAAGGAAGGAAGGAAGGGGAGGGAGGGCCTGGTTTCGTGTACGGGCGTTGGGACTTCTTTCTTCCTGGGGTCCCGTCCGTCGTCTCGTTACGCTCAAGAAAATAAAAATAAAAATAAAAAAGGACAGGAACTGGTTGGACTTGCAATTAATATCAATACCTACTTAAGTGCTTAGTGCTTAATATTGCTGGTCCTTCGGGGGTTTCTTCTTTAGTTGGTATCAAACTGGTCCTGAACTGGAACTGGAACCTGCGTGTCGGTCAAGTCGGTGTATGTGCGTACATACATACGGCCCTGGGCCTGGTCCTGGTCTCTTTTCTTTCGTCGTTCTCGATATGGACACTTGGAACGGAAATCAAAAAAGTAATAAACTGCTGCACGTACGTTAACGTTCTGTTGTCGCGATTTGATAATAATCCGATTTGAAAAGAAAAACATATAAATGGGTAATTATAAGAGATCTCAGATATATAAAAAGGAACAAAGCGTCACAGGATTGTACCGTCAACGGCCGGACCGAATGTGAAAAAAATTTCACCGATATTTATATAATGAGAGAAAAATGATAGTAACAAGAAGGTACCGGGGGGTACGAAAAACAGAAGTATGTACGGAATAATAATAAGTACTGGCTGAAAGATATCGCTGGCGATATCATCGATATCTGTGGGAACAATCTGTCGTCGAGGGGTCCTCCGTCAAGTCGCAGAAAGTAACCTTGATCCCGGAAACCTCAAACGATACCTTTCGTTTAAAACAGAAAAGGGAACAACTAACTTGATAGAACCGACGTACCTGGTTATAATAAGTATAGTAGCGACTGTTTTTTCTTGTCCCGTCGTCGTCTATGTGTTTAAAAACGGGAATGGGAACCAAAAAGTACAAAAGGTCACTCTACAAATCCAAGAGGCGGGGTGTTTAAAAAAAATAAAAAAGAGGGTCCTTATTTGCAAGAAGTTAATGGGGACCAAGAGGATGTTCGGGTGGTATTAAGTGGTCGTGCAAAAAAATAAAAAAATAATAATAAGAATGAGAGGAGAATAAAGATCCCACGCAGGCACCACGCAGTACACACGGACACCCCTCCGATACAAGATAAAGTACCTGTTAGTTTCCTGTCCAAGTATCCTGGAAGATCACACCACGTCGCTTGCGGTTCTGCTTGTCGGAAAATTCAACGGATATCCACGTCGGATTGTCCAATGACGAGAAAATAGAAGGTCGAACAGGTGACCGGGACGGATGATGTAGGAGATAGATGCAAGATTGAGATCGATATCGCGAGAGAATTCCGTGATCCTCTCTTGAGAAATTGATTTCAATAGCAGGAGAGAGAGAGAGGAATAAGAAACCCAAGATCCTGAAATTATCATTATGTTTTTTTTCCGTTTCGATTTTAATATTCCAGCTGCAATGGTGGAAATAAAGGGTCTAGATTGAAAGTTGACCATGTCCACTAATTCCTAACGTAACAAACACCCTCACGATCGTATCAATCAATTAATAGTCTATAATTTAATCTATTCCTTAGTTACAATTTCCAGGAAATTACGTCTTTGGAACGAAGAAACAATCTACTGCTAACACAGGCTTCTACTACCGTATGACATTGATCACAAAGTGACGTTGCCTGCAGTCAATCCCAATATATATAAAAAAGCTACTAAAACGGCGTAGTAGCGAGATATCACGATGACGAAGTGGATATGGTTACCACTATCGCCAGTTCCAATCTGCCCCACACTACACTCCCACCAGCTCTGGGCAGGTCTGGTAGGGCAGACCGGCCAAACCAGCCAGCCATCCATTTGGTTTTTTCTTAGCTGCACAGTGTCGTGCATTCCACTTTGTATCTCCCCCCAAAGTTTCTTGTTCGGATGAAAAAAAAATAAAAAAAAATACAGGAATAAAAAAGTAAAATATTATACCAGCATACAAAAAAAGTTTCCCTTCCCATACAAAAAGTGGGCGCGCACACCCCTTTTTCGGAGGCATTAATTGTCATTAATTTCACCGTTTCCGGTTAGACTTATGCAGGTAAATACCGCAAATTTGTTGACTTAACTGACTTTTCTGACCAATTATAGAAGGTCAGATGACCGTGCGGCTCAAGCAAGGCAAATAGGTCCCTGCACCCTCTGCCGTGTTGTTATTGTTGGTGTTTTCGGACAGTCGCGCCAAGAATTTGATGTTACGCCAAGACAAACAACGTGCCGAGGCGATGTGTTGTGGGCGCAGAAATTTTTGGATATAAAAAAAAAATTGCTTGAAAGTTTTTGCTCTTCTTTGCATCAACCATCAACCTCTCTCCTCTTCCATCAACCATCTTCTTCTTCTTCTTCACAATCACCAACCATCAATGCTCCCTTTATACTATCATGGTATGTCCACAATGAACCTCAATGTTCTTTCCCCCTTCTCCTTCAGATGATGACAAACCCTTTATACTTCTTTCCATCTCCGAATCGTCCATGACGAGATACGTCGATTCCTTGCACCGTACTTGACTTAAGCGGTCTTGTATAGCAAAGGTTTCGTTTACTTGCCAGTAACTTTTTGTCTGATCTATTACCCCACTATCATACTCTGCATCCTCCTGCATTCCGATCAAATGTCAAGTTCGACGACTAACGTTCTTGAAGACTTTCTACTAGACTCTCTTCGACAATAGCTCAGCACAGCAACTGTAGATAATATCATTGGTAAGACAACTACCCTATATTCTTTATCTCTACCCCTCTGTTCAAGATCACTATGATGAAGTTTCCATATTGCATTCGCTGTTTCCACGGTACCCCGTGCTTAGAACCTAATTAGGGGATTCATGACCGTTTACACTTCCTTGGATGTCTGATTTGATCTCTATTATCTCTTACCACTTTCGCGATTATCTTCATGATGGTGAACCTAAAGCTAACGTGGTATAAAGACTTTCTAGGCTCCTTTTGTTCTATTGATAGGATTATATAGTCTCTTGAATAGCATAGCATAGCAATGAAATAGCAATGACAGATTTTTTACTAAGAAAAAACTCTTTTTCCAAAGAAAAAATACGCGTATGAGAATTTGTACCGCGAATAGCACGTGAGATCGTAAATACGTGACGCTAGACAAAAGGTCCCTATGAAAATGTATTCGTTCCAAACGCCCAATTTGTAGCTCTACGATTCTATAATACATGAATACCCTTGCTCCTCTGCCTATCTCGGTCCAAACGTTTCGGACGATTTAGAAATCATAATCCATATCCATCAAATAGCTCTCCAGCAACCTCAAGAATTTAGCCACGAAGGCTTCTAAATGGAATATGGGTTTGTTTCCCAAGTGCAATCGATGTTCGTAGAAGGCACTCCACTTGATCACATCCGCCTTTATCGTATCATCGATCTTTGGTATCAACTTGAAGGTTAGAGTCTTCAGGATGACGGTCGGTGGGATACAATGTGTCAATAGATCGTATAGCTTCGCTCGAACCTGGAGTATCCTTGCCGGTGAATGTTCCGCCATGATTTCGTCTGCGATCTGGGATATTAATGCTTCCCAATCAGGTGGTGGGAGGGGAGTATTATCCTTCACGACCTCACTAATGATCAACTCCATTAGCACGATGTATTCTCCATAAAATATGGAGGGAAGAGGAAATACTTACTTCTGCGCATAAACCGCCTCAAACATCAACAGCGCCCTCCTCAAATTCCTTCCACTCTCAACCGCAATCCTCTTACAAAGTCCATCCTTCACCTCCAACCTTTCCATCTTCCCCACACCCTTCAAAACATCCACAATCTCATCCGTCGTTGGCGCAGCAACTCTAACCAACAACGTTCTACTCCTAATCGGAGCAATAATATTCGCCGTAGAATTGGCCAACAATATTAACCTCAAATTCGGCGAATATTTCTCCATAGTCCTTCTCAATGCCGCCTGGGCATCTCTGGTTAAATGATCGGCTTCATTGATAACCACGACTTTAAACCTTTGTTTGGCAGCTAAATCCACCTGTTGGGTTTGTGCTACTTCTTTTAGAAGGTCTTGGATTACAACTCGATCGTAGTTTCCTACATCTGATGGAGTGATTTCGAGATGGTAGATCGAGGCTACTATGTTGAATTCTAGTTTTCGGTTTGAAGTCGTGGTGAATATACGGGAGTCGATTTTGATCTTTTCGACTCCGGGGCCGTAGAGTTCTTTTAAGGTGGCTATTATTCGGGTCTTTTTGCCGGCGCCGGAAGGACCGTAGACTAGGAGGTGGGGGAAGTCGCCGTTGGCCTTTATGGTGATAAGTTAGTCTTGGGTTTTTTCTTTGATTGTAGTTTGGCTTTTTGAAAGTTAGTCAGGGTAAAATAGACTTACTAGAGCTTTTAGACGGCTAGAGAGGTCATGATGGTAAGTTAGACTATCAAGAGTCTTCGGGCGGTGCTTGTCGACGAACAACATTTTGTAATGGAGGGAGGCGATGGAAGTGGAGGAGGAGGAAGAGGGGCGGGTTCAATGGTGGATTAATGAAGTTTTGCGCGTGGGAAAGATACTGTGGAGTGTGAGAGCTGGGAAGACGCGTTTAGAGGAAAAGCTCGTATAGAATGACGAGAGCTGCACAAACTTGCTATCCCAGCACCAGCAGGTACCAGCAACTTTGAAGCCTTAAAGTTAGCTAAAAATAGCTATAAGGACACTAAGATTACGATTAGTTCGCCCGAGTCTCATAATTTTTTGTAGTTTAAATTGTTCTCAGATAGTTCATAAAGCTAAAGCGTTCAGGCCATTGGATTGAAGCTAGAGGTAGAGTGTAATCACGTGACACAACTTCCAAGCTGGCTCCTATTCGCCAGCTTGTACTTGGAGGAGCCTCAGCCCGTCGCAATCCTTCGAGTTCGTCTGTTCTCGACAAAACCTCCAATACCCTCGATACCCCTCACCATGGCTGCCGACCCGTTATCCAGCTTGATGGCCTCGCCATTGGTGCAGCAGGAACGACCGGCTTTCCAACCGAAGATTGTATCGCTCTACCAGCAGCTCTTCAAGGTACCTTTCTCGAAATCACATGTCTAAGCTTCGCTACACAATATAACATTACGAACGAGGTTCGCAGATGCTGATATGTTACTACTATAATAGGAAGAGGAAGATTTCCATCCAAAATCAGAAGGCTTCTGGACCGAATTCTTCCTATTGAAATCGCATCCATCCGGTTTAAAGGCCATCTTACAACCGCTCTCCGGCGACGATCTGTTACATCTACAGGTTGGTTTTCGAAATCCACCTTTTACCTCGTCCACCTTGTTCCACAGTGTCTAGACTACGCCAAGTTATCTATATACCACGGGAGAGGGGTGCTACGTTATTATTTCTGGCTACAACTGGGTTTGGGGCCCCATTTTTGACTAAAATGCTGAAAGGTCATCTTTTGCGACTATGAATGAATTAGCCCCAGACACGACAACTGTTTACCCGAGCTGTGGCCGTGGTGAAGAAGAAGGAGGGTCCAGCTGATGAGGCAGCTTTAGACGTAGGTACCAACCATCTTTTTACATAATATTCAAGATAAGCGAGTACGACGAGATTCAAAGTTATCTAACAAGGTTTCTTCATAATTTGTGATTTTGGATAGACAATATCGATATTCCTGAGTCAGGTACTTTCAAAACGATACACGAATTTATCATCCGATGTTATTGCGATACTTGCCGGGTTGGATAATATCGATGCGGTGTTTACGGACTTCGTTGGGGTTTTGGATGTGAATATACGTAGCGGGAGGACGGGTTAGTTACTTGGAAAACTATCTTCGCGGTCTTTTACGAGGGGATGTGGTAACTGATGCTTTTTTTCCGTTGATGTATAGCGGAAGTACGGTATAAATCGGTTCATGTGGCGTTGATGACGGCTTGTGGAGCGTTTAATACGGGACTACTTTCGTATTTTATGCACAGGGATCTATTTCCGGCGTTGATGAAGGTAGGCTTTTTATACTTTATATGGGTTTATATGATGTTGGGCGAAGCTAATACTACGGGTGGCAGTTCATCAATGACCCAGTCACAGCGTCTATGTCATTCGAACCGTTCGTATTGCTCGGAGTTTTGGCGAATTGTGAGTTATAACCCTTAAGAAATTGGTTATGAGGCCGCTAACAGAGAACAAAGATAATAAATTCGAGATACAAAATTCATACCAGTTAAGGCTTGCGGACTTTGTGAACGAGACATCTATAAGACAGATAGTCTACACAATCGGTGCAGCCTCAGCGCGATGTCGAGAGGACTATATTGCGGTTCAAGATGATGCGCCTGAAGGATGGAGCTTTGGGAGTGTATTGTCCCTGATGGGTCTAGGTGGAATCCTAGCTGCGACTGGATTGTCGAAATCGCGACCGCCGTCGAGTAATGGGCAGAAGGTCGATCCGGATGTTGATGCTGTTAAGCAATCCTTTGCACAACTGTATGTTCCCGGTTATTCAGATAGTTATGAGGTATTGGAGCTAATAGGTGTAGACCCGGTCTGCGCGCGGCTATCCTTCTAGGTACTTACGACTTCGTGAACACTAATAAGCTCTTCGCTTTCACATTCATATCCTCACGTCCAACGGCTTCCTCGGAATCATCGCAAAAGATCGAACCTCCATTCGCGGCTTACATCTCGCTAACATCATACATAACCCATCACGCCCACCGTACGACCCGCAGCTCACTCTACGCCCGTCTGAACCTCTTGGTCCTTAGAGCGTTGGTTGAAGACAATACAATATGCAAACGTCTGGCGCACGACGACCTTAAATCCGAAGTTAGGCTATGTAGACACCGACAACCTTATTTGCCAACTACGAGGGGCGATCGGCATTTGATACTTGCGATTATGGATGTCGCGCTTGATGGAGTCAATCACAATCTGAGAAAGAAGCTGGATGTGGAGCTGTACTCGCTATTGTTAGGGATATTGTTGAGGATTATCTCGTTTTTGTCGAAGACTCGGACACGATTACGTATGCACAACCCTCTTTCAACGATATTTTGGGACGTAACTAATGAGACCACTTCAATAGCATATCATTGGACGGAACTATGGCGATCGCTGGTGTCGTTAATTCGATTCTTCGCATCTTATGCTAGCGACTTGAAGGATTTACCGGGTATACCGCCATTGCTAGATACCCTCGTAAACACCATTGCACTTTCATTATCTACAGGCGACGCATTCCTCCCATCAGCGACCGAATATGACGATCTATTCTACAAACTAGTTGAAACTGGAGATGTCCTGGTTAAGTTCCGGGAACTGTACAATCTTTCCGAAAGAAAAGATAGTAATAGCATTGGAACTTTGGTTAGTGTTAGTGAACATTACTATCGTTTGATCGAGGAGAATAGAAAGAGTGGAACTGGGGGTAGGAAGTGGACGACGGCAGGGGTTAGCAGTGGGTTCTTGGGACCGGAACAAGTTGCGGAGGTTATCAAGAATGGATATGAGACGCTTGCCATTGGTGGTTTAAAGGAAGGACTTGGGGATTGGGAAAGATATAGGGAAGCTACAGAGAAAGTGTTTTTGAAGAAAGTCGGGAGAGTGGTGGTGGCCGATGCGAGGGAGCTGGTTGAAGAGACGCTGCTTTGATCTGCCTTGTTTTTTTTTTTTTTTGGCTTTTACTGTTTTTCTCTCTGGCCTACGGATGTTTTTTATTTGAGGGTCTAAGGATCTATCTGATACTATTCCTTTCTTCTTTTTTCATTGTTATCTATCTATGGAGTGAGTGTATCCGGGAATTGAAGCCATCATGACTCTCTTGGACCTGCAATTGTTTGCGTTATAGATCCCAAATCCCCGGGGACCCTGGCTGACCTCCGGGAAGCGCCCCATTGGCCACCCCCGGCATCGGCAGGAACAATCCCTGTCGCATGGCTAAACAGCCTGGGTAAACTTTCGGGCCGTTGACCAAATCCAAACCGACTCATTTTCTGAGGGCTGCAAGTTGACTAACGAACACCATGTATAAATCTGCCATTGTCCTGGATATTCGTGACGGGAAGCCTGCATCGATACGTTACCTGCATTTCAATTGGATCTGATTGTCGACAGCTGAGCCACAAACCCTACCTGACCAGACATCCAAACACAACAGCCTCTTTTTTCTCTTTACTCTTTTTCTACTTCTGGAGGTATTCAGTTGTAGATTACATAATTGTCGCAAGCCCCACCATTCACACCTGGTACTTGAGAGGTACTTGAAAGTTGGAACTGCGTGCATACAGTGACACAGGATCGCAGTTATTAGCTGTTGTATATTGCGATATAACAACTATCTACCGGGATATATAACTAGCACAATGAAGGTAGGCAGGCACTCATTCTCTCGTTCTGTACTTGTGCGACTTCCAACATCTCCACTGGACTACTACTACTACTGCACTTTTTCATGCAATTCTTTTTCAATTCTTTTTTTTTTTGGAATACAAAAATGCTAATACCATGGACACCTCGAACCTACCAGATCCAAGTCCAACCTTCACTCGAAACGCTCTCCGAGCTGCTTAAGACCAATGCTGCGAATGGTGATAAAGCACCGAATGTGTACCCGTTGTGTACTTCGATACCTGCGGATTTGATTACGCCTTCTGGAGCTTATTTGAAGATTACGAACAAGTATTTTTGGGATTATTATACGACCCTGGGATGGAGTGGGTGAGCGGTGGTTAATGGAACTATGTTAATATAGGACGAAGCCGGCGAATTCGTTTCTGTTCGAATCGGCGCCGAATACCGGGTCTATTGGAAGATACAGTTTCTTAGGAAGCGGTATGCTTGACGATTCTCTCGCTATTACACTTATTGAATTGTTACTGATTTAGGCCGACAGAGCCTCGAAAGATCATTAAAACGGGTCCCGGCCATGGTCCCGAGGTCGACCCGCTCAACATCTTACAAGATGAATTGGACCAATATCGCATAGCCAAGATCCCAGGCATGAAGCTACCCCCTCTTTCCGGCGGTGCAATCGGTTACGTTGCATACGATTGCGTAAAATACTTTGAACCAAAGACTGCCCGGCCGTTAAAGGATATCCTACAAGTCCCAGAAGCGCTATTTATGCTTTTCGACACCATCGTCGCATTCGATCACTTCTTTCAAAAGGTGCAGGTTATCACCCATCTTCATTTAACTACCCCCACCCCTTCGGAATCAGATCTAAAGACCCTCTACGACACGGCATACGAAACGCTATCAATGGTCGTAAACACCATTATCGAACCCACAGTACCCTTACCAATCCAACCACCCATCATCCCGAATCAAACCTATACCTCCAACATCGGACAATCCGGCTACGAAGCCCACGTCTACAAACTCAAAGAGCACATCATCAAAGGCGACATCATCCAAGCCGTCCCCTCCCAACGTTTCGCCCGTCCCACAACCCTCCACCCGTTCAACATCTACCGCCATTTACGAACCGTAAACCCTTCCCCCTATCTATTCTACGTCGATTGCGCAGACTTCTCGCTAGTAGGAGCGTCACCAGAACTCCTCGTCAAAGCCACAAATTCAAGAATAGTAACCCATCCGATAGCCGGCACCCTTCCTCGCGGAGAAACCGAAGAAGAAGACGAAGCCAACGCTGCTAGGTTATTAGCTTCCATAAAGGACCGTGCCGAACACGTCATGTTAGTAGATCTGGCGCGTAACGATGTAAACCGCGTTTGTGATCCGTTAACGGTTAAAGTCGATCACTTGATGAACGTTGAGAAGTTCTCTCATGTGATGCATTTGGTTTCTCAAGTTTCGGGGGATTTGGCGGATGATAAGACGAGGTTTGATGCTTTTAGGAGTATATTCCCGGCTGGGACGGTTAGCGGGGCGCCGAAGGTTAGGGCTATGGAGTTGATTGCAGAGTGTGAAGGGGAGAAGAGGGGGGTTTATGGAGGGGCGGTGGGGTATTGGGGGTATGATGATCATATGGATACTTGTATTGCGTTGAGGACTATGACGGTTAAAGATGGGGTTGCTTATTTACAAGCTGGTGAGTTTTTTTTCATAACTATTTTTGATTTGATTGAACTATTATGGAATACTAATGGATGGGGGGTTTTAGGTGGAGGAATCGTTTATGATTCGGTACCATTCGACGAATGGGAGGAAACTATGAATAAGGCGAAGAGTAATATGATTGCTATCAATGGAGCTGAGGAACGGTACATGAATGAGACAGAAGGGAGGCTATAAACCAAAATTCCTGTCTTTATAGATAAAACCGGAATGGAAGAGGTAGGCGGGAATATATTTTATACTTTATGTTCTATAAACCATCCTATGTCTCACGAAGTATATACACAAAGCATGGGGCGAATGGAGCGTACTGGTTAGGTCATGAAGGCCATCATTCAGGTTGAATGGCATATACAGGATGAGGGTGGGGGTTGTAAGTACTTAGGTAGGTATATGTTAAATAGAAGAATAGATTTTTCATACGTAGCTTTTCTTTGCTCTGAATACCTAGGTAATATCCAATTAATCCCGATTAATACCAATTTGACTCTATTGCTAGAGGTAAAATTCCAAAACTTCCGAGTAATTAAATTAATATCATCCTACGCTGAGGGATTGGGATACCTCAGAATTTTCGCTATTAAAGCCTTTATCAATACTTCTTTTAATATGATTATTTGATTGCTTAGTTTACTAGATCCAGTCTCATTTAGCTTGTTTCGGAATCTGGGAGCATAACGTCTGGATTTTGTGTTCACTTGATCATGAGTCTTGAGTTCTCATATGCATTAATCAACTCGTGTGGACAACATATATTTGAATGATCATATTATATATACTAGTATAGTATGGCATCGCCGCTTTCGCTACCCTGACCTAGTTGTTGGAATAGCTAATGCATGTACGTACGCGTATGTTGTGTCATTTCACAAGGCGGGATGGTGGTTATATATAGAGAAAAGTAAAGTGAAGATATATTAGGATTTCGTTTGCGGTTCTAAATCTACCTATACGGTACCATGGTGGTATAAGTTTAAACGCTTGCATGGTGTACAGATCTTTAAATCCTATTGATCGATGGGTTTGAACAGACTACATGGACCATGTCTGCTTCGTTAATTATATGTAGTTAAGATTAATTTAGCTGAGTTTAAGTATATATCATATTGTAAATACCTAGTATATGCGCATCTTCAAAGGCCTTGGTTTGATGCTATAGGTACTTATATATTGTAACATTTGTATGGCTTTTGGGTAGTATAGCGGTTTTTTAACATGGCGCAGTAGAATATTGGATATTCAGCCGAAGGGAAGCAGCCTCAATCGAATAAGTTTAAGTTTAAGTTCGTACTCCCGCCAAAAATACAACGACGGCTGGTTCATTTTTGAAAACCACCGGTCTACGACTTCCCAACGCCATAGTCAAATCCCGTTGGATTTGCCTACTATCTTTTAAGCCATCTAGCAATTTATCTTTCATATAGTTTTGCTCAGACTTAGAAGAGTAACCCAGAATTTCGTATATGTCAGTAGTATAGCCTCTTCAACATAGTCTATCAAAGTCATAGACCCCTGCGTCAAATTGGACAGCTTATCCCGAGCATCGGTTTTCTTGTGTACCTGGCAACTCAGTGAAGATCGCACTCGTCGAGGAATTGGCGTGCTAGTTTGAAATTGATTGGTAAGTACAAGGTGCTAACCCTTATACAAAGTCGTTCGCAAGGGATCAACCTCCCGTAAAAAGTTAAATGTAGAATGGCCATGCATAAAACTCATGATAAGAGCAGAATCACCTCGATTAATACCACCTTGGCCTTGGTTTCTATGTCTCCTTGTAGTATGTTTATCTTAGTTTTTCAAAATATAGTTAGGATTAATCGCTTGGAATGTAACATTAGTATCGCCGTTACATTCGTCTTCGTCTTTGGGTAGGGACCCACACAAACGGTTTACACCTAGCTTCATGTAGGTGAAATTTATCACCTTGGCTAATATTTTCTGTTCTCGGGGCTGGTTCGCCATCGTAGTGGACAGGGGAGCTGGTGGTATTTTATTATATATTTCATCGTGTTATCGCATAGTAGTGGTGTTCATGGTGGTGCTCGCTCGCGGCGTGGGTTTGGCATAGTATCAGCATATAGATCGGTAGCATGAGATTTAGATATATATATGTCATGTTATATGAGGTTGTTGATTTAGTCGCTGGCTTCAGCTGGGCGTATCATGAGTAATATACTGCTGTATCCTCTTTCACGCTTATATTCATATAACTGGTGGTTGCGGTTGCGCTATTGGGCTTGTTTGGTTTTTTTGTATATATCGAAGACGAAACTTAAGATCTTCTCAAGTGTATCTTTGGAATTTGAAGTATTAAAGGAATAATATATAGCTTTTAATTAAGCGTACTAGTAGAACTAAGTATATTTTGACGAAGAAGCCTTTTTTTTTTTTTAACAAGAGAGCGATCGAAAGAAAATTAACGAAGAATCGAAAACGAGAGGGGGCTACAGCGGCTTCATCTTTAAAGGGGACCATTTTTTTGATAAGTCTTTCCGTCATTTATTTGCATGCACGGTCATATGATGCATGATCAATTGAAGGATGAGTTAGACTCGATATGTTTCTTCCTTTGTGATGCACCGGTGTACTATTTTGTTGATGTAATAATGCACACATTGGTTTGGTCGTATTGGAGCCCGAAGAGAATATTTTGTAAGAAAAAGATGATTGATGCAGCTGTTAACATAGAAGGCATGTATGGAATACTTTCTGCCATTCATTTTAATCTTCGTAATCTTCGAGCTGAGCAGGGGATTTTTGAGTATATATATATATATAAGTTGATGATCTATTGAATAACCAAGGTGAAATGAAGGCTGTTTGGATGCCGGATGGTGATTACTAGTTCGCAGATGAGCTTGTATCCTTTATGTTTCTGGTGGTGATGATGGTGGTGATGATGGTGGTGTTTTGATTGATATCGATATATATATATATATATATATCATGATGTTTTAATCGTGAGTTGGTTGGTTTTAAAAGTTGACATATATATATAAGTATGTATAACATGAAGTTTCCACGATACCTTGATTATGTGAAAGAGACTTGTTCTCACAGGATTTAACATTCTGATCGGTTCTGGTATGTTGATATATTGTCTAGATGTATATTTGATCTCATTAGATCATTCGACCGACGGCTCGACTCTCAATGGATCTGATCTTGAGCAGATATCTAATCACATCACGCCTGTATATATTACTGATATCCCACTTCTATGCTCATGCATGTATATATATATCCGAATTTTGCGTCATATCAGTAGGACGAAAGGATATAAACATGTCACCTTTCTTCTGATCACTGATAGGTAGCTGATAATTATGTATGCTCTTCGTATGGTAATCGTAGTTTACTACCTTCTAGGTCGGGGGTATTATGGCATTTGTGTTTTTAGCCAACTGATGCCGTAGAATGAGATCGCCACTTGACATAACCTCATCTATGACGCCTTAATTAACTTAATTTTGGGCATTTTGTGAATATTTTCTGGAAAGGGGGTCGATTTGAAGGAGGAGTGATTTAAATTACCCTCATTTTTATGGAAGGTTTGTAGGACAGTAAATATATTTGAATGAGTGGATTTATAAAGATTGAGGTTGTAGTAACTTATCTAGTATATTTCTTCCAATAGGTAGCTAGTTCCAGAAGATGGAAGAAACTGGGCCTGTTTTCTTTGCGGCTCCACAGTCAGGTGGCTGGAATTCATGGAATCCTGAGCGTACAGGAGTATCTTCTCGATAGTACTCTAGCTAGCTGCCGTGTTATATGAAAGATTATGGATAAAGTACACGCGGTAAGCACTTACTTAGATACTAGCCGAGACCATTAGACCTACAGATTTGTAATTTAAGTTGGTCTGGGATGAAGCTTGAATAAACAAACAGAATTTCGTCTAAATACCTTATTTCATATATAAAATGTCCGAAGGTATTAAATAATTGATGTTGGGACTGTGTCTCAACAGTACTTATGATGTTCTTCTGAACTCAATTTGCTGTTCTTCTCTGTCAAATTCTTACCACACTTTATTGAGTTTCAGTCATAAGGCTATCATTATCACCTCAATAGAAGGGATTGATTGTTGTATATTTTCGCTTTTAGAAAGTCCGTAATTAGGCAGCGCTTCAGTCTTAGTTGATATAGTCAACTGGGTTTGCTGGTATATAGCAAGCTTTGCCGCTGTAGAATTTTAGCTCATTAGAGGTAGCTGATGCCTAATGTTATTTTTTGATGGTGTGACGATTTAACTCTAAGGCCATGGCGTAAGGGAAGCTATAGTTCGATTTGAAGAAATGATTTGTAAATTTGTCTAGTCATAAGAGACTAGTGTGTGTCTTTGGCTTCGATTGACAAATAGCAACATTATTTAACAGGGCTTAGTATTCTATATATACGATTTCGGTTAAGTGAAGGCGGGTTCACGGGTCTGGTTTATGAGACAAAGCGTTAGTTATAGGGAAATAGGATGAGTGAAAGTAAGAAATTAGGAAGAGTTTCAGGGAGAATTCCGCAGGTGTTTAAATACTACCTATCAAAAGCCTTCTCGTAATTCACCACCCTGCTGTTGAACTGAATTAGGAGCTCAGCTCGGCTTAGATTTCAGACGGATGCTTCCAGGTATGGGTACGAGACAAGATTGATTTAGGCTGGATATTCTGTGGATTCGAGGCCAGGATTTAGAAAGCAGCTGAATGTATTTAGGAAAAGTATCATTGGGGGGATCGGCGTACACGAATATTTACCCCCAAAGTGCCAGACCTCTCGCAAATATCCAGCAGATTGCTGTAAAGTCTGCGCAGATCTGAATCCAGAGGCCACGAGATATAAAATCCATTATCAATTATCCCGGGTTCGATTGTAATTGATATACACATAAAGAAGCTTATGCTCCAGAAAAGTGAAGTTTTAAGTTCAAGAACCCTCTATATACATCACCTTCTAAGTAAGGGTTAAAGTCCGAAAGGTCTATTTCCTGAAAACGCAGTCAGGGTGCAAAGTAACTAGACCACGCAATTATCCATATCCAGATATCCACACCATCCAATACATATTGTATACAGACCCTTGAATTTGTTGCATTTTGGGCGTTGCTAGGTTGTTAATTAGAGCGTTATAGCGTTTTTAATAATAAAATGCGAAAAGTGGGTCAGGCACAAGCTATTTCAAAGACTTTTAGGGGATTAGGCATGTGAATAATTCTCGTTTTTAGTAGTAATCCTTGTATGAGGCTCGCTACTTCGTATTATGTCACAGATTTTAAGGATTCTCAGTATCAATTGGTATCTCATCGCCTAAGCAATATGCCTAGTCGACGCTTATACACATTTCAACTTTCGAAGATACCAGACAACATAAGGTAATTGAAGGAGACGAAAGGGAAAACAAGAAAAAGCAATGGTAGGTTTCATTAATTCTAAGTTAATATTCTATACTGAAATGGCGGCTATTTCCTCTACTCTCTAAGGGTACGTATATTATGAGCTAGTTATAAGCAAACACAGGATGATACTGATAGGTTAGTGTCGAGATCTTTTAATAGACCTAACTACTAATGAAAACTTAAAGATCCTTCAGTGAACCGTCGCTGAAAACAAAGTCAACCAAACTGAATTATTTTCAAGATAGCAATTAACATCTCATATACCCGAGTCTTGGGAATTAAACGGGTTACGAGGAATATGACTCCACCCCTGATCCCGAGAACTAACATACTACATATCCAGGCGTGAAACATACGGCGCCCTTGTCGAGGGTCAGCGTGCCTTAGCGATCAACCTTGCGAACGGGAGGGTCCATGGCTCATGAGTCTATTATGACTATCTCTTCCTATTGTAGACCCGCGGGAACAAAACGGTTAGTCTAGTTGTTATCAACTTCAGACCTCGAGCCCAGGTATATTCCTTTCAGCTTAGCGAATCCCATTTTTGGACAGACTTCTACACATTCGGCATGCTGGCTCAGCCTTATCCTAACTAAATGCGACAGTGCGATAGTCATTCGGAAATATGCCATATTTGGTATTTTAAATACGTCTTCTCTCATTCGAGACTAACGTCTACCACAAAGGCTGTCGCACTCGATCGGGATGCAAAATTGCTTTTGCCACCAGCCTTTTACAAGACAAGTCCAAATCTTGTTTTCATTAGTAACAATACTAATTAAGTATCTCCAAATCAAAAAGCTTCGAACTCAAGTTCTCATAAACCTGAGGGTGACGTTTACCATATGCATGGCAAGGTTTAGTGCATGAGGTGGGGGCGTTCAGCCCCACGGTTAGCGGGAATACTTGTTTCTCGGCTCACAGAAAATTAAGCTTTTACCAAGAAACACGCCTAGCCTGAAGGGATATTCCATTTAACACACCCAAACACCGCGAACGGGTCGGGGTCTCTGAATAATTTCCTGAGGCATGGCGGTGTTTTCAAGGCACGATAGGTTTTTTTTTTTTTGGTCAAGATGGAGGAGGTTATCGAGACGACTAATTTCTTATATTGTCATTTGGCTATGCTATGAGGGTGTACGAATCCGAGACCTTAATATTATAATCGGTTCACGTATGGGTGGTCTCGAGGAAAGTCATCGGACTGAGCCTAGGCTTTGTAGTTAGCGTTGCATGGTGGCGTCGGTAAACTTCGTTTCTTCTTAGATATATACCTGCTGCCATTCAGCCGCAGGTTTTAGTCGTCGCACATATAAAGTCTGTTCGGAACCGCGATTCAAAAATGTCAGTCGCAAGCTCTTCGAACAGTAGGAACCGTCTTCTAGCGCATCTGGATATTATCTAACGTCCCCTATACGAATATTTTCTTTTGAAATTTTATTCTTTTTATTTATTTTTTTGTTTTTTGACAGAGGTTCTATATTCATTTGGACTCTGGCATATATTTAAATACTCAAAACATGGGGTCGGAATACGACAAAGTTAATCAAGGTGACTACGAGGCTCACACAGTGGAGCCCGATAGCTCTAACTACAAGAATGAGATCGGGGATGTCGGAAAAATAGCTGGCTTAGCAACAAAATTAGCCGTGAGTACTCTAAAATTCGAATAGCATCGACCTAGACACACCACACTACAGTAGTAAAGAACTAATCGAGCATAACTCTATTATAGAAACGCCAAAAGCGAATAGGAAACATCCAAGTCACCGAGCGTGTAATCAACCTACTAGCCTCCGCCACCATCGGCGCAATCATGGGCTATACTCTCGAAAATTTCATCGTTAACCAACACGAAGTTATAAACGGCACGGGTCCCTTCGGCGCAAATCCAAAGCTTTGGCCAACTTATGTAATGACTGCAGTTGCAGGCATTACATTAATATTCAATGCTTCTGTTCTCTTAGCATATTGCTGTGGTAAAAAGGCTTCTGATAAAATTGCCTCTGGAAGTAGTTATGTTAAACTACTGAGTCCGATTGGGCATTTAATTGTATGGGCAACAACCGCCGGTTCCTTCAAAGGAGCGGCCAGCGGAAACGATATTTGGAGTTTTTCGTGTTCCGATGCGCCATCGGATGTCTCAATTCAACAACAGTTCGAAAATAAAATTAACTACAATACGCTCTGCACTACCAACGTAAGTTTTGCATATCATACACCAAAAATATATACTACGTTGCATATCTAACTTTGATAGACCGCCTCACTCTACACCGCTATCGGCACCGCAGTATTTGCCGTCATTGGGATAATATTGTGGGTTATTGTCACAGTCCATACAAGGAAACAGAAGAAAACGAAAGAAAAGCTCGAGGCTGCAAAGAGATTTGAGGATTTTCGCAATTCGGCACGACCATATGTGTCGCTTCAGGTTCAATATGGCCAAACTCCGCCTGGACCAACGTCGTATACCAACTACGGATATCAAGGACGAATTTGAATGATCGGCAACTAAGCTCTTGTTGTTCTCAGAGTTAACTTTGGAAAGTTGGATATAATTATTGTTTGAGGCATCTTGTTAGCGGTCTATTGTTATATCTCATAATTTCATGTAGAATGGGTCTGAAATGTAGATTTGTAGCGTACTTTATCAAAATAGTCATGGACCAGCTTATAGTAAATTATGGTCATGGTTCTCATTATTACTTTATAGTGTACGATTATTATATTTTTATCAGAAACCTCTGCAATCACGACCATGATAATCGCATTCCGTTTACTTTCAAATTAGACACCTAATGTTGTATTTTTTGCGTTGTCGGACTTTAAACCTCGAAATTTCGTAGGTCAACTTATCGTGCTCGCGACAACATCAACCTTCCGACAATGCGATAGCCGCGCCGGCAATTCCCCTCCAATCCACATAAAAAGCCGACATCTCAGGCCAGGAGCACTCTAAAAATGGCCTGGCCAACACTATCAATGCTCTTTCCGGCATTCGCCAAACCAACTACAACTTCATGCCTCACCTCCTCAACATCCAATATCCTTCGATCCCTCCGACCTCAACAATGCCCCACCACCACCCTCCGAGCCTTCTCAACTACCCCACAATCAGCCACCTGGCTGATGCCCCAAAATGTTGATAATAGAAGATACCGTCGTGGTCAAGTCCACGTCGCCACCGGAGGCTCCGTACGCGGGACGACAGTAGTCTGGGGAGACTACGGACTTCGAATGGTTGACAAACATCGACGGATATCCGCGTTGCAATTGAAGAACGGAGAAGAAACGATTCGTAAAAGATTACGTGGGATGAATTATCGACTTTACGCCCGAGTTAACGCTGGTATTCCTATTTGGAAGAAAGGAAATGAAATGCGTATGGGTGGTGGTAAAGGTAGTTTCGACCATTGGGCGAGTAGAGTGGGGGTTATGAAGGTTATCTTTGAGATTAAGGGAGATATTCACGAAAAGATTGCGAGGGATGCGTTGAGGTTGGCGGCGGCGAAGATGCCTGGTATGTTTCGCTTTTGATGGGTGACTTTACGTGTGTGGGTGTGTGTATGGGGGATCATATGGCTAATAGGATATGTTTTTGTGTAGGAATCTATGAGTTTGCGAAGAAGGGAGATCCTCCCGTGATTGGGTTGAAGAAACTTACGCCGGAATATGCACAGGAGTTAATAGACTCGAAATATAAGCTACCCTTTAAGTTACAAAAGATTCGAGAGATGCAAAAGGCTGGTATTGAGGTTCCTATGAAGGAGGTCATTCTGGCCAAGGATACATCTATGACACCAGGGCGGATATTACCTCTTCCTTCATCATCCTCGTGATGTTTTTATGTATAGTTAAAATACCATGTATATATTAGTAATGCCATATTGTATGGATACAACAAAATAACAACGCTATTGTAGCTAATTCTCCGTAGTTACTGGGCCGAAAATTTTCGCGCCTAAACTGGCTTTAGAGAAGACCTTCGAACTCTTTCGTTCATTGTCATAATAATCTCTAGCTCCCTCTGGTGAGCCTCGAGACCATATTCATTCTCCCACCATTCCTTCCAATCCAATAACACCACCCTCTGCTGATCCCGATTCCACATAACATTACTGCGACTCGGTTCGCCATGGATCATGTTCTGTTTTCTAACTAGAATCATAGCCTCTAAAAAAGCTACCTGGAACTCATCTCTCTCCGCTGGTGACATTTGAATATTTGAAAGTGTTTCGCCATCCACCCTCTCCATGATGATGGCAAACCCGCGACAAGTCCGGTATCCGAATCGCCCGAGTATAACTTCTCCGGCTAGGTATAGTTCAGGTATTATTTTGGTTCTCTGTAGCTTATCCCGGGCTTCGCACTCTTGTTGCCACCTACGCAGAAGATCCTGTCAAAAAAAAACAAACATTGGTTTGGAGGAGTATACTTGTGATGACTTACATAGATAAAGCCGTCCATCCCAACCCATCCCCAAAAAATTTCATCACAGCCGGTCTTCCCGTATATGTAGTATAATAAACCCCACGATCGAGATCTTGACCCTTGGATTCAGGACACCTTTGTATCTTAAAAGTATGCGTAATCCCCCGAGGTTCATCTTTCACAAAAACCTTGTTTGGCTCCATTTGACTGATGTCAAATAAATGCGGAGGAAGCCCACTTTTTTCAATCTCGTGACCTAGTGGTCGAGTCTCTGGTATTGGTAGTTTTGGTTTCGGAGTAGTAGGTAAAGGTGGCGACTCCGTTCGTTCAAGAATCGCCCCTAAAGACTTCTGCCGGTAGACCAATTCGTTTACACCATTTGGTACCGATAAAGCACCAGGTATTCCATTGGATGTGGAAGCATTCCGTGAAGAAGGAGCAGGTGGAGGTCCTATTGATCCTCTTCGAGAAGAAATCACAATACCTAACGAGTTCCTCCGGGAGCGAGATAAAGAATTCCGAAGTTCGGTATTCTTAAGGATATTTTGTACTCTATCGAGTTGTCCAGCTACCTCCTTATCAAGAAGAGTCTGTTCATTTTCATCCGCTCTCAGATTCTCGAGTGTCATGCTTGAAAGAAGACCAGAAACAACCCTTCCCAAGTTAGCCTGAGAATCGTAGAAATACCACTTTCGACTTGTTAAATAGTTTAGATAACCAAAACAATCTCTTAACGTCGGCCGAGTTTGTCTTGCACTGATCGGTACGGAAATAAGATATCGAAAGTCGTCGTCTCGTTTGATAAAAATATATGTTTTGTATGTTGAGAAGAATCCGTAACGAAGTTTGTAATTATGCATATACGTTATAACTTGAGCTAGAAATAAAAAAAAATATAGATACCACATCAGCACCTCTATCAAGGATAGTATATATATAATCAGAACATCATACCTATTGTATTCTTCAACGGCAACAACTTCGAAAGACCTTTCCTAATATTACACTCCCTAATATCAGACCCCCAAGCCGACTTAACCTCGCCTATAAATCTATTCGTAGACCCAGACGCTTTATGCCGCTGAATCGTCGAAAACGCCAAATCAGGGAAACCGTGTTGGGGCCAAATCGAGGATACCGGCGTAAAAAAATCCGAATACCTTAGTATGGCGACTTCTTCAATTTCGAATTCGGGATGCGATAGGTCTCCGAATGTGGGGAAATCTGCTTGTGAAGATACACTTTGGCGACGCTTTGCAACTGATGTGGAATTAAGTCGTTGGTGTCGCTGGATAACTGAGATGTTACTGAGAACTTCGGTTTCGAAGTCTGTCCACTCGTAAAGGTAGCGACAGTGGGGTTCTTTAGGGGGTGCGGGTTTCTTCATTCCTCAGCATTCTAGGTAATGTGGTAATGAAGATTAATGGACCGTTGTGTTTATAATATTAAGGAAAATTGGGGAATATGGGGGTTGTTGGCATGCGGCTGCGCCGGCGTAGAGTATATGTAACCGGCGTATTGGTACACTCCGAAAATCAGGGCCATAAAGTTGCAATACCAAGTTTGACGTCGCCGGTTTGAGATCTAACTCTATCTCGGTCGTATACACGTTTGTCATCTGGGTTGAAGAAGGTTTTCTGGTTCACAAAGCTCAAGAGGTACAGCATACTTTATATTAGGTTTGGAAAGGCGCCATGACATGTGCACGCTATGATAAGTTAAATTTAAAAAAAACATTAAACAATAGAGTTTAGTAAACTGGTGCCTTTGTGTGTATTACAATATAGAACTAACCTTGAAGAACCAGTGCTACGAAGTGAGATAGATTTGAGTTTACTGGATGACTTGAAATTGCAGTTCAAGGAATGGGGGGGACCCAGAATCAATCTCCTCGAGGCCTCGCTCGAAAAGATCGGAATATGTGTTGGAATATCCAAATTCCAACGTGATGGGCTTCAAGCAGTCTCGTAACCAAGGCTTCAAGTCCCGGGGGATGCTAGATACACTAGACATGGATTAGTCTATATTATACCTTCTTGGCATCTCGGAATTCAAAATCCTAATAGATAGCTGCCGAGTGTCTGCAACTAGTCCTAAGCTTTTCCGCGTATACACTCTTTTCATATACTGTTTATATATTTATCTTTTGCAGCACGCAAGCCATAGTTCAAGTATTGGTAATGATAATTTTGGACGCAAGTCTAAACGTCGAGGGGTAAATGATTTAAGTACAACCAAAAGCGCTACACGCTAATTGCACAAGGGGAGCAAAGATACACCGAATGATCATGGGGTCGTGAAGGTGATTTAGTACGTAGACAAAGTACCCAAATAGCAGACTAGATATAATCGACCGTACCGACGACGGTTTCTGCTTTCAGGTCCAATTGTGACCTCACGGTAAGTCAAAATAAAAAAGAAAGAAAAAAAAGGCCAGGCTATTATTAACCTAGAGTCAGACATATAATAACCTTTGGAGTCAACTCCAACCCGAGAGTCGCAATTGCTTCAGCAATCTTATGCTTAGCGTTTCCGGGGACATCTATCGGCATCTCTTCCCATCCCGAGATCATCTAATCGACAGTCAGCCTCAGCAAGATTAAAGGAAGGTATATTAGCATTCGGGCATACCTCAGCTATAGCGAGCTTTCTTCCGACGAGAATACGGATATCATCAATAACAGGCTCGATATCCTCAAGCTTGACAACACCTGACATATCAGTTGAGAAGACAGTATCGTCGTCCAAATTGGTGATAACGCCCTTCTTCGTATTGATATGGTAATTTTTCAAAAGCGTCATACTACGCTCCGAGCCCTCAGCTGTGAGTATCCTTTCGAGAGAAGGAGAGTAGTACGGCTTTACATCCAGGATTTTCCGAAAGTCGTTATCAAAAGAATGCCAGTCATAACATTCTGGGTCGAGAACCTCTGCCGGTTGGTACTCGCACTTATATCGCATCTTTGGGCAGCTATGAATGTAGTAGCCTAAATCAATGTAAGCTCGGAGCCGGGAAATAACGTGGAGAATAAGAAATTTAAGGTACCCATGTAGTAGTAGTCATAACCTGCTTCCTCAGCTAGCGCGATCTCTCTGATAGCACTCAGTTTCCCGAAGCTCCATTGTGAAAAATCCGTATGATACCTGAGATACTCAACTCGTCAGCATTCTTAGTTATGGATGGACGAGGTAATTTGGTCCTACATGAAATAGACGCCGCTAACACAATCCGGGAGTAGATCCAAAACTGCCATTGCAATCAAACGGCCATCGAGATAGTAGCACTGATGGTATGCCCCGATCTTTCGACCTTTCTTGTCGACTGAATAACGTGGCTTGAAAGGATTCGCACACAAGAATCGCTTGAAACCACCTTCGCTTGCTTCATCGTTGTGGATTTTCTTTTGGTAGTGTTCGAATAGCTTGTACCTTTAGATGGTTAGCTATCATCCCAGTTGTTCCGGTTGCCTCTGAGAGAAATACTTTTCCTCTGTGAAGTTATTTTCCTCGAGTACGATTTCGAATTTGTGAGCAGGCTCAAGAGGATTCTGGGCTTTCAAGGTAGCATATTCCGACTCGTGTATCTTCTCCACAACATTGAAACGAGAGGTGCGTTTTCTCCTCTTCTCCCTGGAGATGGAATGTTAGAAAATAGAATTTTCGGATAATCTTGTAAGTATAGAAGAGTCACGTACTCTCGAGAAATTGGATATTTTTGTGCTTGTTCTCGCTTGTAGTCAATCCCGTGAATGAACTTCGACCAGGCATTAGTTGCCTTTCTTTGTTTCGAGTTCTAGGAGGATTAGTTACATCATCTCTTAGGGTTCTTAGCAGAGCCTATTACAACATACTGGCTTGAAAAGGGATGATTTCAGTCTGCACAATATGTACCCGTTAGTATAGTCAACAGCGTACATTGGCGACAATCGAGTTGTAATACTACGAACCGAATTGTGTATTCCTGACAGCAGGAGCCTCTCATATCCGGCTTGTAGATTATATTCCCCGAGCGTCTCCAGCCACGGTCGAGTAAAATCTTGTAGTCATTGGGGGTGATTCCGAGAAAAGTTTCACCAGGTCTATCGACACTAGCCATCATCATGTAGGATTTGTCTTCAGGCACACATCGAATGAACTTTTAGTTTTCGCTTAGTCAGACCACGTCCAAGAAGGTCACTTACTACCAATAGTCACGTCGCAGTAGCCGCAGGAACTGTCATTGCAGCCTGTAAACGCGAGTCAGCTGATCCGCTGGATGCCGAACACAGCATGATTAATAACCATCGCCTACCGTATGGGAATAGGACAGTTGTGATGCCGACTTTCCTGGAACCCAGGAAGTCCGCATTCGCCATTTTGTGTGAATTTTAGGTTGTACACGTTAACGTTGTTGTTGGAGGATGCAATGCGAAGGGATGGATTGTTGTCGGTAAGTAAGCTAGGTACATGTAGGTACTTAGGTGACTAAGTAAGTACGTGAAGGCGATCAGATTAGAAAAGTAATATACGTTTCTACGAGGCTGCCTTGGTTGAATAGAAGTAAAAGTCCTAGCCTGACTTTATACCTCTAAGTCGAAGCACGAAGGATCTCTCTGTAGCTTATCTGAACTGGGACTACGAGCTGCTGGCTATGCAAATGTTGGGAGCTGGGCAGCTGCCGGCTGTACGGTTACAGTACATGTGCTGGTCCAATCAAGCTGCGCCCGCCACCCGCATAAGGTAAAACCCACAACACACTTTTTGGGAAGCCTTCTAAGGCACCTCCATCTAGCTAGCCTAAGCTTAAGCTGTCGCATATCATGCCGGCCTCCATTATGAGTATTCCTTCGATATCGAAAAAACAAATAAATAAGATAATGTCAATAAAAATAGGTAAATAAAGAGGTGTCACGTGAAACTAATTGTAATCTAACATGTTTGAGAGTGTCGTTCGCGATGGTTCTTCACAAATGAGGCTTCCTTTGTGAACTTAGCTTAGGTGTAGTGATCAAGTCCGTAACTAAGTTGGTAGGCTAAGTAGGCCTGTATAGGCTAGTTAGCAGCCAGGTTAGTACTCCGTACCTAGTTGGGCGGTTGCCTCTACTTAATAAATAAGCTAGCTGTTACCAATGCAGGTTTGCGGACTTGATTGCCGGCCTACAGAGCGCTGACCTGCCTATAGGTCTGTCTATTATATACTTAGTATATTGGCCTGACTACCAGCCAGCCTGCGGGCTGCTGGCCTAGTTGCTAGTCTAGTTAACTAATTTGGTTATTGTGTTGTGTTGTTAATGTTGTAAAACACATTGCTAAATTGAGCAAGACGACGATTATCAAATTTGAATATATCAAAAAAAAAAAAAAAAAAAAAAAAAAAAGAAGAACTGGGAACTTTGATAAGCAACTTGCTTAAGTAGGTGCTGAGTTGAGATGCTATCAGGTAGTAGGCTAATGCCTAGATGGGCCGTTAGGTCGGCCTTAGGTTATAGCTAAACCGGCTTTAGATTATATTGTTGAATTTATCTTTAACAAACTGGCAAAACGACTGTTTTGGCCTAAATTCAAAAAGCCTCGTGGCCGCGTGGGAAAAGGAAGTTAAGTTACTAAGTTAAACTGTCTTTTATGGTAGCTTAACCCTTGAACAAGCGCAAACTCACAATCGATGCAATCAAAAATCCAAATCTCGACAAGCAACTGACACTTCAGTGTAACACCCAATTCGGTGCGTAACTACTTCCGTTACTAGACTGATATGGTGTAGTACCAATCTCTTGGCGAAGATCGTCCTATATTTCTCTTTCAGGTTCGCATTTGCGCTCTTCTCGGTCTGGAACTCGTTTCTAACTTCTGCATGTAAGCTGTCATCCTGCCATTGGTTTTTTGTTAACCAACGTCATCGGCGTCCTGCCTGTTTTTTCCACGGGTGTAGTGAAATTTAGTACGGTTGCTTCGCTCTATATTAGATTCGGAGTACGTACGATACGTATGATCGATGACCCTCGCGAGCTTTTGACTATATTAGTCTCAAGACTAGGGAGTGATCTCAGCTCGAACATCACATCTTTCCTTCTTTAACATCTAATGATCTTCAACTTCAAGTTTATACCTCCCATATGTTATACCGTCTGTATCCCTTCTTGAAATTCATCAATAATCACTGCCATCCTATGATTGCAGCTTCAAATTATCACTCAACCGGCTATCACCAACGAAGAAAGAGCTTGCAGCCGTCATCGTTTCTTCTTTTTCTCTCCATATCTCTATTGATATCTCTTTTCCCTCAGAAAGAAACAAAAAAAAAACATACATCATGCCCGCGGATCGACAAGCCGGAAGAACCGTATTCTTCTTTCTATCAAGCAGCCCCGATGATTGTATCGGGGGGTGTATGCATCATAACTTTACGCAGCAAGACCTCTATATATTTATAGATATTCTTGTATTTCTCCAAGCCTTAGATACCAGGGTTGAATCCTTACCTGATGAAAGAGCCTTTGAAATTCGCACGCGGGGCAACAATACGGCGTTGGAAAACAATGCTAATATCCCAATGTCACCGGGGGACTACATAATTGCACCGAAGTTCAGCTCGAGTGAGTTTACGCTTTTATCCCGATTTATAATATTATAAAATCCTCTGTTTACTCTCAGGAACCCCCAGCACCGCGTGAAACCCTTTGTTAACCATCTACTACTAGTTACACTTTGCGTTAGCGATGAGCTATACCTAGATCGGGTTTTATCCCATAGTGTGACCCCGAGGGACAGCGCTTTTCGCGATAAGATCCGCCATCGCGACCGCGGATGCGTCCTTAGCGGAGTAATAAACAAGGCAGCAGACCGGGGTAACTGGAAGGCATTTGAAGCTGCCCATATATGGCCGCTAAGCAAGGGAACCGAGTGGGTTCGTCAAAACGCCGGCCGTTGGATTACAGATTCAGACGGTCTCTCAAACGAGGACAAAATGAACAGCCCTCAAAACGGTATTCTATTGTCGAGCAATTCTCACGTACTTTTTGATTCGCATACTCTTGCAGTAAACCCTGAGGTTGGAATCTCTTCCTGTTTCTTGTTCTCGTGGTGCTTTAGCCAACTATAAATCAAAATTCTGACTTGTGAATTTTATATACAGGCTAACTATAGGGTTTACGCTTTCGACGACGATAACTTTGGTTATAGCGGGAAATATATGAGCATCCCAGCACGACAGAATGGTGAAGTTGGTGCAAGAGACACCCTCTTGCAGTGGCACTTCCGCCAAAGCGTCCTCGCAAATATGCGGGGAGCCGGTGAGCCGATATGGGACTATGGCCCGAATGAAGAAGGTGATGTCGTAGGAAGATTGTTGTCCTCGGATCATACGATGACTCGTCTTGGGGAAGAAGTGGGGGCTCGTCTAGCGCTTACTTCGTATCTCCCATCATCATCATTACGAGATGGTCGATAGGAAGCCTACAACCATATATATATCTGAGCATGCATGCAGGCTATATTTTCTCTTGGGCTTGTTGTTTTGATCACCGGTCCCTCTAGAACGTTTTTTCTTGGTTAAGAAGGCGTTTTTTGCATGGGAAGAAAAGGTCGGCTTGCCTTTATTTAATGTAGTTGTAACTTCTTTTCTTTCCGTTTGAAGGGTGGCTGGGTCATTTCCATCGTTTTCACTTAGCGATATCCTGAATTCCTAATGAAGAAACTTCAGTCATTTTTATATGTTTGTTCTGAATACAGGCAAATGTGATTTTAGACATAAGGTGTTCCTTGTTAATCAATACTCTTCACTTTCAAGTGTTATAACTCAATATTAAGGTTAACCTCGCGGCTAAAGCTCTCTCGAGAAAGGAGGATAAGAGAAAAATACACTTATCAGCTAGCTAAGTTACCTATCATATTGAAGGCCTCACTGCTAGAAAATCATCCTTTCCCAGAATTCCGGGAAAGAAAGGATGGACCCATAAACTTCAGTCAAAAGCTCGGTACATAAAAATCGATGCATCGACCAAAAATCCCAATCCACAATCGATCCATCATATATAAAAGGATCTCTGACCACTTCCGTCGGCCATTCACCCCTTTCCAGTTGATACCGGTTTCCATCTCCATTTGTTAAAAGCTCCTATCCATAGAAGTTCTGAACAACTTCCCTTGCTTTCATGACCCCCGTCCACGAGGCATAGGATTCTCGTATAATCCAGGCCACTTGATCCTTTCTACTCGCATGTCCAAAGATCATTATTTTAGCATTAAGTCTTCAGCCTAGGCTCAAATATCAAACCCACTACCTCGCGAGGAACGGGGAACGGAAAAAAAAGAGTTTTACCTTTCATCAACAACTGCTCTTGAAATTGCTGCTCAGATTGCTTTGTTCTCGAAGACTTCACCCCTGTATCTAACTGTCCTATTCGAGACGGCTGATTAAGTCGGACCGGAGGTATATTTTCTATATATAGAAGACGAAGTCATAGATATATTAGCATCACTCAATCATATAGCCTCCTATATATCTCCCCACGATGATTCTACTAATCGACACCAAATAGGATTAACAGATAATAGAAATATATACCCCAACATACCTTGATCCAGAATACCGTCAAGTTCATTTCCAGACTTGTCTACGACTTTTTTACCATCGTCTTCCATATCGTTAACTTCGATCAAGGGAGTTTGTTACAACTAGGAGATTGAGTAATTGAAGATGGTGAACTAGGACAGGAATTATAGCGAAATATACCAACTCTAACAGCGTCTAGAGGTCATTTCCGTATCTAGGTATATATGTATCCAATATTTACTATCGATATCGACAGAAAGAGTCTGTTGCATCTTCTTAAATATAATATTCCTAACAGTTCGATTGAAAGGACCTCAGCCATGGTCATTTGAAACGAGACGTCAAAATATAAAAACCCGAGACACAATCATAGAAGAAACGTCTCACAGCGAGATAAAGACGAATCCCCCAGGTCAGGGTACGAGACAACGGTATACGTACATACTAGGTCTATAGTATGACCCACCGTGCGGCTCAAGCAAACATTGGCGTCCGCATTGTGTGATGGTACAAAAACTACTAGACGAAATGCAAAACCACAAAGTCTAGAGTTTGCATTCCATACTCATGTTTACCGATTCAGAGAACCGCTACGTGTACGACGTCGACGCAAATGAGGAATCTTAACTTCAATAGTTTGCTTCAAAAAAATCCTAAAAATGGTCCAACGATGCATATATTCTTTTTTAAAGCGAAGAAAGGAGGAGAGAACAAAAAGGTCTTTTTGATTCGTCAAAGAAAAAGAAGAAGCGAGCTTGTTTACAAAACAGCAATGGAGGTAGCGACAAAAAAAAAGTGCGTTCAAAGCACTTCAAACTGAGTTAACAACATGTAATATTACCGCTCTTACCCAATAATAAGGCCCGTTTAAACCGATCGTGCAAACTGGCTCAGTTGAATCAATTTCTTGTGTACAACTCCAAAGCTCCCAAGCTCTGGTTGAACCGCTGCGTAACTATTCGAAGCTTCATCGAAGTTTCCATTCCTGACGTGCACGAAAGCATCAGTCAGTTGGCGAGTGACATTCTGGGAAAGTAAGTCATCGTTGTTGAGATGGTCAAAGAAGGTGTCTAGGCGCTTGCCCAACTGCTGAACTTGAGCTTTGAAATCGGCCTATTGTCACATCGTTAGCTTCGAGCGTCTTACAAGGATTGGGCCAAATAGTGGTTAGCTTACCGGTGCATTAGCTGTGACTAGTTCCATCTCTTCAGAGAGGATTTCGAAGAGTAATCGGGCATGCTCCGGAATGTGGCTACGATCTCCCTTGGCTATATTCATGTTAGATATTCTGCTTAAAATGAATATAATTAAAATTTACATACGATGCTTTGGCTTGGGAGTAGCAGCTTTTGGTGGTGGTGGAGGTGCTCCGCTCTGAGGTGGGGTTCCCCTTAACCCAGAAGCACTAGTTCCTCTTGGAGGGCCCATTGGTGGCGGTGGTCCTGCCATTGGTGGTCCCGCCATTGGTGGCCCTTGCGGTTGAGGAGGCTCGCTATACATCTGCTGATGCTGTAGTGGTGGTTGGCCGTATAGTGAATGCGCTGGTGGTGGCGCTGCGTACGGATTCGCAGCTGGTGGCGGGATCATTCCACGACCAGGGCCTGCTGGTGGCAACGTAGATGATACATTTTGGACTGGTGCAGAAGGTGTATACCGGCTGCTTGGGGGACCAGCCGCTGGTGGTGGCGGGGCGTATGCAGCATGTGTCCGAGGCGGAGTAGGGCCGGTTCCAGGTGGACCTTGCGGGGGTGATTGTGGAACATAGGGACTGTGAGGTTGAGATCCTGGGGTTTGCGGCCTGTAATGGGAGCCAGCTTGTGGGGGCCCAGGCGTAACACCGGCCTGTCCTAGCCTAGGAGGTGGTGGCAAAGTTCCACCAGGTGTCCCGGAGCGCGGCGGGCCCGAAGGGGGGAAAGCAGTAGGAGATCCCAATGGATTCGGCTGGCCCATGGGGAAAGGTGTAGTTATAGGAGCAGAAGCTGGCACCGAGGGTGTCTTCCGTCGTGTAGTATCAATTACCATCGGTGTATCGTTCCAATCAGTTAGATCAGTACGTTTTGCAGCGGGGAGTATCGCAGGGCTATTATTCCTGGGAGGGCCGAAAGCCGTATTGGGTGGGCCGGAGGCCAGGGTATTATAAGCCGGGCGAGGCCCTCCAACACCGCCAACACCGCCAACATTTGGCTGATATGCCGGAATAGCAGATGGGTATCCTGGAGTAGTAGAGGAGTATCCTGGGGTATTTACTGACGAATTCGCCGGCGTGTACCTAGAAGCTGATTGAGTTTGAGGCTGACCATATCCTAAGGTTTGCTGGGGTTGCGGGACCACCGAAGGTGCTGGAGGCTGGATGGGTGTAAACATCGTTGGCGCGGTTTGAGGTTGTTGAACAGATGCTGGGGCATATGGTGATTTAGTCGCTGTTCTGAGGCCGGCGCCCATTGGGACAGTGCGAGCGGTAGCTGCAGGCTTCTTGTTTACGACTTGGCCAGATGCGATCCTAACGCGGTTTCGTGCTATCTCTGCCGGTTGATACTTCAACGGAATCAAACCAAGATACCTAGCGGCAAACTCGAGCTGCCCTTGGGCAGCTAAAACATCTGCATACTCGCAGTAGATATCATAGAGTGGAGCGAGCTTCCAATCGGCCTCAACATTCATCTCTGGATCCACGAACTTCGTCGCCTCTCTAAAGACAGTAACCTTCTCTATCAGTTTCTGCATAGATTGGACGTGAATACTGAAGGAAGTGGACCCTTCGGATGGATTCTTGAGAATTTCTGCCTCGCTTTCCTTATACTCTTCGATCCAGATACCAATAACTTTGTCCAGTCGAGAGCTCGAAAGGTAACAAGTCGCAGCATCCTGTCGCTTCTGTAGTTCGCTCGTTGCCTTCAATTCCACTTCCAACCTTTCGCCGAGAGCTTCACAAAGTTCTGCGAACTCCTTATCGTTAGCGTACGTACAAATCGCGCAGAGGACCTCTTTCCAGTCGGCAAGGTCAGCGTTATGAACGACATCCCATAGGTTCTTTTCTACCACTGAGGAAAGGAGGCGTATGTAGTTTGGTGCATCTGTTTGCTTGCTGAAGTAGGCCTTCTGAACCTTTTTAAGAGCTGTTTCGCCACCTGCTACAGCAAGCATGAAGGCGTCCGAAAGCCTATCCTCCTTAATACAAATATCAACCGCACGTTCAAAATCACCAAGAATAAGAGCATTGGTAATTTTTTTGTCGGCTTCCGATTCGGTGCCAGAGAAGATGTTGAAAGGATTGTTGGTTCGAGCGCCCTTTGTAGACGAGAGTTCGTTCAGGAAAGCGTCATCCTCCCCGCTGCCACCGAAAAGTGCAGAAAGGCGCCTTTCCTTAGACTCACCATTAACTTGAACATCCTCAGATTTTTCGACGGACCCTTCCTCAGTCTCTAGAGCATCTTTAGTAAAGCCCAAGAACTCAATCAGTTTCTTCTTTGGAGACGGGTCGAACAAAGTTTTTAGGATAGTCCATTCCGCCTTCTCAGGCTCCGATGTGAGTTCCGATATTCTCTTGTCGCACAACGTGGCAAAGTTCCCTCCTTTCAAATCATTTTCGAATGCATCGGTAGCAGCTCGTACATCTGACTCGACCGCCAATGTTGTGATTTTCAATGTGGACTTTTGTTGTCCGACAGGAGTGGTGAAGCTGACCAATTTGCCTCCAAATCCGAAGGATGCACCGACTGGTCGTTTGTACCATCTAGGTGCTTGCTTGAGAGAAAAGGAGGGGCCTTGAGGATCGAAGCTTGCCTGGTCGAAGAAATCCGCGCCATCAAGGGTGCCTGAAGCTGTGTCTCCTTTGACAACAACCCCTTTGCTCTGGAGCGACTGTATGCTGATCTTACCGTCAAAGGAGGCAGATGCCACCAAATTGGGGTTTTTAGGGTTGAATCGAGTCTGGAACATCCAATTGGTGCTAATTGGGAATTCGCCCAACATTTCGCCCGAGTTCGGGTTCCAGCATATCGTTCGGTTATCCTTTCCAGAGGATAGAAGAATATCGGGATCGTGCTTGCACCAGTCAAGCGACAGAACGCCTTGGTCATGGCCGGTGAGTATCTGTTAAAAGTTAGCTAGTTTCTAACTACTAAACGATATTATTATATCACTAGCCTTTTCGGGAGCATTGGCGTTGCGGAGATCCCAAACCATTATAACAGGATTGGAGTCGTCTGGAAGAGCAGTCAGAAGTTTTGTCGCCTAGATCATATTAGCATATAGTTTCATCCCACCTACCCTGACATTAGTACTCACATTTTCTGGATGCCATGCGACTGCGCTGACTTCCTTTCGTCCCAAATGACTTAAGGTAAGAGATTCTTTCTTCTGCTTAACATCCCAAACCGTAACGAGGCCATTCTTTCCTCCAGATAACAAGATATGCGGGATCTTTTTGTTCCAGTCTACCGAGGAGAAATCGTCTGCCCTCGCCCGGGTCCCGAGGAGAAAGGGGTTTGCGGTATTGTTCAGATCCCAAACATATATCTAAGTTCACAAGTTAGAAGAGTCCTGGAAACGAAATATGGCAAAAGTGACATACCTCGCCTTGTCCGCCTGCTGTTAACAGCAATTCGTCCTTGAAAGGGTTGAATTGCAAAGCTTTGATGGCCCCTGTGTGCTTCGATAACGACTCAACAGTCCCACTTCGGATACACATCAGCTACAAAAATCTCTCATCATCGATTGATATACATTATATCGCACCTTTCTCCTTTGAATAGCGATTCTGCGTTCCAGAGGTCAAGAGATCCATTTTCCAAACCACCCGCAATAATTCCCCTCTTGCCCCAAGCTATACCGTAGAACCTATGAATGTGAGAAATTTTATTAGATATCTTTTGTAGTTGTATCCTTTAACGGGTAAATTGTACCTTGCATCAGTGCTTAAAGTCGCTTTCGGCGTGAGCTCTGAAGCTTCACTGACGCCACTATCCAAATCGAGGTCCCAAAGCTCTAAGTGGGTAGCATTGGAGAAATCCGCATCAACAGCTCCAGCAACTGTACCAGTAGCGAGTAACGGACGCGATGAATCTTCCGACCAGGCGAATGTCGCCGTTCGAGGAATCCGCAGGTTCACCATGTGGAATATATCTTATCGGATACCCAACACGTTCAACAGCTAAGCTCGGATGCCGAAAAACGTTCGTAAGTTAGAGAAGTTAGGGTGAAGTAGTAGTGCACGTGAATCTGCAGGTGAGTGTCGAAAAGGGGTATAGAAGTACAGAGTAATCGGATATGATTAGTAGGTAATGTGGATGGTCGAAGTTGTGGCCGACTTCACCGTGGGATGCTAAGCTTGGTGACCATTGACCATGCTGGAAGTTGAGACTTGTCCTCCCACTGCTAAGCGCCACCATATCCCTTACCAGCCACACACTCTCTAGTGGCGGAGCTATGAAATACCACACACAACACCGCTTTTTCAAAACAGCCCCCGATTTATGACACAGGCGCAGGCATATACGCTCTCCAGATTAGAAACTAAAAGTCTCAGCTATATACACTCTCTTGGTTATTCAGATTCTAGTAGATAATATATAGCAAATTACTTGCATCTGCAAATAGACTCTCTCGATCTATCTACAAAGGTCCATGGATTAAGCTCATAAGTTTTCGAACAACATTCAGATTCTTGGGAAATGTACATGGGCAATATATATGCTTATATACCGGTATACCTACTAGGAGTTATGTATGGTATAGAGAAGTTACATTTATTTTTTGATACAAACGAATAAGAAGTTTCAAGTTGAGAGCTCAACCTTTGAAAAGTTTTGCCCGTGGAATCCGCCAATCTAGTTGCATAACTGAATATGTGGCCAGACTGTGATAGCATTCGTACCTAGTATACCAGAACCCAAACCCCGTTAGTGCTTGCAATTGCCATTCCCTATTAACCGCACCACACCAATTATTAGCTGCCGACATAGTGCCCTTCTTCGAGTATACGCGCCCAGTCACTAACCGACGCGTCATAGTTTGGTTGGCAAACAAGATCTGTTTCATTGTCCAATACAAGATCCTCAAAAAATTCATAATCTTCCAATCGATCGCTCGGCTGATACGGATAGTAAGACTTTGGGGAGAGCCTAGAAAACAGACAATAGCCAGAACTAGTATCCGTTCCCAAAGCTTGGCCCTCGGAGACCGGAAATTCATCTTCAAGGTTTCCTGCTAAAATCTCAACATAATCATCTTCGCTGTCAGGATAGCAAGACGGGCAAGAGCAATGGCCATCAACTATATTGTAGCGCATTTCAAGCCGCGGGTCAGTGGATTTACTTCCATATTCTAGAGAAAAAAATCATTCAAAAAGAAGGGATATATTCTCGGAAGATATCTTTCTTAACATACCCATTGTGGCGAGAAGTCGTTCGACTTTATCAAAGCAAATGCTCCCTCTTGCAACATCAAGAGGGTCATACCCAAGCTCCAGCAATACTGCGACCCACACGGGCCAGAGGCACCTCCCTGAAGGACATTTCATGGAAAATGCTAAATCTGATACCGATATTCCGACATTTGTTTCGCCTCGAACGTCAAGTTTGATTTCTCCTATTAAAAATAGGAGAAGTTCCTTCAACAGAGGACGGGCCACAGCGACAGCAACGCAGTCCGAAAGCCTGGTTGCCTGCATCACTAAATGCAGGCAATTCTCTCCTTCTGGCGTTCTAGAAAAGGCGTCCGCACCACTTAAAATCAACATTCGCACAACTTCTTTGATCTTATACGAGCATAACCTATCGGGGTCTATCCAGAGGTCGGTGGCATAATCCCAAAGAATAGTGTGCAACAGAGGAACTCGGCGGGTTTTACAACCAACCGTCCACGACACAGCATCATTGACATCGTAAAACTCAATGATCCAGTCAAGGAAGCGCTTCCACTCCGGCTATCATGAAACAGGAGGAATATTAGCTATCTATGGCTACACCTGTGCAGGTTGGTTTGACTAGTAAATGGAATCTTTATCTGCCAACTTACTGTATTGAGCTCTCTCGCATATTTTATAATGTTTCCAGGGTTCAACATGGGGTTTGCGCCATTTTCAAAGAGAATTTCTACTCCTCGTTTATTCTTCCATAACCTTGTTGTGGTCACTATATCTGAGTTGCCTATTTATACGGAACATTTATGATTAGCTATGATCTCGCCTGATGTACTCTCGTTTCGAGCCCGAATGACAGGGAACCATACCGTTGTCGACGTGATTAACATCAATCCCCACACCTATGAAAAAATGGGCAATTGAAAGACGATTATTCGTAATTAACTCCTTATCTGAATCTGAACATCCCTCGGGATGAGCACTATCGCCTGGAATAAGAGAGAACTACCAATACCATGAAAACCAACTTAGTACCATTTTCTAATGCCTCAGGACCAGAACCATTTCCAAGTGGTGACTTACTGTCAATAAGTTTTGTCCATACATATCACAGTCGTGTATGCTAGCCTGCCCCATGGATATCAAATATTTGACTCTGTCAAGGTCACCAAAGAAGATTGCTTGCAGAATCGGAGAGTCCATTGGTACCGTTGCACGGAAGCATAGTCCAGCGTATATCGGTGACTTGAGAGTTTGAGATTGAGATAGGTATAGATCAATGGTCGAGCTAATACCGGTCGATTTTGGGAGGTAGGTAATTTTCATAACCCGGCTTGAGAATTCATCGGGTTGAGCTACCGCCTTTGTCCTCGGAATTTCATATTTCAGACCTTCCGTCACACGGAGGGAAAAGTCTTGATGCTCCCATTGACAAACTTTGGTGACAGAATAGCTCGACTTCGAGGATTGGAAGGTCCTAAAAGCTTGGGCTGCCCCCGACGTCAAACCGTTAGCCTCTACCCACTAGGCATTGGATTTAGGAACAAAACACTCACTATCATATCCGATAGAAAGATTATCAGAATTGGCCAACAATCCTACAATCTTCCTACTCCTCTGCTTCGGGTCGTCTGTATCTACAGCCCCTCCCGAAATCTCAGAAAAATCTCCACTCTTTGCGAAATCCAGCACTTTTCGAATATCTTCTAAGACTTGTTCAGTCTGTTCTCGTTGGACATCGAGTTCTCGCCGAGTAGCGGCGGCTGCACCAAGTCGGAATATTCTACCAGTAGCCTTCTCAAATTCGTCCCTCTCCCGTTCTTCAGACGCTTTGTAGACCTGGTTGTTCGCAAACAATTTGACTAACGAGTCGATAGAATTCAGTGTTCCGTTAACTTGTGTGAAGTTAACACCCACAGAGTTACTCAAACCCTGCACAGCTATCGAGTTCGTCTCTATTTGTTGAGTGATATTCGTCTCGACCTTGTCGATGCGGACCAAAGTTTCAACCTGAGTATCTTCGATATTCAAAATAGTATCTGAAACATGTGCAAGATTGGATTCGATTCTTCCAACCGCTACCTTTTGTTCCTTCCGATCATCTCTAAACCACAAGATCAGTACACCACCCAAACTTATCCAACGATGCGGATTTGTCCTACAGTTGTATCCTATTCAACTGAAAAAGTATGAACCCATAATGACTCTCTAAACTCTCCAACCACCTCTTCGAATTATCTCCTAAAAATATCAACTTAAATTTCTTCCACGTTCGAATCGTCTTCGACTTTTTCCCCGCGGTCGACCCGGTCCACTCCAAAATGTTATCATGAATCTTAATCAAATCATTCTCGCATTTTTTCGCAACCGTGTATAATCTTGAATAGCGCAATTTATCCTCATCAGTCTTTAGAATCTCGTTAACATCTGTTAACACACCAGCGAGCCTCTGAATTGCATCCAGAAATCTCCTGTGATCGTCTTCGACATCTTGATATTTTGATACCGATTCTGCAATGAACTTTGCTGCTTGAAGACCAAATACCAAAACTCCAATAACGTTTGCGCCGATGCTAAGTCCTTCAAGTCCTGACATGATGACGATAATAACCCAAATACCTTTCCAAAACAGAGTAACTCCGACTTAAGTCTCCCAAAAAAAAATCAAGAAGCAGAGAGTATTGCGGAAATGAAAGATGCTCGCAAAATGTCGATGTAAACGAAAACGAAAATGAGATTTCCAAAAATGCCCAATGCCAAATGCCCAAGGTCCGGATAACAAAACACTCAATATAACAATAGAGAAAGAAAAGAGTCGCTTCCCAAGGCCCGATAGAGACAGAATAGACGGCGCTAGAAACCGATAAAGACAGAATAAGACGATATCCGCACCGAAAGCCTGAAGAAAACTGCAGAACAAATAACTAGATATTTCTAGCGTCCCTTCCTCCCTTCAAATAATCATCGGGTTCAGGCATCTTTTCCTCCCAAGGCAAATAATACTACCCCTCACCTTGGTCACTCTTGTTACTCAGCCGCGCGTTCTTAGAATGTCACAGCCTCTTTCACAGAGCCTTGCATAAATCGTGTGAGTGTCGACCACAAACCTGAGAAGGATCAGGCTTTCTGTCTCGATCGCGGTCGTACAGCGGCACAGATCCGCGATATTTATTGGCTCGGTTAACATCCCGGCTTCCTAGTTCAGCTGATCCTGGACTTGGATTTGTTGAAGACGTGTTGTTTTTGTGGTATTTTTTGGCGAGCGATTGGAAAAGCTTCACAGCATGGGTTTAAGGCGCTTAGAGAGACTGACTAAATTTAGACGCTTTTCTGTGAAAAGTTTGCTTGTGTGATGGTATCGAGGTGGTTAGGAAATGCATGGGCTTCAATGGAAAGGCTACCCGAGGAATGTGACTTTAATGTATTCTACAGCAAATGTTCAGACCATTCGAGTTTTAGAAAGTCAGATAACGGCCAATCGAATCCGCGAATTCGAAAGAAAGAGCAAAGATATCAGATTATATTAACCCATCGAGCATCGAAAAGGCGGGTACGCATTAACGCATTGCACAAAATATGCGTATATACTACTGACGATACTGTGTAACAAACATTTTGATGGTAGCCTAAATGGCTTCGCCCCCCAAATCCAATTCTGAATGATGAACTTCCTCGTTCATGAATTCTTCAGTTGGTGCCTCGAGTTCCTCAGATCACTTCATCCAATGATAGGCTTTGGTTTTTTAATCAAGGCACACTGTTCAAGAATGTGGTATACATATCATGCCATGGTATCTAATTGATCAAGCACCGCCATGCCAATCCGACTATCCTTAGACCCATGGATAGATAGGTACCAGTGCCGACTCGACCACAGCCGCAAGTCATTGAGTCTCGGATAGATAGCCTTCTGCAGAAGACACTTAATAATTTCGAGACAAAATATTACTGTGGCAAACTCGTAGATGAAACCGTGTTAAAAGTAGATACCTAGATCTATAGAGCATCAATTAGTAATAATAGAGTTATAGAATATTATATTGAAACACAGCCCCGATCGAGGTCGCGAGTTCGACATCACATGTGTATATAAATCATCAAGTATTGCGCAATTACAAGATTATGCCTAGGTCTAACTACCTTCGATGGATAAAAAGTCCGGTTAATCTCTAAATCCGATAAGGCACCCGTCTGTCGATATGTTGAGAGTCGGTTTCAATCCCCAACAATATTGAATATGCGAATTGTTAGTTCCACCATGACTCGCAGGTGCGAGAGCGGGCTTTTATGGTTAAGTTTACTTCGCCAGGACAATTTAAAAAAATCAATTCGATGAAACAAGTGCCGACTATATTGCGTATGCGTAATTATATCTATTTCAAGGCGTATATTCATTCTTGCAGAATATATTTTATGTTATCATATTATACAATCTCATTATAATATCACCATTCTGTGCCGCACGCCGCAATTACATGGAAGCCTTGTGATCATAATTGCGCAAGGCCTAGGCTTGAATCCTATCTCTCTTTTCGTTTAACAATCGCTATCTCAGGACAGGCATCGTAAAAAATAAAATCCGGGGAACGTTAGAATCGAAATCTTTCTCCACATTTACTGTTTCCAAACGTTACATCTCCACCAATCTTAGTCATCCCCGCAACCCCCAGAATCTTCACATGCTCTTGTCGACATGAACATGTGAACACAAAATGGGCCCCGAAAAGCACCACCACCACCCCCAAAACACCCCTTGAAATCTCCACCGGTCTACCACCCTAGATCTCTTTCGCTCGCCAGGCTTCGCTTCCCGCATCCCCCATACCATAGATCTCGATTTTTCTCACATATTATTCAAGGGGTCTTACATACAGTATCACAATCAATATATGTAGGTACATAAAACATGCGTACACCACCAGAGTTTCTTCCGCACAGATTTTCTCCCCCAAGAGCCAGCTGTCACTAGGGCAATCGCATTTTGAGCCCCTTCCACCCCCAGTAGTACTATTTTCGCAGTCTCGTCCCATACTTGCATAAACGAGAATGGGAGCTATAGGTGGCGAGCATGGATTAAGCTTACACCCCTCTCGTGCCATTGAAGCAGGGGAAGCTGTAGGCCCAGATGTACACGGTACATACCATTACACCCAGCCACAGCTATGTCAAGCTAGTACTATAACATATACGACGAGTCACTCTTTCTCCCCGCACCGGGCGAGCGGAAACGAAAAGGAACCTAGTGATCAGCTTTTTATGCAGGAACGGGTGCGAACGTAGCGCCGTTACAGAAAAGTGATAGCTTTTGCATCCTCTTTTTTCTTTTATATTTCTCCTCGTAGATGAGTTGTTGAATTATCATGAGCCTCTAAAATCCCACTTTTGTTAGTTTGCACGTTTAGTGGTTACGGACCACTTTGGGGAAGTGGGGACACTTGGACAAGACCTGCCGAGGCATTTTCCTAAGCGGTGGTGGCTTGCGAGCTGTGGGGCACACAGATCTCTCTCAGCTTATCATAAATGATCTGTTATAGATTCGTCTGAGGAGCCTGCTAGAGGAAACTTTGGAAGCGAGTTTCATGATGTAGGTACGGATGATTTAGGATCATGACCTACACATTTACGTTTACGCGTATAGTAAATGTATAATCTACTAGGGTCTTAAGGTCATTTATTCGGACGAATGGCAAAACGACGTAGATAATCTATAGATCTACAATCCATAATTGGATTTGGAATAGATCTATAGACGGGCCATGGGTTTGTTATTGACACGAGGAAATTCCTAGACTTCTATTCTGCGTATAGATCTAGAGTTTTTAGAGGAAACCGCGGTTCGCAGCTTTTTTTGTAACAAACTTTTGGGCAATATGCAGTAATGTCGTCCCGCAGGTATATTAACCGGTCGATACTTACTGATATTCTCCACAATCGGGTAGATATGCATGAGGTACTAGTTAGAACGAAACCTGGAGCAGAGCTGCAGCAAAACGAGAAATTGGAGCTGGATTATTGGTTGGATACCATTTCCCAACCATTTAGCTCCCCACTTTTGAGCTTGAACGGTCGTCATATGTATTCATTGCTCAAGTTTTTTTTTCTCTTCCTCACGGTCCCGCGTTCCGGGATATATGTATCTTCGACTAAAGTTGAAATAAGCATGGTGCACGAGTATAATCTCGAGCTCGTCTCGAGAGAAGAGGAGGGGGAATTCGTCCAGAAGCCAGACGGGAGGAACGGTTACATGAAATGTATGGGAAACAGCTGCCCTTGACGCAAGGTGCATCAGCAAGTATCCATGGATAAGAAAAATTTTTCAGTTGCACCAGGTCCCAGAATTGGGAAATGACAATATATTCCGAGTAGAATGGATCTGATTTGAAAGGATTTTTTTTCTTTGAAAGCCCGCAATTGTCTCCACAATCAATTAATTAACCTCTGCATGCTGCACGTCTGGACAGCATCCTGGGAGCACCCTCGGAAATTGTAGGGTCTGCCGCATGACACAATAAACTGAAAGGCGAAAAAGTAAAATGTAAGAAAGAAAGAAAGAAAGAAAGAAAGATCATACCCACGGGGATGACTGCCAATTGTGTCAAAGGGCCGCAAGGATATCGGGCGGGTACCCCATATGGGGCAAAGCTTGGGCTGAGACCTGGGGTAAAACTTCCTCAATCCTCGTTCAAACAGATTGCAGAAACCAAGCTTCTGTATAAACTGCCACTAGATCAAGATCTGCGAGTAATTTTACACGACGAGTTCTCTTGCCAGTAACTAGTGGTTCCACTTTCTGTCGCTCTTCCTCACTACCCCTCACCATTTCCGTTCAGGTAGTCGGGTTGTATACGCTATGTAGGCGCCATGGACGGTTGGAGCTTGCAGCGCAGAATGACCGTGCACTCCATGACGGCTTGAAAAAGAAGTCCGTTTAGTGGTCAAGATGTGACTTGTGTTGAATGCTTTTTGGGGTGTGGTGTTTCCATAGCTTGGACCAGGGGTGGCTGGCGTTCCGGCCGCCCCCGACTTCCTTGGTCAACAGTCCAGTTCGGCAAGTCCAAGAATCACATGTGAATGAACAGGAAGGTTGGCGTCGATGATGAGATGGGCATCCCTTTCATGATACTGGCGCAAGGCTTGCAAGGTGAGCAAATCTCTCGATATGGGGCCTACGATGCGAATTATATTAGCTGACGAGTCATATTGCTTTTGATTACCGCCTGCCTGCCCTTGGGAACGTTAACTTGACGTATCGATAGATGTTCTGGATGCGTGTTTCGCGAGAAACAGGATGAACATTCTAGCTTCTTAAAATTTGGGAATTGATGATTAACCATTATCGGTTTCGGCAGGAGGCCAGGTCTTGAAAATGAGCAGCCACCACCCCATGCCGGGGCATTCGAATATTCTATGCAATGCCCGCTATCGAATAAGAAACTTGCATCGAACAAGCGAGTTCGAAGGGTCTCGAAGGCAGCAAAGGCCCTCGGACCGTTTCGAGTGGTATATTTAGGACCTCACGATGCAATGGTCTGAGACCCGTTAATTGCGGTTCGTTTGCTTGCTCCGAAGGAAGCGTACGTATGTGCGCCCGTGAGGTTTATCCTGAGAGAATGTGAAGGGCACGGCCTGGTTCCTGCGCTTGCATGCATGACAAGTTTGCAAGGATGGGAATCGGATCATCTGCTACAGTGGCGCGGGAAACCCATCAAATCTCCAAGACCGGCTCCGTAGATGCCTGAAGATAGGAGAAAGGCCAGGCAGGCTTGGTCTGTGCCCGCTTTTCATGGTGCTCCATATGGGGTCATATTGGCAGTGAAATTGGACGACGGATTAAATTGTTCGGTGCCAGCTAAAAGACGGATGAACATGCCTCTTTTGCGGGGTAGCCCTGACCTGCCTTTCGATTCGATCCTGGAACGAGCTAAAAGGACGGGCTTGACGATTTGAAGTCGAGGGTCGAGAAGTCCTTAAGGAGAGCATGAACATCTACGTTCGAGTGGCGGTTTTTTCTTCTTTTCCTCATCTGCTATCTCTTGCTGTCTCTGATCGAACCTAAAAGGCCCCGCAGCTACCCAGTTCAAATACAATCCTATCAGGTTGTTCAAGGGTAGTAAGTCGGTACAATATAATAATACATTAGTCCCACGCCGACATACGCGTTTACGCTGCATTATTGACTATAGAAAAACATTATATTGGTCTGGCCTATCCGGTTTGTTCCATTCATTCATTCATACATTCATTTCGACTCTTGCTATATTTACCCAGCAGCCGACGGTTGACCGTGGACTCACTTCGTTTTCTATAACCCTTCCGATCCATCGTTTACGAGCCAATTTAACTGGGGATTCGGTAAATCATCCTGCAGCTCGCGATATCCGCTTCTGCATCCTGTCAAAAATTGAGCCGTGGAATCGCAAACAGTTTGAACTACCCTAGCAAATCATTTCGAAACGAAGCTTAGTCAAAAAATTAAAGTCTAGAGCCCCGGATCTTGCGCAACAAGCAACTGGCGGCTCCAGTCTGGGTGACTATTCGACAGACAACCGGAAATTTATATATACGTCGGCTAGCGCAGCCGTCTGAAGTCTTGTACCCCAAAAAGTACCACGAACCGACATTCCCTACACCAAAGTACTTCTATATAGCTATACATACACTTGGTGCTTACTTAGTTCCTTCAAGCTTCTTTGCTCGCTATTTTGAATTTTAATCAGGAGAACCTGACCCACCTGGTTCACGTTATTTCATCAGTCGCAAGACGACGCCTATCTGCATATCTGCATCTACATCTGCATTTGTTCTGTTGCATTGAACACTCGGCATCATCGATTTTGGAAAGCCTCCTTTGTATTGCAAGCTTTGTCATCGGGTTTCGCCAGCTTCCACTTCGACCTCAGGAAGCTCGAAAAGGATCACGATCACGACCCCCCTCCATTGGAAATCAGTGTGGTTCACTTGGTCTAGCTGCTGCAGTTGAAGCCAGAAACCCTGTGTATTTGGAACCCGCTGACCAAACTTAGCTGCATCTGAAGCTGCACCGTTCACTAGCTCCACTATCCCCAAGTCGACAAATCTACCGCCAAGTCGAGGGCTACTGCGGCGTATACTTGCTTGTACATGTACACTACGAAGTACGTGGTATACAGTAATACAGCTAATGCTCAGCTCAAACAAAGTCTTACATTCTATCAGATTACCCTAAGCAAATATTTTTAAAGCAGTTTCCCCCCCACATTCTCCATTCCCCTTTAACTATTATTACTATTCTTTCTATTCTTTTTGGAAATCTATCCTCTCATTCTTGTTTTACCTTCTTTTTTATTTTTATTCCTTTCATTACATACTTTTGCGGGGAGCGCAGTGCAGTGCCACGATATCAATTTCGTCGTTTGTCACGCGGTTAAATATTGCTTTTACTCTCACCCCGACTTGAATTCTTGACTTCTTGGAACTTCAAAACCCAGTCCAGCTCCACCATCTCCAAACAAGGAAACAAAAAAAAAAAAGAGAGAAAGAGAGATAGAGAAAAAGGGATTTATAAGAAAAGGGCATCCTCCTCTAGCCGTTTGCCTCTTCCATATTCCGGGGAAAACATATTCCTTCCAATTCAACAAACGGACCAATACCGGGCTTCTCGAATTCCTTGCCCGTTTCAAAGATTCCTTGGGACCTGAACCAGTTCGCTTGCTTCGCCTTTTCCTGGGTCCGGATATAATACTATATTCGAAAGCGGATGCTGCATAAGCTTCGGGGACTTTAGCTTCAAGCAACTCCGGGCACTGCCATATCCACATCGTCTGCCTGTTTCTGCAGGACCAAAAACTCTTCATTTCCCCAGTTTTTAACGTTACCCCGACGCCAGTCTTTTCCACATATCTTATATATCAAGCGATACCCCCCCCCAGGATAGTTATTTTTTAATCGATCGAGTCAGAACCTTGGAAAATTGGCGTCGAAGAAATCGGTTTCGAACGGCTCCGAAAACAGTGCGTTCGACCTCGTTGACAACAATTACAATTACAACAACCTCAACCCCCACAATCCCGAGAACGTCGGAGAAACGACAATGAGAATGACCACTCGGTCGCCTCCAATGATGTCGAACCCTTTCTCTTGTAAGTATTGTATAGCGCCTGTTATTTGCCATCCCTGGTTTACCAACATCGAAAAAAAGAATCCATGCCTTTGAAACGTGCTATCCACGAGGCTGGCTGAAACGTTGATCATACATGTGAATACATACTAACATCGCAAAAAAAAAACGAACACAGTCCCCGAATTTGACACTTCTTCCTTTTTCCATGCTTCTTTCGCATCCCCACCGCCTGCTCCGGCTTCGGGGCCATCTCTTCTCGATGATCAGGAAAGCAGCGCCTTCGCCGACTTTCTCGACAAGGTTGGATCAGGGGCCGACAGTGCCTTTGTATTCGACCCGAAGATGTCGTTATTCGATGCAAAGATACCAGACCCCATGATGTGGGGTTGGCACGAAGATACGACGACCGAATATCCACTCCAACCATCGACAAATCCAACCTCCCTGTTGACGACAAATATGATTACAACGCCGCTAAGCTCGGAACGGAGTACTTTTGCACTAAAGCAGGCGAATGACGACAATACTAGCAAGGCTGCCCCGGTGCCGTCGATAGCTCCAGCGGAAATTAACCTGGACCCATTCGCAGCGTTACACCAGGTCGCTTCGGCGAAGGCTGCCCCCGCCGCGACGAACGAGCGACCACATTTGTCGATTCCGGTACTGCAATGGGGTTCTGATCCGAACTTCAAGTTTGGCGGCTATTCGAGTACAGTAGCCAAGGAAGTCCATTCTAAGAAAGAAGATATGCTAGTTGAGAGAGCCATGGCAATGCTGGCCAAGGGAGGCTACTCGGGAAACACAACAGCTGTCAATACCACCGTCAATTCCCCAGCCGAAAACAGATCATACCCTGGAGTTAAGGTGCTTGAAGACGAAGAGTCGATAGTTTCACCATCGAAACGAAGAAAATCCTTCCATCGGAAGACTTCAGAGGAGGATGATGAATCGTCGTCGTCCAGCCCACACCCATCGCGGGCGAGATCGAAATCAATGGCCAGCAAGGACGACCTGACAAGTCCCATCGCCTCAAAGCAAAAGAAGAAGAAGAAGCCAAAGGGCCCCAAGAGGGAAAACTTGTCGGAGGCACAGAAGCGTGAGAATCACATTCAGAGCGAACAAAAGAGGCGGAATCTCATCAGGGAGGGGTTCGATGATCTTTGCAATTTGGTCCCGGATCTGAGAGGAGGCGGGTACAGCAAGAGCGCCATCCTGATACATGCTGCAAACTTCCTTGAGCAACTGGAGGACGGCAACAAAGCACTGCAGTTACGTGTCAAGCAACTCAGCGGTAGTGCTGCATAATAAACCTGTTTCATCCAATTCTCAGTTCAGGACGGCAATCGTGCATTGATTCATTTAGCCCTTGCTCAGATACCCTTCTCCACTTTTGCATTCCTTTTCATAGGATCTCTCTTAATGTATTTTTCTTTTTGGCATCTTGGGACGGCTACAGTAAGGCATCAGCGCGGATTTCTTATTTGGAGTATATGGTCTTCCTGTTTTTTTTTTTTTTTTCTGTTATATGTCCTGTTTTGATTTCTCATCCATTGATGGCGTATATGCGACTATGAGCAACGGTCTTAGTTTCCTTTTAATGCAAAATATCTGTGCTATCTCTCAAAATCAGTCTTGAAGCTTTCGATGATTATTATTATCCTGGCAATGTCTTCCGAATTATCTATCTCTCCCTTTCACTTTCTTTTTACTTAAAAATACTGTGTCATGAACTCCAGTACAATCTCTTCATCTATTAGGCCGTATAACAAGGCCTTCAAAAAAGTACTTCTTGTTCGTTTTCACTCGATGTTTGAATTCTTGCCTTTCACATGCTTTTGACAAGGGGAGGGAGGCTACATACTACGTGCTGCAACCGATAGAATAAAAGTGCATCGAGGATCCAAAGCAGGGCACTGTGCTGTATCTAATAATGTCAGTCCAATATAACGTCAGTCCGCATCCACGACGATCGAAGCCACATGGCCTCGTACATCAAAAAGAGCGACTCTGCATAAAACCCTGTGACATCCTTCTAGAAAACTTTGAATAGCTAAAAAGAAGCTTGAGAAGAGGTTCATCGGAAGTCGGCGAGATTGCCTTGAACCAATAAAACGGTCTCGTTGCTGGCAAGCTGCCAACTAAAATGCAACTTGGCAATATCCAAACCGTGCATTTTATCTTGTTTCTATGCCCTGCAGAGAAGCCATTTGGATTTTTATAATTTTTCTTTTTAAAAGAAAAAAAAATCACCTGAACCTTTTGAAGCTACGCTGTTGTCTTTGAACTGACAAAAAGCTGGCCTGCTGCGCGACCCATCTCAACAACAAAACATCCACCCAAGTAAACCACCTTTCCGTTCTCACACATACACACACACACACGCACACACTTGCCTACTACACACCACCACTACCACCACCAACATCTACAGGTCACATCCTCCCGACCCACTCAGCCTCCTTCCACCCCGTTAGTCGTTATGTCGGACTCTACTCCCGAAGTACCCGAGGCTACTACTCCTTCCGATGCCTCTCTGGCGCAAATGACCCCTCTCTCTGTCAGCGAACAAGCGCGCATCCGCCGTGAATTACGAAAGGCGAAGGTGGGGCAAGGCGCCGATAGATTACGAAAGATCACACAAACGCAGCGCTCTGCCGCTGGTTTTCAGGAGGATTATAAGGGTGATGGTATGCTATGCTCTTCATGTAGTGTTAATACAACTCTTGATTTTGGGACGATCCGTAGTCATATGCTTGATTGATTGCTTGCTTATGGGTTCAAGCTAACTCCTTACTCGTCCGGCCATAATAGATGTCGAGATCTCTCCCTCTCCTGCACCTAGAGCTACCGTCGAAAACATATCCGATCAGGAACTCGATGTCTCCGAACACTTTTACCAACCTAATAACCGTCCCCGCGATGTACCGAATAGAATACTACCGCCTACACCACCTTCACAATCTGAATTCTCACTGGATGAGGAGCAGCTAGCACAGATGATGCAGGCTGGTGGTCTTTTTGGAGCTCCTCCTCCTCAACCTGGAGCTTCACCGTTCGGAGCTGGACCTCCGCAGGGTATGGAAAGCGATCCGTTGTTACAAATGATGCAGCAAATGTTGGGAGGTGCCGGTGGAATGCCTGGTATGCCGCCTCCCGGTACTGGTCCTGGTGCCGGTGGCGCAGGCGCAGGTGGACTCCCACCGGATTTACTGAGTGCTATGCTCGGAGGAGCTGCTGGGCCGGAACAACCAGCGCCTCAGGAGTCGCCGTATACGAAGTGGTGGGCGTTTCTGCATATACTATGTTCCGTTTTGTTGGGGGTTTATGCTGTTCTGAGTTTACCACAAAGGTATACAGGGACGAAGGAGGAAAGAATTCAGCATGAGGGGGCTCAAAAAATTGTGAGTGACTTTATGTCCTTGAAACATAGTTTCTCGAGTGGTGGGATAGGCTTGCTAACTTGGTACATAGCCGTTATTTTGGTACTTTGCTACTATGGAGTTGCTTCTACAGTCCACTCGTTATCTACTAGTAGAGAGAGGAGGCCCACCCCCCGGGATCATTCTAACAACCATCTCTCGATTTCTCCCTCGCCCACTAGGAACCGCTTTGATCACTTTTTCGCACTACATCAAGTTGTTTTCAACAATATGGCAGGATGCACTGATAGTGGTATTCACTATTGGGTTTTCTGCATGGGTTAATACTTGGTTTGTAGTTGATGATGAATTACCGTTAATGCCTTAACGTCTAATATGCTTGATGGAGGACGATCTTATGACACCCATTTCTTTCTATTTTCTTTTTTTTTTCGAAGTGTGGTTTAGTACACGCTGGAATTTATTGTTTTTGTTTATGGGACTATCTTGACTGTTAGTAGGATAAAGGTTTTTATTATAGGTGCCTCTGTTAGATACTAAAGGCCCCTTTCCCCCTTTCTTTTACGTCTTATCAGAGCTGTGGTACTATGGTGCGAATTGTTGAGTAGTTCGCGTGGAAATGGTGTTTTATCCCCGACGGAAGAAGGATATGGGATTTGTAAATACAGTCCTTTCTTCTAATGTGTATTTTTTAAAGATATGTCATGAAATCAAATGTCTAATTCGTATGACTTTAGTAAAAATGTGTGTGTGTATGTACAATTCCTTCTTGGTTAATAAAGAATCCCTCACAGTAGTATAATACATGTATACAGCTTCTTATTCTCAAGGGACATAAGGCGTATATATTCGTCCTTTATGCTAGTATAGCACCCTTCAACTGGTCTTCCTTGCCTGTCCTCCTATCTGCTCTTTGCAACTTATATTTCTCCTTCAACTCGTTCTCCCTCTTAGCAGCCAGATACTCTGCTTCCTCCTCTAATTCCTGAGGTCTCGGTGGCTCTGAGTATAATGTCGCCGAAGTCTTTTGTACCAATTCCGCCATAATGTCGTCGGGATATCTATTCAACATATCAATGTCTATTGTGGATATAGTTTCTCTGACTACTGGAGTAGTAGGTTGCTTCTTTTTGAACTGTAGTTTGTTGTCTACGGGTACATCCGAGAAGTGTATTGTGAGAGTGGCGGGACCTTCGAGGGCATCTTTGCGGGTTACGATCATGTCGACTTCGGGGTTGTGATATTTTAGACGGGGGAGGCATTCACGGAAGAATTTTCTATATCCAAAGAAACACCATTAATTTGTCTGTCTTTTGTTATGTCTCGTATTGACGTTTTTCTATTAAATTCTGGAGAGATGATGTAGGTACGTACCTAGGTCCCATATGCCCATTGTTGCTTTTGTAGTTAAAGCTCAGGGCTATTCGTGAGATATTAGGAGGGAGGACCGCGGCGCCTGTACCGTTTCGGACGGAGTAGAGCTTCTATATTGACGACGAGGACCTTGTTAGTTTTCTGTCTTGTGACAATTGGATTCGGGAATAGAGATAGATATGACATACGGCTCTAAGCCATCTCATACGCGATGTCGGCGACGGCATCCCAATATAAGCTTGTGAGGTCGATGAACCGGGATATAAAAGACTGGGGGTGGTGGAGGGTGAGATCTCAATATAACCTTCACCGACACCGACGGTTGTTGAAGTTCTCTGTCGTCGAAATTGCGGGATGTGAAAAATGCCAAGACACGTGGTTTGCTTTTTTTTCTTTGGGCTCAAGCGAAGGGGAGTGAAAAAAAAAAAATGTAAACAAGCGAGCACACACAAAAACTTTCTTGAACTTCATCTCATTTTTTTTCTTCCTCTTCCTTTCTTTCTTTCTTTCTACTTCATATCTCTCTCTTCATTCAAGGAAACAAAAAAAATCTCTTTTTCTCCCTCTTGTTACATTGTTTTTCGTTCTCGAGAAGCTTCGTTGAGAATGTGAAGGACCTTTGGGGAGGACAATCGAAAGGAATAGGACGTTCTCCGTTTCTTTCGATTGTTTAGTTTCAACTCTACTACATCTATCATGGTATGTATTTTTTTCGCCTTTTATTCGTCTCCTTTGATAATTGAATACAAAGACACGAAGAAGCTAACGAGTAATAATCAAACACCAGCCTCGTCCACCACGCAGAGTCCCGTCGAAGAAGACCACCGCGTCTGCGGCACGGGTGGTTAAACCGGCTGCGAAGACTACTGCTGCTTCTACACGTCCGCCTACCTCTGGCAAGCGTAAATCCACGGACTCTACACGACCGGCTCGTAAAACTTCTGTGGAGGCTTCTGAGGATAATACCGTCAAGCCTCCAGCATTGAAGAAGCGACGTGTTGCTGGCGGTGTCGTTAAGAATGGTAAGTTTTTCACATATCGCCCTTTAACACTGTTTTGATGTCTGTTCCCTGAGATCCCTTTTTCTTCTTATTTTTTCTTCTATATTTTTTATTTTTTATTTATTTTTTTACCATGATGAAATATACATTGGTCCGTGTTGATGAGGCGGATTAAGACCCCGCTGCAGGATTAACACAATTGTCACCTTTGGTGCTTTCTGATTCATTCTGTTTTTATATACATATGACATGTTTGTTTTGGAAGTTTCTTTTTAAGAAAAATGAAGCTAACATTGTTATAAAGGCTCTTCAGCACCTCACCTTGTAGCTCGAAAGAAGAAGATCCTCCTTGAGGATATTGATACCAAATGGGTCAACCTCTCCGAATCATCGGTTGCTGAGCTATCCAAGCTTCTGCGCGATGTTGGACGCGCTGTCCTTTCAGACATGCCGTTGAAGTCGGCTTCCAAACGCGAAGAGGCACAAAAGACACTCGAAAAATCTTATCAGAGGTAAGCCTTACTCCATTTTATAATCCATATGATTTAGTTCCCTTCCACAAGACGAGAGATATCAGACAGAATGATGATATATTTTTAACCCTTACGTGCTCAAAAGAGTACCCATGGAGAAGAAAAATTATGCAACAAACACTCTAATTTTTTACTGATTGCCTGTTCCTCGTCTTTTTGATTACTTAACTATATACGCTTGAATTTGTTTTTGTGATTCTACGAGGACAAGACGTTAACAGTTTGGCAACTGCAGGTTTGAGCGAAGTCTCGCCAAAGTCAAGATCCCTCCCGGGTCATCCGAAAAGGTCTTCAACAATGAATGGCTTATAAACGAAGAGGCAAGAATCAATGCCCTCATACAGCCAGAAGCAAGGCAGATCAATATGCTTCAAAAAGAGCTCGCAAAGCAAAGACGTCTTTTAGAGACCGAGGAGCGTCAGCTCCTTACTCTTCAAAAGAATGCCAAGGCAGAAAAGGAAGTCAGGAGGCAAAAAGCCCTCAAGTTCATCCCGGCCCTCAAGGCGCCTCCGATGGATCCGGACCAGCTGCAACTAGAGATCGATAAGATTCGTCTTAATAGCGACAAATCCGAGAGCGATTTTACAATTGCGCGGGATCTATTGAAGGATGATGAAGGACTTTTGCCGACTATGACACAGTTGGAGAAACATTTGACTTCGATTGCGAAGAATAGGCAGGCTCTTGGGGCGATTCCGGAGTGGATCCAGAGTACCAGAGCTGCGGTTGATGATGTGCTTTATAATTTGAAAGGCGATCGGTATGCGGATTTGATGGATTTGAGCGTATAAGGCGTTAATACACTACCCTTTTTAAAAACACTGGCCTATAATTTTATGGAGATGGATGGGTATGGCGGCGTCTACGAAATACTTTGTCTTTTTCTTTTCCTTTTGCTTCTGTGGCGACGGTTTGTTTGTCACGACGGTCAAGGCGGACTGAATACTGGCGTTTACTGAAAGGCTACTGGCGACGATATTATCACTTAGTAACTAATATGTACTCTAACAAATACGCACAAATAATTATAACTAATAAACGGTCTTTCTTTGGCCGGTCTCTTTACCCCAATGTTCGAAATCTTCCTTCCTTCCTTCGATCTGAGAATGTGAGACCTCCTTTATCCAAACAGCCACCGCTGACAAGGAATGTACTGTCACATGTGTGTCGTGTGCACATTTTTTCCCACGATGAGATGACTAAACCAGATGCGGAATTTGGGGAACAAAACGCTGCTGCCACTGACATCAGAATGGTACGAGCGAGATCTTGGATCCACTGCAAGGCAAGGGAAATAGAAAAGCCGTGGCCTAAAGAATTAGCATTATGAGGATCATCTCGAAGTTCCAGAAGAAAAAAAACTTCCGATTGATGAAAGAGTTCGGAACTATTAGGAACCTCTTCTTTTTTTTCTTTCTGTTCGGCGTCTCTCTCGGTTTCTTCTTCGAAGTTATCCTCGGTAGAAGCCCGTAAGGCTTATAACTAATTCAGGCAGCGCTTTTGGGTTCATGACATTTTGGGGTGACCTGGAAGTATATTAAGTATATGAGCGATTAAATTATCAAATATAGTTACGCGGTGATGCGACTAGAAATGGTAGTCTGATGCAATGCACACGAGAGAATGAGCAGTGAGAAAAAGGGTTCTTTCTTCTGTTAACTTACATGTACTGTACTTACTTACTTACGTTCGAGGAAAATTTTTCAGCTAATGGGAGAGTTTTGGTGCCTGCAGGAAGGGAAGGGATGCAGCAAGCTACCTAGGTATACCAGTAGTTTTCACTGCCACCGTCTCTTTTTTTGTCCCGCCCCTCTGCTCATCATGGAAATGTGATATGATCCTGTTCTTCTTCTTCCCCAGGATTTCTTTTCTTCCATTCGAGAAGGAAATAGGCCGTGACGAAGAGAACCACGATATCTCGTTTTGAACTTCGGCAGACAGTTTAGCATGTCAATATCCCGGTTAACGGTATATCTCCGTAGCCGGACGCCTTTTCCCTCCTGTTGATTAATTCGTTTTTTTGAGGCTAATTGTATAGTGGACCTGTTTCCAACGTTTTACGTTATTTCTTTCTTTTCCTTTCCTTTCTTTTCTGCCGCCGTTTGAATTCAATTGATCATGAATTCGATTGATGAGATTCGATTCAATGCATGCATAAGATTGGTTGGATTGAATCGGATGGGGCCATGGCAGGACAGAGAACATGGGTGCAGAGGGGCTGGGCTGAGCCGAAGCCGAGAGGGCGATGGATGTTTGGTGGTTAGTTGGTTTAGGTCAGCGGGAAAGCGGTGTTACATGAGATCAAGTGCCCTGATTTGCCTATTCTTTTTTGCTCTTGCTTGTTCGCTTGCTTGCACGAGGTATGGCAGTATAGTCTATGATGACTACATATATTACCATCCCATATTTAAGGCCACATCCGTCGGTATCCACTATGGTGTATATATACCTCGAATCGATTATACGTATGTATGTATTATGTATGTATGTCGGATGGGGATGGTGTATATAGGATGGTGCAAGTGATCTGTCGATGCATGCGCGGGTGTGCGTTATACGTGCGTCTTATGTAAACTTAACGGTACCGGACCCGGCGCCGAAGAGGTTACAGACTTACTCTACTTTACTTTAAAGTATCTTCTGACTTATTTACTGGTATACTTTGACCGTATAATTATGATTGGAGCGAATTGAATTGAATTGAATTGAATTGAATGGAATTGAATTAAATGGATATATCCCATGAGGGAGAAGTTAACAGACTAAACTGGGAAAAGGAACGTTGGAATTGCGACAATTTTGACTCGTCTCGCGCCGCGTCCGTAACAAGTTACCAAGTCCAGTCCAGTCCAGTCCTGTCCTGTGCAGGGCCATGCATGGCATTGGGCTATTTCCATCCAAGACAACATAACATACTAACATTTGACTTCTTTTTTGTTTCTAAAACTTCCTTCGGGGCTGGCTTGGGCCTGGTGACTTTTCGGCTTTGTAACTTTTTCTTTAAAAAACGATTCGTTTTTTTAAATCTTTTTACCCTTTCAAACGTTAACGTCTGTCTATTCGTCTGCCTGTCTAGCTGGCTGCTACCTTTTTTTTGCCTTTCGTCCTAGGTCCAGGTTCAAAGCTCCTGCAGCAGCGCACGCAACCTTATCCTTTTTTAATCGTTACCTGGAGGATCCAAGGATCGAAAGCCCTTTCGCCCGAACCCGGCGCCTTTTTCCTGGATACTTACTGAAACTTAACGGATCACGCCGAAGGGAAACGAGACCAACAAACAGAGGAGACGAACTCAAAGGAAGGAGGGAAGGAAGGGAGAGAGGGAGAGAGAAGGGGGTCCTTTTCCGCTGCTGTACGACGACAACAATAACCTAAAATCGATTTCGAGGTTTAATTTGCGATCGTGGAATTTCGGCCTTGCGGGTAGCTACAGCGAAAGAGAAAAGAACTAAGCAAAACGGGCGTAAATAAGTGTGAGTTTTTTTGAACAAACAAAGCCGAAAAAACTAATCGGGCCCATTCGACTCTCCCACGAGGAATATCTGGATATATCGATAAAAAGAACTACGAGGAGCTAGGAAAGGCGAAATAGCTATAGGGTCTTGGGGGATTAGGTAAAAACTTTCGCTCTGGGAGGGACAGGTTCGAACAATTAAACGGCTGGCCATGTCGTCGGACTCGAAGGCGACAGCAGGTGATGCGGCATCGGCCAACCGACTCAAATTTGAAGACGATGATCATGATCTGGAAAACGACACTCCGATAGGGACGACGACAGCTGGCGGCGCACCCAGCAGCACCACCACGTCGTCCGACGTTGCGCACAGGAAATCCAAACCGGGAATCAACCGTAAGAAAGGCCCGAGTACTGGCAAAGACGACGGCGGCGCTGAATCGATTGCCAACGGTGGTAGCAGTGGCAGTACCAATGGGAGCGGCAACGTCAGGAAAAGGAGCGCCGCCAATAACGGCGAGGAATTGAACGGACACGAGGAAGTGAAAGACGAAGTACCGGGTGGGAATGCTCTGGCTGCTGCTCCACCGACATCTTCTTCACCACCACCTGCTCCTGCGTCATCGTCCTCAAACGGCAAGGTGTCGAAACGCAGGAAGGTTAACCATGGTCTGTCAACCGTCGCTCCTGTATGTGTCTTTCAGGGATTTGGGGGGAAATTTGAGAATCAAAATAATTTATCCTCTTTTTTCGAAACAAAAAACAAAAAATTATTTTTATTTTCTATTTCTCTTGCAAATGCAATTGTTTTATAGGTTTCTTCCCCCCCTCCCTCGAGCTCTCGAGTTTGGAGGGGAGAATATGCAAGAATAGGATGACCCGTTCGTCCTTTGCCCTGGGGTTTTGAATCTGCCGAACCGACTGAGCGCTTTCCTTCGGGTCAGAGCCGGCCGGAACAAAATTCTCCACCTGAAAGGGCTATATCATACGGCTTTGCGACAACCTCGCTAATCGGGACGGTTCCCATTTTCGAGTTTCCGGGCCATCAAAAGCTGGGGACGAACAAAGCCCGCCGGTTTCTTCCTATTCTTACCTTTGAACAATTTCAAAATTAATTTTTTTTTTCACTCATCCTTTTCCTCTTTTTTTTCATTTTCCCCTTCTCAATTCACTTTCGTTTTCCCTTCTTTCATTACTACGTTCTTTTGACTCAATTTCGATTTTATGCGGTTTTTTTCGTGGTATGAATAGTATACTGACTTGGGAGCCTATGGGTTTTCCTTTGTGTCGCGTGAGTAGCCTGTGTCTACTGTAGACGTTCACATATGACCTGCGATGATGGTAAGTGATCACTGGACAAAATCTCTTGCTTACTTTATTTTACCTTACTTTACTTCATTTTTCTCTAAAAATAAGAAAAATCTATTACCCTTATTTTTTTTTGTGGTTTTATTTTAAACTTCCCATTGCATGCCTTGCCACTGCAGATTTCCTTTTGCCCGTTCCCAATTGCCTAGCCTGTGGTCCCGTACAAGATTCTATCACAACAGGGGAACCGGGAAGGTGACAGATTCCTGGAACTTTTGGGATGAGAATTAGGTCCCAATGACAAAGCTTCAACGGAGATACAAGGAAAAAGCATTGACATCTAGCATCTGTCTGCATACGGATTATCCCATTTCTTTTTCCTCAGGGCTAGCTTCGAGCTCTACGCTTTCTTCCTTTCTTTTTTTTTTTTTTCTATTTCCCCGTTTTTTTTGTTTTTTTTCCGAACCTCACAATGGTTATTATATCTGCCAGAAATTTTGCGTAACTAACGTGATTGTAACCACTCTCTTTTTTGCGGTTGGGGGTAACTTAAACCCACACCGTGGAAGAGGGGGAAAAGAATATTGCTCTACACAGAACGACCCTGTACCCGTTGTGTCAAACGAAACATAGGACACCTCTGCCGCGATGAGGTTCGCGACGCGAAGAGGCTTAAACCTGAGAGGGATCATTCTACTGAGGAAGCTTCACCTTCGTCGCCCACAAGCCCCAATGAGATGGCTACAAATACTCCCGAAATCCAGGAGATCCCAGCTGAGGATTCCTCGGGTGAAGGTGGTTTGCAGCAGCATACACACCAGCAGAACAAGCAGAACCCGTCCATGCCTCCTCCTCGTAACTCAGTAGCTTCAACGCCTGGCTTACTTGCTCTATCTCCTGTGTCTACTACCCAGCGTGCCAATCTACACGCCCAGAACTGTATGTTCCTTTCCGCCCCCTTGCCTTACTTTCTCTCTTTCTTCTTTCGTTCTTGTCTTTCTTAAGCTTGACTTGCTCTTCTTTCCTGTCCTTGCTTCTTCTTTCGTTTCTGTCTTTCTTCAAGTTCTTTTCGTTCATTTTTACATTTCCATTTCGTCTCAAAAGGGTTTCCTCTCTTTCTTCCCGGGTTTCTATTATTTTAGCTCTTCCCGTGCGCACCCTTTCCCGTTCCGACAGTTGATATGCATGACGATATCTTATTTTTAGCCATGCGCCTCTGGGGAACAAAAGGTCCACGGCTGGGGCCGAAGAGGGGGCAATTTAGCTCCAAATCGGATGAAATCCCTCGAGTAAAGATGGCTGGCTAACCTGTACACCACTACGCCTTTGTGTTTTTTTGTGGTTTTCTTTCACATTATAGTTCTTGGAGTTCCCGACTGGACTGTATCACAGCAGAGCTGGAATCCCTATCACCACCCCATGATGTTTTCCAATCCCGAAGCTGCATCGGAATATGATCTCATGAACGAGTTCTTCCTTGACAGCATATATAATAACGATATGTTCCTGGGAGGAGAAGGCCTTCTCCAAGACCACGGCTTCAATGACAACAATCTTTTCGCTGCAGGAAGTACTTCTGGCTCCTCCGCTGCTGAAAATGGTGCTTCCTCTTCTACAACTGCAACTGCAAGCTTGAACGGCCTACGCGCAAACGCCATGTTACCGCAAGCCGCACCGTCTCCCATGATCCGCCCAGCGAGCGTGAAACCTACTCTGGAGAAAGCAAAGGAGCTCTACTATCTCACTGCCGCTGATCCACCTAAGGATGGTATACCCGAGGACCGTATGAAGCAAGTCTTGAAAGCCAAGCACGATGCGGGCCTCCTCAAGCCGTTTAATTACATCAACGGCTATCGGCGGCTGCAGAAATATATGGACGATAACATGCAGTCGTCGTCAAAACAAAGAATTCAAAAGTCGCTAGAGAGGTTTAGACCAAAATTTAGAGAAAAGACCCATCAGCTGACGGATATCGACCTGATATTTGTCGAAGAATGGTTTGAGCGATCTTTGATGGAGTATGATCGTGTGTTTGCTGCTATGGCCGTACCGGCCTGTCTGTGGAGGCGAACCGGTGAGATCTTCAGAGGCAACAAAGAGTTTGCGGAGTTGATTCATGTGCCAATTGAGCAGATGAGAGATGTAAGATTCCATTCTGTACTAATTTCCTTTTTTTTGTCTTCGAAGCTTTTCTAACTTACTCGGGGCGAACTTCTAGGGCAAGTTGGCCATATACGAACTGATCGCGGAAGACTCGGCTGTCAGCTATTGGGAGAAGTTCGGTGCAATCGCTTTCGACCCATCACAGAAGGCAATGTTAACGACTTGCTACCTGAAAAACCCGGACCCGAGTGCTTCGGACAAGTTGATACACTGCTGCTTCTCGTTTACTATCCGGCGGGATTCTTCACATATGTGAGCTCTGCTTCACCTTACTCTCTCTCATAAGACAAAAGACTAACAAGTATCTTCACACAGTCCCGCCATGATCATTGGAAACTTTCTGCCAATACCCTAAAAGTGCTTTCCCTTCTTTGTCTTGTTCTTTTTCTTCTCCATAGCTCCGTCCTCGATATTATTCTGTTCTATACCTCGGAAAAATTGTTTTCGATTCCCGTCCCCTCCATCCAAGGGGCCAAGGCAAAGACCAAAAAAACCCTAGATTGCATGAACTCTTTTTGTGCGATAAAGATCTAGCTATAGCATTTCTGGTGTTGATCGTTTCCTGTACTTTGTACTTTTTACTCTGTATTTTTTCTGCTTTTTTTGATGAAGATTAGGTCGTTATACTTGCAGCATTTCTCTGTTACTTAATTAGCTAATTTGAAGACTTCTTTTTTATGCCGTACACAAATCTTTGAAGTTGAGGTTAACCGTATTGGTTGTCATTCTCAAGCTATCCCCGTTGTGTTGAGATTCCTAAACAGGACGACTAAGAAATACCACACTTCGAGGGCTACAATTGCTTGCCGTCTGATATCGATACATCACGAACATCACGAACTACCTACTAAGCCTTCATCTTACTGAACCTTATCATTACCTTTGGATCTATTTTGCCCCCCCCCGCTATTTTGTGAGGCTATCTTCGTATAAATTTCACGGTTCAATTGAAGCAACTGCAGCCTTAAGCTTATAACAATCCAATCTTGTACCCTCGTTTTTTTGCCATCCGTCCAGTTCAGCTTCCTGACCCCCAATCAGCCCATCCCAATGGAACACAAAACGCCCACTGGTGCTCAAATCAGCCACTCCACGGTGGAGAAACGTATCAAACAGTTCCTCGGTATGAGACATTATTCCATTATCCTGGATGTTGGAATTCTCCCAACTGATTGATTGATTTTTGTCTCGGGTAATGGCTTTTGACGGGAAAACAACAGTATCACTTGACGAATTGATCAATGAATTGAAAAATTCCGGCTCGAATAAGTCACGTAATCCGAAGGGTTTGGTTGGAGAACAGGTTGAGGATTTGTTACATTCGATTGAGAAGTGTGCGAAAAGTAGGGTGTATCTGAAAGAGAAAGATGACCACGCTGGATTGGACTCAAGAGGTACGCAATATGTTACAGCAGGATCACTACGTATACTCTACAACTTTGAAATATCAAATCCAACTAATCTTGAAATTTACAAGGTACTGAGCTTTGGAACATGACTACCAAGCTCCTAAGAAGCGAAAAGCCATCCGATGTCGAAAACAAGAATACATATTTGAAACGTATGTTGCTAAATCCGGGAGCTCCATCCATGTTGGCTTCCCCTCAATACAGCTCCTCCACATCTCGGAAACGGAAATGACCCGCTAACATGGTATATTAACATGTCACAGTCAGGCACCTCGCCTATCTCACGCTTGATTGCGCTCAAAGAACGTGCGGGAGGACAACGCAAGGTCTGTTGTAAACGATTTGCCTTCGACTCTCCTCTCCCACCCCTTTCGAATTTTCGTCTTTCCAATTGGGCGGGTAGTCCTTGGAAAAAAAACCGGTCGACTCGGATCGATTCGATTTCTTTGATGACTCGCGAATCGAGGTTCCTTGCTTTTCTTCCCTAGCTGCAGACCAAGATGCATGCGTATACCTTTCACAAAAAATAAAAAGGAAGAAAGAGTATTAAATCTCCGATGACACCCTTGTTTCCTGCATTCGATATTCATCCAACCCGCAACCCCGTTTTCGGAGTGCAGTTGCCGCTTGGAAATAGCAGGGTATTTGAATCGTCTACGGACAAATATCCTGGACAAAAGAAAAAGGCGTTACTGTGTTTACGCCGGTGATATATTAGGCTTTAATCCTTGTTTCTCACTAATACCTTGGTCTTTGATATGCAGGCAGCCTACGACTCGTTAAAATCGCTGTTAAAGCCGGTAAAACGTATCTGGGTATGTACAGACCGTTGGCCTTTACTTTTTCTTCTCCTCTCTATCCTCCTTCGAGATTCTCTTCCCAATTGCTTGTCCTTTTTTTCGTTTCCCGCGCGGGGTGTGAAAAGTAAAACATGAAAAACCCATGCTACACGCATGTCTGCATGCGATTCAAATGGGAAGAATAAGGGGGATGGTGGTCCAAAGTTTTCCACTCCTCGCTCTCGTTAATCTCATTCGTTCGGATAGCAGCAATCCCCCCCTCCTCTTACCCTCCTCTTTCGTTCTGTGTAACCATATATTTTGTTGTTTGTTTCCTGGCTGCATATCTTTTGCGACTCAAGCTTTCGGTCTGGCGAAACGAGAAGAGAGGAAGGGAAAAAAAGGTTATCCGGGAAGCTGGGCCACGCTATGAGCTGCGTTCGGTATAGGCTTGTGCTAATCCAACATTTTTGTGTGAGGTGGGTGTCTCTTTTTTCCTCTTCCTCTTTTCTTCCCAATTTATTCTTCTTTCGGGGATCGAGAGGGAAGGGAGAGGGAGATGGAGAGGGAAGGCCCCACCGAAGCACTGGGGGTTTGGTTTGAATGTCTATAGATCATGATGAGGTTTTACTTGCGGAATCAGTATTGAGCAATGCTGCGAAGGTAGGTGTTCGTAATCTTAGCCACTTTGAAACCTGATCATTTGGTTTCACTTGATCGATGCCGTATTTGTGGCTGATGCTAATTTTGATATAGTATATCGACGACCTGTCGAAAAATACAACACCTCTCCTGGTGGATGAGGAGGGAGAGAGAATCAACTTGGAATGCGAGTTTCTGGTGCAAAGGATCGAACTAGTAAGCTTTGACTCTCCTCTCTTGACGGAAAATCATATTATTATTTTTTCAAATCTTCTTGATACGCCCTTTTCACACAAGTCAGCCACAATATGCTCACTTGAATTGAAGTAAACAAGTATTAACCATGCTGATGCCTTATATACAGAGTTTCCTCCAACATAATGTCAACGCCGCCGAACTCATGTGCAACAATGCCATGGAACGGTTTTCTCGGGACGAGAGTGCGGCAAGTAGACTTGAACCTAGGATTAGAGAATCGCTAGGGAAGGTCTTGTACAAAATTGGTAAGGATATGGTGAAGCGAGCGAACCTCACGAATGGAGTGGAGTGGCTGGCAAGAGCTTTGGAGATCGTCGATCCAAAGTATGTTGGGTCAGAACGGTTTGCAGCTGAACTAAGGTTTGGGATCATGCAAAATCTTGGTGAGTTCCTTTTTCTGTTGAAGACATTGGGATTTGTTCTCGTGATTATCTCGCCGATAATTACGACATTCAGTGTGTTATAATTAACGTCGTGATTATGCAGTTCAAACTAGTTTGAAGACACAAGTACCAAATGATCTTCGAAAGGCAGAGGAAGTGATGGAAGTGATGGTCAATGTAAGTTTTCGACTGAGCTCGTATTCATGCAATGATTGACTTGATCTATGATCTATGCTAATGGGATACAGGAATGGCCTGAAAGACTGAATGTCCACTGCTTAGGGCTCGATGCCATAGTTGCACAGGAACTCGGAGCCGAAGCATATCATGCCGGTAAGCTCATCAAGTTTGGGCCGACTGAAGCAGGGATCCTTGACGATGCTGATCATTATTGCTTCTCCAGCTCTCATGAAGATGATGTCCAGAATAGCTCTATCTGAACGTTCTTTCAAAGCGTGCGTATCACTATTAACGGCTCACTGCGGCTTCCTTTTTCTTCTTCTTGATGAACGTCCCAAAAACCTTACACGGGTGGCAACAGGATTGTTGGGAAATGCCACGTGCTGCTGGCGCAGGATTTGCAAGGTCGTGGGTACGTGATAGTTCCCAGAAGTTTTCTTGAATATGTCTTACTTTCTACAAAAGCAAGCTCAAGAGCCAATTGGAAATCGTCATTTCATAGCTAATCAGAAGGGAAACTACATTTGCATACGTGGGGGAGGGGTTTAGGCATCGACTCGCATGCAATGTACTCGATCACTTCGTAACGGAACGCCTGATCCTAGAGGATAACCAAGGATGGATTGAACAAGCATTCGTTACTCGAGTATGGATGATAATCCAAGACGCTCATCTTGACGAAGAAGTGATACAAGGTCTCCGGCAACTCTGTGAAGGTTCGTGCACTTACCCTTTATCCTTACCCTTACCCTCCTTCCTTCCTTCCTTTCTCATCCTGCATATGATTCCCTTTACCTTGGGACCGCGCCATGGTTACATCTTCCTTTTCGGAGAATTTATTTGCTGCATATGAGATACAACCAACAAAGATGTGTAACCACGCCATTGAAGGGAAAAGAAAAAAGAAAGTTGCGCCTCCAAAGCTTTTGAAGAAAGAAAACGGTGTACGGCGTTTTAACTAACTTCAGTTTCCCTCCCCATCCCTCTCTCGTATGGGGTACCGGTTTAAACCTTTACAGCTACATCTACAAAGCTTGCCAAACCATTGAGTATCAGTGCAACCCATGCATCACAGATTGTGAGTTACGAATCCGGCTCCTCGGAAATTTGAATGGAACACGAAAAGCTGTGGTGGAGGGTGTGTGTATGTGTGTAGGCTGACCTTCTTTTGCCAATCAATTGCTTTTTCGGTGATGAATGTAGTTGCTTTGGAAGGTTTCGGACACCCTGGTAACTTGTGGGCGGTGGCTTGAAGCAATTCAGTGGTGCCGGGTGGCCTTGCATCCCATCTTCGGGAGGTCTGGGGAAACCAATACCGGGAAGATTGCAAGGTGCGTTACTCTGGGTGGATGCTTGTTAAAAAGTTACTTTTTGCCACAGTTTCTAGGAGGCTACGAATGATGACTGTTGCTAATCATGAAGCGTGGCTGCTGCTACTGCCTGGAAGGCGTTTAATGCACTGTGCTATCGAAGCACATGACTACGGGGCTGCCCGAGATGCTTACGAGAGCATGCCTAGTTCGTGTCAGGAAACAGGATCAACGCAGTTTCTGCTGTTCAAAATTGCTTTGAGGTCGTTGGATTTAGATACGGGTAGATATTTCCACGATGCAGCTAAATACAATATCTTGAAGGAAAGGTATGGAGTATTTTTCGAAGCTAATATGATTTGTCTTTAGCAAAGAGATGCCTTGACAATATCTGCAACGGGCCAAGCAAGGATATAGCAATCCTTTACGCTTGTGCATTGGAGGCGCAATCCATGGGCAATAAAGATATCATTTTGAAGGTCCTGAGTCAGCTACTAGAACAGGCAGATACAACGACGCCGCCGGAAGGCGCCAATCTTCCCGCGATATACAGGTATGGGAATACATTTGCTATTCAGCTATGCTTCTATATTTACCCATGATACTGACTTCTATCTTCCTCTTGGTGTTCGGTAGAACTATGATCCGGTTAATTCTGTCAGATATTCAAGAAAATAAAGCCGTTGAAAGTGGGATCCTGGATACTCTGTACTCCATCTTCCGAAAAGGTACTCCTTGGAGCTACCCTGAACCCTCTTTTGATTGTTACGAACTTCTTGGAGGCAAAGATTGAGCCAGCTGACTCGATCCTGCACCCAACAGCGTTGAACAATGCTATAAAATCCAAAACAACGTGTGAAGCTGCAGCGGATGGAACATCAAAATCAATGTGGAGTACAGACGAGTACGATTGGTTCTCCCGCAATTCCTACAATCTCGCATTAAGGGCCCTGCAACATTGGCCTCCGCAGTACGCCCTTCATTTCTCACAGCTTTGTGTTCAGGTATGCCAAAAGTTCCTTGCTTACCGCTTTTCCCTTTTTTCCCTTATCACCATGGTGCCATAAAACCTTGGCTTCTATCTCGCATATCCCAGTTTTCCATTCCGTAATAAGCTATGCATGCACATAACCCCCATACCCTCCCCAAGAAAACTTGCCGTAAATCTTGTACGCAGGCAAGAGGAAATACTTCCCATTGGTCCATCATACCCTCCAAGCCCTGTACTTCATCCCCAAGCTTCTTCAACTGTCAGATCTGTTGCTAACCACCGTCATGCTGTGCTCCCCATCTCTTCCCTGCCTGTTTGACGGAGATGGGAAAAAAAAGTTTATTAAATTATACCCGTCAGAAAGTTGCTCCGAAGAGGAACTTGAGAATTTAAATTTACGACGGTCGTTTTGTGATTACATTTGTGCATCCACATGTATAGCTTTGGCGAGAGGACGTGAGAAAATGGAGGATCAGGTATGTAAAAAGACTTCTTTGCTTGGATAAAGTTCATTTAGTACGGTTGGTTGTGATGTATCCATGTTATGAATCCCGAGAACGTCTTACTATGATTTGGGATAACAAAAACTCCGAGTGTTTTTTTTTGTCGAGACGAGAAACTCGGGGATGAACCGAAGGCTTCAAGTTCAAATGCTAACCTTAACTCCACTTCGGAAACGGATCGATAGCTACGAGACTATGGTGACGCACGAAAATCAATCATAAGCTTTCGTGAAATACGAGAAAAGTTACATCCTCGGTTGACAGAGCAATCGCAAAAGGACTTTGGAGAAAGATATCTGGGATTGTTGAGTCATGAATTTGAGGCCTGCGTGCATCTGGAAGTGTGGGATGATTTACCTGGGATTGTTGAGGTAAGACCTTTTTTTTGCAGATCTAAAGGTTTTGATTCAAGGTATACAAGTATTTACGTTCTAATTATTGGATAATACTTGAATAGGAAGTCGCTGAGTTCGGTCAATTACAACCTTTGAGGAGAATTGGTGATATGATCTTATGTGCTGATGCTCCTACGGCGAGTATGTTCATGTCATCCCCTTCTTCATATAGCCCTCGAGGGGATTTAATGAAAATTTCACGTCATCTTCTAATCTCGTGGAACTATAGCCTTCCTTCTTGTCCTAGAAAACCTCATTAATCATTGCCTCCGAATCGAAAAGCACAAAATCGACAAGATCGCCAGGTGGGTCAGGGTGCTTCTACAAAAGTCTCTACAAGGGGATCTTGACCGTGCCGAGAGATTGGTTTATCAAATTTTGGATATCTGCCAACGGCGAGCGGTGGTGAGTTCTTTTTAATCTAATTTCTTGCTGAATTCCTTTTCACCTGGCTTTAGAAACGCAAGTTTTGCTAATGAGTGTGACCAGGGAAATGAATACCCACAAGATGAGCTCGAATGGATTGCAGCTTCACTTTGGAATTTGGGAATTGATAAGAATTGGTACTTTGATTTCCTATACAAAATACCACTTCAAAAATTTCTTGCCTTACTAACGGATGAACACAATTATAGTGCGGGTGATTACCCAGGATCTAAAAAGTGGGCAGAATTTGCTCTGTCGATAGCAGGTTTCGTCAAAGATGGAGGACAGCTTGAAAGCCTGTTACAGGGGAAATTTGCAAGTTTGCGAACTGGTTGAAGTCCTGGGGGCATACGTTTTTATATATGTATACTTATTGTAACTTCTGGGTGGGTTTGGTCTGTTTTTGGGAGGTACTGGTGCTTGTCGTTATCACGTTTAGTATCACGATGTCCTCGAGCTCGTGGACGCTTTGGGCTCTTGGTTTTTTGGGTCTTCAACAGAATCACAGTTTCTACAAAGCTACACCTTATGAATGTTCCCTCTTTTTCTCTTTGTCTTTTGCTTCCTTGAGAGATCGACACTAGTTTGTATATTACCATATCGACCCCAATATTCTGACAAATTTTGATGATTATTCTACACCAAAGCAATCGCTAAACCAGACGGTCATAAAAGATATTTCCTCGTGGAAACATACATATTCCACGATATGCACAGACACCACAATCCCTCATCAAATAAAAAATGAAAAGAAAAGGTAAAAAGAAGAAAAAAAGCAGCGGAACAAAGATCACCTAACCTTAACCTTCCCCATAATCGTCGGCGCTCCAATCTCCACCGCCTCAAATTCCTTCATCTTATTCTTAATAATCCCCAGCAACTCTCTGCTCGAATCCTCTCTACACTTTAACACCAAATCCACCCAATCATTGCTTAAATCCCAATATGCCGTCTTAAAGCTCACATACGTCTCCCACAGCGCCTCCTTCGGACTAACCGCCAACTGAATGAAATATTCAATAACAGGCCACGTCTGCTTCGCAGCGTCCAAACTCGTAGTTTCTCTGAAGTATCCAAACCCGCACATGACATCCGACCTGACCTGCCCAGCCACATCCGCGGTCTGTAATAAGAATTTGGCGTTTTTGTTCCTAACCGAGGATAGATACGATATCACCGTCATCTCCGATAACTCCAACGCCACTTCAGCCGCAATCGACGAGTCCAGACCAACCTTACAGTCCGACAGGTAAGATTCGATAGTAACGGTGATGGATTCCATATGTTTTGTATACCCCGTGGTACCATACCACTCCGGTGTAAAGAATGCAGAAATCGGTGCTTTCAAGTCGTTAAAGATAATTTCAGTAATTCGTTTGGTGATTAAGCCAGCCATATCCACGAATCCGTCTACAACGCTTCCTAGCGATTGTTCCAGATGATCTTGTGCTTTCTTGGGGAGCGCGTCTACTAATCGGGATTTTACGGCTTCAGTAAAGACCGCACAGCGGGCTTGATCGTTAGCGACAGCCATCATCCATTCGAATAAACCTTCGGGAATAGTCTCGGGTTGTTCGAGGTATGCATCGACTTCCTTTCGTGTCACGTCTTCCCACATCGCTTGTCGTTTCTTGAGTAATACGGCGCATTCGTCAATAACTCCCAATAAAACCGAGACTTTTCCGGCGTCTGAGGCAACATCTATCTGCTGGTTTATCATCTGGAAGGCGATGATAGCGCCCTGTAAGATGAAGTTTCCGGATTCGTTTGTCTCCGGTGCTTCTTTACGTTCTTGGAATTCCTTGACATCGGATTGGTTGACTGAGTTCATCCATTCGGTCATCTTGCTGACTATTATACTGAGGTACTCCTTGACTAGATCTTCTTCGGGGACACCGAGGACGGGTGGGTCGAGGGTATTTCTGTCGACTTTGAGTTGTTTAAGGCCTTGATTATATTGCCCTTTCCAAAGGATTATCTGGAGAAGACCCTGACCGTCTAGATCTTGATTGCCCACCAGCTTTGTGATGAATTCGTGCATTTGACCGTGATAAATATTGAGATATGTGTCGAATATTTTCCATTTTGGCGGGACGAGTTTTGTCAGAAGATCCTTTACAACGAAAAGATCATCAAAGTACCATTCGAAGGAATCAAGAAGAGTAGAAGAATCCTGTTGGAATAATTCTTCTGCTTCTCGGAATTTTTCTGCAACGGAAGATTTAATGCAGGCTATATATCGTTTCTTATATTCCTTCTGTTGTTTCGAACCGACGTTGATAGATTTGAAACGAGAAACGAGGTCTGAATGCTGCGATGTGGCGTCTTGGAGGGCTTTTAGTTTACTATCGGCTGTTTCTTCGGCTTCTATTATCTTTGCGATTCTAACAACCAATGAAACGTTCCTCCCACGGACCATATCCAGAATACTAACAAAGAACAAATCAAGCCGACTTTCAAACTCTGCTACCGCATCGTCCATAACGGCGAAATAGTTTGCAAGGGTATTACTCGTATCATCTGTCGCTCTCGTAGCCTGGAAGATAGCGTCGTCGCGAAAGTCGCGGAGAGCACCCAGTTTGTAGTGAACCGGTAGTAGATTTGGCATTTGACCCATTAGCCCGTCTTCGGTGTTATCGTCGTTGAGCATCTGTTCGATTTCCTCTATGTTCTTGTTAAGGTTTGCGAGGCCTGTCATGATTTCTTCGACTTGTGTGAAGTTTCGGTGGACTCGGGAGACTTCGTTGATTAAGGGGAAGTCTTTGATCATTGTTTGGGCTTCGGAGCAGAGTCTGTCGATCTATTATCGGCTGGTTTAGTTTTCTTGTATGGCATCGTAGTATGAGAGAGTGGAGGTACCTTGACGAGCTCTTCTCTGATAAGATTGAGGTCCTTTTGGGAATCCTCGACAGCTTTCATGCCGGCCTAGTAGTTGGCAGTGTTAGTTCTTGAGTAATTCTAAAAGCTATAACGTAATGATCATACCTTTGTGACATCCAGCTGCAGCTGAACGCCAGCTTTAAGTTGAGCATCAATGGCAGCTTTATCAGAGGTATACTGAGCTTTCAGAGCCGATATCCGTTCAAGATCCTAGAATTCCACCGAGTATTCAAGCTAACTTTAGCATAAGCTCTTTCAAAAATGGGAGCTGTAACGATATTCAAAAGGTATGAAAGGAAGCTAACGGACATCTGGATGCCTAAGAGTTTCGGCCAGCTTAGCTGTGCCTTTAACCTGAGCGTCTTCCATGGTTTAAATTATCGCGGTGGTGGTGAATCATATAATATCCGGGGTTACTGTTTTGGGCGAAGGAAGGTGGTTTCAAACGTGGGCTTTAAAAAGCGGTGGTAAGGAACGTAGCATCTTCGAACGGAACCGGATAATTAGAAGTCGAGAGATAAAGCAAATGCGCCCAAAAGCATAGCCGGTTAAGAGAGGAGTCTAGATTTCGATGGGGGGTAGCGAAGAAGTTGCAATGGTGGTGATGGCGATGATGGTTTAAAGGAGGCGCGGAGTGTGGAGTTGAATGGATTGGTGGTCTTCTTGTCGAGGGGTAGCTCGGCGCCGCAGCTATTCACGGAAACCCGAACCGAAAATCTTCAATTTTGGTTTCCCTCCCTCCGAACCAACAACCAAAATATCCCACCACGACCCAACTATCGAAGTTCATCGACAAGCCACTAGGAGGCTCAAGGAGGCAAAGGAGGGTCAAATCCGACGATGAGACTATAGAGATTCACGACAATTGATACTTTTTACATTCCAAGCGATATTCGAAAACACGGGAGGTCGGAGAAAATCTTTTCTCACGTCGAAAACAAACGACTCTAGACTACATCTATCGACTCCAATTAAAGAAGAAGAAGAAGAAGGAAAGAGAGAAAAAACCACGATGTCGTTCTTCAAAGTCACTCTCATCCGATCGAGCATCGGTATGCCACAGAAGAAGGTCGGAGTTCTAAAAGCCCTCGGTCTCCGAAAACGAATGCGAACGGTCTTCCACAAGATCACACCAGCGACGGCGGGTCAGTTGATGAAGGTCAAGGAACTGATTGCTCTCTCCACAACGGATAAGAAGCTGACGAGGAGGGAGATACACGAGAAACGACAACCGCCATGTGGGTTTGTGGTTGAGAAGTCGAGGTTTTTACGATCGGAGGAGTCGCCGTCGTCGTGAGGTTCGGGAGATATATGGACCGGATGGATCATGGTAGATGTCACCGAACTAGGGTCATGATATGATCATGGCTTCTCAAAGTGAAGTCTGTGATATATCGGCTCTATCTGCCTGTTGGATCATTTATGCTTTTGAGTCTAACCGGAGATTTGACGTCCATTGGAGGGGTCATTTGAGCCGGTAAAAATCTTCACCTATCCGGTCGCGCGCCCGTGAAGTCGCCGCTATGAAACAACCTGATATATTACATAACCTGTACATACTTGATGCTTCATACGAACCTCTTGCGAATCCAAACCGTGAATGGGAGCTCCAGAGTGGGGAGGGTTCTGTACTGTACATACATCCATAATACATACTTAAGTATATACTACTCTAACGGCGAAGGACCAATATAAAATGGGATCTACTTAAGTAGTCTAGTACTTCATAGGTTACATGCATCTGTCAAATTACTAATACCTGAATAACTGCCATGCACATGTCCCAACAAAGCTACGACATACTCCAAAAGCTCTACCCCACGATCGATACGTCGCAATGAATAAAACCTACCGGGGTCTTGATCTGGGTGTGGGCCAGGTCGTATCAGATTTCCACTTGAGGGCCAATACGAAAGCAGGGTGGTGGCCGTGGCCAAGACCAGTCCCATGCCTCGGTCCAGACTAGTCATTGACATCAGTCGCAATTTCCTCCTGCTAAAACCGTCAAAACTTCTTCACTCGTTGATATTAATATAAAAGACTAGTTGGAAGCTGTCTTTGGACAGCTGTTGTTCTGTTCTGCAGCTGTCGCTTTCATTGTTTCTATTTATGACATGACCTCTGCACTTTGAATTCAACCTTCTCCACACAATACCATAATCAATAATGTCTTCGCGCGTCCCGGTCTCGTTGAGGGAGACCTTCAACACCCAGAGAGCAAATCCCAGGAACCAGGCCCTGCTGTTTAACATCGGAGTGTACGGATTACCTAGCTACAATGTTCTATTTTACTTCGGACGCTAATTTGAGAGTAGCATCCGAAATATCGTCTTTGTCTACTTCATCCTACGCTGGTCTTCAAAGGCCGCCCGCCAATTACGAGGATATGGAATAATCGGCACTATCGTTATTTTTTACAACTACCTCCGAAGCACGGCATATGGCATAATACTGCGAGCTCCTGGCGTGAAGGGGAAAGTCAAAGCACAGCTCGATGAAGCAACGGCGAAACTAGAGGAAAAGATGGTGGTTCGGGATCCTAATCTTGTCCGCCATCTAGCTCTACCGAAAAATGGTATAAGTGCCGATAAGATCAGGGAAGAGCTAGCAAAGTAGGTTATTTCGAAGCTATATACCTATTCGCTGGGAATTGCTAACAGTGTATATCAGATTGGCCGATTTAAAGCACACCAATTGGGAGTCTGGCCAAGTATCTGGTGCTGTATACCACGGTGGCAAAGAACTCCTCGATTTGCAGACCGACTGTATGAGATTGTTCTCTGTTAGCAATCCCCTGCATCCCGATGTATTCCCCGGTGTTCGAAAGATGGAAGCCGAGGTCGTCGCCATGGTTTTGTCTATGTTCAATGCACCACCCGGAGGTGCCGGTGTCACTACAAGCGGTGGAACAGAGTCTATCTTGATGGCCTGCTTGTCTGCAAGGAACAAGGCATATGTCGAGAAAGGTGTAACTGAACCAGAAATGTGGGTACTATCCCGCCAGACAGGGTTCCTTTACACAAGGCTAATAGTGCATATATAGTATCATCCCCAAGACTGCCCACGCTGCCTTCGACAAGGCCGGTTATTACTTCAAGATGAAGGTCCACCACGTCGAAATCGACCCAAATACCTACAAGGTCGACCTCAAGCGTGTCGCCAAGTTGATCAACTATAACACTGTTCTCCTCGTCGGATCTGCCCCCAACTTCCCTCACGGTATCATTGACGATATCCAAGGTCTCAGCCGCCTCGCCCTTCGCAAGAAGATCCCACTCCACGTCGATGCCTGCCTTGGTTCCTTCATTGTACCATTCCTCGAGAAAGCTGGCTTCAAATCAGAACCATTCGATTTCAGACTTAAGGGTGTAACTTCAATTTCATGCGATACCCACAAGTGTATGTGTCCAAAAGGCCCCCAACCCCCCCTGTTATACCCCAAACTAACCTTGTTATGTTACAGATGGCTTCGCCCCCAAAGGAAACTCCACTTTGATTTACCGCAACTCCCAACTCCGTGCCTACCAATACTACATCAATACCCACTGGACTGGTGGCATTTACGCCTCTCCCAACCTTTCCGGCTCCCGACCAGGCTCCCTAATCGCCGGTTGCTACGCCTCCATGATTTCCATGGGCGAAAACGGCTACATCTCATCCGCCCACGCAATTGTAAGCTGCGCGCAACGTCTAGCAACCGGGATCACAGAAAACCTCTCACCAGACCTCTTCGTCATGGGTGAACCTCTCGTTTCCGTCGTAGCTTTCACTAGCAAAACGATTGATATCTACGATCTTGCGGATGAATTATCAAAGCTTGGATGGCATTTAAATGCTCTACAAGATCCTCCAGCTGTTCATATGGCTTGTACTACTTTGACAATTAAGAGCGTTGAGACTTTGTTGAAGGACCTTGGAGAGGTGTTGGTTATGGTTAAGGCTAGAGGCAAGGGTGCCGCCAAAGGCGATACTGCAGCGTTGTATGGTGTTGCGGGTAGTGTGCCAAATCGCAGTGTAGTTGGAAGTTTGGCGACGGCGTTTATTGATACTTTGTTCAAGGCTTAGCAGTTTCAATGTTGGACGGTGTGGTGGCTGTAGAAATAGCCACAAGTGGGTGATGTACTGTTGTCACAGATATTATGGACGAGACGGGTACTTCCTCTTCTTTCTTTTTTCGATACACGTTTTTTCTGGAAGCGCTTTTTTTTCTTTGTATCTCTTTTTCTTCTTCATCTTTTGTGTATAAAGGGTTTATAGGATATGATAGAGCGGGAATATGGAATCAATCACTTTGCATACGTTATTCTTACACAAGCCACTAAGGTCTCACCGACCCCGAAGCCAAGGGGTGGGCAGAGGAGAACAATATTAGTAAATTCCAAACTATATAGCGATAGATATTGCAAATGCGCATCCGTATCAGGCTATAGCCTGCAACTAGCTACGTAGGGGGTGGGTTCGAGGCTACGTAAAGGAGTTCTAAGAAATCCGAGTTACTCGATGCATGAAAGGCAGTGTTCCCCTAGATCGAACAGTTAACGTTATAACCCACTTGTTTCCTATATCGATCGTATTGGTAAAATTACAGTGACATAACCTACAAAGACTGCTGCGACACTCAATCCAAGGTTCGTAAACCGTTTTAAAGGCTAGGGTGATCTGGTTAGATAGGTTAGGCGCCGCAACTGTAGCTTGGTCACCAAATAGGTGTTTTCTCAGTTGAATTGTATATATATAATTCTACATTTCCCATCTAGGATCTAAATCTTTAAATTCTAGTCCCAGCTACTTAAGCGTCTACACAGTATTTTATCGCCCGCTTCCTTAAGTACTTTCGAGCGGGTATGTTTCACATGCTTAACATATAACAAAGAGATAGTTGGATAACGGATGTTACTTGTCTCGTCGACAGACTCCTTAACTGTGGAAATGCTTTAGAGCATCGTCTCCAAACTAACTAGTTCCTGATTTCATGCGCGCATAATTCTGAATATAGATGTATCATCCGGTACAGTGCATGAATTATAACACTCATTGTTTTTAACCTCGATCTTTAAGCTTCGTGGAGACATCTGGACGCACAGGGATCGATCAATTGCAATCGAACGAATTTAATTTATGTACGTGTATTATATCTATCCAACGTCATAATCCAATTGAACCCGCAAAATTAACGTGTACAAGATATAACACGAGTGCATTGATGAAACATCAACTATATCTAAATTCGCATATTAATATTTGTCAGTGGATTGGTTTCTAGGATTATCTGGTATCATAGTACCATTTAAAGCTCAGGAGGTTTAAGTTATGCATGATAGTTTGTCTCATAAACCAGACCTATATATAAGCGTACTACGAGTTAATCGACGTCCTACCCTTGATATATCTACAATATAACGAGGCGGTGCAACTGAGTGCGAGTCTTAACTACACACGGGCGTTATTTGGAAGTTGGGTAGGTCGGTTGGTATTTTAACGGTATAACGATCAAAGTATCTGGCTAGTTTTTTATTTTATTTTGCGAAGTCTAGTTTGAGACAAGATAAAGGTGTAGATATTATATACTACCAATCCACCCGCCGGCTGGACGCCTTCTTCTCAAGATCCCGTTGCCTGACCCCTCAACTTGTGCAAACCCCCCATTCTTCATAACTTATCTATCAAACAAAACCTTCAATATTGAATAAAATACGGAGTCAGCCGAGGCTTATATCAGTAATACCGCTGAGGAGGATCAGTATTACATTATACCTAACGACTACCATGCTCATCCCATGTATCCTCTTATTATACCACCTCACGGTAGCTACCGCAGCCGCCACGCCCTCGGAGTTAGCACGTTCTACCCACCCCCCATTTGGCCAATTATCTGGTGCAAGGAACCATATTCTTCACAAGCCTTCCGGCCCAGCAGCTGCCCCAGCCCACAATAGGAACTTCCGTCGACAGCGAATAGTTAGGACAGGAGAATTCGGAGCAAATATCTCCAAAAAACAGCGTCCTGTTCCAGGAAAACTAAAGGTGAAATCCGACAATTTCAGCTTCTTCGCTCAGATAGATCTAGGTTTTCCAGAGCCTGCAAATCTAGTATTAGATACATTCTCCAGCCAGTCTATTGTCATGGATAAAAAGGAGGCAGCTAAGAATGGAGGCCTTCTAAAGCTACCTAAGTTTAATCGTGAGGAGATCGTGGTTAGTCTCTATGGCAGGGATATTTTTTATAGTGATGGTAGTTGGGCCGTCGAGGATACAACTTGGTATGGGAAGATTAGTAGTCCAGCATCAGCCGAGCTTGATAAACCCGCGTCGTTTTATGGGTACCTTGCATTGCCGTTAAGGACCGGCAATTTTAAGAGGAGTGGGAAGGACGGAGTCCTTGCCTTGGCTCGAGAGCAAAGTCAATATAGTGGTACGTTAGGGCCTCACAGTCATATGCTTAGATCTTGAAACCATCAATTGTGCCCGGACATGATTTCCAAAATATATACTAAGATAACACAGCTAACACTATTATTTAAAACATTGAAGTCGAAATATGGAACGAAGAAGACCCTTTTGCTCCGAGAGAGGATTCCCGCCTACCATGGGGCGCGAAACTTCCTCCTATAAATGGGAAATACCCATTCTTCACCACTTACCTCAACTGGCGTGAGCCTGATAAACAATATCTCGGTCTTGGTTACTTGGAAGAAAAGGAGCTCGGAGGGAGTATTGGAACGTTAGAAGTTATAGGCGCCGACGGAAAATATGACGACATCGATGACTGGAGAGTTAAACTGCCGGAAGATGCACTTGAACCCATAATATGGTTAAAATCCGAAAATTTAACTTATGCGGAAAGGCTACAGAGGCTGAATGACAAAGACTCTACTGTGTTTCTGCTTGGTATGTTTGCATATCTTCATATACCCCTTGAGCCCAATTGAAAAAAAGGGAGGAGAAAAATGCCTTAATTGTTATATATCTCGCACCTCGACCGAGTCGTTTCCGGTACTAACATAGAGATTCGAAACCGAACATATAGATACTAAATCAGAATATTCATTCCTCCCACTCGACCATGCCATAGCCATCAACGAGGCTATGGGCGGGAAGTGTATACCCATAGCCAATTTCTCAGACTTACCCAACCTAATAACGGGCGATTACCCAGGCTCTAATTTCCAATTTGGCGGGAATATTTGCACTATTCCTTGTCTTCTCATGGAAGGAAAGACTACATTCTTCCAGACAAAGCCTATCACCCTTGACCTACCATTTGGATCAGGATATATTAGAATTGGGTCGGATGTTTCTTTAGTTGCGTACAACCCGTGGGAAACTATCTGGCCGGGTAGTCACTGTGATACTACTAGACCAGGCAACGAAGAATGTAAGCTACATACACCCTATCCTCGAAATATTTGGAGCCCTATATTTAAACGTTCAGGCTTATTTGTATATGTATACAGCCACACCATACATGCGCTAACATCGATCTAAATTAACTACTTAGGCGTCAATGAGTGTCTATCATCAATCCAACCAGCGCCTAAAAACGGACCAAACTACCCATCAGCTAGAGCAAAGAGAGGCTCCGGGAAGGAGAACGTTTACGGCCGAACCATTTGGTCAAATGTATTTGCGAAATGGGATGTTGAAGGCGGTGCCGTTGAGTTGTGGGATTATAAGGGAACTGTTAGGGATCCACCGTTTGGGGCATCACAGTCGATACCCGGAGGAAAGAAGACCGAACCCAAGAAATGACGGTATTGATCCCATTCGTGAAGATGGTTAATGTTTAAGGTTTTTTCGCTTTCGAGCTTGCTGTGGGGGCCGGGCAGACAGCCAAAAGTGGAGTAGTGATTTTAAATTCATCAAATACTTTTTCTAGACGTGAGAAATATTTATGTATGGGTTGAGAGGCCCAACCAAACTCGGTGGAGCAGGTATGTCATCAATTTTACGCATGCGTGGATATCTACCTATACACGTATGTTTCCTGAGGGCCCACGCCGTCTTTGGGTCCAGTCAATCGACCCCGCGTCAGGCGAGTTATTTATAGGGTTTGGTTCCGATTAATAATTCAAATGGTCTTTTATTTTTGCCTATGTATATGTAGTCGCATTAAATATGTCTGCAAGCCTAGAAAATATATATATTCGATAAAATTCAGCCAAATAATTATAAGCAGATACATTATGTCGATATTGTCGATCGTTAATATTTCTATATAGATATGCGGGACTGAAGGATGGCCCAGACGTTGGAAGTTGAGCAAAACCCCAGCTGTTTACTATGCTATTGAATAAAAATTAAATCTAACAAATAATGGAGGAAGAGTGATCATACGAAAATTCTATAAGTAGTATTAGAATACGGCCTCTCAAAATCTGAACCCGACGGTTGATAGCCTAGATCTACCATCCCCAATCCAAAGCCGTGACTTATCTCCGTTGAAAGCGGCAAGAAAATGTTGTACGTACACACATACATCTAAAGTTTCCCATCCTCTTTTCGATACTTTAGGAAAGAGATCTCGCGAGAACATGACCTCATTGCTTTATAGCGAAAAACTTTAATCACGGGGAGCACATTTATACACTCCTCCACCGCATAACATACATGTATTTTTTCTTTGGAATCACTAGAGCTTGGTCCAATTTTAGAGGGTACATCCGTTAGCCCTGATTACTTTTCGTCTTTTTCTCTCGCTCTTGAAAACTCCAGTAATAAATCTTCAATTGATATCGAAAGTTACACAAAATCCTGAAGCCGGTGTAACCCTTGACGTCGACATCGTATCACGTCGCACAGAACATCCCTGTCACTACAACACAAAACCCCGCCAGAATCCAACAAAATCACCATGAAATTAGCACTTTTCATCCTCCTCTCCCTCCCAGTGGTACTATCCCGTCCACAAGCCTACTCTGATGAAGCCTTTGAAATCAGCACAAACGCTGCAGCAGATGTCTCCCATATCACCGCCGCCACGATCCCCCCAGTAGACCAAGATGGTACCTGGGAAACCCTAACCACCAGCCACTACCACCCCGAAACCACAGGTTCAACACCCACCACTACTGTGCCAATTTCAGAACATCCATCAGCTCAATCTGTTGCTACAGACGCTTCAGTTTCAAGTTCAACCCCTGGTGGAGCGGTTGAGACATTAAGTCAACAAACCGCCCAGCCAATATCACCTACTCACATCGATAACCATGGAGTCAATGAATTACTGGCTGGAGTTAGTAATACTCTATCATCACTCTCAAACTCCGGATCCGGCGCCGATTCATTAATTTCCAGCGGGGGCACAAATACGGGGCTGGATACTTCAGACTCAGCCACTGAATCGCGTGATATAGCACAAGATATTAACTCCGTTGTCGAAAGTACTGAAAACGAATTCCTGGCGTCATCGCAACAAACAGTAGAACCGGGGTTTGTACCAGTATACTCCGCTGGGGGACATTTTGTAGCAGAAGTTACGATAGGTTCGAGTTATCTGTTGATAAAAGTCGATACCTCGTCTTTTCATTTTTGGGTTATAAGTAATTTATTACCGGATTTGTGTCGAGAGGCGACGAAAGCGGGGTCTGGGTGTTATAAACCTGATCCGGAGGCTACGGTTATCCCTGGGAATGTGGGGTATACCTTTAGATATAGAGACGGAGCTCAAGCTAGTGGGACACAGATATATTCCGACACCGTATCCGCCGCTGGAATCTTCGGAGCCGCATCATGGAGCAAGCAAGTATTCGCCTTACCTTCCCAACTACAACATTGGGACGGTTCAAGTGGTATCTCCGGAATCCTGCCCCTAGGTTTCAACGCCAAAGAATACTGGACATCCAAAGCCTCATCGTCAACCAGCACGACTAGTCCGACAAGTAACAACGCCACCGAAAAAATTCTGGATGAATCACCGTTAGATATTACTAATTGGCATTTTTTTACGACGTATTTTAAACCGGGTTCTCAGATGTTTGTTGGGTTTGATTATGATCCTAAGGATTTGTATCAGGGTAATTTGGTCGAGGTGCCTGTTGCGGCGATTAATGGGAGTTGGTTTGTTATGCCGGATTCTACTTGGGCTACCGTTGCGGTAGGGAGTGGAAGTGCTAGTGCTACGGCGGCTGCGACGGATGCGGGGAGTACTCCTGCGGCTACAGCTACGGACACGGGATCTGGGTCTGGATCTGGTGCGGGGCCATCTGCTGGGGATAGTGGGAGTGTATCAGCATCCCCTACTGATACCGAAACTAACAGCCCAGCAGCGACAGCCACAGATTCTGGGAACTCGACCTCGATAACAACTACAGATACTGGAGATGCTGGGTCGGCTACGGCAACAGATAGCGGCAGCACAACTGCCACTACCACTGATCAAGAAAGTACCATAACCGAAACTGCGAGCTCCATGGAAACAAGCTCCGTCGAAAGTCTTTCCGCCGAAAACGCAGCAAATACACAACTCGTCGCTACTGCAGGAACAGATTCTATTAAAAAGAGAAGCCTCCAAAAAAGACAGGACTCTGCATCTATGCAGTACCCCATTCTTCTTGGTTAGTTTTCCCCTCTTTGTGACCGATACTATATACACTTATTAACTTTAAAAAAAGACACCGGAAGCAAAGAAACTCTAATCGACACCGCAACCGTAAAGTCAATTTACAACTCCCTTCAAGGTAGTTGTCTAACCGTTAACGGCGGTTTACACAATTGTACTTTCCCTTGTTCATTCAACCATTCAAACTTCGCAATAACGCCTGAGTACCCCGCATCAATCGGTTTACCCTGGGGACAAACCACCATTCCTGTGGATTTGAGTCAATTCGCAAGTGAAGTTTATGATGGTTGTCATCCGGAGAGCGGGGCTGATAGTTGTAAGTCTTTTTTCTTCATATCAATACTCTCTTTACCTAAGCCCTCGATATAACCTTCGTGAAAAATAATGAAGACTGGTACTGATATTATATACTGAAAAAAAACAGGTTCATCAACGTGTAGAGGAATGATACAGGCGCAAAAGCCGGGGAAGGAGTATTATATATACGGAACTTTGGTGTTTAAGTCTGCGTTTTTCAAGTGGGATACCTCTGGGAATGGGACGATAGGGATGGCACCTTATGCTGGGAGGGCAGGGGGTTCGTGGTATTATCAATAGATTTCTTTCTTTCTTTCTTTTTTCTGTTGCAAATACAATGATGATATAGAGAGTGTCGAAAATGGTTTAAATATTGGATTTGTTTGGTATATATAGAGGAGTTCAGAGGTTCATGGATTAGAGTGGGAGTACGGATATAGATATAGATATAGAACTTGTTTCTGTAGATTTCGATGTATTGTTGATGTAGTGTGAATATCCGAGTCAGCTGCGCCGAACCTGAAAAGGAGTCTCTTAGAATGTATGAAGCAGGTAGCACGAGCCAGTTCGAAGTCTTTACCCCTTAAACTTGGATGCAATCAAGTATACTAGTTCCTATCATCACGAAGTCTATCGCCTATATAAGATCGAGGAATACATTTCCAAAGCGACTCAAGTTATTTAAATTATGAATTTAAATTAATAAGATTCAATCCAAATCTAGAGAAAACGCCAGCTGATATCTATCATCACGACCATAATCATAGAATGGTGAAAGATCGTGATCATGCACAAGCTAGGCACATATCTACAAGGCCTGGTCTGTCGGTCTGCCTCGGGAAGTCTAATGCATTATGTTTCTTTCCTTCCCGCCTCTTTTGACTTATTTTTACTTTTTTTTTACTTCTTGTGACCATATTCCTCGATGTTTATGAACTATGATATGTACGTATACATGTATACCATACATACATTAATATTCGCTGCAAGGTACCAAAATAGAGAGCACACTCAGCTCAGCCCTGTCTGTCATCAGCGTGAAGTTTACAGGTGACAACGCAAAATAGATCACGACTTTTACTTTTTACTGTTTTGTTTTTTACTTTTTCCCCTCGCTTTTGGGGAAGATATCCTTGTTCTAGTAGCGCAGGAAATGGGGGAAAGCGGTGCGAGAGCGAGTTGCAGCTGCATGGGGATGATGGATTTCTTTCGGTAAGACAGCCCTAAACCTTTCGCGGGAAGGACCTGTGATTTCCACCAAAAAATCAAAAGAAAGTGAGGCGAGAGGGAAGTGGGGAAGAAGTCGATGAAGGACTTTTTGATAGTATGGTATAGTATGGTATGTGGTATGATTGATGGTGATGAGATGAGGATATTTCTATCGATAGGGAAAAGAAGAGCTCTGCGAGATCATATCGATAGGCAACTTAACTTAAATTTTAATTTTGATCTGATGAATGAATGATATGATACGATATGATAGCTATGGAAAAGGTCATCCCTCTTTTGACTGAATAAGGAGAGTTTAGCGAATTCCTCTTTGGATCGAGTTCCTGCGACGGATAAAAGTCGAATGACATGTCCATGATCTGTGGACATGACGTCCTTCCCCTTCCCTTTTTTTTGCGACTTTCCTAAATTCCAAATTCCTGATGGTTCCGGTAAAAGTTTCCTTTACTTTACCTTTACTTTGCTCGAGGTTACTCTACTATACTATACTGTTATTGAAACTAGTTAAGTAGATATAGTGTTTGAAGTGAGATGGTATCAAGTGATGATAGCATGAGAATTAGAATTCCATTCGATGTATCGGAAACTTCGGTCTCGTAACTTAACCTAACTTAACTTGATTACCTGGAGCTCCAAGATATTCCTCCCCAGCCCCAGCCCTCCTCCGCAATAAAGTTAGTAGGCAGCCGATATCGCGATCCCCTCAAAGAATTTAGCTGGGAGGGAAAATGAAAATGAGGGCGGGGCGGGAGAAAAGGCAGGAAACGAAGAAAGAAAAAAAGAAAGCTTAAAGCGCGCGGGTGAGCGAGGGAATCAGACGATTCGTGGAGTGATACATACTTACACACCCAGAACGCTAGTTTAAACGAACTTGACTTTAGTAATGACCTGGGAAAAGGTCAAACCCATGTTTACTCTACATATCTTGGCTGACCTACAGCTTTTCTTGTGCGTCCCCTGCTTCTTTTTTTTTTTTTGTTTTTTTGTTTTTTGATGTCCGGAAAACGGCAAATGAGGACTTGGAGGCGTATCGAGAGAGAGGAGAAATGTGGTAGCGTGATAGGTATCGACCCGCATGCATTTGCACTTGCACTTGCACTTGCATTGGCGATTAGGTTGAAGGCTGGCTAATGGATCACATCACATCACGATAACGGAAAAAGAAGAAGCAGAAGAAGAAGAGAAAGATATAAGGCTTGAAACTGAGCGCCTGTTTTTTATTTGTAACTTTTTTTTTTCTATTTAATAAGTTTTTTGGAATTCGAAAGTTTGTATTGATATTGGTACGAACAGATAGGCAACGTTGATATCTATTGATACTGGTAAGAGTCCCTCTATTTCTTATTATTCTCTCTTCAAACCTACTGAATTTGTAAATGTAACTGTGAATGTGAACGAGAGGAGTGTCCTTGTGACTTTTTTCTCGTCTTGGTTTATGACTTATGCAATGTTGGCGACTCGTATTCGCTGGGAGCAGAGGAGTCTCTGCATTTGCGGGGAAACATGTACCCAGAATTCAAAACCAGTGCACCACTTAGCATACTACTCCTCCCTACTTTGTTTCAAGATCTTGATTTATCAAGAAGAAGAAGAAGAAGAATTCTCTCCATTTCTGTAGTATAGTCTGAGATTGATACCCTCTGGATTCGAATCGAGACTCCCTTTTTTTTTATTGTTATTGTTGCCTGACAGGTCGAACGGGGCGAGACACTCGGAACAAGCCGACTTGCAGGTTAACCGCTCCCCGTTTTCCGTTCATCTCTCTTAAACTCAACTTCATCCTTCTTCTTATTCTTTCAATCCACCTTCTTATTTTCCATCTATTCTTATTATTATTCTACACTCCTGTATTCTTTTTTCTCGATTTCATCCATCTCGTATCCTTCGAAGGCGACCCTCAAATTGGAACTGACTGGGTAGCTGACCGGCTGGCTGGACTAATCCTTGGCTAACTGCGATCAATACAGCACTACAATAACCTACCCTCTACCTGCCTGCAATCCTCATCCTTCTAAGCTGGAATTGTTTCTTTCGGCTTGCATGCGAGTTCCAAATACAAAATCCATCGACTTCATCGACTTCATTGACAATAACGATAATAACATCAATCTCGAAGATACCATCATCCAATAAAGTTCGTTTTGGGAGCTTAATCACAGCCGACTCGGGTTTTTTTCTTCTTTTGGCTGCTGCTTCTGCTCGTTTTTCCTCTTTTCCCTTTCTCAGGATGCTTCGTCCCACCACAACCACTGAAATCCCTCCGCCCTCCGCCCCAAAGGACATCGCTGCTCCCAAACCCCGTTCTTCATCTCCCAGAACCCGTCGGACCCCGTCCTTCCTCTTCGACTCGCCTCCTTCCGCTCCCTTGGCCCCTACGACCTCAAACGCGACTGCTACTTCTACTTCGAAACCGACTAAATCCAAAAACAACAAGGATAACATTCTTTCATCTCCTCAATCACCTAGAAGGTCTTTCTTCCCCTCTCCCTCGAAATCAAGCTTCAGTAGTGCCAACAGCGGTGGTGGTAGCAGTGGATTCGCCGGTGGAATCTTTTCATTATCTTCGCTGCTCGCTCGCATGCCAAGTGCTGCTTCCATAGTTCCCGTCCTCTCGTCATCCCACCACCATAACCACCACCCCGACCTTCCGAACAATCACTCCTCCCCTGCCTCAAAGACTACCCCTACCACTTCCCAGAGCTCTAGGAAAATGGCAGGCGGCTCTTCCAAGGATAAACCATCCGAACCTTCAAGAATGACGGCTGCCGAGAAGCAAGAAGCTGTTAGGAATGCTCAAGCAATATTGGCATCCGTTAGAAAGGACTGGGAATGGGCCGAGGAATTAAGAAAGAGTAAGCGACGAAGAATGGCCGGTGCCACGGCCGGTTCGCCAACCACCAGTTCTAGCTTACCATCCATCCAATCCGAGGAAGAGGAAGATACCGAAGACGAGGACGAAAGGGAATACCGGTCGCGTGACGAATCCGACACAGACGATGGTAGCAGACAACCAGGTTCTATGAAATCCGTAAGGAGCGTTTATCCCGACGACGAACCTAGATCCGCCTACCGATTCCACGACCCAAATACCATCGGCGGCTCCAAAGCCACGAAGGAAGAACGAAAAGCCCGTCGCAGGAAGGACCTCGAAGATGAAATGAAATGGAATGACGGTCTCCGTATCTGGATCGAACGTCGAGACCTCTGGACCCAAGCCGATAAGAACGGCCGTGTCCCGATAGGAAAATCCAAATTTGAAGATGTCAGTCCTACCACTGCTAATATTAACCCATTGGATTTGGATGCAATCAGATTTCAAGATGGCTTTAGCTATCGTGCTAAATGGAAGAACGAGCTGCTGACTCTGACTCCTAATTATGCGAGGTATCAGAATCCGTTTTACGATGCTATTATTCCGGATGCGTATCCACAATTATACCAAAGGATTATCATTAAGAGTAATACTCCGACCATCCCGATCAACCTACAGCATATGGTATATACATATATCCCCCCTCTGCTTCTTGTATGTTTATTGAACTAACATTCTCTCTCAGACGAACGCATTAATAGAAGGATGGAAAGCAGACGGCCAATGGCCACCAAAACCATCCCGTCCGGAAGCCTCAATCACAAAGAAGAAGACCGTCAGCGTTGGCGAGAGCATGGTCAAGAGGGTTTTCGGAATTGGTCGGTGACAGTTAGAGGAAAAGAAGCAGCCGCAACAGCAGAAGAAAAAACAAAAGAAAAGAAAGAAGCCAGTAATATCGTCCAAGCTTTAGTTTTTATTTTGTCCTCAAACGGCGTCGCGAAAGGGAATGATCAAAGAAGGAGTTTGTGTTTTTGTCCCGCAGGCCTCTTTCTCTCTTTCTTTCGTTATTCCATCAGTGGCATCTTTTTCGGGTCCCTTTTTGCGATTCGCGCTTATATATCCCGGGTGCTTCTTTGTTTATTACCGCTCCCTCCACCTCCTCAACATTCGATTACGAACGGCGCAATCAACGGCAGGTCTGATTGTATTTGCTTGCTTGCTCCTCTACGCCTTTTTTTATATTCTACTGTACTATGATCTTTTCGTGCCCTTTTTTTTTTTTTTTTTTCACCCGCCGTTTTCTATTTCAATACAGCAAGCAGGCCGGGCTAGGTTTTATTGGAATTTTATCATGTTTTCGGATTGTTATAAGGGACGGTGGTGTTTTACGGTCTTTCCTCCTGGGGTTTTCTCTCGCTCTCAATTTTTTTACTATCACCCTTACTACGACGACAACATCTCATCTCTGTCTTAAGAGACCGGTCTCGTGCACTGGTCCAGCCTCCCATAGGAGTTTTTCTACTTACTTACTTAGACACATATTGTCATACATACATACATCAAGTATATAGCAACTGACCTAACCTAACTAACCCCTCTTTCCTTACTTATTAATAGAAGGAAGACGGGTAGTTAGTTAGCTGGAAGAAGAAAGATTAATTTAAAAGTTATTTTGTTAAATTCATGAAGAGATATTTATTCATTCTGTAGATGACTAAGGCCCGAAATGTGAACACGATATAACTCAAATCACCCCGTTAACGAGCACCTAGTCGCGCAATAACATAGGATGGCATTGTTCAAGCAATTTCCTCCATGGCGAGGCCAGCCCCACTTGAACCCGGTAAAATACTTATGTAAATACTAAGTATGCATACCAAGTTCATCCCTAAGTATGCATACATACATTTTACCCTTTAAATGCCATAAACTTCACATCAAAGAAATCCTTGAAGCATGAAGAGCCAACGTCCCCCCAACATTAACATACCCAAGACAAAACCTTTCCCCAAAAACATTCTCCACCAAAAACCGACCAGCATCGTCATCAAGCAAAGACGAAGACGTCAACATATTCACAACCTTCACATTCGGATGAACAGCCAAATCCCTCAGTGCCACACCCTCAGACGGCATCACCGACATATCATGAACAATAGGTTTCCAACAATCCCATGTAATCCCAGGATTATCCCCCTCCTCATCCTCCTCCTCCTCAACTGATGAAATATACATATCCTCACATCCCACAATAAGACACCCAATAGGTCCTGCCAATATGGCGAGGGCGATACCAGCACTACTGCCACCGGCTGCAGCCCCCGTTGCGACGAGTGCACCTTCGCCTACTGCTACTACGGCGGCTCCGGCAGTCATACCTTCGATTGCTGCGGCACCTGAAAGAGCTGCGCCTGTTACTGCGCTGGCTCCGCTGGTGCCGAGGGCGGCGACGATGGGGGGACACATTACAATGCCTCCTATTATGGCGACCATTGTGGTGGTTGTGGTGACGGGTTTGAGGTTGATGTTGATGTATATTAGAAGTTGATATTGTGATAAAGCGGTGTGCTTATATATATAATAGCAGACTAACCTTTGGATTAGTTTTTAAGACTGAGTAGGTAGGGAGGTAGGATGAGAATATGCCCTTTGGAATAGCTGTAGAAGCTTGAATTTTAATCTAAAAGAGAAGATATAATAGCGGGTAGTAGTATGGCGAATTTATAGAAAGAAACGAAAGAAAAGATTAAAGAGGGACTGGCCGGGATTCAGAATAGCTTCTCCTCCACAGGTATAATACCGACCCAGCCTGGGCTATATTAGGCCGTGTGCTAACAAAGTACGCCTTTTATTCCCACATAATCATGCATGCATGAACCAAAAATGCATTTTGAATTAATCTTATAGCTGTTTATACAGGTGTGCATGTAGTGCGGTGGGGGGGTTATAGGTGTAAATGTACTTAACTTGCAAGCCGGCTATCTGTAAACTGCAGTTAGCAACGAATCCAGGAGTTCTTAAGAAAGATCAAGAACTCCTATAGCTAGATTCGAGGCTACGCATACATACACTACAAAGTTGCTGTCGTCTCGTGAGTCACGGAGCTATAGCTACTGATCACAAAATAAGGGGAGCGTTTGGGGGTAACTGATCATTGATCGATTCTGCAATGCCAGCTGGACGAGGCAATCCAATTTGGCCGGGTACTGTACATCTTGCAATGGGAATCCAAATAAAAGGTACTAGTTATAATCATATATACATACTAAGTAGGTACATATGAACAATCAATTATTTGCCAATCAGTGGCATCAATCAACCAAATACGCTTGATCACCCAAAAACAACAATTCAACATCGAATTAGAAGTCGAGAATTGATATAAATATATCTCGTGGGTAGCTATTGATTTATTAACGTATATAATACTCGGGGGAGTTCAGGAATAACTTACCAGCGTAAAGGAGGAGGACTCTGCATCCACGAAATATTACAACTACCCAACGTTAATCCGAGGTCCTAAGCAGATAGGCTGGAGTATATGTACACAGTATAGGTCCCGGTACTATCTATCATGCATGCCTGACCGAAAAGTGTTCCTATAGGTCCGCATGAGTACTCCATTACGACAAGAGAAAAAAGGATATTTGTGATATAATTAATCGGTGCAGGCATTTTAGCTCTTTGGTAGCCCCCCCGCTCGAACTAGTATTTTATCGCCGTCTTTTTCTTCTCTTTTTCATAGCATAGCTATCTTTTTTTTCCCCTTCGGGGCAAATATGAACTACCCTAGAGGCCGAGGGGATGTGTTCATATTGTTGTATTCTGCAAGGGCTTTCGTGGGGAACAACCTTCGCGATATGTATTCACTGTGGGGAATATACCACAAGAATGATATCAAAGATGTGCACGTTCGCTAGCTAGCCAGCTAACCTCGAAGAATTCGATTCGAGTTCAAGCAATTTATCAAGAGATCATAAAGTAGATGATACATTCTTCTAATACCAAAACCAACTAAACAAAACAGAAAAGAGAGTGAGTAATCCTAGCAGTAGCCAGTATCAAGACCAACATCCAGTATCTTGAAATCCTAGATCTCGAGTTCATAAAAGGAAGAATCCGATTCATCGAAGAAAACAAAAAAAAAAAAACTGTATAAGCTTACACATCAAAGAAATGCTGCACGAAAGGGAGCCACATCAAAAAGACTACAAAAAAAGGAGGACAGAGAGCTCCAATAAAAGGCTTCACAGAAAAAGAAACAGGGAAAGGACCAGATAATTGCAAACTCCGCAGGACCTCGTTGTACCCAGTTCAAAGCTTGTATCGATCAAAAACAAAGCAAAACAAAAAAACGACAAAAGAGAAAAATACTCCCCAAATCTTGTTATCCTTTCAATTGCTATTTCTCCCCTTCTAAGTCAAGTCGTCGGCAGCCTCTTCGATACTCTTCTGTGTTTTGGCGAGTATGTCGAGTTTCCAGTTGTCCAATGGATATCGTTCTTTGTATTGCATCACGTTGTTGAAGAAGCCCTGAGGTTCGCCGTTTTCGACAGATTCGAGGAGGTTCTGGGAGATAAAATATTGGCATCGCTTGTGTGTAGACAAGACATAAGGTGGAAACATACCTTCAAGAACAAGCATTCCATAGAGGGTGGGCTAAATGCCGGGTCAAGAGCAGGATACTGTCCTTCAAGTGCCCTTTTGGTAGCCACAATATCCTAGAAGTTTGTTAGCACCTCTTGGAAAAACTCGCGCCACATTCACCTGCGTCATTGCAAAGTGTGGCTGATTACCTTTGTAGCCAAATGGCAAAGTGCAGCTTTGAACAGATATTCCTTAACGCTCCATTTCATGAGATTATTATTGACCGAAACTTCAGCAATTCGTTCGTAGTGATTGATTGCTCGGTGGTAATCGCCAGTTTCAGCTGAGATATCTGCGGCTCTGATGTAGCATTTATTCGCCAGTCTATTATTCTCCGAATGGTCTGCATTAGCCGCCCATGTCCTCACGGGAATAAATGATGTTTCCCCGCCTTCATCTTTCACCCCAAGTAGTCAAATATCACACAAAGGAAGAGATCTTACGCCTCAGCATTATCATTGCTAAACCACTCCCCGGCCTTCTCATATTCCTTGATAGCCTCTGGTTTCGTAGCAGGATCTGTTTCCAAATGCTCTGCAAGAGTCTGTTTCTGTGTTGCTGCTCGTCGAACGTTGGTAAGAGCGTAATGTTCGATAGCTTGGCTTAAAGTCCTTGCAGCATCAGCCGGGTTTGTCTTTTTGTAGGATTTGAAGGCCTCGGTGAGATAGTTTGCGGCATCGTTGGGTTCGTTGATCGATTTGCTTAGAGCTGCGGCCTTTTCGAAGGCGGCGCCGGCTTCGGAGCCTATTTATTATTTAGAAACTATGTTAGAATGGGAGAAAGCAAACGGAGTGTCGAGTATGTTCGAGGTGGAGAGAGAAAGAGACCTTGACCGGATGTTCGAAATGCATTTGCGGCTTGAGCGTATAGTTCGATGGCTTGTTCGAGCTTATCCTGCTTGCTGGCACCGAACCAGCTGAAACCACCTGCTGATGCAGCTTCCTGCTTTTGGGCCTGTAGAGTACTTATTAGTTTCTTTGAGAAAGGTGAAAGTGGGGTAATGATTCCGGAAGGACGTACTTGGGCGAGAAGACTTCGGCCGTCCATGATGATGTTGTGGTAGTAGAATGATGTATGATGATGATTACGGGTGCTTGCTGGTGCAGTGCAGGGGGGAAGTTATAGGCGGGATGGACGTAGCCTGGATACTTTGGCAGTGGTGGGGAGCCATTGCTGGGGGTCTTGGCGTGATGACAGTGGCTGGTCGAGCTGGTTTATCGATTGCTGTGCACTCCAACAACGCGGTTTTTCCAACATCCAAATTTTCGAGGTTTCCTGAACTACATTCGTTCACTATCACTAATTGATCAAACATCATGAGTATTCGACGGTCGACGATTAGGTTATTTTCTACGACTGTTCGTAGGTTACAGCATGAGACTCCAGCGGACTGGAAACCCATTAAGAAACGTCCGAGATATACCCCATCCAAGGAGTCTTTAGCATATGTCGAAGCCATCCTCGAGAAGCCGACATGGTCAATAACAGAACTCCTACCACCCAGTCATCCAAAAAGTACTTCAAACACTCCTCCTCCAGATCCAAAAGACCTGATCACTCCTGAAAAACTCAAACATCTCTTAAGACTCTCTGCACTTCCTATGCCGAAGGATCAACAGGAGGAAGACGAAATGATCAAAGATTTGAATGATCAGCTCTACTTTGTGAATAAGATTAAGGAGGTGGATGTCACGGGTGTGGAGCCGTTGGTGGCTATTAGGGATGAGAGCGAGGAGAGGGGTATCACTTTAGAGGATGTTTTACAGGCGGAGAAGGAAGCGGAGGCGTTTGGACCTATGGGAAGAGAGGAATGGGACCCTTTGAAGCAGGTGAAGAATAAACTTGGAAGATACATTGTGGTTGAAGGAGAGATGGGTGAAGGACCTGCTGTGGATGATGAACTTGTGGTCAGTGCTGGGGAGGTCAAGAAGGTGAATTCTCTGGGTACTGTCGAGACTACTGGCACGGAGACAAGGTGAACGACTGCTTGAGCGGAGCAACACATGGGATTTAGGATCCCTTCGTATTTCAATTTTTACGATACTTTTAGACAAAAAAAGCACGATGGAGTTCTCCTAGCTTCCCACCTTCCGACCAACTTCAGCACTTCTCCGCCTACTACAGTATCTCTCGTCTTCAAGACGAATGCGAAGCCCATGGGGAATGGCCGTCTAGAGGGGCTTGGTTGCCGCCTCTGTTGTGATCCCTTGCCAACATTAACCCTGTCCTCTCATTCACATCACTCTCGATAGCCGGTAGATTTGAAGTTGTACGATGTGTCGGTAAAGTTTCGTATTGTGTCGGTGGTTCATTCTCCTCTGGCTCCTCATAATCGTCGCCGAGATTCTCAATGGTGCGGGTATTTTCATACTCGTTGTATTTCTGCCTCGCGAACCATTTCTCAGCAAAACCCGGCCTAGCCAGGATGATGATAAAAAAAGCGAACTGGCACCGATTGAGTTTCTTTTAGTCACTTGTCGCCCCACGGTCTTGTAACTGAATTGAATAAAAGTGGGATTACCTTTACAAGCAAGGTTATAGCAGCCGCTGCCACAACCAACCCAGCCGCGAGCTTCAACTCGCCCTCCCAAACTGGGGCACAGGGTAGATCCCGTCCTAGCGCAACCGAACAAGTATTCGCGGGGACTTCAGGAGGTTGACCCTTTCCTTTTGGGCCTTTATAAAACGGAAACGGCATTTCCGTCACCTTTCCGAATCCACAGCACTGCAAAGCATCCTGCACCCCCTTGATCGCATCTTTATCGTGGGCGGAATACCATGCTTGCCATGTATCTTTTAGCTGGCATTTTGACGCCCCTGATAGGTTCGGTGCTCCTAAAGCTATAAGCACCGAAGGAAGTATGAGCAGGGCCAAATTAATTGCGAGAGGAAACGCCGAAAGTGGACGTTTAGACGCCTTTCGCGAAGTTGCAATACCGAGGGAACGGTATGTCGTTAACAAATCGGCGGGTCCTAGGATGGCCGTGAGAATTGGTAGCGTGGTGAACGGTAATCGATATTTCCATGCTGTGAAGCATGCAAATACTCCAAGCACGGACACTGCCGCGAATACCTATTCACACTGTTAGTAGGTAGAAGTATATACTGCGAATACTATCGTAAATTGAAAGGTCCGAGAAAGTACGTACCGATACGAGGGCTAAAAAAGACCTCGGATATCTCATTTTGCAAATCTGGTATGACCTTTTGTCTGCCCGGCAGTTTATTCGGGGGTACTCTGAGATATCTTATATACGGTCGCGTCGGGGAATTAGGTCCTCAATCGATTAGACCCAATTACAATATTATCGCCTCGTTTCCGGGTATAATATTCTAGATATCTTTTCGATATCTTGACAAAATTATATAGACTGAAGGATAAAGATATAATCTAGTAGTTTTCAAGAGTGTTTTGAAAGTTCACAATTGAAAGGCGCCGGCGGGGCTGCTTTTGTAGAAACCGCCAAAGATTGCCTGAAGATTATGACGTTAAACGAATCGTACATTCCCTCCAAAGCGGATTTTTAGTGTTTGTTCTGCTGGCAGAATACAATGCCTGCAATGGCCCGCAGTTTGACTGGTCGAAAAGCTGACGTTGCCGCATCGTATCACAAAATACTCGTTAGTATGGATATGTATGATCCCATCCCAACTGCCTGAAAAGCTATTTTATACCACGACGAGATTATTCGGACGACCTATATATCCACAATGTAATTTAGTCTCGAGACGTATACTTCTTAAGTACCTGTTACTTTCTCTCTTACTCAACTAGTTAAGCCGAGCAATGGAGCTCAGGTCGCACTTGGTCTGATCTCGGTTAGATGGCAAGCGTGGGGTGTTGTAATGGAGGTGTCATGATTGGCTGCGCTCCTGCTAACTTTAGAGCCTGGTTCCTTCTGGCGGGTGAACCCGGACGAAAGGCCACGCAGAAGGACGTTTCTGATGAAGCCCGTTCCCGAATTACGGGCTGACCGATGAGGAAGATGGCCGATAACCAGAGTCAGGAGGGGAAAAAGGACGAGGGTTTCCCCTTGTCTTTTGAACAGCTTTGAGGTTAGTTACTGGTCCTGGTAATTTTTTACCAGAAGGCATTTTTATAGAGGTTAGTCGGTAAGGCATTTAAAATCTTTTTTTTTTTTTTCTTTGACCACCCCCATTTAAAACTGACCGGACCACTTTCTTCCTCTTATCCTTCTTTCTGAAATTCACTCATCCATAAACCGAAAAAAATCATCCTCACATTACAACGTCTTTTACGACACTCTCTTTAAAAGCCTTATCTTCTATTTCTAGTCTTCTTTGACTTTTTGATTATATTATAGACAAAATGCCTTTCGCTGAAGGTATGCATGACACCGAATTGTTCCTCGTGGGAGGAGGACGACGACGACAAAACTACGAAACTGTGGGACACCAGAAAATTGATGGCTAACGAGATCAATTGCTATTCTTCCAGGTAACGAGAAGGCCGGTGAGAAGCTCTTCAAGGTATGTTCCAGCATTACCGATGCTGTCGATGTCGAATGGAATAGTAGAGGAAGGATAATTCTAACATTCGTCTCTCCGTAGACCCGTTGCGCTTCGTGCCACACCGTCGAGAAGGGTGGTTCGTCGAAGACCGGTCCAAATCTCAACGGTCTCTTCGGCAGAGTTTCTGGACAAGGCACCGACTCCTTCAGCTACTCCGATGCCAGCAAGAAGGCTGCCGTCTCTTGGGGCGAACAGACTCTCGTAAGTTAAGAATGAAAATTTTTTTCTCTCTTCGTTGGGTTTTTATTCCTATATGCTTGGACTGTGTGCCTATCGTGTGACTGTGTCTGCGAACTACCAAAATATTCGAAATCATCTCGATTACTACGAAGAATACATACAAATAGCGACTATGAAGGCGATAAAATCACATCACATCATTCTAGCTGTCAAGCTGGCCCGTCGAGGCCGGATTACCCTGCATTAAGGATGACGTCGATTGGCCTGTCTGCAGTTTGCGTCGCAAACAAAAATTTTTTTGCCGTGGCTTTTTTGGCCGACTTGTACAACCCAGTCGCAGACGCCAAACAGTGCAGCAGGGCTGTCAAACAGTACAGCAGTGACAGGCACTAGTCCATTATCTTAGTTTTTTGGGCGGAAGATAGACCGTTTATCAGATCAATCGTGGAAACTGGATTTGCTAACATTTATTGCTTCATCTTCACTAGTTCGACTACCTTGAGAACCCAAAGAAGTTCATGCCCGGTACCAAGATGGCCTTCGGTGGTCTCAAGAAGGACAAGGACAGGAACGACTTGATCACGTATGCACCCCTCATATGCTTATTAAATCTATTTCATCTACGATGCAAATATTCAAATACTAACAATTTTTCTTTTTCGTTTCTACAGCTACCTCAAGAAGAGCACCTCCTAAACGCCCTAATGAATCATGAATGACTGTCCAGACGTCTCTATGCCCTGTTTCTCATTTCCTTTGTGATCGAAATAATTAGAACCCTCTCCTCTCTCAACCCCACACACACAATCTCACGCACCAACAGGCTCATTTTTAGGCCTCGCTTGGTGCAACTCTCGCTCCGTCTTGGTGCTGTTCCGATTGCGAATAGTATTCAACGAAGGAAGCTTACCAAAAAAAATTCATTTGTACAAAATACCCCTCCATTTGACTTCGGCCCCACGACAGAAATTCCCATTCCTATTTGTCTTTGAGCGTTTTTTTCTTCTTCATTCATTCCGTCATAGAGAGAGAAAAAAGAGGAATCGTTGGGAGGAAAGGAAACAAAAAAAAGCTGTTTTGAGAGGAGGAGTAGGATATGGTGGTGTTGGCGACCCTTTTCACCCTCGAAACCGTTCTTTTTTTTTACCATATTAATTCTTTGGGAATTCTCGTTATCAGCCGTAGATTGTAAAATAGACAAAATTCTTTTTTTTTCTTTTCTTCTCTTCTTTCTCCTTCTCAAGTATTTACATAGATCTATTTTCTCTCAACTCACATTCTTATTGAGGGGTTGCTAACTAGACTTTCGCAGCTCACTTTTCTCTACTTGTTTGAATGGTGCTATTGTGACGATGTCATCAATATGAAGGCCCACACGGCAACGCTGGCGTTTGGTCCCGAGATTAATGAAGGCCGAAGAATTCGGTTAAGATGCTGGACTGAGCCCGGCTTGCCGACCACTGAGAAGTACATCGCGGAATCGGCTACCTTTCCGGGCCACAGTTAGCTTCGTACCTCTCGGGCCAGTCGATTCCCTTCCCTTGCCCTTGAGTCGGCTTGTTATGCCGGGCCGACCCCATGAAGCCTTTTAACTGGGCGATTTTAAGATCCTGTTAATGTATAGCCATGGGAAATTAACACGCACCATCTACGCTATACCTTAAGCTTTTATGATAAATATAAAGAATCAGGCAAGATCTTGAAAACTGGGAAGAGATTGATATATATCAAGCCTAGGAACACCTCGATTGTTAACTCCTAGACCCTAATTTTGGCGATAGCTGTTCAACCCGCTAGAAATCTAGCTTGAGAGATGCATGTCAACGTATGTGCTCTCTCATAGAAACTAGGGATGTTTTGTCTTGACGGCCGGTCGGGAGAGTCAAGTGATTATATATATTGCCATTGAACTTCCAAATTATTAACGAAGAACATACTGGATCTACTATACTATGGTCTTTGTGAAGAACATTTTGCAAGTGGAGTTGATAACGATAGGTGAGTACTTAGTCATAGATCCTGGATATTAAAGGCAGCCAATACCTGTATGTTAACCTATATAACGCCGCTCCAAAGCTTCATGAGATCAAAGTTAAAAAATGCCATCGATCCCAACTTGTACTACGTAGCTACCACACGTATACGTATATGTTCTATAGATACTAATTTATTTCGAGATTTTCAACAGCGTGAGCCGATATTGAAACATAGATATTAACATGTTTGGCAGGTCACATTTCTCCTGCATCGCGTGAGTGGGAATATGATATTGCGAATGATTCCAAGGTCTAAGTTGTAGTTAGTTTAGCCTGGGCAAAAACTGTCCCGGCAGTCACACTGAGCTTCAGCCACTAAACATCGTGAACCAACGACATCACGACGACACCGCGACGACGATCCACCTGCATTATATTAAGTAATCTATGAGGTTTCTACCTACTGGCCTAGGAACCATACATACCCACGTGAACCTTCTTTTCCTTCCCATGTCGCTGCAGCATCGTTGCGGTATTAATCTTATGCCGAGACAAACAACCACTTACATTGTCCAAAACTAGACGAAACTGGAAAAAAAATTCTGGGTTTCTCCCATAATTATAAACTATCACCTGCAAGGTGCCAGAGTTTCTCGAAACTGGACTTGCTATTGATCATGCAAGGTAAAATGTTCCGGCAAATGGCAGGTGGCCACAACTTGCGCTGGCCCTCTTTTCGTGATAGCTTCGCTACTCGAGTACTCGACCCCCAGCTGCTTAAGCATGTTTTTTCGAGTACTTAAGACCAGGACTGCGGTACGTACTCCTCCGAGAAACAGTATGTCTACTTGACTTCTCGAGAGTCTGGGTAGTTATTTTCTCTCTAAAACGACGACAAAACAAGTACCCTTTGGGCTCGCATGGTGCAACCACACCTTGCCCCGGCCTTGCATCAATTTGATAATATTAACAGGATATCCTGATTTTTTTCTTCTTTTCTTCCCGAAATATCGCTCAATCAGTCGATAACCGTCGATAGCTACTTTCTCTGTCTCCCTCGCCCTCTTTCCTGGGTCATACTAGCGGGGTATATAAACTGTTCGTTAAATCCCGCTGTGGAGAAGCTTTGACGCATGGCTAATAATTGCTTGCATACAGAATTTTTTGATATCCTCTAAAAATTAAAAAATTAAAAAATTCCTTCCGGGTCAATCGAAGCATTTAAAGACCCCAGAGAAGCCTTATGAGCCTTATCGGAGATTCTTTTTGAAGTCTTCGTCGACACTTTATAAATTCGTCCAACCGGGAGCACTTTCGGCTTAAAACGAGGTTGTTCGCTGCTCTCGTCTAGCAACAAGGCTTATAGTTCTGGGCGCAGCTCAGCTCAGCTCCCAGTTGCCGTGCTACCACATACGTACCCCTTCGCTCATAGTTACCCTCCTGCCGACCAAACGACAATTTAACTCCACCAGCTTTCGAGTCGAAGATTATCCTTCTTACCTTCAGTTCAGCTTCATATCCGCTCGCTGTAATCATATATATAAAAAAAGTTAATTTTCACCAAAAGGAAAAAGGGAGAAATTAAACAAAAAAATTAAAAGATGTCCCGCCCAACATCCGTCCCTTTCTCCACAACGGGTCAAATCCCCATCTTGACTCCACCAAGCTCCTCCGGGTCGAATCAAGCATTTACCCACCTGACATCACCGACCAATAAATTCGTCCACCCGGCTCGCCGTCGTGGGTCTGCAGACTCATACCTCTCCGAAGATGACCACCACCTTAATTCGGCACGGTCTCCATCGTATTCTTATTCTTTAACCTCCAATCGCTCCAGTCGACGTTCTCAAAGTCCATCGTTGGGATCCTCACCCGGTGCATGTCTAATAATCCGTAGCAGTAGCACCAACCAATCTCCACACTCCGGTAGTCCAAAACAATCTCCACTCCCAGTTCCAGCTATAGACACCGGCCATGGACGTCAAGATTCCGTTTCCTCTGCCGGTGATCTTGAATTCGACGTAGAACCATTATCACCTTTTAGCTATGCACCACGATTCCCATCCGGTCCTCCCAGTCGCAAAAACTCAAGAGATGCGTATGCCCACATCTCACCACCATCACTCAACGCCGTCTCCCAAAAGCTAGAGAAACACTACCAAGCACCATCTCTCCCACCTCAAAAGGAAGATGAAGAAGAACATACCATCCAACTGCACATGATGCCAAAATCAATGCTTCTCCCCCTCCCGGATCGCAACGCGGAGATGAAGCATTTACTTACACATAATTCACAGTTGGCGGGACAGATCCGTAGACGGTTGGGAGAGGAAAGATATTCTCAGGCGGTTGACCTTTGGACCAGGACGAGAAGGAGCGAGGTTAGTGACCATGAATGGTTGAGAAGGAGTAAATGGTTTTTGCAAATGGATGAGAGGTTATGGAATGAATGGACTATGATGGTTGGATGGGACCATAGCGTTGATTTGACGAAGGACGAAAAGGGAGAGAAGAGGGGTGTTGATGAGTATGCGGATAAGATGGGTCATATGACGTGTTTGGAAGAGGAGGAGGAGTAGTGACACGTTTAGGAGGTTTTTGATATTAAACATCAAGAAAGTTTGATTAATGTGGGATGAAATTGAGAATGTGGCAGGTGGAGTGTAGTGAAATAGGTGGGGATAGTTTGCATTCGTTCTTTTATTTTTTTTGTCGTATAGCGAGGGGTTTTGATGGGTGTTCTGACTGTGTTTTTCTATCATTCGTTCTTTCTGTCTGTTTAAAGCGAATTGTATACCGTAGCCGTGGCATTGTTTTTTTACGTCTTCTTCCAACTCTCTGCTCATTCTTTACCATTTTCTTCTTTTACTTCGTTATTTCTCCTCATCCGTCTTTTTTATAATTACCCAAGCATTTTACTTATTCTTATACGTACCATTGTGGAGGAGTAGGTGTATGGATACTTATAATTACCTACACCGGTTGCTAAATGGATGGTATCCCCTTCTTTATAACGTACCGCTATCGAACAGCTATTTTGGAGCATTTTTGTGGGTAGTCAATATTGAGGATATTCGGGTTAACGTTTTCTATTAGTTCTGGATATATTATAAAATGGGTGCTGGTCCACCTTATTTTAATGATAGTGTACCCTCTTCTAGTTGCCGTTACTATACGAAAATAGTGAAACTATAAGCTATCTTTCTACGTCAGGTATCTAGTCGAGACATTATGACACAACGATGCGGAAGAGTTTAAGCTGAGATGGAGTTGACGGAATAGCATGTGAGAGCTCGCTAGACAGATATAGCTGGTGATGAGGTTGCTAGACGATCAACCTTCTTCGAGACAATTACAGAAACCCCCCCGCTTCTGGGGGTTGCGGGTGTAGTGGTTTTTTCTTACTAGTAAATAAATACCAATTTGCAGTAGGATGACGTTTCATTGATTGGTAGTATTTTATAGCGTACTCGGACTTAAGTTGTAGACCTAGACAAATATTCTGCGAGCTTGGTACTTAAGCTTGTGTCACTGGACTTGTTAAGGACTCTTGAAGTATAAATGGGGTGGAGTATTTCTAGAATTCTGGCACTAGATTTAGAGATTCCTTGTCTGCGTACTTGTAGATCTATTTAACTTCGGATCTTTCAAACGCTACTCCTCAAGGAGAACGGACACTATGATATCCCCGATATATATGGCTTTTTTGCATATACTTCGTCCTTCTTATTTTCTTCTTCTTTTTCGTCCCCTTCGATTCCAAATATTAATACAAACATCATCTTACTCAATATATTAATAAGTGACGGTGAGCCTCGCGGCCTCGGGAAGCTCGTTTTGGTAAATATGATTAAGCATATGGAAATCTCGGGCGATCTAGAGACTAACACCGTACGTAGACACAAGTTCTGTGTCTTGAAGGAAGGGTTATAATTTATCTGACATGCTAGGAGCACTCAATTCAAAGGCCCCCAACCCAAAGTGCCATTTACGCATGATCTTTCCCCATTACATTGAACGTATATTTGAAGTTTAGCTGCCGGAATTATCTATAATACAGAATTAACGTTTCTAGCTATAACCTGCAAATTCAGAATATCGAGATGGCTACTAAACTTAACATTATAAATACGGCTGGTGTATATACATGCGTGGATATCATGTATACATGTATCGTATCCTGCGCCCCAGGATGAAACTAAGCCTCAATTCTATTACCAAGATAAGCTATCTGATTGCCTAAACTTTGATTTCTTACAATATTCCTTCGAGTCTTCATTTTTAAAATTTTTCGTTTGTATACTATAGTACAAAGTGTGGCCCGCGTCTGCAATACGAGACTAACTATAGTACCGGTCTATACACAAGCTATAATACCTCTCCAACGACCAAACATCGCGTTGTCGCGTGGTATTTCCCACAAACCATAACCTCACGTGACTCCCCAGCATTTTTTCTAGGAACCGAAAGCAGCAGGGCCATCTTTGGGGGTTAAGTTTTTAGCAATCGGGCAAGCAACTTTTTTTCGATCCCTTCCCCAGCATTTCCGACCATCCGACGTCGTTACATTCAATCGATATATTCTATTTCCAAATCCTCCGGTATTACAAAAAGTTCGGTTTCATTACCTACCCATCCTGTCGTTCCCTTTACCTCCTCCTCAGCGAAATACTACCGGGGGAAAAAAAAGAGCTATTACGAAAACTCCGATAAGAAACCGAGCTTTGTAGACGATACTATCTTAATACTCTATAAAAAAAAACGATCACTCAACAATGGACTCCTTCACAAATTCACTGGGTGTTAACCAGCAGTCGAAGAAGCAGGCATGGATGGATAAGGTTGGTAAAAAAAAAAAAAAAAAAAACTACAAAACTGAGGTTTATTTAGAAAGAGAAAAAAAAGAAGAAGGAAGTGGGGATGAAAACTATACTATGATGGAAATTTGAAGGTTAACTTTTTCGGTGAATACGTTTTAAAAGATTAGACAAGAAGCTGCAGTTGAGCAGGCTAGAGCTTTGATTGATGTACGTTTCACTTTTTCCTACCCCCCTCCAAAATTCGATGTTTAGTTGGAAGGAGTATATTTTTTTACTAATATAAAAATTTGTTTTTTTACCACGGAATAGAAAGTTTCGGATAACTGCTTCGAGAAGTGTATTCCAAAGCCTGGGAGCAGTTTGACAAGCGGTGAGACGGTATGTCTTTTTTCTATATTCCGTGGTTTAACCGGATTCGAAGAGAGGAACCCTTTTTTTGCTGATGTTTATATGGTGTGGTTTTATAGACTTGCATAAACCAGTGCATGGAGAAGTACATGTCCGCCTGGAACGTCGTGTCGAGAAAGTATATTGAGAGAATACAGGCGAGGGATGTTTAAATTTGATCTATCTAAGTACTTAGATATGATGTTAAACATATCGAACCGGATTCTGGTAACTAGTTACCTATTGTCGAGGTAGCTGGTGTGGCGAGATCTCCACGCTTTGGGGGCCTTCTTGCTTGAATAGGGAAGGGGATTTGAATCCTTGAGATCCCAGGAACTGTGGAAGTGGGTCTCTGTATATATTCTAGATTCTACTAGAGTGTAAATTTTGTATAATATTGCCATGTGCATGATTTAAGCCTCATTGAACAACCTTATCAGGAGAAAGATATCGCTACCATGATGTGAAAAGGGTGGAGTCAAAAACCATCTCAGTTTTAAGAACCAACGAAGAGGATATTCCTTCTCCAGACCAATAGTTCTGCCATATACGCCAAATACGCCCTGTCAAAAAGTTTGTTAAAATCCATTTCAATCCACGAGCGGCTGTATACCGGGCTTCTCGGCGTCCTGAATTGGGATCTCCTGCACAGTTACACCTACGTCACCTTCGAAAACGATGGTGACTTCTTTGATAACATCCCTATAATCCTCTATCTCCACATTCCCACCACCAACTCTTCTAACCCATCCATCTACACTCTCTGCCCTCAGAATCCCAGAACCATCCAACACCACCGCCACAACGCCACACGCAATCGTTCTAGCATCATAAAACGTAGCAACAGAATACTCTGCCAAACATCTGGTCGCAAGACCCATACACTGTCGTCCCAAGAAGGTGTCTTGAGACTTCATAATCCCATCTTCCTCTTTCCTATCATCATCTTGATGGTCATAATCCTCGCCGGGGACGACGGAAAGGGATTTATCTAGAATTCTTGGGATGTAATCGTGTGGAATTGAATGACGGAGTTCAAATTTTAGGATTCGAAGGAGGTGTAGCTCCGCTGTGACTATTGTAGCCCTGATGGTATCGTATTTGTGAGAGGGGACTTCGATTGGTGGCAGGTTTGGGTGGAGAATTGAGTAAGCTGGGGTAATCAGGGCGCGGAGACGACGGGGGGATTCGGTGGACTTGGTTGAGAGTGAGAGGGTGGTCAGAGCTAGGGTCTTGCCCGGGTTGTATTCCAGTAGATTAGCAAGCGTCCTGCCGGTGAATAGGTGCATACCTTATATGCATATGGAGAGATATTGGCATGTATACGTACATGAGGATCTAGGAAGTCCGGGACGGGGTCAGGACGGTTTTTCGAATCACGAATGAATTTGCGGTATTTGTGGAGATAAAGGTAGGCCATCGCCAGGGTTTGTTCTTGTCTAATTGGCACGTTAGTAAGATTTATATTACACTATCACAATTGTTACGAAGTGGGACCATTATGCATGAACATACAATCGCAGGATATCGGCCAGCAAGGCCATGAATGAGACCGCATCCTTGCCGTGAAGAGACGGCCGGGTTCGAGAGCGACGGCCACTACTGGAGGCACTCGGCGTGGTAGTTACATCTACATCGTCGTGTGAGAAGCCGTCCTCGCGATGGGTCGCCATTGGGATTGGAATGGGAATGGGAATGGGAACGGTGAATGTTCATGATTGTGTTTCTGCGCGTCGATGCGGCATGAATTCGAAGAGAATCAAATTTGGATTTGGAGCTAAGATGGCTCGGATAGCACCTCCTCATCACGTGCCTGTTGCATTTTTTCGAGCAACACAAATTTTAGTGCCCGTAATCGTTTTAGTTTCGGAGCTGGACCAGAAAAGAGCCATGATTGGCCATTCTTCACCTTTTCATCCAGTTTCTCTAGCTCTTTCTCCAGTTGCACCGCCAAATCCAGCGGAGTCCTCCCGTTTTTATCTTTGGCGTCCGGGTCACCGCCGTTATCCAGCAGTAACCTTACCACTCCTTCTTGGTTGTCAGGTATGCGTACGAACTGGTAATTCCTGGGATCACCTTCCATTGCTAAATGCAGTGGGGTTTTCCCGTTCTTATCTTTCGCCTCCAGTTTAGCACCCTTCTCTATTAACACACTCACCACCACCGGCTTCCCTCTGAATGCCACCAACTGAAGAGCAGTCCTCCCGTCTACATCCCTGGCCTCCAAGTCAGCGCCCTTATCCACCAACAGTCTTACAATTACCTCGTGCCCTTCTAACACTGCCCATCCCAGCGGGGTCCTCCCTTCTTCATCCCTGGCCTCCAAGTCAGCGCCTTTACCCACCAGCAGTCTTACAATTGCCTCGTACCCTCCTAACGCTGCCCATCCCAGCGGGGTCTTCCCGTTGCTCTTAACCTCCAAATCAGCGCTATTGTCCACCAGCAGTCTTACAATTGCCTCGTGCCCTCCTAACACTGCCAATCCCAGCGGGGTCTTCCCGTTGCTCTTAAGCTCCAAGTCAGCGCCATTGTCCACCAGCAGTCTTACAATTGCCTCGTACCCTCCTAACACTGCCCATCCCAGCGGAGTCCTCCCGTTGCTCTTAGCCTCCAAGTTAGCGCCCTTATCCACCAACAGTCTTACAATTACCTCGTGCCCTTCTAACACTGCCCATCCCAGCGGGGTCCTCCCTTCTTCATCCCTGGCCTCCAAGTCAGCGCCCTTATCCACCAGCAGTCTTACAATTGCCTCGTGCCCTCCTAACGCTGCCAATCCCAGTGGA